TCGCAGCTCACGCAAACCGACCCTCCAAAAAGTTAGAACCAAAATTCATTGGACCATTCAAAATCATAGAGAAGATCAACGACAACGCGTACAAGCTCGAGCTACCTCCGAACATGAAACAACACCCTGTCTTCAATACAGATTTATTACGACATTATCACGAATCCCCGGAGAATTTCGGCGAACGAGCACCTGCCAGACCCCCACCAGATTTAGTCGATGGCGAAGAAGAATATGAAGTGGAAAAGATTCTGGATTACAAACTATTTGGCAGAACCCCCAAGTGGCTCGTGAAATGGAAGGGATATCCTGACGAAGAAGCAACATGGGAACGGAGATCCTCACTAGTTAATGCAAAAGAAGCACTGGAGGAATTTCAAAAAATGCAACAGTAACACCAAAATTATTTTTCTCTGTTTCTTTTTTCTTTATTTTTCTTCTTTTTTTTTCTCTTCTCTCTTCCTTTCTTCTTTTACTATCTCCTTTCCTCTCTTCCTCTCTTCCTTTTACCTCCCTTCTCTGCCCACTCCAGCATGGTAACAACCGCCATTTCCTCCATCAATCGACGACGTTCCCGTGCTCGCTCTTCTACACTCACATCCTGGGTCTGCAATGCACGAAACTCAAACGCTATCAGCGAAGAACACTCTCTTATCATCGACAGTCTCGGTCCCTCATGACGACTCCTCTTCCGTCGCCTCTCCGGCTCCTCAGGACCATCCTCTCCATCAACAGCTTCCCACTGTGCATTGTCACTCGTCGAACTTACAGAAGCCAAACGGATCCCAGCCCCCTCCACTCCCGACGTCGCTGAAGTACTCGACTCCACATGATCTCTGGCTTCCCTCACAGTTGGCGAATCGCCCACCTCAGGATACTCCTCCTTCGGTAGCATCCGCCCCAAGATTACAGGTGAAAGACGTGGAGACAATTCCAACCTCGTATCTAGCTCTTCCTCCTGAGGCACAGAATAAGGCTGTGTGGCGTCAGGGTCATCTGAAGAACCCTGGGAGCTTGGTACCGCCGACCGCTGTGTCAATACAACTTCAGAAAACACGCCACCAGAAGGAGCACGACCTTTACGCGGTGGCATTGGATGAGAAGCCTTGCGTGAAGACATCATGGAGACTTTTTTCCTTTTTTTTGAAATAAGCAAAGAGGAATGAGGAAAGAATGCAACACGAACTCACCAACTCCATCGCCACTCATTCACCCATCCTCATCCACATGATCTGCATGAACCGCATGACCAGTAATTTTAACCAATCAGACATCACCACATCAATTTTTTTTTTATTTTATTTATTATTTTATTTATTTCTCCTCTCTTCTCTTCGTTTTCTTTATTTCCATCAATTTTTTTTTCTCTTTTCTTCTTCGATTTATGATCTCCTTCATTTTTGACGGGAAGGATGCAAACGTGTTATACAATACTGACTCAAACCTTTGAGGAGGGCTCAACTATCACGCGCACCCCAGGCGCCAAGACGCCAAGCCCAAGTGCCAAGACACCAAGCCCCAACCCTATTAATTATCAGTATAAATAGTCCACTACGTTATAGCCAAATAAAGTATCCTTTGACCTTCGATTCCACCTAAGATCACCTTTGATTGTTACTATTTACACAAGCACACAACGCGAACCTGACGGACCTGATCTTTTTGTCCTTGTTGCCCTGCCGTAAAAAAAAAAAATATTCACCATCATCTACGCGCATAACAGGTTTCTTCTCTTCCCAGTGCCATTTCCATTTCCATTTCCATTCTCAGGGAACCTTCTGCATCACCTCTAAAGACACACTTAGTGCCATGAACAGTTGAGAGATTAACTGATTTTGCCTCGAAAAGTGACCATGTACTTTAATTGCATCTCTGCATTCTCTTCATTACTAATACCGTCTGTATAGTCAAGGCCAACTTTTACTTCCATAATCAAGCTTCTATATCTCTATATCTTAAAGATCTTAAAGATGAATAATCATCGGCTGCGATAATAAGCAACACTGATGCCAAGACTGCACTAAATTCTTCTCTTGCCACTATTTGGGTTTAGTGAAAGAGGCCTTGCCCTGAATTAGCAATACTGAAACCTATATTCCCTGGATGCTTCGACTCATTGGATGCTACGGCTTATTGGATGCTATTTGAAAGAACAGGAATTTAAGATAAAGAAATTGATTAAATTGGAAATAAAACGATTACGAAAAGAGCAAGACAAAGACAAGGGTCAAGACATACTGGGATAAAGTGATAGTTGAAGAGTTAATGGTGTTATGATTACGGGCAATCAGAGAAATAGTAGCAGGCAAAGGAAAGAAAGATATCTTTATGCTGATCCAGGGATCTTCGTTAAATAAAAAGGGTAAAAATCCTAGCTATTGTAAAAACCCATATAAATGACTGCTACTCGCAACATGGGCTACTCATTCACAGATTACTCATTGAAATATGTCTGGATCATAATAAGTAACGAGAACGAAAGAAAGATGTCTTTATTATGATCCAGGGATCTTCGTTAAATAAAAGGGGGTAAAAATCTTGGCAATGGTAAAAAACTTATATAAATGGCTGCTAATTGCAACACTCATTCACGGGCGAGATAGACGCGTCGCGTGTAACTTTTGATTTCACGTGACAAAATCAGCCTTGTTTTTTAGTGCTTTATTTAGAGTTCTTGGAACGCGTCTCCAACAAGTATAAATATCGCAGACTTGTAACATAATAAACTTCAGTCTGCAATAAAACTATTCCTGAATCTACATTGCTAGCGTCCTGCTGCAAGGAATGCTCTAGAAATTTGGGCGAAATACTGTGTCGTACAAAATCATAGTAGTAATTTCGCTTGCACGTAGTGACCATAGCGGGTTCGGAAAGCGGTCCTGTGTTTATCAGCGGGATGGACACGCATCTGATGATAGCCCAAGAGTAGATCTAACTTGGTAAAACATTTAGCTGTTCTAAATCTGTCGATCAATTCATCAATCCGTGGTAGGGGGTACCTGTTTTTCTTTGTGATCTTGTTCAAGCCTCGATAATCAATACACATTCGAAGCGGCCCATCCTTTTTCTTCACAAAGAGGACTGGAGCACCGTATGGCGAGGTACTCGGTGAGATGAATCCTTTTTGTAAAAGATCAGTTAGCTGCTTCTTCAGTTCATCAAGCTCAGCGATCGACAATCTAATGACAGGCCGGACAAACAGATCAGCATAAGGGTCAGTCTCTATACGCATGCTATCACCTCCGTCAGGGGGAAGGCCATCGGGAAGCGCCGTAGGAAAGACATCAGGAAATTCGACTTGAACAATTTGTTTGATAGGGTCCGATAGTTCAGAACTATTGCTAGACACAGGTACTGGGACTCGAACTTGAGCGCGGAATATAGAAGCATCGAGTTCCGAGGCGACGGTGAGGAAGTTAAGGGCAGATATGACGGAGGATCCCTGTCTAAACTTCCTGTCGATACCAGCGCAAGACCATAAGACAGGAGTACCTTGGTGTGACAGTGTATAGCCTTAAGCCTATAAAAAGGCTTGCTTTAACTATTACAATAAAATCAGCTTTTGTCTCTCTTAACTATTACATGCTGCAAGGAATGCTCTAGAAAATTGGGCGAAATGCTGTGTCATACAATATCATAATAGTAATTTCGCTTGTAACCATCTTGACGGCACTTGAAACATGCGCCTCGTCGAACCAGTTCAGACCTTTCGGCGGGAGTGAGAGGGGCTAGAGAGCCTCGGCCTTGGGATTACTTCCGTAAGGCATTAAGCTCCACTCGGAGGTTATCCAACTCCATCGCCATTGGATCTCGAGCGGTCTGAAGTTGAGCCGCGACCACAGATGCCTGAGTGCTCGGGGTTTGGCGAGTCGAGGTATTGTTGTCGGGTTGGAAGCTATAGACCCTGTCGTATTGCTCAGCTGCCTCGAAAAGCTGATATAAGGTGGGTGTTTGAGTCACCTGGAGGGCACGCAAGAAATGGTTCAAGGCTGGAGGGCAACCTTGTACGAAGCAAATAAATGCAAAATCTTCAATGGCCTTGCGATCCCCGGCTGAAGCTTCGTCGGCTAGTAGGGCAGTTAGGAGCTCGTGCACTTCAGCGACGTAATCAACGACCGTGGAGGCCATTGTCAGGGATGAGAGACGGTACCGGATGAGCTGAGAGAAGTCGTTCGGGATGAACGCCGTGCGGAAACCTGCCTCAAAAGTGTCAAATGTGGCATCATCAGCGATGCCCGAACCATTGAACCATCGGGCGGCAGGACCGAGGAAGGCAATAGCTACAACGGTCCGAGCCGCGTCAGGCACAGATGCGCCCACAAAGAACCGGTGCATGGAGCGCAACCAGGTGGTAGCCGAAAAATCATCGCGCTTGCCATCAAACTTTTCAGGTTGTGGGTATTTGAATGAGGAGGAGGAAGCAGGGGTTTCAGAGGTAAGAGTCATGGTGGACAGAAGGGCAGATAGTTGATCGAGGGAAAGCAGGGTGGAACAGGGCAAGAGGCAGGGGTAGAGGGGTAGAGGGGTAGAGAGGTAGAGGTCGGGGATCAAGGAAGCTTTGCCAACATGTAATAGGTAGTGAAGACAAAAGGTGATTTATATTAAATTATTATTACAAGCCTTTTATAGGCTTAAGACTATACATTGTGAAACTTTTCGAGACAAAATCAGTTAATCTCTCAACTGTTCATGGCACTAAGTGTGTCTTTAGAGGTGATGCAGAAGGTTCCCTGAGAATGGAAATGGAAATGGAAATGGCACTGGGAAGAGAAGAAACCTGTTATGCGCGTAGATGATGGTGAATATTTTTTTTTTTTACGGCAGGGCAACAAGGACAAAAAGATCAGGTCCGTCAGGTTCGCGTTGTGTGCTTGCTGTTCGTGTGTCCGTTTTCTTCCAGCACGTGCTGGAATCAAAATATCGCGTTCTTTCTCATTTGTGGCTTGACTTTCTATTAGCCTTGGTCACCAAATCAAAAACAAACCTCCCGGATAAAGGTCATCAGTTTCTACTTACTAGTTGCTCTCTCTCTTGCGATAAATTAACATCAACTATGTTTGGAGCATTCAGAGCATCAAGTATTAGTCAGGGCGGTCTTCTATGGTATGAGGGCACATGGCCTCTCCATTTGTCAACGGAAGCCCTAGACTACTGCATTCAATACTCTTTAATATGTCAACAATGCACAACCTCTTCTTCTTTTGCTGACACGGACACCCTCATCAACCTTGTTTTTCATAGGAAAGCACGCATGAAGATGAACCTTAGCCCTACACAGAAGGCTAACATCCGTAAGCGCCTCAAAGCTGCCGACGATGTTGTCATGAAGATTCAAGAGTCGGGAGTCCAGTGCAATGCCTTGGTAAAAATATATTGTCCACTTTTTTTTTTTTTTACTACTATCGTTTCCGTGGAACAGAGGGATGTTGAACAATTTTATTACTCTTCAAATTATTCATTTGGATTCACTTACTGAACTATATTCCTTGATTCGTTTTTTGTACTTTTTATTCTTTTTATTCTTTAGACTAAGCTTCAGGCTGAACCTACTGAAGCACAAATGCCTCCTAAAGACAAATACACTGTTTTTACCAGGAACTTCAAGGGCTATCGCAAGTCCGTTCACAAAGTCCCTCATTTTACCAAGGTTCCTGTCCCTCGTACTGCTCCTGCTGGATTTTAAAAAGACAAAACAAAATACAGGAGCATGCATAGAATGTCGACCTTGAATGTCTTTCAGTAGAATTGGACACTTAATTTGAATAATGGGAAGCATGTGAGGTTAGAAAACAAGGATCATTGATCAGCAGACCAGATTATTTCAAAGAAATGTTATTGTCACAGCAACCATACTAGACCAAGAGCAAAAATTTGTTTCTTGAATAAGCTATCGAAGAATCCAGTTAACAATAAATGTATAGTATTTTATCATCTGAAAACAGATCCATGTTTTTCAAGTTATTAACTGTTGTGGACCTCAGGTCAAAGGGATCTTAAGTTGCGCTCGGTCTAATCTCCTAGCTAAATCACAAAACTGCTCCGTTGTAACATCTTCCACCCGCATATTCATATCCCATTTGCCTCCTGCGATCCACTCCTCCACCACTGGCTGGACTTCAGGTGCAAGCCTAACCAATCGTTTCGTGATATTTCCAATAGTTTTTCTTCTCTTATTGAAATAAAACCGCGCCACATCTTCCAGCTTGTCTAAAGAACCTATGATATTAATAATGATAATATTAATAATTTAATCACTAGTGAATAAATAATTATGCTCAAATAAAAACTGGTGGCGCTTTTTTTTTTTTTTTTTTTTTTTTATTACCTGGCATTAACGGGTCCTGCTTCTTCTCAAAATGCACTACAGCTGCATCCACTTTTGGCTTTGGGACAAAACTACTTGCAGAGAGTTTATAAACCTTCTTGACATCACAGAGTGATTGAGCCAAAATCGAAAGCCGACTTCTTTGAGGATGACTTGGTGGTGCGGCAATACCCTCAGCAACCTCCTTCTGAAACATGAGTGTCATGGACACCTTATTGTTGGTCCGAAAGATCCCTTCCTGAAGCGCCATCATCTTTAACCATTGGACCAATAATGGGGACGCTACACCAAATGGCAGGTTACCGAGGAGACGGATCGTCTCGTTCGATTCATCCGCAGGCTTCTCAAAGAGCGTGTTTTCATCTGAAGGTGAAATACTTTTGGGGTCCGAGAATAGTTGGGTGATGGACGAAATTGTTGGAGATGATGGCGGTGTAGGCAAAAAAGTAGGGGTAGTAGTAATAGTAGTAGCAGTAGGTACTAAAGGCGAGGGCATTGGAAGGGCAGCTTGTAGGATCAAAGAGTGGTCAAGCCTAAGCATGTCGCCATGGATTATACTCAATCGATGCTCTGATGCTTCCGATAGTTGCTATCGACCCCAATGGTTAGTTGCTATCATAATCTATTCTGGTTAGGAAAAACAAAGAAAGGTGGGACTGAACTGATCATTTAAGAAAAAAAAAGAATGAGAAAAATGTTCTTATTACCTGTAATGCAGGTAAAAACCGAGGGTCTTTTTCTACAACTACAACGCGTTGTGCACCAGCATCTAGAATTGATCGGGTCAAAAGACCAGGACCTGATCGTTACCAATATACGTGTTAATAATTTCATTCCAAGTGTTAATTTCAAAAAGAAAGAAACAATAATAAAAAAAATAAAAAAAGAAATAATAAAAATAAAAAAAAAAGAAAAAGTTTTTACCTGGACCAACTTCTACTACAAGGTTATCATCCACTGATATTTTGGCATGGCGTGCAATGGTATCTGATTTATACAAAAAATGTATTATAAAATAAAAAGGAGCAGTATGTTAGTTGCAGATCGGATCCTTTCTCGTCAAAACACAATCAGCTCAACGAGACAGACCTGTTACATTCTTATCGAGAATAAAGTTCTGAGAAAACTTTTGATTCGCAGAGAGACCATAGACACGGATTAGATCACGAATGGGTGGGAGTGGTGGAAGTTTCTTGGGAATCATCTCAAGGTGGTAATGAGACGTTTAATGAGACCAGAAAAAAGAGTGAATAAATTAAGACTGTCCATCCGAGTATTTACCATTGATTTGTGATTGGATGATTGAACCCACTTCTTTCATATGTCAGATTAATATTTCCTGTTGCTGGATCATGGTGAGTGCTGGTCCTCAATATCAGCAACTGTTGGTAATCTCTCTGAACTGAATACACCCATGGCACCATATTTGGTAACCTCTTATGCCCAACAATTGAAATCAGGGAATGACTGATAAGTGTGTATTTATTTGTTTCCATTATTTTACGTGTGGAGTCAATTCGTGCACAACAATTTATGTGTATAAAAAAATCTTTCTGTCTGTTGATCTGCACCCTTTATACTTTCAATTAACAATTTTTCTCATGTGCTTGCTTAATTAAAAAAAAAAAAAAAAAAAAAAAAAAAACAAGCTCTTCTTTCATTTTGATCAGTTCCTTTTTTTCTTTTTCACATTGAAAATGGTGCATGCACATGGATGCACATGTACAACGCAAGGATCATGTACTTTCATAAAGATATATGTATACAATAGATCTTTCTACAAACATGATTCTTTTAGAGTACCCAGCTTAGTGATGATCTGTAAGATGGGTAATAAAAAAAAAAGAGAGAGAAGAGAAAAGAAAAGGGCATGATGCATAAATCCATTAATGTGCTCTTGTCTTTCGCCCTTTCACTCTCCTTGAAGACGAGGTCGATTACATTCCCCCTTTTTTTTTTTTTTTTTTTTTTTTACTGTCCATAGTGTTGAGATTGGATTGGCTTTGTTTATTTAAGCCCTGTCATTGGGCCAGATGTTAGCCATAAAGTTTAAACCATATACCCTTTTTCCTATTCCGATGGGGATGGAATGAGTAAGGATTTATACCTGAACGGCATCAAAGGACTCTTGTTTACAACACTTTACATTCAGGACGCAACTCTCCTCTACTGTACTTTAGGTGGTTTTCTCGGTAGAATGACTTCATCCAGAACTTTTGGATAGATCGCCAGACAAAAGAAGGAGAGAGTTGGTTTTGAATCATCTAGAGCAAAAGAGCTGGGTTCGATTGTCGTGCTCTGATTCGTCACCAACACAGGGTTGTACAGTGTTAGTCTGGTGTAGCACAGTAACATAGTACCTGTTCGTTGTACATGTTTACCTATAACATCTAGACACCGGGACTGGGAGGCATTGCACGTAGTTTAGTACATGGTTCTGTCTGGAAAGACGAAGAAAAGGAACCCGCGGAAATGTATATAAACATAAATGACATATATCTAATATACATGATGAAGATCAAATAAAAAGATGAAGGGAGTAAAGGAAAAAAGAAAGGAATGATTGAAAGAAAGGTGGATGAGGGAGCCATGCTGCTGTTGGATGAAGATCCAGACAGAGAGCACGTTTCAGCAGTTGCATGGAACAGAATCTGTGGATAAATTGTTAGACTACTGGAGAAGAGCAAGAGCAAGAGCAACAGCAAGGACAGAAGCAGAAGCGTCAATAATAAGACTACATTATTACAATAGAGCGTTCAAGTTGTTCAACCTGATGAAAAGGACAAAATTGATGAAGAGAGAGGAGATAAAAAAGCAGACTAAAAAAAAAGAAAAAAAACTCCCAGTCAGTTTGCTCTCAACATTTTCTTTTCTTCTTTCTTTCTTTAACTCTCTCTTTCACCTCCTTCCTTCTCCTTTCCCATCTGTCTCTACCAACTTCTACTTTGTAGCAATTCAGCATTCATCCTTTTTTATTGTTTTCCTTCATCTCACTTGATCAGTTTGCACTTTTTTTCATCTTGTTATACTTTATTTTTTTTGCACATAATCTTTGTCACACCAAGTCTTTTTACTCTACATCTTGTTTCATCAATTCACCCAAGGACAAGTTTCATTTCAGTTCCTTCATCCTGAAAAGGTTGCCACAAGCCAGGACAAAAAGAACAAGGATAGATCTATAGACGTTTGATATGAGCTCAGAAAAGCACTTGGGTTCGCTCCCAACAATACATCATCAGCAAGGACGTGGGCGCTGTAAGTTTCTCTTTCTCTCCCCTTCATTTAGTCCTAGGCTTGCTTATAGACCAGTCTCTCTGGAAACCCGGTGAAATTCGATAACGGCTCCTATTAGGAAGTAGTGGGCAGTGGATCTGAGTGGTGATGCGACAAAGTGATTAGATCAGTTTATATTGGCACGGAGTTCTTGTATTTGTTGTCGCATTGATCTGGTTCATCTATCCCTAGTGGCTTCCATTGAAGAAAAGAGATCAAAACTGAATCAGTTACAGGACCATGCAGCTTGGAAGAACAGGAGGCAATGCTAATAGACCATTGATGGTATACAACTTTTTCCACCCCTAAAAGAGTGTCTTGGACCGTCCTCTGGCACGTTATGTGCGCATTGTGGCTCCAGAATATGGAAAGGAAAAGGAGGAGACCGGAACTAAAAATGGCTCCACTCGAGCACTTTTATTTTTGTTGAACCACCTTTGAGGCTTGAGCACTATCCTCTAACTTTTTTTTTTTTTTTTTTTTTTTTTTTTTCCTCTCTTCTATTAACAGATGATGGTGTAACTTTCATGGGTGTTTCAATGAAGCATTTATCCCTTGTGGTCCTCTTGCTTCAGAACAGTACTCTGGTCCTGATGATGCGTTACTCTCGAGTCAATGTGGATCCCGATCAACCTATGTATCTTGCCTCAACGGCTGTTTTTTTCGCAGAGATCATTAAGCTCATAGCCTGTGTTGTTGTATTGGCTTATAATGCAAAGTCCGTATCTCGGGCTATGTATATCATTCGTAAGGACATCCTGGAGCAACCACGAGAAATTCTGAAAATGCTTGTCCCATCGGGTCTGTATGCTCTCCAAAACAACTTGCTTTACGTCGCTCTTTCCAACCTTGAGGCTGCAACCTTCCAAGTTACCTACCAAATGAAGATTCTTTCCACAGCTGTGTTTTCAGTCTTGATGTTGAACCGGAGATTGACAAGTCAAAAATGGTTTGCACTTTGTCTGCTTATGGTCGGAGTCACATTGGTTCAATTACAGAACGTGGGTTCTGCTCGATCTAGTGTTGTGACTGTGGATACCAAGGATGAGCTTGTGGCGGAAGATGAAATACTTGATGCAGCTGTGAGTGAGAGTATTGCCGAGGCAACTAACCAACTCAATGGGGCTGAAGAAGAGACTGGTCCTGTCCAGAACCCCTTCATTGGACTGTTGGCCGTGCTCACATCTTGTGTCTCTTCTGGATTCGCAGGATGTTACTTTGAAAAGATCCTCAAAGGCGCAGAGGCCGATATGTGGGTTCGAAATATTCAATTGGGCATTTCAGGAGCGCTCTTCAGCTTCCTCGCCATGTTTTACGATCGCCAAAAGATTTATGAGGGGGGTCTTCTTCAAGGGTATTCACTTATGACATGGGTTGTAGTTGCAAACCAAGCCTTGGGAGGACTTTTAGTTGCCATTGTCGTCAAATATGCTGACAATATTCTCAAGGGGTTTGCCACATCTCTTTCCATCATCATTTCTGGAATTATCTCGGTCTACTTTTTCGATTTTGAACCATCACTCCAATTCCAGATCGGAACAGTGGTTGTTATTCTCTCCACCTATCTCTATGGTCGTCCTGACTCTCCCATTCCTGGATTCATTCGCCCGATAAAAAAGTAAGTTTTCATTTTTATTTTATTTTATTATATTTTATTATATTTTCTATTTTTATTCCCTTCCTTGGAGTCATTATTTTGACTGTGCTGAGCAAGCTACATTCATGTGGTCATTGTTGATTCTACGCTCATATTCCTGGCTTTAATGGCGGTGACAACTCTGTTTACAAACCACAATTTTTGCTCTGTTTCTCCCACCCGTGTTTGCGGCGCTTTATTATGTTTATTAGGAGGCAGAGCATTCCGCCACCACTCAAATACCAGACATAGACGAGAAAACCACGTTTTGCTGATTAGTTTCCAAAATCTCTTTCTCTCTCTCTCTTCTTGTCTCTCTACCCTTTTTTGCCCATGATTACAGTGGACTGAATGGGTACCCTGGCGAAGAAGAAGAGGAGGATGAGGATGAAGATGCAGGAGAGGCTAGGATGTTACTTGGGAAGAAGGAAAAGGAGAGTCATTTTAGAACGAAAGGAAGACCAATTCAGGACAGAGAGGAGCATCGGCCACGGAGGACACGATCGTTTGTGGTGAACATGGATGAGAAGAAGCCACAGGAAATCTGATCAATCATGTTTTGCCTCTTTTACTTTCATGGAGGAAAAAAAAAGAAAAAAGAAAAAAAGAAAAGGAAAAAGAAGAAAAAAAAAAAAAAAAAACATTATTTTTACTTTTCAAGAACCTTGCCATTTTCATTCCTTTCGCTTTATTATGTATACCGTTTATTATTTCATTTGTTTTATCTTTTGCTCATTCGTTTTCTCGCAATCCCACATTGGCCAGCGTCTTTTTTTTTTTTTTTTTTTTTTTTATTGACCTCATAGATATATCTCATTCAAATCTTTTTTTATTTTTTCATGTCTTCTTCATAATGTATTGTACAGATATTGTTTTTTATTTTTTATTTTCTCAAATTCACTACCATCCCACTACTATGTTGATTCAACTATTCTCATAAATGACTCCGCGAAGAAAAAAGTTAAAAAAAAAATAATAAACGCTTTAAAGAGAAAAAAAAACTCCCATATCCATTTAGTTTGTTTACGCGTGTATAAATGTTCTGTATTGACGTGAGCAAAAAGAACCTGTATCATGTAGGCATAGGTTCGCATGTGTCGTGTTTTCTGAACATTCGTGTAGCATGTGCTCTTGTCCATGTACCGAGTAAGTAACTTCATATGGGACTTTTCTTGGGAAGTGGCTCACATGCACTCAGGGTAGAAAAAACGACACACGAAGAAATCTTTACAAAACATGTATACAACTGTCCAAGTTCATGTACAAACTGTATAATTTAGTCCCACACAGCAGACAGAGCAGAAAGAGCACGATTTTATTGGATGTAACGTGTGATGGGACCTGTTGGGATTTGATTGGATCATTGATCATGATCTACACAGGTACAAATGACAGGGCAGGGTTGTACGTTTTTGTTATAAACATTTATAAATATACATGTACATGTACACAAAGGTCCTGTAATGCTTCTGAGATTATACATGTATACCAATCCTAATCATTTATATAATTCTCCATTCTTGGTTTTGTATAAGAGGTCGAGAGAGAAGAGAAAAGAGCGAAAGAGAGAGAGAGAGAGAGGGTAGTTAGTGTATTAGTGTCGCAGGATTAGTGTGAAAAAGTATAAAAGTCAACGCAAAGACTTTTAACTCGAACTGAGTTCCATTTTATAGAGTGGAGTGGGCAGACATGCGCTTAATCTTCTCAATCCAATGATGATAAACACGCTTTAAAAAGTAAAAAAAAAAAAAAACACCATTTGTGTATTGTCTACATGGATTTAACATTTATACATGTACCCTATCTTCTCCACCCATCCATTTTTTTGCCCTCTTTTGCTCTTCTTCTTTTTCCCCTCTCTCTCTCTCTCTTTTTTTTTTTTTACTTCTTCTCTTCTTCAACATCCATCTCCCCTTATTCCTCCCTCCTCTCCGTCTTCTTTCCTTCTCTCAAATGGCCTCTCCAAGTAATACAAAGAGATGTTTTTTAGTTTGTTAAAAGATTTCCGTTGATCAGATATCTTGCTTCACACACTAATAATATCCGTTCGTTGGATTTTGTCTCTCCATCCCAATTGTCTGTCCTTGTCTTTGTCCGTGAATTCCCCTGTTTACCCCTTTTTTTGTGTAATAGACGTCAAAACTTTTACTCGGGCCGAGATTCTCAATGCTGATGCATTAGCTGAGGGCAAGAATGATGCTGATGCTCCATTCCTCATGATCATCGACAACAAGGTCTATGATGTTCGTGAATTCGTTCCTGATCATCCTGGTGGAAGTGTCATCCTCACTCACGTCGGAAAGGACGGCACTGGTATGTAATCCCTTCAGACCCTTTGACACAATAGACTACCAACTATTCTTCATTATATTCATTTATTCAGCACATATCCTCACAAAGTCAATATCAAGAACGAGAGCTTTGGACTGGATCTCCGAGGCGAGAGGCTTAATTCTATTTTTTATTTTTATTTTTTATTTTTTTACCCAATGGACTTTGTACATTAACAGAAGATGATATCAATGTAATTATGCTGAGTCAGAGAGGTCTGTGAGGGAGCGCAAAGTCCACTTGTCTATCTTAAGACACAGTTTCCTTCCCCCAATTCCTCGGAGTTCGTTGGCTTTTTTTTTTTTTTTTTTTTTTTCTTCGTGGGTGTGTGCTTATTTCATCAGCATTAGTAACGTGTTGGGGGGGACTATCATTCCAATGATTGTGTTTGTTAACACAGCAAAGCAAGGGGAAATGTGGCGTATGCTTCTTTCTGCAGATGCATATTGACAAATAAAAAAAAAGGCTCGTCGATTTTACCGCACCAAATATACAGCATTCACATTCACGCACACACGCGCGAATTCCTGTGCTTCTGGAAGTAAAGAGAATGTCCAATGGGTGCTTCTCCTGGGGAACTCATGAGACTAAATATGCTTTCCTTCCTTCGGCAACAGTGAACTTTAATTTTTATATCTTTTGGCGTCTTTTCCTTTTGTCCTATTCGACCTTACTCAAACAATGCATACCAACTGCTTCCTATCTTAAAGTCTATTCAAAAAAAACTGATAAGCTACTTTCAAACCTCTTTTGACCATGTTTCCCGTGTCTAGATGTCTTCGAGACTTTCCATCCCGAATCAGCCTGGGAAACACTCGCCAACTTCTATGTCGGAGACATTGATGAATCAGACCGTGCGATCAAGAACGATGACTTTGCGGCTGAGGTTCGCAAGCTTCGTGCTCTGTTCCAATCCCTGGGTTACTACGATTCTTCCAAAGCCTACTATGCCTTCAAGGTCTCGTTCAATCTCTCACTCTGGGCTCTTTCGACATTTATTGTTGCCAAATGGGGCCAAACTTCGATCCTTGCCATCATAGCCTCGGCTGCTATTCTCGGTGTGTTCTGGCAGCAGTGCGGCTGGCTTGCTCATGACTTTTTGCACCACCAGGTATTCCAGGACCGTTTCTGGGGAGATATGTTTGGAGCCTTCTTGGGCGGTGTCTGCCAAGGTTTTTCGTCCTCATGGTGGAAGGACAAGCACAACACTCACCATGCAGCACCCAATGTTCACGGCGAAGATCCCGATATTGACACTCACCCTCTGTTGACTTGGAGTGAGCACGCTCTCGAAATGTTCTCAGACGTTCCGGATGAAGAATTGACTCGTATGTGGAGTCGCTTCATGGTTTTGAACCAGACCTGGTTCTATTTCCCTATCCTCTCCTTTGCTCGTCTCTCTTGGTGCCTCCAGTCGATCCTGTTTGTGTTGCCTAATGGTCAGGCCCACAAGCCTTCTGGTGCGCGTGTTCCTATTTCGTTGCTCGAGCAGCTCTCCTTGGCTATGCACTGGACCTGGTACTTGGCCACCATGTTCTTGTTCATTAAGGATCCCGTTGGCATGATCACCTATTTCTTGGTGTCCCAGGCAGTGTGTGGTAATCTCCTGGCATTGGTCTTCTCGCTTAACCACAACGGCATGCCCGTCATCTCGAAGGAGGAGGCTGTTGACATGGACTTTTTCACCAAGCAGATCATCACCGGACGCGATGTTCGCCCTAATCTCTTCTCGAACTGGTTCACTGGAGGATTGAACTACCAAATCGAGCATCATTTGTTCCCCTCAATGCCTCGCCATAGCTTCTCCAAGATCCAGCCCGCAGTTGAAGCACTCTGCAAAAAGTATGGCGTCAGGTACCATATCACTGGTATGATCGATGGTACTGCCGAGGTCTTTGCTCGTCTGAACGAGGTCTCCAAGGCTGCCTCCAAGCTGGGCAAGTCCGCTTAAAAAAAAAAAAAAAAAAAAAAAAAAAAAGGATTCACATAGTATAGCTAGTATTAGTTCCTTTACCTTGACACATTTTCTTGAAACTTATACATTCTGCACATTCATAAACACATCTCTCTTTTTTTCTCCTCATTATTCATATCGTTCACATTACAGTTTTTTTAATTTTTTTTTTTTTTAAAAAAAAAAGTGGATGGGCTCTTATCTTAGACCCAAGGGTTAGGGTTAACAATAGCGTTATAAAGATACGTAAAGCACGAGCCATATTGCTCTTTGTATAAAAAAAAAGAGGCCAAAGGTTATTCAGATGGAATGCAACTACACCATCTATGATTTTTCCGCAAATATGATAGGATCAAATCCATGTGGTACATGATTATGCATTATTCATGCTAGAGATTTAGCATTGATTAGCTTGAGGGTGATAGTGGGTTGAAAAAAAGCGTGAGCCTTGTTTTGTTCAAGGGAAACAATTGTGCGCCCTTTTTTTTTTTTTTTTTTTTTCAATGTTGCATGCATGAAATTACTCGACATAATCCAACACTGTTTGTCCATTCGCCGCTCATATCCAGTCAAACAATAATAAAGAACTCTTTTTTTTTTTTTTTTTTTTTTTTTTTTTTTTAAAGACATATTTTTATTTGTTAGAATTATTATATAATATTACTATTATTATTTCTTTTGTTGTTGGGCCGCAAGCTGCTGCAATGCTGTCTGCGTTTGAACAAGCTCGACCCTTTTCTTTTCAGTCTTCTCTTGGAGATCCTTTAGCTGCTTCTCAACACGATCACTACGCAGGAAAAAAAATAAAATAAAAAAAAAATATTTGCATCAATATACAAACAACGTAAGACGTTGTTACAATGCAATCAATGCATTATGCCGCGGAGTGCGGACGGAAAAAAGAAAAAAAAAAAGGAAGTGTTGATCATCCCATCCTCTGCAATTTTTTTTTTTTTTTTTTTTTTTTCCTCTCTTATCTTGTTATTTCCAACTGATCAAAATAATAATAATAATAATAATAAAAAGATATGATAAAGAACTAATGTTGAGATAATAGCACGTGCAAGAGGTGATCGGGTCAAATTTTTTGTTGCTGTCATTACTAAGAAGGAAAAAAAAAAAAAAAAAAAAAAAAAAAAAAAAAAAAAAAGGCTGGAAAGGAAAATGATGAAAAGGGAAGCTTCTTACATTTCAGCCTTGATAAATTCAATACGCTTATCAACATTCGTGACAGCTTCAGCCTTATCCTGCTTAACAAGTACAGGACCAATTAATTTATAGATGTTGGCATCATCCTTCAGAACCTTGAACTCATCCTGCACAAGCTTGTTCTCCTGTAGCTGAGAATCCAATTTCTGCCTTGACTCGACTGCCTTGGTGTAATCTTTATGAATTTAATGAATAGACAAAAAAATAAAATAATTAAAATAAAATATAATAAAATGTCTATTTTATCACTTGGGAAATAACAATAAAAATACAATTAAAAAAAAAAACACCATTAGGAGCGCAGACATTCCCTTTTCCATAAAAAAAAAAAAAAAAAAAAAAGCGCGTCCTAATGTCTTCTCTCCTATCTTAAAGAAAAAAAAACCTCCTCTTCTCCTGCTCTTATCCCTCTTATCCTCCTGTATTCATGAATGATGAACACTGGTTCATTATCAAATTTCTGTATTTGATCCATGAAAAATCCTATTCTTTCTTGCTTTTTCCCCTTCACGTGGTGTACTGTTGCTGTTACTGTTGTTGTTGCGGTTACAATGTTTTTCGCTATTATATACCTTTTTGCAATGTCTGGTATGCAGTCGAGTCAGTCTCAAGTTTCTTCTGCAATGTTGCTAATGTGGACATGATGGAGAGTTGCCTTTATTCTTTCAAATAACAGAACAAAATTAAGATGATCTTGTTTCCTCCTTGATTCTAACAAAGATCTGATCCCGTGATATTGAACATGTTATTAAATAAACGTCCGGAATTTCTGAACGTCACACTTTTTTTTTTTTTTTTTTATACGACCTTGCTCAGTCCAAAAACGCGTTAAATGGAGCGTTTGAGCTCTTTTTTTTCTTTGATAAACGTGTAGTGCGGGCGACATCCTTGATAATTGCAAGAGAATAAAAAAAAACATACCCATGAAATTGGTGTGCTGCAGTTATACTTTAGGGCTACTTTGACAAGCATTAAAATCGTAGGCATTAAATAAAAAAAAAAAAAAAAATGGTTATAAATATCTTTAATGCTTTCTATCTTCTGGTACAAACTTATTGAAAACTATTTGTTCACACAGACACTATCCCTTGTCTTTAGTGCTTCCTGGGCGTGGGTGGGCTATTTGAGAAATGAAAACAGACAAAATATCAACATTATGTTCAAAGCATCATCCTTCATTCTGCTTCAATATATATACAAAAGAATAAAAGTGAAGTGAATTCAGGTTCTTACTTGTAAAGAATCTTGCGAGTCTTGAGAGCAGCCCACTTGTGCCTCTTCAAATAAATGGAGAGACCAGTCAAAATGGTCAATAAGGTCAAAGCTTTCATACCCATCTTCTTGCGCTCATCCATCTCAGGCTCAGCAGCCCAACTGAGAAAGACTGTAACATCTTTGGCCATCTGTGAGGTGGTGGCAGGAGTTCCGTCCTCATATTCGACCAAACCATCGTACAAAACGCGAGCCATACCAATGGCTCCTCCAGGGAAGTAAGGGTTGAAGTTCAAACCTTCACGAATCTCAATACCTGCTGGGGGGTCCTGATATCCAGTCAAAAGGGAGAACACGTAATCCTATTGGTTTTTTTTTTTTTTTTTTTTTTTTTTTTTGAAGCGTATAAATAGATGCACGATTTTCCTTCAAGTAGCATGAGGAAGCTTTGCTTGTTGATTTACGAAAAAAAAAAAAAAAAAAAAAAAAAAAGACTGCACACTTACGGCACCACCATGGCGGGCCTTGATCATCAATGAAAGATCTGGAGGAAGAGCGCCGGCGTTGCCAGCACGAGCCTGCTCTTCGTTGGCATAGGGGCGAGGCATGTAATCTGAAAGTTTTCCGGGACGTTGAAACATGTCTCCAACATCATTGGGCCCATCAGTATATTCATTCTCCTCAGCCATGGCCTTGACCTCGGCCTCAGTGTGAGAGACACCGACCAAGTTGCGCCAGGCAATACGGTCAAGAGAGTGGCAGGCAGCGCAAACCTCCTTATAGACTTGATAACCACGGCGGATACTAATGGTCGTAATAATATAGTAAAACATAGTAACATCAGTAATCGAGCCTGATGATGTACATTGTTATGTAATCCCTCTAAGGGTAAGTGTTGATTCACGTCTTTTTCCAGCTTTGTAAAGATCCCACGTAATAGAAAAGTTGATTGATGTAGAAATTTCATGTCCGCTCTATATGTCTTTCACAGTTTATGATTGAGAAAGTGGTTATCCCAAATGGTGAAGTTAATATTTCTCCATTGACAATATGAAAAACATGAACTTCCGCGTTTATGGGCATAATTCACTCTGGATCTCAAAAGAATGCTGTTTCTAATCATAGGGCGGTAGCAGATAAATGACTGTTGTCTCTTACGCGGCATGATCAAATGTAGCGAGGTTCTTCTTGTGCTCCCAAGGGTAAGCCGGAGGATGGAGACCATCGGCAAGCATATTAGCATCGACAGATTCCATCGACAGATAAGCAAGAGCACCAGCAGTAGCGAGACCGGCGGCAGCCATTGACATGTTCTTGGCATTCTAGGATAAAATCCATTAGAGGACATTCAATTAGGCGTTTCTCTTTCCAAAGCTACAGCGAGCACACTGTAATGTCGATCTAAAATTATCTGATATTGTGCTTTAAACTCAATGAATACCAGAGAAGGAGTGGCAGAAGAGCTAGTAGACTGGTAGCGAGCCTGGATTCGAGAAGAAGAAAGAAGAATTGGAGGCGAAATGTTAATGTTGGTAAATGGTATGAATGTACGCACATCCATAGAAGAATACAAGATCCATTTTGGAACTGTGTTCCATTTTCCAGTCATTTTGTGAGGGGATTCAGATGCGTCTCGATCCGGTCATTGAACATTACAAAAACGGACACGTTCCTTGGGATTGTAGACATGAAGGTTGTTTATAAGGAAGGGAAGGAATAAGAATAAGCTGATGTACCTGAACAGCGAGGCGCTGGACGGCCTTGCGGGTAGTCTGAGCGGAAAGCCGGAACATTGTGTATATGGGGTTGACAACGGTCCGGAAATACTGTTGTGAAAAAAGAGATAGTGCTGTAGTCTGATATTCTTCCTCGCCAAAGAAATAAAAGAAGACAGAGAAATGGAGAACAAGAAAAAAGGAGGAATAGAAAACAGATTAAATGTGATCTATTCTTTTGGCTCATTTCGCACATTAACACAATTGCTCGGAAAACTCAACTTTCTCCGAAATGACTAGGAAGTAATGAAGTACAGTACAAATCTTGGCCGAATGACGTCGACAAAATGATGCATGGTAATAAGGGGGAAAAAAATAATGCTTTTTATTTTGAGTATTATACAAATGTAAGATGATGGAGATTGAAGTAACTGAACTAGGCTGATGATATGTATCTGCCTCACACTTGATCGACCCATTGAACCCGACGTTGTCTTGATGGAGCTTGACTCATAGTGGACGATATTGAGGTTGTAGAAGACCTGGATTCAGTCCTTGACATACTCTGGGGATCAAATCCGTCTTGAAGATTGCAAGCACGACAGTCATGTATCAACGAGCCAGAGGATGTTGTGCTGCTATAGCTGCCACGTCTGGCATAGATTCCAGTATTTGGAAGGGCGTCTTCAATATCGTCACTTGATGTTCTTGAGAACGGACAGTCTTTAATCAAGATGGATGATGGTGTTATCGATGGGGAAGGTAAGATGGGTTTCTTGGAGAGGTGTCTGTCAAAGACAATGTAGAGAGAAGTCGCTGTCATTGTTACTTGTTTTTTATAGTTTGTTGAGAGTAATCTGTAGAAGTGTGGTCCTTTTTGATGTCTTTAGTTTGTTGGTAAGGGGTAAAGGAAGAAAATGAAGAAAGATGGATCGGCCTTTTTATATCTGATTTTAGCGGAATATAAAAATAGGAGTCGATCGATTTGTAAAAAAGGAACAATTGTCTTGGCCAAGGCTGAAGGGCAAAGCGTTCTAATTGCACATGTATCAAATGTATCAAGCACAAAGTCGACTTGCAGAACAGCCACACTTACATTTGTCCACATTGTTAGACATAAAACGCATAATAGCGAGATGGAATTATTTTTCCTTTCCTTATTTGTCTTATTTGGCTGCGTACGCCATTAAAAAAATAAGTAAAAAAAGCTTAGTGCACATTGCCACAAAATTCGCACTTGCACCGCAGCAGCGAAACTAGAATATAAGTTATTTATTATACACACCGAGAACTACATCTCTGATACTACGATTTCTTTTTGTTTTCTCCAAAATGTCCATCGTCTAGACAGCTCCGCAGCTTCACCTAGATCGTAAAGTTGTATTGGTACTCTGATTCTGTGTTTACTGTGATCCATAGCAAAGCGGCACTGTACACGATAAACAAAGCATTAGTACTAGAAATGAGTATTGATATAAAGATCAAATCGGACCCCTCTTTTCTCTTTTACCTTATCATAATGAGGGAATTCTGGACTACGTTACAGATGCCCCAATACGCGAATGGATCACCATAGTCAGGAATGAGGTATTTTATACACATCACGCTCTAGTAGAGCATGAATCACAAATATCAGACACATTGATCAATAACAGGTTGAGTGTGAGATCATAGGGCATACAAACCTAGTTGTTCACGGACGACTACTTACAATAGATCCTGCAAGGCCCCCAGCCATGAAAGCAAAACCAATAAACAAAAAGAGCCTGGCAGCCCAGGCTACGCTTATGCCACCAGTGTTCGAGAAAGAAAATGAATCACCTCGAAGAGACTCCTTGTCAACACAATTGATGCTATACAGCGACAAAGGGTGTATGAACGAGACAGATCCATGTGTTCAATAAGATGAGAAAATTGCAGGAGTAGAGATCATGAGCCATTTACTTTCTTTTCAACATACATGATCATGCCCAGGGCACTGCAAATACCAGGGACCCAATCGACAAACTCCACTGATACTTTCTTCTCATTGTTAGTTTCGTCAAAATGCTTAGAGAGTACGCATGCGTCGATAAAGAACCACCAACCGAGCGCAAACTACCAATAGATGTAAAGACGAAGCATAAGATACATTATATTGAAGATATGGCAGCTTGGATCCTCGCACTTAGCGATAATACATAATCAATGCCTAGCCTACCAGAGCCCCAGATATGTAAACTCCAGCCTCGCGTGCCTTGGCTCTGAGTTGCGGGATGCTTGGAAGAGGGATCAGGCAAATGCGAGCCCGTCTGTCTTCTAAACCCCATTGTGCCATGATGTATGTTGATTCGTTTAGGAATGAGGTAAAAAAAAAAAAAAAAAAAAAAAGTAATGATGATGCAAGATGGCTGAGAAAGTAAAGAATCAGGAGCTAAAGGTGGAGTTGCGAAAGAGATTTTTTACTTTGTCTCACAGAGGCGTTGCAGCATGGTCTACAGACATTGACCAAGGTGCTGTCGACGCGCCTATGGTCAAGAATTATACTTTTAAGGGGTCCATCTCAACTATCGACTGAAATAGAAATATCGCTGGGGTTTCATAATGGAAGCATGGCATTGAAAAGACCTAAAAGGTGGAATATGGTACATGTTATCGCAAGTCGTGACGCGTCCTCTTAGCGAATGCCTAGAAGGAATCCAGACAAAGGCGTATCAAAAATGACATGGCCCAATGTGATTCTCTGTTTGTAAACCATGAACGTTTGACAGACATTGCTCAAATTGTCCTGGTTCCCATGCTAGTTATCATGTGACATGACGTGACTTTGTTTTCATGCTTTTTAATCTTTTTCTTGGTTCCCGTACATTCTATCTCAAACATTCTCACCTTTCTTATTGTGCGTTTATCCAAGCCGGGAAAAAGAAGAAAGAAATAGATTCCGCCAGATATCACCTCAAAGGGATTTGGATAACCGAGACATGGCAATGGATGATGATGGCGACTACCAAAGCTTTCGATCTGGCGATCAGGTGGTTCGTATCCGTACAGCCGTCCATCCGACATTAGGTCATCGGTTTATTATCTGGAACGACATCACACATTGCTTTCCAGGGGTGATCCGTATTCAACACGGTGATATTTTTGTATCTCTGATCAGGGATGAGCGACTCTATCGGTAAGGGGGATAAATTTTAAGAATTTGCCTTGTATTTTATTTATTATCTCATTGTTTTTATTTAAAGTAAGAGTGTGTTTAGACATGCCATCTCGTTTCGGTTAACAAACGTTTACCTATTATATATTTGCTTTGGTATACTGTTGATTTACATGCAACTGATCGTCTAATTGGACTATTTTTTTGAATCTTACATAGAGTCAGGCCGCATGGAATAAAGTATCACCCGGGTGTTCTGCTGGATGTTATTTATGGGCAAACATCCCTCTCAACAAATCAATTCCTCTCTACGGAGTCAAAGTCATCACTCATTCGCAACTATACGCCATTCTCATTTTCAAGCTCAACAGCTGAGGCGGATCAGGGTTCTGATTTTGACGAGGATGCATTATCGAACGTGACGACAGCTGCTGCCATGAATAAACTGACGACGACAACAGTCTCCAATGATCTACTCACTGCACCTAATACCTTCGACTTACAAGCTCAATCCTCAGCGGCCACAGTTAGATTGTCTGATACCCTAGCCGCTGAAGAAGCTTACCGGCCAGCTATTACAGTTAATGATCCCGATCCTGTCATGACCCCCTCGGCCAGCGAACCCTCAACGCCAACGCTCAAGCCCAACGCTACTGCTCCTATGACAAAAGTTATTATCAACGATACCAATCAAAGCGGCGATACAAAGAATTGTTCCTTGGATAAGTCATCTGATTATGAACACCTAAGGGTCTCCTTACCAGAGGAAGTTTACAATCTCCTTGAGCCTATATTTAGAGCATTGCGAGAAGTCGACGCCGCTATGGATATTATTTCAAGTGGTGTACTGGGTGCTGTAGAGAAAGAGACTTTGCTTGAAGCGCAGGTGCTGGCCCATACTCGCCTAAAGACCATGGTGGACAAAATGGTAGCGGCCTACGGCAGCGTAGCTCATGAAAAGATTCTGCCCGAAAGCAAAGAGGAACAAAAAAGAGAACAGAATTCCCGACAAGAACAAAAATCAGGAAAAGGACAAGTGCGGTTGAAGTTGTTAAAGCAGCTGCAGCCAAATTTAAGGGCACAGATTTCACATCTCGAGCACCAGACTAGTGCATCACCACGACCTTTGAAATTGGAGTCGGAACTGACGCTGGTTCGGACATCAGCCAATGATCCAATTCTCTCAAGTCCCGAAATTAAGCAAAAATCCTCAGCGATGAAGGCGGACATGAATGAAATTAATTCTCAATCCCAAGCTCTAGATCAAGGGCGGCCATCATCAGTTGACAGAGAAGAGCAACCAATGATGGACTCGAATCAAGGATCGGCCATTCAGCAGCAACAAGAGTCAGTAGTAGGACAGGATCAGGATCCATCGCTAATTGCATCAACAACCAGTACAATAGCAACCTCAACAACCGTTAACAGCTCATGGGCTATACAATCCGAAGGACTTAAGAAGGAGATCACCAGACTGGCTGCCATGAAACAACGAGCCAATGACCGATTGGAATTCAGATTGCGAAAGGGAACGCTGACGTCGGATGACAAAGCGGTCGCAGATGAAAGGGAAGGTATCGAATTAGAATTAGAGTTAATCGAGGAGAAGCAGCGGAAACTTTTTGGGCAACTCTATCAGATCCGCCAGAAGCGAATGTGGGGAACAACTTCAACTTTCCCCTCAGAGAATGGAGGCACGTGTGAGCAGGATTCGCCAAAGTGTGAGCAACAAAATCAGAAAGAAACCAACGATCCAGCTGAAGAGGAACCAGGGGATGACAGAAAGGGCAGCAACTCCACCCTGAAAACTCCGATTAGGACGAAAGAGATGATATTCGAGCAAGGGCGCGCATCGCTCACAATGTCAGCTTTTGAGGTTCAAAGGACACACGGCGCTTATAGCCATTGTTCATCATGGGAAGAAAGAGCTAGGAGCATTGAGAAGGCTGTCCAAGCAATGTGGACTGAGGAGGGAGGCTTACCTATCTGTCACCTGAGCATCGTAGATGTTGTTGCTCATAGAGGGAAAGATATTCTGGCTCAACGCTACGGTTGGCTTGATAGCCCATGTCCTCATCTATTTGTCTTACTGCCGTGCTCAGATGATTATAGTGATCGCACTACAAAGACGGCTTTGAAATGGCAAGACTTTATGGTCTGCTTCCTCTGCGAATGTGGCGATCTTCCTTGCAAGGTCGACAATGTGACCATGCCTTGTTCCAATAGGCGCGATGGAAATGCAGACACATGTCTTTGCCTTCCTCACATAGATTTCGACAATATTGGTCACACACTTTCAAAGGACGCTAAAGAACTTGGTCCTCATATGATGGCTGTCCTTGAGATGCTTCTGTATGGGGTTACGATCGAAGGTGCTGTCAAGATGGCGCCAATCGAGGATAATGATGAGCGCAAGAAAATCATGTTATCGATTCAATTCTTGATGGAGCAGGGTGTAGAGACTAGTCATCAGTTAATTAGTAGAGGTTATACGTCCCTGAATGACATTCAAGTCATTGCACCCCTGACAGGAGCACAATTAACAGATTTCTACCGAACAGGAGGCCTCTCTCTTCGTCGGCCGATACCTGACTTTTCTGCTTTCAGATCATTGGAGGGTGACCTGCGCTGGTTGTGTTATAAACATTATCATATGCACAAACCATTAGCCGCACAAAAGCTCCTATCTCAATTCAAAGATCATCCAGACTCAAAGCTATGTTGCCTTCATGTTGGGTTAGGCTCACTTGTCGCCACGATCAGGACGAGGGAGCGTGCAAAGGAGTTCTTTGACATAGTTCAGCAAATGGTTGCAATACCTGCTGTTTCGGTTTTCTTGGATTGGGACTTTACGACGATGGATGTCTTGGATCTATTGGGTAGGATTCCTTCACTCTCAGTATCTTGTCTCAAGATTTATATCCGTGAGCACGATTTTCAGGAGAAAGATGAAATCTTTGGGCACCGATACCACTATCTCATCCTGGTGGCAATCAAGAACAAGAACATACAGGCGTGTGCAATCGAGCGTCGTGCTGCAGGAGGTGAGAACACGGACACAGTAGACGAATTATTTACATATAAAGGTGTAATGTACCTTGACCCTATTGTAGCCTGGTTCACTCGGGAGTCAATGTCACCTAAAGTTCAGCTTGGTATTTTGGTCGCGGATCTAAGCAGCGCTGCCAATGCGATTCGGATGGGCTTACGAGGATTTCATACGTTATCTAAACTCACGTTGGAGGCCTCCTATTGGGACCACATTCACATTGAGTTTGGTCAAGAAAAGACAAAAGGAGACGATGCTAAAGAAGAATCGGAAGAAGAAGAGGAGGATGAGAACTACGCGACCGAGAGTCAGGTGAATTTTTTCAATAGGCGACAGAATGATGCTATCACTGTGAGAACGTATCACTCGGGTAATAACGAGTACTTGTTGACCCACGCGTTGAAGGAGGTTAATATTCGGATCTCATTTCCTGAAGATGGACCACGCATCCGAGAGCTGATTAAGAACAACAAAAGATTAAAAATGCTGGAGCTTGTGATCGCCTGCAAAGACGATCCATGCCAAGTGTTTGAATACTTCAAAGCTCTCATGCACAACCACCCAAGTATGGAATCATTACATCTTTGCAAGGATTGGGGCAAGACCAACAAGTCAACATTTGTTTGGTACGGTGTCTCTGACAGATCCAAAATGACGCTTTCGATCATGAGCTATCTGGAGGACAAGATTGGGCCTCTCTTGCAAAAGTTTGGCGCTTGTCTGCTACAACTATTTATCAACAACATCAATGCTACAGATGCTGCTATCCTTGAAAAAGTCACTCGGTCAAGGAAGGGTCAGCTCAAGCTAGCAACTATTGCGCTTGTGGACCTATTTACGATTGCTACGTCCTCATTAGATGAACTCGCCAAGGTGGTATTACGGACGCCGTTGCAGCAGTTCCGACTCACAGGGACAGTTATCTCAAAGAATGCGACTCGTGTCAGCGAGTTCATGGCCAAGGTTGCGACCAAGATTACAGAAATTCATTTCTATGGTGAGTCTACGAAGGCGGTCCTTACAGAATTGGAAAAACGCATGCCTGAGTCCTCCAATATGGTGTTACTCCAAGAACTGAGGCTCAGTGGGCCATTTGCGGCAGCAACGAAGGATCTGACCTGGACTCGGTCGCTTCTGAATAAAACTCAACAACCACTCAAGACTATTGAACTACATAAAGTCAATCTCAGCCACCAAGGCTGGATGACACTGGCGCAGGAAATTGACTTTAAGCGACTCAAATATCTTCGGATTGGTCCTGATACCCCTATGAAAAATGAAGCCATCAGAGCATTTGTCATGGCTGTACCGTTGGAAAGTGAACTGGAGAACTTTCATCTAGATAGTGATGGGTTGCCAAAAGCGTATGGCCTAGCGTACAAGAACATCTTGATGCCGCAGTTAAAGAAAAAGACGGCACTAGTGAGCATTGGGAGACATTTTTAGATCGAGAGAAGAATAAAATAAAAATATGGATAAAAAAAAAAGGTCGAGTAGCGATTGTTTTGAAATTAAAGTAATCCAATTGATTGATAAACGGCGCGGCTAATTTTTTTTTTTTTTTTTTTTTTTTTTTTTTTCGTTTTCAGACTCATATCCTCGAATTCAAATGCCTATTTGAATATATGAATATCTTCTTGTGTTTGTAAGCACGATCAAAATTCGCTAATTCCGAGACTATCGCAAGCATCAACTCATCTTGGCATATAGTGACCTAGAACGAGATTTTTTTTATCCTTTTTGCCATCCAAGAGCTTCATTACGTGGCGAACGATAATACTGAATGTAAGATGATGAATACAGATTTTCGTTGCCAAACAGGGGTTTATTGTTCCTCTTATTTCTTTAGTGAAAAGTAAGGAAACTGAAAGCGCAGCTTATTTTTCAAGTCAAAGAGTGATGTGGATGGGCTACATTCATCGAAATGGCTTTGGCTATGGGGCGGCCTGGGAAGATTTCAAAAGCTTTGAGGGCTATCTCCTGACTACATATCCCAATACAAGGAATTGGACGTCATGATAATTTCATCCATCCAGGATTAAGCATATTTTTCGAGTACTTTCCTAGGGTGATAATCCTAAGCCCCCAAGGACACCGTCCTTTAGAAAAGCTTCGGATAGTGAGTTCAAAGTGAGCTTCACTAAAGTCCAAGGTTTGGAGTATTGATGCGATTCGACACACTTTCGCGCATATGGATCGCATAAAGAAAGACTACCTACTAGTCTCCATAGGGCCGCTACCCGGAATTAAGCTGTGGCGATTCAGTAAAAAAAGAATCCATATTTCAATTATGGACGTGCTCCAGTCACCCTCGAACTCTAATTTTTATGCTCAAGACGAGTGTGCCCAGAGACCCTAGGCTTTACGGAAATAATGATTCTTTATTGGAAGATTATTCCAAGGAAATAACGCAATTGATCATGTGATAGAGTGGCTTGACTATGGACAATGATATGCATCTATTGCCAGTGAAGTGTGTGGTTACATTTCTCCTACATTTTTTGTCTTGTTTTCATTTTGACATCAATTCTGTCTTCTCTGCTAGTACCTTCGTGAGCTCAGCGATCATTCTTTTTCATCGCTGACTGTACTTAGAGAAACACCACTCTTCAACATTGCAAATTGTCAGACTCTCGTCGGAAACAGTTGATCTCTTAACCGTAGTTTTAAGGAAAAACAACTGCAGGGCTACGCGACCGAACGAAGATCTTCACAACCTAATTTCCAAAAGAATCCTAGAACACAATCATGCATCTCGACGATGCCGCTCACGATGATTTGAAGGCCCACCTTACTAAGGAGCTGACCCTTATGTATGCTAGACACTCATCCCAAAGCTGCCATGGGCACTCTTTTTCATTGCAATCCTCTTTGTCAAATGGCTAATCGGTTTTTACGTTATCAATGATTAAATCTTAGCTCGGACGCTGATCCTTCCATGTTGGCGGACTACATTATTGCTCTTCTTAAGCATGATAAGAATAATGCTGAGCTTCAGGCTCTGTGTATCTCACAACTTGAGGATTTTTTGACCAATGGTAAGCTACTTGTTCAGGTCTTAGATTATGAATGTTGTAGAGGCTACACGCTGCAGATATACCCCGAACTAGTAGCATGATTTTGACGGACCTTCTTCGCGTTCTTATTGCAATTAAATCTTATCAGAAACGGAACGCTTTGTAACTTCACTCTTCCAGGTGTTGGAGTCCAAATCATACATCCGAGGAACCACAGCATTGGCAGAAGCCACATCACCATCAAAAGGCACTACAGCTACTTCCTCAGCTTTACCAGGTGGAGCTGCCATTTATGACGATGAATACATCCCTACTGGGCCTGCTGCTGACCGTGACAATTATGAGATCCCGTCTTCACGTGGTCCTGAAAAGCACCATCGTGGAGACAGTGACGTCTCGGATGACGAGGATCGGAGTTTTAAGCATGCTCGCCGTGATGATGGCCGCGACTCTGATCGCCGACGCCGAGAATACAGTCCCTCTCGTCCAAGCGACGATGATCGGTATAGCACAAGACGTGGTCGTTCAAGCGATGGAGGGAATCCTAATGGACACTCCGATTATGATCGTCGTGGTGGAGATCGCAGCATAAGACAGCATGGCTTGACAACCGCAGGGTTCAATAGCCGTAATAACTTTAATGGAATGAATAACAATAATAATCAACCCGGCTTTAATCATAATGCCGAGCGCCAACAATGGAACGGACAGCAGTACAATCGAGGCAACTTTGACAATGGTCCTCGTGGAAATTTCGATAATGGTCCCCGTGGCACTTTCCAAGAGCAGAACCAAGGGCCGTGGCGGGGAGGCGACAACATGCGTGGAGGACGAGGTAGTGCTCAAGGAGGGCCGGGATTTGGGCAGGAGAGGAGACGCCAAAGGTGTCGCGACTATGATGGTACGTTATTTGTAATATATCGCATTGTAGTGATATATATATGTACGATCATTAGGATTAGTATTTTGATTTTATTTCTTTATTAACATTATTCTTGCTTCTATTTCTTGTTTCTAGAAAAGGGATACTGTATGCGGGGAGATATGTGTCCGTATGATCATGGCGAAGATAGGATCGTTGTTGGTGATATGCCTGGAGGACCTTTCAATATCCTTGGAATGGCTCCAGGTATAGGGCCCAATAATCAAATGAGTGTGGGAGGCGGCCATCCTCCATTCTTTCCTGATCCACTCCATAATGCGCCTATACCTAACCCATCAGATGCATACAACCCTGAAGTTTCATCACTATCCACAGATGATTTGGGTCTTTTGAGACCAGCTCTTGAGCCTCCACAGCAAGGCACACAAGAGGGAGCTCGCTACAACCAAGAAGCATCGGGTCGTGGAAATATACGTGGTCGTGGCAGTCTGAGAGGCATGCGTGGTCGTGGTCGAAGTAGTGGCTCGCACCCCTATTCTACTCCTGGGCGTTTCAATGGTGCATCAAATACAGCAACAACCAAAACATCACTTGTAGTGGAGCATATCCCTGATGAGTTTAACACAATTGACAAAGTGAACGAGTTTTTCAAACGGTTTGGAAATCTGACCAATATTCAGGTTGATCAGCCAATGCATAAGGCTCTGATTCAGTATAGCACACGGGAAGAGGCTAGTGCTGCATATAATTCTCCAGATGTGATATTTGGAAACCGTTTTGTTAAAGTCTATTGGCAGCCTGATGATCTAGATTCAGCAACCTTTGGGCGTCAGCCTAAACCTGCAGGGCAAGTTCGACCTGAGACAAATGCTAGCGCAAGTCATACATCCCATCATGGCCAGCATGCAGCATCCAAAGCGCCCCCAACTAGCGTCCTTATGACCCCAGAGCGCGCTGCAGAGTTAGCAGCAGAGCGTGCAGCAAAAGCAGCTAAAGCGGATGAGAACAAAAAGGCAATGATGGAGATTCAACGCCAGAGGGAAGCACTCATCCAACGCCAGCAAGAAGAGCAAAAGGTGTTATTGGCAAAAATCATTGCAAACAAGAATATGTCTGAGGAGGACAAGAATGAAATTTTGAAGGGATTGAAGAATGTAGCGATTGAAGTCACTAAAGAACCTGTGGATCCTCTGGAGAAGGCTCGCGCTGCTGCTGCTGCTGCTGAGGCACAGCGACAAGCCGAGCTTCAGAAAGAAGCCGAAAAGAAGGAAAGAGAAAGACTTGATCGAGAGCTGGAGGCCCTGAATGCCAAACCCACTGCTTCTACGACAACCAACTCAGCTGCATCTGAATCCAGCTCAGATGCGACAGAGACCACGGCCGCGTTGAAGGCGAAACTTGCAGCACTACAAGCCCAGGTATATGGTCAGCTCTTGAATTATATACACCTATCATAAAATCAACTTAATAGTAACTTTTTTTTTTTTTTTTTTTTTTACTAGGCTGCTGCATTAGGTCTGGAAAATCAAGGAGGATATGCTAGTAGAGGTCGTGGTGGCTTCCTCCCACGTGGCCGCGGTCGGGGAGCACCCTCAAATACTTGGACGCGAGGTGGATCCCACAACCGTACATTTAGGATTGATAATCGATCTACAAAGCTGTCTGTTAGTAACATCGAAGAGGCTTCTAAGGAAGGCCTTAAAGAGCATTTTGAGGTGAATATCTTTGACACTATTACTTTTTCTCCAGAGACACTATTGGGATGTGGCGAGTTGAATTACAATGGTTGTTTATAAATAATTTCTCACACCCATTATAGGCGTTTGGCGAAATTGAATCTTTTACATTGGGGGCTGATGGCACATCAGCAACTGTTCAGTACAAGACCCGCGTGGAGGCTGAAAAGGCGATGCAACATGGCAGCCAAGTGCCTAACGCTACTAGTCCGTTAAAACTTGGATGGATCTCTGAGCCTCAGACGACACCAGTAGCAACATCAACATCTACTTTCAAATCCCCAGGCTTTGGGACTACTAGCGGTGCAAACATAACACCAGCAGCAACAGCACCAGGCGGTGCTGTTACAACAGCAGCCGAAGCAGGATACGAGAGTGAAGATGACCAAGACGAGCGTTCATGGAAGCGATAGACAAGATTACTCGTGCTGCAGTCATTGACACATATTTTCATACAAAGGCGTATACAGATTCACATGCATTTATTTTTTTTTTTTCTTCAAGATGTAATTGTTATTATAATCGTTATCTTTTTTTTTCTTTTTCTTTTCTTTTCTTTTTTTCTTTTCTTTTTTTTTTTTTTTTTTTAGTTTTTTATCGTCACAATTTTCTTTTTTTTCCTCTCCTCTCTCTGCTTTTAATTTTAAATATTAAAGAGACCATGGGGAAAAGGTTGTAAGGGTAGCAAAAGTACCAAAGGCTGATACCATTATATAATGTTTCTATAAGACTGTGCTGTTTCTACCGAAGACTGTTTGGATGCAAGCTCTGATCAAATTGATCATATGGGCAGCAATGATAGTGATTGATGAACTATCAAGTTGTGTCTCATGCTATTTTGTATGCGCGCTGAGATTATGATGTAGCGACATCGTATCTTTTTATTGAATTGGATCTGTGAAATGTTACTAGGACGTCAGTATATAGTCCGTCCCATTAAAAAACGAGACATTCCATCTATTGTAAAAAGAAGAAATGTATTAGAACACAGAAATAAATAAATAAATAAATAAATTAACCAAGAAAAAAAAGTATTATCAAGCCAATACTTACAATTTTTTTAAGACGGAGGCCTTTCTGGACCTAGTCATGTTTGTAGTAGATTGTGTCCTACTGTTGTTGCCGGCTTGTCTCTCCCCCTCCTCCTGGACCCAGCAAAGGTCCTTTCGGTGGTCTTGATCCCTCTACTCCTCCTCCTCCTTCATCTGAAAATTTCCTTTTTGTGGGTCTGCTACTACCACCACCACTGCCACCACTGCCACCACTACCTCCACCGTCGCCACTACCGCTAGAAGCTTGGCCTTCAGTTCCTCCGTCCGGCGGCATATATTTTGCAGGTCGTTTTTGCTCTCTTATCTGCGACTCACAGACCCTTGCGATGTTCTCAGCACCAACAGCATCTCGATCAAAGTATGCTTTACAATTTCGACAGTACTTGGATCGAAAAGGAACATTCTCCAATATACTGTCGCAGTGAGGCCGTGGACACTTGGCAGATGTGTAGTATTCATGACAACCTGCAATGGGGTAGTCTAGAGATTTTGCCTGTTCGAGCCAGATTTAATACTCGTTAAAAAAAAGACTCAAAAATTAAATGTCATTGATCAAAGGATTTTTTTTTACCTTTTCAACAAGCTTCTTCATCAATATCCCATGCTTCGATACTTGTCCTCGGTTTGTCTTGAATGATCCTAGTCCAATACAGATCATTGCATTCGTATTGGCATCTCTTCTTCTTCCATTGCTTCCGCCCGCAAGCTTCAGAATTGCCTTGATCACATAATCAACGCATCCGTTCTGTGCTTTTCTATTATCCCAGCTATTCCGAACAAACCATCCATCATTATAGAAATCGACAAGCGCCCTATATATAGTCTTCCTATTGTCGCCACTGGTCCCAGATCCATTGCTACTACTCACCTCAACTCCACTGTTACTACCGGTCCCTGTTCCACTGCTACTACTGGCCCCAGCTCCACTGCTACTACAGGTCCCAGCTCCACTACCAGAGAAACTACCTCCAGTACTTGATGGAGCTTGATTTGGCAGCAAGCTCATATAAGCGAAATACTGTGTTAAAGTAGGCCTTGAGAATGACGGAATATTGCTTTCAATCTCTGTAATTCCTTTTCTAAGCTTTCGCCTCTCTAGCTCGCCCTGAAACTTCTTGGATGGTTTGTAAAGGCACGCTCTAGAAATCCGGAGGATCTCACGTTCGTTAGGTTTCCTTGGATCCAACTTTGCAATTTTCATCGAGTACCTCTCGCCTGGATCGGTCCCAATGATAATGGTACTTTCGGGGGGAGGGCATGCTGCCTGGGTGTCATATTTAACTTCTACATTCTCGAGGAGACGGGATCTCTGCTTCCAGTTGATCTCACGCCGGGGACTGGGACTCACCGGGAACAGTGGATTTGTGCTCGATGTACCTTCTTCAGCTGCTTTTTCTCCCTCGTCGCCATCTAAGAATGGTTCATCAACTTCCAGCAAGTCAATATCGCTGATACCTAGCAAGATATCGTCATCTTCATTTCCGTCGTCGTCTCCATCATCACCACCATCACCTGCACCATGGCCTGAAGACGAGGATCCCTGCTGAGCACTTGAAGAAGCCTGGACTGCTTAAGATCTTTGAGTATCCGAAGGTTGGGCAGCTTGCGAACCTCTACCTCTTTTTTGCTTCGATGTGTCATAGGCAAGAAGTGTTAGGGTAAGGCCGTTTGTAAAGAACGATGTCCGTAGTTTCCTTCTAGGACCATCATCAGATTGCAGTCCAACGTCCTTGCATCCTTTCAAGGAAAACAGCTCCTGCAACAATATCCCCTTGTGGTTAAGGATCTTGTCCTCTGCAGCCCCCTTGGTACTCATGTTTAGTCCCAACAATTGGACTATTTCCTCTCGAACTGTTGGGTTAGACCATAATACTCATGAAGACTTTCGCATGGCTCCATTGTCCGCTTGGGGGGCCTCATTGTATCGTTTATTGATTGATTGATGTGATATAGTGATGATAATATTCGTCATATGATTGAGGCAATCTGAGTTGATTCGTTCTACAGCCTGACTAACTTGATCTTTTCTGTACAGCTCGACGAGACTTGATTTGTCGCATCATTTGCTTACTCGTCTTCTTGCGTTCCCTTGATGTATTTGGGTTGATAAACACTGCTAATAGAGTTTGTTGGGCCTGTTGAACCCAGAGGGAACCACAGCAACATATCATACCCAAGGTGATACAAATATCTCTGTTGGAGTGAGTGGTGAACTGTGTGTGGTTCAGATGTAGTGGACATAAACGGCGAAAGAATGCATCGAATGGATGTGAGCGGTTATGAGAGCAAGGAAGAAGGGGTTGGTATGCCTGTTCAAGTCCTTGGCAAGAGAGCGTGAGTAGCAGTTGTGATCAATGGTATAGTTTCTAGACCCTATCTTCCACGTACAGCATTGCATTATTGTTGTTTTCAGACCTGGCATCAATCATGCAAGGTATTTCTTTTTCTGAGGGTTCCTTGTGTCAAACGGCCAGACAGAAAGCTTAGAAGAGATACAGACACAACGGTGAAAAAAATGTATGCGAGCAAACAGTTGCTGTGTTTATTTGTTGTCTGCACATGCCTTCTTTCATCGCGGGCTTTGTTCCGAAAATATTTGGCAAATCTTTTTCCTTTTTTGTTCGTCAACCACTGTGTGCACGAATAACTTTTGTTTCTGTACATGCATAAAGCAGAAGAAATGAACAAACTTTATTTTGGCGATCACTCCATAATCAAAAATACTCCTAGGAGAGGATCAAACGCGTCGGTATTAATCTCGCTTCTGCTCTCCCTCCTTCCACAAGGCGCTGCACAATATCACCATTAACAGGGCGTCGTCTAGTAAGGAAAGGTACTTAGATAGTTCTTACTACAAGCAATAAGCGCATGCAACTACATCACCCCTATCTCCACCATTGATGCCGGAACCCGAGAGCTAACGAATATCTCTGCTTTAACGCAAAAGTGCTGGAGCTGTTGGAGCAAAGAGCATCATATGAAGCCATTCTCTGATAAGAAAGACTTTTTTTTTCTTTTGTTGTTACCTTTGACAAGGATATAATATCTGTCAGTGCATTTATTACCCCTGTTCAAAATTATAAATATTCTTTTATTCATTAAATTCCTCACAAAGCACAAAACGAGAGCCAGTGCAAACAAAAGAAACTGAAAAAAAAAAAAAAAAAAAATTGTGTAACAAAGGATCGACATCGACACTATATGCTGTATATGGAGATGATTTTTTCGAATGCTCACTTTGGTATCTTAATGCTATTGTTTCCAATCTGCCGTTCATGCGAGAGCTTGTATTTATTTGTCAATCTCTGCTATTGACTGGGACAAAACCCCAATCCAAACAAAGGAACTGAATAAAGATTGATGTGGCCTGTGAAGCAAAGGATCGATATCAAAACTATATGAGACAATGATAAAACTCATCATCAATCCAGGATATAAAAAGGGATCATTGTCTTCCTCCTTCAAAGTTCCATCCCTTTTACCACTGCCACTTGTTCCTGTATCTTTCCCTCAATATTCTTTATCTATTCGCTTTGAATCTTTACACCATAAAAAAGCTCATCCTTTTATACTTTTGTCGCTCTTTTTTTTTTCTTTTTCATTTCTTTTCATCACCACCATTTTTCCTTTTTTTCTTTCTCTTTTCGCTTAGATATTGACCATGGGGCTGAAGTCCTTCTTCAAACTGGTTGCGGGTCGCGGGGTTTTACCTTCGGAAACTGGCGTGGGCACTTTCTTGGCGGCAAATCCTGACCATTCTGTTCATTTAGATCTCCTCGGTACGTTCTATTACGACATCCTCCGCAGAGTCGTCCATGCAAAGATGAAAAACGAAACCATCATTGATGTAGGAAGGTCCCTGGCACTCGAGATAAAGGATCTTCTCACAACGGACAACCTGACTATACATATTGATGGGGAACCTTGTACTGAGAAAGAAAAAGCAAGGACAGAACGGCAAGCCATAAGACAAAAAAATATGGACGCTTTGGAGAACAATATGAGCACCTTCGAGAGAAATTCTCGGAGTGGGGTATGGACTCGTCCTCAAGTCGTGAGGCGCATCCAGAAGGGTCTTCGAGAAGTCCACACCCTGAGCGTCCAGGACAAGGATCAGCTGGCAACAGGTCTTAGTTCTGTCTTCGATGTCTGTCTGTGTGCATATGAAGCGGACCCATGCATAGGATGCCATGATGAGGAGAATGATAGGATCGTGATATCCCAAGACTCTGATTTTTTTGCGTACGAACGAGTCTGCTTCCTAGTGCGACCCCTTCCGCACCGTAGACGGAAGTTTGGGGTTTACGACGTAGACAACGTTATCCAAGCACTAAGACTGCCAACACACGCGCATCTGGTGTTATTCTGTGCCATCGCAGGCAATGACTACTCAAGGAACCTCGAGACGTCAGGCCCGATTACTAATCTTCGATTAATTCGAAAGGTTGAGTGGAACGAGAACTATAATAAAATGCTTCAGGGCTGCCTAAGGGAAGCTAGTAAGGTGTTGGGAAGGAACGTAGCCTCTGAGGAAGGCCGTTTCAGTGTAGCTCTCCGCATTTTTACTTCCGGCCATCAAACGTCGGCCCAAGCGTTACCATCGAACAATGAGTTCGATAACTTCAAGCAGCGTCTACTCAATGGAAAGGATCTTCGCCATAGAATGGCTCAGCAAAGGCGAGCGCAGCGCCGCAGAACGTAAGAAAGCTCAAGCTATAGTTTTTGGCCTTGAAACCAGACGTCCCCAATACTAATCGTTAGTCCCTTTCTTGAATAATGTAGAGGCGTACCATCATTCTATATAGCGGAAGGGTCACATAAGAACCAGTTCCGGCCCATCTTTTCTGACAAGGCGAGCATATTGAATGGGCGCACAGTTGATATCAGTAACTGCCGTCAGCACGATAGGCCGGGCCTTAAGCATCCACCACGTCGGAGAAAGGCAAAAAAGGAGCAACAGAAAAAACAAAAGCGGAAGCACAAAGGCAAGAAGCCCCACAGGGCTAAAAAAGAAGGTGCACCAATTAGGAACTTGAAGGATGCTACGAAGGTTGATCACAGCTACAGCAGTAAGCACCCTATCAAGGCCTTAACAATTGGGTCCCTTAAGGCCTCCATGGCAAGGAAAGGCGGACTGGACGCAGATGAAAGGGATAGTATTGCAAGCCAGATCCGAGGGGCAGTTGTTGTCCTCAACCGACTACGCCGCTATGCATACTGGGCGATTGCCTTGGACATTGAGAGGATCATGCGGTTACCAGGGGCAGCAAAGTCGAGGAAAAAGGCACTGGACGAGGTCTTGGATAGCAATGATTATTCCTTCCGTCTCGCCACCCTTCTTTTGAGTGGTCAAGGTGGACCCAATTCAGCTTACGCGAGGGCAAAAAAACAAGGAAAGGCGGTAGAAACGCCCCATCATCACCTCGCTTATGAACATTTCAAGGCCACCACTGAACTTTCCCCAATAAAGGATATAGACATCACATTGGGGGACGTCCAAGGCTTTGATCCCAAAAAGATCACATTTCCAAGAGCGTCAGACTTACTAATGGGCCAAGTACAGACATCATTAAGGCAGCACTACAGGAACGCAATGGTATAGCTTGTGTAGGGGTATTTTCATGCATATTCTGCAATCAAATGCTCTTTATTCACACCTTTTTTTTTTTTTTTTTTTTTTTTTAGTTTGATGTCGAGAAAACAAACGAAGATATGAGCGACATTGAGTTTTTTTTGCGGGAGAACAAAAAAGTGAAAAAATACTCAGACTTTCCTACGTCCCCCTGGTCACTCGGGTATGTGTATCTGTCTGAACACGCCCTAGTTGACATCCTCTGGGCGAACGAAGATACCAAGCAGCTGCTGGAGCGTATTCTGCCTCTCAATAATGCTTCCAAGACTGCAATGTATGAGTGTGTACAGGGAACAAAAGGGGTTTTGATACAGGCTCTCTTTTGTGACATTGGAGGTGATCGCATGGTTCGTGGATATCAAGACAAAGTATCCCTGCAGTCACAGGACAAAGATCTAACTCGGTTCAAACTCAAAGGAACGATTTCTACCAACGGTCTAGTTCTGAATCTACTTGCCTATGACACAACCCAGACGAAGAAGACCCCAGCCAAGAACTGGAGCTTTCTCAGGGATTTCTCAACACGACGTGTTCAAAGGCGGCCGGTGAAGACCTAACAGATGAAGACTACGCAAACATAAACTGGAAGAGGAGCTCCAAGCTGCTTGAAAACGTTGAGCTCACATTCAACGAACCAGGGCGATGCCCATCCGCAAACACCACAACTATCGTCGGATGTGATCCTGGTATTGTTAACGCCCTTACGTTTTCCGCGCTGGACCCTCACAACCCTAACTTGCGGCAAACGGTAAAGGTGAGAAGCAGGTTCTTGTACCTCCCCGTCCTCCGCTTCAATCACCTGTTGAACAAAAGGAAGCGTGAAAAAGGAATGATTGAGGTTGAGAGCGCCATCCCTGTGTTTGGAAGGGATACGTACAATGAGTACTTTCAATGGATGAACGAGGAGTCTCAGACACAGACAGGATCAACGAATTTGGATGTGCTTCAAGAGTTCTACGAGTCCAGATGGCACCTGAAAAAAAAATGGGACCTACGAAAGGCTCAACGAGCTACGTTCGACTACGCGGTACAGTGAGTGTTGAAGATGCTTGGGGATAAAGGAGTACTCGTCGGCCTAGGGTCCTTTGAAAGTAGTAAAGGAGTTCCCAGCAAGCACACTGCTATAACGAGACATCTTGTCACACAGGTATGGCTGTTTTTAAAAAAGTAAGCAAAGCTGGAAAGCCATAAAACCCTTGCTAATAAACGACTGCCATTTGAAACGCTTAGGTCAAAGCACGAGGACACTTCGCTGTAGGAGCGCACGAATTTTACACCAGCGCCTGCTGTCCCCGACCCCTCTGCGATAGCTTTTTAGAGACGGTGTACCCTCGCTCTAAATATTGCAGGACATGTAAGGTATTCCTCGACTGTGACGCAGTAGGGGCGGAAAACATCGCAAGAACCGGTCTTGCTCAAATTGAGAGACAAGAGAGACCTGCAAAGTACAAGCCCACGGAAGAGTCGCCTGCTCCGGCTGCAAAGCGCGCATGACGCTAGACACAAGTATTTGGGTGCCGGCACACCTACAAAAAATTTGTAAGTTCTGTTTATTTTCGTCTCCTGTATCCATCCTCTCTAATCTTTTGCCCCCGAATTTCTGGACTAACTTTAAAAACCGTACAGATCAACAGATACCACCAAATCCTCCCTATTTCTCCTTAATATCACTTCTAGATCCCCTTTGTTACCACAACAAATCTTTATGCTTGCCAGACTTCAAATGGAAAAGGTACTCCTGAAAAAGGTGCTCCTGAAAAAGGTCAGCTATCCTTTCCTCATTCATTCCAACCTCCTTTTTAAGCTTATTATAGCATAACGTAGACGTATAGGTGGACCGACTTTGCCTAAGGTATAGGATTTACTTCATGAATATATAAATAAGTCAAACCTTTGACCACTTATCGTGCGCTATATTACCACTCAACGAGCCTCCTTCAAGACTTTTGACCTGATACAATACCCACGAAAGGCCTCATAAGAGTCTTTGCACACAGTCATCGCAACAAAAACTTTCACAAGAGCCGCAACAACTTTTGACAGAAACTTCGGAACCTCTGAGACTCCAAGCAACCTAGCTAGTCATCAATATCATGAAAATCCAAAGCTTTTCTTTTGCTTTGATCTTCTTCAGCTTCATTGCAGTAGCCAATGCTTTCGTTTGTAGAAGATGCACCATCACAAGCGGATTGTGCATAAACGATAAAGATTGCTGGAACGCTTGCACTACTCGTAGTCCCAAATACGCCTACGATGGCGATTGCGACTGGGGCCAATGCTGTTGTGGAGCCGATTGTTAAGCAATACACACTATCCACGTTATTCTGTGCCAACCCATTTCCTTCTTATTTAGGACTGTCCATTAAGCTAGCCAATAAAAGAACAGTGCTATTGTGAACAAATATATACAATTAGCAATGCTTTGTCTCTTCCAACCCTAGAATGAACACCAGCAAGACTCAAAGCCCTTTTTACCTTACAAGTGCAACTAATACTGGGTCCACTACCGGTCACAATGGTGCGTACGAAGCACCACTATCCTCTTTTTATCAACACTTGGCATGCTTTTGTGGTCCATTTGCACAATTAACAATGTGGCCGAATACTTGTGCTTCCCTGAATTAAAAATCCGTACAAAAATGACGCAGCCTACTTTGTGCTGTATTATTGTTGGAAAGTTAGGGACTGACTGAATAGGAAGATATCTTGATCTTTTGGTGGTTTGTGAAGCAGGTCACTTCCAACTACAGACAAATAAAGGACAATACAATACAAAATACTTAAAAGTTGTCCTTTCTTTTTTAGTAGCAGTGTTAATATATGATATAATCGATGGACTTCTTCTAAATTGTTCATGAGTCCAATCCATCTATGCATTCAAAAAAAGAACACGAGCCAGTGGTACAAGGGCCAAGGCTTTGGTACTTCTTTGGATTTAATCGCCTCATTTATTCCTTGGGCTGTAAAACGGGCAAATTTGTCCATTTAGCTTTCATCAAGTCACGGGCGGGTCACATTCAGTTCTCTGTGCTCTATTGTTTAGCCCGTTCCATTTGATCGCGATCCCTTATATTTTTTGAATACTCTTAAATGTATTGGCGGCCAATTGACTCGCTTGTTATTGCAAGTGGTGTGGCTGGTCATTAAAATTATTTTCAGTTTATTTTGTATCCACTAATCTGTCGAACCAGCTTACAGGAATTTTTGCCAAAGCCTTTGTAGTCATAGGCGAGTCCGCCTCACCTAGAAACTACCGAGTATAAAAGCCAAAGAAACTTCCTTCTTAATAAAGTCTTCAGTTTTCCCCATATGTCTTATTCTTCACCTGCAGTTCATTTTGCCATTTATCTTTTTCCCCTTTTCACAACAAGCATTTGTCTTCCGGTAACTCAGTTTGTGAGCTCACCTATAAAGCTCCCATCTTTTGACATTCTATGGTGCTGTTTGTAGTCAAGGTTATTTGACTCTATTTTCTCTTGTTAATCTTGTTGACACCCTTTGTCCTGCCTTTTCCTGCTTGTGTCTATCTTTCTGTCCCTTAAGCGAAGATATACCTATTTTTTAAAACAATACCACCAAACCAATTCATTATAGATTAAGATATGTGGGGTCTATATGTTGTCTAAATAGTCCTCCCCATCAAAAAACACCATCTAGACCAAGCATAGAAATAAATAGATCAATCAAGAAAGCACTGTCAAGCTAATACTTACAACTTTTTTAAGACGAAAGCCTTTCCGGACCTAGTCATGTTTGTAGTAGATCATGAAAAATTTTAGACAGACAAGCAGTAACCAGGGAGCAGAAGTAAGTGAGAATAGGATGTGGGTTCACACATCACATCCATGGGGCATTTATCCAAATTTGTATCAAAATAAAACTACAAGTTTGTCTCGGGTACCACACCATGGGACAAAGAGCTGTTAGTATGTCTGTATTATAAATTTTCATGTAACACGTGTACTGTGAAATATGCAAATGATCATATCCTATTGTTGTTGCCGGCTTGGTGTCTTTCCTCCCCATGGATTCAACGAAGGCTATTTTGGTATCTCGAGTTTGGACTCAACCTGTCAGTGAGCATTGGTGCAACGCATATAAGCCACACAGGCTGTTGACGAGCCTACTTCTCACCTTCACCGTTTGACGCAGGTCAGGGTTTTGATGGTCTAGTGAAGAAAACGTAAGGGCATTAACAATACCAGGATCGCATTAGACGGTAGTTGTGGTATTTGCAGATGAGCATCGCCCTGGCTCATGGAATATGAGTCCAACGTTTTCAAGAAGTTTGGGGCCCCTCTTCCAGCTTATGTTTGCGTAGTCTTCATCTATCAGGCCTTCACCGGCTGCCTTTAAAACACGCCGTGTTAAGGAATCCTTGAGAAATTTTCCATTCCTGGCTAAGATCTTCTTCATCTACGTCAAACTGCTGCTGTCTCTTCGTCTGGACTGTGTCATAGGCAAGTGGATTCAAAACAAGGCCATTGGTAAAATCGTTCCTTTGAGTTTGAACCGAGTTATACCTTTGTCTTGTGCCTGTAGGAGTACCTTGTCTCGATAGCCATGAAACATGCGATCTCCTTCAATGTCACAAAGAGAGCCTGTATCTAGACCTCTTTTGTTCCCTGTACACATTCAAGCACTGCAGTCTTGGAAGGATTGTCGAGAGGATGTCAGTTGGGACGTGTTCAGACAGATACACATACCGAGGGGGGACGTAAGGAAGTCTGTTTTTTTTTTTTTTTTTTTTTTTTTTTCACTCCATTGTTCTCTGGCAAGAAAAGCTCATCGAACAATAAAAATAGAGAGCTTTAATAGAGAGCAATCGACTGCAGAATATGCATGAGGATTCTCTACACAAAGTTATATCTTTGTGCTCCTGTGGTGAATACATGGGTAGATTTGACTCGGTCTGTAGGAACTGATTTGAAACAGGTGGTTACATCCTTGTCAAAGGTAACAACAAAAGAAAAAAAAAGTCTTTCTTATCAGAGAATGGCTTCATATGATGCTCTTTGCTCCAACAGCTCCAGCACTTTTGCGTTAAAGCAGAGATATTCGTTAGCTCTCGGGTTCCGGCATCAATGGTGGAGATAGGGGTGATGTAGTTGCATGCGCTTATTGCTTGTAGTAAGAACTATCTAAGTACCTTTCCTTACTAGACGACGCCCTGTTAATGGTGATATTGTGCAGCGCCTTGTGGAAGGAGGGAGAGCAGAAGCGAGATTAATACCGACGCGTTTGATCCTCTCCTAGGAGTATTTTTGATTATGGAGTGATCGCCAAAATAAAGTTTGTTCATTTCTTCTGCTTTATGCATGTACAGAAACAAAAGTTATTCGTGCACACAGTGGTTGACGAACAAAAAAGGAAAAAGATTTGCCAAATATTTTCGGAACAAAGCCCGCGATGAAAGAAGGCATGTGCAGACAACAAATAAACACAGCAACTGTTTGCTCGCATACATTTTTTTCACCGTTGTGTCTGTATCTCTTCTAAGCTTTCTGTCTGGCCGTTTGACACAAGGAACCCTCAGAAAAAGAAATACCTTGCATGATTGATGCCAGGTCTGAAAACAACAATAATGCAATGCTGTACGTGGAAGATAGGGTCTAGAAACTATACCATTGATCACAACTGCTACTCACGCTCTCTTGCCAAGGACTTGAACAGGCATACCAACCCCTTCTTCCTTGCTCTCATAACCGCTCACATCCATTCGATGCATTCTTTCGCCGTTTATGTCCACTACATCTGAACCACACACAGTTCACCACTCACTCCAACAGAGATATTTGTATCACCTTGGGTATGATATGTTGCTGTGGTTCCCTCTGGGTTCAACAGGCCCAACAAACTCTATTAGCAGTGTTTATCAACCCAAATACATCAAGGGAACGCAAGAAGACGAGTAAGCAAATGATGCGACAAATCAAGTCTCGTCGAGCTGTACAGAAAAGATCAAGTTAGTCAGGCTGTAGAACGAATCAACTCAGATTGCCTCAATCATATGACGAATATTATCATCACTATATCACATCAATCAATCAATAAACGATACAATGAGGCCCCCCAAGCGGACAATGGAGCCATGCGAAAGTCTTCATGAGTATTATGGTCTAACCCAACAGTTCGAGAGGAAATAGTCCAATTGTTGGGACTAAACATGAGTACCAAGGGGGCTGCAGAGGACAAGATCCTTAACCACAAGGGGATATTGTTGCAGGAGCTGTTTTCCTTGAAAGGATGCAAGGACGTTGGACTGCAATCTGATGATGGTCCTAGAAGGAAACTACGGACATCGTTCTTTACAAACGGCCTTACCCTAACACTTCTTGCCTATGACACATCGAAGCAAAAAAGAGGTAGAGGTTCGCAAGCTGCCCAACCTTCGGATACTCAAAGATCTTAAGCAGTCCAGGCTTCTTCAAGTGCTCAGCAGGGATCCTCGTCTTCAGGCCATGGTGCAGGTGATGGTGGTGATGATGGAGACGACGACGGAAATGAAGATGACGATATCTTGCTAGGTATCAGCGATATTGACTTGCTGGAAGTTGATGAACCATTCTTAGATGGCGACGAGGGAGAAAAAGCAGCTGAAGAAGGTACATCGAGCACAAATCCACTGTTCCCGGTGAGTCCCAGTCCCCGGCGTGAGATCAACTGGAAGCAGAGATCCCGTCTCCTCGAGAATGTAGAAGTTAAATATGACACCCAGGCAGCATGCCCTCCCCCCGAAAGTACCATTATCATTGGGACCGATCCAGGCGAGAGGTACTCGATGAAAATTGCAAAGTTGGATCCAAGGAAACCTAACGAACGTGAGATCCTCCGGATTTCTAGAGCGTGCCTTTACAAACCATCCAAGAAGTTTCAGGGCGAGCTAGAGAGGCGAAAGCTTAGAAAAGGAATTACAGAGATTGAAAGCAATATTCCGTCATTCTCAAGGCCTACTTTAACACAGTATTTCGCTTATATGAGCTTGCTGCCAAATCAAGCTCCATCAAGTACTGGAGGTAGTTTCTCTGGTAGTGGAGCTGGGACCTGTAGTAGCAGTGGAGCTGGGGCCAGTAGTAGCAGTGGAACAGGGACCGGTAGTAACAGTGGAGTTGAGGTGAGTAGTAGCAATGGATCTGGGACCAGTGGCGACAATAGGAAGACTATATATAGGGCGCTTGTCGATTTCTATAATGATGGATGGTTTGTTCGGAATAGCTGGGATAATAGAAAAGCACAGAACGGATGCGTTGATTATGTGATCAAGGCAATTCTGAAGCTTGCGGGCGGAAGCAATGGAAGAAGAAGAGATGCCAATACGAATGCAATGATCTGTATTGGACTAGGATCATTCAAGACAAACCGAGGACAAGTATCGAAGCATGGGATATTGATGAAGAAGCTTGTTGAAAAGGTAAAAAAAAATCCTTTGATCAATGACATTTAATTTTTGAGTCTTTTTTTTAACGAGTATTAAATCTGGCTCGAACAGGCAAAATCTCTAGACTACCCCATTGCAGGTTGTCATGAATACTACACATCTGCCAAGTGTCCACGGCCTCACTGCGACAGTATATTGGAGAATGTTCCTTTTCGATCCAAGTACTGTCGAAATTGTAAAGCATACTTTGATCGAGATGCTGTTGGTGCTGAGAACATCGCAAGGGTCTGTGAGTCGCAGATAAGAGAGCAAAAACGACCTGCAAAATATATGCCGCCGGACGGAGGAACTGAAGGCCAAGCTTCTAGCGGTAGTGGCGACGGTGGAGGTAGTGGTGGCAGTGGTGGCAGTGGTGGTGGTAGTAGCAGACCCACAAAAAGGAAATTTTCAGATGAAGGAGGAGGAGGAGTAGAGGGATCAAGACCACCGAAAGGACCTTTGCTGGGTCCAGGAGGAGGGGGAGAGACAAGCCGGCAACAACAGTAGGACACAATCTACTACAAACATGACTAGGTCCAGAAAGGCCTCCGTCTTAAAAAAATTGTAAGTATTGGCTTGATAATACTTTTTTTTCTTGGTTAATTTATTTATTTATTTATTTATTTCTGTGTTCTAATACATTTCTTCTTTTTACAATAGATGGAATGTCTCGTTTTTTAATGGGACGGACTATATGCCAGGGAAGTAGAAATCAATTAGTAGAAATCAATCAGTAGAAATCAATCAGTAAAAAAACAGCGAAAGCCATATATCAAGCTATATCATCATGATGCACTATGTCCGCCATTTACTTGTCTCCACTCTTTTAGCGTATTTAGCAACCTTTATCATTTTTCATTCAGCCTCAAAAGAATTAAAACACCTTTCCAGCCTTTTTCGCTAGAGGGATGTTGCCGAATTTGTATCTAATCTAGAAATGGTTGTCATTCGAGAATTTAAAAAATCGATTGATTGCAGGCGCAAGTCTTTATCTCTAACAGCAATAGTATCAGGTCAAATTGCTAGATGGCATTCATAGATATTCGGCCAGTGCACGTTGCTACCATGCCAGCCGCACCAACCGCACAGCCCCCTAGAATCAGTCTTACCGGTTAGAATACTACCGTAGATCCGCGGTGTATTTGATCGTGATGCGATTGGTACCGGAAATATATGTCATCTCAAATGCTACCTGAAAAGTCTAAACCCACTATGGCAGTAACGAGGACTGCGAGGTGCTTCCCCATTAGAACTACTAAGCGCTTGAGGCAACAATGATTGAGAGATCGATTCTTCTTTTACAAATTTGTAAGTAAAACAATCTTAGTTTAGTATGCTTAAGCTATACCATTCTTATGAATTTTTAAACCAATTTCGACTTGCTACAGACCAAGACATATTACTGTGAGTTTCTTTCGGTCGGAGCCTTACTCTGGGAGACTGTAAGTAGTCTTACTCCGAACCAAGCTGTGGAGTCCCTGGCTAACATTAATGAATGAATTTCTTCTCATCTTTTTTTTTTTTTTTTTTTTTTTTACTTCAGTAAAAACGCCAGAATATTCATTGCCTAAATCATGCCAGGAAATCTACAATCCTCAGTTGCCTCACCAACTGATCCAGATGATACAAGCTATTCCACAGACCAAAGCCTGCGCGGATCTACTTCCAAGCTTTATACTTGGAATATTCTGGAAGGTAGTGAAAGACTTAAACCCCATGTTGATACTTCATGGATAATTAACGACATGGGGGTTGGACACGATCTAATAGATTTTAGAGGTTGTGTTGTACAAGAGGACGGAGGACTGACAGAGCCATATGAGAAACTGTAAGTAAATTTAGTAATGGCAGCCCAAGCCATAACATTGGGTCGGCCAGCTCGAAGCTTAATGTTTTCTGGCAGATGCTTTTTACCCTCCGTTCACCAATAAGGACTCTCGAGAGACCCATGCCTAATTCTTCGCAGTCTATCAAACTCTTTTTTATCTTTTTTTCCTTGGGCAAGAGCCAATCGCGCTTTGATATGCCTTGGCCCAACTCTTAGTTGCATAATTAAGACGCGACCGAAAATCCTATTCCAGTATGCGTCTAGCTGTGCTTTGGTTAAAAATTTAAGTTTTAACAGCGATTCCTTGGAAAATATAGCCGTTGTTTTGCTTGACAAGATTAAGTAGGTTCTTGACATCAGAAGATTGAGAACAGGTCTTCCTTTAGGATAACCCCTGCCCACTTGATGAGCTGCCTGAATAGAGGGGCTATGGATCTTCGCGGTTTTGCAGGAAGAGTGCCGACTTCAAAGGTGTCAACAACTCTACATCCCTGCTCTGCTTACAAAAAGGGCGTTAGGATGTATACACCCTCAAATGCTGTAAGGAGCCGTTATTCAGGCATATGAGTTCATCCCGGCAATAAAAAGAAAATGCTTATTCTTAATGAAGCACTTTCTCCTATAATAATAATAATAATAGCAATAACAAATATGATATCGGCCTCTTAAAAGCCACTTACTACTACACAAGGCTTTGTGCTTGTCAGGTCCTCTTGCCATTCCGCCTTCCCTCGCTGTGATACAGTAAATCTGGTTATTTGCTAAATTCCTTGCCATTGTCTCTTTTAGGTCCCATTTACTACATGTACTCCACAAGATCTTGTATTTACCATGTCCCTGATAAAGGTCAATGCTTCTTTCCTTATTCATACCGGCTTCATTTTTAAACATATTATAGCGTGACGCGGATGCAAGGATTGCAAAAATGGAATGACCCAGCCCAAGGTAGGGGATTTGTTTCGTGAATATGAAATAATCAAACTTTTGATCATTTACCATGCCTTACATTACAACTCGATAAGATTCTTGACCTGACATATCGCTCGCAAAAGTCCTCACAAGAGCGCTTTCATACAATCATTATATCAAGATCTTTCTCACAATAGCCTATGATAGCACCTTTTACAGGGCTCTTAACAGAATCTCCGAGCGTCCAAGCACTCTTGCTGGCCTTCAATCCCCTTTATCATGATGAAAATCCAAAGTTTCTCTTTTACCTTGGCCTTCTTCCACTTCATCGCAGCGGCTAATGCTGATGTTTGTAGAGACTGCAGTACCATAGCTGGAGTTTGTATAAATGATCGAGATTGCCTTGACGCTTGTTATTTGTATCAACGTAGCCATATCTACGGCTTGGACGGTGACTGTACCTTGGGCCTCTGCTGCTGTGGAAATAGTTGTTAAACAATGAGCAAAATAAACACCAGAACATCTTTATTCTACGGCGACTTCCTTTTCCTATGCCCATTTAAGATTGTGCATAAATAAGATACACTGTTATTGTAAAGAAAGTTGTATATAAAAAAAAAGTCAGCAATTGGTTTATTTCTTCCAGTTAAGGAACGAACATTAGTAGCTCATAAACCCTTTCCATCCTCCAAGACTAACTTGCATTGCTTGCCTCAGCGATGCATTGTCGGCTACATTGGCGCGCACAAACCACCGCTAATCCTTTTTATCGACATTTGGTGTGCCTACATGGTCAAAATGTTTGTGCTACTGTGTTGTCTCATTTACACGTGCGTAAATGTAAAAAGCCGTCTTAGACAGGAAAATGCCTCCCTTGTATTTGTATGCCGCTGATATAATGGTCCTATTATTTTGATAATTCAGTCTGCTTCGTAGGTCAAATAGACTTTTTTTATAGTCAGCCTGACATTGTTAATGGTGCTCTGGTACTTCAATATCAGTGACTGTACTTTCATAAATTAAAGTAGATTTAGGTTCAGTGAATATGTAATCTACCTGGTTTGTTAATGGAGATTCTAGTACTAGTCCCTTTGCCGTCAATGAAAGTTATTTGGTAATGGAAATTTCGCTCTTTCGAGAACCTCTCTGCTCGATGCTCTTCTCCTAGGCTAGATAAATGATTGACACTATTTAACCTGAACCTGTGACGAATATTCAATACACCATATACCTTCACAAGCATGAATCAGAAGGATTCAACTACATAAAGTAAATCAATAGTGTAATTACTTAGTGAGAGAGAAGGATGTAATCATAAGCATTGAGAGATGGTGTTAAGTTAATACATGTGGATGCTGGCCAAGGAGAATAGAAAAGCATCAATACTTTCTTGTCCGAGGCATTACACGGTTATGCTATCCATACCAGAGAAGGAAGGTAAGATGATAGAGGCAAAGACAACTATCCAGTAAGTGTCGCCTATTGAGGAGGAATGAATAAACACTTCTCAGACATAGTATCTTACCTCCAACGTTGCCCAATAGTTTTTTTTTTTTTTTTTTTTTTTTTTTGGTCAACTCCAATCGCCGGTTCCCGTGTGTTGCCTTTCAGTACTGTAAGTGATAATAATTACAACGAACCCGAGAGCGAAAGGGATTCTGGAATTGAGACCATGGACGAAGAATGGGTTAGTAAGGGGTGTCCCGAGGATGCTTGCTGGCAGGAAATATACTTCGAGATGTGAGAAGCAGCCAATATCCTGAAAACAGGAGAAGCGCTGAAGATGATGCACAAGTTGTAAATGATTCATAAGAGCAATTAGTTCGAAGCATGTGCCGCTTGTACCTCATCTCTCACTCTACTGATGAGCTGATACTAGCGATACTAACGATGTAATGTGTTGTGATGTGACCATAAGAGAAAAAAAATGAAAGATAATGATGACTGTGCCAAGCTCAGGTGGTAATGGCGATAGGCGTACGAGGCTTCGTCCTAAAGAAGAACATTTGTGGATCAAAGATAAGAAGTTGGAAAAGACATGTACTCCATGAATCCTAGGACTACTGTATAAAGCATCTGTAAAGCCAGCTAGAAAGAACAGCCTTACTTTGTGGCCTCAGCAAACGCCTTGGATGCCGTAGTTGCATTGTCAAAAGGTTGCAAGGGACCTGCCTGCAAGAGGCCATACTGCATAGTGACGTCTCTGTAATGTTATTGAGAAGCAAAGTACTTTATCCTATTCAGAAACATATTTTTACTTTGAGCTTGTGAATAATATATATACATTCGCCTTCGTCCTGAGCGGCCCCTACAAGAGACCTCTGCCAAACTTCATGGCCGCATAGCCGCGAGAATGATTTTACTAGTCGCTGATAACAACTCTAGTCCATGAAAGTGCGGTGGCTTGTTTACTGATTGTGGGAATAACTCTGCTTCTCTGAGAATATATTATTGAGATATCAGTGTTCAGCAGCATGAAAATAAAACAGCTTATTTTCCCACAAACATGCACACGAAAAGTGGATAATAGACAGACTGAAAGGGCTCAAATGTTCTTTTCTACGGCAGAAATATTCATATAGAGTGAACAGAGGCACGAACCAATGGGAATACGTTGTTGGCCACACCAGCCAAATCTCGCAAACCAGGCAATTTGATTTACACATGCGAGTATCTTTAGATTGTTTCTGATAATGATGATCGCTACAGAGCAACCGCTGGACCTATTTACTCCTCGATGTATCTTGGCTCTAGGTCGCTCAGCAATAGGAGCAACTCTTTGTAAGACAATTGCTCTCCTGGGAATTCTTCGATTTTTTCTGGAGTTCTGGACTGTCGTGACTGATTATTCAATATATTAGTTTCGGCTGTTAAGGAATCGGGGCTGTGTACATGTTACATGCAAATATGATCGAAACAAAGAATCTCAATCGCCTTGAGTATAGTGATACAAAGGTAAATTTAGAAGAGGGTGGAAGATTCATGTGCAAACCTTACAAGAATGATTGGAGAAGGCTAGTGACATAATATCGGTTGTGTCGTCTCTCAGTTGTGTCGTAGATTTTTTTTTTTTTTTTTTTTTTTTTTCCATTGACTTCTCTGCAAAGCCATGTTTGTCACGAACCATCAATGGTGGAAGCAATTAATTATAAACATTTGAGAGTGGACATGGCGTTTCCAAAAGAAAGGATTTTTTTCCTATAAAACCCTCAACCTCCCTCCCTTCTTTTCTCTTCTTCCTCATTTCCTCATCTTCGCCTCTCGACAAACCAACATTCTCCAAAGCACTCTTTCCCACCAAACCGATTGTTATTATTTGATCCATTTCATCCATCAGTAACCATGGCCTACAATCTCCAAGTCGATATTCACTCCGCCAAAAGTTTGCGCGATACTGAGGTAAGCTATCCTTCATCTTTTAAAAAGTTCACATCTCACTCACACCCATCATTTTACTTATTGAGCCTTGTTTTTTTAATAATAACAACAATCGTCAATAGGACTTTGGCAGAAATGACCCTTATGCGCGCGTCAGTTTGGACATGAAGAACGATGCCGCCTACAAGAAAACTACCACCAAGTCAAACGCTGGAAGAAGCGCTGAGTGGAACGAGACCGTGGTCCTTACTGACTTTGATCCAAGCCTACATGCTTTCTTGTACGTCGAGGTCATGGATGAAGAGCATGGCACTGATGCCCCTATCGGCTTTGCTGATATCCCCTTGAACCAGGTCAACAGTGCTACTAACAAGTCACTCAGCGGCAGGTTCGATCTCTACACCGAGAAGGGCAAGCAGAAGGGCACCATCACCCTTACCATCTCGGTCCTTGCGGCTAACGAAGAAGCTCGCCCCATTCCTAGCCCTGCAGAGACTGAACATAAATCCCAGTACTTGAATGATCATCAGGAGCGCTTCAAGGAGCTCGAGAGAAAAGAGGATTTAGGTGATGCCTTCAAGCCCTTCGATGCTCTCCGCAATAAGAATTAGGATAGACAATCTATCGGCCGCTTTAAACGCGAGAGAACCTTGTTGAAAATGAAAATAAAGTCAAAATCTTGTAAATAAGAAAACTATTGAAGGACTTTGCCTTGGCTGACTCCTATTCTTTCGCATGAATTGAGTTTAGTATGCATTGAGAATTTTCTTTTAGATTTATTATGCGCATTTCTTTACCTTTCACCAAAGCACTTTCATTCGTAACCAATCACAAATCACGTTCCTCAAGTTGGTCAGCAGCATCCCAACATTTGTTCGGCTGAGGTATTACTTTTTCTGAGTCCATCATACGATTCCGCGATAAATTTATTCACACGGGGTAATTTTTTTTTTTTTCTTTTTATAAAAACGAACCTTTTCTAATGGCCACACCAAAACGAGGATTTTTATCAAAGAAGGAGCGCCAAAAGGAATAATGAATGTAGAAGAAACCCTGGATCTCCGTGATTTTGGATCTTTGTTTGTACACGTCCGTTAAGATGAGCTTGTTCGATTCGACGACAAGGGAAAAAAAAAAAGAAAAGAAATGTTGACACCTTCCCTTGAACTAATTCACGCCACTTACTCTTTCCGTGGCAAAGGTTTGCTTATCCTCTTCATCCTCGACAATAAACGACAAAGGTGGACTACCTTGCTGAGAATCTAGGCCCTTCGTTCTGACCAATTTGTGCAGCAATTTTCCCACATATTTTCCACATATTTCCCACAAGAGGCCTGAGCGAAAAAGGCCGCTGTCGCTATCTCAACGAACACTAAAAAGTATTGATGGTGTTTACTGCTAGTGTTGCTACTGATTGTGAAGCTTGAGGCTCAAGAAAATGATAAAGAAACGAGAAACGAAATGAGCAATTTTTCAAATGATATCAATTCCATGGCAGGGACCTTGAAATAATTGAGGTAAAATAGGCTAAGCATGGATAAATCTTTTAACAGTCCCCCTTCCTCCTAACATGGTAAAGTTGCAGTCTAGCTTTGCTTGCCTTTTATGATGTTACTTTACGGCATAAATGTGTGGTAAAAAAAAAAAAAAAAAAAAAAAAAAAAAAGCAGGTGTGCTCCATGTAAAACGACTATCCGAGGGTAAATATTTACACATCTTCGTTGTCTATACTGTTGTGGTGCCTTTGCAGGCATTCACGCACAAAGACAGATCAATGTATCTATTCTGTGTGCAACGCAAATCATGTATCAAGTTGATACAGTGCCTTTTTCAATCTATAGGCCTATTTCTAATTATCAAGCTTTAAATTGCATGAACATTTTCCCTTCGATAACTTATCATTCCCCACTACAGACTCTTGTTTTTAATGTATAATAAGTATCGAAAAGGAAGATTAAACAAAAGTTTTTTTATCCTAACAAGCTACCTTCTTCCTTATGATCCATATGAACAAGAGAAGCATTGATTTGATTTTTTTTCTTGTCGGTAGATCAGCTTTCCTAGTTTTTTTTTAGGCTTTAAATACAATCAATTGAGTGATGTAGAGAAGGGAAAGGCCCTCTACCGAGGAGAGATAAATAGGAATAGGTGGAGTGGACTACATTAATCCTTTGAGAGGTCATCAAAGAGCTTACTGGATTAGTGATGCTTGTTGTCCTTTTCCTTCCTTTACGTGCTCTTCATCATTTGCTCCAAATGATTTTTGGAAACAAGCGGATCAGAGGTAGTGTTATGCTGATAGAAGCATTCTCGGTAAAGGAAAATATCTCTAGACCGTAAACATATGAACAGTGCTGAGAATATCCTAGCACTCTGTTCATTAATTGTGTTGCACTCCACAGTCAGTCTTTGCAATACTTTTCATTTTTACTACAATTGAAAATATTGAGAAATACATACACATATTCCTCTTAAGAAGAAGGCCGCGACCAATTATTGCCATGTTTGACACTTTTTTTTTTATTTAATCCTTCTCAAGATTGATTGCATTGCCGAAACGAGCGTAAAGAACCTTCTTAAGACCGTCCATCTTTTCTACAGCCTCGTCCATCTGCTTTTTCAGCTCTTCAATTTCAGACTCAAGTTCTTGCTGAGATTTTGTAATCCGTTCCTGAGCTTCTTCAAGTGAAAGTGATACAAAAGCTTCACCAATGCGATATCTTTTTTTTTTTTTTTTTTTTTTTTTCAGTAAAAAGAAGCATTTCAAGTTAGAAATTATTATTATTGTTATTTTTTTTATTTTATTTTATTTTTTTTTTTAAAAAAAAAAAAAAAAAAGGCCTTGATATATTTCATAATGTAAGCATACCTGACAGGCTCGTCCTCGTCTGCCAACTCAAGTTCTGATGCAAGATCGTCAAGATACTCCTTCTCAGTCTAATTATTATATACAAAATTCCAATCTCAGCTTTCCCTTTCTTTCTTTCTTTCTTTTCGCCTTCAATTGCCTATTCTTGAAAGTCTCTCAATTGCTTTTTTGAACGATGTTGATAGCCACATGTTCTTATACCTTCTTAGCTTCATACGTCTCCTCTAAATCCTGGAATTTGGCATTATATTTGCTAAAGGTGTTGATATTTTGTTGATCCTGCCATGAGACTTGAATATCTCCTTCCTCTTCATCTTTTTCAAGCTATTTTTTTTTAAAAAAATAAAATAAAAATAAAATAAATTAAAGTGAATATTCCTTTTAAAGACGATCCATTGCGATTATTTCTTATCTCCATTGTTTGGTTAATGAACATAAACAGCCTTATTGTTTAATTTATTTCTATTTTATTTTTATGCAGCCCAATGTAGGTCCAATGGTCCTATTGGGACTTGCTCATACCATGCGCATGATTAATAATGTGTGTGAAGGTAATAGGTTTCTGTGAAATGAGAGTAAGATGAACTCAAACCCCTCCCAAGCTTTTAAAAAGAAACCCCAATATCTCGTGACTTGGAGACTGCTTTCTCCTAATTTGACACGTTCTTGGTGAGTGGTCGCATTAGAACAACTTTTGTCCATTATTGTTTTTCCAGGACATTCTAAGGAAACATTTCCTCTACTCCATTGCATTTTATTGTTACGCATCTTTTCATTTCCTCTTTCTTCTTCTTTTCTCCCTTCTTTATTCTATCACTGAAGACTCTGACCGCTTTTTAAGCTGGAGAAAGGAAAGCCAAGCAATAAGGAAGCAGCACTCAGTAAACAAAAAAAATCTCCTACGACAATAGCTGTAGTATCAACACCATCCAAAGAACGTTATCATGGCTGAAAACGAACTTCTTGCTGCGTACAGGAGTATTCCTATCGTCACTCGATCAATACTCACCGCCACTATACTTCTCTCGCTGGCTCCAGCATTCGGGATACTATCTTATCAACTCCTGTTTCTTAGTTGGCCACATGTCATCTACAGATTTCAGGTATAGGTCTTTTTTTTTTTCTCCCTAGATATTATCATTACTATATTTAGTTGTTGTTGCTATTGTTGTTGTCTACTTGGCAAATTAATGTTTTTTTATTTTATTATTACTTTTGGCTTTGGAATAGCTTCATAGACTGTTGACACCGTTCTTTGTCAAAGGATTGGACTTCAACATGTTGTTTGATCTTTATTTCCTGTATACATATGGAATCCAACTCGAGACCACAACATTTGCGGGTCGATCTGCAGATTTCGCATGGTTTATCTTGTTCACGTCAATTATTTCTACTGTAAGTTAAAAAAAAAAAAGACCAGTGCGAACGTTTTTATGTGGTGAGAACTATGGTTAACCAGAGTACTCTGCTCTTTTTTATTTTTTTTATCAGATCGGTGGACATTTCTTGAATCTTGTCATGTTATCACAGTCGCTGTTGCTCGCAGTGATCTACCTCTGGGCCCAATCCAACTCGGAAAGGATAGTATCTTTTATGTTTGGCTTTCAGTTCAAGGTAGGATTTAATAAAATGCTGAAAATACTTCTTTACTTTCCTCTTGATGAAATATTTAACTGATAGTTGTCTTTTATTATTGCTATTGTTATTACTACATAGGCGATCTATTTCCCTTGGGTCCTGATCGCGTACTCATTCGTTATTTCAAGAGCGGTTGTTCCCTGGGATATGATTGTGGGCATTGCATCTGCTCATCTGTACTACTTTTTGAATCATGTATACCCTGGGATGGGAGGACCCCGTTTGATTCCAACACCTACTCTGCTCTATAAACTGTTGCCACGTCAGGAAGTTGCAGGAGCAACATTTGCAAGCAATGGGGAGACTGCTAATATGTACCGAGTCAACACAGCTGGCGGCTCTGGATCTGGAGGAGGACATCAATGGGGACGTGGCCATCGCCTTGGTTGAAGAAAAAGATGTAAAATATATATACTTTTCTGTTAATAAAATTTGATATCCTTCAGCCACAGAGCCACAGAGACATGAATGATTAATTTCTCAGGCATGAGATAAAATGCTCTCAGAGAAGGTTTATTTCAACTGCCTTCATCTCTTTTGCATGTCCACATTCTTTTTAAACTTTTTTTTATCATCCTGCATTCTTTTTTTACATCATCCCTTTTTTGTTTTCCTCCATCCTCTTCATTCTCTCCATTCTCTCCATCTCTTGGATGTTTCTATTTGTTAATTCTTTCTTTTTATCTTTACATTTTTTTTATTCATTTAACTGCCTCTCTTTTTTTCTTGAACCAAGAGAAAAGCAAAGGAAGCTATTTCAGGAACAACGCGCTGTTAAAAATACATCCAACTCCTACCCGTCTCATTGGATTACATTGACAGACATTCATACATTGGCTACCCTTTTATGAAAGGAAGAAAAAAAAGATAGGGTGAAACGGTGACATTCATTAGGACCACTTTTCATACATATTCATATACACGCACATTCCCTTGTCACACTCGCAAGTCATAAAAAAATGATCAGCGCATTCTTCATCTACAACCAGAAGGGAGAGGTCCTCATCTCGAGACTGTACCGTCAAGACCTCAAGTAAGGACAAGAAGGGAAATAATAAAGAATGAAAGAATGAAAGAGAGAATGAGAGAATGAAAGAAAGCTAAAACTGAACATTCCAGCACAGCACAAAATAACAACTATCATATCTAAAAGTGAATGTATTCGTCCGTACGACCATGCCATGGAGATAAAGATCGGAATCATTGACCTATTAATTTTAATTTTTGAATTAAAAAACAAAAAAAAATAGACGTTCGATTGCAGACATCTTTCGTATTCAAGTGATTTCGAATACAGATGTGCGTTCTCCTATTATCACACTGGGTTCGACTTCATTCTTTCATGTCCGACACGAGAACCTGTATATTGTGGCGTTGACGAAATGGAACGCCAATGCAGCATTGATTTTTGAATTCTGTTATCGAGTGATTAATGTGGGGCGATCGTATTTCGGAAAACTGGATGAAGACGCTGTCAAAGCCAACTTTGTGGTTATTTATGAATTGCTAGATGGTAAGTAAAGAAAGAAGAGGAGTTGTGAGAAAGCGAGAAAGGAAGGGAATATTAACAATCATATATTGTATTCAAATCTTTTTAAAAAAAAGAGGTCCTTGACTTTGGATATCCCCAGAACAGTGACCCAGATACGCTCAAGATGTATATTACAACAGAGTCTGTGAAATCAGAGCGAGCGATTATGGAGGACTCTGCTCGAATTACGATCCAGGCGACAGGAGCGACATCATGGCGAAGGAGTGATGTGAAGTACCGCAAGAATGAAGCGTTTATTGATGTGATTGAGTCTGTTAACTTGTTGTTAAGTGTACAGGGCAACGTGCTGAGAGCTGATGTAGCTGGTCAAATCATGATGAGGGCTTATCTGTCTGGCACGCCCGAGTGTAAATTCGGATTGAATGACAAAGTCCTCTTGGAGAAAGACCCTTCTAATCGGAAGTATGTTGAGAAGCTTCTTTTCTTTTTCTTTTCTCTTTTCTCGTTTTCTCGTTTTCTTATCGTTTCTTTTTTTTTTTTTTTTTTTTTTTTTTTTTTTTACTTAAAAAAAATTGATGTAGGAGATCATCCAACACAGTCGAGATTGACGACTGTCAGTTCCACCAGTGCGTCAAGCTGGGCAAGTTTGACAGTGATCGCACCATCAGCTTTATACCTCCTGACGGTGAATTCGAACTCATGAGGTACATTATCTTGGTTCATGGAGTTTATGCTCTTTTGATTTATCTTTAAAAAAAAAAAAAAAAAAAAAAAAGATATACATGTTGACTTTATACATGCTGATTTATACATGCTTATCAAAAAAAAAAAAAAAAAAAAAAAAAAAAAAACAGATATCGTACTTCTGACAACATCAACTTGCCATTCAAAGTACACCCTGTCGTGACAGAGATTGGGAAATCCAAGATTGAATATCGTGTGCTGGTCAAGGCCAACTTTTCATCCAAGCTGAATGCCAACAATGTAGTGCTCAATATTCCAACTCCACTCAACACGGCTGGCGTGACATGCTCGGCCTCTGCAGGCAAGGCGAAGTACGTCCCGGGCGAGAACTCGATTGTTTGGAAGTAAGTCTACTATTTGTATATATTTTATTTTATGTAAAAAAAAAAAAAAAAAAAAAAAAAAAAATGAATATATCCTTCCTGCATTCCTGGACCTAACTCCCACATTTAATTTTTTCTTGATCCACAAAGGATCCCTCGGTTCCAAGGCCAGTCCGAGTATATGTTGACGGCTGAAGCAAACCTGACAGCAATGACACACAAAAAGGCGTGGTCACGTCCACCAATCTCAATGGATTTCCAGGTTCTTATGTTCACGTCTTCGGGACTGCTGGTCCGGTTCTTGAAGGTCTTTGAGAAGAGTAATTATCAATCTGTCAAGTGGGTCCGATACATGACCAAAGCAGGCAACTATCAGATTAGAGTAAGAATGTTGAAAAGGGTTTGATCTGCTTTTTTTTTTTTTTTTATGATGCTGCAGCTTCCTTCATAGCCTAACGACCTGTTTCTTTATCGTTTGTCTCGTAATTTTTTTTTTCTTAGTTTTAAGCAGCACATTATCTTCATCAAATCAAGGAATCAAAAAAAAAAAAAAAAAAAATAGAACAATCCATTAATAAAAACAAAAAAAAAAAAAAAAAAAAAAAAAAATGCACGTTGCTCTGATTTGAAGAGTAATTTATTGTACAATTATATCAATTAGAAAAACCGCAAAAGATCCTAACAAGTCTCTAGCTCCTTCAATGCTTGATACTTAATAGAAATGCTAATGTTAACACAGTGGTTCGTGCAAGATTTTTGCAATGTCAAACCATTGCATTGCACGAAGGACTTTTTCATTCTTGTACGTAGGTTGTTCATCATGGCCCCACACCATAAACTCGTCAAACTGAGCTTCGGTCCTTAGTCGCTTTCGATCTTCTTGCATATCCTTCAACATAGCTTCATATTCTTCTTCTTCCATATTCACATCTTGGTGTTGTGGGTGGGATTGTTGAAATGATTTGACTGGAGCTTCATAGGGTTTGTAAATACTTCCTTTGTATCCTTCAGGGACTTGGATCACCGTACCCTTGAGTGTGCGGCCACGGAAGGAAACTTCAGGAACGGATGGTTTAGTGACAGCGATTGATTCAATTGTGGAAACTGCTTCTGTTGTTGCTGTTGTTATTGTTGTTGGTTCTGACGTTCCTGGAGTCAATGTAGGTACAGCGGTAGTGGCTGTATTAACTTCAGTTGTTTTAGAGACGCTTACTTTCTGTAAAGAAGGTGGAGGATATTCTCCATCGACAAGAAAGAAAAAACTCTTGATATTAGCGTTTCCGTCGTGGTGGATCCCACAAGGCAAGAGATGTAACGTTGTGTGATCTAGTTGTTTGGGCGAAGGCAATGTTGCCACTGGTTGTTCGAGAATGGATTCCATTGGATCTTTTTTTCTTTTTTATAGCTCCCTGTATTAACAGTAAAAAAAAAAAAAAAACTCGTGTGTTGTTCAAGACATAGAATGGACAATGGTAGTTCGAAAGTGACTTGTAAAACATAGAATCGTTCATTTAAATATTTCTTTATCAGGTACAAGTATACAACGCCATTTTCACATTCATTTCGCTTCACTTCTTTCTCATTCACTTATATACAATATAGAAACTAATCAAAAACCCTTTCTCCTTTCTCATATTCCTCTCTTTCTTCCACCTCTTTTTTTTTTTTTTTTTTTTTTTATTCTCCTTTTTCAAAAGGAAACCATGGCCACATTTCACCATGAAGCTCCTGAGACTTCTTCAACCGCCACCACCACAACAGTCTTTCAAGCCTTCCGTGCTCCTAGTCATCCTTACCCTGTACGTATCCCTGCAGTTCAACATCCAATCACTCGAGAGTGGTACGTGATCTGGACCGATATCACTGACTGCTTCCCAGGAGTTGTGCGTGTACAGCACAACGATGTTTATGTGCCCTTTATGCGAGATCAAGATCTTTACAGGTATAAAAATCAGCAACAGGAATGTTCAACTAATACTAATAAAAAAAATGCTATTTAGTAAGCAATGTGGGAAAAGCAACCGTGTTTAATTGATTTTTTTTTATATTATCTTAATAGAGTACGCCCACATGGCATCAAATACCATCCAGATACCATTCTTGATATTATCTATGCCGATCTACAACAGCAGCAACAGCAGAAGAAACATGCAAAGTTGAAGCATGTGCTTCAAGCAGGACAACAGGAACTCCTTGGTTGTGGTGAACCTCTACCTGCATCCCAAGGCAATGGCGGTAGAACTAGCAACAAAAATGATCATAGCAACAAGGAAACCCCTGTTACCTTTGGAGCTAGTCTTTTGGAAACTTACTTGGCAGCCTCATTGCTACAGACCAGCCCTTCATTGAATGGAGCAAGTAACCCTGGAATGATAGAGGCGCAAAAATTTGGAGCAAAAGTTATGCTGAATTATCCAACAACTACAACTATGGCATCATCGTTATCGTCATCATCTCGTTCCTCAACACCATCATTACCTCAACGATCGGGATTTGCTTATGGCCATACGTCAGATGACTTCGATATTAGTGAGAGTGATGAAGACAAATGTGTAGGAAGTGTCAAACAAAGAGAGCCAAGCAAAGACGACACTGAAGACGACCAAGGCAAAGGAGAAATAGAAGATAGTGGTGACGACAAGCAGGGAGAGATAATTGATAGAAATGACGAGACAGCAGCGGCCACTGCTAAAGCGGATAATGCAGCCAAGGAGAGTCAATGCAGGGAATTAAGTAACAGCATGCAATCGCTTTTTGCTCATCCTACCAAATCTGCAGACGAGCATGCGATTTTCCAGGAATGGAAGCCTAACTATCAACTTGTTCATGGTGGCCACCATCTAGTTGACAATAATAACAACATCAGTAGTGGAAACCAATCAAGGATAATTACTACAGCCAAGCAAACTAAACAGGCTAGACGTCAGATTATTCTAGCTGCACATGCGCGCCAAAAGAGGAGAACTACTGCGGCTTCGGGATCGAATAAGCAACCGAAAAGTCCTGTCGCAATAGGCGCTATGGTATGCGCTGCGGCGGACGATATGGATAAGGATGCCAAAGTTGAAGAGCTAAAACTAGAAGTCGAGTCGGAGGCAAATTCTCAGCCTCCATCTCCGTCTCAACAACAGCTTAGCAAAGCCATCGAAGATAAAAAGGAAAAGGATGAGAAGATAGAACCCGTTGCAGCTGAATCCATGCTCTCTTTTGCTGAGAGTAATCAAGTATCTAAGATTCTAGAACCATCAGCGACGATGGAAACAGCTTCACGGGGCTTGAAATCAACTGCCTCAAGCACCATAGTATCAACGTCTATTAATCCTTCGACCAAGCTTGCTGCTGACAACAGCATTGGGCCTTTGACTATCTCACCATCACAAAGCTGGAGTCCATTACCCGATGTCAGCGAGATTGCAGACCCTAATAGGTTGACTGCTGCTAACGTGGTCCGAAAGCGTGTCCAAGAGATCCTTACCAAGCGCTACCGATGGATTGAGGCTTCTGCACCTAAACTTTTTATCGTTTTACCAGCTGCCTCATGGGCAGTCAATGTTGGCCAAGCTGCACTTGAGGAGGTTGCCAGTAAACTATCCTGGTCAGACTTCGCAGTTCATTTTCTATGCGACTGTGGCGGACGCTCAAGAGCAAGTACGACCTTTGCTCACTCAAACCTGACGGATTGCCCATGGGGACATCCTTTGACAAGAGCAGTTGAGCAATCAATGATCGAGCGATTTGGGGATTATATGATGGCCATCTTAGAGGCTCTCAAGTTTGGTGTAGTGCACCATGAGAACGATATCTTGTGCTGTTTCCCTGCAGAGAAAGATCCAGAGCTACAGACACGGATTACATTGGCGATCATTTATCTGGAAAATCAAAAGGTCAAGAGTAGTCAGAGCTTCTTGAACCAAGATCCATCGGGTTCGTCAACGAAAATTAGTGATATTCCATCGGTGACACCACTGGGAAAGAGAGATTTTGCTGCCATCTCTAGTCTCTTTTTTTTGGGAGATCCTCGTCGGATGCTGGAGGACACGCATCCAATCCTAACGCCAGAGCGAGACGTACGTTGGGTATGCTTGCATCACTGTGTCACCATGTCACCTAATGATGCTTGGACCAGCGCCTTCCGTTTCTCCGGTGACTCTGCATCTACTGTAACAGAATTCAGGACTTCGACAGGCGCGTTCCGAGTCGTGATCACGACTCGCGAACGGGCACGCGAATACTACAAGTTGGCAGAGAAGCTGGTAACAACGTCGGTGTTGCGCATCTTTTTGGACTGGGAAATGAACAATGAAGACGAGGAGGAACTCCGTCAGGCGATTGCCAAGTTCAAGGCTGCCTGTGTCCGGGTTCAAGTACGGACGGATTCTGCATATTCGGGAAAAGTGCTCGGGTTTGGACATGGATACTCCGACATTATTTTTGAGGTACTCAAGAACAAGAACATTGAAGCATTTGTGATGGATGTAGGCCCGAAGGATGACCCGTCGCTCTATGGTTACAATGAGCGGTACGATATTACTAGGACATTTACGACTAGTGATCAGCGTTTCCGGCTGGTCCGTTTCAAGCGAAGTTCTAAGGATATCAATAAAATCAACATGAGGATCCTAGTTACAGACATTGACCATGGAGTCCAGCGGATCCGAAGCATGTTTGAGGGCCTTCACCATTTCACAAAGCTGAATCTTGTTATGGAGGATATACATGAAAACGTGTCGATTAAGTTTTTGAAGCCGGGTCAGCCAGGGGCCGAAATTGAGGACTCTGAATATCAGACGGGAGATTTGTTACAGTGGCTCGAGAAGCGTGGGAACCAAGATACGATTCATTACCGTGGCCTTTTGAAATCTGATAACTGCTTCCTTCATTCCAGAATACTGACGAGTTTGTATCTTGGTTATTCGTATGCGCGTGATCGAAAGAGAGTGTGGCATATTATCAAGAGTAACAAGCGGTTGGTGACAGTTGAGCTCGAAATCGTGGGCCAAGATGATCCTAGTCAGATTTACGAGAGTTACAAGAGCTTAATGGCAAACCATCCAACGCTCAAGACTTTCCAAATCTTTCAGCGACATCATCGCATGTCTTCCGAATTCCAATGGTCAGATATGTCGGATCCTAGCAAGATGAAGGTCCGGATTACGACCCATGAGGGTGACAAAGTAGCATCGATGTTCCAAAAGTATGCAACGTCATTAAGTAGCCTTGATATTTATGGCATTACGTCCCAAGATGCCGCAATATTAGAGAAGTCATTGAGACCCAGGAAGGGGCCATTCAAGCTGAAGAAAATCTTGATCATGGATGCACATCTGATGGAGGACTCTACACTCGAGGATCTTCGAAAAATTATTCTGCGAGGTAGTTTTGAGAATATTAATATGATTGTTGATATTCGAAAGCTGAAAAAGAGCATTGCTGGGTATTCAGATGAGGAAGACAGCACTATAGGCGAGAGACAAAGTCAGGGACAGCAGATTCCGAAGAATAACAGTAAAGCTGTAGCAGTGAATGGCCAAAAGAAGACGAAGAAAAAGATGCTTACCAATTCAGATCAAGCCAAGGAACGAATGCAGACCGAAGCACTTAGGAAGTCTATAGATTTTATGATATCGATTGGGACGAAGGTGACGATGTTTGATGTATGGGGGGCGAACACCCAAAGAATGCTTCAGTATCTAGCGGCCAAGACACCTCAAACAGCCATCTTACCGAGCCTAAAAACTATTTCTATCAGGGTCAAGAATGGACAATTATTGGATCAGAAATGGTTCACGGAGGTGTTATTTTACAAGAGCGCACCGATCAGAGAACTGTGGGAAGAGCATGCTGCTCGCTGCGCTTCGGGTAAAAGTGGGGCCAGGAATGGAGGAGCTACTGTTCATAATAACAATAACGGAATAAGCGCTAATTATCATCAACGTCGCCACGAGAATGACAGCGATAAACAACAACAGCAGGATCAGCAGGATCAGCAGGATCATGATTACCAACAGCAACAACGCGAGTTTGTTATGAGACTGGAAGAAATTTCCGGGTTCACAGAAGCATTTATAAATCAGCATGTCTCAGGCGCGTTTGAACTGGCGAGTGCAGCGTTTGAGTGTCCACAGAGGATTGCACCATTGGATGATGTTTCAATCCAAGATGTTGAAATCCAAGCAGAAGATTGGTACTTTTTGTTGCAAGCGCTAGATTTTAGAGAGATCCGAATGTTCCAGTTGGAAGTAGCGAGTCCGATATCGGGAGAGATGCTGAACAAGTTGTTAGATGCCATTCCGGACATGAGTTGTGCGTTAGAGTCGTGCTCAATCTCTGTCCCTGGACCGACTCCTGAAGAGGCTTTGCATTTTCAACAGGAGTTGATGAAGAAGGCGATGATGAGTAGACGAGCCGATGATGAGAGGCCAACAATTATGGTCAATGGCTATATCTGATGATGACAGTGACAATATGATATTAATAATGATTGTTGATGGGAGCGACGTTACTGTTAATGATATTCTATTTTGGATCAGGAATGACATGGACTGTGTAACAATGGCGTTTGTCGAGTGAAAATTATTTACCATTGCGCGCACAAACGACAATGTTGACACAAAAGTCGACAAATAAAAATAGATCAAAGACAAACATTTTGGTTCTTAGGAGATCTTTGTATTACCAGCAACTAGTCTTCATCATGTATTGCCTTGATTTTCTTTTCTATAAGCTGGATTAAAAAAAAAAAAAAAAAAAAAAAAAGCTTTTTTTACAATGATTGCAAGGGATGTTCAGGAATCATGTAAGGGTCCAGGAACAACCAGAGGCTTTGGGAAGCTTTATTCTTTCATTTCAACTAGAAACAATATTTGCTGCGCTTACTGTTCTTCTTCACTTTTTATCTTTTGACATCATTGTGATCAAGGTTCCTCTTCATGCAGTATCCGCTTTTTTTTTTTTTTTTTTTTTTTTTTTTTTCACGCTCTGACGCCTATGAGAAACGAGGATATTGCCACTAATTTTTTTATTCTTTTTTCCTTGTCTGGTCTAGTCAATTGTTTCTTGTTATGCCTTTGCCTTGTCTATAAAGAATAGCATTCCTTCCTAACTTCTAACGGTCAGTCATTTGATCAGTCTTCACCAAAAAGACTCTCTTTCTTTCTTCTATCTTTCTTTTTTTTTTTTTTTTTTTTTTGTTAAAATTAAGGTAATAAATAAAAAAACTATGTCATGGACTATACACATTGTTCACACTGCTCCACTTTGCAAATCAAGGAGAGAGTCTTCAAGGAGGCGCTTTTTCTATAATTGTACTTTTACACTACGATTGGCATCAAGAAGCGTAAGGCGATATTCATTTGTTGACAGTTTTTTTGTTCTTATTTGTCTCTAGTGCACAGGCAGAACAGCTTTACTTGATTCTCATTGGCAGTGATGCATAACCAAGACTAATTTAAAAAAAAAAAAAAAAAAAAAGACCATGACCACAAACACATGTATATCCCTATTGCTATAAATCTACATGTTACTGTTGCATACTTCATCCAAATCTCAGTAACTTTGTTTTTGACATGCGGTTAGCATGATATGTTCTCGAACCAGATCAGATGCATCAGATTTCTTCTTGGCAGTGTACTGGTTTGTTTGTTTGTTTGCCTTGATGCCATTACTGATACACAGCCGCACATGGCCTTTGCACAGATTTAAAAGGGACAACCCCCCTCTTTTCTCAAAACTTCATCCCTATCCTACTCCCTCCTCTTCAGCCTCCTCCTCATCTTCCTCCTCCCTATCCTCCTCCTTATCCTCCTCTCCATCCTTCCCCTCCACATCCCCCTCTTTCTCTCGCTCGGTTAATTCTGTTCCTAGTCTACTTTTTTCTTCTGTTTGCTTTCATTCCTTCCTTTGACCATTGCTGTTGGTCTCTTTCTATTCCCCACATCACCATTAATGAAACCTTCTTTCACTGCAGTATCTTTGTATTACACTGTTTAATTATCAGAAACACACCCTTGGTTTCCTTATAGAATGAAGATCCTCAACACTATTGTTTCGGTTCTCACTGCCGTGACTCTTGTCTCTGCAGGAACATTCCACAATTTCAAAGCCAGTTCATCAGAGCCTACAAAACCAACATCATCATTGGCCCCAACTATCGCTCGTGGCTACATCATTGAATATGAAGATGGGATTATGCATCCAAGTGCCTATACATCTCTGAATGATCATCAGATCGCTTATGAGATCCGCAATGAGTATGGCATCTTCAACGGAGCAGCCATCTCTGTCCTCTCTAACCACGATGGTAACGACCTAGCAGCCATCCCCACTATCAAGAACGTCTGGCCTATCCAATTATACTCCATCCCAAAGACCCGCCCTGCTGATATCAATGCCACCGATCCTGCAGTAACATCATACCATTCAATGACAGGTGTTGACATTGTTCATCGTAAATTGAAACTGACAGGTAGAGGCGTTAAAGTTGGAGTGATTGACACTGGTATTGACTACAAGCACCCAGCCTTTGCTACTCATGGCTCCACCAAAGGATGTTTTGGAAAAAACTGTCGTGTTGCATATGGATGGGACTTTGTAGGAGATCAATACAATGGTGAAAACAAGCCTACACCTGGTCCTGACCCTATGGACTGTGACGGCCACGGTTCACATGTCGCAGGTATCATTGGAGCGAATGCATTGGAAATCAAAACCAATCCCAAGCCCCCACAACCATTTGTGGGTGTAGCCCCTGAAGCAACTTTGGGTGCATACCGTGTCTTTGGATGCGAGGGTAGTTCTGCAGACGATGTAATCCTAGCTGCAATGGAGCGAGCATACCACGATGGCATGGATGTAAGTCAAAAAAATGCACTTAGAGATGTTTAGATCCTTTTTTTTTTTTTTTTTTTTTTTTTTGTTTAGCGAAAGTGTGCTATACGCTAAAAAAAAAATTTCCGAAACACGAAACAAAAATTGACGTATACAAACAATCCCATTTTAGCTCATCAACCTGTCCCTGGGAGGTGGGTCCGCATTCAAGAGCAACCCACAGGCTGTTCTCGGTGACAAGCTGATTGCCAAGGGGATGGCTATCCTTGCTGCAGCTGGCAACGACGGAGACCAAGGCATTTGGATGGTCTCTGATGCAGGCCTTGGTGACCTCTCTACCTCAGTCGCTTCCATTGACAATATTGTGGGACTGTACCCTTACTTCACCTACGCTGGAAACAGATATGCTTACAAGCCTTCAGATGGCTATGGCAAGGCCATCAGCCTCCCTGCTTCTGCCACCCCAGTCCCTATCCACTATCAGAACGGTACACTTACAGATGGATGTGACACGGACGCGTATAAGGGTTTGGACGTCAAGGGTAAGGTTGTACTCCTGCTCGGAGATTTCACACGTTGCAAGTCTAGTACCCGTGGTGCAATTGCCAAGGAAGCTGGTGCAGCTGGTGTCTTAATTCAGTCCGTCCCCTTTGGCTTAGTATCCATCGCTGGTATCCCAGAGTTCCCTATGGCATCTATTGAAAACAAGGCTGGTACGGAGTTGATCACTGCTTATAAAAAGAATCCTCAGAACAAATTCACTTGGGGTAAAGAGCCTGCTACTTTCCGGATTGAAGGAGGTGGTCGACCATCCGGCTTCTCTTCTCTTGGAATAGATGGTGACCTCCGATCCAAACCCGATATTTCGGCTCCTGGTGGGAACATTCTGTCGACCTTCCCTCTCAAAAAGAATGGATACGAGGTCTTATCCGGCACCTCTATGGCTACCCCGTATATGGCTGGTGCGCATGCTCTCTACATCCAGGCAAAGAAATCCGAGCCACGTGGTGATGAAGTCCGTAAGGTCTTCAAGAATACAGCCACCTACGTTAAGAATGCTGATACAAATACTTATACCTCGGCTGTGAAACAAGGCGCTGGGCTGGTCAATGTCTACAATGCTCTCACTACCGTTTCCTCTATCACCCCCGATCACCTCGATCTGTTGGATACGAACCACCTCCAGAAAACTGCCCAAATTACTCTCACAAACCATGGCAAGAAGGCTGAAACCTACACTCTATCGCACGTGCCAGCTGATGCCCTTAATTCATACCCTAATAAGAACAGTTTCCCTCTGTTGGAGCCCTTGGTAGAAGCAGATTACGCATCAGTCATATTCTCGACCACCACAGTCAAGATTCCAGCTGGGAAATCCGCTAAAATCACCATCCGGTTCAGTGAACCTTCTGCTGGAGAGCGTTCTCAGTTTCCATTGTACTCTGGCTATCTTGTTGCAACCCCTTCATCCAAGGGCGGTGTTCCTGTAAACGTCCCTTACATTGGCCTGAAGGGAGACGTTTCCGAGGTTCCTATCATGGACACTGATCTTGGATTCCCGACCTTGCTTGCTTTGGATGCCAAGACTGGTAACCTAACTAAGGTACCAGACGGGGGTGTCTACTACTTTGACTTGACAGAGACGATCCCTGTGATCCTAACTCGCCTAGGCTCACATACACCTTCAGGAGAGATCCGTGTCTATGACTCCGAAAATGCTTTTAAAGGATACCTTCACACCAAGGCTGGTACAGCGCGCGACCCCCGTGGCAGAGACTTGTCGCAAAAAGAAGGTAAACTTGTCTTTGGGTCCTGGATGTGGGAAGGTCAGGTTATGGGGTCCAAGACTTCGACAAAGCCTACTAGCTTACCATCTGGCGTCTATAAAATCGTTGTAGCTTCACAGAGGAAGCTGAGCAAAGGTGCTTACCCCAAGGACTATGAAGTGTTTGATCTCGGCAACATCAAAATCTAAAATGCAAAAATACGAAACGAGGCCAAGAAGAGAGAGGAAGGTCAATAGAGCAGATTGAGGAAAACAGTGTATTTTTATACATACCACTACATCTTTTTATATATTATTGTTATTATTTATTAGTCATAAACGTTACATATATCCTTTTGAATACTTCACACGCAGAAAACAAATAACAAAGCCATATATCACAAGATACAGGAAGTCAGGATATCCTGAGGGCAAATAAAAGTCAGCTTTGTAATTTGTTCCGCGTCGTGGATCTGAAAATCAGGGTGAGGATACTCTCAGCCCCCTCATCTACCTCAAAGAAGCATCATCCGGATTGGATTCCGTTCGATGGTGGACATTAATGTAAATGGCCCTTTACGGGTTGCCTAGCTACCCAGTTACTTTAGCCTTTTTTTTTATTTAAAAAAAAAAAAAAAAAAAAAAACGTAGATTTACTCCAATGACAAATTTGTAGCAATTACCTTGTCCATCCCGAATATAGTATTCTTCGTAGATAGTGTAGAAGAAAGCAGAGCTGCTTTTTCGCCTCATCAATACCCCCCCATACTTTAGCGCGCTGGAAGTGTTTTTTCGTCTCGAAAAAGCAATGCACTCAATCTAATATCATCGAGTGGAATAAACTTTTTTAATGCCATTATTGATAGTGTCTCGACATGTTCTCTTTCCCTCTGCTACAAGCGGTAGATAAAGTACATGAAGGCGCGCTGTAAAAAGGGGCCTAGTCGACTCCCTCACCATCTAACTCTGTGAGGGCTCTCTTTTTCATCTGTTTTGATGGAAGGAAAGCCTTGTCCCCATTGACAGGGGGCACATGCCATTAGCAACCTTTTTTTTTTTTTTTTTTTTTTTTGTACAATTTCCCGACTGTGCCATGTGGTATATGTACCATCAACCAAACCGCTCTAAACGCTGGAGATAAATGTTTGAGGAATGAGTCAAATACTTGCTGCGCCATCTCAAGTTCATTAAAATCAGTACCCTTTCAAAGGAAATCATTAGCCTGCAAATGGTTCCAGATGTTTTTGACATCCCAATCCCCTTCCCAGTCCAAGACATAATCCTGAGCAGCAGCGTAGGGCATTTGACTTCACTTAATAGCATAGGATGCCGGCCTCGAAGTTGAGCTGTTTGGTAAGAGCTTTTCCGATGACACAGACGCGACAGTGGCTAAGTGTATGACCCTAATAACATCACAAACGCCGCGCTTTCCTCTTACTCACTTTGGGGGACACTCTCCTCTGCTTCATTATCATCATCGTCCTACTCTTCATCCCTTTTATCCTTCTCCTGCTCCTTATCATCTTTATCCCTATCGATTATTTACATTCAGTTCCTTCTGCTGCTGTTCTGCTACTCATCAGAAGACCCATCAACCGGTGCCTTCCCTTTGAATTCTTGCCATAGATTTGTATTTTTTTTTTTAAAAAAAAAAAAAAAAAAAAAAAAAAAAAGAGAGAGTCGTGTTGGCGACGTAAAGAGCCGATATCTGCATTTTATGCTCATGGCGCTGGAGACAAAGCGCAGTATAGCCAAATAGTGTATGCAGGTCTCTGACGACTGCCAACAGCATTGGATACTTAAGAGATATGATACCGGATTGAATGGTACTACTCTTTACGGCCCATCCTGCACGGTTTCAGCTTATCTAGGACCTTTCGGATTGCCAGTAGCTCGCTGCTGCTTTCATGGAAGTCGAGCCATCACACAAATAGAAAAATAAACTAATGCTTGCTTTATTATTATTAATAATATTATAATTTCTGACGGCAATGTAGGAGATGGAAAATAAATGAGGAAAATGTGGATCCACAGAGTACACTCAAGTTTTGATCCATTTTTCGTTAATAAAGACAAAACATATTTCCATGCCGACTACAGGATATCATGGGCTGTTTATGGATATTCATACTGTAAGCTCATCAGGAAGGAGGGATAGGAGGCTATTCCGCTCGGAATGTTTACACAAACGACGCTGCTGCCGCAACTCTATTTGGGTGACCAAGGCGAGAGCAAACTCCATACAGCTGATGACACAGGCTCCATTTCCATTCTAAAGCTTTGTTTCCTCAGTGGGGCCACCACCAATTTGATCTCGTGGGGCCAAAAGGCTCCAGCAAAGCCGAGGCCATACGCTATATACTGGGGCTTAGGAGCGTACTTCACTTCTATTTTTATTCATAAGGCCATGTCATTGTATAACAGTCATGGCGAAATCTTAATACAAGATTCCCACCTGGTAACTATAGCTTTTGATCTCTTTGACTTACTATCTCGAAAGCATCTCACCATAAAAGCCGTATCTCATCTCCGAAGGCTGCTGGGCCGAAGACTGCCACCTGTAGGCTCAAGATTCTGGCCTACATATTTCCTTCAGCTGTGGTCTTCCGGCACGACCCACCAGCCAAGCGTCCGCGTTCCATGATCTCTGTACGCATGCCTCTGTCAGCGTTCTTGCATTCTTTAGTACCTACCATAGAGGCCTTGAAATGGCACGGCAGGACTTTGTTAGGTGGTAAGGCGCATCGAGTGAATATCCAGGGAAAGTCACCAAAGCCACGGCGCTCGTCAATGTCGTACTGGAGACTTCGCCTTTAAATGGGGAGTATGGAGCTGAACAAACAAACAAAAAAAAAAAAAAAAAAAAAAAAAAAGGGGGGAAAGGTAAGTCATACATATTAAGGAGGATAGTCAAAGACCTAATACGCTCGACTGCAGGTATTGAGCCAGGGGATCATTTCCTCATTATTAGAGCTTCTGCAACTTAGCCGTAATCCTAGCCTCGTTTGGACACTCGAGCGCAAAGGCTTCGTAAAGTAGACCATGTTTCGTCAGCTGTTTTGATTGGGAAGACCTCGATAGCTAGTGCTTACGCTTCTGAGGCTAGAAGCTTCAAGCGGAGGGCTTGTTCCGTGAAATCGCTACCGTGGCATCTAGAGGGTATGGACTTTGATAGAAGCAGGCCGGAGTTAAGAAAAGTATAGAGTTGAGTTTCCAGATTAATAAAAACAACACTATTCCGATAAGGAAAGAATAATGATGTGAGTGGTTGGGAGCTTAATCCGTACCAAATTTGATCAATGCCTACAGGGTTCCTAAGCAATGAAAGGGAAGAATGAGCTGATGGCTGACCTGAGCTCATTTTACGCGTCTTAGTGTATCACCAATAGCTTTACAAGTAAGTAAGTAAAAAAAAAAAAAAAAAAAAAAAAAAAAAAGCGCTGTACCTTGCCTCTCTATTCCTCAGCTGAGTCCCTTTGCTTTCCCCCCTTTGCTTCCCGCTTGAGTCGTTTCCGGGACTGTTAGTCAAGGACCAAAAGCTCCTTTATTATTGTTGCCAGGCGGAAGCCTTTTATTAAGTCCTCTTATGACCGTCACATGATGATCTGACCCTATGAATAAAGATGGAAGTGGCCCTGAGGTGCACTCCCAAGCCTCTCCTGCCCTCTCTCGCTCAGAGAGGATATGTTACTTAGGAGCACACCTAGACCGGTCTGGTTACTGCCAGTGCCAGTGACGGCATCGTCGCTTTCATATGATGGTGGTGGCCTTGGTGAAGAATTCTAGGCCGGGGCTACCCTGCCATATCTGTTTACAAGAAAGGCATTCCTCTGTACGAGTAGATTATAGACCAGAAGTATGACGCATTTCATATCCCCGTCTGATCTCACGCAACAAAGAAAATAGACCTTGTGGCATATGTGCCTCGTATTCCAGTTTTGACTGATCATATCCTGCCTTTATCGAGTCGATGGCCCTTTTTGTAGGATTTTAGTTTGAATCTTTGTAGGGTACTTCACCAAGGCTAGTTTTCACCTTCCCCAGCAGAGGTCAGCCGCATTGGTTTTTTTTTTTAAAAAAAAAATGATGCGAATTCTTCTTGAAGTTGAGTACGGCGGACTTTTTTTGACCTCCTGCTGTAAAAATGGAATTCCTCCGCAAACTTCCTCATTCAGACGCGCTTGATGTTGTCATCCTGTATTCCTATCGCCCACTCAAGATATGCCTTTGATATCATTTTAAAGAAGAATAAAAAAAAAAAGAAAAGAAAAAGAGAGGAGACCTTAGTAACGGCATTTGCCACCATTTTAGAATTCACTCAAAAAAAAAAAAGTTGTGAGTTACCTGATTAACTCTAATTGGTATAAGGTTGAGTTAGAAACATTGTCTCTTGCTAATTATTTTTGAAAAATGGACACAGAAAGAGAAAAGTTTTTTCAAGTGAACTAACTGCAATGGAAAGAACGAGATTAATGAAAGAATAAAATTTCCAACCATTGCTCATGACAAGAATGACAAGACGTGCATTTCAATGAAAGAAGCGAAGAAGCTTAAATGCAGGCTCTTAAAAATGAAATTTGTATATTCATAGCATTCTTAGCATTGGAGAATGGAAGCTACCCCTTTGTAATGATTGTGAGATATCCAAGTGGAATGAAGACAAGGCAGAGCATTGACGCGTCCCTTTCTTAAATACGCATTAATCACATCAATGAAAATATCCACCCGGCACTTAAATCTGCTAAAATTACGTCACTTTTGTTTACAGCCCCATTAACGCACGCTTTACACGCGTTACGTTTAATAAGAGTTGCATATGCTGCATTTAATAAAAGTTGCACACGTCTCAACGGTTTTTGGAGTTCTTTGATCCATATTCGCTTTTTCATACAGAACCATTGAATTTTAGAATAATCAGCTTGCGCGTATGAAAGTCCACTTCCATTCCCCAATCCCTCATCATTGTTTTTTTCTGGCATCCTTTCCATACAGAACCATTTTTTCACCGCAAAGAATAATCACATCGCGTCGATTTTTTTTTTTTTTTTTTTTCAATTTTTTCTTTTTGTAATTTTTTTTTCTTTCTGATTTTTTTTTCTTTCTATTTTTTTTCTTCCCTTTCTAATTTTTCTTTACCTTCTTTTAATTTTCGTTTCCATCGATTTTTTTTTTTTTTTCAATCCTCCTACGCGACCATTCAGAGGACACCATCAATCCAGCCTTTCTACTCTTATGAACCGGTAAGTCAAAGGATTTTCTTCAACCACTTCAGCCGCCTCTGGTTGCACGACATCTTACTAATGCATTGCCTTCTCAAGCTAGGCGATTGACGCGTCAGTGCCTACACGACCGTGGATGCGGCTTGATGGTCAGTTCTGTTGTCTGGTCCAGCAAAGTGCAGTCTCTAAGAATTGAGAACGCCCAGAGAATTTCAACAGCTGATGTGCACAGAGTTTGACGCATACACCTTGTTCAATGCATTACTTCCTCGACCCGGGCGATTGACGCGTCAACGCTTACGCAGTTATGGATGCGATCTGATGGTTAGTTCGTTGCCTGGCCGTACTATCTAAGTGTTGAGAACGCCCTAGGATTTCAACAACTGATGTGTATAGGGTTTGGCATAAACCATCTAGAGGGGCATCACAATTGCACTGGTGTGTCCTACTGGCTCAGGCAGTGTGTTTTCTGAATCCCTGAGAAGACTGCTATTGCATGGATGCTTCTGCAAAGTCGCGTCTTTATCCGTCACGAATCCCTCGTTACTGGCGAGAGGGCCGTGTTGGCGCGTTAGTATGTTAAGTAGGACACGGAATCCAGCTTGGTACTCCCTACGCCGAGGAACCTTGTTTTTGATGAGCATAGTGCTTGTCGAATGGGCAATTGTTATGCATTGGAGTGTTCTACTGGCTCGAACAGTGTGTTTTCTGAATTTCTGAGAAGACTGCTATTGCATGGATGCTTCTGCAAAGTCGCGTCTTTATCCGTCACGAATCCCTCGTTACTGGCGAGAGGGCCGTGTTGGCGCGTTAGTATGTCAAGTAGGACACGGAATCCAACTTGGTACTCCCTACGCCGAGGAACCTTGCCTCTAAAATCCTTTATACAGGATAGCTCAAATGAGCTATTGACTTTCACTAGGGGATTTTCGCGAACCAACAAGGATTTACATCAGCTGAGAATGAACTTTAAAGGGTTTGATGTGGTTTTGAAAACCATTTTCGTCTTCGCCATAGAAATGTTTACGGAACGACTTTGTTATGCAGTTATGCATTGTGGCAAAATGTTTTTTTTACGTCGTACACGCTTTTTTTTTTTATCTGTCGCACATGTGCATGCTGCAGGGGAAGGCTAAGTCGAAAAAGAGCTTGGAGCACCATGCTGTCAAATGTACGTGCCGCACACTACCACCACCTCCGACTACTACTGTCCTTTTTTTTTTTTTTTTTACCTTATAGTCATGGGACGCTCTATGAGCAGACCATTTCCCTCGTGTATTGTACGACCAAGAAAAAAGGTTCGTGCGCTGTGCATAAGCCACTCAAGTAGACTGGGGGAAAAAAAAATGGTAAATCCAGCCTGAAAATAGAGTGTTTTAAGGTTTTCTTTCATTCTATTTCACTCCCACGATGTGAATTTGTCCCAAAGAAAAAAAAAGTCATTTTTTTGTTTGCTTGTCAGACCCGCTTGTCAAACTCTTTTTTCTATTATCAACCCTTTCAAACATGTCAAAGCCAGCCCATCCGTTTAAGGATGTCACGCATATCCCGAACGTTTTTTATTTCCTGAGCACTAACCCACAACGCTATGAAGCCATTGACTACTTCAGAACCTTCTCGGACTTGCACACTTCCAAAAAGGCCACCCTACACAGGTACTGGGGGTATGTAATTGACATCCTCCGTGCCAGCAGTATCCCCAAGTTCCATAATAGCGGTAACAGGTTATCGACAATCTGGAAGGCCCCAGGTAAAGGATTGACAGATTTCTGGAAGCAGCAAGAAGAAACCGAAACCGCACAGGATGATCTCCATGCAACCACAATGATGGTCCGAAAGAGGTCATATCGTTCAGTCCGACACCATATTTCTCAAGCATTTAATGCTGTTGACAATCGTAAGATACTCTATTTGAGAATACTGTACTTTTGTCTTCAGTGTCATAACCATATAATACTCACGTGTATTTTTTTTTTTTTTTTTTTTTTTTTTATATAAATAAATAAATAAATAAAAGACACAGTCTATGAAAGCAGCGGCTCAAAGAGAAGGCACTATTCGGTAGGCCTTCTGGTGCATGCCAAAGCATTTGAAGAATTGGAAAAGCCGGAGCAGGAGGAACTGGGTGAGAAGCAGTTGGATAAGGATAAGAAGGAGAGGGAGGATGAGGAGGGCAAAGAGAAGGCGAATAAAGAACAGAACGACGACGATAATGAGCTAGAAGAGAGTGCTTTCCAAAGTGACTCAGACGAGTGCGCTTCTCAATGCTCAGAAGGGTCAGAGTACTTGCCAGGCGGAAAGAAATCCCAAGCAGCATCTATTTACTATTTCACGGGAAATGGCAGCTCAGATTGCTCCAAGGAGCTCTGGACCCCGTGGGTCATTGAGGGTGAAGACCTTGCTGGGAAGATTTGGGAGTATCGAATGATGATTTGCCAGAAGGCCAAAAAACTCGAGGCACTCTCTGGGTCTGTAGAGAAGTTGTAAGCATTTGAGTAACAGGTTCATTCAATCGTCACAGATATTTTTTCTGAGGTACATTGCTCTTACTTTTTTTTTTTTTTTTTTTTTTGGCTAGGGCCATAAACCACATCTATCTATTCGACCCGAAAGATACGTCAAGTGCCCTTTATGATGCCATTGGGGCCGCACACTGGGCCATTATCACGTCTATGTCATTGAATAAGCTCCTACCAAGTGACTCGATTTCGAGCCTGGTATCCTATGCTATCGAGTTGAGTCAAATGTCTTATGCTACTGCCCAGGATTGTGTCTTGGACTGGGAAGGGGATCGAGATGTCAAAAAGATCTTGAACCACTTGCTGGCTGATGACTTTCTTTGGAAAGATGCTGATTTTAATGAACTTGAGATGGTACAGCATGTATTTGACCCATTCCTCAAAACATTTATCTCCAGCATTCAGGGCGGCATTGGCCGATGGTACATACATGACATGACGCAGTCGGCAGATTGTACAAAAAAAAAAAAAAAAAAAAAAAGATACTAATAGCGTGTACCCCCTGTCAATAGGGACAAGATCTTCCTCCCATCACAACAGAGGAAGAAGAACGCCCATATAGAGACAGAGGGTAGGGGAAGGCGGCCAGATTTCTTCCTGCAGTGTGAATTCCCTGGGTTGAAAAGCTTTTTATATGTCATGGAAGCCAAGAAAACTAGTCAGAAGGCAACTCTTCAAAATGATCTAGAAAAGGTGGCATTTCTCCTCAAGGATGCCATTGATGACATGGCTAGGCAGCGAGTTGATGTTGTCAAGTTGAAAGTGTTTGGGATGGTTGTGGTTGGTAAGTAAAAAGAGCTTGATGTCTATTGAGAGGATGTATGCCAATAATATCCCCATACTACTTACTAATGATGTCTAAAATACTGGCAACAATCTTTTTTTATTTTTTTTATTTAGGGGTTGAAGGAGTACTCTACTCCATGCAGTTGGTGGCAAGGGGCATCTACATAATGAAACAATATGCCGTGGTATATGCCCCACGGTCCCAGTTTGACCTCTTTGTGGTAGCAGGAGCCATCAATACATTCCTGAACCTGAGGGAGGAGCTGATCACAACAATGGAAGTGTGTCGAAAGTCCCGTCTAGAAAAACCCACAGACCTGACGCGGCCGAGCTTTGGAACCCCTATCAAAGTGAACCGAACAGGCATCAAAGAGGACTTTTCGGGCTCCCCTTGCCTTCGCCAAGTGGTTTTACAAACTGCCAAATAGTAGGATTTTAAATAACAATTTCCTCGCGCTCACTTAAGGCTACCTGAAATCCCAATGTTAGGATTACCGGGATTCAATCAAGATATAGTATATTACTCGATTAAGGGAAGCACTGCCAAATCTAGAATCTAAGCAAGTTTTGCCCACACGACTTCTAGCTCAACAGTCAATCAATCGACATCCTACCAGCCCTAGCTAAAAGGGAAAGGTACAAAAAAGAGTCACCACTAGCTTCAACGTTCATGAGTAAACAAGCCAAGGTTGCCTTCTCTCGATGAAAGCAGATCTTGGTCTACAATTGAAGGCTCGTTTGAGATAATCTACCAGCTATTCGTAAAGAGCTGCTGTTTACAAGATGTAGCACAACACGTTGGCATAAGATGTTCGAGTAGTGACATGACAATAAATTGCATATTTATAAATATAAATAAAGATATAATGTTTATTTATTATTTTTCTCTTTTTTTTTTTTTTTTTGCTATTTTTTTTTGATTGACAAGTGTCATGGCGTCGTGCTGTGAGGGGTACATTTCGTGGTTTGACATTATCGGCACAAATGAATCAGTTACAAAAGACGGATGATGTTTCTCTTTCCTTATATCTCTGCTTTGTCTCTCAAAGATAAGCAGGAAATAAAAAGAAAATAAGTGTTGGTGCTGTGCAGGATTGGCATTGCGATTTACGGATAAAAAGAAAAGGACTAATGGACATATGAAATTAAAGATGCAAAAAGAAAAATGGTATGCACGGATCCTTTTTTTTCCTTCTTCCTAAAAGTTGGTTGGTTGAAAGATTCTTACACGGGGTATTGATATGTGTCGTGTAAAAAACGCACAACCCAAACTTTTCAGGAAAACCAGGAAAAAAAAAAAAAAAAAAAAAAAAAAAAAGGATCCAAAGCCAGTTCGCGTGAATGGCCATTGTCTTATTTTCAGCTTCTAGGTCAACAGCGCTTCTTAATATGCAGAACCGCTCAAGGGACGATGTTGTTGAGATTGGTGCATCAAAGAAGTACGTCGTCCGCCTTTGCTTGTAGGACTAACCAAAGGCACTTTGTTTGGTGAACTAGACCGGGATCCTGCTTGACCAGAATGTGAAGAGGATCGAGGAGACGACATCGTTGCGTTGGCAGTCGAGTATGAGGGAGGAGGTTGAAGTAATGGTGTGACAAGTGATCGACAATTGACCAAACGAGCCTCCAATGACTATTGAACACATTGAGTTGAATACGACAATGTCAAAAAGTTAGTTTGGCTCTTCCTCTCTCTCAAAGATCATACGAAATAGAACATATCAAATTAAGCGATGAACAGTTATTCCATACCTTGACGCGTCCGACCATTTCTTTAACCATCTCGACAGGATTTTGGTAAGGAGGGGACAACCCTGCCCCTGCCCCTGGTCCTTCCCTTCCTCCTAATGCTGGACGCACTCTGCTTTCTGCACGCACTCTGCTCTCCGCACGCACTCTGCTCTCTGCACGCATACCCTCCGTACGCACCCTGCTTTCTGAACGGACTCTGCTTTCAGACCGCTGTGCGGCTGCTGCGCTCTTTGCCAACCTTGCACGGAGAGCGGGCATAGCTTCATTGCTTCCAATGACAGATGACTTGCGTTGCTGTTGCTTCTCATGATCAGGTGCATTGGCCAGCGAGGATGTGCTTCCACTAAGTGAGCTCACACTACCGGTTGGTGAGTGTAGGGGTGCCTGGTTCGATTTCATAATTGCAAGTTCTTCATTTGCATCTATAGAAGACATCGAATAAAAATATATAAATAAAAGACCACTTGGAGATGCATAGTTTCTTTAGAGGAAATTAAACTTTGGCTACGTGGCATTACCTCTCAGTTCATCCTTAAGCCGTTGCACTTCTTCTGTCAAAGCAGCTTTGGCAGCCACCTCGTTTTCGAGCATCACTTGCTTTTCCAGTGCCACGTTATACTTTCTTTCCATCTCTTGTAGTGACCATTGTGTAGCTCTAATAATAAAAATACATTATCGTAAGAATAAATAATATAGTTAATAAAATAAAGCACCCTTACTCTTTTCACCCTTTTTTTAAAAAGCGCGTGTCATTGCACGAAATTAAGCACAATCAGATGTCAGCGGTCGGAAATGTGGATGGTTTGACCAAGCTAATAAAGGATGAGCCTGGCGTCATATTGTACAACGCATGCCTCGCCCGTGCCTCTAGTAATCCTAAACGTGGGCGCACGCACACAATGCAAGGACTTATGGACTGACCCATGAAATTTTGACCGCTGACATAACATCCGAAACCAAAGAAAGTACAGTGCCGAGTGCTTCGTGGCCAGGGATAAAGAGAGAAGTGGAAAAGCATCAATTACCTTCCAGTGCGTTCTAGGTCGTCGTTATTCTGCTCTAGTTCCCGTTCTTTTTTAATGAACATCTCTGTCTGCTGTCTAAGAGTTTCGAGCTCACGTGTCATACGATTAATGTTTGCGTTCGAATCCTTTAAGGCCTGATGGTATTTTTCCTGCATTAACAAGCATGGGAAAACAAATATTGAAAGCTGTGTGAGTCACCTGGGTAAAAGATACCACTGTCATGTGCAATTCAGTTCCGCATGAATAAATGGTATGATATCATTTTTTTCCTCCCCAGGGCTTCATTTTGTTTGAAAGTCGATTATTGAAGCCGCCTTTGTTATTGTCTGTTTCTGAATCTCGGTGTTACGGCTGCGGTTGCAGTTGCAGGCCGTAGTCACTCATTTGCAGAACCTTAGACACCAGTGTGGTATGCTATAATTTTCGACCTAAGACATTCAATTACCTTCCATTCATCGGCCTCTTGTCTCACAAACTCGTTGCGAATCTTGATATCATTGTATCTTCGCTCGGTCGCATCAATCTCCTTTTCGAGCTCTTCTTCCAGCTCTTTTGAAGAGAGCTGAAATTCCTCCAAAGCATATTTTGTATCTGCTAAATCCAATTCCAAGTCCTCGGCATGTCTCTTGTAATATTCCAATTCATCATTGATGTTATCGAAACTATGGAAGGTAGTCAATCAAGTCGAGGGTCGTATAAGGTGAGTCAAGATAATTAACCGGCCCAAGTGACACAAAAGGCAAAATCAAGAAGAGATTGGAATAAATTTTTGTAGTCAACCAGGAAGGAACAACAATGGTGCAGTTGATGAGGCCGAGCGTATGGTCAAAGCACACCGAAAAGCAAAACAAGAAAGGGGTTCGGGCGTAATCAGTGGGAATGATTCAAGAGAGAGAGAACAGAAATAAGAGGACAAAGAGAGCCAGGAAAGAACGTCTTGGTTAGTAAAAAGCCATCCTTAATTACTGTGCACGAATGTAACAAGCCCTGTATAGTCCAAGTAAAGTATTGCTCTTGATAACTTTTTTTTTTTTTTTTTTACGGCATGAGCAAAAGACTCTCTGCAATGTCGACCTTGTCCACAGTCTATTTTTCCTTTCCATGCTACTGCGAGATTGTGAGTAGGTAAGAGTCTTTGGTCCATTCATTGTCGAACCCTTTCTGAGCATTAATGATCAAGAAGTTTTTATTATCTCTCTTGAATCATTCTGTCTTCTTTTGTTTCTCACAGTTTCCTTGTTCGCCTTATTTTATCTCTTGTTTTAGTCTTTTTTTTTTTTTTTTTTTTTTTTGATACCAGAATCCTGATGAGCATTGTATTTGTTTGGTTGTATTTCGCCTGGCTCTCAAATTCTGTTGGAGTTGTGGTTGCAATAGTTGAAATGTGGGACTCGGGTATATTCCACGTGTACAAAAGAAATAGCCGAAGAAGAATCGAACCTTCATGTTGTTCCTTGTTATGAATAAGACCATTCTGGTCTACCTATCGATCTATGGAAGGTTTAGTAAGTAAATTACCTTGGTGGTTCTTGTGCCATGGCTGCTGTAGATATTAAACGCTCGTTAAAAGAAGGAAAAGGGAGGCCAGACTTTTTTCAAAGGAAGAAAGGAAAGAGCTGATATAGATAATTATGAAGGCAATTGAATAAAAAATTAGCTGATTGAACAAACAAAAAAAAAAAAAAAAAAAAAAAAAAAAAAGCAATACCGCGACGGTATGGTGGGGTTGACAGAAATAAATAATAAACAACAGAGACAATAGGATTGTACGAGAATGATGAGTGTAAAGAGGTCGTTCTGAATTCAACTGAAGTTATGAATAAGAGCGGTGATTTCTTTTATTCAATTCATGCCATTGCCATGACCAACTCTTGGAAAAGAATAACAAGGAAGAAAGGGAAGGAGTGGATACTCCTGTAATTGAATGCTGTTACTATTCTTTTTGTTTACAAAGAGTCCAGACAGAAACTGACTAAGTACTCGACACAAAAGAAGGAGTGTGTGTAAAAGTGTACAAAAGAGTGTGTGAGTGAGTAAGTGATTAATTGATTGAGTGAGTGAGAGAGTGAATAGAGAGGAGATCTCAAGGACAAGTCGAGCCGAGCCTTGTTATGAATAGCCGTTTGATGTAAGGGAAGTAGAAGCTTGATATTAATATCCTACCCAACAAATATCAAAGAAAAAGAAGAAAAAAATCGAATAGTTGCTTTGAGTAAAAGGGAAAATAAAATAAAATAAAAAATAAAGAAAAGTGTATTCAAGATGCAAGTGTGTATATGAGTGGGTGGTATAAAGAAGAGTTTTGTTGTTGTGAATGTGGAAACTGATGGAATGAAGGAATAAAAAAATGAAAGGAAAGGAAGAAAGAAAAAGAGAGAGAGCGAAATAAAGGGGTCTTTGTGGTCACCATAATCTGATTGACCGATTTACTGTTTTACAGCGATTTAGTTCAAGCTCAACTAGAACTAACATGACTACAACATCCTGCCCGCATAAGATAGTAGCCCCTACTCCAGTATCTTACATCGCACAGCTGAAAACGAATTAAAATACATGGCTTTTGTCCTGCATCGATAAGGGAGAACTAGCCATATGATAGCAACTCTTCTCGGGAAAAAAAGGACAAAAGTAATCTTCTTCGTCATCGGCATCATCATTTCTAGGTATACATTTCATACTATTTAGGTGTCTCATGTTGGATGCATGTCTACGGATGGTTTCTTCTTTATTCTTCCCGCTGGCCTACCCAGTCAATTCCACACAATTCGTCCTGTTGCCAATCCTTGTGCTCCAATCCTTACTCTTGGATCAACAGCGGAAAGGAAACAGAAAAGTAATGCATTGTGCAAAAATATAATTCTCTGTGCATTCTGTGCATACATTTCAGCAAGAAAAGTAAAAAAAGAAAAACTCAGCAGGACAGAACATGATACAAACAGCGCTGGGAAGAGAGGAATGAACATTTTCTTTAGTCTAGAAAAGTTTGCATATACTGCAGCGGGGACATCGTCCAGTCCCCTGTTTCTTGGTCATGAAATGATCAGCTGTAACACAAGGAGGCGAATATGACTGTGCATAGTCCTGCAGATGCACAACAATAAATAGCAACAACATGGGAAGGGATTCTTTCGTTTGTATTTTCCCAGTTTTACTTCTCTTTTATTCCCTATAGCACAGATCTACTAAAGTTGTCATCATCCGTCCGTGCTGAACAGATAAATGTTTGGGAAGGGTCCATCCATGACAAGATCAATGTTACACTCAAAAGCGACATACCGTCACCTCTCTGCTTTGTCGGACTGGTATAAAAAAAAAGCCAACTTTAGAACATTAATATACACATGACATCTGCCTCAAAAAACCCCAAAAACAAAATAAAGGGCTGCAAAGTGGAGAGACATGGAGAGCGTTGTTATCATTAAATACCCTTGAAGTAAATACCTGCAATACAACAGATCCTATACCAAATTGGTCGCGCGACGCGTCTGTATGGGCCTTTATTAAGGGTTCTATAGTGACGTCGACATCACGTGCACTCTTCAGTACAGCTCGGACATTTCTGTCCGATCCGACATTTACATCAAACCTCTCCACTTCTTTTACTCTCTTAAACACAAGCTCATTGACAATCACATCCATCATGGCCATGTTGCAATCAACAAAGGGTAAATTGGGAAGAAGAAAAAAAAAAAAAAGACCCTCCATCATCTTTGTTCATAACTATCATGACCCACCTGGGAATACTTCGAAACGCTCCACAGATTTCAAAAATATCTCGGAAATCTATTCCGGATCCAACTTTACAATGCTGCGCAGGATTGTAGCAATAGTTATAACACATACACCTGTATACAATATTCCTATCTTCACATATTTCAGAAATTCATTTGCAATCTATGTGTCTGCAATCTTTTGTTGAATCTTGGATCAACCAGAATATATGGATTTCGGAATATAGTTCAGTGAATACTTTTTTTTTTTCCTAATGACTATACAAGCTTCTAATTACGACTCTATTATATGATATATTTTTATATAGCCCTTTTGACCAGCACACGCTCTTCTTCTTTAGCTGCAAAGACTGCGATCCGAGCATTCGCTACTGCAGCCCCTGTCAACCCTGCGATCCCTCCTGCTCGTACAACCTTCGGTAACCTTTCAGATGAGGACCGTATTTTCACAAACATCTATAGCCGTCACGACTTTAGGCTCAAGGGCGCATTGAAGCGTGGTGACTGGTACAAGACCAAGGAAATCTTGTTGAAAGGTCACGATTGGATCTTGAACGAGATGAAGGAATCTGGTCTTCGTGGACGTGGAGGCGCCGGTTTCCCATCTGGACTCAAATGGAGCTTCATGAACAAGCCCTCGGATGGCCGGTAAGTCCTTTTTTTATAACTTTATCTCTGCTTACTCTACTCCCCTTGCTATACTGTTGTACTGTCGTGGCTGGTTGATCAGATCGACAAAAAACCATACTGAGGAAAATAATGCAGGAAACAGGGTGCGTACGTTGGAGACAAAGTTTTCCACAAGAAGAAAGCTGTGGAACTAACACAATACCTTTCTTTTTTCTCGTTTTTTATCAACAATGGATCACTCTAGTCCTCGCTACTTGGTCGTGAACGCTGACGAGGGAGAACCCGGTACCTGCAAGGATCGCGAGATCATGCGCGGTGATCCCCATAAATTGGTTGAGGGATGCTTGGTTGCTGGCCGTGCTATGAATGCTAATGCTGGTAAATAAATTTTTCTTATTTTTGTTTTCGATGTTTTCAAGCTTAACACTTCACTAACTCGTTTCGATTTGAAGTGAATCACAATTTTATGCTTACTAAAATCTTTACCTTTTTTATAAAAAAATAAAAAAAATAAAAAAATAAAAAAAAAGCCTACATTTATATTCGTGGAGAGTTCTACAACGAGGCATCTAATCTCCAGATTGCTATTGATGAAGCTTACAAGAACGGTCTCATTGGAAAGAACGCCTGCGGATCTGGATACGACTTTGACATCTATATCCACCGTGGCGGAGGAGCTTACATTTGTGGAGAGGAGACCGCATTGATTGAATCAATCGAGGGTAAGGCTGGTAAGCCTCGTCTGAAGCCTCCATTTCCTGCCGATGTCGGTTTGTTTGGCTGCCCCACTACCGTTGCCAATGTCGAAACTGTTGCTGTCGCCCCCACCATCTTGAGACGCGGAGGTAAATGGTTTGCAGGATTCGGTCGCCCTCGTAACTCTGGCACCAAACTTTTCTGTATCTCAGGACATGTCAACAACCCTTGCACAGTTGAGGAAGAAATGTCGATCCCACTTAAGGAGCTGATCGACAGGCACTGTGGAGGTGTCAAGGGAGGATGGGATAACTTGTTGGGCATCATTCCTGGAGGCTCCTCAGTCCCTGTTCTTCCTCGTGAAATTTGCGACGATGTCTTGATGGATTTCGATGCTTTGCGTGATGTTCAGTCTGGATTAGGAACTGCAGCCGTCATTGTCATGGATAAGTCGACTGATATTGTCCAGGCCATCTCAAGGCTTTCTGCTTTTTATAAACACGAGTCCTGTGGACAGTGCACTCCCTGCCGTGAAGGAACATCGTGGTTGGCCAATATGATGACACGGTTTGAGGCTGGTTTGGCTAGACCTAGAGAAATTGATATGATTGAGGAGTTGTCGCGTGAGATTGAAGGACATACAATCTGTGCATTGGGAGATGCCGCTGCCTGGCCTGTCCAGGGCTTGATCCGTCACTTCCGTCCCGAGCTGGAGGCACGCATGGCTCAGTTCAGACAGGAGACTCAAGCTCAGGCGCAAGCCTCAGCTTAGTGATAAAAAAAAAAGAAAAAAAAGGACAAGAGATTGAGAGAAGCGATAATCCGACAATTACCAATTCATTAGCTACAGTCAATAGCAAGCCCGCAGTATCATATCATGCACACATTATATTATTATTATTTTTTATCTTATTTTATTTTTTTGTTTGCTTTTGTATGTGGATGCTGAATGTTGCTGGTAATGATCACTCTTCGGATAGGACTTTTATAATAGTAAAAGAGGAACATTTAACGAAAATAATCCAAAAGCTTTGAGCCACTCGACATACTTAGCGATTAGAAGATCTTTTTTATTCGGCAAAATCGCTTTCACTGATCCCCTCGAATGATAGGTCTGCCAAGTCCACTAAATCTGCGTCGTCTAGTTCGTTTGCCAGATCGAGGGCTTGATCTTGTTCTTTGTCTTCAATTTGGTCTTTTACTTTGGACATATCACAAATAGCTGGTTGAGACATTGAAAGTTTCTTTTCATTTGAGTTAACAGCCTCAGGCTTTCCTGCTGACTCGAGTGTGGTTTCTACTGTTACTGCTACTGTTGTAGAAGCTGTTGTAGATGATATTGATGTTGATGGTGGTGTTATTGATGTACATGTGTTTGATGGGCTGGGCAGGCAAGGAAGGCTGGATGGACTGGATGGACTGGATGAATTCGAAAGAGACGTGCTGTATTTTTTGACAAGTCCAAGTTTTTCTTCCATATCAACCCATTGAAACGCTCCGCAGGTTCGGCCTTCTTGAGATCCTGATGCATAGCACATGTAAAAATACCGACCATAGTTGGCCTTGTTCTTGAACACGCATCTCAACACCATCGCTATCCCACATTTGCAGACTGGTGTGTCTGCAGGCGAGAATCCTTCTCGACGAAGACGGAACGTAATATTAATACGCGCTGTTCCACTAACAAAAAAAAAAAAAAAAAAAAAAAAAAAAAAAGTGGATGAATTTTATATCTTTTTTTTTCAACAAGTAACCATCTCAGTAAAGCAGTAAACCTGTACCTAATAGGGTGAGGTGTCACTCTCGCTTGCGGTGGGACTTCATGCTTCCATTCTTCTTGCTATGGAGGGTAAGAGGAATGATAGGATGAATGAATAATTCAAAAAAAAAAAAACTTTTTCCTTCTATTCCTTCTTTATTTCTGATTACCATGGGTGGCCACATAATACAGAGACTATTGTGAGGCAATGCGATGCTGATTAATTGACCTGCTGTATCAGGATTCCTGACGTCTGGCACCATCTTACGGACCCGAAAGAATCGGGTTGCTCCCAGGGTCAAAGAGCCAATCGTTGGACGTGGACCCAAGTAAGTAAGCTTGTCGGCATGCCAGCCTACAGATTCTTTGGAATGTGCATAATAATTGGCCGCAGCAACATTGCAGTTCCAATCCCCCTGGACTTCATAAGGGTGTCTGAAAGAGTTAAAAAACAAATAAGAAATAAGGGAAAAAAAAAAAAAAAAAAAAAAACACTTATATATTATTGAGCAACAAGCTTAATCTTTTTTCACTTACATTGCCCTAGTCTTACGTAGGTCATTTACTATCTTGCGGATCACCAGCTTGGCTTCCTCCATCTCCTTCAGGAACCGCCGGGGTGGCTCCTGTTTCTGCCCATTATACGTCCAACCAGCGATTTCCTCCATATCATCATCGTGTTCTGCAAAATAAGATCTCTTGTGGGGCGATTCCACCATCCGTTCGAAGAACCACCATCGATTTCGATCCCAAGTTTCAGAATCAATTAACATAGCCTGTAATAGCCGCGTAGCCAGGTCTTTAGACAGGACGTTAAAAACCAAAGTACAAGGACAATGTCGTTCAACATCTTCAGGACTATATAAAATTAGAGGTTTCGGAGCTGACTTCCGAGTAGAAGGACCGGAGGAGGAGGAAGAAGAGGAAGAAAGCATTGTAGAAGAGTTCGTGGCTGAAGGGGGAGAAGGCGACGTTGGATCATATGGTTTTTCTTTCCAGCGTAGGCGATCGTTAATGGACGTAAGAGGCATATTGTTAGCGTCGGAGCTCTTCTGATCAGTCAAGTCCTTAGGTTCTGAACGGAAGAGTAAAGTAGGCCCATTGGATGGGAGAAAAGTCGATAACCGCGGCTGGATCAGTTTTTGTTTCTTATTCTTGGGGGGTAGGACATCCTTGCTGCTGCTTCTACTAAAAGTATGACTACTACCACTATTGTTACTATTATTACTGGCATGTGCGACATTGACAAGGTCGTTCTCTACAGGCAAGGCAGAGGATGGGGATGAGGAGGGAGAGCAAGAACCATCGATGCAATCATGGCTGTTACTATTACTGCTGAGGATTAAGATAGCCTGCTCGAGGTCATTGTTAGCGTCTGCCAACGCTCTGTGCAGAATATGTTCAGGTGTAGACTCGAATATGGAAAAGAGCATGGCTATTTTGAAGTCACGGCCATTATTATTATCAACGCCGCCATTGCAACTTGTGGAACCAGAATCGCTAGTGTTGCATGCCATGACAAAAAGAAAAAAGGAAAATGGGATTTGAATGAGAATAAAGAGGAGAATGAACACAGTAACAGAGGAGAGACTGTCTAATTGAAGGCGCACGCCACTAAATTAAGGTTGAACAGACAAACGCGGCGGCGTTTCGCGCCACCAACATTTCAATTTACTTTATTATACCCAAAAGATATTATTGGGACATTGATAGATGATCGTCTCTACTCCCGTTAAAGCGCGGCCACCAAACGCTCACAAGCAACAAAGGAGTGAGGCAGTATGGGTAGTATAAATGACAACAAAAAATTAAAAAAAAAAAAAAAAAAGGCGGCACTACTTCATTGCCCCTATTATCGTCTTCACAGCCAGCTATCCGCTCTATAGCCTCAAAGTTGATTGTATGACGGCCCACTAGTTGCAGGGATTGAAATTCTAGAACATGGTTTGCGGCGGCTTCATCATTTGATTTGTATTGCGAAGTTCTCATCTTTGTCTCATCTTTAATGGTTTCTGCATTCCTTACATCAAACGCGCAGAAGACACATTTTCCACATGGGGAACTGTCTGTTTTATGCTCGGCTTCAAGTGATATTAACATTGGCCTACCATTCCCTTTGATTATATGCCACATTCGAACGCAATTGCCCCCAAATCTTAGAGTAGTGGTGGTGGATGGATGATGAGGGGCACATTAGAGAAAGAAAGCAAGACCGAGCTACTTCCGTCCATCTGGCCCAAACCGGCGTTAACTATAATACCACATAATGCTAATAGCAAGGAAAAATTAGCCTACGCAATATTCTAAAAAACAGTGGCTACAAAGCAGATGGTTTCTTTACAAAGCGCTCTAGATGTGTTAGATCCGTCTATGATCCCCATCGTATCATTACAGCAATGCTATAGTGAGAATTACTCTTTAAGCGACTCTAGGCTTCTGCTTCGACTTCCTATCAATAAAATCAGGTGATCAGTTTTATATTTGAATGCTCCACATCACGCACTGACAGCATTCGAGGGCAGGGATGTATATATGATTGTGTGGCATCCTTGGTCCTAATAATTAACATACTACTGCTGCTAAAAACAATGAGCGGTTTTTGTAGGTATAGCCCTGAACATCAAAACGCCCGGGTATATCCTACCTAATTCTCTATCTGATCAATCTATAATTTGTGTCCGTTCTACAATTGCGTACTTGAGCCAGCTAGCCCTTTCTGGTCGCGAGCTGGATCATATTTTCCTTTTGCGGAAGAGCTTAGAGAGCACAAGAGTATGTTCATGTGCCTGAGCTTGAAGGCTCTCACAACGCTTCCAATCGTTCTTTTAAGCAAATCTATTGAGCCCAGCACTCAATAGAAACTGGGTACCAATATCATGTACATTTATATTGTAGATTGCTGTACATGTCAAAATGCCAAGACAGAGAGTGTCAAATTCCACGTGATGAAAATGCGTTTACATTGTCATTGACACGCATTGACATCACCATCTTTCTTTTCTTTCCTTTCATGTTGCCTCATTCTTTTTAAGTTTATACCAAAAAAAAAATAAAAAACTCAGAGCTTAAAGCACAAGGACGGGGACTACAAACGCCAAGGAATAACAATAATAACAAAGCCAATACTTTTGATACTGATTCTTACATAATAAAGACCTACGCAAGTCATGTCTAGTAACGCAGAATCCAATTTCAGAAATGCATTCAAAAACTTTGGAGCTCGAGGAGGAGTTGCTGCAGCAGATAATAGTGCATCCAGCGGCAGTGGTGGTGGTGCATTAAGCAGAGCATCGGACTGGTTTGGAGGCGTTAGGAACCAAGTTTCGGGATATGTCCCTGTTTCTCTAGGAGGGACACCACAACAAGAGGAAGATTGGCTGGGCCTGTCATGGTTCCAGGTAATAAGATAAGAGGATCTATTGATGTGCTTGCCCACCATTTAATTCCAATGATAATTACACGCAAGCTTGCTTTTTAAATCATCAAAGGACTAGAGAGTTGTTTATAAATTGACTTGAATCTCTTTTTTTTTTTTCTTACTAATTGTACCTGTAGCGCATGGCAGGATTTGCGATCTGTGTAGCAGGTGGAGTGGCATGTTTCATGATTGCATTCTTTGTAGGTCTGCCCTTGCTTCTTCTCAAGCCAAGCAAATTTGCAACCAGCTTCACACTAGGAAGTATTCTTCTCATGTGCAGGTAGGTCATCTCTATTGTTCTTTTCCTTAATTTATTTGATCCAATAAGATTGTACTGATGACGTGTTTTTTATGGGGCCTTATTCATAGTTTCGCACTCTTGAAAGGACCTGCGACACATTTCAAGGCATTGATTTCCAGAGAAAGACTGCCCTTCACCGGCGCATATGTCGGATCGATGATCTTTGTATTGTATTCCAGTCTTGTGGTAGGACCACGGCACAACCGACTTTTTTTTTTTTTTGTCTGTCCTTGTATATCCGTTATTGGCGTATTCATAGAATATGATCAACGATTGACACTTTATAATATGTTTTCTGTTCCATCTCCAAATAGTTAAACAGCTATATTCTGACTATCATCGGGACGGTGATTGAGATTCTTGCATTACTCTACTACTTTACTTCATACTCTCCCTTCTCATCAGGATCCATTCGACTAGGATCACGCATGGCTGGAAACCTTCTTCCTGTTTAAAAAAAAAATAAAATCGAGCAAAGAAAGAACCTGCAAATTTTTACCATTAAGGAATATAATATATATTCATGAATCAATGAATCAATCTATAAATAAAATACCTATCTATTCCTTTGTTCAAGGGTAATATGGTCAGACAAGACAGAAGGAGGCCTGACTGCTTTGATATCCCTATGAATATCCCTTCTAAAAATCGATCTTTCTTGGATTAATCTATTTGGCAGCCTAGTTGCTAAATATTATTTGGCAGCCCATTGCCAAATATAATCAACTTTCAAGACTCTCTTTGGCAGCCCAGTTGCCAAATAACATTCATTATTTACTTGGCAGCCTACCCAGGGCTATTTGGCCTCTAACTATTTATTTTTTTTTTTTTTTTTTTTTTTTTTCAAGTAGGTCGCTCATACAGTTTTGGAGGTGCCATTTGGAGATCAATGCCTATGAGAGGTTTTCGCTCGGAGCAAACGCGTCTCACCTACTACCTAGACGTCTTCAATAAACCATTCCCTAACCGTGTACATTGAAGGCTGTTTTGTGAAGATGTCATCGCCGCTGCCCTTAGTACCTCCGGCGGCATTAGCTGTGCAAGGCAATGTATCCACAGAACGCTGCTTGTTTTACCACTGATGTTATGACCCTGTTTATCAAAAAAAAAAAAAAAAAAAAAGTAATGTATTTGGCAGCCCAGCTGCCACCCAAGAGTGCGAAGTTAAGTGGCAGCCCCCAGAAGTAGGCTGCCAAATAGAGGCAAAAATTACTATATTTGGTATGGGCTGCCAAATAGATTAATCCATCTTTCTTTTGTGCCAAAAATGAATCATGGCATGCAAAAGTTGTAGCAAAGGGTGGTTTCGATCCACCGACCTCTGGGTTATGAGCCCAGCGCTCTTCCTCTGGGCGACTTTGCTTGTCTTGCTATTTCACTTGATTAATTAGACTTATATATATCTTAACCCAAAGGATAACGTGATACTTGAAGAAGTGGCTTAGCTTTAAATAATGGAGGTTGATCTGTGATGGGCGGCATCATCGTTTCTGAATCTCTTACCTTACTTCGTTTTGCTGATCGGGACCAATTTACCTTCAAGTTTTACATAACTTGGAACCAACTTGTCAGGATTTCAATTTGATCTCTACCTAGCTTATATAATCACAGTGTGTCAATTGGAACGACAAAAGCAATAAATAATAAGAAGGGGCTTTACTATGCCAAAATATTACTGTGGTATGGGATAGTAGACTTTGGTAGATACTCTATTATTTTTGATTATTTTCATTTTCAGGATCAATGGCGGAACTCTTTTATATATTCGCCTAACTGGAATGCTCGATCGTTTTATTCTGCTTACTTTCGATTTTTTTTTTTTTTTTTTATTTAGATTATTGCGATATTTTTCTTACTCACGACAGCTCGTCTGTAAGAAAAGCGCACAATGCTGGTCGCAATCACCTGGTTAACGTCAAGACATACTATTCAGGTAGGATGCATCATTTATTTATTCTTGAAAATGTTACGTTCATACAAAGACATTGCTAACATTTGGATTTATTTGTTTGAGGATAGAGTTAAGTAATGAGACGACGCAATCCGTCATTGACACGATTACTAAAGCGTATGCTGAAGCAGGGATGGGTGCGTGTTAATTCAGAAGAATATTTTTATGGAATATATATAGTGGTGTTATTTAACTAAATACCAGATAGGCATTACATGCTATGTTGCAACATACGCTGACATTTTCTTCGCTCACATAATGATAGGTGTGCCTCCTCAGTACTCCGGTTTCCCTCAGTTTGGTGGCCCAGGTACGAGTTATAACGCTTTTTCTTCTTATGCTAAGCTTTGATATGTGTTTTGACTTATTAATGCTTAAATCTATTTTTTGTAAATGTTTAGGCGGTTATCCATACAACAGACCACCCAGCTATCCAGCATTACCTCATGGAATGGCCCATATGCGCCCTGGAGAACATGGTCCTAATGGTCTTCCCCCTCGTCCACCTATGCCGCCACATCCTTCCATGTTCATGAGACCACCACCGGGCGCACCTCCAGGACAATTTCCGCCAGGACCTCCACCACCACCTGGTTTCCCTGCCGGTGGCGTCCCTTTCCCTCCTCCAGGTGCTCCCTTCCCTCCTCCACCAGGACCACCGGGACAATTCCCTCCTGGTCAGTTCCCCCCACCGGGACAATTTCCGCCAGGGCAGTTCCCTCCACCAGGATCAGCAGCGCCGCCTGGCACGAATGGAGCATTACCTCCTCCCGGACAGTTTAGACCACCTTTTGCAAGTATACCCGATCCTACGCATGCCAGCGGCAATTCCTCCGCCCCCGGATCAGCAGCGCCAGCATCAGCGCCAGGCATATCAGGAGCAGGGCCAGTAATGCATAGTGATCGTAAGAGGCGGTTGGAGGAAGGCAGGGATTGAGATCATTTGAATCTTTGGGACGCACGAGCCTCGAACAACAGCAACAAAAAAATAAAAAGAAAATAAATATAAAAAAGAAAAAGAAAAATGAGAGTTCAACACGCATGGAAATACGTTGAAAGCACATAGCTGAAGCAATGAGAAAGGATTTGAGGAGGGAAAAGTGATGAAATTTGCATTCAGCTCTTGTCTTTGCTGGCTTTGCTGGCTTGGCACTTAAAAAACAACACTAGCGCTCTTGGTTGCGATGCTTTGGAAACACTATCTCAGTTGTCTCATTAGGCAAGCTGTCATTGATGTTTTTTACTGCAACTTAGAAAGCAATGAACTATCTTTCTTTTCCTTTCAATGTATACATTTATCCTCTATCTGTTTGTTTCTCCTGAATTATCTAAGATACTTATGATGATAATGTCATGGACTAATCACGACTATTGTCAAATACCTACTTGATTAGCGGTAGAGGTATAACCCCACCATGCTCCCGAAGAAGTCCTTTTAGTTGATTTATCATGCTAGGTTGAACTGATAAACTATACTTTTTCGTTTATGATGAATAAAAATAATGTGTAGACTATGAAAAAATTATCTAGAACCAACAAAAAGGAACATCTTTTTTTTTTAACGACCTCTAAGCAATGTTTTTGACAACAAATGTGGGCTGTCCTGGAACAGACTGTTCAGCAGCACGAATGATATCTTCCTGATCAGCATCGCCCTCCGTGGTCTTGGCCACTTCGTCTGTCTTGACTAGCGTCAAGGTATTGTAACTCAAGATTCTCCTCAAATACTCGGACTGATCGGCCAAGATTTTGGGTTCATCGAAGGTCAAGGTCTGTGTGAAAGCCGAAGAGCCCTGCTGCTCTACCTTCTTCTTCAAATCATGGACGAATGGCATCACCTTCTTGTCCTTCAACAAGCCCTTGCTTGTCAGATCCTTCTTAATCTTATCATCATCAAATACCTTGCCAGCATTTTCGCTGCTAGACGCAGGGTTGTATGCACTCTTCAAGACTTCAATTGCAGTCTCTTGCCACTCTGGAAACTTGGACGCGATCAAGATGGTGATCTTCTTGGGCTTAGCTGGATCAAAGACATCAGCCTTACCCTTCTTCTTCTTCTTGTTGGCTTGGGTCTCGGTGGAGCGAACATTGGTGATCTGACGACGCAGATAATCAACCTCCTGTAGTACATCCTCATCAACAGGGCCGCTCTTGGGCCAACGAGCGTTGACAACCAAGCCTTCCTTGCCCAGTAACTTGCCCCAGACGTGTTCAGACCAGTGAGTAACAATAGGCGAAATCACAAGGGTCTGGACCTCAATGTAGCGCATGATCAGCTCTTTGTTCATGGGAGTTTCCATCAATGCGCAAGCTTCTCTGTAAAAGTCACGAGCAGCGGTCAACTCGTAGAATGCAAACATGACAGCCTCACGGTAATATGTGGCTTCGTAAGCAGCCTCAGCCTGGTTGATCAGTTTGTTCATCTGTGACTCAAAGACACGGTCATAGAAGTTATGCTCACCCGTCCTCAACTGGTCTTTAGTATTCAACGTATCCTGGATCCACTCCAAAAGTGTATGCAACTTCAAGATAGCCGCGTTGGCAGTACCATCCTCAAAGTTGGCATCCTCACCACTGTCTCCGGCGTCAGCAAGAGCCAAACGAGCGGCATCAGCACCATACTTTTCCACAGCCTCGGCAAGACCCATGAAGTTTCCAGTTGACTTGGACATCTTGTCGCCGTTCAACATCAAATGCCCGTTGACGCGGATGCTGCGTGGCCAGTACTTCTTGGGGAAGAGAGCGACGTGATTATAGAGGGCGAAGGTTAAGTGGTTGGGGATCAACTCCTTACCGGAGGTGCGGATATCTAAGGGATAGAAGTACTCAAACTCACGACGAAGTTTATCCAGTGAGGCCTTGGGGATATCACTATCAGTTGGGAGGGGTCCATCAGCCATGATATACTCAAAGACTTGGTCGGTCAATTGCTCAGCTTTGATGCCCAGTGGCCCAGGGACTGAACCATCAATGGATCCACCCTGAAGTAAAGCAGCAATGGTGTAGTAGGCCATGTAGATGGTCGAATCCGAAAGAGACTCAATCAAGAAGTTGTGGTCCCAAGGCAGACGGGTTCCCAAACCATACGAGCGTGCGCAGGCCCACTGGTTCAACCAATCCAAATTCTTCTGGAAAGCGTGCTTGGTCTCGTCCGTGTACACATTCATATTCTCCAAGCACTCCTCAGCCAATTTACGCCATTCAGTCTCGCCATAGTCCAAATACCACTGATCCATCAAGGCGACAACACACTCCTCGCCACTGCGAGATATGACCAAGCTCTCAGGCTCATTGTAAGGGACTGCATCCTGAGTGTCAATCAACATCTGACGAATCAAGGGCTTGGCCTCTTGAACAGGCTTATTAGCATATTCTCCAATGAGCAGGACACCGTTGTAAAACCCGTCCTTGTAGACGGCATCCTTTGCAAGGGCAAGCTGAGTCTTGTCCTTCTGAGAATTGATCTTCATCTGGGCGCAGATAGTGGGCGCTGCAAGGTTACCGTAGGTGGGAGTGCTAATGATCGGGATGGGTTCATAGGGTACGATCCATTCTGGCTGAATCTTGAAGTAGTCAGGTTTTTTCTTCAAGTCCATAACGGCAGCATAATCATCGGGCGAATCAGAGGGGACTGAAGTGACAACACCAGTGCCCTTCGTGGCAAGAACGCCGTCCATAGGCAAGACATAAACGGAGGGATACGAACTGAGGGGAGCCTTAACCTGGGTGCCAAGCAACTGGTGGCCAACCAAATCAGCAACCTTGGCAACCTCGCCAGTCGAAGGAGACAATTTCTGGAAGGCCATATTACGAGCAGCACGCTCGGTCATCAAAAACAATTCATCAGGCTTGTTGGTCTTGAAAATACCATACTTGAGGTCAACACCAACAAAGCAATTGGTCTGTCCATACATGGTCTCAGGACGGAGGGTAGCGGCAACCATGAAGATTTTCTTACCCTCAATCTCCATATTTCCAGCCAAAGCAGCCTTAGCCTCTGATGAGAACTCCAAAACTTTGAGCTTGATGCAAGTATAATCCTGAGGTCCAACAGCCTCTCCACTCTGACGATCGTGATCCATGCAAGGCTGGCCATCCTTGGGTGAGTAGATAGTGTAACGTTCACCAAACTTGACCTTATCCAAGGCTTTCAACTTGTTGAACTGCCAGCGGATGAAAGCATCATAGAAAGGATTGGCATCCGTGGTAATGAATGATCGGCGGAAGTCAATCTTGAAACCAACCTTCTTGGCATCATCCTGAAATCCATTCATACAAACAAGAGCATTCCAACAAAAGAAAGAGTCATAAATCAACATGTTGATTTCCTGATCAACAACAGTATCTTAAAACAGTACCCTGGACTTACGGTGGCAATTGGAGGGAAGTAGCTCAACCAGTAAAGAGGATCAGCAAACTTGTGGATTTCTTCACGAGGTACACCAATCTGCTCCATGATTTGGAATTGATACTTGAGGCCAGTGTCCTTGGCAGCGACCTTGCCCTTCTTAGCTACGATCTTGGTAGGGTCGACTCGCTCATTCTCTTTCAAGTTGAGCTTTTCGATCTCTGGAGTAGCTTCTTCAGCTTCTAATGAATATAGGAAAACAGAAACAAGGAAGGAGCGTTAGCTCATATGTCATAAACCAGAATTGACTTGCAACTCATATCTCTTGCATTACAAAAAAAGATCTCATACCCTTTGGGATGATGAAGTCCTTGCCGAACATCTCCATCTCACGAGCCAATTTGTCGGCGCAGGCCTAATATATGTTAGTGGATGGATAACACATGTAAGCCAATTGTAACTATGGGTATCATTCCAAAAGCAACCGAGAAAAGACACTAATACAAAAAAAAAAGACTTAATGTACCCTAATGGGCATGCCAGTACAGTGCCATCCCAAGGGAAACAAGGCTCTCTTTCCTTTCAAACGCTGGTATCCGGTGCCGAACTCAATTTTAGAGATAGTGAACCCATGTCCCAAGTGGAGACGTCCATTCATGTAAGGATAAGCAGTCGTAGAGAGAAATTTGGGGTGGTGTTCATGGATCGTGGCAGTATCAGCATATTCTTCAATCGTCGGTGCGTTGACCTCAAAGGCTTTGTGATCCTCCCAACGTTTTTGAGATTGCTTCTCAATTTCGATCAAGAAATCGCGCTTCGCCGTCTATGGTGATTCATTCCATTTTTAAATGAGATTAAATGGATGGATTGGATTAGTGGCAAAAAACTTGATGTAATGATCTACAGTGTTCTACAGCAGAACTAGTGCTCTCGAAGAAGCAAAAAGTACCTTTGGTGGTTCAGCCATGGTGGATGTTGGGTTGGATAAGACAGGAGGAATAAATGAATGAATAGAAGAGAGAGAAAAGGAGGATAAAAAGGGAAAAATAATAATAATAATAATAATAGGGGGCTGTGAGGATTGAAGGTGGGGTAAGGTCTCTTCTCTTCGACAAAGGAACCGTTCCTTTTATCGAAGATCATTCAGTAAGCTTCCTTGCAAATGAGAGCGAAGTGGCTTTGACAGATCACCTATAAAACTCTATTTCCTTGCAATGTTACTCATCACGTTATTACCAACCACCACATCCCACGCAGTGAACAATGCACGGACCTCAATATGCAGGCGCAGCATAGTTTAGAAACAAGTAATTTACCACGCACATGCCTGCAGATTACATAGCACTCCAACAATGACGCATTTGCATCCGACTGTGGGAAAGTAATGCGGTTTCTTCCCATACAAAAAATAATAGTATAAGGCGAGATATAACATTTTGATTACTCATTTCATTTATGATTCTCTATCTTTATTTCCATACAATTGATTCATCCATTTCGATTTTTATTATTTAGAAGAAGTTGGCGATCCATTCAGCCAGCCGACTTTGTGCTCTCGGCCCTTGTGATGCGGGCCCAGGTTTACCATTCTGCTTCGTTGCTTTCTCTGAAAATTCCAAAAGTGTTGTTGAGCGTCTTCGATTCTGGTTCACAGCTGAGCCTTCGCCTGTTTTGAGTTCATCGAATCGCGACCTGTTTTTCTGTGGCGGTTCTGATGAGAGTGACCGGTGAGGTTGTTGCTGCTCTCTCCTGGGCTCTGGCACAGTTCTCAGGGATAATGGCAATCCAAGGCTGGGTTGTCGATGATACAATTCATTACTGCCTCCTGAGGCCGCACCACCTAAAGCTGAACCATCAGCATCTATACCATTGCCCACCCCTGACCCTGTGTCTCTAGTAGCCGTGGATGCAAGCCTTGAATGCGAGCCTGACATCGTGAGGAATGGCTGTCGTCCATCACACTCAATACCAACCTCAGTACCATTTGGGTGAGTATTCTCCAACTCGACCATAAGCTCGTTTGTAATAACGCCTTTCTTCTTACGGACCGCTGATGGCGTCATTACCCTAGTTCTCCTATCAGCACCATTGGAATCATCTTTGCCAATTCTGAACACGGGCGCTTGAAGCGTCGAAATCAAGAACGCATATTCAAATGCCAAATCCTCCAGGTATGAATACTGTCCTGAAGATCCAGCATGTCCAACTTCTCCAATTCTCAATAACAGCATGCGATCATCGCTTTGTTCTGGGTCTAGCCCTGGAGCCCTCTCCCCGTCCTCACCTAGTTGCCTTGCAGGTAAGGATGTACTCTTTGATGGCCAGCAAGATCTCAGCTTGGCTGCCCATTTGAGCGGCTCAAAGTATGCAACACGAGGGTCATTCATGCCACCGAGGATCAGCATATTGGGGTATTTCTGTGGATGAACATTGGTATATGGGCAATAATGCTTCATAATCCTGTAGATCTCTGGGTCTTCTGGGTTTCCCCACTCCTCCCATTCAAATGCTGTCCATGGAATTGAAGAGTCCAGCATAGTATTTAAAGCATCCACAAAAGGTACTTCTGTGAGTACAGTCTTGAAAAGGTCCGGCCGCATGTTGACTACAGCACCAACCATCAGCCCGCCAGCAGAACGTCCGTACAGGGCCAGCTTTTCAGGGGAGGTATACCCTTCCTGTAAATTAAGAAGTGGTAATGTCAGCTGTTGAGCAATCATTTTTTACTCATTAGCACTTTTTTTTTATATGTATTCTTTATTTTTACCTTGATCAAGTACTCCGCACAACTGATAACGTCCAAAAATGTGTTTGGTTTCTTAGCCAATTTACCTTCTTCGTACCAACCCATGCCCATATCACTTCCTCCTCTAACATGAGCAATTGCATATATAAATCCACGATCCAACAGACTTAATCTCTGCGTGGAGAATACAGGATCAGTGCAACTACCATAGGCACCATAAGTGTATAGTAGGCACGGATTCGCATCCCAGCCTTTACCACCTAGGTCTATCAAGTCTCGCCTAAACACGATCGACATGGGTACAGCCGTACCATCAATGCCTGTGGAATGCAAGCGAAGCTGTTCATAGCGGTTAGGATCATAAACAGGAGACCCTGCGATTTGCTCTGTATGCACCATAACTGATTCTTGAGTATCCATGTTGTAATCAATCACTTGCCGCGGTTGGACTAGACTGGAGTACGTGAACCGAAGTACGTTTGTATCAAACAAAGTCATCTTGCTAAGATTAGACACCTCCTCATTGATAGACTCTGGTAAAAGAGAATACACGATTTCTGAAAAAGATATATAGTGATATTTGTCGAACGGCCCTGGTTCTAGGCCAATGGAACAAGGTGGCGCCTCTGGCCTGCTTTCACAACCATCAACTCCTTTTGGGGTAGCCAGTTCAATCACACGCACATTTTGGTGACAGTTGGATCGTTCAAACACTACGAGATGCCTTCTCCGGACCTGAAAATCTTCAATCAATACGAAATCTCGATGCGGAATCACCGTTTCCCGTAACGACATCAAATCCATCTCCGCAGGTGAATCGCACTTAGGCGCTGGGGTCCTGAACAACCAATTGTTTTTAGAGTTTTCATTTGTGAGGACAAAGAAGTACTTGCCACTATGAGACTCTGCAGAATATGTGATACCTTCCTTACGTGGCATTATCACACGAAGTTGTCGCACATCTTCTGTAGCATCTGCATGAAGAAACAATGTTTCGCTCGTCACCTGAGCTGCAGAATTGATCATAATAAACTTGCCGTCACCGGACTTGGTCATGGTAAGACAAAACATCTCGTCTTTTTCCTCATAGAGCAATTGATCCTGATTAACTGAGGTGCCCAGTATGTGCCGATAGAGGCGATACGCGCGCTCTGTCTCCGGAACCAAAGTCAAATAATAGACAAATCGGCCACAGGATGAAAATTCGAGGTTTTCATATATATTTGTAAGCCTGTCATTCAAGAGCTCTCCAGTCTCAACATCCTTGAAGAACGTTGTGAATTGTTCCTGACCCGTCGAGTCAACTCCGTAGGCTAAGATGCGACAATCAGGTGAATGGCGAAGGAAACCCACACGGAAATAGGTTGAATCCTTAAACTCGGGGCTTTGTGCAATCTCATTCTCGTCCAGATACACTTGTTCCTCTTCATAACCAAGAGTCGGACTGAGGATGGAGCGGCAATGGAGTCTGTACTCAAGGCCTACTTGAGATTTGGAGTAATAACTCCATCTGTCCGGAAGCACTACCCTAGCAGATTCTTTATTCGCATCTAGTCGGGAGACAAACTCATTATACAGGAGCTTTTGAAGAGGCTCTGTATGGCTAAGGGCCGCAATTGCATATTGGTTTTCCTCGTCAATATACTTGAGCACTACAAAAACAAAGATGTCAATTAGAGTCGTATATAGGGGAATAAACGTAAATAAGTCCTTTTTTTTTTTTTTTTTTTTTTTTATCTTTTACCATCTGGATTGTCGCGCTCCTTCAGCCAGTTATAATTGTCGACTATTATTTCACCATGGACATTGGTATATGCCTCTGGCTTGACTGCACAGATAGGTGGAGAAGGTAATTCAAGATTTCTTCCATGCAGTTTGTCGCGTGTCCTGCATGATATTGTTACACATTGTTACACAGAAAAAGAAAAAAAAAAAAAGTTGAATACCATCTGCATCTTTTTTTAAAAAAAAAGCAACAACAAAAAAACTGATTAACTTACTCTGCCTCTTCCAGGATAGGTCTCAGCCTCTCCCAAACTGCCAAATAGACTTCTGGGTAACGGGAAATCAATTGTCGAATATTCTCTGTCATATCCGGCAGAAGTGATGCCAAGTTGTTTGCAGACTGCGAAATAAAAAGATCCATTTCTTCCAAAGGCGGTAATTTGTTGCGGAACCTTCTGTTAGAGGGCATCTCATATGAGCTTTCCCTAGGCGACCATGATGGAGAGCCTGGCACAATTGATGACACCAGGACGATTGCATCGAAATTTGGCCAATGCGTGAATGCATGAAACATGATATTTATACATTCAAATGCATAAAAAAAATTAAAAAATGCACTCATTTTTACGACATTTACATTTCACACCAAGACTATCGCCCAAAGTTTGGTTTACTGTAGTCTTGTTAAATCCTCCTGAAGAGTGAGCCATTCGGGGTAAATGCTTTGCAGTAGATGATGCCATCCCAGTCGTCAAAACAAACGGGTGCACTTGTGAAGGTGAGCTACTTGCACCGTTAGCTTCGCCGCGAGTATTAAGATGATCCATTGATCCAGTTCTAATTTTGGAAGAGGGTATTGGCTCAGAACCTTGCTTACTGCTCAATGAACCAGAATTGGAAGGCGATCCGGGTGTAGAGACTTGTGAGCCAGCACCAAAGTCGTCTCGCTTGGCCATGCTCCTTTTGATAGTAATATTTCTCTTGTAATAGTAAGTAGAATTAGAGTTGACTATAACGTGTGGTTCAGAGAGATGTTGCCACTTCGATATGTAACGGAATGACCATGTAGCTGGATGGTGAACGTTGTATAGGATGTACTTGACTGTGTAGTGTCGATGGCTCTTAGAGGGGGTGGCGAGAAGAGCTGTAAGGCCGCGGTGGGCGAAACGGAAGTGGGGGAAGGGAGAAAAGAGAGGTAAGTTCATGCAGATGGAAACCAACAAAAGAGCAGTCGTGGGAAGAATCTGTAATTTATGCTGCATTTTTTAGATTGAAAGAAGGCAAAAAAAGCACGTGGTAAAGCAACTGTCTGAACCCTCAATGTCAAGATGTACATCATTTGCCTGTTAGGCTTGGTGAGAGTGATCGCACCTCACTATTTCCTTTCAAGGCCCTGGCTGCAGCATTATGAGAGTATGCTAGTATACTGGATTCACTTTTATTTTGGTTCAGTGTGCAATTCAGGTGTATGAAACTTGAAAAATAAGAGAGGAAAGGCAGCATCGTCCTCATGGGGACGGAGATACCAAAATCGATAGCCCTTTAACTATTTCACCTTGTCTTTGTTGATGACACCTGTCTCAACCATGTGCAGGTAGGCCCCTGCACTCTCAGACCACAGCTTCAAGCGCGATGCTCTTCCATGGCATAGGAATATCATGATGCTGAGATGATAAAAGAAAAACTGCAATATCTCCGGTGGTTGTGAAATCCTGCTAGAGCCACAGCATGTACGAAGCCAAGAAGAAGACATCGACATCATAGTTCCGTCCGATATTCTGAAAGTCGGGGCAGTTTAAACCGCTTTGTTGGGAGGAGGCTGGCCATTATAGATGAGGGCTCTTAAAGAATAAAGAGAGAATATACATGCTAAAGATTCAAAAAAACCACGATCCATGTGAAACACGCGTATTGGACAGTACAAAGAGGACCATACCATCATCATTTTTTTAAATTTAATATTTTATTTTATTTTAGTGTACCTGAGATCTTTTTCAGGTCAATGCAAAGATGTAGCACCTTCTATTACGATATGTTTAGCTGCTACTTTTTCATGAGATTTAGTCTCGAATTAATCTCCAAATCCTTACAATCCCATCATCGCCTCCAGAGGCAAGCCAATCGCCATGATCTTCATTGGGATACCATGCTACTGAATTAATGTCACTTGTTCCGTGCGCATTCTTCACTTCTGCTTTTTTGCTCGCCTGCAACAAGATACCCGGCTCATTCAAGGCTTTGCGCTGTTCCTCTGTCAATTGTCCCTCAATGCCAGCATCCGGCGCCACTTCTGAAACCTCAAAGAGTCGAATCGTATTATCTGCGCCCGCAGACGCGATCAATCCATGCGCCCTCGACCATGATACTGAATAGATACATCGTTCATGCTCCCCCTTAACAGACGCTACACACTTCCAGACAGGCTCGCCTCGACGAGGCGTCACAATGCCCATGGGATTTCCAGGTTGGAACCGTTGCCAGATCTTAAGTGTTTGATCTGCAGAGGCAGAGACGATGTGATCACCTGACGGAGCAAAATCAATGGCCCAAACAGTCGACTCATGTCCCTGAAGTGTGTCTGAGCAATACCAATCGTCATCATCATCCTTCCATATCTTGATCGTGTCATCGTAACTGGCTGACGCAAGAAGCTATGTTGTTGATTTCCAAGCATTTTAGTCAGAAAAGTTGATTCCTTTGTGACATTGCAGGTCTTTCGAGAAGAAGGGAAAAAAAAAAAAAAAAAAGCTGGCTGGTTATACCTCTTCATTAGGATGCCATGCAACCATCTTCACATCCTGTGTATGTTCCTGCAACACACTGAGACACTCAAAGTCATTATCTTCCTCAACTTCCCAGATCCATACACTCTTATCACGGGAGCATGTTGCCAACAAGGCTCCACTCTTCGACCAGGCTATTGATTTTGTTTCGTTTTCATGTCCCTCCAGTGTAGCAACGCATTCGTAATCTACATACCATGGAGCAACAATAAGGAAAATGGAGAAGTCAATGAACTAGTGAGTTTTTTTGAACAATGATATGACCCTGTTGCAATCCCAACAATAGAGCAGAGAGAGTGATAATCCGATTTATTTTATTTTTTACCTCCATTTTCGTCCTCTTCTCGTTCCCAGATCCCAGTGGTGGCATCGAAGGACCCTGTGGCGAGTTGTCTGCCGTCAGGCGACCAGGCTACACTACGAATAGTTCGGCGATGTGCACCTTCAAGGACATTGGTGCATTGCCACTTTGTTGGGTCCAGTGCATTGGTTGCCTGCCAGATCCGCACAGTCTTGTCACCAGAACATGTTGCAAGAATCGCTTTCGTGGGATGCCATGCTGCGCACCATACACGGTCCTCATGACCTGTGATGTCACATTTGAATGTATAAACAAGGATGTAGGCATGTCAATATGGATTTACGAGCAATGAGTAAAAGAAAAAGAAAAAAAAAAAAAAAAAAAGAAGGCAAGGTCCTCAAAGCTGCACCTTGTAGCTCAACGAGTTGTTCGAGACGAGGCATTCACTTTTTTTATTTATTTTATTTTATTTTATTTTATTTTTTCCTTGATATCAGTGTGCTTTGTTTGCAGTTGTTTAATCGAGTGGTCAAGTCGTGCCTAGGTCAAGTTGGTTGAAGAAAAGAGAGGAGTGAATGAAGTTGGGTTTCGTGACATGACAAATAATCTCTTTGTCTGTCTGCACTGGACATGACTCGGATCAGTGACTTCAAATACAAATTATTTTTTTTTTTTTTTCAATTCAGATCCATCTTTTCTGTTCCCTCATCTCTCTCACACCCTTCATGTAAGTGTTTGAATCATCATGGTGAATCTGATCCTTTAATCACTGCCGTGTATCAATCAAAAACAAATGATGATTCCTTTATAACTATACCAGGACCAACCATCCAATGACTCGTATATATCTCTAAGAAGTTCTGATTTCTTTTTTTATTATTTACACACTACAAGTGTCAGATCAACACGGACAATCAGTCATTTCAGACATAAAAACCTTCCTCTCTTAACAATCATTCGTCTTTGCCTTTTTTCTTTTGGATATTGTTAGGTTTATCAGGTTTCTCTATTACTTTAGCACTCTTGGCTTTCTTGGATCGGATTTTTTTCAATAGATAGATAGCTAGACCACTTTTAGTCTTGATCTTGATCATCTGAATGACAAGCAAAGATACTGTAGAAATAAATAAACATCACGAAAAGATTAATCTTTTGATGACTCGTATTGCGAAAAGTATGGAAAGGTTAATCACAGCGCCATGTCTTGTTATACAATTGCTTGATGGTGCTATAATGATGACTTGAATGAATGAATGGATAACCGATCGATATGCTCAAACAAAGCTGCGCAATTTTTTATTTTTTATTTTTTTCTCGGGCCTCGTTGTTATTGCGTTCAAAATGTGGAGATAATGCTGACAAGCTTGAAAACGGGAAGACACGGCTTATTGTCAAATGGTTTTTGAAAATCTAATGAACTGGCATTACCTTGAATTAATTGCTATTGCATAATCAACAGATGAAGCGCTTTCAGAAGAAAGCTATTTTTTTTTTTTTGCTTGGAAGAGGAAGTATTCTTGTCTTGAGGACAGAATGATTTCCCATTGGAAATATATTCCTAGGGAGTATGTCTTGAAAATAGTCGTCTTTAACTTTTTGTTAAATATTGCGACGACTGTGCCCTGGGATCTGTTCAAAAGCCTACTACCTTAGAATGTGTTGATCCTTATGAAAGATTGAAACCTTCATATGAAAAAAAGATACATAGTTATTTGAATAAAGCACACTACTCTACATTATTGAAGGCAGAGACGACTCTTTCCAGCAACAATGGCGCTATAAATGCGACTTGGTGGTTGTTTTGGACAAGGGTTTCCTATCCTCGCATAGACTTTAATACTAAGTATCACATCTTCTTCACTTTTCGTTGCTATTCACAACTATTACGAGTCCTTTCAGGTCTTTACAAAGAACGCTGTTTTGTTTTCATTTTCTGTAAGATAAGGGATGTTTGACAGATTGACATCAGAAAATAGACCTTATGATGGTCGTACATGTATATTCAAGGGACCGTTACTCAGGTTCAGCACAATCCAGCAAACTTAAGCTTTCTTTTGATCCCTTTTAATACTATCAATAGTAATAACCTTGTACATCCCAAATCCTCCTTGCTATTCTGTCTCTCTTTTCCGCCATATTGTAAGGCTTAGTCACTGTCTCTCCTAGATCCCTTTTATTACTACACAGCAGGGCTTAGTAATTGCTAGGCTTTAAGTGAAAAATGTATTCCTGGAAAGGTCAATGATAAATCTGTTACAATTAGACATTAATTTGTTAGTAAGAGCTTAGAGTTCTTTTCACTCTTACAAGACCAACTTATGTAGCTTGACTCACCACTGTCGATCACATTGGCGCGTACAAACCATCAGTGGAGTCATTGAATAGAAAATAATTCTAGACCAATCGAAATCTCTTGTAGCACCTTAGTTTGTAGGATACCTCCTCCAATCAGAATGCTCTTTTCTCCAACATTATGGTGGCAAAGAATGACATTACGAACAAAAGTCCTGTAAAGCTGTAGCAACAGAACGCTCTCTTAAACTAGGATCGCTGCTGACATACCGCCGTACTGGTATATTGGTAATATTTCAATAGCCCAATAATGGAGACTGATCACTTCATATTGTTTTTGAAGATAAACGGAGTGTTATCACGGGACTACGCGCACAAAAATAAACAAAATGGTTTGTGGCTTGATGTGATAGGTTTTCTTTTCTTTTTTTCTTCTAATTTCAAACCCAAATCTCACTTAGTGTCGATCAGTGGATCCCACATGTCCTTGCCAAAAGTTTGGTCATCCATTAGCTTGGATACAGTCACACACCTGGAAAAGCGCTATAAAAGGCTACTTCAATCGGGAAGTAATTGTTTCTGTATCGACTGTACTTACAGGATCTCTGTCTAGTACATCTCTAGTCTTTGTTTTCCAACTCAGACACACAGTTTACTCTCGACGATGAGTTGCAGCGCGCTGCCCGTAAAGGGAAGCGAAGCAACAGGTCTTGTCCCTCTGGGTCAGTTCCTGGTAGCTTATTGATGATCTTGTCTGGTCTTATATTAATAGGGCCACGATGAGGGCGGTCGCGCATTCTGAGAGTTTACTTACTATTCTCTCCTATTCCTCCTATTCTTACTATTTAAACTTGGTGAAATGCTATTTTGAGGCTGTATAACACCACTGCCTTCTTGTGTTTGTTTTACTGCGTCACCGTCTCTCCTTTTTTTCTTACTGCGCTACTGCTACCGGAGATCTACCGGGGAGACAACTCAAATTGCATTGTTGCATGATTAAACCACACCCGGGTTTTTTTAGCCCGGTCAGTTGCTGCGATCACAGCCGAGCTTTTGGGGATAGTATCGTGGCTAGCCAACAATTACAGCATGATATCTTCAGACATCAAAATAGAGAGTAAAAAAATAAATAAAAAACAAGAACACATGAGAATGATGTTCCCCTTAGTTCTTTTTTACCCCTCCTTCACCTGAGGATGACCACATGCCTCAACATGATGCAAATGCTCATTGGTTTGGGATGATGTAAAAAAGAGAGCATGTGATCATGGAAGCGAAGAATAATGAGCAGAGACGGTGTATGGGATATTCATAGCATCGAACAATTGATGTACATGTTCAGTTGTAAAGGAGAAAAAGAGCCATTTCAATTGATGTTGGGAACCAATTAGTGTGCCTGCCTTCATTACAAGGCTGTTTGGGAGTATCATGATTTATATAATGTATGGCAGTAGGACTCACTATGCATTGTCATTTATAGATAGATGGTTTACACAAGGCTTTTACATGTAACTTTTCTCTCTCTCACTACTTGAAAGGAGAGCATTCGCTAAACTAGCACATGCTGCACTCGATAGATGTACCATTCTGAGTAGCTAGTATTATATTTGTCGTCTTGTCTGTCTGGTGATGTCCTGTCGCGCGACTGGGTAATGTGAGTCAGGGCTGTTCATGCTAGAAGGATGTCCCGTAAGAATCTTGGATCATTGCATGACATGATATTTGCACCAGGACAACAAATACGGCACGATAGACAATCTGCTGCATGATCTGACGCGCATGGTCTCTTCACCCCCATCTTCGATCTCACATATTCCCCTGTCCTGTCCCTTTTTTTTTTTTGCTTCTGTCCCGACCTGTTTCCTCCCGTTATGCTTTTTCTATACCTTCCTTGTCACACAGTTCTCACTTCTTCCCAACACATCGCGACAAAATAAAATACTTTACGTCTGAATTTAATAGGGCAGTTTTGACGCTTGCCACCTCATATTCACCACCTGAGCTTCCCCCAATAGCCATATCCATGTCAATGTTGACTACTGCCCTTTTTCTCATCACAATCCACGGTTTTGGATATTTTTTTCAATTGATTCCTTGGACACTTTTAGATAATTAACCGTAGGAGTCAGAAACCCAACCAGTTAATTCTGAGAAGGAAGGCCTTCAATCAACTCTCTCTGAAATAAAGAGGGGATGGAGAGTATCTTTCCAATTCACTTTTCTTTTTAGATCGACAATTCTACTCCGATCTCACACACAAATGGCCCCAGGAACCAGTTTCTGTTTTTCGATTTTCTAATCCACTCGCAAGGAATGGATCTTACGCATTGTGTATTTGATCCGTTTCTCTTGTTCGGACGCATTGCATGCAAAAAACATGACCCCCCTTTTCTTCCTTTGTTTTGTTTCTTAGTGTTTTTGGACTGAAGGAAGATCGCTTCTCGACTGAACTGCAACCTTCTTTTTTTTTTTTTTTTTTTTTTACTTCTTTCCTTCTCACTTTTTCGTTTTCGTTATTCTCCTTATACATTTACAGCCTTAACAAACACAAGCTTCTAACACCCAATTCTCACAGCCTAATCCTCGCTTCTACATCCTCAACACTTTGGCATTTTCTTTTGGATCTCTGTTTTTCATCTTAATCATAGTATCATCTCCATTCTCAACGTGTTCCTGCCGTGTCGTCTTCTCTGACATGTCTCCTGCTCCTCCACTGGCGTCTGCCATCACCTCTCCTTCGGAAGGTACCGCAGCACGAGGACAGGCAGGAGCAACAACACCAGCAGCAGTAGGAGATACAGTAACCATACCTGATTCAATGCCCCCCCTTCTAGTGCAGATGCCTGCGCTTTTGCCACCATCATCCTCCACTCTTACTGCCTCCGCATCTGCCTTGCCACTAAGCTCACCCATCTTCAATAAGAATCTCCACAAAAACTCCGCTTCCACATCTTCATCTCTCAATACAGCCTTCTCCCCCACCGCCACCTCTTTTAAAACAAAATCAGGTCTCTCATCAAGCAATAATAGCAATAATGACAATAATAGCAATAATAATAATAGCAGTAGTAAAAACAGCAGCAGCAGCAGCAGCAGCAGCAGCAACAGAGCCTCGCGATCAAATTCTCTTGTCAATACATATCCCTCTCCTGCTCTCTCACCGCAGCCTTCTATTGCTTGTCCACCAAAGGGGTCCTTTGCGCATCAGAATGTACCATCCAAATCAAGTCGTCAACATCTTCGTCAGCTCTCAGCTGAGCAACTCTCCTCTCCTCCTTTTTCTTCTTCTTCTTCTTCTTCCCCTTCCTCTTCTTCACTAAATCCTTTTCTTCATTTTTATAACCATCATAAGCGACAGCATAGCCATCCTCAATCCCTCGGTCCTACCGCGACAACTTTGGCACAATCACCACATCGTCGACTTCACAGTTGTGGCGGTATCAGCAGCAGTGCCCACCATAATTCCTCCCACCGATCTTCCCCTACCGCCTCTCCCTCCCTTTCTCCCTTGGTATCAACAACCTTGACACCAACATCAGTGTCAACACCACGATACCACATTGACAACAGTAGTAGCAGTACAGCAACGACATTACCCCCCTTGCCGTTCTTCCCGCCTTTACCGTTCTCCCCAGACGTACTGGATAGCTACTTTTTATCTTCTTCTTCCGTTTCCTCCGAGCCTCTTGTGTCCGAAAAAGAGCAACAAGGACAACAGCAACAGCAACAGCAACAGAAACAACAGAAACAAGGAGCTGAAGAACAACAGGTACAGCAACAACAAAAACAGGGTCTTTCATTATCGAATATTGGAACAAACACAAACAAAGATTCAACAAGCATCATAACAGGCACACAAACACAAACTCAGGCGCACACCAGTGTGATCCACTCTGCTGCTTCTTCAATACTTGAGACTGACATGTCACTTCCTTCAGCAGCTTTGCCTCCTCTTTCTTCTTCTTCTTCTTCTTCTTCAGTTCCTTCACTGCCTCCACTTCCCATTACCATTCCCATGTCAAGCATGTTTGCTACTTTAGCTCATTCGAATACAAATGGAGCTAGTGGCGATGGTGAGAATGAGGAAACGCTTTCTATTCCTATTCCTATTCCTATTCCGACTCGTACAAACAATAACAACAATAATGAAAACATAGCAACTACTACAACCACCGCAGCCACAGTTACACCTGCTGGTGTTCATACAAACAACAACAACAGCAACAGGATATCATTGATTGGGAATAGTATCAGTTCAATGTACCTCAAGGCTGACAATAACAATAGTAGCAGAGATCATACCAACACCAACACCAACACCAACACTAATAACAGCAGCAATAATAACAGCAATAGCAATAGCAATAGTAGTAGCAGTAGCAATAACAATTACAATAGCAACACCAACCTCAACATCAGTAATCAATTCCGCAGGAGTACTAGCAGCATTCATCAATTACAGGGACTTTATAACAAGCAACAGTTTCTTACACCCAATGCTACAGGAGAAGGATCATCTGTGAAAAGTGAATCAAGTTATCTCAGTTCTCGTAGAAGCTCCAAGGATTCTTGGTAAGAAAAAAGAAGTAATGTTTATTATTTCCTTCTCCTGTTGCCTTGTTCTCCACCTCCCTTTTTTCTCCTCTTCCCCTGATCTTAGTTGTTCCCCCCACCACCTCCTCTTCTCCTGGTCTTTAAAATAATATGGATGGTCCTTGCGCAGGATTTTTTTTTTTTTATCATAAACAAAACAAAGCAAAAAGCAAGGCACAAAATCAAAAAAAGCGAAGCTGTGGAGGCAAGTGAGGTCAAAATGACATGACAGACGATTATTAATCACAGTTTGGTCAAAAAAGGATGTTTTTTCAGTTTTTTTAAAATTAGATGACGGGGAAACTAGTGAGAGTTTGCGACGCGTGTAAGACGCGCACGGTTTCCGAACCCGCCTCTCTCTCCCATCATTCAACGCCATATCCTCTTTTCTTTTATGATATATATATATATTTAATACTCATTGTTTACTTCTACCCCTGACGCGTGTGTTTTTTTTTTTCCCGCCAATTGTGAAAAAAAGCTTTAAAAAAAAAGAGTTGACTAGTATGTTCCGGTTATATTACTTTATTCTCCTACGAAGAACAAGGGGTGAAGAAGGTTTTTTTTTATTTTTTATTTTTATTTTTTTTGTCTCCTAATACGTTTCTAGCATTTGTTTATTTGAGGAGATAAAGGAGGAGAGAGGATCATCCGATCTTTTCTATTTGTTATTTTACGCGGCAAAAAAAGAAACTCTTCCCCTTATTCTAATGTTATTGCTTATGAATAACATGTAAATGTATAAATATATTATATATGTGGTGTGATGATGTGTATGTATCCTTTGTACTACAACATCGCCCATTTTCACAAGAGAGAGAAGAGAGAGGGAAGGATTGGTTCGGTTGGAACACCAAATCTCTCCGATATTTATGATCATGATGGGGAATGTGCACTGTTGACGTTTGATATACAAAATGAAGGACTAATTTGTTGTTGATGTTGACATTGATTTGTAGCGAGTCAACGCCCGGAACATCGATCGAAGACTTGGTTGACCAACTGACCGTGCTCGATTATGCAAATCCGCATGGTAAGATTTTTCGGAGCTATTCCAAACATGGCATTAAGGGGAAAGTAAAAACATCCCTGTTTATATATATATATTTTATTTTATTTTATTTTATTTATTTCTTCTGCTTTGCATTGCATCGCATTGCGTTACTGTTGCCTTTCCTTTTCTTTCTTTTGCTTTATTGTGTTTTGGCGCTTTTTGTATGTCATGTTCGCCGTAAAGTGCCTACCAAGAACTTGTCGCTGCTGATACAATTTAGTGCTCTATAGTTCCATTGATTTCCTTCATCAGTTTATGATCCTTATTGTCCTTTGTCATCCATCTTTATTTTGTAATCGTACGATGATGACAAAGCATTAGTAAAAATAGACGGAAAAAAGAAAAAAGATCTAACCATTCTTTGATATCTTTCTTCTTTCTCAAAAAAAAAAAAAAAAAAAAAAAAAAAACAGACCAGATTGCTCGGACTAAGGTATTTCTGATGATCTATCGCAGGTTCATGCGTCCGCGTGAATTACTCGAGATGTTCATTGCACGATTTGATGCACTTGGAGAGATGGTGGATGATGAGGATTCAGAAGCGAGCAATACGCGACTCAGGTAAAATGTCCATCCATGTCTATTGTGTAAAAAAAAAAAAAATTCTATTTTTAAAAAATGTTGTTCTATTTATTTCTTTCGGCTAAATCCTTTTTTTTTTTTTGTTATTAACTATTTTTTATGCATTGTCAAAAAAAAAAAAAAAAAAAAAAAATCTTACCGAAAATCGCATGATTCCTTTCTTGTATTGTGCTGCGCTGCGCTACTTGATGTCACTGTGGACAGGATTTGCTCATGTCTATACTATTGGTTTAAGGATCATCCGAATGATATCCTTCATCGTCAGACTCGTCAGCGAGTGGCTGCGTTCTTGCGTGAACGTGTTGCTCTATTTCCATATCTGAACGAAATCTATCAACAATTGCTTCCGCTCTCGTCCATTCACTATTTTAATTCTTGGAGATGGTCATCTCAATCATCTTCAATGTCGTCATCGTTATCTGATCATGCTGTGTCCTTTGCTGCTGCGGCTGCTGCAGCCTCAACATCATCCGTCTCATTGTCGACTTCCTTGTCTAAAAGTATGGCTCCTCAACTGCCTTTGACAATCGTGTCCTCATCCATATCCTCAGTTTCGACAGTAGATGAGGATTTGGATTCTGGCTTTCATGACACGAACAGTATTCAGGGGGAAGAGGAGATGGATGAGGATCGTGAATGGGGGTTCATGGATGAGGATGATTATACGATGGAGATCAACCATAGTAATTACAGTGGTAGCTGTAGTGGGAACAGTAGTGCCAACAGCAGCAAAAAGAACTCTGTGTATCTGGATAGTCTAGCAGCGTTTGCTCACCTGAGTTTGCTTGGTAGCCAGAACAGTAGCGGCAATGTCAGCAGCAACAGCAACAGCAACAGCAACAGCAACAGCAGCAGCAACAGCAACAGTAGCAACAATATTGCTGGTAATGCAGCCGGCATTAGTCGTCCACATTCCAGGACTTTTTTCGCCAATCATCACAATATTATTCCAAATGGTCGGGATCGTCGTTCAAGTACAGGATCATTTGCTCAAGGGCTTTCAGTCTGTGCTATGGAGACCTTTGTAGCAGGCAGAAGAGGGTCTGCATCGTCTGTGTCATCAAACCCTGGGCCGTTCACAATAGGCTCTTCATCCTTTACATCGTCACAACAACAACAATCAAATTTCCCAGAAGGCGATACTCTACTTCTACCATCGGTTTTACCACCTATTGGTCCGATTCCATACATCAATAAACGAAGTAGCAGCCATGGATATAGACAACAACGATCCATGTTACAACAGCAACAGAGCAATACTATAACGTCTACAACGCCATCAATGTCTGCAACAACTCCTCCTCCACCGGCTCATCTTCATACTTCTTCTTCATCTTCTATGATTGGGGCATCGCATTCGGCTCCAATTCACATTCCGGCATATGGATCACAGGTATCTCAATTAAGCTCTTCATGGATGTCATCATTGTCATCCACGAACGCAATTATGAATAACAATAGTTCGTCAACCACCACAGCTTCTGAAGTATCCGTGGGTGGTGTATCGGATGAGAAGATCTATCCTCTTAATACCCAGCAACAGCAGCAACAGGATCAGCAGCAACAGCAGCAGCAGCAGCATCGTCATTCGAAATTAAGCTATAATCCATGGGCACCCTCCTATAACTCGTCTCCGATTGTGGACTATACGGCTGTGAACATTCCATTTATGGAGATTAAGGATATGGCGATTGCGGAACAGTTGACCTGCGTTGAGTATGGGCTTTTCATGAAACTGAAGGTAATTATATATATATATATATTGCACAGTAGCAGTAAAGCAAAAGCGAAACTAATCTAATGCTTTGTAATGGTAAAATACGTTAGCCAAGAGATATGCTCCGCCACGTTTGGAAGACCAAGAAGGGATCAGTGGCGATTCAGACATGCATTTCCTTCTTTAATTTTATCTCTTTATGGGTTGCAACCATGATTCTTCTTCCACCCAAACCCAAGCACCGTGCTAAGATGATGGAGAAGTTTATTTCGATTGCCAAGGTAAGATGATAAAAAAAAAAGTACTTGTGGGGAGTAATTGTTATAACAACATTCTTATATAATTCTTACTCTTTATTCATTTATTTATTTATATTTTTTATTAAAAACAGATCCTACGTGATATGGGCAATTACAATACGACAATGGCTATCATTGGAGCGTTGAACACATCATCGATCCATCGATTGACACATACACGCGAGCTATTACAGAACAAAGAGATTTGGAACACATTCAAGGAGCTGGAGCATTTGATGGGTTCTGAGCGATCCTTCTTTGAATATCGTGCAGCCCTTCGAGCGACCAAAGGACCGTGTATTCCTTACTTGGGTGTACACCTTGCTGATTTGTTGTCGATCAGTGAAGGCAATAAGGATTTCCGACAGGGACCCTTACCGACGATGACAACGACCAGTGAAACTATGACAAACACAACAACGACAACGACCATGACAATGATTGGATCTACAATGTTGCATTGGCAGAAGTTTGTATTAATGACAGATGTGATCAATATGGTGTTGAGCTTTCAACAGGAGGCTCCTTCTTCCTCAGGAGCGGCAGTAGCAACAACAACGGCAACAGCAGGATACCATCGGATCCAACCAGATCCATTCATCTCTAGATTGATTACAGATACACATGTGTTGAATGATGAGGAGCTGTATGCTAAATCGGTGATGGTCGAACCACCCGCCAAGTTGAATCATTCTCGCAGCCTGAGCAAATTCACATTCTTTTGAAGAAAAAAAAAAAAAAAAAAAAAAAAAAAAAGAGGAAGAAGGAGAGGAAGGGAAAGAACGGTTTTTTCATTGATTTAGTATTTTTTAAACATTTCTTGTATTTGTATTTCATTTGCCATGTATTTAAGCATATACTTCCTCCATTTTTAATAGTTTGTAATATATATATATATCTTTGTAGTCGACGATGTAAGAATAATGGATAGCACTAATGGAAAAAACAACATAATATTAAAAAAATTCTTAAAATTATCTTTCTCCAGTAATTTATTCACCAAAATATAAAACTAAACTAGAGAAGAATTTTTTTTTTTTTTTTTTTTTTTGCTTTTGTTTTGAACATGAAGTGAGATTTAGTGAAGAGTTTTTTAAAGTGCAAGTTAATGAAGAGAGAATAGTAAGGAAATCCACTTTTTTTAAGCAAGGTAAGTAGTCGAAGCAACATTGCCTCCACGGCCAGTCCAGTTGGTGTGGACCCACTCATCACTATCCAGACGTTGGTAAGTATGGGCTCCAAAGTAATCTCTCTGGGCCTGCAACAAGTTGGCGGGCAAGACTGCGGTTCTGTAGCCGTCATAGAAGGCCAAGGCGGAGGAGGTTGCAGGAGTGGGAATACCACGGAGAGCAGCCTGAGAAACCACGCGTCTCCAGCCAGGGGCAGCCTCTGTGACAGCCTTTGTGAAGAAGGGGTCGAACAACAAGTTCTCCAAATCAGGGTTGTTGGTGTAAGCAGTCTTGATATCACCCAAGAAGACTGAGCGGATAATGCAACCACCACGCCACATGAGTGCAATACCAGCGTTGTTCAAGTGCCAGCCATTCTCCTTGGCAGCCTCACGCATCAACATGAAACCCTGAGCATACGAAATAATCTTGGAGGCATAAAGAGCGCTAGAGACATCATGGATGAACTGCTTCTTATCACCAGTGAAGGGAGTAGCCTCAGGTCCCTTAAGGATAGAAGATGCTTGGATACGCTCGTTCTTGATTGCAGATAAGCAGCGAGCAAAAACGGCCTCACCAATCAAGGTGACAGGCATGCCATTGTCAAGGGCAGAGATAGCAGTCCACTTGCCGGTTCCCTTCTATTCTCCCCAAGAAAAGAAAGAAAGAAAGAAAGAAAGAAAAAAAGTCAGCAAATCAATCGAACAGGAATATTAAAGAGCGATGACGCCAGAGTTCATGTCAGCATTAAAACTGCGCACAAAATAATAATAATCAAATCATGATCTGACTTGTATGCATTTTTTTTTTTTTTTTTTTTTTTTTTTTTTTTACCTGACCAGCAGTATCCTTGATGTGCTCAACAAGAGGAGAGCCATCAGTGTCCTTGAACTTGAGGATATCACGGGTGATCTCAATAAGGTAAGAGTCAAGCACACCATTGTTCCACTCAGTAAAGATTTCACTGATCTCATCAGCTGAGAGACCGAGGGTTTCCCTGAGAATATGGTAAGCCTCGCAAATCATCTGCATGTCACCGTATTCAATTCCATTGTGGACCATCTTGACGTAGTGTCCAGCGCCGGTCTCACCAACCCAGTCACAGCAGGGTTCACCATTCACTTTAGCGGCGATAGCCTGGAAGATGGGCTGGACATGTTGCCTAAATAAAAAAGATTAAATAAATAAACATTAAGTTTGTAAATTTGTTTTTAAACAAAGGGAAAAAAAGATGGATCAGATCAGTATGATGAAAAACATTGCGAAAAATGACTCCCATTTAGTAAAACTTTTCTTTTTCTTTTTCATTTTCTTTACCATGCCTCCTTGGAACCACCGGGCATCATGGAGGGGCCATGACGAGCGCCCTCTTCACCACCAGAGACACCGCATCCGACAAAGAGGAATCCCTTGGACTCCAAATACTTGGTGCGACGGATGGTATCTGGGAAGTGAGAGTTTCCACCGTCAATGATGATATCACCCTTCTCGAGGTGAGGCAAGACTTGTTCGATGAAATCATCCACAGCAGAACCGGCCTTGACCAACATCATGACCTTGCGAGGACGCTTCAACTTTTTGCAGAACTCCTCGATCGAGTGAGCACCAACGATCTTGGTGCCCTTTGCCTCGTTCTCCAAGAAATGATCGACCTTGGAGACAGTTCTGTTGAAGGCGCAGACAACGAATCCATTGTCGTTCATATTCAAGATCAAGTTTTGGCCCTATTACAAAGCATTTTTTTTTAAACCAGTTCCAGTCATGTGAAGAAGGAAAGAAAAAGAACCAATGCGCCAAAAAGGACAGCGAGAAGTAAAGGTGATAAAGAGACCAAAATAATAAAGCGTGAGAAAGCAGGTTTCCTGTAAGATCTATATGCTTATGCTACTGATCGTTCCATTTGACATGGCAGCTTGCAGTTTGTTTCCTTTATAGACAATATATCAATATAGCCATAGCTTCACATACCATGACGGCCAAGCCGATGAGACCGATATCAGCACTATCGACCATATAAGAGATAGAGATGAGTTGAATCTGAGGTAAGTCTCCTTGGATAAAAGTAGGACAGAAATATTGATAGCAATAAAGACAGCGCAGCCACAGCTGTTAAATTCGATCAAGCCCATGCAAAAGCAAAAATAAAAGTATTTCATGAAGATGCGTGGGACAATTTCTTTTTTTTAGTTGTGCATTTGCATTCGTGCCATTGTCCCGTTTATTCATTCACATACACTGCTTCCTGAGACATGGTGAGAGAAAGGGAAGGAAGTTGAAGTACGAGGGATAAAGTTGAATGTAAGTGTAGGGGAGAATGAAGAGTGAATGAAGAAAGAAGAAAGAAAAGAGGAAGAAAAAAAAGTTGAGTGTCCTTATCTCCGATCAAAATTTGTAAATTAGACCTCAAACACCCAAAAACACTCAAATTTATCCCCAGCAAAATAAAATGAAAAAGACTATTGATTTCGATATTCATTTGCATTGCATTGCAGTGGCATTGCATTCTTTTTCTCTTCACAACCTTACTTTCTTACAGTTTGTCAACTAGATCCATCGCTCAATTAGTCAACCATAGAGAAAAGAAAAAGATACAAGATGGACACAAAAGCATATGGTAATAGGCACACAAGCTCAGAGGCATGGCTTGGCCTGGCCTTGTCTTACTTCGCCTGTCCTCTTTGTTCTTATGTTTGACAAATGCTGATGGCCAAGCCTCATCTCTTTACTAATGAATTGATATGTAATATGGTTCTATATCATTTTACATGTACACCATGCGTCTTTTCTGATTTTGATATATACTCCTACAGTCGTCCCATTGTCCTTGACCTTTGTCCTAGGAAGGATGAGATGGACAGGAATAAAAGCTTAGATTTATGCGTGTATACACTTTGACATTATACACGTACAAATGTGTGAAAGAGAAAAAAGGAAAAAACGCTCTCCAAACGATCTATGACTACCACTTAATGGGGAGGTTGTTATCTTTAAAGGATTCTGTGCATTTGGATTGATCAATCGTAAATTTTGTACCCCGCATCACCATATCACCATTTGTATCTCACAAAAGATCGATCTTTTGCCCTATCCTTTGGGTTTGATCTACCACTATGCAGACTTTTTTTATTAGTCAGTAAATGACATGCAGTACCGTTAGATCCAGATCAAGTACAAAAGGCGTTTTCTCCAAACAATCGATTTGTAGACAGCTGACTCTAACCGAGAGTTTGTTTGCTAAAGCCTGAGACAAGACTCTTGAAGATGCCAACGGTTCAACTCCACATTATTGCTCATGTGAACGAACTAAACTATTAGCTATGTCTTTAGTCTACACAGACCCTCTCCCATCCTGCCTTGTTTTGCCATAATCGTCACAATGACGACGAATAAAGTCCCCATGATTCTTTGTTCCTGAAGATATTATATGCATCAAGGATCGATGGGCTCCCTATTTTCTCTTCTCTCTCTCTCTTCTCTCTCTCTTCTTTTCTCTTTCTACTAAAAAAAAATAACTTACTTCCATTACTTTCCAACGAAATGTCTTCTCACGAAAACCATAAGACAACTCACATTGCCGACTATAATGCAGCTATCGTGGATCCACCAGCTGCATCCTCCACCATCGCAGGCATACAAGCACATGCGCAGGCACATCGGGCAGGACTACTTACAGCTTTCACCACTACGGATGCTTCGGGTTATCCAGACAAACATGATGGTCTCTCTGCTCATAATACGACCCATAACAGTGTGATTCTGAATCAGCATGAACATCACAAACATACTCAAGTACAGGACCCAGAACTCGCCGCTATAACAAGTCCAAAGCATGAGCATGGATATGGACATGAGTAAACTGAGGAGTGAGAATCTTTATGCCCTTGTTCTTGTTTAAGTAAACAAAAAGAAAAAAAAAACCACTTTTCTATGTCATACCCACAGCTCCCCATCCCAATTTCAACCCCAATCAGCCCCTTGAGAGTCTATTAACAATAAAGGTAGTTATTCATTTCCATGGACATGTCTGTTCAATACAAAGTATATCTTGTATTTATTTATTTTTTTTAAAAAAAACAGACGTGTTGGAAGAAACACCTTAAAACTTCTGGGAAGAGACGGAAGCTTCAGTATGGACACTCAGTATTGCGCTTGGGCGTCAAGTCCAAAATAAAGAAACAGGTTTTTATTAATCAAATGGTCGGTCAATGAGTAGGACTGGCTTCATGCAACTCTCTCAAGTTTTGGTGCACACAATCCACATGTGGCTTAGTTTCAAAAGACGCGATTAATGTTGAGCTTTTTCTGGCTGCTCCATTTGAGTCATTTGTTATGCTGAATTGGTGATGTGAAACTCTGCATCTAGACAGAAGTGGGAGGACTAGAGCTGTGATGACATTCAGTATCTGCAGATATGATGTATCCACACGCATGTTGTGAGGAGAGAAGAAGAAAGAAAAAAAAAGCTCATTTCCATTGATGAGTATAGGAGGAAGTCAAAGATACGGGTATGGGACATTATAGGTGTTTCAAAGCGATTCGATAAAGGATGATGGAGTAAGTTTATGATCCTTCATTGAGCTGCCATAACATAGTTCAGAGTCGGTGCGTAAACACACAGGCAAAAAAAAAGCCATTTGTCTGAAGTGGCTTTGATAGAATTGCAGGACTCTGTTGAGGAGGTTTCTAAGAGTGCTTTCTTTTTTTTTTTTTTCGGATTGAAGCGATTCTGATCTTTCCTTCTTTTGTTTTCATTTCTCTTTCACATCATTGGTTCTTCATCGGATTCAGTATTCAGGACGAGAGCTTTTTTTTTTTTTTTTTTTTAATATACAGAAGAAGAAGATAAAAAAAGAATACGCTTTGTTTGATTATTTTTTTCGTGTGTGAAAGACAATGCCACGCGACCGCAACGACAACTCGGTCTCGCTTCATGTTAGCGGGTTCAAGGATAGCACTCGGTAATAATCATAATGAAGAAAAGAGAAAAAAAAAAAAAAAAAAAAAGCTAAGCAAATGACATTCAGCCAAGCTTAACATGTATGACAAGTTTAAGCTCATTCTAACAGTTCATCGTTTCAAACGTGATACCACGAAAAAAAAAAAAAAAAAAAAAAAAAAAATTTAGTCCTAGCGATTTGGCTTCTCTCTTTGAACCTCATGGTCGAATTGCTGATGGTAAAAGAGATAATTCTTCTTTAATGCTTTCTCAAGGATATTCATGCGTTGTGTATTTAAAATATTATTTGTTATTAAATTGTGGATTTTTTTTTTTTTTTATTGTTTTCTGGATCATCTTTTTCTTAATCTCAGTGTATATCCCAAAAGGTGAGTCAACATGATGTAAAAAGAAAAAAAATGTTACGGCAATGCAAAGTGATGGACGCGTCATACCAGGATGACATCTCGGAAGAACAGGACACCAAGCTCTTTCATGCAAATGTACAAATCATGCGCTGGTGTCTGTGTGAAAATACTAACAAAAGATTTTTTTCTTTTATTTTATGCTGGCATTTCTTTTATAACATGTGTCGTCTGGATGGACTTTGATAGATTACTACACTGGTCGTCCTCGTGGTTTTGCATATGTTCAGTATGTTTACTACTATTTTGCTGTTATAATTATTTTTGACAGGTTATCAACTCATAGAAAAAAAGAAAGAAAGAAGAGCGGAGTGAGAGGGAAAAAAAGCCTCGAGTACACCCAAGTGATTAAGAGGGATCCCACAAGTGTTTACATTCAAAAGGAATATAAGAAGGCAGGACAGGGGAGATATCTTATGGCCAATTAGGAAAAAAAAAAAAAAAAAAAAAAAAAAAACGGGACGATAGGAAACTTAATGAGTGGAAAACGATCTCGGCAAGAGGAAAAATCCCTGTTGAGGAGAGGAGGGGACAAGAGAACTAAGCAAATGAGCGTCGACAATACTGATAAAAAAAAAAGGAACTTGCTATATTGCAAATGTGCAAATAGATCACCCGTGCGTTGTTGTTTTCCAACCACTGTTTGGTTTACTGTATTCCCGTTCCTTGCATTCAGTTGTCTTGTTCTTTGGTTCTCGTTTATTCCCTTTTTTTGTCATTGTTATTCTCAGTCCATCATTCATAATGGGTTTACTCTTATTTCTTTATTTTTTTCTTGGTGGTGATTTTTCATGAGATTTTTCACTCCTCAAGTCAAGCCAAGATATTTGTGGTCATTTTGCATATTCAAAAAAAAAAAAAAAAAAAAAAAAGGGAATAGTTTAAGGAATCAAGGCAATATCAGTATATGGGACATGGGGACGGGAAGTGTTTCAAGCCGATAATGCAAGCAACAAACGTCAAGCTGTTTCCTTAAAATTTATTCATGTACCGTGTTCAAGCGAGCCGCCAAAGACATCCGCATTTGCAAGGGTGTAACTGCTATTCGTCCACATAAAACTGCCCTGGCGATTAGGTGATCAGTGCTCTTTGGGGCAACTGATAACCGCAATCTTGAACAAGGGGGATGGTTCTTTCCCAGCTTGACGTCAACAAGAATTTTTCTTCAAAAATAAGGAGGGACAATATGCAGTTACAAGAGCGATCTCTTCTTCTATCTCCTTTCTTTCTTATATTCGTCAAGAAGCGAGTCAGAAGTGTTGATGCAAGAGAAGCTTTCTCAAGCGAGTTATTCAGGTGTGCGCGTGATCCTCAAGTTGATTGCTAATATCTATCCTCCCCCTCCTCACCATAATCCGTACTTTCGCACCTCTCCATCATTTCTTTTCCACCGTCAGATATTATGATGAGGAGGATGCGCGTCGCGTCTACGAATCAGGCGAGTCGTTTACTCTTGATGGTCGCAAACTTGAAATTCAATATGCACAAGGAAGGAGAAAGAGTAAGTATAGACATGATAGTCATCAGCTGTTCAGTCGAAGGATACTTCAGACAGAAACATTAACTCTATCTTTTTTTAAACCTCTTTATTAGCTCCTAATCAGATGAGAGGGTAAATAGTTATCATAGTCAATCCCTATGCGTCTGGTTGTTCTCCTCTCAAGTGAAGCAAAGTGATAGACCCATCACGGAAAGTTCTATAAACTACTCCAGGAACGAAATGATTAACTTATATTCGTATTCTTTTAATTTGCTTTACTACTGCCTCTAGACAAAGTGGTCGTGGAGATCGCCGCCGCTCCCGATCAGCTGACCGATATCGCCCAAGGTAACACAATAGAACATGTGGGAGCGAGCTTATATTTATTTCAGGGAAAAAGAAAAAAAAAAAAGCCTAATCATCTACTCTCATTTGTGTACTAAATCAGTGCACGACGCTACTCACGTTCACGCTCGCGCTCTCGATCACCTGTGCGTCGCCGCAGGGACAGCCGTAGCCCTGTACGCCGTGCACGCTCCCGTTCCAGAACTCCTCCTCGACGCCGCTCTCCTTCACCTCGTCGTGCTGGTAACAGCCGTCGATCACCATCGCCTCGTCGTCTCCCCTCTCGATCTCGTTCCCCTCCCCGCCGACGTAGCATCTCACGTGAGCGTCCCTCTCGCTCGCGCTCTCAATCACATGGAGCTTCTCCTCGTCGCGCAGCCTCTCCTCGTCGTGCAGCTTCCCCTCGCCCCGCAGCATCTCCTCGTCGCACAGACGGCTGGGGTGAAGAACCCAAGGTGGGTAACAACGATGAATACATTGGGTCATCATGGACACTCTCATCTGAAGATGGTCCGGAGCATGGAAATATTTCAGAGCACGAACCAGGAGAGATATAAATAGTGCTTGAAAAGGAGATTTTTTACGCTTTTGCTGGTGTTTCGTAGATTGGAGGATGTCTTGGTATATTTTTGTTTACACGCTTCCACAACCCAAGCACTCAAACACGAACTAAGCATACTCACTCTATCATTCGCTTTTTTTCTTTTTTCTTTTTTTTTTTCTTTTTTTTTTATATTATTATTACTATTATTATTATTTATTTATTTATTCTTTTTTACTTTTACTATTGTTATTCGATTATAAAAAAAACCACCACAGGTTAGCGAATGGGAAGAAGGTAATGGTGCTTATGGCTCCTATGGCTGGTAATGGAAAGCGGAGGATTGGCACTGGTGGAGTTTTTTTGGAGCATATTCGCCTATCACTCTAAATTGTGGCATTTGAATGGATTCCTTTGAACTTGTTTTTCTTTTTCTTTTCCTTTTTTTCTTTTCTTACCACATTACCATAGCCTACTTTAGCCATTAAGACTTTCAATCCTCATCATAGCAATTTATAAAGAAATAAATAAACCAAAATATAAAAAACTGTTTGACAGTGACACTGTCTTTCGATGAGAAACATGCTCGTAAAAAAAAACTTTGACCGACAGTCTGTATTTTTCCGTCACTTCAAAGACTTGTAAGGAAGTGTACTTCGCAGTGGCAAAACCAATAAAGAAAAAAAAAAAAACAAGAAAGACATGGAACGGTAGAGCTCATTGAGACCGTTTCCCTGTGATCTTCACAACTTGAGAAGTATCTGCCAAATTCGCCCCCCAGCGCGCGATGCACATGAGCTTCTTCCTCAGGGACCAGCGGTGATCTATCTGCCACGCAACCATCGACGACTTGTGATGTGGTTACTCTCAGGAGAGAGTGAACTCCTACTAATATCTATCTAATGTTCATTTCTCTTACCCAGTTCCTACTTTTTTTGTTTTTGATTTCTCAAACAGCATTTATCAGTGAGCATTTACAATAAATACATGCTAGATGTATTTTTTCTTCTTTTGCGCATGTATTTTTGACTGCCTTTCCTTCTAAATGCAACAAAGAGTAACTTTGTGACCCAATTGATACTGTGACAGTATAGTCGGGTATTAAGAGACGAGACCCCATTCCTCTTGTCTCATCCAGAGTTATGCTCCTATATTAAAGAAATAGTGTTAACTTCGAGATTGCAGTTCCTCAATTAGCACAATTACAAGTATAATTACCATCTTGTATTGACGTTGGGCATAGTTCCGAAATATGCATCAAGACATGGGGCCAGCATATTCTTCAAGAATGATGCCTCGTTTTCCTCATCCCCAGACCATAGCTCACGAGTGGTTGTAAGGCGAGTAAGCACTTGCTTCAAGATCATCGATTTTGGTGGTGTTTCTTCAAAGGCTCTTACAAATTCATGCCCACCCATGTATATCAGCTACAACTTCACTGCAGAGTACAGACCTGTCTTGTTGACTTATCGATTGCCAAAGCACCACCCATGCATCGTCATCAATTTCGCCTTGTATACCGCCTGTCTGATGTTCTGATTCAAGGAGAAAAATAAAATTTATGGCCCTATTTGCAAAGAAGTAAAGAATTGTAAAAAAAAAAAAGCTCTCTGTAAACATGTAAATAGAAACCACACGTGATGCACTTACAACTTTTCATGGGCTGACTTAGCCCAAAGTTATTTTCCACCACTCGACTGCGAAATTCTAGAAGGGCCTTGCTAATATCGATGTTATTGTGTACCCAATGTTCCTCTACAATCGAATCAGCACGCCCATCTCCATCCAAAAAATTATAGGCAAACATTTTGGCTTCCGGCTGATGCTGATCCTCGAAATCAGTAAATGATCCATCAATAGAATCTGATGGGAGAAGGTCGGTGTTGCATATTTCATAGTATGCAATATAGTGATGGCGTGGCTAGAAAAACTAGGAAAAATACCAAGAAAACTTATGATAAAATACTAGGGAAATTCCCAACCAAAATTAATATACTAAAAAATTAACAGTAGAAATTAGTGTCGATAACGTGTCGTACAAAGACGCGATAAATCATGAGGGTTTTTGAATGAACCCATGTGATCTTATAGATAGATATGTAGTTACCTGGTACAGGTCACTCTACCAGAAAATGAATAAATACCCCATGGGTGTGGTGTGTGGACCCACATCTTAATCTCACTTACTTTTTCTACTGCTGACGATCTATCTGCAAAATATTTTTCAGTCGGAAAGGTTGGTGGTGGGCTGTTTAACACTCAAGTGCCGCCGTGGTGGCGTATGTAACGAAACATATTGCAGTGGGGATCCTGCAGGTGAACATTGCGATAGAGTAAGACCGATTGGAGTTTCATGTTCCGTTCGATCATTAATTTTACGTTTCTTGTTGTCGTTGAAGCGAGGGGATTATGTTGCCAGAGCTAATGAAATTTGGTCTAGTCGAATTGGAGTAGGCGTACCAGGTAAGCGAACAGGTCCTGATATTGCTTTAGTACTAGTAGCTTCATACAGTGGATATGCTCAATTATTAATGATACATGCATCATATGAAATAAATTATATCAGTACCACAGTGCTGTAGACTCTGACTAACCATTAGATACTGATTGAGATTGATTTTTAGCGATGTCAATCTTTGAAAGCAAAGGTCCTGCTAATTCGAAAAAAAAAAAAAAAAAAAAAAAAAAAAAGGGTAAATGATATGGAGGTTACTATATTACTTTTGATTTTTATGAATCAAGGAAATGTACCTGACATCCTTCGTAGCCGATTTTGGTGGGGAGACGAGCTCCCAACATTTGTTCCCTATGGAGGAGAAGCCAAGGCAAATAGAGCTGCGTGTTAATGGCACTCTCGGGATATACTGTTGCATATTTTCACGTAATCTCCGATAAATGTGCAGGCTGTAATAGTTGAAAAATAAGCTGCGCTCTATCGCAGTACATATTCCTTAACACGCATTACCTCATTCAAAGACAGGGCATTGACACCGCTTGAAGCAACCGATTTTGCGATCCTTCCCGGGTTAAAGATGAATAATCGAGAAATTAAGAGAGAGTCCAGATAATGGTCGGCGTGAAAGAGAAATGAACGTTACAGAACACGTGATATAAACGCCATAATAGGCCAGAGTTATGCGATCATTGGTAAATAGACCCATGTCGTACAAACAGTAAACAATTCGACGCGAACTAAGAAAGAAAAAAAGAAAAAAGTTTGCCGTCCGATGCCATAGGTCGTAACGGCACAGCGTGGGGGATAGTAGACAAGCACTGACCTGACTGAGAATCCCATAGTCTCACTGTCATGTCTTCACTGCCTGAAGCAATATACTGACCATCAGGCGAATAAGCCATGGAACGAATATTGCTGGTATGTCCTTTAAGTATATGTCCTATTTGCATTAAATCAGTACCCATCACATGAGCTGATCCATCATTACAATCAACGGCGATATACTGGTCATACGGCGAAAATATCGCTGTCGTTTTAGCAGGTCCAAATACCATTTCGCGATAGCACTCTCTGTCTCTGTGTTCCATCCGTCAAGTACACCACAAGATACTGAAATAATCCTTTTACTGGCTGAAGAAAACACCATATAAACTTGAGGTGTCTCCAACCAAACCTTTCAAAGTATTTAGGCAATCCCCTGATTGCGGTTTCCACAGGCGGATTGTGCCACATTTGTTGTACAAAGTGGCCAATTGTCCATCTGGAGGAAATATCACACCTTCTAGCATGCTTTTCTTGCCTTATAGAGTGTGGATAGGCTCCTTAGTCTACGTGCCCCATACACTTACCGCCCCATCCCTATGGCCAGCTGCGATTTGAACATCGCATGGCGAAAACTCTACGACAATATGGTAATTGCCTTCGCCTACTTGTGACCCCGACATGTTGAGGACCGGGCTGGCTTGGAGCTCTCAAAGACAGGCCCTTGAGCCACCGCCTACGCAGGCAAGTAGTAGATCTTTTGGCGAGTACTTGATGTCTGATGCAGAGCTTATTGTACCTTTTAAAGTACAGATTAGTTGACCTGTAGCTACATCCCATACGTACACTGCACCGTCAAAGCTGCATGAAGCGATATGCTTCCCGTCTGGCGAAATTCTCACGTGGAGGATCGATGTCGTCTGACCATATGAACTGGCTTGGCTGTCATGATTGGGTGTCCCACAAACGAACCGTTTTGTCCTTACTGAAGGATGCGATCTGATGACCGTCAAGTGAAAATGCCACGCAATTCACGCGCTCAGAGTGGCTGTTCAAGGCATTGGTTAGTTGCTCTGACCGAGCATCCTAAAGTTTAAGCGTGTTGTCTATTCCGCAGGTTACAACCTGATCTCCGGTAGGTGAATATTTCAGGTCGATGATTTAGCCGCGATGGCCTTCTAAGGTCTTCATAGTTTTCCTTGTGACCATGTCACATAGGAGCGCCTTTTCGGAGGTGAACGAAGTAATGAATTCCTGCTAGGAGAATATTGAAAACCCTTGACGTGATCATGCTCCAGTTGCTCTATTATCCACTTTTTATTAATCCCTAAAGTCCACACTTGCAATGAACGACTGTATCCGTTAAGTGAACACGCAACTTGGTAAACACCTTTTCTATGGCATAGTAAATATAGCTATTGTCTTGATTGTGAATATAACCGCGCCGATTTGTCTTCACTAGCAGTTACAAAAGAGCTTCCGCCATGGGAATAGGCCATGCTGAGGGTTGGGCCAGTATGATCCTTTAATAGATAAATGAGTTAGACGGACATTGCATCCCACACATGCGCTATACGGCCATTCCTGGCTGAAACGAGCCGCTATCCGTCAGGAGAGTAGATAAGGCAACGTATTTTATTTGCGTGTCCTTGAAAAGTATGTCAACTGATGCTGTATTTCTCAAAAGAACCATATGTTCATCATTCCAAACGGCAGAATGCGGATTGGTTGGCAAGTATGAAAAGTTGTGTCCATCATTGCGACTATTTCGGGTGTTTATGGTGAAAATAATTTGCCATGTGGAATTGTCATAAAGAACTATTGAGCTGTTTTCAAGAGTTGGTGCGAGTATAGTCTATTGTGTGAAAAGCTACATCCTTTCTTCCCGCAACTTGTGTTAAGGAATGGTGGAGCCAGCATCACAACCTCAGTGATAGTAGCCTCAGTCTTGGCCTTATCGTTGATGAACATGGTTAGGAGACCAGCCACTAAGCTATTCAGCTGCTCTAGCTCGCCGCTGTCTTTTCTTTCGGGAGCTGTAGAGTCAGTTATCGCCAGAGAAGTATTTAGGAGGAAGGTAGGAAGGTGAGATGATATACAAGCTGATGAGTATCGGTGAGTTTCTCCCCAGAGGTTCGGCAAATTAGGTCGAATGATGGCAAGGGGTATGTCTCTGTCAAAAATGTCAGTAGGGATGATTGCAATTTCAGTTCTTAAAAGGATCGCAAAAAACTAGTTCTTGAGGATTTTCCGTGCTCCCGCTTGATATTGGTTCCATTGAGGACCATGAGCACTTTCATCCCAACTTCCGGGCTTGCTTATCCCATCCCGAGCTTGCTCTGGACACCCCAGTCTTTCAAATTGCTGTGAAAATTGGAGTCAGCCGCTTGCGATGTTTTCACACAGCTTTTTTTCCTCGGTATTGCTGCGAAAATGGGGTAGCGTGATGCTTGCATCAGCACATAGTTCTAAAGCGCTATCATCCACGAGTTCCAGATAGGCGATAGAGGTGTAGATTGCCACTCGCGGAACAATACTTCCAATACATTCATCCCGCATTGCCTGTTCAAAGAAAGGAGTTAATGCCAGTGCAGTACTAGAGAACTATAGTACAATGCTTATCTTGATTACAGTGGAACTTCACCAAAACCAATGAGCGTCTAATTACATTTATAATACAGAAGTCACGTAAACAAGCTATTTTCCTTGATGGCTTGGCAGGAACCAATTGATTAAAGATAAAGTGGCTCTTTCCCCTTTGTACGCACTGTTGTGTTGTTACAAAACAACCTGATCTATTCACAATGGCCTCTCTTGCAACCAAGCTAAACAGAGCTACACTGGTCCTTCAATATGCGTCAAGAGCCCTAGTAGCTCAAGGACAACATCAACAACAACAATACGTGGGTCGATCCTTCCACAGCAGTTGCCTTGTTGGTTCTCAAATGACTAACCCTCTTTGCCTCTACAGTGAGAAGCACTCGAGCCCTGTACCCGACAAATACACCCAACTCCGTGCTCGAATTCTAAAGCATTACCCCAGAGCTTCACACTTAGCCGTCCCAATGGTTCAAGGCCAGTTCCTTCAATTCCTTATGAAGATAACCAGACCTCAACATGTGCTTGAGCTGGGATGTTTCATGGGATACAGTGCCATGGCCATGGCCGACGGCATGCCTGTAGGCTCTACTCTGTACACTTGTGAGATTGACTCCAAAGCTGCAGAGCTATCTCAAGAACTGTTCAAGGAGCATGGCTATCACTCTTCTTCTAATTCTGCCAATATACAGCTGTTGAAAGGCCCTGCCATGAGCAGTTTACAAGAACTAGCCAAGAAAAACATCAAGTTTGATGCTATATTTCTTGGTAATAGACACTTGAATCCGATCTGAATGGACTTGCCTTCTCAAGTATTGGAAGGGATTGTAAGCTGACATCTATAAATTCTGGTTTTTATTTTTTTCTTAACTGTAGACGCTGATAAAGGAGGCTACATCAAGTACTATGATTTCATTATGGATAACGACATGTTAGCCGAGAACGGTTACATCCTCGCAGACAATACCCTCTACTATGGCCTAGTTCTGGACGCGGATAAGAGACACAAAGCTACTGGTTCCACTGCTGCTGCTTCTGATGTTGACACCACTGCTACTACAAAGCCATCATTAACTCTTTCACAACAATCCATAAAATTCAATGATCCAGCCTACAAGCAAGCTGTCGGGGATAAGATTGATAAATTTAACAAACATGTCGTCAATGATCCTCGTGCAACCGTGGTCCTTCTACCTGCATTCGATGGCTTGGGGATCATCATGAAAAAGAAGTAAAAAAATGAAAATGAAAATGAAAAAAAAACTTTTTCAACGGCTAGTTGATGTTTCCATATGACTTTACTGATTTCTTACTTTAGGCACAAGTGTTTCAAATAATATAACATGTTGCAGATTTAAAAAAGAATAAATGTTTTTATAGTGCGCCTTTACTGTGGGCCAAGTACTGTACAGGTCATTTTCAACATCTTTTTTCTCTTTCCTCTCCTCTTTGCTACTCTATCAAGAACTAAAAGATGGTATGAAGTTTTTTTTCTTTTTCTCTTTTTCCTCTTTTTTTTTTTTTTTTTTTTTTTTTTTTGTTCACTGGATGGGTCTGTTAGTCCATTATGATCATATTTTTGATTTGGATTATTTCAAAGCCTCCTTGTTGACCCTGAAGTGAATTGCCCATACTCAGAATCTCTATGTTTGGACGCTACGTTCTCTTCTGTCTCCAGTTCTAGCCGGTCTATCAAGGGTTGTTGATGATGGTGATGTGAACCTACTCTATCGTGCTCCTCTCTTGAATGAAGATCATTCGCTGTATTCAGACCAGTCCTATCCATCCCATCATCCTCATCCTCGTCTTCTTCATAGTTTCGCTCCAGACCTCCCACCAATCCATAGAGGTCCTCCTCATCTTCGTCTATCCGGATAGGGAATTTTTCGGTTGGCTTCTGCTTCAAGATATAGTCAATGATCCAGAACTGAACGATGTTCATGCTCAAGGGTATAATCAACATTACGAAAACAATCTGCAGCTTCTCATTCTGTAATGTCCAGCCCAAAAACCACTCGCCGAATGTGAAAAGGAAAGGCTATTGTTACATTTTTTCAAGAAAAAAAAAAGTCTTGGTCAAACATCTTTCTTTTTTTTTTTTTTTTTTCCTGTCTCAATCAAATCAAATAAGAGGAAAAAAAAAAAATCTTTACCCAGGTCAAGACGATTACGACAATGATCTTCATGACAATCAATCCTGTAGAAAAGACAAGGGTCTGTTTCCACCAGCGTTCAAACTGTGGTGGGTTTCCATAATCTCCAGTTTTCAATTCATCCATCCTAGCATGTATGAAATACATGTCTGCTGCCTTGAGGAACAGATATAAAACTCCCACTCCGAATGTTGTATCCAAGAAGATGTTCAAGAAATACCTATCGAGTCAATTTCAATTGGGTTTTAATTTTTTGTTTTCAAGGGGTAGAGTAAAAGGACAAGATCCAATAGGTCAGAGACGGAAAAAAAAAAAAAAAAAAAAAAAAAAAAAAAAAAAGAATAGGTCTTTGAACTTACCAGATGCATGGGTTGGAATCCTTTTGTTCAGAAGAAAGTCCAAAGAGTGTGGCTGCCAAGAGATTGAGTGAGTGGATAACAACGCCGCCGACAATTTGTTTGCTAACATCGTATATCCTAAATGGTACACAAACAGTATAAAGAATTCAAACCATGGATCAGTCTTTTGTCCTTATGTTTTATACTGAGTTGCATTGACACTTGCAAAAAAGGATATAATAACATTGATAATGGTAATAATGTAACGATAACAACAGTGTAATTTTTTTTTTTCTTTTACCAGACTTTGAGAGGACGCATTGGCCTTTCTTTGCTGCGTTTGAAGATGAGAGTAGAGAAAGCGATGGTAGCAAGGAGCAGTTGCACAATGATGGCGAAGGAGCTCATTAGCTCACATGATCCGCCTACTTGTGGTTGAGTATCAGGACTCGTTTCGTCTGGCAGTGCTCGTGGGACTCGAAAGTAATCCATGTTGGATAGGAAAATAAAAAATTACCAAGGTGAACAGATAAACGAAAAAGATGAGCAGAGCTTTGTCGTTTTTTTGACTGAGCTGCGTGAAAAGAAGAAAAAGAATTAAAAAAAAAAAATAGGATGGAAGAAGAAGAAGAAGAATAAAAGAGGGATGAATGGAGACACGAAGAACCAGCCAGGTCCCAAGCAGATGAAGCTGGCGTTAATGAATGTGAAGCAAAGGTGATGTGTAAGTGAAGGGATAGATGAATAGAATGATAGAATGAATGGATGCATTTTTTGTGGCAGGGCGGAGGCTGTTTTCATGAATAGAAGGGCAACTTGACCGTGCTAAAATATGCTGTAAAATCCTTAATTGTCTGGGCAATATTAAATGAAAATGGGTGTAAGAGCTGTGTTGAGTCGACTAAAAATTGGTGGCACGCACTAAAAAAATTTTGTTCCAAAGTGTACCTGCTTTCCTCAAGACCACAGGCTACATAGTGTCGATCGCATCATACACAATGCAGTTTGCTACATACTTCTACAAGGATACTCCTTGATGGCTTTTTTTTCTAGTAAGAACTGTTAAAGTTATTTCTATTGCGTCTGGAGAAACACAATGTTGAATAGAATGGTAGGATAAAAAAGGCCAGCGTACGTAAGAAGCAAGAGGTTGAAAATAACGATATGAAACTTCAATGCATAGTTAATTCCCGGCCAAGTTTATTTAGTTTGCATCTTGAGTAAACGAACTTGAAATTACAAAACCTTTAGTATTAATATTGCTTTCAAACCCATATCTTATGATGATCTCTAATATTAAAAAAAAAAAAAAAAAAAAGAAGCCATAACAGACCTTTTAAAGCTATCAGCTAGTTGTGCTACAGGCCCATAGCCTCAGTTTTTTTGACGATATATTTTTCATCATGACTCGGACAAAACCAGCGATTTTTTTTTTTTTTTTTTTTTTTTTTTTTGCTGAATTGAGAACAAGTGATCAGAGTTGATGATAATAAAACTTGTATTACATCAGTTGCAGGAGAAAAACTATTTTATTGTTCATAAAAATCGATGTAGGCCAGGTGGCTCTTTAATTGAAGAGAAATAAATGATTTGGTTGGCTGAGCACGTGTTGTTTGGTTCCTACCCGACTATCTCGCGTTTGTGCCATCGTCGTTGTTAAAATAGATAGATATTGCACTTGTGCATTACTTAACAGAAATGCGTGGTGCCATCGTTAAAAGTGACCAGTATGGCTGTGCTTTAAATGTTGCTGTAAATATTGATTACGCGTATTGAAACCTTTATGAAAATAGTGTTTTGTCAGCAATACTTTACTCTATCTATTGTCGCCTGCTCACAACTTTTTAAAGCTCTGTTCAACATGGATGATTCAGTTAGTATATATATATATGGAGCGTCCCATGTGACTTATGCAGCACGTTATGACTTGTATGTGTCGAGATGTGTCAATCTATAAAGGATCGGATTTCGGTCGTAATGACCATTAAGGACAAGAATTAAGGGATTGAAGGTGGTTTATTTGTTACAACTTGATAAAACCTTAAAAATGCTTTATTACTCGGGATCGATCAAATAAGGTTGATGAGGAAGGAGAAAGAGAGAAAATCCTTTTGCCAAGAATGAGCATTGATCAATGATGAAAAAAGAAAAAGAAAAAGAAAATATAGAAATATATATATATATATATATATATATATATATATATATATATAAAAGAATATTGGATACATGTATGAACTGGATACCAATATTAAGGTTAAGGTGCCGCCATGGAATGAAAGTATTTGTTAAACTTCTTTGGAGCGTGTGAGAGAGAGCATCATGTTTGTTGATGATATGCAAAAAGTTTAGCCAGTTTAGCCATTGGTTTTTTTCTTATATTATGAAATATGTTTTTTATTCTTCTTCTATGATTGACAAGCAAGAAGAGCAGAGTAAATACATGTAGAGTAGAGTATATGTAGAGCAAACAGAGAGAGAGAAGAGCAAGTATATATTCTCCATGCTTCTGCTTTATTCTTTTCTTTCCTGCCCCTTTATCTAGTTGGATATGTATATAGATGTCATATCTCCAATGTTCACACGACGAATGTTCGTTTTTTTTTATTTTTTTTTTAGTACAGAGAGTAGCAGGGCCACATGTTCACAAGATTTCGTTGTGCCTGAATGATGACTGACAACAAAATTAGCCCTAGGGCGACCTACGGGCTATTGAGAGTGTAGTTTTTATATATAACTTATTGATCCAATTAAATCAATGTATGCCATGTACGACCAAAGGCGGAGGGGGACAGTGACAGTTGAGGATATTTTTATCCATCGTGGGTCTTCTTTTTCCTTTCCGCTAAGAATAACTTTGAGTTGACCATTGAATCTGTTTAAATTTCCATTCCATCAACTAATTTTGTCTGCAGCTAGCCTGTTTCTTGTTGGCAAACAGCTTGCTGTCAATGCCTTTTTACTCCTCCCCAATGAGACGAAAACTAGGCATTGATGTAATCAAAAGGATCCCTGCTGTTGAGATCCCCCAACAAGATCAACACATTCATGACAATAGCAAGAAAAAGAAGCTGAAAAAAAAAAAGAAAGATCAAGACATGATAGGGAAAGAAAATAGAAGCCAGTGTTAGAAAGATTAGGAAATGAGAAAGGGCGAAGAGTAAGAGCCACATGCCATGGCCATCAAGCCTGCATTATTAGCCTAACATCAACAAAATATAAAGAGTACATTGGAGTGGAGTTTTGAAATACGAAGCCTTCAATTGCGCCTTTCTTTCCTTCACTCTTCTTTTTATTTTTTTTTTATTTTTCTTTTCTCTCATTCTCAACTCTTTCATTCTTTCATTTATTCATACCATCGGCTTTTTTTTTTTTTTTCTCCATCCTATTGTGCTCTTTTTTCACATTAGTCCCTCACTTCCATTTCTGAGAGCCACAGAGATTTCATTCCATCACGACTTGTGTATGTTTCTTTCTTTTATCTATCCTAATATTTAATACCTCAAAGGTAACAACATCCGGACTTTTTTTTTAAAACATCAAAGTTGGATTCATTCATTTCAATCTTGTAGTCATGACCAGTGTCATGAATGTGCATGTGTGGTGCGATGCGTGCACCTGTTTCAAAAAAGAGAAGCACAAGCATTCATTGGCTGGCTTGTGAGAGCGCGTTATCCCCCCAATTTTTATCTTGCTTTATTTTCGGGACAACATCCAGGGATCTAAGGGCCAGAACGGTCCGAGCAAAGGAAAGAAGAAAAAGAAAAAGTGGAAGAGACGAATGGGCCTTGTTCAAAAAAATAGCAGGACCCTCCTTTCTTTTTTACCATGGCACTGTGCGTTGTGGTGTAGAAAGCACGGGCTCTTATTTTTTTAGATTGCAAAACACCACCCGTCTTCATGGTCCATGGTGCTAGGAGTCCCCTCCCTAGCCTCCCCCTCTGTCTTCTCGAAGATCTCATCTCATGCACATTATCTATTGTTAATTATTGTCCCACTCACATGACTTGGAGAATCAACTCAGAACTGAACTTTAGTAGGAGAAAGAGGCATCAAAAAAAAAAGGAGGAAGAGGATGTTACAGAAAGGGAGAAGTAATGATGAAAGTCTGCATCGTTTATCGGTTACAGTTGCCGCAAGACCATGGGCTGTTATTTTTGAAACATATTGGTTCATGAGATGCTATACCCAACGTGCTTGACTAGAGCCATTGCTTTCACACTTTGTGTTTCCGATCATAACACGTGCATTGTTTACGTGAATGAATGTATCAAAGCTCCCAGCTCTCATTCCTCTTCTTTAATCTGCTCTTCTCAACTCTTTACTACCTTCTTTCATTTGTTTTCTTCATTGTTTCGCGTGAACGTGCTCTCTCGTTTTGACCTTGTTAACTGCCTTACTACCTGACTCCCTCTCCATTGGCTCTGTCATGGATCGATCAGATGAAGTCTAGACACGCGACCTATCATATCCCCATGCATCAACGGACAATCTGTACCTGTGAATATTCCAGGCCGTCCTGTCCGGTACCTGCACTAGTCTTTTTCTGTCTTGGTTCCATACATGTGTGTTCTACCATGTATGTGGTGTGTTTTATAAAAAAAAAAAAAAAAAAAAAAAAAAAGAATGAAAAGGGCAGCGATCCCATCGGCCACCGATCGAGGAGTCCTTTGAATGTTCAATGATCTATTCTAATGCACTTCTCCATGCATCTTGCTTGGCCCAACACACACATAATTTGTATTGCATTAACAGCTCATTCGAGCCGCTCCTTTATTAAATTGAAATCACAGTTGTACTATTAATAATTTATTTAAGCATTTTACATATCACATCTACATACCGACAAATTAATAATGTTTTGGTTCTTTTCTCTCCAATACATAGATCCGAAGAGCTGCCTATCCGTTTGTCCATCATTCAGAGCCATTTTAACTGCCAGCATATAGCCATCTTTTGGTGTAGGCTCCTGGAAACCGGTTTGCTGTTGTCGTTGTGCATCGCTGTCCATCTATATCTCTCTCTTTCTCTTTCTTTCTTTCTTTCTTTTATTTTCTTTTCTTTTTTCTTCATTGCTGTTGCCGTTAGTCAGCTCTCCTCAACTCTACCTGTAATATCATCACCCCTCTCTCTCACATCCACACATTCCACTCCCTTTCTCATCATAATTTTTTTTATATTCAGCTCCCTATCCATTCATACCTCCATTTTCATCATTCTTTTATTGACCAGAATGTGTTAATGGTTCTAAAGGATTTTATCTGACAATTTTTTTTTTTAAAAAGAACTATCTGTAACATTCTCATCGACATCTTGTTGTTCATTGTAACTCGCCTTTTTTGACGATATCCTCCCAACCTTTACAAATCTCTTTACGTGATTCAGCGGCATTCGACTGTACAGTACTACCATCATGAATCTCGTTTCCACAAACGCTTCGCAGCAACTACCTCAACCTTCTCACTCCCAGGGTTACCAGCAGCAATCTTCAACACAAATGCGCTATCCCGTTCCACCAAACGTGGTCACTCGTCCTTCTTCCGTTCTGCTTGAGCCCTCAGTTGCTCATCAAGCCCAGGACAAACACCGCAACACACGTCCTCGATCTCAATCCCATACAATCTATTCAAACTACATGCCACCACCATCACCCACCAAGACGTTGCACTCGCCATCTCCATCATCTTCCCCTACCTGTTTAGGATCCAATACTGCAATCTATGACCATGCATCAGGTAAGCAAGGAAGCAATTCAAACTTTATAAAAAAACGAGCTCAGTCCATGACGTATTCGTATATGCATTGGACTCTTGATCATGTAATTGTATTGGTGGGAAATGAAGGGATTCAACGAACGGGTTCCTTTGTAAATGCGTCGATTCCGTCCCTTTTTTTTATTTTAATCTGCACTTGCATGTCAGATCATGTGTAACCAAATGCTTGCGCCATGGCCTCTGCGCGGATCTATTAATACGGTCAATAAAAAATAAAAAGAGGGGAGACAAGTGGAATAAAGGGATTTGAAAGCCGTCATTCTTTTGCTGACTGAGCAATGTTATTTATACTTTGACCACTTACAAATGACGTACGCGTTCGCCCCTTCTTATAGACAATCCAGTGCGGCTCCAAAGCTGGGGACTGCCTGCCCATCGCTCCAAGCTGTCAAAGCAGTACACTCCTTCGGAGGAGGATAGTGATGACGAGACATTGAGTGGCCCCGCTGCAGAAGCCAAGCGTCGCTCAAAATTCATGTCAGGTGCAGCATTGGGGCTCAATACTGTTGGCAACGACACTTTACAAGGTACGAGAAATATTGTTGTACTATGCTACGTTACACGATTAGATCGAATCGTGTGGCACAAATGCAAAACCAGAAAGAATCGATCTTCCATGGACTTCAGGAGTATGAATTTAATTGTTAACCTGTCAATATATCTTCTCTATCGCTGGTATCTTCTATAGCTCTTTCCCAACTCTCCCTCTCCGAGTCATCTCAGAACTCTGACACTCTGTCATCCTCTGAGAACTGTGAATCAGTCAAGTCAAACAAGAAGAAGAGTAAGCTTTTTTTTTTTTTTTTTTTTTTTTTAAATTTTTCTTCGAGTACTTTTCGCTGAATTGCTCCTTACATACAAATAAATAAACGTATTGACGCATACCTATTTTTTTTTTATTTTTTTTTTTTATTTTTTTTTTATTTTTTTATTTTTTTATTTTTTATTTGCAATCATATTTTCTTTTCGTTACTCCAGTGTCCCTTGGCAAGCGGATATCCAAGTTCTTTGGCGGAAGCAAGTCCTCCGATTCAATCACATCCCCAATTTCAAAGTCTTCATCATCGTCCACACTCGGACAAAAATCAGCAGAGGCCAGAAATTCGACCACCTCATTGACCCCTATTGATGAATTGACTCCACCTAGTCATACACATAGAGGTTTGTACTCTCATCAGCGCTCGCTTTCGACGCCAGACCAGATCGGCAACATAACCAAGCACAGTGGCTCTGTTTCTGCAACATCTAATTCCTCTGCTCAGAACATCAAAATGGAGGAGCATCTGTTGCGAAGGACAAGAGATAGTGGGTTCGAGGATACTGAAGGCAACAGACATCACCGTCTATCGAGCTCCAACTTGGGCGCCATGTCAGGCGCGCCTATCTCTCGATCTTCTTCACCCAAACCGTCGCATCAGTCCCACAGCAATGGCAGCAATAACAGCAGCAGTAGCAGCATCAACCGGTATTCTGTTCAAAAGAGCGAGCCTATGTACATTGATCATCAAGCACAAGCAATGGCTGCGGCTCAACAAGTGCGCCGCTCGACCCACGGTACACCACTCTCAACCTCTTCGCCTCAGCTTCGTGCCTATATGGACCGTGAGCTTCACATCTCTCAGCCTCAGCTTCAGCCTCAGCACCTCACCCATCAACGGCACAGCTTCATGGGCGCTGAGCTAGGACGCTCTCCATCCCCATCTCTCACACCAACGCTTCCCACGATGGCACGTAGAAGTAGCACTCCGGTCATTGTTACGGAGACACTCATTTCTAAGGTTGACCGCGAAAGTGCCTCTGTTTGCTTCCAAACACCCAATGCAAAGAAGGAAGCGTTCACGAAGGATGCAAAATTGGACCCTATCCTATCAAACTTGGTTCAGCAGCATCGAAGAGACTTCAAGACCAATCAGAGATTAGGTGGCACCCCTCAGCCTCAGTGTAGCTCACCCAAGACGCGTACACCTATGTTTGCGGATGAGCATCATCATCCATCATCACCTTTGGGTGGTGCACCCATAATGCTGGCAAGAGACCCTAATGCTAGGCATGACTCGAATGGATCACACCATCATTTCTTCCATAGTGGAAACATGAGCAGCCCATTGTCAGCCCACCCATCTAGCCCAGGCCTGTATGCTATGACGGATGCACAAAGTAAGCGACTCTCATCGAGCAGCCAGTACACAATTCAACAACAGCAACAGCAACAGCAACAGCAACAGCAACAGCAACAGCAACAGCAACAGCAACAGCAACAGCAGCAGCAGCAGCAACATCCATACCAGCGCACAGTGTTCTCAGGAAGCCAGGGTAGTCTACACCAGCAATCAGGACAGCATTCGCCAATGATGACTCCTCAACGAACATCACCTAAGCGCTTTTCCTCCAACGGTTATTTTACAGTCCAACAGCAACATCAGTTGGATGCTCCAACAACACCGCATATGCTTCAAGTGTCTCCGAATCCAAGCCCAAGCTTGGGCGCGACTGCGATCACAGGTAGTTACGATATGTCGCTTCAACATCAACAGCAGCAACAGTTGGAGCAACTGCAGCAGATCCGATTTCAGCAGCAGCAGATGCTGGCTCAACAGCAACAGCAACTTCAACAGCAACAAAGGCAGCTGAAGCAGCAGCAGAAACAGGTCGGACTGGGTCTGAACTCCGTCAAAGGCTCCACAGCCTCGATGCCTATGACTATAACTATACCCACAACAGTCACTATGGCTCCTCCTCAAAAGATGGTTGGGGTAGGTATGAGTGCAGGGATGAATGGGTCCAACATGTCTCCATTGTCATTGACTCCAACGTATATCCAACCTACTGCTCAGGTCCATTCTGGTCGGAGTCGCTGAACGAACTCTTCAAAAATATGTATTGAAAAAAAAAAAAAAAAAAAAAAAAAAAATCAACATTAACGATAGACATTAGATACTGTTTCTGAAGATGACCACTTTTTCAAGTTTATTTATTTTTATTTTTTTTTTTATTTTTGTATTTATATTGTGATGAATTGTATCAGCCATTCATCATACCTTCAAGGCTTTGTTACTTTTTTTTTTTTTTTATCCCTGAGTACATGTACTGCCAATAAAATCTTTGGATCTATCAACTCTTTTTTTTTTTTTTTTGTATCAAAGCCATTGTTTAAAGTATTGTGGTGGGTAATCGGAATAAAGCAAGCTGTTATCTTTGTGTTTTTTGTTTATTTCCATTCCCCCTTAACCTAAAAAAGCATTTTGTACATGTACAGAAAATGGACTTTTTTTGCTCTAAAAAGAAAAGAAAAGAAAAAAAGGCCCGATATTTACAAACACTGTCGGACAAAATTCAACTGGCTCCTCTTTTTTTCTTTTCTTTGTCCGCATGTGCTTGTCTATAAAGATACCAAGGTATTGGATACCAACAATATAAAACTGCCAGCCTTAATCATGGGAGTGAAGATCTTTTTGTATATTCTTTAAAATCAATTTTCCTCCTCGGAATGTCCGTTGGGCTCTCAGCAAAGGTTGGGCTGTAGCGGTGGCAAAGATTATATCATGTCCTGAATTGATTTTTATTCTTATCTTCATTTATGCAATTTTGTTAGCTCTTTATTCGCCCTCTACCTTCTCTCCTATCTTTCTTTCCCTTCCTCCAACCCTTTCCTTTCCTCTTCTTATTTTCTTCCTCAGTTCTTCCTATATCATCCCATTTCTCACATCGTCAACACATAAAGGCAATGGCAGAAGAAAAGAGAAAAATACTCTTCTCTCCAAGCTTAGTCGGATTCTGGGTCCCCATTCTGGTCGGCGTTTGTGACTACTTTGGCCCTGGGCTCCACAATATTGTGCCAGCACCTTTCCTTGCCATTTTCATGTCTCTCTGCTATTTAGAGAGGTTAGGGCCTGGAGGACCATCCCCATTATCCACATTATCTTCATCTATATGGTCACGAGCTGCAATCCTTCGAAATCTCTATCTATTTCTCTGTATGGCTCTCGGAAAAGGACTTGCCTACCAAACCCCTATAGGAGAGAATGGAGACAGTGATCTGGGTTCATCGATGCTATTGGGGTTCAGTCTCTCAGTTGTTCAGTTGGTAGCCCTTTGGATCCATTTGAGCTGGCAAGAAAGGTTTATGAAACCGGATGAGGCATTTCAAAATGGAGTGAGAGCTTTGGTGGCAACTATGGTCTTGCCGACTGTGTGGGTGGCCCTTTTCACAGTGGTATATGCTGTTAGTCCATTAGGGACTGTGGGATCTATTGCTTATTCCCAGCTTGACAACCAGCCCTTTGTACGATGGGTGGCCGTTGCTGGTATTGGAGGACTTGAGTTTATCATGGTGAGTGATTTGTATGTATATATATGTTGAAGGCTTTGAGCCGCAGGGTCTAATTGCTTTCATACCGACCTTGCTGGCATGCTTTTTTTTTTTTCTTTCCTTTTCACTTCTTTTAACAAAAGGTCTGGACTTCAGTAATGATTGGTCGCGGTTTCACCCACTTGATGCGCACACATTATTACAAAAAAGGCGGTGTCTATGATGTGGACCCTATTGAAGCCAACATGCGGAGACAAGCTGGAGAGGCCCGGTCAGGAGTATTTGCACCGATGCCTATATACCTGTTTATGATGATGATTGTCTTGTTGTATGGATCCATTCAGGCCAATGGGAAGTATAGATTGAATTATTCTCCCAGACGGATTTCTTGTCTGTCGACAACAAGTGATATGTCAGCACAAATTCCATATGGATTTCCTTCCGATATTCAAAGTTACCAGTTCAACCGAACAGTTGAGATGGCGAAAGATGGATCTAATGTAGTGGTCTGGAGTGAGAAAGCGATACGTATTACGTCTTCACAAGAGCGGAACGACTTATGGGCACAAGCAAAGAATGTCTCTATGACGTACAAGACATATGTTGGTATCGCTTATGAGGATTTTGATAATAGCACAGGCAATAATAAGGGCAAGAGTATATTTGTGATGTATAGCGGGAACGGCAATGTTGCATTTGAGTACCAAAAAGCTCATCTAAAGCCTAGGATCGATAACGATTTTTTGCCAGGGCCTAGTAATCAGCCCGCAGCAGAAAGAAAAGCATCCTCTTTCAGCCTTGGGGTTATTGGAGGAGCAACTGAATTTGATTTAAATTTCCAGACATTCTCAAAGGGAATTAAGCAGAAAAATATCAATTTATTGATCAGCTTGAGCAGGTCTACTAGTAAGTTTGACGCAGGCAGAAATAGGGAGAGAAAGAGCAACAAGTACACTCGAACTTTGATTATCCGAACGATTTGCTATAGAAAACGTTCGGATAAAAATTAGGTTTTATTGAATTGAGCTGTATTCTAAATTTTACAAAATATATAGAAATGTTCAGGTGACCTTGCACTTATAGGTCCCCTAACTGCACATCCGAACGAATGGCCGAACGAATGCCGTGCATTTAGGGAACATATAAGTGCAGGGTCACCTGAACATATATATTTTGTAAAATTTAGAATACAGCTCAATTCAATAAAACCTAATTTTTATCCGAACGTTTTCTATGGCAAATCGTTCGGATAATCAAAATTCGAGTGTACTAAATATTTAGATATGGAATGACGAAACTAAAGCTTTCAATGGATTGACCTTCTTTCCTCTCCTTTTGCCTTATAAAGCTAGTTTCGTACGTCAAGAGGCTGCTGTGCAAGCATTCAGAGCTATGGAGCAAGGCATCACTATCTTTTCATGCGGCGCACTTCGCTCCATAGCCTCAAATTACTATAATCCAATGATAGTTGGAAGTGAAACATCCTCTCGTAATTCAAACACTGTTAACATTGAAGTACATGACAAAGTCTGGACTATGTACCAGGTAGTAGGGGACCTTTGGGCCTACATCTGTTGCGCTCTTACAGTCATTACATTAGCTTTGCTTGTATTGCCTGAGAGGATTGTAAATCGACTGTTTGCATGGATCACCAAGAGGAAGAAAGGAAGAAATAGTGATGACTATGTCGAGGCTGATGGCTATAGTGATCGTGCCCAAGAGGTTCCTCTTAATATATTGGATGAGCCACTCGAGTGTAAATAGATACCCATATTGAATTATTAATTCAATCCTGTAATAAAAGTACCATTAACTATATACCGTAATATATTTCTCGTTTATTGTAGTTTTCATAAAGATAGCCTCCCATAGTTTTACTCGCGATCAAAAAAGACTTTCTTGTTTCCATGGAGTGCATCAAACCCACCTGTGGGAGTTTAGCACTAGAACTAAGGTTCAATAATTGGGAGGCGGACAAAATTAAAGGAGAATTAAGCGTGCTGCATCGACTAGTTTACACTAAAGTGGTAAAATACTAATATATAAATATTGGCACTATAGGTTTGGGAGTCAGCATTTATCATCAGTAGATATTGAGCCTTGGTGCAGAAGAACTTTTTTTTTTTTTTTTTTTTTTTTTTTTTTTCCTTCACCAAGCAAATTCAAGCTTCCAATGTACTTGCGAGTATAGACAGAGATTATTTGCGAATGTTTAATTGCTTTTGTCAGAATCAACAATATCAAGGCCCTTCATGACACTGACACTAAGCGATTCAATTTTTCCTTGCTAGGATGAGAGGCCCCTATGGGGAAATTAGGCTTGAGCGAAACTGGTGCCAAGAGTTGATTCTGGGATTATTGCTGCACCCTTATATCACATGAACATTGTTCAAATGTAGGATGGAAGATTAACGTTATTGAAGTTACCACTATCCCCATGAGAGGCTAACAATGAATTTTTCTACAAAATAACACTCGGTGAAAAAAAAAAAAATTTTCTTTTTTATTTTTTATTTTCAAGCCTCAAAGGCCACCTGGGACTAATACTTCGCTTCGAGTATTAGATCAATGCTTAATGATGGTGGCCTAGCCACAACGAAGCCTATTGCCAACATAGGGCCCTTTTTATGAATACCAGGAATCAAGCTGTGGCTCACGCACAGAGATATTTGCGATTGTTGACTTTTAGTGAGATCATACTACAAGGCGATCGGTTATGCATGGGCATGTATCATCTGCCTTTACCTTGTTTTCGAGAATTAAAACGGGGCAATTCAAACCTCCATATACAAATCAACTGGTATATATTTACAAACATCGGTTGAACCACTTTCATAACAACTCAACCAGCAGGGTAAATACATTTTATTTTTTTCTCCAATAAGAAATGTTCAACAAAATTCAAATGGGTTCCTTTATTTTCTTTTTTTTTTCCTGCATGTGCCTGTCTAAAACTTTAAAGATCCCAAGAAAATTGCTCATCGTGGGCTGTTGGATAATCCTGGCAACCTTAATCGTGAGAATGAAGATCTTTTTGAAATCAAAACTCTTCCTCGGAATGTCCGATGGGCTCTCAGCAAAGGTTGGGCTGTAGCGGTGGCAAAGATTATAAAAATCATGTAATTTTTTTTTATTTCCATCTTCATTCGCACTACTATATTCACCCTCTACTCATTCTCTACTTCCCTCCTCTCCTCCTTCCCTTTCCTCTTCTTATTTTCTTTCTCTCCTCTTCTTATATCTTTCCATTTCTCACATCGCCAACACATAAAGGCAATGGCAGAGGAGGAAGGGAAAGAGGCGCTCTTCTCCATCCCAACCATAACTGCGGTTTTGGTTCCTATCTTGGTCAGCATCTGTGACTATTTCGGCCCTGGGCTCCACAATATTGTGCCAGCACCTTTCCTTGCCATTTTCATGTCTCTCTGCTATTTAGAGAGGTTAGGGCCTGGAGGACCATCCTCGTCATCTACATTACCTTCATCTATATGGTCGCAAGCTGCAATCATCCCAAATCTTTATCTATTTCTCTGTATGGCTCTCGGAAAAGGACTTGCCTACCAAACCCCTATAGGAGAGAATGGAGACAGTGATCTGGGTTCATCGATGCTATTGGGGTTCAGTCTCTCAGTTGTTCAGTTGGTAGCCCTTTGGATCCATTTGAGCTGGCAAGAAAGGTTTATGAAACCGGATGAGGCATTTCAAAATGGAGTGAGAGCTTTGGTGGCAACTATGGTCTTGCCGACTGTGTGGGTGGCCCTTTTCACAGTGGTATATGCTGTTAGTCCATTAGGGACTGTGGGATCTATTGCTTATTCCCAGCTTGACAACCAGCCCTTTGTACGATGGGTGGCCGTTGCTGGTATTGGAGGACTTGAGTTTATCATGGTGAGTGATTTGTATGTATATATATGTTGAAGGCTTTGAGCCGCAGGGTCTAATTGCTTTCATACCGACCTTGCTGGCATGCTTTTTTTTTTTCTTTCCTTTTCACTTCTTTCAACAAAAAGGTCTGGACCTCAGTGATGCTCGCTCGCGGCTTCACCCACTTTATGCGTACACGTTATTACAAAAAAGGCGGTGTCTATGATGTGGACCCTATTGAAGCCAACATGCGGAAACAAGCTGGGGAGGCCCGGTCAGGAGCCTTTTCACCGATGTCTATATACCTGTTTATGATGATGATTGTCTTGTTGTATGGATCCTTTCAGGTCAAAGGAATCCTCGATTTCAGTCACTCTAGCGCGCGGGTTGTTTGTCTGTCGGGTCTACCGTGGGGTTCTGACAGTTCTTTCGAAGACGAATACTCTTATCGACTCAACGAAACAACTAATTTAGCGAAAGTTAACTCTGATATAGTGATTTGGAGTGAGAAAATGATGCGCATTAGCACTTTAACAGAGCGGGATAAGTTGTGGACACAAGCAAGGAATATCTCTGCGACATACGCAAAATACATCGGTATCGCTTATGAGGATTTTGTGGATGCTCCAACCAACACTAAGGGCAAGAGTATGTTTGTGATGTTTGACAAGGCCGGCAATGTCGGATTTGAGTATCAAAAGGCTCATCCGAAGCCTAGGGCCGAGAACAATATTTTGCCAGGGCCTAGTAATCAACCTGCAACAGGAAGAGAGCTTTCACTCAATTCTGGGTTGATTGGAGGAGCAACTGAATTTGATTTAAATTTCCACACGTTTTCAAAGAGTATTAAGCAACAAAATATCAATTTATTGATCAGCTTGACCGCTAGTAAAGGTAAGTTGGCGTAGAGAGGAAGAAAGAGAGAGAGAGAGCAAGAAGTGCTAAACATTTAGATGTGTAATGACGAATCAAACTTTCAGTGGATTGACCTTTATTTCTCTCTCTCTCTTTTTTTTTTATTTTTTATTTTTTTATTTTTTGTTTTTTGCTTTATCAAGGTAATATACGGCTAGGGACTGCTATTCAAGCATTCAGGGCTATGGAACAAGGCATCACCATCCTTTCATGTGGCGGACGTGGCGCTATAGCCTCAAGTTACTATAACCCATTGGTGATTGGCAGCGCACCAATCTTAAACAGTTTAAGTTATAGTGCAACCGTTTTTACTGACCTTCCCGAGCCAGTATGGACTATGTACCAGGTAGTAGGAGACCTTTGGGCCTACATCTGTTGCGCTCTTACAGTCATTACATTAGCTTTGGTCGCGTTACCTGAGAGGATTGTAAATCGACTGTTTGCATGGATCACCAAGAGGAAGAAAGGAAGAAATAGCGATAACTATGCCGGGACTGATGGCCATAGTGATCGTGCACAAGGGATTGCTCTTAATATATTGGATGAGCCACTCGAGTGTAAATAGATACCCATTTTGAATTATTAACCCATCTCTGTAATAAAAGTGTCATTAACTACCACAATCTATTCCTCGTTTATTATAGTATCCATGAAGATAACATCTTATGGGTCCGCTCGCGGCCACAAAAGATCTACTTGTTCCATGGACTGCGCTAAACCTGTGAGAGTTTAGCACTACAATATTTCGCAAGCGGACGGAAATAAGGGTGCTGTATCGACTAGTTTATACTAAAGTATTGTAATACTGAGCTACTAAAATACTCAACATGTATTGCAGGGTGGAGTAGGCAGTACCATCAGTAGATATTACACGTCGGCGCGAGCAATTTTAAGCTTCCAATGTACTTGCAAGATTGACAATGCATTTACCGGATTACAGTTGGCCCTTACACCACAGATATCCTTTAATTGTATATCGCCAACGTTATGATCTGGAAGTGCTACAAAGGACGCACTATCCTCATTATCAGAGTAGCCATGGGACATATGTGTGACCTCTTTTTATTCCTTCTGACCGAGAAAAAACTAAAAATAAAATAAATAAAATCTAGCGTTCGCTCTGATCTACTCTCTATCTAGTAACGAGTGAAAAGAAAAGGGAGGTGTGGGAGGGACATATGTCCCATGGCTACTCTGATAATGAGGATAGTGCGTCCTTTGTAGCACTTCCAGATCATTATCCTCGTAGCCATGGTCCATATGTGACTTCAGAGCGAACCAAAAACAGACGTCGTCAAATTTGAATTGGCTTTGCGGGAAACACGGTAGTGTTTGTTGAAAACCTTGTCAGACGACCAATTCCCTTGAACCATGATATCTTGGGTTGATACGCCAGCGATGGCTGCCAAGGTTGATCCTATAGCGCGTGGCTTTGGTGGAGGCCGTTTCGACGGAAGATTTGGAATTCGACGTGTGATTTCATTCATAAAAGTGCCTATGGTACTGACCCTAAGGACTTTAGACTTGTCTTTCACAAAGCGCATAAGAGGATTGAATTTATAATCCTGATCTTTGTGGTGCTCGATTTCGAGAGGTGTGTCCGCTATCCGTCTGGTGTATTCTGTATAGGCCTCGACTGGGCAAATTTTCTTGTCGTTAGGGTGTCTACCTACGAAGATCGACTTTATGATGCGCTGCCCATCGCGTCGCTCCTTAGGGAAGACTATGGTAAGGAGAAGACCCTTTTCATCGGTCTCTGACTTTGACACATCGATGCAACCGATATCATCTGGCCGGAGAAACGCACAAACGCCTAAGAGCCAGCAGAGCTTGCGAGAGAGCTTAGGCATATCAAGATCCACATTGTCCTCCATGCGGAAGTATGAAAGGATGGGTGAAATGTCGAGTGCGGATACGTGCTCCATTTGAAATACGCCAGTACTTTTCATTGCTGCCATGAACCGCTGAAAGTAGATATTGCCTGTGATCACGGATGTGTCGTCGTAAAGCTTTAAGATGGCTGATTTTTTGTTAAGAGTGGTATTCCTACTCCAAGAATAGATAATCCGCGCATGGCATAAATAGTTAACTACAGCAATTGCATTTGGCGTACTAGGGTCGAAGCCTTCTTGTTGAGCCCATACTGCGAAAGCCTCTTGAGTTGGCAGATATTGTCGACGTGTTTTGCTGTTGGCACCTGCTGAATCTAGTAGAGTGATAGCGGATGGTGAGAGTCCTGCATCTAGATCTTTACGTCGCCTCTTATTCTCCATGCTGTCAATGACCAGAGTGGATTCTTGCTGAGGAGATCGCTTGCGCTTCCGACGGCTGGTAGGACTGCTTCCCGAGGGATCGGGATTGGTGGTGCTACTGCCATCTCCTTGATGGTTGGGAACCATATTGCACTCGGCCACCATGGGGTTATTACTGTTGCTGTCAGCTTCTGGGTCTGTATCCTCTCCAAGATGATTGATAGAAGATTCCATGGGGGGCAAATGTAAAGGTTGCCCATCTCTGTCCAGTTGTGTTGAAGGGCGTCTATCTTCAGAGCATCTGGATGGAATTTCCATGAGACAAATGTCGGTAGCTGTTTGTTCTGTGCCGACGCAAATAGGTCCACCTGATGTGGCCCCCAGTGGTGTTCCAGTTGTTGAAAGAATGGGCGACTGATCCTCCATTCCAATTGCGATATCATTCGCCGTGACGGTGCATCCGCTGGGTTGAATGCAGATGGGATGTATGTCGTCCGAAGTCGAGTCCCCGTTGCTAGGCAGTGACGCCATAACGTGTCCGCTAGTCTCATTAGTTCCGGAGACCTCGTCCCTCCGAACCTGTTGATGTGTGCAATCGTCGTCGTGTTGTCGCATATGATGTTGATCATTTTGCCCTGTGTTATTGGTAGTTGAACAGCTCGAAGAACTGTCTGTAGTTCCTTCCAGTTGATGTGGTGGTCTTTCTCTTGTGGAGTCCATTTGCCACTCCATGTTTGATTGTTGATCACGATCCCCCATCCGGTGTCCGATGCATCCGTGTATATGTCCATCTGTGTCTGTTGTTGAATCCATGACAGACCATTCCATGACGTCAATTGCTCCTTCCACCATTGAAGGTTCTCCTTGGCTGGTTCCGTGAGGGTGACCGTGTCCGACCAAGAAGCTCCCTTGGCTTTTAGTGCTGTGTTCTTGAGGTGAAGCAGATTCCGTGTCATGAATCGCGCTGGGAACACTGCCATAGATGTTGCCATTGCTTTCCCGACGAACGAAGAAAGTTCCCTTAAAGAAGTGGCGCCTTTTCGTAGTAGCTTTCCTGCCTCGCGCCGTATGTCCCTGACTTTGGATTTCGGAACTGTGACAGTCATATCCCGGGAGTTGATGGTGAAGCCTAAATGGTCTATTTTCTGTGACGGGATCAACGTAGACTTGGCTTCCTTGATGAGGAATCCTAGCGCTGCCAACTTGTCTTGCACTAGTTGAGTGAACTGGATTGATTGTTCTTTGTTCTTGGCTAGGATTATCAAATCGTCTAGGTACGCTGATATGCGAATTCCTCGTCGTCGTGCCCATTTGAGGAAAGGCTTGAGAACTTTGGTGAACACTAGCGGAGAGAGTGAGAGCCCGAAGGGAAGTGTACGGAATTGAAATTTCCGGTTCTTCCATTGGAACTGTAGATAATGACGATAATCTGGATGGATTAGTACGTGAAAAAATGCGTCTGATAGGTCGATGCTTGTCATAAAGTCGTTCTTCTGTAACATTGCGCATACTGTCGTCATCGTCTCCATTTTGAAGTGCCGCTCTGAGACGTAGGCATTCAACGGTCTTAGATTTAAGACTGGACGAATGTCCCCGGTTTTCTTGGGGATAGTGAATATTCGGCTCTTGAAACCAGGGCCCGAAGCGACCTCTATTGCTCTTTTGGCTAAGAGTGCGATTACCTCTTGATCGATCGCCTTCTCTTCCTCCGCTGCTACTCGAGCTTGGTACGCTGTTGAACTGGATATCGGTGGCCGTTTGTGGAAAGGGATTTTGAATCCCTCGGAGACGACCGACTTGACCCATTCGTTGTCGGTTATGAGAGCCCATGCTTCTCTGTAAATCTGTAAACGGCCACCTACTGCTGGCCTGCAGTCTGTGCCTGACTTGTCTGGTTGGATTGAGGGGTTTGGTAGCCTCGGCCTCGGCCTCGTCCCCCTCTCCTTGGATTTTGGCCTCGCCCAAAAAAAGAACCATTGTCATTTTGATAGTGGGCGGTCTGAGTTTGACCCGATGGATGAGTATTTGCGCTAAAGAAACTCCGGTTTTGAGTCCTCCTGTTGTACGCCCGTTGTCTTGTCGGGTTAGTAGCCTGACGAACACTCTTTGCCAATTTGCTGGCTTCAATGAAGTCTGAAGTAGAGACAATTGGTGGATCAACTGTGTCCTTGGTGACTGAAATTTTGTGCGCTTGGTAAACAAGGTCCTCCCTGTCGCTTGACATTTGCTGTGCAAGGTGTGCAATATGTTCACGCATTGTCTGTGCGAGCTGTAAACACGCTTGTGCGACCGCAGGGTCAACTTCGTAGGAAAACATTTCCGTGGCAAATTGATCAAGTGGTCTTGTAAGGTTTGTCAATCGTGATTGATAGCGTGAGATTGTTTTGTCCGTGGAACTGTGGTGAGAGGAAGAGTCGGGCCAGTCAATGAGTGCCGATTTGGGTGCAGAATAGGTTTGGGTTGTGTTTTTGGCAAAAGACTGCATCTCTTTAGCCATTTCTGTTGCATATGCAAGATCGTCTGCACGGTTTCCAGATTTATGTTTGAAAAAATCTTTCCCGTCCATTGCTGGGTAGTGGACGAGAATGGAGTCGTCAGGTGTAATTTCGTAAGCTGGTTCTTTTGGAACCAAGTAGGGGTTCGATCGACTGGATTCAGAGCTAGTCGAGAGAGCCTCAAGCCGGCTGGTGAGTGTAGCCAGCTGGCTCTGGAGAGAGTGTATAATTGGATCAGAAGTGTCATACTCGCTCATTTGGAACTTCAATACGCTGGATGTGTTCCTGAGCGAGAAAAAAGAAGATAGAGAGTAGATCAGAGCGAACGCTAGATTTTATTTATTTTATTTTTAGTTTTTTCTCGGTCAGAAGGAATAAAAAGAGGTCACACATATGGACCATGGCTACGAGGATAATCATATAAACAAGGCTTATGCACATTCTTCATAATAACGAACTTTTTTATATTTTGTTTTTTATTTATTTATTTATTTACAAGCCTCAAAGGCCGCCTAGATCACGCCAATGCTTCACTGCGAGTATTAGAGTAAGGTTTAACGATGGTAGCCTATCCGCATTGAAGTCCGTTATCGACACGAGGCCCTCCTTAAGAGTATTTGGAATTGACTTATGTTTCAAACACAGCGGTATTCACGATTATTATCATTGAGCGGGCATTATACAATGCGGTCAGTGATACATAGGTATATGTCTTCTGTCTCGTCTCGTTGCTCATGACAGCGATGGCTACACTGAAGTCAGGATGGAATTGGTACTATTATCCTTTAATGAGCTATTTGTCGACATTGTAACTAAGGACGAGAGCAACCATATCCATGTATGACCCCAATTTTGATGCACCTTTAGAATAAAAGGAGTATACATGATTATCGATGTATGGAAAGGAAAGTAGTAAGCTTGACTCATAGCAGCAAGCAGAAGTAAATAAAGATGCCAGACAAAAATATATTCCAAAGGAGAAGGAGAAAGTGTGGCAGACTAAGATACAGTAATAAGCAGTGACCATTGAGCAGCAGGTTACACAGTTACACAAGGATTAAAGAGAAGTATATTTTCATGTTCATTTGGTAGCACATATTCCTTGAAGGAAACGAGAGCACACGTTTTTTTTTTTTCTTGGGATTAAATGAAGGACAGTGGAAAAGAGCATTGCGAATTCTGGATGGTAAGAGAGAAAAAAGTTGCCATGTGAGGATAGATGGATTGCAAATATGTCCATGTCCATGACCGCCAACTATGCACATTACTGTTTGCAGTGAAGTGCAAGCGTCTGTTCCTAAACTTGTACAGGGGAAGAGCTTGATTATTTCTTCTTCTGAAAGAGAAAGAGAAAGAGAAAGAGAAAGAGATCTAAGAACACAAAACTGCCATACATTGATTGTCGCCGCATGGAGTCTGAACGCAATTACTAACTAACATTCTTTTTTCTGTGCAACCACCATTGCTGGATGGTTAAACAACAGACAAGGAGCATAGATGTGGTTGCATCTCAATGAAAACATTCTTATACCCCTCTCCTCCCCTCTCCCCCCCCTCTCCCTCTCTCTTCCTCACTTCCCTAATTGCGACCATCTCATTCACTCATTCTATCGCCCACTGTTTCTCATTCACTTGTTAGTCTCACGCTTTTGCGATATTACCTTTCTGTACCCACCATATATATTAACTTTATAGCTCAATAATGAATACTCGAACCAACCCTCCCAATGTAATGATAGTTGGCGGTGGTATCGCAGGCCTTTTTTTGGGTACCCTCCTAGAACGTGCCAACATACCATATACTATCTTTGAACGCGCTACAACAGTGAAGACATTAGGTAAAAAAAGGGCAATGTAAATACATGTTGACGGCAACCTCCCTTATCCATGTACGTTTATATAGGATTCATGCTGGAAACTTAAAATAAAGTTATTCTCTATTTTGCAATAGGCGCCATCCTAGCACTGAACGTGAACATCCTTCCAGTATTTGAGCAATTAGGCTTGTTCGATGAGCTAAAAAAGATCAGCTTCTCAATTCCCGGGATGCACCTGTACAATGAAGACATGACCAAGATCCGATATAAAGAAGGCAAAGCTTTCGTTGATAAGTATGACGACCTCTCTCTTTTTTACATCTCCTATATTGCAAATGGTGGTCTATTCCTGTAAACACATGGACTCCTCTTTTTTGTCACAGTACAATAATCATAATTTAACCTTTTCTAATTTCTACTATTGTCCCAAAACAAGGGTTGGCTATCAAACCTTTGTGTTCTCTCGACCAGAGTTCTACAATTTATTATTGGCTCAAGTGCCATCACACAAGATCCTCTTCGGGAAAAAAGTACTCTCCATCGAGCATCCAGCTGAAGGTGGAGTCATCATTCATTGCTCGGACAACTCGTCCTATTTAGGAGATATTATTGTCGGTGCAGATGGGGCTTACTCAGGTGTCCGTCAAAGTCTTTATAAATATCTAAGACAACAAAATTTACTACCGATCAGCGATACTCTAGGATTCAAGATTGGATACATGACTATGGTTGGGACCACAGATCCATTAGACAATGAAAAGATTCCAGACCTGAAGGATAACTATACCCATTTCAGATTTGTCTTTGGTAAAGGGAAGCCCTATACTGTAAGTGAAAGTGAGCAAATATTTGTATACTTTCTACATTCTCTGGCCGACTTTCTGACTTCCTAAGCTCATATTTGTGTTTGTTTGTTTGTTTGCTTTGATATGCATCCATATTCACAACCACACATCTCAAACAAATTTGTAGTGGCATACAATCACTGTACCAAACAATAAGATATGTTGGGGGGTGCAAATGCAATTAAAGTCCTCTGCAGCTGATGATATGGCGTTTCGCACCTCAGAATGGGGACCCGAAGGGAATGATGACCTGATCAAAGAAGTATACAACTTCCCTACATCCTATGGGCCTCTCGGGCAGATTGTGGACGCAACCCCGCGCAACAGAATATCCAAGGTCTTTTTAGAAGAAAAACTCTTTGAGACCTGGTACCATGGCCGTACCGTGTTGATTGGGGATGGTAGGTGCCAAAAGAAAGAAAAAAGATCAAGTTAAAAATGTAGAAGATGTGCACCCTTTATATTTCATTCTAATGCGAATTTTTGCTCTTGCTGTTGAATATCTGCTATTAAACATTTCAAAGCTGCACATAAAATGTCACCAAGCCGCGGTCAAGGTGCAGTGAATGCACTACAAGATGCTGTAATCCTGGCCAACTGTCTGTATGAAATTGCGGATTGTGCAACACCACAAAACATTACGGCTGCCTTTCAAGATTATAAAGAACAGCGGCATCCATATGTTGAATTTCAGTTCAAGTCGAGCAAGATGCAGGGTAAGATCATGTTTGGTCAAAAATGGTCCGACCGGCTGTTACGACAACTGATCATGGGATATATGCCCACTTCATTTCTTAACCGAGATGGGCTCAAAGCCGCAGGATATCGACCCCAATGTACTTTCCTCCCACTTGCACCCCAACGCGGCACATGCACAATCTTACCACAGAAAAGCTCGAGGCGCTATGCAGCAGAACAGACAAAGGAATCAGAACGTTTGCACGGAGACATTGCCATTCAAAAATAAGCATTATCAATATATTAATATATCGCACACCCTGTTTAAGGTCTCCAAAGCATTTGTGTAATGACTGCAGTTCTTAGTCATTTTCATTTCAAGAAACAAGCACTTTTCTCTTTTACCTCTTTAATCTATCAGTCAACCTCTTCTCCTTTTGAATTAAGTACTGCGCTTTCTATTATCCACCTTCCTTTTATATACCATGTCTCCACTTTCTAACTTCGTTAGGCATCTGAAATTCATCCTCAGCATTTCATTTAATTAAAGCATAATAACTTTTTGATATTTAAAAAAAAAAGTCATGTGTCACCCTAATTATCAGTGAATGCTTTTCATACACAAAGACTATATCAATCAACATGAAGCTTTGCAATTACTTGCCTTCCATTGAGTTGAGTTTATACGCACGGCACCAAAGATGGAAATCAAAGAGATTCAGTGGACGCTTGGCCATTGGAGGAGCCTGTAGCTGATCGTAGGGCATCCTATTAGGGATTGTGATATCAGTTAGACCCACATATTATTGTAAGAGTATGGCAATGTAATTATATCGATTGTCCAAATAGAAAAAATTATCGCAGTAATCAGAAGGTCAAAGGGGTTTTATTACTATTATCATTAATATTACTATATATTATTATTATTATTGCTATTAGCATTATCGCAGTTATTATTATCATTGATATTATTGCTATTATTATTGTTATTCTTCTTTAGGTTGCTTACAGCCATTGCAGCTACATTGAAATGTCTGTACAAAACTGCATGTAGTACACGAGAGTCTCAGGCCACTGTTTGGCGAATCACCCCATGATATCAGGATTTGCCCTTTAGAGCTATTAAAGTTATGGGAATGGTCGTGGTTGTGGCTGACGTGGTTACGAGCGATACTGCTGTTGCTGCTATTGTTGTTGCTGTTGCTGTTGTTACTGTTGCCGTTGTGGTCGGCGTTATAGCTGTGGTTGTGATTGATGTGACTAAGAGCGGTGCTGCTGTTATCGGCTTTGCTCTGACTGATGTTGTGGTTGTGGTTGTGGTTGTGGTCAGGGCTGTCGTTGTGCTTATGATCATAGTTGATGTCGCTACTATCTGTTTCTACTATCGCTGACACAGTCCTGTTTTCCTTAAAGGACATGCTGGACATGTTGGTCATATGGGTCACGTTCGACATACTGAATCTGTTAAACTCGGTCGACTTTGGCCTGGATTTGGAGCGCGGTCGGTTGTATTTGTTGCTAGCAGAGAATGATTTCTTGGATGTTGTTGCTGCTGCCGTTGCTGCTTTCAGGAACTTCTTGCTCACCTCTTGGATATTCAAACGTTCCGATGGATTTCCAACGACGCAACGCTCCTTCAGAAGTTTCTTATTGGCATCACCTAGTCCAGTAACACCTTGAATACACGCTTTATCAACATACAGAACTGTCCTTCCAGTACTCCATTTTAAATGATATTGACGTTCATCTAGGTCGCCATTGCTGCTCGCTTCACCCTTTTCATTAACGATTTGCCATTTTCGGACAGAAGAGTCGTCGCATCCAGTCACCAGGAAGTAGCCCTCTGTAGTGATGTTCCACGTTAATGTCCTGATAATACCACCCACATGGTCGATCGTAGCTAAGTTCTCACCCGACCGTGGGTCCCATAACCGGACGGTTCTGTCTTTACTGCCTGAAGCAATATACTGGCCATCAGGCGAATAAGAAATGGCAAGGACATCGCCAGTATGTCCTTGAAGAGAAAGCAAATACCTTCCAGATTCAGTATCGATAACGCCGGTAGCGCCATCCTTACATCCCAAAGCCAACTGTTGGCCACATGGAGAAAATGCACTTGACAGTTGTACCAGCCCTTGAAGGTCGACATTCTGGTAGATGAGGCCTGTCTCTGCATCCCAGAGACCCAACTTGTCGTCCGAGTGCACAAATGCGACTTTCGAACTATCAGGCGAGTATACCATAGCAGTGCGTAGAGCCATACTAGCTAAATTTCCCATTGCGGACCATACAAGGTCTTTAGATTGTAAATCCCAGACATTGACTTTGCCGGTGCGATCACATGAAAGCACTTGTTCGCCTTTAGGTGAAAACATTACACACCAGGCTGCATAGCTAGATTCCTGGAATGTGTGGATGTGCGCTCCAGTATGTGTGTTCCATAGGATCACGCTCCCTCCACTATGCCCGCCGACAATTTGGTGGCCACTAACGGGCGAAAAATCTAACGCCATGATGAAACCATTCTGCTCTACTAGGGGCTCAAAGGTGCGAATAAACTGACCCGTCTTTGAATCCCAAAGGCGTAAACCCTGTTTGTTGTCACAAGAGGCCAAGAATCGGTCATCAGGTGAATACTTGATGTTGTATTTTGTTTGCATGTCCCCTTGTAGCATATAGATATGGTGTCCTGTACGCCCATCCCACACACGCACTGTTCCATCATCGCTACACGAGGCAACCTGCCGTCCAGAGGGCGATAATTCGACAGATCGAATTGGTTGTGTGTGGATGTTTGAGCCGTGAGACGACTGCCAGGGCAGAGCAGAATCCCAAAGACGGACCGTGGAGTCATTATGGATGGATGCGATCTGGTGACCACTGGGTGAATAGGCAATAGCGTAAACCCATGGGGTATGACCATAAAGTGTGTTGATCGGTCGTCCAGTTCGAGAGTCCCAAATTCGCACAGCATTGTCACTACCACAAATGGCAATCTGGTCTCCGCTAGGCGAGTACTTCAGATCTAGGATGTTGTCTGCGTCAATATGAATTTTGTAGCTGTCAACTCCAGTTTGCAAGTTCCATACAGTCACACTCAAAGAAGCGAATGAAGCGACAAACTTCCCATCAGGTGAATACTGAATGCCCTCTACCAGATCTTCGTTCCTTAATGTCCTTTCCAATTCACCTGAGCAAACATTCCATACGTAAACATTATGGTCGTTCCCACGGGAGATGATTTCATGACTATTATTGGGCGAATACAAGACTTGGACAGTCTCATTCTCGTGCTCTAGCACCTTCAACTCTTTTCCCAATGCCATATCCCATATCCGTACCGTACTGTCTCTGCTGGCTGATACAAGTTGGCCGCTGTCAGGGGAAAAGGCTAAGCTCAGAGTCCAACCGGTGTGTCCTTCCAATGAGTACTTGAGTAAGCCTGATTGTGAATCCCACAAACGTACTGTTCCGTCGTCTCCAGCTGAAGCGAGATACTGGCCATCTGGTGAGTACGCCACACAACGGATTCTGTCTATATGGCCTTGCATGCTGTGAACCAATGCTCCTGACGCAGCATCTCTCACAACGACCATGTGGTCATCATTCCAAGCAGCAATATGTCGACTGTCGGGCGAATATGTAAAGAAGAATGCATCACTGCGGTCATGCCAGGTACAGAGCTTTGTCCATGTTACAGTCTCATAGACGCTGATGGGGCCGTCAAGAAGCCCAACAGCGAATGTCTTCCCATCAGGCGAGTACGCTGCGGACATTGCCCCACTCTCTTCCTGGAGGGATGGCCATTCGCCAAACTGTACACCATCCATTCTCGCGCCTGTCATATCGGCTTTTCGTAGCCAACAGTTTCGAAAGCTAACTTTCCTCAGATCAGCCCCTTGTAGCCGCACAGATTCGAAAATACCACGGCTGAGATCTGCGCCTGGAATCTGAATACCACGGAGATCGGCCCCAATAAATGTTTCACCTGCTCGTACCAAGATCGTCATGGCGTTTGCAGCGGCGATCCGCCATTTGTCATCTACCTTTGATAATTCAACATAATTGTATAGTTGCTGTTTGAAAACAGGCTCTAATCGAACACGGTCTACAAGGAATTGCAAGATGGAAGGCTCGTTCACTAAGCTCCTCCATACTAATGGAGACGCTTCGTTAGGGGCCTCTGGGTCGCTGTGGTGATGATGTTCGGTTTTTTTCTTGCCTGTGGCCTCGAAACTGTAGCAAGAGCTGAAGCTCTTCTGGCGACTAAGTCCAACAGCCTTAGTTTGTTTCAGATTAGCGTCCATGTCAACGCTCACAAATGTACTGGTCTTTGCTTGAGGCTCAAAAACCGCTCGCGCTAGACAATATTCCAGGATGGACCTATGGAGGAACCGGTGCTGATTGCCGGTGCGGGTCAGTGGGACTGCCTCTCGTAACAGGTTCTTTTTCTTTGATTTGCTGAAAAACTTCTCTTTCCATGTCCCTTTATGGTCGAAATGTGAGTAGTCCACCACAGGGTTGCCATCCTGATACATGTAGATTGCCTTCGCCAAGGCAGTGAGATATCTGATTCCATTCTGCGTAAAGCCATCTTCGGACAGGATTTCAAAAATCCTCCTTTCTTCCGACCACTGTAGGGACTCGCTCAGTCGCTTCTTATTACGCTCCAGCCACATTTCAATAAACTGATCGTAAAGCGAGATACGTTTGATCTCTGCGTTAAGCACAATATTATGAGGCTCCATCATCCTTGGTAAAACCTCTAACGCCAGGATTAATAAAAATGGATTCTTGACAAGTTCCAGAAGACTAGGGATTAATTTGAATGCTCTATGGTAATCTTCAAATTGCCACCTTGTTTCCTTTGCATTAACCACATAGTTTTTGATGAAATCATCGATCTGTTCAATGGAGAATGGGACAATAACAGCTTCGACAAATGAAGGCGTTTGGATTCGGCAGTTGCGGTCCGCAGGCTGAAAGCGATCTCGATAGTCTGCCCCTAGGTACTCACTGCGGCAGCTGATCACCATCTGGACTTTCCACTCTCCAGGCTGGTTCAGTCGGTTGGTGACATACAAGTTATTGCTCTGACCGCTCTCGTCGTAGCCATCGCAGATTAGTATGAACTTTCGACTCTTTTTTAGCTCCCTGATTTCTGCGTCCTCAAAGTCATACTTGCGCAATTGTTTAGATACTAGGTCCCGGTCTGGGTGCTCGATAGCCGGGAGGTTGATGTACAATGGGATCTTTCCATCTTTCTTCCTGTATGCCTTCCACAAGTCGTGCTCCAACGTCTGATTGAATTTAGATTTTCCAGCACCGGAATCACCCTGGACGAGAAGGACTTTTTGATCATTATCCAGGAACTCTTTGGTTTTGTCCATCAATATGAACTTGTCGTCATCGCGCGCCTGGAGGCTCGATTTGCCATATTGTGGGATATAAAATTCACCACCGCTAGTTGTGGCCTCCAACCGTTGATTCATAAGCTGGCGCAGACGCTTCTCGACATCAGGCTTGTTCTGGACGCGATCAAGTAAAGAAGGAGAGGCGATGGGTGCTGGCGTGTTAACGAGAGGATACGATACCGGTGATTGAAGGGCATCTCTGAAGAGTTGCTGCTTCGATTCATTGCCATTCATAGCGAGCTCATCTAATAAGTGGTTTGTACCTACAAAAGATGCATTGCATCAAGAGTAAAGTTCGTTATAAGAAACATTTTTTGCTTACTTCAGAGACATCATTGATATTAAGAAAAAAAAGCATAGCCATCCGTACTAACCTAGTAGGTTATTGTCTGATAAAGCAGACAGTTTATGGAGGATGGTAACAATCCATTGTTTGGTGGGGATGTAGTCCTTCCAGTGGTGGTCATTCTTGTAAATTTCGCCCAGAAACACTATGGCATCTCGACGAGTATCCATGTCCCATTTTGTGTCAGCTGCGATCTGTCCCAAGCGCTGACAAAGGCCCCATTGGAATGCTGGATCGTGTCGGCATGGCGCATTATGTACAAGGGCCTTGAACTGGAAGAGCTCTCCTGTTTGGAGTAGTACATCGGCTCCACGCAAAGCTGGATACCATGTTGCCTTGCGAGAAAAGTTGAAGCCCACTCTTAGAGATTCCATGAACGATGTACTATGCTCAGCTGAAGAAGTCATGCTATTGTACACAGACAAGCTAAGGTCAAGCAGCAACTCTATCGATGGGAGTCCATCTTGGATATTTCCTAGCTGGTCTATGAAATCATTGACATTCATGCTCTTGACTGCGCTCACCATCCCAAATAGTCCTCGAATGACTGTTGTGGTGCGCCGTAAGGTTGCTTGGGCCTTTGTTTCATTATCAGGGATATACAGTAGTGCTTGGAAAGCATGTGCTGCGTGATATACCTGATATATATCTTTACTTCTTTTTAGTTGATCCATGTATGCTTTGAGCGGCTCATGAAGATGTACACGATCTAGTTCCTTGACATGACTGTTGGCCATGGCGTCTAAAACGCGTGAGACAGCAACAGAGAGCCGATAAATGAAATCACTCGATTGATTGTGGGTCTGGTGAAGGCGTTTGTTAAGGACATTCAATATTTTGACAAGATCGTCTGGATCAATATGTCCAGGAGGAGCGCCTTGTATCAGCTGAGCCAATCCGTCGAGTAGATTAGTATGAAGCATGACATTGCTGTCGATTCCATTGATCAGTTCCATGAGAAGTGTCCTGAACAGTTCTTTTTTAAGGACTGGTGCTAAAGATACAACCTCAGTAACGCTTGCTTCTGCTTTGGTTTTATCCTTCATAAACATTTCAAGTACATCCGATGCCAGGTTTTGTAGTCTCTCTTGTTCTTCTTGATTTTTAGAAATGGCTAAGGACCACTCCTCTTCTTCAGGGCTGAGATGATGTCCCCTTTTGAGAGGTGAAGATGGTAGTAGACTGAGACAATGGACAAGCTGATGTATGTCGGTGAGGTGCTCATCAGCCTTCGGTAAGGAACTTATCTTCATGGAAATGGCTACATCCATGGTGAAAATGTCTGAATATTTGGGTAAGGGGCTTTGGATGGTAGACAGCTGTGCAGAAGGCGTCTCTTTGATCATAGGCTTGCTGATGCTGTTGAAGCTGGATGGGAACGATCTGTTGGTGACCAATGTAGTGGCTGGGGAAATGGTAGAAAATGGAGTGGCAGAGGGAAAGGGAGTTGCTGGAATGGTGGGTGAAGGTGGATAGGTGGGTTCATTGTTATGTGATGAGCACGATGAATCTCTATTAGAGAACATTGGCTCTTCCGATGGGACTGGGCCCCATTTTCTGCCGTACTTTTTGACATTCCGAGAATGTTCATGGCGACCGAGTGTATGAAGTTTGGAAGCAATTTCTTTGATGGTAAGAGCGATGTTCTTGCGCAATTCCTCTTGATCAGGACGACCAGAAGATGATGACGAAGCCGAAACCAAGGTCTTTCTGTCAGAAGTTCGAATTCGCAAGAGAGCGTTATATGCATCTAAGCATAGGGCAACCTCTAACTCGGGAGCACCGATCGCCTTGCGAGCATTCTCTAGATGCATCATAGCCACTTTGAGAGCACTTTGAGGCTCAAGCAACTCTCGAGAGACGCCACGTAACCAGTCCATACTGTTTTTTGCTATTAAATGTTTAGAAAAGACAAAATTGGTGAAGTGGTCAGTCAAAATGAGGATGAATATTGTTCTAGGAGGGGCTTGTTGGATAAAAATTGGTAGAAGCGTATTGAAGTACTTGTAGATTTGTAGACATACAGCGATTGTCTCGTTATGCCCAATGATTAATCAGAAACATGCAGTAAAAAAAATCAATGAAAAAAGTTTTGTTGGATCAGAAGAGGTTTAAGAATGACAAATCAAAATCGAAGTGAGGGAGCAGGGCGTGTGTTATGGAGATGTTTGGGCGCCTGAATGCGAGAATGTGAGAATGTGAGAACGTGAGAACGTGAGAGTTGGGTGAGTGAGGAGATAAGAGGGAAAGAGAGGAAGGAGGGGGAATGAAAGGGGAAAGAAAGAGAGATGTAAGGAAAAAAGCAAAATAAAAAATAAGGATATATTTTAGGCAAACAAAGGCCCTGATGTATTTTTTGCGCATGTAAAAAGGACTGAATCGCTGGATTGTTGGATTGTTTGCAATGGCCCGTTTCGGGACCATGCAGGAAAGAGAACTTAATTTCTTTTACTTTCACACTAAGAACACCAAGAGAGCAAGGGACGGGAAGGCCGGGAAATAATATGAATAGATGGAATAGATGATTTATGCAACATTACAATATCATACAATCATTGTGGCATTGACAGCAAAAAAAAAAAAAAAAAGAATGAAAAACAAAAAACCACACAATCCATCCCATCAGTCTTTTTCTTCAGGAGAGAGAGGAGATGGTAAAAGGGAAGTGTCTGCAAATTATGAAAGCAAAGAAATGCTCAAATTAGGGACAAAGCACACTAGATGCAAAGGTTTATTCCATTTTTTTTTCGTTACACAATTAGGCTTAGATGCTTACGGCATTGATCAAAACTGAGATAAGGACGGAGGCACTTGAAAAAGCGGGGACTACAAGCATTTATCTCTCTATGTTTATGTACACTAAACATCCCACTTATACATGTGCATGGTCGTGTATCATAATCATACACACGACCTGTATGGTAAAGATTATATTTGTAGTACTAAAAAAAAATCTTGCGAAAACAAAAAAAAATCTTCGATCTGCAATTGTGTAGATTTGTGAGCCGTTTATTTTTAATTATTCATGAACTTGGATCTGAACACAAACTGTGCTAGACTATAACATGTTTTGTCTGCACGGAAATAAGGGTGCATAGTCGCTTTGTTGCCCTGTGCCCTGTGTGCTGTGTGGAGTGTGTTCCTGGCCCATTAAAGACATTCACTTAGTTTAGCGAATCTCATTCCTCACTCCTCCCATTCTCATTTTGATCAGTCGCTTTCCTATCCTCACCTGAAATTAGATTTCACTTCATTTTTACTTTACCGATTCGCTCATTCACTCATTCTCTATTCATCCCTAACACATACAACCAACACAACCAACACAACCAACACAAGCACAAAAATAGAAGTAATGTCTGGTAGCATCGTCAGCAATCCACTTGACCTTCCAGAATTCAGATCACTTGTCGGCAACTATCTCACAAAAGAAGATTTCCTTCAATGTATTCGAGTTTGCCGAGCCTGGCATGCTTCCTTCATATCAGCAGTTTGGAAAGAATGTACCATCAACGCACGATTGATCGCTGAGCAATTCCAGAGTATCCAATCTATCCAGCGCCATAGACACCTTATCCATTCCCTCACGATCCTCGGCATAATGGATCCACGTTTAGCAGAACTAGTCTTCCCCAATATTGAGACCCTTCGCATCCATGGTGTACCGCGGGAATCAAGCAACATCATGGGTGATTTCCTTTATAACAATAATCCCTTGTACTCACTATCATCATTCTCATCAGCACACATTACAGCAGCAGCAACAAACCCACGGACATCAAAAGCTGCCACACTTCAAGTAAGATCCACTCCAAATATCCGTCGAGTCTCTGTCTCACATGCTTTCGTCCACTGGGAGGCTCTTTCCAAACATAAACATCTCAAGGAACTGCGTGTGTCCACCGTCTGGGGTTCTCATCTTTCCAAAAGGACCGAAAAATATTTTTGGCGAACTTTTAGAAATATTGAGACCTTAATTTTGGACAATGTTTCTATAAGAGACATGTCCTATATTCTGAACCATGGCCGATTCGATGATGATGACGAAGAGGATGATGATCATGATGAGTTTTACCATTGTCATAATCCTGATTGTGGAGGCGGAGGCTACAGCATTGATAGAGAGATGAGACAAAACAACAAAAGCAGCAGCAGCAACCACAGAAAAGATAATACCTTTTTATTTCCAAAACTCAGAACGTTGCGGATTACAAGTGAAGATACTCTTACCTGGGATAGTAACCGAATCCTTTTTGCGGAACAATGTCCTAATCTGGAGTACCTTCTCCTTGCCACTAATACCGCACCACAGAGCGATGATGAAAGTATTAAGAACGGCGGCGAAAAAGCTTCGAACAAACTTATCCGATTGCTCACGACAACGAAAACAATTAATGGGGAGACGGTTGCAGCCACAGCCACAGCCACAGCCACAGCCATATCTTCATCTACAACTACAACCATAAAAACCAGGACGTGGCCCCGCCTTTGTGGTCTTGCGTATGAAGGCTTTGATTTTTCGGATGCAACAGTGGCTTTGATTCTAAGGACAATGCCTTTTCCATGTCGTCATTGGAAAGTACCTCGTGCAAGGTATGGTCCACTCTCATTTGACGCCTTCCAACAATATGGTCATTTCCAGAGCCTTGAAGTTTTGGACGTCAAGGATTGTATGCCCTATATCACAAGCGCCTGGATACAAACCATTATGGAGTCTTGTCCACAACTGAGGAAACTTTATGCAGATCGGATATATATTCAGGATATTGCCAAAGGCCAACCATGGGTCTGTAGGTTGCTCACAGAACTATGTGTCTTTTTTGACGCAAGGCAACTACTAGATGTATCAGAAGATAGGTTCATGGAAGGTATAGAGGAAGGAGGAGGAGAAGGAGGAGGAGGCGGAGGAGGAGGAGGAGGAGGAGGAACAGGAGGTAGTAGTCATAGTGAGTTGATCAACGGTGTGAGCATATTTGCAAGACGGTCATCAATGGTCTCCATCATTGTAGGAGATGCAGAGATGAATGAGATCCAAGGAAAGGCCTTTGAACAGCTATCACGGTTACATAATTTGGAAGTACTGGACATGGATCCGGATTTTGATGATGAGGATGATGCAAATATGGAGATGTGCTATGAGGAAAATGGTCGGCCTGCAATCGATCTTCGGTTAAGTGCGGGTCTTTTCAAAATGGCAACGTGTAAACGGTTGAGGAGAGTACGGTTTTTTTCGACTCGACAGTATATGGCTGAAGAGGAAGCCTATTGGATAGTTCGACATTGGAAACAACTGCGTGATATTGCGGGGAACTTTAACTGCCAGGATGAAGAAACCGATAGAAGGATAACAAAAATTCTACGATCTGCGAATATTTTTGTGCATGGATATTGAAAGAAAAAAAAAAAAAAAAAAAAAAGTATCCAGCAGTGTTCTAATCAAGTAGCCCTTACTTTGGCACAAGCATGTTAAACATTTTTGAAAAACTATGCCTGAGGAATAAACTTCTCTTTCCAAAATGCTATTGGTCTGTTTGCTAAACAGACATAGCCACACGCCATATTTTGGTGGCGTAGAGTATCGCGTAAAGTTAATTAATGTCACTTTTTATTGTTGTATCTGCATTTCCCGCCGGAAAAATAAAATAAATAAAAATAAAATGAAACTACCTAAATCGATTTCATATTATATATACATGTTTTTTTTTTGTTTTTTTTTTTTTTTTTTTTTGCAACCAATGGACTGGACCGTTATGAAAATACAAAACTACTGTAAACTGCATGCCATGACTATTTTTGTATAGGTAGTTGGATGGTAACTCAAAGACTCCATCCATGTGCATAGCATTCAGCTTGGAGTTGAATATATATATAACAAATGAATGTGTATAAACCATTCAGCGAAGAAACATTGTTCCATAATAAACGACAATCCAGGAACTGCTAGAATTTTTATTTTATTTTTTATTTTGCTAAAAATCTTATTACATTAAAAACTTTAAATTACTAGGATGACAAAGTCGTCAAAAGGTATAATATGAAGAAATACTTTTTCTAAAAAAAAAAAAAAAAAAGAAAAAAAGAAAGAAAATAGAAAAAAAAAAATTGTTTTATGCAAGGAGGGTTGCGGCCAGTGTAGTGAATGCAACCAGCAGGATAGTTTTGCCAACGGGAGAAATGAAGCTTGAGGCACTGTCAAAAGAGTGATCATCTGGTCTAATATGTCCATTATTATCACCATCCTTTTGGCCGCCACCATTTCCGATGCCTCCATTTGAACCACTGTCGCCATTATTACCAGTCTTCATCTGCTCCAAGTACTTTGCGCCAGGCCATGGCTCCGTTGAATTATCGGGGTACAAGGGTGTGATCTTGACCCAGTCGATCCACATCTGGTATTCGCGTTGATCATTAGGTTCATAAGATGTGTTCTTTCCAGCCCATTCCGCAGTACCTATATCAGTTGAAAACATATCAAAACAAAAAAAATTGAGACAACTGAGTTAGAAGGGTTTTGACTTGTTCAGATGAGAAACAAGAGGGCATCGGAGCAGAGTACGGAAATAAAATTTTGAAATGAATAAAAAAAAAATGTATTGTATGAGACGAGTAGAAGTAACGATGGAGGTAAAGTCGTTCCTGAAAACAACATTTTTCTCTCTCGGTAGACTCTCCATGTTCCCATGTTGCTCAAGATATTCCAGGTGTATAAAGAGATGCGGAATAAAGAAAGCGCAGGAAATTTGTATGTATCCTACGCCCACGCACAAACACAAGCCATAGGAAATGGCGCGTGGCCCCTTGGACAAGCACAATTATTGGATAAACTCGCTTCTGTTCTTTGTCCAATTACAGTAGTAAGACACGCGGAAATAAAATAAATATGCTTCAAAAATAGATTTTTTCTTTTTTTTTTTGGACAACCCTGAAAATGTTCTCGTGAAAGAACAAAGGCCCATGGAGGAAACTTTGGCGAATTTCAGAGGTATGTATAATAATATTGTTTGTGCACAATCCAAATACGTGTCATGGACGAGTGGGCCTCCCTCGCTTCCAGGCAATAACAGTAATGTTGCTGGACAGATTTGGGTCGTGGATATAAAAAAAATTTCTAGTTTAAGAAAATGAAATGAGGATTGCCGAAACAATGGAAGTCACCCCCAATTAAAAAAGAAAGAAAAAAGCAAACCAAAGACAAACTGGCGTAAAGGATTGTTCCTTCCTCTCCAAATGAGTTTAAATATGTTCCTGTTAGTGGGTCAAAACGCTCTCTTCGAGGGGTTTACTTTTGCTGTGTCTCTAACAAACGACTCAAACGGTCTAAAAAGCGAACATCCGGCCCAACCCATTCGTCATTGAATGTTCCATATCTGTAATACCCAGGTCTCTATATAGTCTTCAGGACAAACGATCGGAAATAATAAAAGATTCCAAAGACCTAATGCTGTGCAGACCCTCCTCCGAAAATCAACATCCCCAATGAACCATCACCACTCGAACAGAAAAAACAGGATTCTGAGGGAGGGGAATACAACTATCACTTTACCTTCATTGCCATAGCCTCCATCCCAAAGACCAAAGGCAGCTCGCATTGGGGTATCAGGATACTGTCCGACAGCCTCGACAGCAGCTGTTGTGCGCTTGAGAACATCGTCAAAGTACCACTTCATCTCGGTTTCAGTCCATTCCAGCTTGTAGGTATGGTAGTCAAGTGAAGTATCGACTCCGACGTCGATATGCTTCGCATTACCATAGTTCACCTCATGACCGGGTTGAACCTTGTAATAAAAATTAGTCTGTACGTCAGTTGGATCCTTCCCTACAACCTCAAAGTCAACTTCATCTCCAGAAGTAGATGAGATCAAGATGAAGGACGAGACAGGGCCAGGTTGATTGGAAGCAGTCTTGATACGGGCCTCAATTGTGCCGTACTTCATCCAACGTGAGGCATGGACGGTGGCACCAATTCCACCACCAGTCTCTGGATGTTTTTCGATTCGGTTGAGTTTCAGCACCAACTTTTGATCGTCTGTGATGACTGCATGAGCTTGTGTGCCAGGGGTTCGGTCGATCACCCAGTCTGCTGTGTCTGGGAAGCCATTAAAGTCCAAGATAGAGACCATTCTTGATTTATTTGCAAACTCGTCGTGCAAATTCACGGCCATGGGTAAAGGCCAGCAGGAGTCAGGGGCGTATGATCCAGATGCCTGACAGGCCTCTGCACAAAATGAAGGATCTGATCCACAGTAGCCTGCACCGCTGCAGCAAGGCGCGTCTGAAGGGCAATTGCCACCAAAGGGTGAATTTTTGCATCCAGTTGGTGAGGTGGCCAAGGCAAGCTTGGGACGCTGGGAGGTCATATCGGGATTGATGAGGGCTTCAGGTTGGCCATGGGCCTGCTGTGCTGTAGCGATAGCAGCCGATAGCAGCAAGATAGTAAGAGCGGACAAGGAGCGCATCGTGATGCTGATCTTATTAATGGGATATATGTGAAAGATGATTATGAGGGTAATCGTTGGTAAGGTAGAAGGTAAAAGGAGAGGTAGTAGTTTATAAAAGACGAAGCGAAGAACGTTGCAGTTGAAAAATCCGGAGGATAGCAAATGAGCTAATAAGAATAGATGTAAATGAAGAGAACGAAGATAAAAAGAAAAGAAGGGGAAGAAAGAAGAAGGTCGTCAAAGAAAAGACTCAGAGTTGATTGATTGTCGAATACATTTAAAGATGATGTGTTTTATATAGTTTGGTTCAAGCATGGAAACATACAGACCTGTGCGTGTCGAAAGAAGGATGTTCCTTAACAACAACGGCAACAATAACAATTGTAGGCACCAACAAAGACATCATCAACCTCCGACCAAATAAATACATATTCATTACAGAAAAAAAGAAAAAGACGTCAATGACTAAAGAACTAGTAGCAGCTAAAATAAAAATGAATAAACAAATAAATGTAAATAAAGTTGTCATTGACAAAAACGATAAATAATTAATTTTATTCCCTGGTAACTAACTTGAATACATCTTACGCCACATTCCTGCGTCATATATATATTTATTGACCCATGGAATGTTTTATTATAATGTCGTTGGGGCACATGATATGAATCCATCCTTACGCCTGATACACACACTTTTATCACTTTTACAGTTACAAACTTACAACCCAATCCTATTTTTACTTGCTCTGCTATTTGAAATCATTCATTTCTTTTTTTTTAACCTGGAAAAGCCCTTGGAAAGAAACAGGGCCACGTGTGACCCTTTCTTTCCTTCCTAACCGTTCTATCCATCTTGTCTTTATTACATGTAAAAATAGCATTTGTGCAATACAATAAGCCATGAGGTTTTATATACGACATCGAATTCCATATTGGCTGTCAGGTACAGGAACACCACAGCTGTTTCACTCTATTCTAGACTAGCCTTGCTAACCGTTGTTCAGTTACCGAGGTTCTTCTCCTCCATTTCAGAAACACACTCCCATTCGCCACTCAAGTTTTCTTTCCATAGCGTAACCTTGTTATCGCCACATGAAACCGCAAGGATATTCCCGCTCAGTGACCAGCTCACACGCCAAACCACATCTGCAAACTTCTCATTGCGGAGGGCCTTTTTCTGCCAAGGTGATGTCGGGGTATCTTGTGTCCAGATGAGCACAGTCTTGTCCTGTGAACAGCTGGCGAGGTAGCTCTTAGGCACACCAATACTGGGTGCCCAGGCAACATCACGGACCCAGTCCGTGTGTCCTTCCAAGATTTCTTCTTCCTTCCAAGTCTTGGCATCCTCCCTATATACCCAGATCTTGACCAAGTTGTCGCAGCCTCCTGAGCAGAAGCGCTTTGCTACTGGCGCTTTCCCATTATTGGGTCCTTGCGATGTCAACGATCCTGGTACAGTTGAAGGCGCCCAGCCTACAGAGTTGCATCCAATTGCATGTGCGTCCAGCATATCGGTGTCCCATGATCCGTCATCTTTTTATTATTATTATTATTATTATTATTATTATTATTATTGCATTCAAGAGAAAATATACAAAGAAAGGTATTAGTAAAACTAGTAAAAGTTCCAGATGGTATAAATAGACATGGACAATTGCTCCTGAATCCTTACTTATCGGCTTACCTTTGAAAGACAGGATTGATACACGGCCATCCGATGAAGCACAGGCCAGGATTGGTCCAAGCTCATGGGGAGCCCAAGCAACAGAGTTCACTATTAATCCATATCCAAATTGAATAACATGTGCACCGCATATAATGTTAATCACCTACTTGATGAGTGCTTTTAAAATGATAATGATAATATTAACTCAATACATTGGTCTTGCCATACCTGAAGCAGTATGGGAAGTGTGCTCCTTAATGCGTGACCATTGGCCGTTCTGTTCTCTCCAAACAAAGACCTTGCCATCATAAGAACAAGAGGCAAGAATACATCCAAATTTAGGATGTGCCCATGAGATTTGCCAAACTGGCCCTTCATGTCTACAAATAAGAGAATGAAAATTAGAATAGGGATCCCGGTATGTATAATGTAAATTCGATGCCATGCTTCATGATTTCTGACTCCTTAGTTAGCATACCCTCTTAGTGTGTCTACCAAGCGATGGTTTTCACCATCAACATCAAAGATGCGGATAGAGCGATCTGAAGAGCAAGTAGCCAAGCGCTTGCCTAATAGATATCATACGTCCATAAGCATTGTGTTTAGTCATCGTACCTACACATCATAGCAAACTGAATAAAATACTATGCTACGAAATATTCAAGCATACCATAGTAATCGTATTGAGCATCATGCTAAGGGTCAAATTGTTATTGCCAAATTATAAACAGATATAGTAATATTTAGTTGCCGGTATTTGGAGAGCCAAGATCATACAAAGCAAACATAAAAAGAAAGCCTAGTCTTTATTCTTACAATCATATCTTCATGCTGGGTTTCCAGCGTGTTTTGTGCGGCAGCCTAGTTTATACATGATACATATCACAAAATTGATCTGGCGTTTAGTCATTATATTTACGCGACCTGAAGTGAGAAAGAGTGACCGAGGTTGCCATCTAAAGATATTCTTTCAAAGCATTCCCCAACTACAGCTAGCCAGAGCGTCTTCATTCCGTTTGAGAAAATCCTTGATATGAACGATGGGTATATATAAACTATCCAACTATCCATGTCAATTGCTCTTTAACTTTTTCCCTTTTTCCTTAAAATCATCTGTCGAGACCTTCAGTACGAGAGAATGAGATGTTAACGTATATAGTTCAAGCAAATAGTATTAAGGATGTAGCCTCTGATTTAGTCCTTAGACTATTCTTTCTTTTTCTCCAGGTCCTGTAATCTTACCATGGTTACTGGCGATTATGGAGTTGAAAAAAATAGGAAATGAAAAGTTTCTGATGAAAGGGCCAGTTGGGTTCTTCTAACTGATCTAATCACGTGCACATAAAGAAGCTTGAGGAAGCATTAGACAGATGTGTACGAGGGATTCAAGCAAAGACGATTAAATTACTTTTTCCTTTTTTTCTACTCTCAAATTCCCTTGCCTCCATCGCCATCTACTCAACACTCTTCTTGACATCATGGCTCTCAGAATCCCCAAGGGAACTCAAATGCTCAAGGATGGCTACAAGGTATCAATAGTGTTCCACTCATCCACAGATCTACTTCGTTATGAAACGACACGCTCCCAGCTATCAAATCTGATCTACTATGACTTTTCAGTTTTTACCTGCGGCACCATAATTGACAAATATGACAATGATGACCATCTCACAACCACATTTCATGTATCGCGTCTCTTTAATAGCACCTGCAAGGTGTTGATGAAGCTGTCCTTCGTAACATTGCAGCTGTCCACGATTTGTCCGAAATCACGCGTACTTCCTTTGGTCCTAATGGTATGAATCAAAGCGACACAAAAAAAAAAGTCTGGCACGACTACATTGACGCTTAATATCCGCAAGGGAAAAACGACACAGTGGATCAAAGTAGATCTGTTAATTCACCAGTTTATATATTTTCCTTTTAATGACGCAGGTCGCAACAAGATCATTATCAACCACATGGAAAAGTTGTTTGTAACTAATGATGCTGCCACTATTGTCCGTGAGCTTGAAGTCGTCCACCCTGCAGCCAAACTCCTGGTCATGGCCTCACAGCAACAAGAAGCTGAGGTAGAGCTTTATAAGTTTTATAGTGACTGATATTTTTAGAACTCTTTATTTTCTTTTTCTTTCAAACAAATATCCAGAGTGCCTTGGATGAAATTCGCTCAAACTCGCAGTACTCTTTTCTTTTTCTTTTCTTTTTCTTTCAATGTATATTTCAATTCAATGAATTAGATGGGTGATAATTCCAACTTGGTTAGCATTATTGCAGGAGAGCTCTTGCAGAAGGCTGAAAGCTTGCTTCGTATGGGTCTTCATCCCAGTGATATTGTCCAAGGATATGAAGTTGCTTTACATAAAGCTTTGGAGATCCTCGAAGGTTTGTCATGTCCAACTCAAAAAGCCTTTATGTTTTCTATTTCAAGCATTTAAATGATTATGATTAACCTGATCTTTTTCCTTGTGTTCATCTCGTTATCATCTCGTTATCATCAGAATTATCGGTTGACGAGGTCAAGAAGTTGCACTCCAAGGAGGATCTCATTAAAGCTGTTCACACTGCCATTGCTTCCAAGCAGTACGGAAACGAGGATATGCTGACAGAGCTTGTTTGCGATGCTGCTCTTGCTGTCATGCCAAAGGAGGCTGCCAACTTTAACGTCGATAGCATTCGCATCGTCAAGATCATGGGTAGCAGTCTTTATGAGAGCCGAGTCGTCAAAGGAATGGTCTTTGGTCGTTCCCCTGAAGGTAAAAGAAAAAAAAATCTAGTTTCGATATTGTTGACACTGTGTATATGTCAAACTATTTATTATCAACACAAATTCTTAAAAAAAAAAAAAATTGAATTCTCATAATGTTCTAGGTGTTATTACAAATGCAAAGAAGGCCAAGATCGCTATTTTCACATGCCCTCTGGACATTGCACAAACTGAGACTAAGGGAACTGTTTTGATTCACAATGCCAATGAGATGCTTGATTTCACAAAGGGCGAAGAAAAGCAGATGGAGAACATGTTGAAGTCAATTGCTGACGCTGGCGTCAAGGTGGTTGTTACCGGTAACACTGTTGGTGATCTTGCTCTTCATTACCTCAACAGATTCGGCATTATGGTGGTTAAAGTCCTGTCCAAATTTGACCTGAGAAGATTGTGCCGTGTTACTGGTGCCACTGCATTGGCTCGAGTAGGTGCACCAATGGCGGAAGAGATGGGATACTGCGATATCGTTGAGAGTGTTGAGATTGGTGGAGATCGTGTGACGGTATTCAGACAGGAGGAGGAAATCACAAAGACTGCCACCATTGTTATCCGTGGTGCCACCCAGAATCACTTGGATGATGTTGAGCGTGCTTTGGATGATGGTGTAAATGTGATCAAGGCTCTTGTGAAGGATCCTCGCCTTGTTCCTGGAGCTGGTGCATCGGAGATGGAGTTGCTCAAGCGTTTGCTGGCTGTCGGAGAGGTGTGTACTTGATTGAGGAAAAAAAAAAAAAAAATGCTTTCAACACGTTGTACTTGGCTGATCAAGAAGAGATTTCTAACCCTGGAATATATATATATTTTCTGGATGAAATAGAAAACCCCTGGTTTGAACCAGCATTCGATCAAGAAGTTTGCTGAAGCTTTTGAGGTTGTTCCTCGTACCCTGGCAGAGAATGCAGGCATTGATGCTACAGAGATCATTTCCAAATTGTATGCGTCCCACCATGCTGATGATTCAGGTGTGATGGGTGTTGATATTGAGAGCGAAAACAACGGTCTTATTGATGCTCATGGCGCTAAGATCTATGATGTTTTGGCAGCCAAGTCACATGCCATCCGCCTTGCAACAGAGACTGCGATTACGGTCCTCCGTGTAGATCAGGTATGTGTTGATATTATATATTCTCTTATCTTTGTCATTTAGAGATTTTAATTCCAGGAGAAGGTTTTTTTTTAAAAGTTTTTATTTATTAATGTTGTTGTAATAATTTGTCCTGTGTACTTGTTGTAGCTGATCATGTCCAAGGCTGCTGGTGGACCCGTTGCACCCAAGAAGCAGCAACATTGGGATGAGGATTAAGTCGGATGAACTGGAGGGGGTTTTTTTATATTAGAATATTTTTGAGAAACCATGACCATTAGGACTTTTTTTTTTTTGAAATATATTTTTTTGTCAAAGTTACTAAAGCTATGTGCTAAAGGATGTTTTGAATAACACGTACGAACTGCTAATGATGAATGTGGATGTGAATGTTTTAACTTGTAAGCTTCTGCAGGTCCAATCCAATCAAGTTACATGTGTGTAGGATTATATAAATGGATCCAAAAAAGGAAGTTGCGGGGTAGAGTTATTAGAGTATAAAGCAAGGAGAAATTTTTTCTTTTGAAAGAAGTCTCTGATCAGCTTTTCTCTTTGCTCTTCTTCCGCTCATTACTCAGCACAACTTGTTCCTCATCCCTTTCTCCGCCCGCTCTTTCTCACCCTCACTCTCATTCTTTCTTCTTGCCTTCCCTTTACCCTTTGGATTATTCTTTTGTCCTTTCTCTTGTGACAGCGATAATCCCCTTCCTCTCTTCTTGCCACCAATTTCATTCAACTGAAAAAAAAAAAAAAAAGAAAAAGAAGGAAACAACAATGTGCGGAATCACTGCTCTTCTCCTTGCTGATCACAACCTGATGGCCAGCCCTGAATTGCATGAGGGCCTTGGCATGTTGCAACATCGTGGTCAGGCAAGTGGAAAAAAAAAAATCTTTTACTCTGTCTTATTGCTTATTTGCGTTGGGTAATTTATTTAAACTCGTTTGTTTTGTTAACATTGAGATTGTCATAAAAATATTTTTCACACAATTGTAGGATGCTGCTGGTATTGTTACTTGTGGAAACAAGGGTCGTTTGTACCAGATCAAGGGCAATGGCATGGTCCGTGATGTTTTTGATCAGCCCAAGTTGGAGCAACTTATTGGAAGCATGGGTGTTGGTCATGGTATGTTTAATCTTGCTTACTGAGTTACTGTTTATTATACTGTTATACTGTTATGCTATTATGCTATTATGCTATTATGCTATTATGCTATTATGCTGTTATGCTGTTATGTTGTTATACCGTTATACTGTTATACTGTTGTTCTGTCCGCACAAAGACATCTTCATCATTTCGTTACTGGTTGTTTCACCCTTCGCCCAGTACATGTTTTCCCACAATTTTTTTTTAAAAAAAGGGGAAGGGAATGTCAAACAACGTTACGAGAACGAGAGAAGAGTGACTAATATTTTTTTTATTTTTGTTTACATTTTATTATTTCCTGTGGCTAGTTCGCTATCCTACTGCTGGATCATCATCAATGTCAGAGGCCCAACCCTTCTATGTCAACAGTCCCTATGGAATCGTCTTTGCTCATGTATGTAACCACATGAATCATCGGACTTTTTATAAAGTGAATTTCTGCCATGGGAAAAAAAGAAAAGAAAAAGAAAAAACTTTATTTTATGGCGTTCACTGAACCAATCTTTTTTCTTTTCCTTTTTTCCTTTATTAAACATCATTCCTATGGTTTCTTACTCATCATATGGATAATGACAACTAAATAACCAATAGAACGGCAACTTGGTGAATGCGGATGAGCTTCGTACCTTTCTCGACCAGGATGCGCATCGTCACATCAATACCGATTCCGACTCGGAGCTGTTACTCAACATCTTTGCCAACAATCTCCAAAAGACTGGCAAGTTCCGTATCAATGAGGAAGATATCTTTACTGCCATCAAAGGTATCTTTGATGTTTGTCATGGAGGATACGCCTGCGTTGCCATGATTGCTGGTAAGTGACTGCATTTGTAGTTTTTTTTTTTTTTTTTTTTTTTTTTAAAAAAAAAAAATCAAAGTTTCCTGACTTGCGCCATCTCTCTCTATTTTTTATTATTATTATTTTTAAGGATTCGGAATCATTGGTTTCCGTGATCCTCATGGTATTCGTCCTATTGGTTTTGCTAAACGCCAGTCACCCAAGGGTACAGATTACATGTTTGCTTCAGAGAGTGTTGTGTGTGATGGATGCAGCTTTACGGATTTCGAGGATCTCAGACCTGGCGAGGCTGTCATTGTTAACAAGGCTGGCCTTGTCAGCCGTCGTGAGTTGGTTCCAGATGCCAACTTTTCCCCTTGCATTTTTGAATACGTTTACTTCTCTCGCCCTGATTCCATCATTGATGGGATCTCGGTCTACAAGTGCCGCTTGGCCATGGGTGAGGCTTTAGCGGACCAGGTCTTGAAGAAGCTTGGCCCCGACCACGATGTCGATGTGATCATTCCTGTAAGTTTTTATTTAAAAAAAAAAAAAAAAAAAAAAAAGAATTATTATTATGGCATGGTGTTGGATCAGGTTTTTTATATATATTATTATTTATTATGACTACAAGGTCCCCGATACGAGTCGTGTGGCTGCTCTTCAGACAGCATACAAGTTGGATATCACCTATCGTGAAGGATTCATCAAGAACCGGTACATTGGACGCACGTTCATTATGCCTGGTCAGGCAATGCGCAAGAAGACGGTTCGACGGAAGTTTAATGCAATGGCATTGGAGTTTGCGGGCAAGAACGTGTTGATTGTAGATGACTCGATCGTCCGTGGCACAACATCCAAGGAGATTGTGCAGATGGCTCGTGATGCTGGAGCAAAGAAGGTCTATCTTGCATCCTGTGCACCCGCCATCAGATACCCCAATGTCTATGGCATTGACATGCCTACTCCCAAGGAGCTTATTGCCCACGATAAGGACGATGACGAGATTGCTGAGGCTCTTGGTGTTGACAGAGTCATTTTCCAGGTATGTGCATGTAACCTACACAAGGATACAGTTCACTGCTAAAAAAAAAAATGGCGGCATTGAAGATCATGTATTCTAGATTGAGTTTCGAAAGATGAGTTGTTTATTTATTTACTTACTTGTGTACTTTAATTCTTTTTTTGTTTCCAGAATATTGAGGGATTGATTGCATCCTGCCGAAAGTTCAATCCTAGCATCAAGTCCTGGGATGCATCTGTGTTCGACGGCAAGTATATCACTGGCAAGGTGGATGACGCGTACCTCCAACATTTGGAGGATTTGAGATCAGATGCAAAGAAGGACAAGGTTGAGGATACTCAGAGCCCAGAAACTCTTGGACTCTACAACTTCAATTTGCAATTGAAGTAAGTAAAAAAAAAAAAATTGGATGAAGAGAATCGATCTCCTTTTCTCAGTTATTCTTTCCTTTTCTCGTTTTCTCGTTTTCTCGTTTTCTTTGTAATTATTTCACATCTGTTCAAGATATTATGCACATACACATACATACACTCACTCACTTTACTGTTGTTCTTTATTTTATTTAAACAAGTAACCCTGAGTTAAGGACTTGAAATGGGTCATAAATTACTTTGCATATTTAAAGATAACGATCCCATTCACTTTTCCATAGACTATAAAGAAATAAAATAAAAAATATGTTGTATAATATCGATATCTTGACTCTTTATAATAATGGTCTTTTGAAAAAAGTAGGAAACGATATCGATGGCTATTCCACTTTGGCTTTTTTTTTTTTTTTTTTTTTTTTTAATTCTGGAGATAAAGAAATTCTAATATTGTACAGGGCTGCCTAATTACCATTAAAAAAATGTTTAATGAAATAAAGGACTTTTTTTTTTTTTATGCCATGCTCAAGTCGTGAGGTCGTTCTTTCCGAATGTATTCAATCACTGCAGCCCGAGTCCTTTTTTCTAGCTTGAGCAACTTTGGTTCAATATCACGCTTCAAATCCCAATTGGGGGTCTTGGGTGCCAGTGTGAAAATATCCTGGAAGAAAAAGAAATAAAAAAAGAGGATTCGTCAGTCAACTCGGAGGTATAAACACATACACACACACATACACATCCAAAAATACAAATATATATAAATACATACAACGTCTTTAGCACGCTTTTCTTCTTCTTCCTGAATGACCTTCTCAACAACACCCTCCATCTTCTTCTCTACTGTTTCGTTGATATCTGCTGGTGTGAAGATCTTGGAGTCTGGTGCCTTCAACTCTTCATTATTTGGCGTGTAGTTACGGAATGATAGGCTAGCATGATTCAATTGATCACAGCGAAGCAAACAAATAAAAAATAAAGAGAAATAGAGAAAAGAGTACAAGGAATAGTTAGACTTTTTTTCTTTTTTCTTTTTTCTTTTTTTTTTTCTCATTCGTAAGTCATAGGCACACTCATATTCCAGTTTGATGGTTGATGTTTGTTGATTGATTGATTAGTATATAGAAAAGGGCTCCTCAAATGAAGATCCTGATCAAGTTGGAAGGAGTGCCTCAATAGGTACTCTGAGGTATTGGATGAACGCGACAATTGAACGTTAAAAATTTCCAAGGATATTTTCGGGATTGATTTTGATTTTGATTTTTGTTGTTGTTGTTGTTGTTGTTGTTGTCGTTGTTGATACTTATATATGACCATGCATTTCAAGTTTTTTTCTCGTCAAGAAATATATATAGTTCGCAAAGAAAGCTGTCCTGTTTATCCTCAAGTAATATATGTATAGTTGCACGGAATAAGGCCCTTTTGATCTAGAAACTAAATCAAACTGTACCTGACATCACTGTCGCCATTCCCCGTTGATGCCAATTTCCGCTTCCTGAGTTGCTCGAGCTTTTCCTTTCGTTTTTGACTTATTTCATCCATGATGAGAAAGATTAGATTATGTGTATAAAAAATATAATAAATGGTATTCCAAGGAGGAAATCTTGTAAGAAAAAAGAAATCTGTAGATTTGTATCTGAAACTACATCACACGGTGGTTTCTAATCACGTGATAAGTAAACTTTTGTAACTTGACATTGGTTTTAAAGTCTAGTGCTTTCGTGTCAGAAAAGGCAACTATCTCACAGTACGGAAAGGATAGGAAAGCTTTTGGACTTGATATGGATGCTGCAGAAGCCACGGTGAGAGATAGCCCAGTTGAGAGAAAGTTATATATACAGTATATTCAGAATGTTTGTATCCTATCAATAAAGTAATGTATTTATGCGATATTATTCTAGCGCCGCCTGCTATTACCCCCGGTTGATGATCTCTCACCATCTTTGCTACGACAACTAGAGGTAGAGAGAACTGAAGAGAAGAAAAGAAAAAGAATAGAGAGAGAGAGGCAACTACTGAATTGACTAGACAGAATAATAGCGAAATGATAGACGTGTGAAAGAGATCGGGCCCCTTTGCGATACGAGCAATACGCGACTTCCGCTTAAAAAAAGCAAAGTATTGCGGATCTATAAAATACCTCTTGGATCGTAGAACGGGCAAATTTACCCATTTAGATTTCATCAACTCAAGGGCAGGCCAGATCCAGTTCTCATGATGGTTCAACTGCAGTTTTAGTCCAAGGCGAAGGATAGTAAAATGCAAGATCAAGCCCTCGACAGACTTGCTATCCTTCAAAAGCATGCTCATACTATCCTCGCTCAAAATTTTGAGCTTCACGAATATCCAAGCACTCGCGATCAACACAACTTTAACCAATGTGGACTTGGGAAGTAACCGAATTGGTGATGAAGGGGCTATGGAACTAACTGTCAGAGGCGCTCAAGTCTAATACGACTTTAACTACTTTGAACTTGATGTACAACTCAATCGGGAATGAAGGTGCCCTTGCACTGCTAGAAGCGCTCAAGATCAACACCACTTTGAACATGGACATCAACTCAATGAAAGAACTGATAGACATGAATACTCTGATGATGACTAGAGCATGATGCCCTTGGGTATGTTAATGATAATGGTGATATAAAAATAAAAAATATATGCTCGGTTTAATGAGGGGGGTTATTACATGTGAAAAATTCAAGTGCGAGATGAGATTTGAAAAAAGATGGCTAAACTTTGTATGGTTGGTTGGTTTGAGATGGAAGACCTTTGTGTAAGGGGAAATGGATTTCTCTATCTAAAAATGGGATGTTCAGTTAAAAAAAAAAAAAGAAAAGGATGTATCTGGATCTTGTTATCTTATTCTTCGTCTTCGGATACTTCATCGTCGTCATCATCCGACATTTCAGATTCAAGTTCTTCTTCGTCTGTCTCTCCAAGCTATCATGATATTAAACAAATAAATAATTAGTTAGGATTAGACATTCGACATCTTCAGATAACAACTAATCAGAAAACAAGGAAAAAGTCAAGTATCCTTACCTCCTCTTCATCAAACGCATCTGCCTCACCAACAAGATCATCATCGTCATCATCGTCATCCATATCAAGATCCAAATCTTCTCCCTCTTCATCATCCTCGTCTTCCACATACACCGTTGCTGCTTCATTTGTCACATCCTCAGCTACATATTGCTGCCTCATCTCAATCTGGTTCATTACCAGATCCAAGCGACCATGAAGGTTCAACATCTTTTGGAACACAGAAACGCGTGAATCCAAGGTCTGGTAGAAGTTGGACAATTTCTTCATCAAGTCTGGGACTGTCATCAGGTATGCAGTGTGGATCAGCAATACTGCTTTGATCCACTCCAAAAGCGCTTCACCACGATTAGGCTTTTGTTGGAACTTGTGGATGACTTGGGTTAAGAATGGGACTACATAAGCTGTAGGAAGACGACGAACTGTGTTCCTGATCACCTCCACATTATTGAAGGTCAGACATGCCTCCAAGAGCTGCAAGTCATTCGAATGTAATGCCTGGATGAGCATCTGTTGCAGAGAGTTGGCTTTGGGTGTAGGATATTTGTTCTTGGCACTACCGCTAGCAGACTGTTTTGATTTCTTTTCTGTCAGACTGTTTGCTGACTCGTCCATTGCCAAATCCTGAAGTTTCTCTTCCATGGTACGTCCTTCCATCTGAGTAGAGTCCTTGTCTCCACCATCTTCGCCTTCACTATCCTCAGCATTTGCCATACCTGCCGTAGGCAATGCGAAATCTGTTACACCAACCACTGTTACTGCACTCTCATCATATGCCTTCTTAGTTGCTTTCAAATTACTATCTGCCTGGGCTGCCTCGTCCAACAAGAAACCAGTGACAGGTGCACGGGTCAGAAGCATTTCCTTCTCTTTCAATGAGCCATCCTCATTCTGGAAATCAATCTTCTCGAATACGGGCTTAATGGTTGATCCACGAGCGAGGATCATCTGTCCTTGAGGTGTGAAGATTCCTGCAAGCAAGGGGATGAGGGCTCTGTCCCCACGAGATGACTCGATCTTGATTGAACAATCGCATGCACGAGTAGTGTAACGCTTCTTCTTGTTGGCCTTGGCGCTGCTACTCGAGGTACCACTTACACTCTGTGCATTCTGCCAAAGACCAGCTGTACCCTCTTCTGAAATGGCAAGAACAGCATTGTTGGGCGAGATATCGATATGCGAGACGGTGTTGTCAAGGGTCAAGGCTATAAAGTAGGCAGCATAAAGAAAAAATAATAAAAACTCCGGTTATTTCAATGAAGTTACTCGATAATATTCTATCCCAAAGATCGAATTAAATTTCCTCAATGAGAAAGAAGAAAAAAAAAACTGTATGTACCTGTGATGTTACCCTCCTGTTGGTTATCGCGCGTGCAATCCCAGAGATTAATGAAGCGGTCCTGCTCGGCTGTGGATGCCAAGAACTTATCGTTTGCAGAGAATACAACATTTGTGATCGCACTGGCATGTCCTGTAAAGTCCTTGATCGTCTCACGAGTCTCAAGATCCCAGAGTTTCATATTATGTCCTGCTGTCAACAGCATGGTCTCTTCATGGTTGAGCTGAATCTTCTTGACGGACTTGGCCTCTGTCTTCAGCTTACTCATCTCTACGCCTTGCATAATATCCCACTCGATCACCAGACCATCCTCGCCAGCTGAAAATCCACGGTTGCCACTCTTTGAAAAACAGAAATCATTGACTTTGCCAGTATGAGATCCAGAAAGCTCCTTGATAACTCGACCATGTACGAGTGAGAAGATCGAAATATGTCCGTTTGTATGACCGAGAGCCAAGACTGGGCTATGGGAGCCTCCAGTAGATGATTTCCTCTTTTTCTTTGAAGTCTAAACAAAACAATTGAACCCCATCAATACCAAATTAGTAAATAGAATACAAAACGACAAGCTTCTTTACACCATTAAAACTCCTGATCAAAGTCCAGCTACCAAACTATGGTCATTATTTTAGTGCATATGCAAGAATACAAACACACATGCACACGCACTCTCACACGCACACGCACTCTCTTACACACACATAAAAAAAAAAAAAAAAAAGGAGGACATACTCCATTGGATCCAGTCTCAGTAATGTTTCCCCAGCGGATACAAGTCCACTTGCCGTCTCCTTCTTTTTGCTCATAGTTGTTCTTGATAGCTCCTGTGGTAGTATCAAAGATTCGCAGACGGTAGTGATCTGCACCTGGTGTGACAATGCAGTAACTATGTCCACCCTCGGGCGAGAATGAAGAATGAACAATGACTGTAGTACCAGACACTTGGTCTGGGTTCTGTAGTGTGTCAAAGGTGGTCTTCGATTGGGCCTTTTTCACCATGGTTGTTTATGAAATTGACTTTTTTGTTGAACAGTAGAATAAAAAAAAAAAGAAGAAGAAGAAGAGAATGGGACTGGAGAGTAGGTGAAGGATTTACAGAGCAAAGTCAAAGGTGAAGGTAGAAGACCTGACTACCCAAGACTATGTTTTCAAGCAATAGGGCTATAGGAGGGGAAAAAAAAAAAAAAAAAAAAAAAAAAGCAAAGCGATTGGCTCAATAAACAAAAGCCACTTTCCCTCGCGACTTGATCTGGCACAGTGCACGTGATTCCATTAACGAACAGAAACAGATGCACTTTTCTTGTTTAAACGTTCCATCCATATTACCTCTGAAGTTTTTTTTTTTTTTTTTTTTTTTTTGCTCCGCACAAGGCGATCAGCATTCTTGTAGCGCCTCTAATTGACAATACCATTTACTTTCATTAAACCTTAGTCATGGACCACGAAGGTAGGTTTTGTCCATCCATCTTTAGTGTATTATTTTTTCCTCCACTTTCGAAATACACTTTAAGGGAGACATGTTCATGGATAAAAATATCGGTATAATGGCAATAGGCTGATCTGTACAATTATTCATTATTTTTACAATCCTACTTCACTGTTGGCTGATATATGGAAAAGATATAATCAGGGCGCGATTGAACGTCAATGAGAGGCCTCTTAGGATATTAACAACTCGCTTTCATAAATGGTGTCAAGCTTTGTCTGTTGGTACAAATGAAGACATGTAAGAGAATGTAATAATGTTGATTGTAAAGAAGCAAAAATAAAAAAATAAAAGAAAGACACGTTCTTTTGCAACCATACTCGCTCTGTATTATCATCGTAATCTCAAAAAAAACCTTTTTTTTTTTTTTTCTTTTATAAAAACAGTGAAAGGGAACTTCAGAGTTTATTGCATGAAGTAACCTACTTTGAGCTCTCAATCTCCAAGACACAGCTTGTAGCAGAGATGGCAGAACGGGAACGACTCAGTTATGAACAATCACAACAACGGACAGAAGAAAATATTGCACGATCAGAAAAAGAACTCGAAGTCTTGACGAGAGAGCTTGAGGAAGCCAAGCAAGAACGTGCCAACAAAATCCTCTATGATCAGTTAGCGACCGAGGTTTCACGCTTTCCTAGTCGACAATCTAATCAGGAGAGCATTGCTACTCTACAATCCGAGATCCAAGAGTTAGAAGATGAAGCTGTTCGACAGGGGCTTGTTATGGAGTTGAGGAAGAAACAGTTCTATGATGCATTTTCATGTCTTCAGAATATTCATGATTCGATCGAAGAGGATCAACAGGAAGAACAGAGGAGACTTTATTTGAAGAGGACACATCCGGAGGATGATGAGGAGGAGGACCAACAGGAGGATGGTTTTGCACATGCTGAAGAAGGAAGCTTAGATGTCACAGCGGACGTAGAAGGTGATGGAGGTGGTAATGGTGCTCACAGCAATGGTGCGGGTGATGGAGCCACTACTAGAGGTACAACTACACCCAGACCCGCCTCAACGATATCTGTTATTGTGAATGAAATGCAGCACTCATTGTCCTTGGGTGGATCAGGCAAGGGCAGTAATAGCAGCATTGGATCACAAAGTCCTGCTTTAGGACCGACGAATACACTTACCAATGGGACGATAGGACAATCGGGAGAAGAAGGTTCCTTCAGGATGGGTCTCCACCGTACTCACTCAACAGACTCTTTAGGTATTACACCAGCGGGGACACCTAGAATAGGCTACCAACCTTCGCCTACACTACCGCCAAGGTCTGAAGTAGGCACCCCTATTCCTGTTGATGATAACGATACATCTATGAATGTAGACACCCTCCTGTAATAATAATAAACCGAGTTAGCTGGCGAAGTACAGCACAAACCTCTCTTAAATACGTCATAGGCGTGACTGTGACCTAGTCTAAACGTATTTGCTAATACGCATATTTTTTAGACTCACTAATTTAAGAACTATAAGTGGATTTTCTTACGGCTCCTTGATTCCTCCTCAGCCTTGAAGGGTGCTTGACGTTTGGCGTACACTGAGCAATGGTCTTTCATTCATGGATATGCTCTATCCTTGTCTATCAGCTCAAGGTAGAGGGGTCGCTGCTGGTGTATTAGATGACCGCGGACGACGTTAGCTATGTTGTGGCTAGTCATCACAACCCTGTGCATAAAAGCCTTGCACTTGGAACAATAGAGCCGGTGAATATCAACTTGTCCTACAAATTCTTCGCAGCTCGGGCGGGCGCTTCTTAAAAGTATAATATTCGCTCCCACTATCCAAGGGATTTGGCCTAGAAGAAGTGTCGATGTATTAATATCGGCTATAAGGTAAGAAAACCAAAAAAAAAAAAAAAAAAAAAAAAAAAAAAATACTTACTATTTGAATGAAGTAAAATTGGAGCGGCTCATGTAAGGAAGAAAGCCTGGTATTGGAAGAAAACTTTCCCAGACCTACAGCAACCACAGCCTTGTCGGCCTCTTTTCTTTTTGCCTCAACTGGACCATTCACTATCTTGAGTAAACGATTGGCGATACACCGCCTTTTGCTTGATAGTCAGATTATAGAACTTGGGTTGTGTGGCTGTGCCATTGGCGCTCCCATGACTTGGCAACAAAGCACCGGCACCAATTATACACGCTTGACCGAAGTTAAGGCCCAAAATCTTGATGTTTTTTGGTTGACATCCCCGAAGGCGGTGAACCCCATTTGTGCGATGTTATAATTGTAGTTTTTTTCGAGACAATTCACAGCGCGGTCAACTGTTCCCTTGAGATGCCCAAGTGGCCTCACATGGTCGGGACGTGATAGATATAGCCTTTATACCTAAACATGGGCCGCCAGCTGGTCATTATATCGTTATATGCTAGCATGTCGCTGTCTGCCGATACAATAATGTCGCCAGGGAAACAGTCACTAGTAATTGCAAAGTAGCTTCATAAGGGCATTCTTGAATTCTTGAACGTTTCAATTTTTAGATCTCATGTACTTAGCAAAGCCAGCGAGAATCCGTTTCCCAGTGGAAGGCAGTATTTATCTTCTTGCTAATGTTGACAAAATGGCGCTTTTGTACTCTGAGCTTTTTTTCAAACCGTTCTTGTAAGGCATCCAGGAGGGTTTGAGCATGATCAGCGGCTTTTGAATGGGGCTCCTCACGACATTTATGCGTCAACTTTTTTTCTTCGGGAGACGGCCGTTCGTGCTGCGGTAAGAGTAGAAATTACATCCTCTCTATCCAAATGTAGTAACAGTACTCCCGAGCCACTTAAAGAAGATGTGACAATTGTAGGATATAATAAACAAGGAGCAACTTACGATCACATAAAAAGACATCTCGGCTTTGGGGTTTATGGAAGCACATACCAAAGGCAACTCAATGCGAGGAGACGAAACCATTGCTCCATCCTATTTCCCATCTCCTCAGGTGCCAGACCCTGACATTATTTTTATTGCTTGTAATCAAGGATTCATCATAGCATAGCTGCAGAGCACAAGGGTGGAAAGCCTTATCCTCTTGTTAAGACCACATTACAGTATATGCTAAGCATCTGCTCGGAAGCGACTGAGGTTGCTGGAATAGTGTTGACATGCTTGCGTATAGTGAAGGACTGCTTTGCACCGATCCAGGAGGCCAACCATCTTGTTTTTTCGTGGAAACCCGGAAATAGCGGTCAAACTCATTGTCTTGCACCTTGTCAATGGGTTCCTCAGTGTCGTTCTCTTAGAGTGGTCGCTTATGGAGCGCGTAAGTGCCACAGTATCTCCTGCAGACCCTGCTTGCTGATTTGCCATGCACGTAGCGATCCCTGCGAGGAGCAATCAAGTTTCATTGGGCTCAATTATTTTTTTTTTTTTTTTTTTTTTTTTTTTACTAATACCTCTGGCGGCACACCACGCTAGAAACACTCCTTCAGTCGATTCCACAAGCCATTGGCCTTAATGTAGAGTAAGATCCTTGCTGCCAATTGATGAGCGAAGTACGCTCTGGCTCCACTAGCGACTATCATGGATCGACCCCGACACCTTTGGCGCAATACTTCCCCTACTATTTCTCAGGACCATCTGAGCTGAAGTGATGGAAATCCAGAGCCCTTTGGATACACTGTCTTGACAGCTTCCCGTTCCCATGGATAGAGATCACAAGCAAGAGCCTTTATTATTGTAGAAAGCTGTACATTAGTCTTTCATTTGAATTTAAATGAAATGTCGTACTATTGGAAAGAATGAACTTTCAACAACGCCGAGATACGAGGATCGCACTGCAAGGGGAGATAGGACCGACATCTAAAGATCAAAAAGCAACATCACTATGACTACTAAGCCGCCGCAAGCTTTTTTTATTTTTTTTATTTTTTTTATTTTTTTTATTTAAGTTGAGCTTTTTCCTTGAATATTATTTCAGCCATCAAATAAACCAGAGTCGATCAACCAATATCGAGCGTCTCTAACAGTCCCCGGGGCCCCTAGTTATCGGGTGCAACGCCCATATCAATAAAAAGTCAATGCTGCGTTAGCCTCGAGTGCCTCTGATAATGCCGAAGCTCTTCTAGCCCCGATTTTCTCTCTATCTACTTCCAAAGTGGTTAAAGTAGTGTTAATCTTGAGCGCCTCTAATAATGCCAGAGCTCCTTCCTCCCCAACCAAGGTTCTCTCCAAGTCCAAGGTGGCCAAAGTCTTGTTAATCTTGAGTGCTTCTGATAATGCAAGAGCCCCTTCATTTCCAATAAAGTTGCCCCTCAATCTCAAGGTGGTCAGAGCCGTGTTGACCTTGAGTGCCTCTGACAGTGCTAAGGTTCCTCGGTCCTCAATTCTGAAAATCCATGACGCGAAATTATTGATGTCACTCAAGTCCAAAGTAGTCAAAGTGGTGTTAACTTTAAGCGCCTCTGAGAGTGCCTGAGCTCCTGCATCTCCAATTAGGCTGCCACATAAATTCAAAGTAGTCAACATTGTGTTGGTCTTGAGTGCCTCTGATAATGCCGCAGCCCCATATTCATCAATTGAGTTGTTACTCAGGTCCAAAGTAGTCAAAACTGTATTATTTTTGAGCGCTTCTGACAGTGCTAGAGCTCCTTCATTCCGAATTGAATTGTCGTTCAAGGCCAGTGTGGTTAAAGCCATGTTCTTCTTTAGTGAATTTACAATTAATAGTAATTCACTGGCTCCAATCGATCGAAAACTCATCCCAAAGGATAACTTATGAAGTTGTGACGATTGTTTGGGTCGTAGGCTGGGGAGTTTTATGAGATCCGGCGATAGAGTAATATGAATCGTTTTCATATTGTTGAGTTTTATGATACGAACAAGTGCGTCATATTGCCTAGACGTTGAAAGCACTTCCCCATTGATACTTTTTTGAAACCGACCAATATCAAGCCGAAGAACCGATATGCTTGACACTTTCAAAGCACTCTCGAATGCTTCAAGCTCATTCACGGTCCAATCCCAGTCGAATGTGATATCCAGCTCGTAAACATGTCTTACATTCGCCAGGGCAGTAAAAAATTCCTCAGCTCTGACTTTGGATCTCAATATGATCATCACTTTACCAAGGTGTAAGTCATAGTTGCCTCTATTCTCCCCCACTACACCTTCAAATGCCTTTTGTTCCTCTTCTTTATATGCCAAACGATAGTGGTCGACACAAATCCATTTAACACGGCCTGTTTCGGTCATGATCTTGTACAAGTTGCCAAGTCGCTCATCCTCATCGTTGGTTCGGAGGAATGAGAGTAGTTGTTGTGGATCGGCTCCTTCAAGTGGTTCATAGTCATCGATTTTGTTGATGTTGTTCAAGGTCAGATTCTCCTTAGAGAGCGCCTCTATATAGTCAATTGAATAATCAATGCCGGCATCGACCAGATGTGGGACCGGTGCCAGGGAAGCAGATGAGGGTATTGCTACTTTAAGCCATTGTAAGAGGATGAGCATGCGTTTCCCATATTTGCGAAAGAACTCTATGCTGTTTCGGACTTCATATCCGTCGTGCTTGGCAATATGGATTTGGTTCTGGCTGCTCTCGCTCGTGTTTGCAGTATAGCCCCCACATTCGCATAGAAAATGAAGGCGGAGCTTGTTCTTCAGGATGTTCAACGGGTCCCAATTGGTGTGGTCGACAGGCAACATTATGAATAGTCGAGGGATTGTACAATCATGAAGCTCTAAATTCTGGATGAGGATAGCATGAGTATGCTTTTGAAGAGTAGTAAGTCTGTCGAGATTTGCCGACCTCCCCGATGTGGGCAAACAAATGCCAGCAGTGCTACCGCTGTTAGCGTTACTGAGCTGTGGTTCTTCTGCAATTACATCCAGAACCTTGTAAGGATAGAACGCAATGCGCAGCGGTTCGATTCTAAGAAGATATATTCCAAATTGAATTCCTTCATTTCTTTTTCCTTCCAGAGATACTTGAAGTTGATAAGGCGTGCCATAATCAATATATACCTGCTGCCACTAGAGTCTACAAGGAACGGGATAGGAAGTCCGTCTAGCTTGAATCGTTGTGCGTTTGGAAACACGTCTCGAATATCTTGCAAGGTCACATAGCAGGATGGGCCACCATTGCTTGCAGAAGTGGAGACAATTCTAACACAAACGTGTTCAATAATGCCGTCCTTTCGGAATTGCTGGTATTGATGCTGCGTCATTTCGGCAATTGCTCGATGGATGAAGAGAGGATGAATGGTTTCTTTGTCTTTTTTTGAGCAAGGTGCACTGACCCCTTTTTCTTTTTCAACCTCGCCAATGATGAAGGTTGACCACTGTCCGTTCGCGATCTTTTGCTGAGGATGAAATAGCCTGAGTGGACATGAAAATGTTTCCTCGAATGAATTTGCATCTATTGTAGTCCACCGTAATACCCCTCTTTAATGGATTGGAGGTATAGAAGCGCGCTCTGAATCATTGAAACGAAAAGCATTGTCATATTCAGTACATTGCACTTGAGAAATCAATTGATGGTGCGCGTTTGCCATCCTCTTAGGAAACTCCTTGTGCGCAGAAATATAAAGCTTGAACCAGCGACTTTTCATGCTTTTTCTATATTTGTGTTTGTCCACTTAATCATGCTCGATCTCGTTGACGACACTATCTATCTTTGTCTCTAGTACTTTGGTCGGAGGAGGAGAGTTGCAGAAGTATAGAGGCAGCGAAGCAATACATCTAGAAAGTGACCTTTGACTCTTCCAATCCCTGTCTTTGTCCTTTTGACTATTTTTCTACCCTTGTATCTGGTAGAGACAGCTGAAAAGATCTATTTGTTATTTGTGCTCAAGTCAGGAGGAGAAGTTCAAGGGCTTTTCGATGAAGTTGGGATATGTAGACCAAGTAGAACAAGTAGAGCAAGGTGAAGGTGTGAAAAATGAACGCGATTTGATGCAAAATGGCTGTGTTCATGTGACAAGCATTAGAATCTGATAAGCTGGAGGTGACTTCAACCAGTAAATATAAAAATAAATTAACCGAGTGGTTGATCTGGTTCCTGGATGGTATGAACAAAAGATGAAAGTGGACCAGTTTAAGATGTCAAATAGGAAGTGATACCATAGAACAGACAAAATAGGCAAAATAGGCAGAATAGGCAGAATAGACAGAGAATCGACAGATAGGGCAGATAAGAGTGGTCGATGGGAATGAGAAACTCTCTCATTGGTTGCCCTGTGTCTAGATGTGCAATGGAATGTTATTTTTGAATGGAGGACTCAGGGGGAAGGGTTCCTAGTTCACATATCAAAGCAATGTGTGTCCAACGCTTTTTTTGTAAAATATAAAATTAATATTAGTTGTGTTCCTTTCTCTCTCTTCTTCTTTTTCTCATCTTCCTCCTTCTCATCTGGTCATCTCCGTCCTTTCCATTCATCCTAGTTCTCATCTCATCTTTCATCATGTCCAACCCATCGCCCACAGTCAACCAGCGGGCAAAATATGAGGAGCAGTTGCCCACTGATCCCAAGGCTCTCGATAAGCGTTTCCCTTTGTACTTGGGTGATTGGAAAAAGTCGGATCCTCGTGTAGATGATGACCTAGCCATGGATAACATGGATGAGCCTCATATGAAACGCAAGTTGGCTATCCTCAAGAAGCATCCAGAGATTGAATCTCTTTATGGTCATGACTCTAGAACATCCCTCATCACCATCCTCGCTGCTGCTGCTCAGGTCTATTTTGCATATCTCTTTGGCAAGGTCTGGACAGAGACCACTTGGGGATTCATCGCCTTTTCATATATCGTTGGAGGATCCATCACAGCATTGTACGGTGTCCTGATCCATGAGGCCACTCATAATCATGCTGCACCCACTGTGTTCTTGAACAAGCTTGTTGGTCTCACAGCCAACATTGGTATTCCTGTACCGATCTATGCTTCCTTCCGTCGCTACCATTTGGAACATCACACTTATCAGGGTGTCACCGGAATGGATCCTGATCTTCCTCTTGAATGGGAAAAGAAGATGATTCGTGGCAATGCAGCACTCAAGCTCCTTTGGCTGTTCATCTACCCTGTGATGTACGTTGTCCGTGGTGCAGCAATGAAGAAGAAGCCCTCGACCTGGGAGATCTATAACATCATCTTTACTGTCTGCACTGATGCACTTGTGGCCAAATACTGTGGACTACGTGGATTGCTCTATCTGTTTGCTTCGCTCTGGTTCGGATACGGTCTTCACCCTGGCGCAGCTCATTTCATTCAGGAGCACTATACCTTTGATGATGGCCAGGAGACCTACTCTTACTACGGTATCCTCAACAAACCCTACATGAACATTGGTCTCCACATGGAGCACCACGACTGTAAGTAATTTTTAACTTTGTATGTTTACTTTTCTTTTCCCGGGATGAATTTGATTCGTTATTTTTTTTTTTTTTTTAGACATCAGCCCATTTCAAATTATCACACTAGACTGCAATAGTGTAAGACTTAAGACACTCATTCTAATCTTTCTTTTTGTTATCCCTGTGTCTCTCTCATTGTAGTCACCAAGGTCGCTTGGTCGCGTCTACCTCAAATCCGTGCTATGGCACCCGAGTTCTATGACTCTATGGCCTACCATACTTCATGGCTCCTTGTTCACTGGAAGTTCATCACCGAGCCAGGCTATGGTCCTCAGTCCCGTCTTGGACGCACCATGGAGGATCACAAGACTGCTCGCAAGCAGGTCGGCAAGCTTCGTCGTGCGGATGAGCATGCTTATGAAGAGATGGCTCTGGATGCACAGAGGGCGAAAGGGGAATAAAGTGACAGGACAACTCTATCTCGGAGCAATTCCCTTGTTGGGCAAGCAGAGTAACAGGACGAATGACATTGAAAATGGAGTATGAATGTGCAGATACCAAAAAAGATGGGTGATGTTTGTTTTTGGCACTTTGTTGTCTCTCATTCACGCCATTCTTCTTTTCAGTTTTTTTTTTCCTCTTTTCTTCCAAGACATTTATTACAACACATAGCATATCTCTTTTCTTTGTTATTTACTGCCATTACTATTGCTTCCTTATTGTTTAACAGTTTACCCTCACTTTCACTTTTATTCTGTTTCTTTTCCTTTTACGTATCAATAAAAACTAATTTCATATCCATCTGCAAGTAGTTTAAATGTCTTTTCTGATTGTTGATGGGAAAAAGTTGAGGTTGAGCGGAGTACATGTGCATGTAATTGCATACTATTGGATCCTCTTTCATTATCTTGTCGTATGATGTTTGAATCTATTTCATCGTTCACAACTCCACCTATTTGCATTCCTATTCTATTCATATCGCGACAGTCACCCCCATGGGATGAAATATCGAACGTTTTTTTTTTTTTTTTTTTTTAATCCCATCTCTCAACTCATCTCTCCTCATCTCGTAATTCAATACTTCTTACTGCCTCATGCCGTCTTACTTTACATCTGCACCTGGCAAGGTCATCTTGTTTGGCGAGCACGCTGTAGTCTACAGCAAGGTACTCATCGAACTCTCTCAGGCCAAATATGTCTGTGCGACCCTGAAACAGTCATCTAACGTTGTCCCTTATTGTGAAAATGAAATATAAAAATAAAAATAAAGGTGGCAACCGCTGGTTCTTTGGGTCTACGATCCTACAATCTGGTTCAAGAAAGGACAGACGGTGCTATTGAAGTGAATTTCCCAGATGTGCAACTTGTCAGGACATGGCGATCAAGTGATATTCCACGTCAAGCGCGGTGGGAAGGTAACTATATCCCTCAATTGGATCAGGACAGTGCGAAGTAATAAAAAAAAAAGGCGTTACTCTTCCCATAACTCGTCCAAACCATCACTAATGTCTCATTGAGATTCTTTTCTATTCCTTGACGATCAATAACCATTATTAAAAAGGATACCCTTATCCTCCTTCGACCATGAATACCGAACTTGTGGATCAATTGACAAAGTTTGTGGACTTGGCAGAGCATACGAACAGATCTCATGCAGCCGTTGCACTTTTATACCTTCATTCATACCTTTCGACGGATGAGATTGCCAGTTCTGGATACGACTTTAGTGTACGATCGGATCTTCCTGTGGGAGCAGGTCTGGGTTCATCTGCATCATACAGCGTTTGTTTAGCGACCGCCTTACTTCAACTGAATGGACATTTGTCATCATCAATAACAGCGGGATGGACAGTGGCAGAGCAACGCGATTTGGTGAATCAATGGGCATTTCAAGCAGAGAAGGTGATCCATGGGAATCCAAGTGGAATCGATAACACAGTTAGCACACTTGGGGGAGCTGTCATGTTCAAGAAGGGTGAAAAGATTAAGCCCTTGCCTGGGTAAAGTTTCTCAAATGCATTGCTCAGCTTTGTAGGAGTAAGGACTATCTCCAACTTTTATTATATATGGATATTCTTTAACCTTTTTTTTTTTTTTTTTTTTTTTTTTTACTTTTCAGATTCCAGTCGTTGAGGTTCCTTCTTACAAATACGCGTGTCCCAAGAGAAACGCAAGTTCAGGTTGCTAATGTTAGAAAGCTACATGATAAAGTAAGGGGTTTTTTCTTTATTCTTCTCATACTGCAGATTTTCCAGATTTTCAAGATATCAATCTACCGATGGAAGCCTGATATATTCCTGTTTTGTTTTATCTTTTTCTAGTTCCCTAATATTGTTAATCCAATGTTGGATGCTATCCATGAGATTAGTGTTTCTTGCGAAGAACTCTTTAGTCAGCCTGGATTGGATAGATCCCATTTATTGACACGCTTTGGAGTAAGATGAGCTAAAAGAAGAAACAGAAAAAAAAAACATTCGAAACTTTTAATATCTGTTTAATAACCTTTTTCATCATCATCTTTACTAGGAATTGGTGGACGTGAATCACGGATTGTTGACAGCATTGGGTGTATCGCATCCAGTGCTCGAGAAGGTGCGTGAGATTTCTTCCAGGATTGGTCTCAAGTCCAAGCTAACTGGAGCTGGAGGTGGAGGGTGTGCATTGACTCTGATCCGAGATGGTAATGGCACCAAAAAAAAAAAAAAAAAAAAAAAAAGACCAACATCAGCAAGTATTAAATTTGATATTTGATATCCTAACGCGTATAATTTTTTTTTTTCTGGGGAAACCTAGATGTCAGCCCAGAGACCGTAGCTGAAGTGAAACGATTGCTGGAAGCAGAGGGGTTCCAATGCATGGAGACCCAGGTTGGTGGTCACGGGGCAGGTATCCTAACGCTAGAACAGCCCATGTCGATCGAAGAGTTCCTGTCGCATGATAAGGCATACTTTGAAGCAGCCACCCACAACTGGACGTACTTTGAATAAAAAAAAACGAAATAAAAAATATTTTTATTCTTATTTTTTATTAATTTATTTTTATTTTGCATCTATTGAAGCTTTTCATTTCACACATGCAACACCAGAAACTCACATGCGACGATGCTTCTACCCTTGAGACAGAGGAACAAACGTCTTTATTAGAATGGCCGCGTTTATCATCGCCCTCTTATTCGTCCACTCGACCAGCTCCACGTTGGGTCACAGTCCTTGGACCGACTCAGGTGTTGGTTTTCCCCAATTTCTTATCTGTTCAGGACACAGGTTCCTTGATTGAATATATTCAACAAGAGATGAAGATCCAGATCGATGACAAGATCGACCCAACTAAGCCTCGGCCACGTCCAGTCCCTAAACCAGGATATGCATTCCGAGACAATGATCGTATCCAATTTCAATCAGAGGAATTTGCAAGCATGTTATGGAACAAGTGTGGATTACGGGATCGATGGACAGAATTGTGGCAACATCCTAAATACGGACTCGAAAGCGTCCATGGAGAAAGCATTGTAAAATAAAAAAAAGCCCTCGTTGTGGAACCTCTCTCTCTTTTTTTTTTTTTTTTTTTTTTTTTCAGAACAGAAAGATAACAAGCTCAATCTCTTTTTTTTTTACTTTAGACATCAGGTCCCAGGAACAAGAAGAGAGTACGCCATGCAGTTGGGTTGAGTCACAATATCCGAATGTATCGTTATCAAACCGGTCAATCCTTTGGTCCTCATTACGACGAGTCCGTGACAGATATTTCGGATCAATTAGGCGAGACCGTTTCTGAGTACACAGTTTTGATCTATCTCAATGGTGAACGGGATTCAGAACTCTTGGGAGGTGAGACGGTCTTTTACCCCAAGGGTATGAAGACATTGCCAGCAGAAGGAGCTGGAGGAGCAAGTGGCAAACAATCGAAAAAGGGATCAAAAGCGTCAGTATCAGCCTCCAACAATCAAGAGAACAATAGCAGTAGCAAAAGCAATGGCAATAGTAGTAATTCTGGATCCTCATTTTCATATGTACTTCCGAATGGAGGGGTCGCTGTGAAGCCAGAGCGAGGGATGCTGTTGGTGCATAAGCATGGCGATGATTGTATGCTCCACGAGGCCCTGTTGGTAAACCGAGGGTTCAAGTATGTGCTTAGGACAGATGTTGTCTATGAGCCGTGACACGGATTTAAGTGTGACCGATCATTAATAAAACACAAGTGTCTATAAAAGCATAGAGCCTGTGCAACTTGTGGTACAGGACTTTCTGCACCTTTCATAACATTTTACATTTTGCACATCTCCATGTCTGCTTCATGGTCTCCATCACCACTCATTCCACCCTTCCGATTTGGTACAGTGGAACATGAGGTCTATAGGGGTGCATATCCAAAGCAACGCAATCTACGCTACCTCAAGCGGTATGGGAAACGCTTTTTTTTTTTTTTTTTTTTTTTTTTTTTTTTTCCCCACTTTTCGCGTTATTCAATGGTACTAGGAAACAAGACTAAGACATTTCATAAACAAACATCCACGTAGACTGAAGCTCAAGACGATCCTTTCACTTATTCCTGATGCACCAGATGCTATCTTTCAGGGATTCTGTGCTCAACAAGGAATCCGATCGATCCATTTGCCAGTGGATAAAGTCAAGGATAATGTACCCCTCACTTATAATCGTGCTGTCGAAGCAGTTCAGGTAAAGCTTTGTTTTATTTTTTTATTTTATTTCATTTTATTCTATTTTATTTTTCCTTTTCTTTTTCTTTTTGATTGACATGAACGACTTGGAATGGTATGATATGACATGATATGATAGGTTATCATTGATCAAGAGAACTTACCGATTTATATCCACTGTCTGGATGGAGCAAGCGTCACCGGATTGGTCGTTTGTTGTCTTCGCAAGCTTCAAACCTGGAGTGTTCCATCCGCCATGGGGGAGTTTCTAAGGTAACATATAACAACACAGCATAATAGCATAATAATAATAATAATAATAATAATAATAATAATAATAATAATAATAATAATAATAATAATAATAATAATAATAATAAAAACATACTCGTCTCAAAAGGAATCATCCTCTTCTCTAACTAGTTTTTTATTTTTCCTAATTCTTTGATAAAACCACTCATTCCCTCCAAAAAAAGATACTTGCGTGGAGGAGTGATCAGTTCAGAAGAAGCTGTGTTTGTTGAAAAGTTCAGTTCCGAAATCGAGATTTCAAAACCAATCCCACTTTGGCTTTGGGAGGGTCAGATCACATTCAAAAAGCATCCTACACTGAAACTCAAATTTACAATCCCTCCTGCTGCTGCTGCTGCTTCCAACGTATCCAGCACTACATCAGCCTTACCTGCATCCTCACCTGTTCTCTCAGGTCATAGTAGCCGTAACTCGCCTGTCGTCATGTTTCCGAATCAACAGGGCGAGGGATATACACAGCAACAGCAGCAAGGAAACAATCAGAATCAACCTACTGTCAGTAATAGCACTAACAACACTACTTCCGCCTCTGCAAATACCACCATGACTGAAGGAGGAGGCGAGGGATCCATCAATCCAAATCATTCTTCAAATACCAGCACCTCAGGATCAGGATCAAGTAGCGGAAACAATTCAGGAGGAGAAGGAAGAACTAACACTAGAGATCCAACCCTGTCAGCTCCAACTGGTCTCATGAGCCACGCTAGTCGATCCTCTGCCATGGGTAATATGCGTGATCGACCCAGTAATATTAAGAATACTATCCGGACAGATCTCACAGGTTCCTTAGGGCTTGGATCAAGGACAACGACTCTTCCTACGCCTACCATCAGCGCCATAAGAAACAAACGCGGACTGTTGAGCCCCTCTAGCACGTCAACACAACAGTCGCAGCAACAGCAGCAGCAGCAGCAGCAACAACAACAACAACAACAACAACAGGATCAGTCAGGAGATTCTCCTAGTTCAATGACTGGTCTAGGTGTTCGATCATCTAGTAAAAACCCCAGTGCTGCAAATACACCGCCGCTGACGTCGTCATCATCTCCTTCTCCTTCTGGTGTCAAAGTGAGCGGATCAAATTCTGGCTCTACCTCAGCTAGTGGATCAAATGATCAGGATTCTGTGATGTCCCACGTTATCTCTATTATCCATGAACCAAGTGGTGACAATGGTTCAACGGAAGTTTCGGGAACAGGAGCTACAGCTAGTAAAGATGGTGATGCCTCTTCATCCAGTACCGGACAAAGGCCAGATGAATCGAACAGCAATGACAACAGTGGTAATAATAATAATACAGCAGAAAATAACTCACCTGCAATACAGCAGCAGCAACAGCAGCAGCAACAGCAGCAGCAGCAGGATCGTAACAATAACAACAATACGTCCAATATGGTGAAACAATCTCCAGCGATGTCATCAGCCTCTGTGGTTACCCCATCACCAGTAGCAGAAGTTGTAGAAGAATATTACGAAGTATCCATGTCTCTCAAGGCTCTAGCATTAGAAGGCGCTGATTTCTAAAACATCTTTACACATCTGGACCCCTCCCTGAAAACTGTGTCCAATTGTATTATAATAATAATTATCATATAATAATAAAAAAAGTGATTTGACTCTTATGGAATTCATAAAAAGTCATGCCTATAATAAACAATATCTTTCTTTATTTTTATAATAACAATGAACAAGAACAAAAAAAAAACAAAATGCCAGTCTTCTAATATCTTCCTCTCCTTCTCACTTCCTTGTCTCTCCTCCAGATGCACTCATAAAATAAAAAAGTCTTTAATGATCCATGCCGACGATTTCAGTCTTTCCAGCCAAGTATCCACGATTTGCTTCATCTGTGTAAAAGGCAATGTCCTTCTTCTTCATAGGTCGTGCGAATTTAGGCAGCTCTTCAAATTTGTGAGGCTTGGTCAAGACACGCAAGCCCAATTGATTATAATAAACGCTGGTGATCTTGCCACCTGCTGCCTCAACCGCCTTGATAGCTGATTTGGAAGCCCTTGAAACCTCAATATTGATTGGGATCTTGAACTCTGCCTTACCCTGTCATGTGGGAAGAAAAAAAAAAAAAAAAAGTGAAATAGAATACAATCTGATCAGCTTTTTTTTTTTTTTTTTTTTTTTTTTTGAAAGAAAGAAAGAAAGAAAGAAAGAAAGAAAAGAAACAAAAACGATGTCATACATCTCCTAAGAGCTTAACGCCATCCTGAATTTTATGGATGCATCGTGAATCCAAAAGATGCTTCATGGTGATAGTCTGTGTAGGATCAATACGTCCTGATTCGATCCAGTATTGAAGGCGATCCAGATTCAATGGTTGATAGTCCTTGTGTTCACTATTGGAAGATGGATCACATAGGTCCCATTGTTAATTGGAGATGTCAATTATTGGGAATTGACAAAAAGGAAAGAAAAAAGGAAAAAAAAAAAAAAAAAAAAAAAAAAAAAAGAAAAGAATAACGTTACGAGTTTTTGAATCCACGCTTTGGAAGACGATCGATCAAACGAGTTTGACCACCTTCGAAACCAGGCTTTGGTTGACCATTGTTTCCGGCACGAGCCTTCTGACCTTTATGACCCCGAGCAGCCGTATTACCCTTTCCTGAACCTTGACCACGACCTACACGGAGACGCTATTATATAATAGTAACAATGATAGTAATAGCAATAATGAAGATTAAGATACTGGACCGAGTTTGACTTTTTTGTTGTTGCCTAAATGATCTCCTCGTCCTTAAATTAATCTAAATGTCCATTGTGTTCGTTGTTTGTTGTCTATTTTTTTCAATGTATACCTGTGATTTCGATCCAGGATTGTCACTCAAGTTGGAGAGATCAACTTTTCCAGGAACAACGGTTGAATAACGGGATACTGAGGCTGTAGTGACACAAGTCCGAAGAGAGGCTGTGGCTGTGGCTGAGGTAGGGTATAAGCCAAGGCCTGAAAGCCTTGTTACCAAGCGATGCATCGACATGGTTTATGTATTATAGAGGGTTTGGCGGAGAAGGGAAGGGAAAAGGGAGGAAAGAAAAGTGGAGGCTGGTGGGGGAATGGCTCAATTAGTGAGGGTTCGGGCGAAGGTGAGAGGGAGATCTTGTTTATTTGGGCGAGTCTTAGTGGGAACAGCACAATAAATGCCTGAATTACGTCACCGTGGAGGTAAATCGGGTGCTTTGTCGAACTTATTCAAGAAAGTCCTCACTGGATGGGCACTACAGTATCCATTGACTGCAACAATCAAATAACCAAGTGAGCGCACCCCCAAAGGAAGATTGGATCAGAGAGAGTAACAGTAACAAAAAAAAAAAAAAAAAAAGTAGCTTCTACTTATCTTTTGCACAAAGTAGGATTGGATCATTCCACTGCTATGGGAAAAGTCTGGCTGATATGTGTTTGCTCTGTAGGCCACTTTTCTCAGCCACGCTGAAGGTTCCCCGTATTCTTCTAAAATGCATGCATCCGCTAGTTAAAGGCCTTATCCAGACGTCCTAGAACCGGATCATAATGCTAAAACATACCCCTAGAAAGTGTATGCTCTCCGATCCCGTTAATGGACTGTGTGCTGGCGCCAGCTTTCCCTTTCCGGTTTTTATGAGAGATTGCTGCAGATACTATCACCAATCGTTCCGAGCTGCTTCCGTGAAAAAAACACAATATTCTTAACGTCAGTTGGAAAAATAAAAAGTAGAAGAGAAAATAGAAAAAATAAAGAGTACATGTACTTCAAAAGAATATCCTTGTTTCTTTCGCTTTCATTGCTGAATACAAATATATTAATGAAATATTTTATTAAAAGTCTAGGAGATCAAGAGGCAATTTATTCACCTGAACGATGTTAAATATCTTTGGCTGCATCTTCACATGGGGATCGTCTATCTGCTAACTTAGAATAGGAGCAGCCCTTGGAGGCTCCGCTATAAAGATGCTCCTTTGCAACCTTTCCTAAACGGAGCCTGATCTTCTACGCAGGGCTTACTTGGGCTTAACACTCACAAGCGCTGACAAAACTATACGGGCATTCAAGGCTTAGTTTGGAAAGTTGTAGGATGAATTTGATGAACATGAATCTTGTGTTTATTGAGTCCAGGAAGCCCTCCTCTTTGGTGTCCTCAGGCGCTTAGCTTTAGAGAGAGGGTGAGTCAGACGAAACACAATATCTTGAATGGGTCTTTAGAGGGTCTGGAAAAGATGAGATGGTTATTTATGGACCCATTCGTTGACTCGCAAAGTCCTCGGCTGCTTTATGTTACTTTGCTTAATAACATATGGGGTCGTGGAGGCTTGAGTGTTCGTTTGTTGTTATGTTCTTGTTGAGAGAATCGTTGTGGGGCATAGAGTGCTTTTTCAATGGTCAAAAATCGCCTGGCCTTCAAGGGATTGGACATAGGCACGTTCTTGAATACGGCGTGCCTCAATAGCGAAAATCTGCGTTAAAATTTCCTCAAATGGCAAAGTTTCAATGACACAGAGCAGTTGGATTGACAGAAGGAACGTATAAAAGGAACAGATTTTCCAGGCATCACATCTTTTCTCCTTTTAATCACTATATCCTCATTGCCTATCCTTATATCTTTGTTCATTTAACCAAACCCTGCTTCGCATACTCACCACAATTAACAATGGTCGATACAAGGAGCAAAACACGAAATAATCCGTATAAAACAACTGGAAAAAATCATGGGAAGATCTCCACACCCAATAAACAAAACGGACAAACCGAGCATCAACCCCAAAAACAAAAAAAAAGCGCGCCATCTCGGCTTTAGAGACAGGAGCCTCTCCTTCACCCAAATGGCTGGAGCTAAATTGCATTGTCGGAGGGGAAATAACATCTTTCCCAGTAAAGATCCTTTCCAGCAAAATAGTCGGTCTCCTAAAGAATGCCATCTATCCCAAAATTACCACATCGCCTTCCACCAAGCCGAAGGATATCTCTCTCAGCCTTGTCCCTGGCGGTGTAAAGGAGGAAGAATTGGAGAACCTACCTGAAAAATCGCTTGTGTTGCTCGGTGAGGAGCGTGAAAAGCTCCACACTTATTTTCCAGATGGTGCAGCAAATGGTTGCATTCACATTATTGTTAACGTGCCGCAGCCTCGTATTATAAGAGCTATGCTCGAGAGCAACGACTTCAAACCAAAGCCGCGCACGGATTTCTCTACGCTATTGAAGGTAGAAGCTGGAGATCAAATTACAGCAATGAATCTTGGTCAAACCCCAAAGTCCTTTGGGGAGGGATATCAGGGCCATGAATTCTTTGTGACTGAGCAGATGATGGATTTATGGAAAGAGCTTACGAGTAAAAGTCGACGTCCAAAACAAAAATGCATATCGGGTCCGACGGGTGTCGAAAAGTCGCATATCGCATGGTTCCTTGCCGCCAAGGCATACGCGCATGGATGGCCAGTCCTTTACATTGCTGACGCGGAAGCCCCTAGTAATACTGAAACCTCAGAGCAGGCATCAACCGCAATCTGTCAACGCTTCTGGCCCTCAATCAAGACATTCTAAGATCACGGGAGCTCTCTGAACTGGTTGATTTCGGAGGCACATTGCAGCCTATTGTGAATCTTGTTCCAGTTACATGCGCCGGCTATATATTGGGTCGCCTACTCCAGTAAAAGGGTCGAGAAACACTCCTCGTTGTCGACAAACACGGTGCTATGTCCTCAGAAGGCAAGCTTGCTGCAGCCTCATGGCTTCTGAATTTGGAGCTTTTAGACTCTTTCAGCTTTTGGAACGAGGCAAATGCGCGAGCAGTCTTCATAAATAATGCAGCACTTGAGAGATCTTATCTTAAGTTAGATGCACCAGAATGCCTCATTCATGTTGGTCCGTTGTCGCTACAAGTATTCAATAAGTTACTGGAAACAACTGTAAGGAGGCTTGATATATCTGTTCGCAATCCTATATATTTGCTAAAAGGTGGAATCGCAAGCATCCCCAACTATATGCCACGCGAGTTCGTTAATTTTATAAAAGAGATTGAAATGTTACAAACAAAGAAAAAAGAGATTGGAGCGGGCCCCCTCACGGTTGAGGATGTTAAGGAGAAACTACAGCTATTCAACAATCGCCGACGTGATGAACTTTATTCCGCTATAGAAAACCATTACAGGAAGCTTCCACCTAGTTCACAGGATGGATCCCGCCTCGCGCTTGCAAAGATTTTCCTGCCTGGAAAATATCGACCTCATGCGTCATTTGATTGCTGCTTCCTTGACTATGGATTAGTATATGGACACGAGTATAAAGATTCATTATCGTACAGTCCAACTACTCCAGCAGCTAAGGCTGCACTTTTGGACTTATACAAAACATGTCCTTTACCCGAAATGTATCGAAAAAACCTGGATGGCGCAGGATTTGAGGATGTCTTGTTTCAGCAACTTATTCGTAGCCCTGGATTGGTACTCCAAACGACAAACCTTGCAGGTGAAAATCCATTGGACGTGGATCTGGGAGCCACAGGATACGAACTAATGCAGAAACCTCCCAGAATGCTTGGTAGAGATGGCATGGGTATTCTAGTGCGTTGTTATGTAGGTTATGAGCGGTTTAGTTTCATCCAAGGCTACAGGTTCATTCAAGTGTCGGTCAGAGACTTTAAAACTTATGATAAGGAATCAGCAATGATTGAGCTTGCTTTTGACAAAGGACCTGGTGCCAAGAATCAAATCGAGGAATATCTGGACGCTGCATTTGGTGGGTTCCACGAAGCAATTTTGATCGGAAGAGGTATCAGGAAGAGATTTGAAGTCAAAAAGGACGGAATTCTCCGCAAAGACTTCAAGGTTATCTACATTTGTGGAAGGGGTGATTTTGGCGAAGGTGCTTCCGGGAAACATGGATTACCAAACCACAAGCTCAAGGCTCTTGAATATCCGGAAGTCAGGCACATATGCTTTGGTGAGCTTAAACAAAGCGATTTGGCCCTTTAGCATGATTTTTCATGGTTTTTTAGGATTTCAATGGCAGATTAAATATTTTTTAAACGTCCTCCTTTGGACCAACACTTGCATTTTATGAAGAATCGCAATCGTCTCTTTATTTACGCATGTTCTTTCACTTTGAGTATGTCTCTTTTACATTGATACATCTTGATGGATAGCACTTTGGGCGGTGGATCTGGATATACCACGTTTCCAACGCGACCTCAACGACATTCATACCTGCAAAGCACATTCCAATAAAAATACTCTTTTTTTTTTTTTTTTGTCTTCATATTCAAGTGGTTTGTTCAAGCAGGCACATGTGGCGCGCTTATGAAAAAAGGGAAGGGCATTCCACGAAACTTTATTTCGGGTGAACATGCGTAAACAACGAATGTTAATGATGTGACTGTGATCCATTACAACTCGTTATAGCAGACCAGCCAGTTCTTCTTTTTCATTCATTGACCATTCATTCATTCTCTCTCAACAACAAAAAAACAAGCAACAAAAGTTGTATTTTTTTTTTCTTGTTTTTTCCGTTTCTTGACTTGAAATAAACTCAAGGAATAAACAGGAAAGGAAAGAAGGAAACACCAAAACCAACGACAACAAACAAACAAACGAACAAACAAAAAAAAAAGAAAAAGAAAAAGAAAAAAGAAAAGAAAAGAATGTCGTCAACGTCGGCGTCGTCTTCGTTTCTAGAGAAACTTTCAGCCTCTTCAGGAACTATTCTCAATTCTCAAGCTACCAAGTTTGCTCTTGTAGCGGCTGCAGCCTCTTTCACCACCGCAAGCATCATCTTGGGTGTTCAAGGATCTCAACAGAAACGTCGTGTTCGACAACTAAAAGACGAACTTCGGAAATCAATCCCTCCACCCCCGGCATTTCACGGTCATGATAACGAGAATGAGGAGGGTTCCTTTATGAGGTCCTCGACCTATTTCTCATCTTCTTATCATCGTCAGGAAAATACTACAACAACAACAGGAGGAACAGGAAAAGAAATGTCCTCATCACAACAACAACAACGACAACAACAGCAATTGAGGGATAGATTATCCCAACAAGGCCTAATGGATGAAGATCTGATTAAGGAACAACTTTCAAATAATCTTGCATTCCTGGGAAAGGACGGGATTGAAAAGTTGCGCAATTCTTTTGTCATCATTGTTGGCGCAGGTAAAAGAAAAGAAAAAAAAATGAAAGCGAAAATGTGCATGGATCCAGATACAGAGTTGAAACATATCATTGACCAAGATATTTATTTCTCTTTTCCATCCTCCTAACACGGAATAATAATAATAATAATAATAATAATTTCCATCAAAAAGGTGGAGTCGGAAGCTGGGCAGCCAATATGTTGATCCGAAGTGGAGTTGGCAAGATCCGTCTCATTGATTTCGATCAAGTCTCTCTTTCATCTCTGAATCGACATGCAACCGCGGTCCAGGGGGATGTGGGCACCCCCAAGGTCCTCTCCATGAAAAGAGCGTTTGAATTGATTGCACCTTGGTGTGATATCGATGCTCGTGTGGATTTGTTTCAAGAAGACAATGCTGAGGACTTGCTCTCGGGAAACCCGGATTATGTGATCGATGCTATCGATAATATTAATACCAAATTGGCCCTCCTCAAGTTTTGTTATGACCATAAATTACCCGTCATCAGCTCTATGGGCGCAGGCGCAAAGGCAGATCCTTCTCGTATTCAGATCAGTGATATCTCTGAAACCTTAGGTAAAGCAAAAAAAAAAAAAAAAAAAAAAAAAAAAAAAGTGAATGGTATTCAAGTATTAAGATGATATGAATCCCTTTTCTTATATATATGAATATATACATTTCTTTTACTAGAGGATCCGCTTGCAAGAGCTGTACGTCGCAGGATCAAGAAAATGGGGGTCGATACTGGAATCGAGGTGGTCTATTCGACTGAAAAGCCCCATCATGTGAGACTCCTCCCCTTAGATGAGACACAGGCTCAAGAAGCAGATGAATATTCAGCTCTTCCCGATTTCCGTTCTCGTATCTTACCGGTCTTGGGTCCTCTACCGGCCATGTTTGGGATGTCGATGGCCACATTTATTGTCTGCAAGCTCGCAGATTGGCCCATGGATCCTTTACCCATCAAGTTACGAGATTCCCTCTATCTAAGACTCCATCGAGAGCTCACTGTTAGAGAAAAGAGAATAGACAAGTCCATCGAGACCATTGCTTTGGATCGTCGAGATATTGGTTATGTTCTAGAGGAGATCTTCCGAGGTAAGAGTGTGCTCTCTCAGAGTACTCACAAGGTTGGTCTCTGTCGTTGGAAACGAACTGAGCCTCTGAGTCTACAGAATGTGGTCGTGATGACCAAAGGGGAAATGGTTAAACATGACATGTTGGCCCCCGATGCTGATCTTAGAGAAGCTTATGGTGACGAGGTCGTCGATTATGTGGAAGCCAAGTTTAGAGAAGAAGCAGAAATCAGTCGTCTTCGTTAGGGAATAAAGAACTAGAGAAAAAAAAAAAAAGAGAGAAATAAGAGAAGATGTAAAACGCAATGGTGAGGGATTTTAGGAATGTCTATTAATGTTTATTGGAAACAAATAATAATAATAATAATAATAATAATAATAATAATAATAATAATAATAAAATGGAAGTCAATTCGAAATAGCTGTATAAATGATCTTCTCTCCCCTCTTGAACAGGTATTTGCACCCATTCACCTTTCCCTTTTTGTCAATGTTTTACTTCTCAGGAGCATAGTTGGAAGTATCATAATGATCTGGATACTTCTTGATCAACTCTTCAAGTTCCTTTTTCTGCTCGATTAAATTGGGTGTCAACTTGTCATAGACATCATTAAACATCTCTGACACTGGAGGCTTCTTGCGCTTCTCGGCCGCCGCAAAGCTCTTCAAGACCTGTGACCGAGCAAATGACTTGTGGCTCGATTCCTTGGTCTCGTCCCACCAACCCTTGTTCTCCAACCATTTACGCATCCTCACAATCGGGTTATCATGACGCTTCCAATCCTCAACCTCCTTCTTGGAACGGTAAGCAGAGGAATCATCTGAGGTCGAGTGATGACCCACACGGTATGTCATGGCTTCAATCAAAACAGGCTTGTGTTGTTCGACTGCAATCTTGCGAGCTTCCTGTGTAGCCTTATAAACTGCCCAGACATCGTTACCATCCACACGGATCGTGTGCATACCGTAACCAACACCACGGCTAGCAATACCATCACCCTTGTACTGCTCATTTGCAGGTGTCGAAATGGCGAAACCATTGTTGCGGCTAATACAATAAAGAAAATAAAAGGAGATTAGATATAGTCAGGAAAGGACAAAAAACGATTAGACAAAATTAAAAAATAAAAATAAAAATAAAAATTACCAGAAAAAGATGACGGGGCAAGAGGTGGTGGCCGCAATGTTCAAGGCAGCATGGAAATCACCCTCAGAGGCAGCACCCTCTCCAAAGTAGCACATGACACAGTTCTTACGACCAGAACGCTTGATCGCATAGGCAGCGCCCGAAGCCTGAGGCAATTGAGTCGCCAAGGGGGAAGAAATAGTCTGGAAATGAAGAGCCTTGCATCCAAAGTGAACTGGCATCTGTCTGCCTTTACCAAGGTCCAAGTCATTAGAGTAACATTGATTCATGAATTGATCCAAAGTGAATCCACGGTACAGCAATGTTCCAGCTTCACGATACTACAATAAAAAGAAAGAAAGAAAGAAGCAAACAAAAGCCAAAATCAAAATGGGGAAAGGAAGCAGGGCGAAAAAGGAGAGGCGAATAAACAAATATCTACAAAGTGTGTTCAATTCTTATTACCTGTCCGAAGATTTCATCCTCAGGATCCAAAGCAGCGGCACTTCCAATATAAGCCTCCTCTCCAGCATTGGTCATGTAGAAACTGATACGTCCCTGACGCTGGGCTTCATACAAGATCAAGTCCACATTGTTGAGGGTCAACATGTCCTTGTAGATCTTGATAGCAAACTCTTCAGTGACCTGAGAGTTATACAGGATGTACAAGAAACAAAAGTGTATTCAGAATAGGATATCATTTAGTATGAATTAAAGGTATAAATGTGTATATATAAAGCGAATTGGTCTGGGTATTATGATGTCTACAGAGAGAGAATGATCATTAAAACAAAAAAAACAAAAAAATGCCTCGGATTTTTCCCACACATTCTTGGCCTTTTTGCAATAGCGTCTCAAACTCTAAATCATAATATAAAAAATAAAGAATAAAAATCGAATTGATAAACAAAACTTACATCAGGTTCCAAAGAGGGATCAAGGACCTTTCCATCTGTGTCCATTACACGGAATGTGTCAATGGGCTCCATCCTCTCGCGGATCTCGAGCTTCTGTGAGAAATGACTGTCAAGTGCACCAGGGAAGTTGACCTTGATTCGATCCTTCTTAGAAGTAGCAGAAATATCCTTTGACACAGCAGATGTTGCGAATGCCTAATAGTTGTATGTATAAAAATAAAAAAATAAAATAAAAAGAAAGTGTATATACATTCAATAGGTTGGCTATATGCTTGCTTGCAAGGTAAGAGTAATTATCTATAAAGTGAAAAGAGATGGGGAGGGCTATTAAACTATATTTACGCACCTTGACGGATGTGGCAGCAAGTGTTCTGGAGGGGATAGCCCTAGCGACAGCTCTGGCGGGGATCCTTGCAAACATTATGCGTTGAGCAATTGGAGGGGTTTAGAAGGAGAAAATAGGAAAGAGGGAATAAAAGAGAGGAGAGTGGAGCAGAAGAGGAGGTAAGAGGTTGTTATGTACAGATGAGGAATGAACCACTTGCACAACCAAATGAAGAGATGCTAGAATAGAGATGATGATGAGAAGAGAAAGAAAGAGAAGAGTGTGGAGTGGAATGGGGGAGAAAAGGATGAAATAGAAAATAGCGGAGAAGTAAAAAAATGAGAGAGGGATGTGGGAAAAAAATGAGGGGCCGTGGGAAAGTAAATGCGATGTTCAGTGCAGCACGTGCGATGTAATAGCCTTCCTGCTCACAAAACGACATACGCGTAAAAAAACACACACACACGCAAATACAGATATACAAGGCTGCACAGATCATTCACTTTACAAATTGAATGCCTGCCTCGCCATCCCATCATGGTACAATCTATCATTTTTTTTATGCAATGGAAAACAATTCTATTAAGTCCGCACAAAACAGATTATGGGAGGATATATAGTCTATTTTAGTTCTTATCCTTCTTCTTGTCCTTCTTCTTGTCCTTCTTCTCCTTTTTGTCCGCTTTGTCAGTCTTGTCCGCTTTATCCTCTTTCTCCTTCTTTTCCTTCTTCTCCTTCTTTTCTTTTTCAGGCTTGCCGTCCTTGTCCTCTTTCTTTTCAGCCTTTTCCTTCTTATTCTCCTTCTCCTTCTTCTCCTTCTTCTCCTTCTTCTCCTTCTTCTCCTTCTCCTTCTTCTCTTTCTTTTCCTTCTCCTTCTCCTTCTCGTCCTCTTTTTCCTTCTTGTCCTTCTTGTCCTTCTTGTCCTTCTTGGCTGGCGATTCGTCCTCTGCAGGCTCTTCAGCTTTACGCTTGTTCTTCTGCTTCATCTCCTCTACTATCGACAACGGTACATCTCCATCGGGCTTGATCAGAGTAGATGACGTAGACACAGTTATTGACGTAACAGTTAATTCAGATCGACTCTTTTGGTTATTTCCTTTGTCGTTGCTATTGTTACTGTTGTTGCTATTCTTTTGTCCATTGTTTTGATGACCTCCCTACATTTCCAAGGAAAAAAAAAAAAAAAAAAAAAAAATAGATCATTCATATATTTATATATATATGTATAAAAGTGTGTGTATATATATTAGTGTTTTTGTTTTTCTTCTACAATCACCATTAGGAAGAGAGTAACTATCAATGCATCAATGCTCGATAAAATATGTTTTTCTTTTTTATTTTACCTTTTTGGGTCCTCGGTACAAAGACTTTTGATACTTCTCAGCTTCACTGATACATGATGTATGGGTCCGGTACTCTGTACCTTGAAATGAAACCGAGCAGTCAATACAAGAAAATTGTGCATATGGACAACGGTTAAAGTGTTGGTCCAACTTCGGCTTCTTAACCGTCTCCTGGCAAGTATCACACACAAACGAAACCATGCTGAATAATCCGAGATGAATAATGAAATGAGATGAATAAATAAATAAATGATGTTCTTGTAAGTTGTAAGAACAAAAAAAAAAAAAAAGCGCATTGTTTATGTGTGACTGCAAAATAGTTTGGATTGAATTCAGGTACACACAACCGACATTTCAAAAGAAGCAATTGGTGGCGCTGGGCCCATACAATCCCAAAATAAGAACGATTACTTTTTGTTTTTGCGTTTTTTATTTATTTTCCAACAAAAGAAATAGGAAGAAAAGGGAAATGGGGAGAATGGAAAGAGAAGAAAAAATGGGAAGATGGGGAAATAAGAAAATGGGAGTGGGGCGAAGTAATACTTGCTGAAAAGAAAATGTAAAAGGTCGATCTATAAACAAATGAATGAACGAAAAGATAAAAGGAAAAAAAGGAAGAGAAAGGAATGAAACGAAAGAACGACCTAAAATAAAGCAGAAAGTGTGTATGAACAAATGGGAAAAGGAGCTTGCTACAATTGAAGAAAAAAAAAAGGATAAAAAAGGGAAAGGGGGGTAAAATGGAAAAAGATGCGCTCTATCAGCATCTCTTCATAAATTTTTTCTTTTTTCTTTTTTTATCTTTTTTTTTTTTTTTTTTTTTTTTTTGTGATGGAAAGAGAGAGTATGAAAAGGAGGAAAAGTACAGTGGTGAAGTAGTAAAGAAAGAAAGAAAGAGATGGAATTCATCATTGCAATACAAAAAGCGAGCGTACGATTAAAGGAAAGCGGGAAAAAAAAGGTCGTTCTGGTGATTGCAATTCCTTTGGGATGAAATCTTTACATGGCAGTAGCACGCTTGACCATCTCCTTTGCCCAGCGTGCAACCTCTTTAGTCGTAACAGAGTGTTGGCGACTGCTGCGGCCCTCCTTTAAGCATTGACCAATCCATTCCGCTACAAGGAAGTCACGAATATCTCCACCAGGGAACGAGTCCGCTAAATCACCAATCAGTCCAATCATGTTGCGCAAGAGCGTATCCGAGCGCTCAGGATCATTGTAGACTGCGCAGAGGAACTCAAACACATGACGAAGATGAGGCGCCAGAAGAGCAGCTAGATTACAAAATATAGCACGCACAAAGTTGAGTTAATGCCAGTATGTAAACACCCTACATCTTAATTCACCACTGATTTTAAAATCTTTTTTACTTACATTGTCCACTACTCTTCAACCCTTGAACGATTCCAACATAGGCATCCACAATACCCTCACGAAGTTGGTTCACATAATCAATCATGTCATAATCAGTCTATTTATATTCGCGCGCAATAAATAAAAAAAAGAATAAAAAGATTGTTAATATTATCAGAAGTAAAATAAAAATAAAAATAAAATAAAACACGAGTTTCTAATACACTTACGGATCCAGCAGTAATGTTACAAGCCTGTGCAAGGACACTCATGGTTACATCAAGGTAGTTAGCAAACTGACCCTCAATAGCCAATGCAATATCTCCAAAGCATGAAAGAATGGCTGGCTTAACAGCGCGGTGCAATACAGGGCTCTGTAAGTTTTGCAAAAGAGTCGTCATAAAGCTATCACAATAGGAAGCTGACTGTGCACCCAAACCGCGGCAGATATCTCCAATCAAACCAACAGCAATTGAGCACAGCTGGTACTCCTCATGATTCTGAAGGGCAGTGAACAAGAATGGGGCAAAAGAATCCAAGTAGCGGCTAAACTCAGCCTCCAAAGCAGTAGTCAGAGCACCGACAGCCAAAAATGTATCTTCCACAATAGTAGATTGTCTTGAAGCAGCAGTCAACAACTGTAACAACGCGGTCATGATACGGTCAGCCATGGGAGAAATCGCTCCTCCAACACGACGAATGATGTTGGTCAACACACTGCAAATGTTGGATTGCAACTCACTGTGAGCGTTACGCTCATCGACTCCAACAATTTGATTCTGAACAGCGATGCTCTGTTCCAGGCGGTCCAAGATCGTCAAGGTCAATTGCGAAATAGCGGGGAAGTTGTCCTTGGCACTATGACTGATCAAGATTGAAATGGCTTCGTAAGCAGAGGTGCGAGAGAATGCCTCGTTGGTATTTCGGTCAGTGATCTGCAGCAAAGCTGTAATGATACTATCAAAAAATGGCGACATGAGACTGGTAGGCGAATCAGGACCCTGTTCTCCCTCCAGTTGCTCCGCTAGGTTCATCAAAGACAAGCAGCAGTTTGAGACAATTCTGTTTGAATCGCCCAATCCACGGATGAGAGCGTCAATGAGGGGGTGAAGGTGGACATCGGGTTTAATACATTCTACTAAAGACTGTGAAACACGTCCCAAAGCCCAAGCGGTAGTATCTTTGACCTTGATCACGGGATCCCTCATCATTTCAATCAGGAAAGGAAGCGCCTGTGATACAGGGGGGATCAGCAGATCATGTCCTGGACCTTCGAGGATAGAACCAAAGGCCATGACGGATGCTTCACGGTACTGCCATTCGCTACTCTTGATGTTGGCTTCAACGAAATGAATAACAGGGGCGACAATAATATTACCAACACACTGTGCAGTCAAAGACAAACAGGTTCCTGCGGCCATAGAAAGGTTCCAGTCATCCTCTTCATCGTCCTCATCCTGCCTGGCCATCAATTGCAAGAGAACAGGCAAAGTTTCGGACAAGGCGGCCCTAGCAAAGTAATAGTTGGTCGTATCAGGCACTACTCCATTCTCAAGAGCATCCATTTTGGCATTTTCCAAATCAATCTCCTCCTCACAGACGGTTGACCAGAATTCGACAGCCTGCAGAGCAACACGCTCGTTTTCATGCTTCATACCCTGGACAGTAAGCTAGAAATTAAATTATTTGATAGAGTCATAGGATGCGTTAGTCGATTGATACATCAAAACAAGCACTTTATAAAATAAAAAATAAAAATAAAAAAAAAAAATAAAAAAAAAAAAAAAGTTAATGGGATAAACGCAGCAGATCTAAATGTGTTAATTTAAACTTACTCCAAAGAGGGCCTGTTGCATATAATATGGCATGTATTCATAATAGAGCTGCATAATGCGCACCAAGCACTCATACGATGCAATTTGAACTTGAACATCCTGGCTCTGAGTAGCCTCACAGACCACTTGCATGATGTAATTACGTTCGCCCTCTCTCTTGAAATTCTCCTCAACAAACTCCAATGAATTGTACAAGGCACCGATGGCAGCCAAACGAACAGCCTCATTTGGTTCATCTTTGCGTGCACCCTGAACAACCGCTGTCAAAATGCTATTGGATTGCGATGTCAGGATTTTGCGGGGCTATTAAATATGATACAGCGACGTTTTTGCATGTTAGAAGTTTTTCTTTCGAAAAAAAAATAAAGACATAATAAAAAAAAAACGTATTATCAAAATATAATTAGTACTTACAATCGTTTCGCAGATGTATCCAATAGCTCGAAGGGTGCATTGTTTCAGATTGGTGTTGTCAGTGGTCTGGAGATTCTGAAGCATAAGGCGAATAACATCCTCCCATTGCTGAACTGGGAGTTCAATAGTAGCAATGGCTGCTACAACTTGAGCTGCGACAAGACCGGCACGAAGATCAGGAGTACCAAGCGTAGTCAAGACCTATTAACGTGCAATAGAGAGCTCATTTATTAGATACAAGCTAAAATGACGTCGTCATGCATCAAATTATGATTAACAAAATTAAAATAAAAAAAAAGGCTTACCAAGGTTTTGATCTGGCTTCTTGTAGATTCATCAATACCCAACCATCGAGCAGAGATTTCATTACGACGAATAACTTCCTAAAGATATTGACATGTACAAATCAATGCAATGTTAAGAACCGTTATCTGGATATGCATTAGGATTTTAACAGAGTCAAGTGACACACATGATCTATTCTCCAATTGGCTTACCCTTGTTGTCAATGCGTTTTTGAGAGCCAAACCAGCAGGGATACGGGCTTGACTTTGCTCATTGCCGAGCTCTTGGCACAACATGACCACATATTGTTTCTATTCAGCGGCGTAATATCCCACATATGTACAAAGTTGGAAAGAAGATAAAAACAAAAAAGAAAGCGTCAGCTGGTCTGTTCTGTACTCTTAACGGTACCATGTTTCCCTTGTTCAAGACGGCACAAATAAATCAAAAGATAGATGCAGGCGCTTCAAGGGGTTAAACATTGAAAGTCTAATTCATCCCCTCAATCCTTCTCTTCATCCGATAACTTTGAATGCCCAAATCTACACGCGATTAAACACTAATACTATTATCGCATTTGATACTGCCACCATCCAAGTATTTCTATGGGCGTTTAGCTTTTGGTAAGACTATAACAGAAAAGGTTACATCGACATTGAACACTGTCATCCCGAAGCAACTATGGCTCCACAGGTATTGTATTTCCTTCCACAGAATTGTCCTTGAAATGCCACGTTTTCTAATAAATATTGTATGAGGAAAGTTGGTGGCGAGTTTGTTGTCGCAGCAAGCGTATATCACGACAGATGTGGTCCTGTTGCATCCTGCCACATCCTATTGAAGAATCCATCCTCCTCTCAAAGACCACACTTGAAGACAACACATCATGCAAAGGGTTCACCACACAAAAAAAATATGCTGCAACGCCAGCAAGAATGTAGTGGCGTGGACCCAAGAAGATAAACAAAAGAAAAGATAATAATAGCGATATGACATACAAAATCTTCGCTGGCTGCTGTCTCGAGTTGAGTGGTTGCGGCTTCACGGATCTGTTGATCTATTTTGGCAAAACAAAAAAAGGATTGGAAGGTGGGATGTATGCGTCAGTGAATGATGAGAAGTTTCTTTTTTAAGAGCACAGGTGTTGTATGCATCCACAGTTGGATTACAAAAGAGATTGCTGCATAGTGCAGCAACAATTAAACAATAACAACAAAGCGCCATCGTAAAAAAAAAAGACCTGATGCTCTCCATTTGCCACGTTTTTACTCTATGGACATCTGAACATCAGATGACAGAGCAAGAGTAAACGAATATGGAATTACGCTTTTGTTGTCTATAGGGTCATCATAGCCTTGTCAGCTTGGAGTAGCAAAATTAAATTGGCACGTCTCCCGCCATATTACAAACAGCATTGAAGAACGTTGCTCCTATTGCACGCCTTTTTTTTTTATTTTTACATATACATCTTTGCTTTATTCATGATTGGCAGTGCAGGTCCCTTGGAAATGAGCAAGAAGCTCTTTGCAATGAAGGATGTCTGCGACATGGTGGCAAAAAAAAAAGATCATGTAGTGGATCCCATATGCTTACCTTGTGAGAGGGTGTTCAAGAGGATCTCTCCGATGGAAGCCATGACGTGAGACGAAGAGAATAATAGGGATATGCAGTGGAGGAGAGGGAGGGGAAGGGAAAATGAGACAAAGAGCTCGAAGACAAAGAGACAAAAAATAAAAAATAAAAAATAAAAATAAAAAATAAGATAAAATAAAAGGGTGTAGTGTATGTCCCTTAGTTTGTGCAGGGGAGCAATGGACGGAGAGTGATTTTGAGGAAGCTACAATAAAAGGCAATAAAAAAAAAAGAAGCACGCGGAAACGGGCAGAATAAAAAAGTCAAAAAGGGGGGAAAGAGCAGAGAAAAAAAAAAGGCAGAGAGCATTAAAAAGAGTCAAAATAAAAAATTTTTTGGGCGCGATTTATTCTGAATCCATCTTTTAATGATTATAGGTAAATGTAAAACACTGATACACAACACAGTCATGCAGAAAGAACTAAAAAGAAAAGGAAGAAAAGCCTGGTCCAAGGGTGCGCATTTATAGCTTTAATTACTCGGTACCCGTGTGATGTGTATACGTGTATATTATCCTGTTGGACAACATGACCCCCATTTTGCGCGCCATCGGCATTTACGCACAAGCTTTTTTTTTTCCGTGCATTAATGCACCCGAGTATAGCGCAATGAGAGTCCAATTTACGTCACCGAAATCTTGCTTTAGACCTTCTCTCGAGCTACGTATTTCCTGTGCACTAACTAATCGCATTTAGGTCGAAGGCTCCCTCTGCCCTCGAGCCTCACCGAGACTATACGCATTCCCCTGTTGTTGCTGGCGCTGATGATGGTGGTGGCACCGGTGTCGCCTTCTCAACTCTAACCAGGGACCTAACGGAGTGAAGATAGAATAGATACTCTTTGTTTATCAATTGAACTCTGACGACTTTCGCGATTTCTACACAGCTACCACGTCTTGGTGGTTAAGAGTACCCATCCCTCAAAGCATCAGGAAGGAGTAGCGCTGTAAATCCACGTGGCCGATGGTAGCCTGCTGTTGTTGAGGTAAATTGATGCTTTGAGGATCGTTACCTTATCTCCGAGTAAAGTCCCAAAGGTTCTTGACGCCAATGCTGTTGCTGTTGTAGGGAAATGGTCTAGCCAATGTGAGAGTGTTAGAAACATAAAAGAAAAAAAAAATATTCAATCAAGTTCATAGCAAAAAAAAAAGGACGTTGAATACATGGAAAAGGGCAGGCTCGCTGCAAAGATGCCGAGCTTAGTTTACTATACTAAACATGCAAGGTCTTGGTTTTGACATAATCTAAAGTATATTTGGGCGAAGCACTAAGTCCCTCTTGTACAAAGATTGTCAATCTAGCGAAGTTATGGCTCAAGGATTTTAGGCAGGCGGTGCCGACTATTTGTCATGTACCTGCAAGAGCATCAACGGAGTTCAGAGCTAAATTCATAAGATCTACCAAGGTATTCTGTCAATTGAACACGACAAGGAGAGCAAGTTCAAGGGCCGAAAATGGAGGAATTATGCTGGAAGAAAAGATGAATGAAGGCATGGGAGGTATGCGCCTTTTTTTTTTTTTTTACGCAGAAGCGTTTATTTCAAAAAATAAATATTCAAGAGATTGAAGCCAAAAGATAATGAATAACAGAAAGCAAAAAGAAAAAAAGAAAAAAAAAAAAGAAAAAACGCCTGCTTAGATCTTGGCGTCGTCTGTGATGAAAGCAGCTCCCTTGATAATGTTAACTTTAAGCTCAGGAATAGCAGCACCCAGCAATAATTGCTCATAATCTGAGAGGGTGGGAAGAGGCAAGATCTTACTCACACCCTCACGACCAAATTCGACATCCTGTGCGAAATAATCCAAATGAGTCTTGGCCCTGAAACCAGCTGTGCTCTCAGGATCGGCTTCCAAGTTCACAAAGGTCGACTCGATTAGACCAGCCTTGCCTGCAACCGTCGCCTGAAGGATTACGTTGGTAAAGCGCGCACCTGCATGAGCCATTGACAGTGTTGCAGATCCTGCGCCATCCTTTGCCTTTACAACCTCATCCCCACCATATTGAATGCGGTGTGTCAGCGCCTCGAGCTGCTCCTTGGTAAAGGTTTGTCCAGGGATCTGGGAGAGGACCGGCACAATGGTAACCCCACTGTGTCCACCAATTACAGTAACCCTTGTTGACTGTGGATCGATCGCATTGTTAATTTCGAACGCAAACCTAGATGAGCGGACAACATCCAGCGTACTGATGCCAAAGACTCTAAAGGATGAAATACAGTAAGAAAAGCAGATAGTTATTTAGTATACAAGCGAAATATGTTTGGCTTTGCGTGATTATCGATTAGTAACCTATTCCCTCTTTTCTCTCCACATATATATCTAATACACTGATAATTCATAACAATGTCTCAAGAACTATTCACCCTGTCCTTGACAGAAATAGAGTAAAGAATGGGGACCTCTCCGCAGTTTTTTTTTTTTTTAACATTCGATCTGGTCACAATCTTCCCTGAACACACTAAATCAATCCCATATCGACTATATCGATTATATCAGCATGTTTACACAAAGCATCTTCCCAATGTACTTGTCACACAAAAAAGTTCTCAATTACTTTTTGGGATTAAAAACGCCATGCTTCTTGAGGACTTCGCACACAATAGGCACTGTAGAGTTGACAGGGTTAGAGATAATCAAGACATGGGCCTCGGGGCAGTTCTTGGCAATACCTGCAGCCAAGTCACGGACAATGCCTGCATTGATCTGTTGAGTAGGGGAGAAAAAAAAAATTAGAATACCGAGATGTCCGGAGCACATCACCGAAGTAAATAATCAAAAGAGAGCAACAAGACAAGGCAAGACAATTAATGGGTGTACAAAAAGAATTAATTGATAATCAATACATCTTTCTCATATCACACAGTTAACTTATTTCATGATGAGATAAAGAATAAAACGTGGAGCATTATGATAACTGAGTACTGATAAGCGACTAAAAAAATACTAATCCTCTCATCCATATACTTCTAGCCATGGCCATATCTGATGATCAATGGTTCAATGGTAAAAGCCTTACTCTTATCTTCCCAACAATCTTGTATTTTTTTTTTTTTCTTTTTAACTCACACTGACTACAAAAAAAAAAGCTCCGAGCCCCGTTTCTCCCATTGGATCCCAATCTTATATTCTTATATAAAAAATTAAAATAAATGTCCTACCTTGAAAAGGTCATCCCGGGTCATACCAGGCTTGCGAGGCACTCCAGCTAGTTATTTCAATAAGACGTTGAAGAAAGCACAAACACACCATTAAAGAAAGGGGAAAAAAAAAAAAAATCACGCGTATTTAAACTCCTTCTTTTAATATTGACATGATAACGGCGTTAATAATGATAACAGTAACAGTAAAAAAAAAAAAAAGCAAAGAATAATGTATACGTTACCCGGAATGACAACAGTGTGTGCATTCTTCAAAGCCTCGTCCATATCTTCCTTTCCATGTCCAGTAACGTTGGAGCGAGTATTGATATGAGATAAATCTGCAGCCACACCGAGCGCATTCACGACATCATACAGAGCCAAATGTGTGATCAACTCTGATTGCTTTAGGAGAAGCGCCAATGGCTGACCGATACCGCCAGCAGCACCACAAATAGTAACTAGAAAAGTAAAAAAAAATGCAGTATATTAAGCAAAAAGATAGAGTGCCATTTGTTCTAACGTCAACCTCTTTTTTACATGACTAAGAGAAGTCAATCAAGTGCAACATAAGACAGCAAAGCATTGTAGAAGAAAGCAGATACTGTATAGTACAGCATAGTATATCACATCGAATTACCTTTGACCATGTTATGAATATGTTGGATATAAAGCTTTAGAGTTTAAACAAAGTATGTCAAGTATCGAAGAAACGGAATGAATGAAGAGGAATGAAAAACAAAAAGAATGAAATGAGGAAAAGAAAAATATGTTTGTTGACAAAGTGTGTTTTTGCTCAAGTCAAGATGCAATCATTCATATCTTTTATATGGCTTTAATACGTACAATTCAATACTCTTATTCAATTTGCACACGCACATGCCACATGCAACGCATACAACACGAAATAAGCTCATGATAAAAATCTAGCAGCACTCTCAGCAGAACTGTATACGCATACAAGTCTTTTCTCTGACCAACGCACGAAAAAAAAAAAAAAAAAAAAAAAAAAAGAGTGATGTGTTGGCATTGGCAGGATTGGATAACTATTACATTTGTTAATGACTCTGTTATTTATCTTGAAATTTACACGATAACATTTTTTTTTTATTATAATTATGAAAGAGTCTATTATACATGAAATAGTTGGATGAATAAAGAGTAAATCTTGGGTAGATGATGGCTACAGTTGATCTATGCGAAATAAAATAATAATAAAGATAATAATATTGAGGATAGATATATTTCAAAAAAAAAGCTCACGTTGGCTTCTGACTTATTAAGATCGTTGAGATAGATAAGAGTAAGTAGCCTTTTCTACAGGTTGTGGCCGAGACCTTTTGTGTAAAGCCCACTGCCGTTATTGGTTATTGGTTATTGGTTATTGGTTACTATTGTTATCGCTGTACTGTTGTTGCTGAGGGGACCAAGTTAAGGCCTGCAATGATGTCTGCGTTTCCGATGCGATCGATGCAGATCGACGCTCGTCAGCTGAAGATAATTCACGCTCACGCGTATAAGAGTGTCTTGACTCTGGAGAAATGCCCAAATAATCTGAAGCCTATTAATCAAAATATCCAATTATTAGTATTTTAACGTTGTTATTATTGGATATTGTAAGTAATGGGTGATATCTAAGGAAAGAGACAACAATGGCGACAATTGACAAAAAGTGTGGAAAAAGAAGGGAGGAGCCTCTTACCAAGACTTGATTCATAGTGGCACGGCGTTGTGGATCTGGGTGCAAGAGAATACGGATCAATGCTCGAGCACTCTCATTAGGGACAGCTAGTTCGAAATCAGGAATCACCAATTCACGTGCTGAATTCCATCGGAGACCATTCGCCAGTGATGGTGTGTCTGGAGAAGGGTGCGCCAAAAAGTGAAGCACCGTGTCATCTGACAACGATAGAGGAAACAATGGCCTAGTTGCAAACAATTCCTACAGATATTTCAAGATCCAATAGTAGATAAATAAGATATTAGCATACAAAAGCATTACTGACTGAACAAATATTGTTGGAGGAAGGCAAAAGGCGTGACGAAACATCTTTTCATTGACTTACATAGACCAAGCATCCAAATGCCCAGAGATCAATGCTATAGTTGGCTGTAACGCCTGATGACGCTTGCTTATCAACTGTGGTTCCTCGAGCCACCTCAGGTGGACAATACCGAACAGTTCCGATTCCAATACATTCCTCGCTCGCTACGCGTGAAGACTCCATGTCAATCAATTTCCATTGTTGTCGAGGATCATCCCGGTTATGCATCACGTTCGAGGGCTTCAGGTCACAATAGACAATTTTCTTCGAATGACACCAACTCAAACACCGGAGTACTCCCTTCGCAATATCCCGGATATATCCTTCATCCAGCGCAGTTCCGGATCGATACAGAGCTGAGCCTGTTAAATCCAGTTCAGACATTTCATTCGGTCCTGCTTGTTCGCGTAAGGCCACTTTCTTGGCTTTTCTAGCATTCTTTAGCATCTGAGCCAATGTCTCATCTAGTCGCTCCAATATTGTTAATCGAATCTTGGCTGGCTTATTGGGATCATCTGTCTCGGACAAGACCAACGTCGCTACATGCTTCAGCTCCACAATATTGGGGCCTCTCAGCCGTCTCAAAATTCGACATTCACGCTCCCATGCCTCTTTCCTGGCAAATGATTTAATTACAATCGGCTGCTGAGTATCTGAATCAATGGCAAACAGGATGTCATTCGACTCTCCATGTATAGGGCTCGGCGATTTCGAAAGTTTGTATCGAGCGGGCAAGTTCTGGACCAAAGTTACTAACGCTGGGTTGTCCAAGGTAGTATAATTGGTTGATGACTTTGTTGTCGAGGTCGATGTAGTATCCTTGCGCCGAAGATCTGTCGTAGCCTCTTCAGATAGTCCCTTGAATTGTATCTGCTGAGATTCAGATGGAATAATAGCGGCAGCAGTGGTAGTAGTACCAGCAGCAACAGTGCTACCTTTGTTGTTACCGCCTGCATTCCGTTGCTTTTGCCGCTGATGTAGCTGTACAGAGCTGCTTGCACCAGAATTAAACACAGGAGCATCTTCTTCGGGATGCGAACTAGCAATATCCATTCCAGAGCACATTAGCGTCACTCTATCCAATGGACTGACAGCGTTAAAAAGAGTCGCATCCCGAGGACTGGTGGATCCATCTCGGCTCAGAACCTCGGTCGATGTAGCTACGGCGGCTGCAGCCAATGACACCGAGCCTGGTCCGATCGACGATCCGTTTCCTGTTCGTATAGACATTCCTCCTGCACTGCGGTCACCTCGTAGTGGCTTTGAACCACCAGCGCCACTATGATAAATCATCATGGGCATTCGTTGTGAGCTAGTTCCGCCAATGCTTCCTGTAGATTGACCTTGTGATCTCGCTGATGTTCCATGAACACGCGTGGGTATATACCGTAACGTCGGCAAGCTATGGTGATTATCTCGTTGATCAAATGAAAGTGATGATGCAAAAGTCCATCGGTCTGCATCCTCTTCATCATCCTCTGCCAGGTATGCTGGATAAAAAGGGTCGGAAGAGATGGATCCGACTCTAGCAGCATTTTCTACTAAGGATCCTCCTGTCCCTGTGGTCCCTGCTCGCTCATGGCCGACACTGCCCTCCTTTTGTGATGAAGCTGTCAGAGGCTGTCGATACTGCTCAGATGACCGGCTCGATTCTGCACGATGAGATAATGACTCATGGTCCGCTGCTGCAAATGCTGTCATAGACTGCATAGGGTAACTATGTGAATGTGCTGGTATCGATCTCTGAGAGGGAATATTACTAGTTTGAAAAGAGCGCTTCCCTCCTGAGGATGACGTACCAGAATCTTTGTCTGTACCAGCACCAATACCGCCGCCACTATACACAAAGCCTGGTTGTTGTTTATCATCTCCAACAGCGTCCCTTGCTAGGCTCAGTTCACCATCTGTTATAAAACTAGCAGTACCACCTTGTGATCCTTGTGATGCACATTTTGCTCGATCCTGTTTCCTCTTGAGAGATCTCCTGCGAAGAAGTAAGAAGCCTACAAAGGCTACAATAAGAGCTACACTGCCACAGACAACACCTAACGTCAATGGTAGATTGGTTCTTTTGGGTTCGGCTGGAGGGGGAGGTGGAACAACTGGTAAAGGCGGTGCCGCAGGGCTAGGATCTCTGGACGAACTCCATTGCCATGTTTCTGTATCTAGAATATAAATATTGGTGTCATTTGGGAGAGCGGTACCATAACCGCCCCAGACAAGCATGTTGGTTCCATTGAGAAGTGCTGAATGTCCAGTACGTGGCCCAGGTCCCATTTGCTTATTAGTCGTCATCCTATTCCACGTCCATTCAGACTTGGACGCGTCCAGCACCCATACGTCGTCATCTACAGGCCCATCTGGCCCACCACCTGTGAAAAAAAAATAAAATTTTAAAAATAAAATTTTGCAGCAACCATGTTAGAATTTGAGATATTGAGATGTAGATGTAGATGGAGATGAGAGTATATTCGAGAGTATATTCTATTTTCAGTCCCGAAAAAAAAAAAAAAAAAAGACATGTGGTTTGTGGAATGTGATACAACAAGCAAACAAGCATTTCATATCATTCGTTCCTTTTCTTTTTGGCGGGATCATGTCTTTACCATATCCTCAAACTCAAACTTACCATAAACAATCATCGTGTTGTTAAAACAAACAGCCGAATGACCTTTGCGAATTGACGGAATCGTACCTCCGATACCAGCGTAGACAGGTTTAGAGAGTACCCAAACTTCAACATCGAGATTAAATGTATGCACAGTGTTGAATGCCACTGTGGATTGGTCGCTACCACCAAAAACAATCATCGTATTGAGTCCTGTTAGTCGGCACATAGTGTGGTGCATCAACGCAGGTCCGTTGGCGATCGAAGTCCACTGGAACGTACTCTCATCCTTTTATTGTTATCATTATTATAATTATTATAATTATTAATATGATGGTTGATATTTATGCAAGATAAAATAATCATTACAAAGAATACAAAAGCATAAATGTCTTGTCAGTATAAAGAAAAAAAAAACATCTGTTACTAAACAATGATGTTTTTTCAAGGCCATTCCCATTCTCCCAAACCCCGTCTCTTTCCCACAGTCTGTGTTTGTATAGCCCAGTTGGTTTGTCAGTATCATAAAAATAGATCTGGGTTGGGCGGCGGTCTGAACACAAGGGAAAGAGAGAAACAGACAATAAAAAAAAAGACACCTCCAGTGTATTGAGGTAAATATAGATACTGAACACCATCATCCCTCTTCACCATCTTCTCCTCCTCCCCTTTCACTCCCACACCCTTTTCATCGTGTAGAAGAGTCAGTGAACTTGAATTTTTAGTAAAAGCAATAAAAAAGATAAAAAGAACAAGACTGAAAGAAAAGAGGAAGCAGAAGCAGATATGAGAGAAAAAATAAAAACAAAAATAAAAATAAAGATACAAGCAAGATGGACACCAAACATCCAAACAATTGAGGAATAAATAGAAGAGTAGATTGATTGAAGATCGACTATAACAACAATAAAAATAACAACAACATTACCAGCTTGCTAAGATCGTTCAGAACGCCCGTGCTCGCAAAACCATCGGACCCAACTGATGCTCCTCCGTGCACAAAAACAGTTGAATCAGCCATTCCGACAGCTGCTCCGAGTCGAAGTTGAGGTGCCACAGCAGGGTTCGCTATTCATGAGGATTTTTTTTTTTTTTTTTGTGAATAAAACATTTATTTTTGTTTTTTGATGTTCTTATTTTAGTCACCGGGCGGAGAATCATAAACCAAAATGGGTATAAAAAAAAAACGACAGAAGCATAGGTATCAAAACAATAATGATTACGTGAGTTAGGGATAGACCAGACCCAAAAGTATGTGTCCAGCATCAGTAAAGAATTGCTTGGTGAAGATGCATTGGCGACCAGGGACATCATCTTGCCCTGTGATTGTAACGCGATCGAATCCAGGAACTTTTGGGGCGCAGGCGTAGATGTAGGTGAACCTTGAATCGTGGGCTGCGACCATTGACGCAGGGTCGTGCTCCAGACCCAAACATCATTAGAGCCCAGCATGTTGGCGCCGTAGGGACTCTTGGACGAATCTGTGACCCCGCCAAAGATGACCATATCCGTGTCTATGATTGCAGCCCCGTGAAACGCACGCCAGCTTGGCGAAACAGCCGCAGCCCCTACGAGCGCGAGTTGAGGAGTGATGATAGCCATCATAGTCAAGAGGATGGAATAGAGGATAACTGAAGATGTGGCGAAGAATGACATGGTCTTCGTTGATGAGAATGTAATTGTTGAGATATTTCCTTTTGTCCTTATTCCTATTGTTTTGAAGGTTGCATCTTGAATTGTTGTCGCGATCGTTGGTGCAGGTGTCGGGATGGTTGTTTTGATCGCCTCTGATGATGGCGGTGTTGTTGTTGTTGAGATCGTCGTTATCTTTGCTATTGATAGCATTGTTTCTGCTGTAGCTCCTCTTTTAAACGATGACACCCCTCTCCATCTCCGCCTCCTCCTAAGCCCGCTCTCCCTAGCTATACTTTTCCTCCCCCTTCTACGGAACAGGTCGGGGAGACACCATGGTTCTAGAGAACGAGAACAGGAACAAGGGCCTATAAGGCTCATGCATGGTGTACTAGGAGTGGTCATAGTTAATGATGGCATTGATGATCTGATTTGCACTTGCGTTGGTCCTCGTAGTGACTGAACACCAGGGGGCGGAGCCTGATCTCCAAAGTGCATACACGCTGCTACTGCCTGTGCAGTAGTGGCAAACGATTGTAGTGATGTGAAAACTGCTGATATATTTAGCGTTGTTGTGGTCGAAGCTTCTGTTCTTCTTGGTGTCATTGTTGTATCCGTCGTAGGAAAAGGAGAAGCGGAAAGAGGGGAAGGAGAAGGGACAGGGATAGACATCGAATGCGAAGGTATCATGTTGATGGCTTTTACTTTTGCTTTGACTATTGTAGGTGCTTCTGCTTCTGCTTCTGCTTCAGCATTTACTAGTTCAGCAGTTGTGGCTGCAGATCTAAACACAGATACAGGCACGACTTCAGTTGTAGACAGGTGAACTGAATCTTGTATCATGTAAGAAAGAGAGTCGGAGTGTGCATGAAACAAAAGTCTCTTCTCGTTCCTGTGCCTGAATAAGATGGGTGAATGAGAATGGAGTTGAATGTGAGCATGAAAAGGAATTTGAGAGAAATGTGCATAAAAAAGAGAATGGGAGTAAGAGCTGCGTCGTCTCCTAGAGACGCTCACTCTATTGGTCAGACTCGGCGTACAGCAGAGACTAGACATGGAAAGAGAAAGCCAACGAATAGCAAGAGGAGAGAGGGAAGAGAGGAGAGAAGAGAGGAGAGAGAGAGGAGAAAGAAAGAAGGAAAGAGAAGTAAAGAATAAAGAGATTAAAGAAATTCTTTGGTTGGAAAAGATAAAGTCAAAATTGTCCAAAAATCCACGCCTTCAAAAGAGATCCGCAAGTTTACAAATCTGGTCTAGGCTGAGATTGCGGAGAAAACAAAAAATTAAATAAAAAGGAGGATTCTTCTCAAGAGTAAGAGGCTGAATCACTGTTGTAGCAGAAAGCACGGCAAAAACAGTATGGACCATTGGCCCATTGGCATGGATGATGAACGAAAGGGGCCGTCATTGTCAGTTTTCTAAAATTGTACAATACGTGATGGGACAATGTGCAAGGTAACACCCAATTGACAAAAAGGCAATTCATGGGTCTCCTTGGCTTTTCCTCTGTCCATATCCTTACTCATGATCTGTTTCCTCCCCTCGCTCTTTCTCGGTCCCTCTTATCTAAACCAAGCAAACACACATCTGAGGATAACATGCTCTTGGTCTGAAAGAGATACCAAGTCAACTTTGTTTAAATTATGCTTTCATGTCTTATTTAGAAGATGCTCAATGGTCTCTCCGATCTGATGCATGCTGCCAAACAATATGGCACCATCGTGTGCTTCCGTTGTTGCTTGTTTCCATTCCCCTTCCCGTTTCTGTTTCTTTGCATCTCCATATTTCCAAATTTTCTGGTCTTCAACATCCCGCCCTGGTATCTAGTAGAATGACGTGAGTGTGTGCTTATTAAATTGAATGATCGGGGACAGAAGTTGGTCATTGCTCAATGCCACTATTACTTTTTTAAAAAAAAAAAAACATTGCAAACATCTTTTGGTACCCCCGGGCCATGAGTGTTATAAGCAAAAAAAAAAAAAAAAAAAAAAAAAAAAAAAAGTACATGAATGGGAATGGGATAAACAAAAAGCGTTGTATGGGCTGAGACTCTCAACATACGCCATCAAGATCAATAAGGCCCGAGTGGAGAGTGGAGTGGGTAGTTGAACCGTACGTAAGGAAAACTCAAATTCAATTTCAAATAAGAAAATATGAATGTCAATACGTTTGTTCCATCGGACCACAAATCATTTTTCGTTATTTTTTGGGTTTGGAATATCAAACAATTAAGGACAAATCAAATGTAATTGACACATGTACTTCTTATCCAGGAGAACATTTCTTGGTGTTTTGCATCTTTTATATTTTACCAAGAAAAAAATATGCAAAGGCAAGGCTTTTTATTCATTCTTTTGCTTTGGAAAGTAAAAAATGCAAGGGCACTAAAAAATTTTTTTTACTGTAATTGATTGAAGGACACAATGGTACATACATGAACGAGCGGCTAGCCAAAAAAAAAAAAAAAAAAAAAAAAAAAAAGACACCTTATTCTCTAAAGATCAAACGTGTGATCGTTTGGATCGTAGTTCTCAACACTATTCATTAAGATCAAAAATAAAATAAAAAATGCAGAGGAATTAAACACTTTATCTTTTTACCCTTCATAGACATACATCCGACAACCATTATTAATCTTATATATACACACACATAAAAGTTCAACATACATGAGACGGTAGAGGTAAGAGGGCGGGTGGCCACCTTGATTGGTGATGAACAGATTCACAAAATCGGGTGATACATAGTCGTAGTATGGATTCGTCACAGTCACCTTCTCGATCAGATCGCCTTCTTCAAATCCAAGTACGGAATCAGGATTGAACGTGACATTGAAACTATCCTCGTCATATGGGTATAAGGGCGAGAGTTTGTATAATCCCGTACATACCACCACAGGGATTGAGTGATGTTTTGCTGCTGCTGCCATCATGTGTGTCCCTGAAATGGCCACTAGCCCTCCATTGGCAAGAACTATAGCAAGGTCACAAGATCACTGTCAGTACACAATCATAAATCAACTCTACTCTCGACTTTCTATTCGAACTTTGAGCTTTGTATTTTTTTCATTTCTTTTTACTTACCAGCGTGAGTTCCGAGAATGACCTTGTTGACACGAGACATGACAGCGAAAACAGCTGAATCTGGGATTACAGTCGTCTCAATACCGGCTTTCGAGAGCTCAAGGGCCATCTCTTGTCCAGAATAACTAATGTTCAATAGGTAAAAGATTGAAATTTTGTCAATTAAAGCAATAGAGATAGCCGACTCTTTCTTTCTTTTTCTTTTCATTTGTCCAAAGGATAAAGAACAAAACTTACGAGGGTGCACTCTCTGCAACCAAGACCTGAAACTTTCTTTTAACAGCAGCCATCTTCAAGAACTCTTCCACTGTCTTGGATCGGCCGACTGTCATAATGATTTCGCTAATTGTTTTTTTTTTTTTTTTTTTTTTTTTTTTTTTTTTTTTTAAAAAAAAAAATAAAAAAATAAAATAAAATCAAGTTAACATCAATTATGTGAGAAACGAGCCCTCAAGCGCAAGGCAATCGATAACTTGTATAGGTAATTAACAAAAAAAAAAAAAAAGAAAAAAAAAAAGAAAAAAAAAGAAAAAGATATGTGAACCGTTATGACTCACTTTGAGTGGATCTGAAGGGAGGCTTGGTTTTTAATGTTTTCGTAAATGTTCTCCAATTCATCCTTGATTTCACGAATTTCTTGAATAATATTACTTCTCAAACTACTGGGATATTGAACATTTTTTTCTGCTGGAGTTGATCCTGTTTCTCCAAGCAAGTTGTACATGGACGAAGAAGTGGTGAGGGGTGCTGAATGGGTCTCGTTCTGGTCCATATGCGAAGCAATGGACTCTGCCTCCCGAAATTCTTCTCTGATAACATGAAGGACACGACGGATGATGTTTCCAACAGCAAGCTCAGTAGGATTGGCTTGAACTAGTCGTCGACCAACTGATTTAACTAGTGTAACAAGTTGATTGCAAGTTGTCCAGTTGTTCTTGGAAATGACTACAATCAGCAGTTTGAGTGTCGCCTGCGCCACAGTTGACGATCCCACAAGTTGGCGCCTCTTGAGTTTTGCGACCAGATCGTCGACAAGCTCATTGTTCTTGCTCATTATTTGAAAGTCACTGTGGGTCGCTGTTGTCTGTTGTTATTATTGAAGTGAAAAAGAAAGGGTGCACTTTTCGCTGATTTATCTTCTTTTTTCTTTTTCTTTTTTTTTTACTGCCCTGTAGTTCAACGCGATCCTTACCAATGGTAAAAGAAATAACTTTTATTGTGGATTTGCCACCTTTTTATTTTCTTTTCCTTCAGCAATTTGCTATTCGTGAACTAAAGGCATGTTTCGGGTCATGTGATCAAACCTTGTTCGGTTCTGACGACCTGAACTTTTTTGCATCAACTTTTTTTTGCAAGCATTCATCATTCATTCGTTGAGAGCACAATATAATAAAAGAGATAACCTTACAGATTTACTTTCTTTATAAAAAAAAACTCACACCATAAGCATCTCATTACTTGCTGTTCAGGTACTCTTTTTTTTTAACTGTAGAATTATTCCATCGCAAACTCTCCTGTCTGAGCGATCACAACTTGCCACTAATTCATGCAAATGCTCATTCAAATACAACATTCCATTTTACTACCTGCTAGTTAATCTTATTGTCCATTACACAACTCAACAGCTCACAGTGTAGAGCCTCCCTCTTCTCTTTCATACTCTCACACGCTTCTCATAGTCCGCTTCAGCAACAACAACAGACGCGCTATGCCTAGTCCTAACGAGAGAGCAATTATCAGAGAAGTCTGGGCCGAGAACTTGGAGCAGGAGATGGCACTCTTGCGCGACCTCGTCGACCAGTATCCGTATCTTGCCATGGTACACTTGCGTCATCATGAATTCTTAGGCAACAAGCATCTCATGGGGGAGGGGTGTGGGAATGCGAGACTTTCTTTTTTTGCAGGCACCAATGAGCATATTCAAAAAGGACTGACCTTGGGCTTGATCTGCTTTTTTTTTCGTAATTCTATTTATATTCAATTGATGTGACACTATCACAACAGGACACGGAATTTCCAGGTGTTGTTGCCAGACCTATCGGTATGTCTCCTATATACTATGACTGAGCGGGAAGACGTTGAATAATTACAAAAAGGAATCAAGTTGAACCGTTATGCTGACGCGGTGAATGATTCTTTTTTTTTTTTTTTTTTTTTTTCTTACTTTTCCTTCCGTGATACATCTAAGGCAACTTCCGTACCTCGGCCGATTATCACTATCAAACTCTACGATGTAATGTTGACCTACTTAAAATGATCCAGCTTGGTGTCACATTTGCAGATGAGAATGGAAACATACCAAAGGATGCCTGTACCTGGCAGTTCAATTTCAAGTTTAGTTTGGCGTAAGTTTGCCAAACCAAAAACCACATACTCAGGCGATGAAGGAGGAAAAAAAAATTAGCAATTCATATTTGGACGTGGTTTTTTTTATCTTCTACCTTATTCTTGTTACATAGTGAGGACATGTACGCACAGGATTCGATTGATCTATTGACAAAGTCTGGAATCAACTTTCAGAAGCATGAAGATTATGGGATCGATGTTCATCATTTCGGTGAACTTCTTATAAGTTCCGGGTTTGTTCTACTGGACGAAGTTAAATGGATTTCTTTTCACAGGTATATATGAAGAAAAAAAAAAAAAAAAAAAAAAAAAGGGCCAATTACTTGATAGCTCTCATGAGATCTTTTTTTTTTTTTTTTTTTTTTTTTTTTTTAGTTGTTAGAAATGGTGCAAGGGGGTAAAAAAACATTCAGTATATCAAGGGAAAGAGGAAGAGAGAGATAGGCAGAGAGAGTTTTACTTTGCTAATTAAGATCATACATCTCAAAATCATTCTTTTATAATATAGTGGCTACGATTTTGGATACTTGCTCAAGATTCTGACATGCAGTCCTCTACCTGCAGAGGAAGGAGACTTTTTTGATTTGTTGAGGACATATTTCCCTTGCATATATGACATCAAGTATCTGATGAAGAGTTGTAAAAATCTGAAAGGTGGTCTTCAGGAATTGGCAAATGATTTACAGGTAAATCATGAAGGACAACGTAACTTTTAGATACTCCTTTTAACTGATGACGGATTACTGAGTTTTTTTTTTTTTTTTTTTTTTTTTTTTTTTTTTTTTTTTTTTTTTTTGGTGATAGGTTGTGAGAATTGGATCACAACATCAAGCAGGAAGTGATAGCCTTTTGACATGCTCAACCTTCTTTAAGATGCGTCAAATTTTCTTTGAGGACAAGATTGATGACGCTAAGTATCTGTAAGTTTGATATTGAGGAATGAAGGACGAATCATTGCTTCATAACAATCACTTACTCTATATTTTGTTCATCCTCCATTTGATTAATAGTGGATATCTCTATGGCCTTGGCTCAGCAGTAGGCTCTAGTGCTACACAGCCCAACTCAATCGCTACATTTAACTCTGCAGCAGGGAATGATAGCCCACTGATCACAAACCAGTCTGCAACACCTAATGGCAAGCCTAATAACTTCCAGAAGTCAACAATAAACATTAACTAATTCAAAAAAAAAAAAAAAAAAAAAAAAAAAAGGCGCAGTTATAAAGTATATTCACTGCAAAGGGCCGATGGTTATTCTTACTGTAATCTTACTTGGAATAATTCAACAAAGAGAGATGATGTATGACTTAATGATTGATCTTTGCTTCAAATGTCTCTTACCTCAAAGCGTATATATTTCTGTACGAATACCAAGATCGGATAGAGAACGGTTTTCTTTCTCTCCTCTGTTTTAGCATAGGCTAAAACATTTAGCTTGTAGTTTGGCAATTTAGATTCGTTGTTCGCCACGCCAAAGAAGGCTACAATATGAGTAGATCAAGAAAATGGAGCCATTTATAGTGATCCAGTGTTCCTGAAACCAATTACAATTTATACTCAATAACAGTAGAAACTGTTTCTACAAGTTGATTAAAATATTATAAAATGGCTGCACGCACTATCATCAGGCCATGTTAATGGGGAATGCAAAAGAGTCATGCGCGTCTTCTCTAGTGTTCCTTGGCAAGGATCCATCCTAGAAGTCGTTATCAGATTTCCTTTGCTGGGTGACAATGGTAATCTCGTAGGTAGTCATTGGCCTATTGGACAGTTATAGTTTGCTTTCAACAAGACTTTGTTACCATGCGTGGCTTGCATTAGTGAATGTAATCACTCGGTTGTTGTTTCTTCTTCCGTTGCCATATTCAGCAGCGACCAGTGCAGCCAATGTGAATCAAGAGTGAGAAGACTGGCATAGGAGGCATCTTTCCTTTGAATTATTCTTCCTTCTATCTCTTGTATCTAAAGAAAAAAAAGGATAAGATGATTGCCTTTATTGAAATGAAGAATTACCTATTTACGTTCGAGACTTTAGGCCTAATGAGGTAATGGACTGATATGAGCCTCCAACACCGCGACAATACTCTGACTAAGAAGCATTGTATCAAGGTCAAATCGAAAACAAAGTATTAAAAATGGCACCAATGATGGCCTTTATGATGTCGATCGATCACAGTCTTGAGGATATCATATTCGTTCCAGGACCGGATGGCGGATGGTGCGAGCTTTGGTAATAGGTGGGTGTCTATCTGTGCTTCAATGACAGTGACCAGATAGGTATCAAAAAGTCGGTAATACTTTGATGTGAAGGCGAAATATCAAGGGACTGTCCTGATACCTAAGAGTAGTTGGCGCTGAGGAAGATGTGCTGTAAAGCTTGTCCAATGCTTCCCAGTTCAACAGGAACAACATTTTGGTTACTCGTCCGAACAAATGCTCCTTCACTGAAGAAGTGATGCATTATCAACACTACGACACACTTTCATCTGGAAATACCTTGTCAGCAACCCGCTCCAAGCGTTCTTGTTAACAAGCCAGCGACAAATCCAAAGCCTCCCTAAACTAGTCTGGAGCCCTGAAGTCGCATTACAACCGCATCTCTATTCGACCTCTTTTACGACGATAAACGGCGCCTACTGATGATCAATCAGACCGCCACAAGCGACAGCAAGAGTCAGTCATCAAGATCATCGGTTAATTGTCTGATGCCTTCACAGGGCCACTTTTAAGTATAATAGGGCTTAGTATGCTTTACAATTAAAAAATTAAAAAAGGTATAGAGAGAAAGCTCGTAGACGGGCAAACAGTAATGTTGTCTAGGGATGTTTATCAAGATCAAGGGGACTAATTAGCCCCTGAACATTTTGCATCTATCCTGTCGATCTGTGCCTTGCGCTTGTCTATCTTTTTAATCTCTCCACATCATGGTCGTACAGCATTCACTACATTCCAATCAACTTGAATGAATGTAAACTTGTGCACAATCAAGACTAATTGTTTTAATCTATCCTTGCAAGGAATGGGTTATGATCTGTCTATTTTTTAATCGTTTTCAGGCTAGTGAGTTCTCTGTTGCAAACAGTTAAGTAGAAGAAGATTGACAATGATTCCAGTATGCCTTGACTATACTTTTTTCTGGCTGATCATATATATAAACTTCTTTTGTAGCTTTGTTGCTGAGAAATACTGATATTGAATGGTCCTAAATGCGTACATCTATTGACAGTTGAAGACGAAATTGATGGCTATCTGAGCATGAGCTGTCTGTTTAGAGGCAAAGTTACAAAAGTCAAAGGCATTACACCAAAGTGATTCGCCTTGAAGTAGGTAATGCTTTTTAATAACATCTATACAGATGTAAGTGATACACGTTCTTATATCTACTACTGCTCCCTATTTATGTCTTTCGAAATAATAGGTAGTTAAGCATTAGTGAGAGACAGTTTGATTCTTTATTGATAGGATCTTAAATAGTGGTGGGTTTGGGCTTTGCACCAAAGTACTCATGCCTCAAGTAGCTTCTTAAGCTGGGAATAGCGCTCTTGTTCGGTAGACGTCCCTACGTTCGTTTGGTGAGCGACCTTATTAAAGGTGCTGATGGTGGTAGTCACCAATTGCAAAGTACAGCAAGTGTCGGTTGCAAAGTTTTACTGATCTGTGAATGTAAAATCTGCATGACGGACATCGTGAAACCAAGGTATCTTACTTGCCACATGAGAATAGACCTTCTGGAGCGCATATTGATTATAAGGATTGCAGGCTCTCTGGCCTGAGTAAGCAGACTTCTCGATTAAGCGAATATGGAAGACTGTGATCTCATATAGGAGGCGGCTTTTATTTCCTTTCATTAAATTGTCCAATCGTGCTCTTGCCTTCCAGGTTAGGCAATAGTGATGGTCAATGTTCGGAGTTCACAAGCCACCCCGATGGATTTTCTTCCTGCCCTTTTGAGGGACAGTGGTTCAGGAAGAGTAGAAATCCTTCTCTTCACATTCATTTGGGATCATTGTAATGTGCTTGATTCGATCATTTTGGCAATGTATCATAGGAACAGGATAACAGGATTATCGTGCTCTTGACTTCTGCAGCAGAATTCGGGAAATTATGATCATCCTTCATCATTATGGTGCATAATTTTGTTTTCTGGATTACTTTAATTTAGCAGAATTAAGCGGAACATTTGATTCAGCATTCAGCTTGCTACAAAATTGATTTTTCCGGATCATTTAATGACTAGGATTCAAATTGTATACAACAGCATCAACATTAACGTCAGACCAGGATTAGTGAAATCTTGCTTTAAAAGCCTATGATCTAATCGAGTTTGCCGTTTTATTTTTTTATCTTACCTGGGCCAATAGACAAACATGTCGGCTGATCTTACCTGGTATGGTTCACAAAAATGCGAGGCAGCAATACATAAGGGACAATGGAATGATTTGGCTTATGCATATAGCAGCGATATTGACAATTATTATTATTACTATTTTTTCTATTAAAACAATGGTTATCAATCAGGCTTCTTATCAAGAAGAACAACTCTTTCTTGGTCAAGCGCAATGGCGTTCAATTCTCCTCGGAGGCTGGAAACTTGTTGAACAAGAACTCGTTCAAGTACTCTGGTCTTGCCAACAAGAAGGTACGCTTATTGTAAACAGGACAATGGAAACAATCTAGTATTCAGTATGACATTCAGGATGCAGACACCCAAGATGCAGCTCGTATTTTTTCTTTTCTAAAAAACGGCGTCGAGATATGAACATATTTGGTGAAGAAACCTGTAGTCCATGGGATGTAGAATATATATGCAGGAATTATTTCTTCGTTTATGGGACACTACTACATCTCATTACTTATAAAGCTGAACACAACTGTTAAGCTCGTTTGTTAATCATCAACGGCTGTCCTCATTGGAATATATCATAGACTGTTGATATCACTGCTGCTCCCTCTGGCCGTGGTGTTGTCGTTGCTACCAAGAAGTCTAGCGTTCCTGCCTTCAAGCCTGCTAAGGCCATCAACAAGGTTACTCTTACCAAGGGTATCCGCAAGTCTGCTCGCTCTGTTGCTGGCCTTACTCGCAATGGCTACCGTGCTGATCTCCGCAAGGTAATGCGTTATTATTTTTTTTTATCAACTCTTTTTAGTATTTGTCTTCTGTTTCGCAAAGTGCTAGAACCCAGCAGATTCATTTGACATGAAAGCTGGGCGTACATTATTTGCAAGATGACCACAAGGAAGAAAGACATCAAATGACTTTTTTCTCGAGACCAATGTTCTGCTTCACTATCAAACAATGAGTTATTCTCTATATTCAAAGTTTTGCGACAGCAACGTGGAAACATTTCTTTATCTCCTATTGTCTTGCCACTTTCCATTTTTCTATCTGTCCATTTATTCTTTTCATTACAATTTTTTTCATCGATGGGTATCGTATCTAATACGTGGTTTAAACTTGCTTTACATGTGTATCTAGGCTGCTCTTGCTCGCGTCTCTGCCGTCCTCAACTCACAGAAGCCCGTTAAGGCTATCCCCAAGAAGACTGGCAAGGGTATCCGTGCCAACAAGAACTAATTTGTAGATGTACTTCGAGTTGGATGAAATAAAACAATAAATGATGGCCTCGTGAAACATAAAGATAGTGTCGCTATTCCTGCCTGAATGTATTGAATATGTTATAATGGTCTGATCTGGATCGTAAAATGGTTTTATGAGGCGGAGCGACGACCCCCTTAAATATGTATAGGTTATTTTTTATATGTGTGACTTGAAAATACATATTTCATCTGGTTGGTGATTGAATTTGGGTTCCTCCTCTTTCTTTGTACGAAAAACAGGTGCGGAGAGATTCTATTATGGCATTGATATCATGAGTAATCCATCAGGGCATATAAAGCATCCATCCGATAGTATCCATCAGCAGTGTGTAAAAACATGCCATATTGCCACCTGCATTAGATGCCATATGACTGGGCAACTAGGAAAAAATATCTTGGAGCCATGAATTATGCCCAGAAGACTATCATCAGACAGCCATCAAGGATTACTTTAAGGATTACGTGAAAAGAGAAGAGACCATCAAAAAGGCTTGTGTGTTTTCTTCAATATTTCTGGAGGTTACTTAAGGATGATAAGGATGAGCCCCAAGTTGCTTGGAAGTTGTATTTCATTAGTTAGTTCAGGATTACTGGGAGGCAGCAAACTATTTTGATGCAATCATCGCAAGGAACAGAATTCATTTGGGAAACTCCACCCTTCCAACGTCATGTAATCGCGTCAGAACAATTACTTACCTATTATTTCCGTTCCTTCTGTATTCTTAGGAAAATGCAGATTTTCGTTAAGACCCTTACTGGAAAGACTATCACCCTTGAGGTGGAGTCTTCCGACACCATTGACAACGTCAAGCAGAAGATCCAGGACAAGGAGGGTGCGTCATCAGTTTTTTTTTCTTTTTTTTTTTTTTTTTTTTTTTTACTTTTTTTCTTTATCATACACCCATTCATGATTCATGCTGTATCATAAGGCCATCGAGGATCATATCAGCGCCACGGAATAGGCAGTAGCTATATGTATTCAACTTCACTAACATCAGGAATAGCGTAATGCTGACTGTTTGATTGCATATTGAGCCGACAGAGTAGAATAAGTACTTTTATATATATATATATTTTCAGTCGGATCAGCGAAGTGGACTTTGAGAATAGGGGGTAAAAAAACTACAGAACAGATATCGGGATCATATTTTGTCACCAAAAATGATTTTTGCAAAACCCAATCGCACATCTCATATTACAAGGGCCTTTTTTTTTTTTTTTTTTTTCCTCTAAGAAAAGAGTGCCGCGCCGTTAAACTTATCCCATGTCTTTTCTTTTTCTTTTTTTTTAATAAAAAACAAACAACAAAAAAACATAACAGGTATTCCCCCAGACCAGCAGCGTTTGATTTTTGCCGGCAAGCAGCTCGAGGATGGTCGCACTTTGTCCGACTACAACATTCAGAAGGAGTCGACCTTGCACTTGGTTCTTCGTCTTCGTGGTGGTATCATTGAGCCCTCGCTCAAGGCTTTGGCTTCCAAGTTCAACTGCGACAAGATGATCTGCCGCAAGTGCTATGCCCGTCTTCCTCCTCGTGCCACTAACTGCCGTAAGAAGAAGTGCGGTCACTCCAACCAGCTCCGCATTAAGAAGAAGCTGAAGTAAATAAATTTTACTTGGTCTCTTGTCGATTTCTTTTTTTTTTCTTTTCTTTTTAACTTTTCAGCAGACATACATATCCGTTTATGGATGGAGAGAAAGAGGAAAGGAGAAAGGAAAAACAAGCCCTTCCGAATTAAATAAAACAGACAGACATTTTCCTTAGTTTTGCAAAGCATTTTTTGGATATGGGAGAGAGAGAAAAAAATAGTAAACAGACGCGTCTAGAATGAGACTTTTTCTTTTGGAAGACACCAATTAAGTAAAATGGTAAACTTTGAAATTGATTGTCTTTATTTAAGATTGCTTTGGTGTTATTATATCAATTGCTCCAGACTTTAGAAAAGACTATTCAGGTGTCCATACATTGAAAACCACTCACTCCAGATGGAAAGGGTTCTTCTCGATGAACTCCTCAAATGTGGTCAACTTCTCATGATGACAACTAGTAGACCATTCGACCTCCTTCTTTAAACCACCAAAGTAACCGTGTTCCTCCAGGAAAAGCATAACGTTAGCAACGATCCTGCTATGACTCGTTGGCATGATTTGGTCATACTCATCCAAAGACACCTGCTTATACTTGACAGTCTTGCCTGTTGATTTACTGATCATCTCTGCTACATCACTAAATGAGCAAAAGGTGGATACTGCGCACAAGGTTTTGCCTGCAAACTTGTCGGGCTCTGCAAGGATAGCACCTACAAATTTACCGGTGTCAGAAGCAGGATCGAAAAACTCAAATACGCTGTCAGGTTTGACTACCTGGAATATCACATAGGTTCCATCCTCTTGGCGTTTAGGAGTGAAGAAAAAGTTGTGAAAGTCTTGCATATATACGCTTGGTGTGAAAAAAGCACTCTTGATGGGCAGAGTGCGAATGTATTTCTCGATGTCAGCCTTGACGTCGAAAGCATGGACAGCAGAATGTTTGCCACCGGAGACTTCACCTGCATGGCGTACAGTACCGTAGATAAAATACTGGGCTCCTGCGGCAACAACCGCATCTGCTAAATTCTTGCCTTGAAGGTATTCTTTAACATAAGCACTGTCATCAAAAATTGTGCAAGTGATCCCAAAGACAGTATGTGCGCCTCTGAGAGCTTTATCGAGCGATTCTCTATCATACAGATCTGCTTTAACGACCTCGACTCCTCGCTCTTGCAAGGCTTGAGCAGCTGGCTTCGATGGGACGCGTGTCACAGCTCGAATCTTGTATTGGCTAGATAGTTCTGGATGATCAAGGACAAAGTTGATAACAGATCCTCCTTGTTGGCCGGTTGCGCCAAAGACGACGAGGGTTTTAGGTGGTTTCATTCTCTTTTTTTTTTTTTTTTTTTTTTTTTTTTGGGAAGCGCAAGGGAATTAAAAAACTGTAAAGGTTTGTTTTTGCTATTAAAGAGGAAAGGAGGATGATATAATTCGAAGGCGTGAATTGGTAACAAAAGCGAAAAGCGGCATCTATTTAAATATATATATATATATATATATATATATTTTTGGTTCAGTAAACCATTAGAGCACTTGTGGTCATCTTTTTGATGTTCTTGAGCTCATACTTCCCCACAAGTGGAAAGAAATAAACGCCAACCTGTTTTGATATAGCAAATCTGCCAAAATGCCTAATTGATATCGATCCCATATAAGTAAGTCACCTCCATCAACCTACTGTTTCTGTCATGCGTCCTTACTGCGAATTACACAAACTCTGCATGGACTTGAGATAGAGAGAAAAACAAAACCCCCTTCCCAAAGAACATGATAAGACAATGTTACATCAGGTTTATGAGTCCAGTCAAGCCTATCGCTTGAATAGGTTGAATGAATTGAATAGAACGTCAACCTCATCCCTCTTTGGTGGCCTCAAACAAGGGGCATTGTTGGGGGTCAACTAGGCCGACGAAAAAAAAAAAAAAAAAAAAAAAAAAAAGGGAGGGCGTGCGAAATGGCGCGTTAAATCATATGGAAAGATGCATGTAATGCATGTAGTGCGACAGCCAGGCCCGCAAAGTAGAAGTCACCTAATCTGCATCTGCATCGATTGGGCTAGACTCTCCATGCATCCACTACGACTATTAAGCGCCGTTATTAAGCACCGAAAGTTGCTACCGGCCTTCTAAGCAGCCACACTAGCAGCTATGAACATAAAAATCGCTTGCAGAAAAGTATCTTGGCTTCCCAGATTGAAGCATCCAAGTAAATAGGAGAGCCATCATATGCTAAAATATTTATCTTATTATTTATCTGTTTTGACATCGATGGATCGCATGGTCCGTGGCGCATCTTGCATTATTGGTATGTTTTTTTTTTTTTTTTTTTTTTTTTTTTTCTCGGTGTGGCAAACACCACCCAAGAAATCCCACAGCCAGCGGTTCCTGTTGTAGTATACCAAGGGTACACTGGGATATCTCGTATTAGAATACTTCACGTCGGTATCTGTAGATCAGTAGTCAACTCCACCAGTGAAAAAGAAAAATATATGGGCTCTGACGTGCTGGTGAAAAATAAAAAAAATATATACACCAGCAAAAGTCTGATCACACCTTAAAGAATCATCCATTTAGCATGTGTTCGATTTAGTTCCAGAAATGAAGACAGACTCTGGTATCTATCCTCCATGGCTCGCACCGCAGTTACAATCAGTGTTAAAAAGGCTCTTTCTTGTTAGACCAGGCTTAGACTTTGTTGAATATATATCCTTGACCCTACCCAAGCCTCACCATTGCCTATTACAGTTTGCATCCCCCCATCAGTCTATTACAAATCTCCATTAAAATGCATCTCTCTTGTAGTTAGAGGTCAGTTGTTTTAGCAAGTACAGCACATGCCGAGCGGATATCAGAATCTTGTCGCTCTATGCAATGCTTCTCAGCTCCAGTGATGCCTTATAATGAACCATTCTTTATTCTTCAACGCAAAATGAGGGATGATAATACACCTTGGACCCTTATTTATTACATTCGTTTAAGAAAGAGGCCTTCATCGTTGTCTGACATTCACTCCTTTGCTTGGGCCCTATTAGTGCCGGAATACGTGTTCCAAACGGCCTAAAGACTTATGTATGGCTCGTGCCACATACCCTGTTCAATAGTGCTGTACTTCTTTTTATTTGATTTTTACATTTCGAATTCTAGCTTTAGTTGATCACTGCAGCTCGAGTGGGTTCTTCTGGAGGTATTCTTCAAACGTGGTCAACTTGCCGATATGCTTGGTCGCCCATTCATGCTCCTCCTCATTCGGATGAAAGCAACCATGTTCTGACACGTAAAGCATAAGGTCACCGATAATTCTGTTTTGAACTGGCATCATACGATCATACTCATCTACAGAAATCTGCTTATACTTGACAGTCTTGCCTGATGCTGTACTGATCAGCTCTGCTATATCTTCAAACGAGTAAGAGTATGCTGCTGCACACAGAGTCTTGCCTTCAAATTTATCCGGTTCAGCAAGGATAACATTTGTAAACTTGCCAGTGTCAGCAACAGGATCGTAGCACTCAATCGCACTCTGAGGAGGAACAGTATTGAATATCACATAGGTTCCATCATCTTGGCGCGTGAGGAAAAAGAAGGTGTGAAAGCATTGATAAAACATGGCTGGTGAGAAAAAAGCACTCTTGATGGGCAGAGAGCGAATGTATTTTTCAGTGTCGGCTTTGACATTGAAAGTGTCGACCTCAATATATTTGTCACCAGAGATTTCGCAAACTGCTGTAAATGATATACTGGACACCTGCAGCTACGGCTGCGTCTGCTAAGTTCTTGCTTCGGATAATTTCTTTAGTGTAGATACTGTCATCATAGGTCGTGGTAACCATCCCAAAGACAGTATGTGCGCCTCTGAGAGCTTTATCGAGCGATTCTCTATCATACAGATCTGCTTTAACGACCTCGACTCCTCGCTCTTGCAAGGCTTGAGCAGCTGGCTTCGATGGGACGCGTGTCACAGCTCGAATCTTGTATTGGCTAGATAGTTCTGGATGATCAAGGACAAAGTTGATAACAGATCCTCCTTGTTGGCCAGTTGCACCAAAGACGACAAGGGTTTTAGGTGATGGGTGCATTTCTTTCTTTCTTTTTTTTTTTTTTTTTTTTTTTTTTTTGGAAGTAATAGGGCTTTAAGGATTTTATTCTTATTAATAAGGAAGATAATACAACTTGAAGACGTGCTTGGTTGGAGAATGAAAGCGACGAATGTGGCACCCGTTTAAATATTTTTGTTGTGCTGTGGTGTACATATAGCTTTTTTTTTTTTTTTTTTTTTTTTGACGCCCTCATCATGTACACCAAAATTTTGTTTATCCGGACGATTTACTAAGGAAAACGTCCGGATATTTTTAAGGTTCCAATGAATTGGGGAGTATTCTTAACTTTACAAAATATATAGGCCCATGTGACATTGCATTTATGGGTTCCCATAATGCATTATCCTTCCTATGCTAGTTCGGATAAAGAACGTAAAGACAGACATCCTTAGTTCCCACGAAAAGGTCGAAATCACAATGTGTCTTGGACGAAAAGGTCGAAGCCACAGCGTGTCTTGGCACTCATATTTATTACCAGCCTTTTTTCTTCACACTCTCCACCATTCACTTTGAACACCCAACAATGACACCCACAGCAGCCACGCTCGAACTGCTCTGTTTAATCAGTGGTGACCCTGCCTCAAAAGCATTCGCCGTTGAGATTTCCTCCGATAAAACTGTCTGTCATCTCAAAAGCTTAATCAGCAACCTCACACAAATCATTGTTGGCAAACTTGTTCTTTGGTGCGCTATGATTCCTTGGAATGTGGACACAGACAACCAGCTCATTGCTGGTAATATTGATCTCAAGCGTCAGCTCCACTCAATGGAGACACTGCAAGATGTGTTCAAGGACGGAGCTCCAAAAGCCACGATCCATATTATCGTCGAGCAGCCCAAAGGTACGTCAACTGCTTTTCCATGTTCGTCCCATTATCGCTATCTATGCCAGAAAGGCATTTAGCGTGCCTCCACAAGCTTGATATATATGCTGAAAGACTCTCTATGTCATGCTTATAAATTACAAGTAGAAGATTTACATGAAGAGAAAAAAAAATTACAAGAAGAGATGAAAAAATCACAAGAACAGTTGCGTGAAGTGATAAAAGGTTTACAGGGACAATTACATGAAGAGAAAAAAGCTTTACAGGAACAACTACATGAAGAGAAAAAAGCTTTACAGGAACAATTACATGAAGAGAAAAAAAAATTGGAGGATGTGCAGAGTATCTTCGTATTAGACGTCATCGTACGGCCAAGCAAGAACAAGTCCTTTCGCTGGACAGCCGATGTCGAGAAAACAACAGTGAAAGAGCTTGTGGGCGCGATCTTCCGTGCATATCCAGAAAGAGAGGACGGAAAAGGAGATCTTGTTCTGTCAGTAATCGTGGATGGCCGCTCAGAAGTCCCCGACGACAATCACTTTAGAAATATCCTAAGACAGCAAAGGAAGACTGGTGGAATGACCCTAGTAGTGGCGCTGGAGACCCCAACAAAAAAATATACAGACTTTACGCTTGCAGAAGTCAACACTCTGTACGGTATATCGAACATGGAGGCACCCGACATCCCTGATCTGCCATCATTTGACAACATATTGACAGAGAGCATAAACCAGGATGCATTGCGGAAGCTGTGCGAGGAGCTTGATGCAAGAGTAAGAACAATGGGAAGCCGCTTACCATCAAACGAAGCAACTTGTTCCACCTTTGTTTGTTCGTACATCACACAGGCTGTATTGCTTTTTGAGAAAACGTTAACACTTGTTCAACAAAGAGAACTTCGCGGTAAACATGGTCATGGAAGGGTGGATTTTTCCATCGAAGCCGTTGGCGGTATGAACCACATTCTAGGTGTCACACAGGTAAAGCGAGAGGACTTCAAGAAGGGTTTGGCCCAAAACCTGGTGCAGCTGGAATCCTCATTGACGAATCGAAAGCGCAAGCGTACAGACGACGACGATGGAAAGGAGGAGGATGAGGCCAACCCAATGAAAGCATATGGTATCGTTACGGATGCCATGACCTGGTATTTTGTGGAATGTAGTATAGATCGATCTCGATGCGCGTCTTCAGTGGCAAGTTGCCCGAAATTCAAGGTATCGAGACTGGCTCCTAAGGTTGATTATGGGAGCGCCGGTTGGGAGGAGAGTGCGAAAGCTATTTTTGGTCGTATTGTATGGTTAATGAGACAGATGGAGGCGGAAATACCAAGACGTGGCCTGAACTACAAGAGGCAGGAAACCATCGATAACGTCCTTGAGCCACAAGAGGTTTGGAAAATCCAGTGTACAAAACAGTCCAAAATAAAAGATATTATCAAACTGCATTTATTATAAAAATGGGTTGTCCAGGAAATTTTCTAGCGTCGATACGTCTTGCGGGTCATCCTGCGTCTCTCTTAATGAAGATGTCTGCTCCATATTCACATTATCACAAGCTCTTATGAGACTCCTCAAAAAGTGGCGCACATTTTTCATGCTGTTTTTTTTGTATTTTCAAATATGGCCTCCATCCCTTCAGGACTGCTTATATCATGCCCGTTAGACAATTTGGTCAATAAATCGATCGAATTGTGGAATGACTCCTTCGATATCGGACTACTGTTTATAGAGAGTGGAGTGGCTTCATAGTTTCCATTGACAATTTCATGAGAGTTACCATCCGTAGAAGTGCATGACCCATGTTCCTCTTCCAAAATATCCTGCACATCTTTCTCCGCAATGCGATCCAGCACCCACTCATTCCCTTTACTCACTGATGCGATCAAATGCTCGAAGTACGCCCTTTCCTGCTCCTTATAGAGGTGACTTCGCGTGTACTGGACCTCGTGGCATCGCTCTGCACTGGTACTTGACATGGCTCTGATGTGCTTTCGCATCTCTTCGGGAAGGACTGGGGTTTTAGCAAAGCAATTCCTTAGTGTCATCGCTTTAACGGAGTTCCATGCTGATGGGATTATCGACCACGCGTGTCCATTAGAGATAGCCTTCGTCATATCAAATGTTCGGACGAGATGTGACTCGTGGGTAAGTATCTCTAGAAATGCTCGCTTGAACACACTGATAACGCCTGCATCAAGGGGCTGAGTAACAGATGTCGAGTTCACCGGGAGTCGTTGAATGCGGAGATGCTTCCACGGTTCATTGGTGGAAGGATTGCGCATATCAATATTGTTGTGCTGTGGAGCAGAGTCCAGAAGAAGTAAGCTTGGCTCTGTAAGCTGATCATCGAATGTTTTCAACCAATTCACGAAGATATTGTTTGTCATCCACCCTGATTCAGATTTTCTCACAATCATTTTTTTTCCTGACTCGATGTCAATACCTTGGGCGATGTTTTTACCTAATATATGAAATATGATATTTAATATATAGTATTTCAAGTCAACGCCTAAATATACCTTCAATAAAATGTTAAACTCCTTACCAATAACGAGTGGCTTCAATGCATCCATGGACTCTGCCTTGAGGAGCGAAGTGCCAGAAGCATTGATGCAAAAGAGGATAGTAACACGACAATTCTTATTTGCCTTGACTCCAGCCTCCGAGACCTGCGTTGTGTAGGACTTGTGGTCCAACTCCTTGAGATAGAATCCTGTCTCATCACAGTTATATATGTTGTCAGGTGTGTATTGGGAACAGAGACTCCGGATGGCCACGAGCTCAGGCTCAATCGCTTCAAGGTCAACCGATCCTGCTTCTCCCCGTAACTGACAATACGTTATGTTGTGACGCTTCTTGAAAGCATTAAACCAGGAAACTGAAAAAGAAGGCATCATGCCGCTGGTGCTCGGGTCACCTTCAGGATCTTTCAGGCCAGCGAGGATAACATAAGTGGTTTTCGCCGCATCTTGTATCATCCTTTTGTTAATTGGATTGAGTCGTGTACGCTGATCCTCTAGCCATTTTAAAAGCACTGTCTCAAGCTGTAGATTCTTTCGCTGAACGATATAACACGCACCCTCTGGATACAATGGAGCCTGTGCTCGAAGTTCATCTTTTTTTTTGACGATATCGTGAAAACTACTCTTCGGAATGTCATATCCAATGAGGTTGCCGAAATTTTTTAAGGAGACTTTTTGTTTAATATCCTTTCGTCGGAGCAAGAGATAATCATATATATCAAGGAGCTCTACTTTTTTCTTTAGAGTCAGACACACCTTTGCCATTGGAGTGCCATGGTTGTCAGCTGTAGGCAGAATAAGTGGAATTGTCATATTGCGATCCCTTGCACAGTTTAAAAGGTCGTTGTACCTGTCCTTCCGCAATTTTTCAGCTGACTTTATCTCGGACATTGTATATTTCTTCTTTGGCAATTGATTCTTGGGGACCGATGCTGCGGAGCGCTTTGAAATTGCCATTTCGATAAAATGAAATCTTGATTGCGAAAGTAATGAAGAGATGAGTAAGTGTAATTGCGTCCGGCCTTTTGTCCAAGCTTTCGTCCGGGGAATGTGCATTTATGGGGACCCGTGAATGCAATGTCACATGTGCCTACATATTTTGTACAGTTAAGAATACTTCCCCAATTCATTGGAACCTTAAAAATATACAGACGTTTTCCTTAGTAAATCGTCCGCATAAACAAAATTTTGGTGTACAGGAGATTCATAACAAACCCCGCTTTCACCTCAATACAGCCTTTCATCCGCAAAGCAATACCCCAATGATATGACTTGAGTTTGTGTAATTGTTTATCTAACTAAAAAGACAAATGAGCGTAAGGAGAAGGCTACTTTTTCCGGAACAATGTGATAAGTTTACCATCACTCCTCGTAGTGCTGCCTATAATTCCAACCTTCGCAATCCCTATGCGATCTGGGCATACTTGCATAGATATACAATCAAAGGAAGTATTTTAAAATATTAGTCGTCAACTTTCTGGCTGTATTTTCTCGTTTTTCGTGCTGAGGATCATCAAAGTTCATTAGTATGCTGAAAAGAAAACACCTGAGAGCAAGAAAAGCTCACTTCAAAGGAAACTGTTTTGACATGATTCAAAGATTCATTTGAGCTCATTTCTTAAACAGATTGCCACAACTGGATAGACTACATCATATCCTTGCTTAGATCGTCTTTGAAAGAAACATTTGCACAGCAAAATGGTGTCCCAAACTCAAACCCAAAGGAATGTGCGAGACCGCATGTTAGTATACACGAAATTCCAATGATAGGTGTCAGCAGGTCTTGAAGCATGGCAGCCAAGCCGATCAAGGGGAAGGCTCTCCACGCGCGTAATGAATGAATTGAACTCCCCATAACCGCTTCCAATAGTGGCACCAAAAGCCTAAGGCTGCTTCCTGCGAGGGTTTATAATCGTAGTTGATGCATGAACATACTTGCCGCTTCTAGGAAACTAGCAGAGCTTGGCAAGTAAAAATAATTATCAGGTATACAAGGGAAAAAAAAAAAGGAAACTGATGAGTGCTTGATATTAAGCAGCTGATTAGGGGAACAATGGTACTTTTCTCTGTTTGAAAGTCCCTGAGTCGTGGGAAAAGCGCACTATCGATATGTAAAAGGCTTTCAAGATCTTACTGTATAAGAACATGCAGCAATGGGTTTGGTCTGGGAAAAAAATAAAAAAAATAAAAAAAAAAAAAAGATATCGACTCCTCGCCTAAAAGTCATAAACTGAATTAAAATTTGAATTACTTTATTCAATGAAAATATTGACTTTCTGGCAAGGACTTAAAAACTCGGACCACCCTGAAAGTGCCTATGCTTTGTAGCTTAAGATCAGATATTTCAGCAAGCAAAAACGAAAGAGTAACATCGTGGATGGCTGTTTTGTTGCTCCATTCAATTTGTTTATTTGCTAGAAGAAAAAAAGGGGATGCATGAACCTAATAGTCAACTCTTTTTTATGCAACCATAGAAGAGTATTAAACAACCCCTTCATTTGATCTTGGGAAGATGAACCATTTGAATTTATGCATGTTTTACTCATTTAGAAAGGACGTACTCTTGCTACATAAACTTGCTTTGAGCATACACCAATGATTCATTTCAAGGACATAGTATATCATTGGCTCGACTTCTTTATCTTGAGTGCTTTGATTGCACATATTGATAGATCACTGCAGATAGGGAGGGCCCTTTTGAAGGAACTCTTCAAGCGTGGTTAACTTGTCATGTATATTTTTGGTTGACCATTCAATAAGCTCCTTTCCTTCTGGACCAAAGAAGCCGAATTCCTCCAAGTAAAGCATGCCGTAAGCGGTGGTTCTGCTGTGAGTCGTTGGCATAACACGATCAAACTCATCCACAGATAGCTGCTTATACTTGACAGTCTTGCCTGTTGCTCTACTGATCATCTCTGCTGCTTCTTCAAAAGAGCACAGTGTTGCTGCTGCACACAAGGTTTTGCCCTCAAACTTCTCCGGCTCTGCAAGGATAGCACCCACAAATTTGCCTGTGTCTCTAACATCGAAAAACTCAAACACACTCTGAGGAGAGGTCACACTGAATATCGCAAAGGTTCCATCATCTTGGCGTTTAGGAACAAAGAAGATGTTGGAAAAGTCTTGATAAAAGACGCTCGGCGCAAAAAAGGCGCTCTTGATGGGGAGAGAGCGGATGTATTTCTCAATGTCGCCTTTAGCGTTGAAAGCATGGGCGTCAGTATGTTTGCCATTGGAGGTATCATGTGCATGCCATAAAGTGCTGAAAATAAAATACTGGGCGCCAGAGGCGACGACTGCATCTGCTAACATCTTGCCTAGAAGATCTTCTACAACATATAAGCTATCATCAAAATTCGTTGGGATAATCCCAAAGACAGTATGTGCCCCTCTGAGAGCAGCATCGATCGACTCTTTATCAAACAGATCTCCTTTAACGACCTCGACTCCTCGCTCCTGCAAGGCTTGAGCAGCTGGCTTTGAAGGGACGCGCGTCACAGCTCGGATCTTGAATTGCTTGGATAGCTCTGGATGGCTGAGGACATAGTCGACAACAGATCCTCCTTGCCGACCAGTAGCTCCAAATACGGCGAGGATTTTAGGTGATGGCTTCATTTTTTATTTTTTATTTTTTATTTTTTTTTTTGAGAAGGCGATAGAGCTATAAAAGTATTGGAAAACTTGAGTTGTGAAGGGGAAAGAGGTGAACACTGGCATCTGTTTAAATATTTTTTTTTCTTTTTTTTCAGTGCAGTGCACACCTCTCACCATTGATACAGTATGTCAAGGCGCATGACAAATGCAAAAAGTCAGAATCACATTCATGTAAAGCTTCCGCTGATTTTTATTTTTTTTGTCCAGAGTTTTCAATAAGACATAAAGACCTCATAAGGCGGTAGCAAGGCTTGTGTGACAATGTGACAATTAAAAAATCTTTCCTCACAATACTGCTTTTCCTAATCGCTTTGGAAAACCTTAATAGGCTAAAAACTCCGTCAGCTTACTATCTTAGTAATGTGTTGCATACATTCATAAAGGGTGAAGGACCTTCTAAATGGACCTGCCTGAAGAAAGAAAAAAAAGACGCAAAAAAGTGCCCTTTCAAAAGAAGGTGCATGTACCTCGGGCCCAACTAGATTATGCCTACCAGAGCCATGGATCCACTCCAACCCATCTTGAGAAGTGCGGCAGTCCTGAGTAAAATCCCCATCACATTTTCTCCTTACTTATTTCAAAAGCCTCTTGCTGCTTTCAACACTTGAAAGCGAGAGCTGATGATGGTGGTTGTTGCATGAACATAAATTCAGCTCTTTGAAACTATCTGAGCTCCCCATTTTAAAATAAGTATCAAGTACTCAAGAAGAATAGGCGGTTGTGTGGTGAAAAGCCCACTAAAAGTCCCCCGAAGTATTTTATATCCAATGGTGAATCCAATGAACGCTTGGAAATCCCTAGACTCTGAGAAAAAGTGTGAAATGCTCCGCCGTATGCATGAGTACGTTGCATTCTAAAAAAGGGGCGGAGACTATGCCAAAAAAAATGACACTGGGAGCTTAAAACCTCGTTTCATGACGGATCCCCTGTAGCCGACCTATGTATTGTAGCTAAAGGCCAACTCTTTCAGCAAGTATAAAACGAAGGGGTACGTAGAAGACGGCTGTTCTGTTGCTCTGATCAATTTTGCAAAAAGAAAAACAAAAATAAAAATTGAGATAAAATAAAAATGAGTATAAGGATGAATATAGAAACAAAAATGATAATAAAAATAAAAATAATAGAAACAGATACTTAAAGTCAACTTTTTTTTTTATTCATCAAAGATAGAGGAATAGTATATAATATATAATCCTTCATTTCATCTCGAAAGTCATTTCAGGTTATGCATAGAGTAGTCCTTACCAGAAAGTTGTCAACAAAAATGTTTTCAAGATTTTTAAATTGGATAAATACTCTCAATTCAGACAATTAGTGTTTTTGATCCATCGACAGATTTTAAAAAATATTTGTCGATGACTCTCTGCCGCAGACACTATTTCTATTCTTCTAGAAAGCCCTCGCTCACTGTAGCTTGAGCTTTATTTACATTGGATCAGTAGCACTAGAGCTCGCGCTTCATATGGCCCAGAGGTTTACTGCACTTTTTATGCTGCTTGTATCCCGCGAACTTTGTTTTGAATACACATCAGTGATTCACTTCATAGACATGGACAAATTATTCAATAGAAGCAGTATATCATTGGCTCAGTCTCTTTATTTTGGTCACTTTGATTGCACATATTGATAGATCACTGCAGATGGGGAGGGTCCTTTTGAAGGAACTCTTCAAGCGTGGTTAACTTGTCATGTATATTTTTGGTTGACCATTCAATAAGCTCCTTTCCTTCTGGACCAAAGAAGCCGAATTCCTCCAAGTAAAGCATACTGTAGGCGGTGATTCTGCTGTGAGTCGTTGGCATAACACGATCAAACTCATCCACAGATAGCTGCTTATACTTGACAGTCTTGCCTGTTGCTCTACTGATCATCTCTGCTGCTTCTTCAAAAGAGCACAGTGTTGCTGCTGCACACAAGGTTTTGCCCTCAAACTTCTCCGGCTCTGCAAGGATAGCACCCACAAATTTGCCTGTGTCTCTAACATCGAAAAACTCAAACACACCCTGAGGAGAGTTCACACCAAATATCGTGAAGGTTCCATCGCTTTGAAGTTTAGGAACAAAGAAGATGTTGGAAAAGTCTTGATAAAATATGCTTGGTGCGAAAAAGGCGCTCTTGATGGGGAGAGAGCGGATGTATTTCTCAACCTCGCCTTTGGCGTTGAGAGCATGGGCGTCAGTATGTTTGCCATTGGAGGTATCATGTGCATGCCGTAAAGTGCTAAAGATGATATACTGGACGCCTGCAGTGACGACTGCGTCTACCAACACCTTGCCTTGAATGGCTTCTTTAGTACAGACGCTGTCATCAAAATTCGTTGGGATAATCCCAAAGACAGTATGTGCCCCTCTGAGAGCAGCATCGATCGACTCTTTATCAAACAGATCTCCTTTAACGACCTCGACTCCTCGCTCCTGCAAGGCTTGAGCAGCTGGCTTTGAAGGGACGCGCGTCACAGCTCGGATCTTGAATTGCTTGGATAGCTCTGGATGGCTGAGGACATAGTCGACAACAGATCCTCCTTGCCGACCAGTAGCTCCAAATACGGCGAGGATTTTAGGTGATGGCTTCATTTTTTATTTTTTATTTTTTATTTTTTTTTTTGAGAAGGCGATAGAGCTATAAAAGTATTGGAAAACTTGAGTTGTGAAGGGGAAAGTGGTGAACACTGGCATCTGTTTAAATATTTTTTTTTCTTTTTTTTCAGTGCAGTGCACACCTCTCACCATTGATACAGTATACTCCGTCCCATTTGGTCAGCGATTCACATATTTTTTGATTGAATTGGGAGCCAATTATATTCCTTGGGACCAGTTCGTCACGGAGGGTGAAATGTCAAAATCAGCCACCAAATCAATTCAATCATCGTTTTTTGAATAGAAAATATATGAATCACTGACCAAACGAGTTGGAGGACATGTCAAGGCGCATGACAAATGCAAAAAGTCAGAACCACATTCAGGGATGTAAAGCTCCCGCTGATTTTTATTTTTTTTTTTGTCCGCGTCAGATCAGTGAGCATCGAATTCAGGGAGTTTTCAATCGGACATAAACAGAGTGACCTCATATTCTGCTTTTTATTTTTTTTACCTCATAGGCGGCAGGCCTTTGTGACAATATGACAATTAACAGATCTTTCCTCACGATACTGCTTTTCCTTATAGTGACAGCATCGTAGAGCTGATAATGCCTAATCGCTTTGGAAAATCTGAATAGGCTAAAACATTGTTAGTTTACTATCTTAGTTATGCATTGCATAGGTTTATATTTTTCCCCATTTAGATGGTTGAAGCTACAGAATAAATAAGCATGATCTATATCTTCGTTTTGAGAATGGACGATGATATATCGAAGGTCAGCTTCCTTGAATAGTATGCTTTTCTGTTCATATTACTAATAAGTGTTGAAGAATAGTAATAAACTATCAGCTTGCAAGCCATTCGAACCTATGCATATTTTACTCGTCTGAAAATATGTATCCACCATCTGGGGCTTATGCTTAACTTGAATCTCACCAGCACTGGAACTCGCTTATACTATTTGTATCCTGAGAAGTTTGTTTTGAACACACATCAATGGATTTTCTCATGAATGCTCATTCCAGATGAAGAGGGTTCTTCTGGAGGAACTCTTCAAATGTGGTTAGCTTATCATGGATGTGATTGGTAGACCAAGCGACACGCTCCTTCGCCTCTGGACCAAAGTAGCCGTGTTCCTCCAGGAAAAGCATAACGTCAGCGGTAATTCTGCTATGAGTGCTTGGTATGATATGATCAAACTCATCCACAGACACTTGCTTGTACCTAACCGTCTTGCCTGTCGCTTTACTGATCATCTCTGCTATTTCCTCATGCGTACAAAAGTCTGCTCCTGCACACAAGGTTTTACCCTTAAACTTGTCCGGTTCTGCGAGAATAGCGCCCACAAACTTGCCTGTGTCACCAACAACATCAAAACAATAAATCCCACTGTCGGGAGAGACAACACTGAATATGGTAAAGGTCCCGTCATCTTGGCGTTTAGGAACAAAAAACATTTGATAAAAGTCTTGATAAAACATGCTTGGTGCGAAAATGGCGCTCTTGATGGGGAGAGACCGAATGTACCCCTCAATGTCGGCTTTGACGTTAAAAGCATCCGCATGAGCATGTTTGCCATCGCTGACTTCGCGTGTATGTGGTAAAGTACTATAGATGATATACTGGACTCCTGCGGCGACGGCCGCATCCGCTAAATTCTTGCCTTGAAGCATTTCTTTAGGATAGACACTCTCATCAAAGCTGGTGGCAATATTCGCAAAGACAGTATGGGCACCACTGAGAGCAGCGTCGATCGACTTTTTGTCAAATAGATCCGCTTTGACAACCTCGACTCCTCGTTCCTGCAAGGCTTGCGCGGCTGGTTTGGGTGGGACGCGTGTAACTGCTCGAATCTTGTATTGCCTGGATAGTTCTGGATGATTGAGGACATAGTTGACGACAGATCCTCCTTGTCGACCAGTAGCTCCAAATACTACCAATATTTTAGGCGCTAGCTTCATTCTTTGGGGGTGATGAGATCACAGAATATTGTTTTTATTAATAAGGTACATGTAGATAGTGCAACTTGTAGGCGCTATTTAATTGAGAAGGAAAACGATAAACGTAGGTAGATATCTAGATTTTATTTTTTATTTTTTATTTTATTTCAGTGCGGTGCACATGCTGAGTGCATCATATTGTTGCAAAATTTAGGGGCAGATGCGGTCGTTTTGGTGGATTATGAAGCCGGTCACTTCCAGCTGCAGATAGATAAAATAATTCTAACACAATAAAAGAACACACACACTACTCTAAGACTGGACGAGAACAGTCAGTACTCAAATGGCTCTTGTGTAAAAATAAGGAACAAGGAGCCGGATTTTCCTGAGCTGTTGCTCGTTAAATAGTTGGTGGCGAACCCTCTACACGTGACTAAAACAATATGAACCACGACTGAAAAAAAGTCAGAGCCCATTCATAGATGAAACGCTCTTCGCGAATTATTTCCTTTCGTATTAGATCGATGGTTGCCAGATATATCTACCACGAACCAAGAACAGCAACTCTTACTGCGTTATCTCTCTTTACTTTCCACTTGGGGATCCAACTAAAACCATAGAAACAAAGAAAAATGAATCCCAGCCACAGCTGTCTCTGGTCTACACCTTTCGATGGGAAAGATAAGAAAGCAAAAAACCACGAGGGGAGAAAAGAGGTGGGACAGAACAGGTCGCTAATTCGGATAATAAACATGAGACACTCATTGTCGTCTTCGTAAAGCAGGGAACGTGCAATTGGGCATGTGTAGGATTACTAAAGGTCCTTGGTAAGATGTTTTTAGCAGGGTTTGGGTCGAGGCTGTTTACATGCAGTAAGCATTGAATCATTCCTCATAGCTCTGCCTTTCCTTATAATAGTACATCGTTGAGCTGGATTGACTAATCAATCCAGCAAACCTGTTTAGCTATAAGTTGCTCCATAACGTTCTGCGTTAGTCATGCATTGCTTATGCACGTTACGGTTATCAAATATTATTAGGGGTTTCAAACTTAGACATTTTTTTTGGTTATTTGAGAGAAGCAAATGAAATGTCCATCTGTACGTTTGAAATAGGTCAACCCTCTGACAAGCGCATTTCAAATGTATTAATCAAGCTAGGCTCCCTATAGCTGCTTGCAATAGTAGCTTCAAAAACATATTGGAGCTTTCGACGCTTGCAAGCGAGGTTTTATAGTTTTATAATTTTATAACCGTTGTTGATGCATGGTTATAAAATCGCTTGTAGAAACCTACCAGGGCTTAAACAGGTGTAAAGCATTAAAAGAAAAAAGAGCCAATGTGTGGTAAAAAGCACACTGTACCCCGCAAACCATCTGGAAATATTCTGTTTTTGATGAAGGATTCGATGAGGGCTCGCTATTAGACAATGATGTAAGGAAAAAGGAGAAAACAAGGTATTGTTGACATTTATTAGCCTTTATACCAATGGGACACCCCTAAAAGATTTGCCAGAATGGATACAAGCCTCCTGCATGCATTTAATTTATTTCTTCAAAGAAGGTGGAAACTGGCACTGAGCTTCCATGGTTCGCATCGTGACCATACAAATTATAAATGTTTTCTTCGATTTGCAAATAAAAAGGTTTTTCTCAATAACTGGCTATGAGACTCCTTACTTAAAGGAAGTCGATTCGCGCTTCAATTTATATTAGGAGGTTTTTGCCGTTTTTCGAATACATCTACAGAATCAGTGCTGGTTTCCTACCTGGTGCTAGTTTTAAAATCACACTTATCATATGGTGTGGCATGCATTTAGTACCCATAAAAACCTGGAACACTTGTGTTCCAAATTTCGTGCATACATTTTTATTGCTCACTGAAGATCGAGAGGGTTCTTCTGGAGGTACTCTTCAAATGTCGTCAATTTCGCATGGATGTTCTTGGTAGACCGTTCGGCAAGCTCCTTTCCCTTTGGACCCAAAAAACCAAACTCTTCCACGAAAAGCATAAGGTGAACGTTGATACTGCTAAGAGCTGGCATGGCTTGATAAAACTCATCAGCAGATACCTGCTTATACTTGACAGTCTTGCCTGTCGATTTACTGATCATCTCTGCTGCTTCCTCAAATGAGCAAAAGGTTGCTGCTGCATATAAGGTTTCACCTTCAAATTTGTCCGGTTCTGCAAGAATAGCACCCACAAATTTGCCTGTGTCAGCAACAGGATCAAAAAACTCAAATACGCTCTGAGGAGAGACTACATTGAATATCGTAAAGGTCCCATTGTCTTGGCGTTGAGGGACAAAAAATGTGCTGGCAAAGTCTTGATAGAAGAAGCTTGGCCCAAAAAAGGCGCTCTTGATGGGGAGAGAGCGAATGTATTTCTCGATGTTGGCCTTGGCGTTGAAAGCATGGACGTGAGAATGCTTGCCACTAGAGACTTCACCTGCGTGCTGCACAGTGCTAAAAATGATATACTGGACAGCTACGGCGACAGCTGCGTCCGCTAAATTCTTGCCTTGAATGATTTCTTTAGCATAGAGGCTGTCGTCAAAACTCGTGAAAGTTAGGCCAAAGATAGTGTGCACACCTCTGAGAGCATGCTTGAGCGATCTTTATCATACAGATCTCCTTTGACGACCTCAACACCTTGCTGTTGCAAGACTTGGGCGGCTGGTTTGGAGGGATTGCGAGTCACAGCTCGAATCACGAATTGCTTGGACAGCTCCGGATGATTGAGGACATAGTTAATAACAGATCCTCCTTGTTGACCAGTGGCTCCAAAGATGGCGAGGGTCTCAGAGGATGAGGACATTTTTTTTTTTGTAACGAGGCTATAAAGGCTGTTAAGGACATTGCCATCTGTTTAAATAGATTTTTTTGTGCTGCGTGCCACCACGGGGACACCAGCGTCATCTTTTCCCTGTCATTGGACTCGTTCCTCTTCGGTAAGTGTTAGGCGATAGTATGGTACAGCTAATAATCCTGCCTTTTCTCAGAGCGACAAAATCGCAAATCGATCTGGTGATCTTAAAGAATAGTAACAAGCTCCTCTATCAACTTACTCTTGCTGTGCAAAGATCAAATTATCAGAACTGGATAGAATATTCTGCCACTCTTCTCTTGGTGTCTCTAGGAAGAAATAGGCTTAAAATAAATGATTATGTATTGAAGTGCACTCCTCCAAGCCATGAATGTAGACGGGTCATTCAACAACGTTGTATATTTTTTAACTTTTTTATTTTGGGCTCATACATTGATGGATCATTACAGATGGAGAGGGTTCTTCAGGAGGAACTCCTCAAATGTGGTCAGTTTGTCATGAATATTTTCTGTAGACCATTCTACATGCTCCTTTGATTCAAAAAAACCAAACTCCTCCAGGTAAAGCATAATATGGATGAAGCATTGGCTGTAAGTCGCCGGTATGGTATGATTAAACTCATTCACAGGCACCTGCTTGTACTTTACGATCTTGCCTGTTGCTTTACTGATCATCCCTGCTACTTCCTCAAATGAGCAAAAGGTTGCTGCTGCACACAGGGTTTTGCTTTCGAACTTTTCCGGTTCTGCGAGAATAGCACCCACAAATTTGCCTGTGTCAGCAACAGGATCAAAAAACTCAAATACGCTCTGAGGAGAGACTACATTGAATATCGTAAAGGTTCCATCACCTTGGGGCTGAGGGATAGTAAAAAAGCTGTAAAAGTTCTGAAAAAAGATGCTTGGTAAGAAAAAGGCGCTCTTGATGGGGAGAGAGCGAATGTATTTTTCGATGTTGGCCTTGGCGTTGAGACCGTGCACATGAGGGTGTTTGCCATTGGAGGTTTCTCCTGGGTGCCGCGAAGTGCTAAAGATGATATATTGGACACCTGCGGCGTCAACTGCATCTGCTAAATTCTTGCCTTGAATGATTTCTTTAGCATAGAGACTGTCGTCATATTCCGTGAAAGTAGCCCCAAAGACAGTATATGCACCTCTGAGAGCATCCTTGAGTGACTCTTTGTCATACAGGTCTCCTTTGACGACCTCAACTCCTCGTTGCTGTAAGGCTTGTGCGACTGGCTTAGAGGGAACGCGTGTCACAGCTCTAAGCTTGAATTGCTTGGATAGCTCTGGATGATTGAGGACATAGTTGATAACAGACCCTCCTTGTCGACCAGTGGCTCCAAATACGACGAGGATTTTAGGCGTTGACTTCATTTTTTTTTTTTTTTTTTTTGAAAAGGTTATGAGGCTATAAAGATTTGTTATTAATGATGGTGTAGCTTGAAGACGTGGATTGACAAGGAAAGTGATGAATACTAAGATATTTATATTTTCTGTGCTATTGTTACCACGATTTTTTTCCTCCAATGGAGTGTTCATCTTTCACTATTGACGTTTCTCAGCACGGTGTATCGTCGGCACTAGTAAGGCATAAAGCTAGTAACACAACTAGCTCAATGGTGGGTAACACAAGTGTACCATTGTGTGAAAATAAACCTATCAATGACAAATACAAAAAGTTCAGAATCACATTCAGGGATGAAGGCTCGCGGACCAGTGATTTTTCCGCGTTCAATAGATGGCAATGCATCCATTGGAGGAGTATTCAATTGGCAAATGCAGGGTGACTAAGGCCACTTCGTAGGCGTTTTCTTTGTGTGTGTTGAGAAGGGAGGCGTTGAGTTGAGCCTAGGGGTTATCTCTTCGTTTTTTTCTTCATCCCTCATAGTAGTGCATTTACTTTTGGTGATAACATTGTAGGGCTGGTAAAATGGCATTTGTTAAAAGCCCCTCCGCCTTATTTATGCATTGTACACCTTCATGCTGCGGTTTGTCGTGTGAAAATTCAGTGGACATCACACTTTGCATTATTTACTCGAGGAAAGAATGAGACGGCGCATACAGATCCATCTATTCTTTTATCCATTTAAACCTACTCGAGAGTATTGAAGTATATTGATAAAAGTAATAAAAACACATGCAGAAGCTCACTTATGACAGTTAGCCCTTCAAATGGGCTTCCCCATATGTGCATCGATAAGGCTGGGCTTTCTAAAGCCGCTTTTAGTGGTTACTCCAAAAGTCTATAGCTGCTTTCAGCGCTTGAAAATAAGTTTTGGCAATCATAGTTGATGCATCAAGTATTTAAGAAGAATAGGTGGTTGAATGTTGAAAAGCCCACAAGAAGTCACCCAAAGCTTCTAAACGTATTTGCTTCGAATGACGGGCGCTTGAGATTTTAGGCAACTGTATTAGAATATAAGGAATGCGGTTTTCTTGAAAATAAATCCCATGACCCTGAGGGTCCTTGTTATCAAAAAAAAAAAAAAAAAAAAAAAGAATGCGGTTTTCTTGTATGGAAACCCCTGGCCCGTGAGAAACATATACATGTACATGTATTATTCCTCCATCAGAATCCAATGGAGTGAACTAACATATAAAATGTCTGAAGGGGCATTAAAATGCATCTGAGATTCAATTGGACAACGTATACCAGATCCATGCATTCTTTAAATCCATCATTTGTTCAACCCTCCGTTATGTTCTTAGATTGTCTCCAAAACCAAAAAAAAAAAAAAAAAAAAAAAAAAAAAAACGCACTTTTGGATCCGAATGATACACATTAAGGTCCTATGGCAGGTGCGTGTAGACCTCGAAATTTGCCAACCCCCACAGCAGCTCCTACTGCTCTCTCTCTGCAGAGGCATGTTCAAAGTCGTATAGAGATTCAGGTCTATACGAAATAGACGCTCCTATTGATCCAGAGTGCTCGGTTGATGCGATGTTTATCTCCAATAATATTGCATCCATTTGAACTTATCACTCTTTTTAGTGACAGACATTTCCCAGTAACAAGAGATTTGTTTAGAAAAGCCGTAGAATAAAGAATTAAATTGTTGAATAACAATGGTCACGCAAATCAAAAAATCGAAGACTAGGGGGTAGACGATGCAATATTATTGGAGTATAGACACTTCGCCAGGTGAAGCCTCTTCTGACCAATAGAGATGTCTATCCCGTATGGACGTTTTGTTCTTTTCGATTTTGAAAGAGACTACGGAGCACGTATAAATAGCACTTCTAGAAAACTACTCGGTTGTTCCAATTAAAATAGCTGTCAAACTTTTAAGAGAAAAGGTTTATTGTATGATGAAAAAGTCAACCAAAAGTTCCCAAAGCTCCAGGATATGTTTTATTATCAATGATGAATTTGATAAGCGCATGGTATAGGGCAATGACATAAGAAACGATGGCTTTTTATTGTCTGTAAGCCCTTAAAGAACTGTAAAATCAGATAATAGTGCTCCTGCATGGACACATTAATGACTTCTGTCTTGGCAAACTTCTGGATTTATACTTGGGAGAAGGCCGAAGCTGACATAAAAAAATGACGACATCAGCATTTACTGATAGATTTCCTCTGTTTTGTAGTGTGAAAATTCTGATGGCGTCGAGTAGTATGAAAATATGGTTCTACTTGCTTCGTGGTTGGTGGCGAACCCCGTGTTGATCTGTAGCTCCAAGAAATTTTATGAAGTTGGCTGTTTCAGATGGTCGATGTTGAACGGCTACCAAGTCAAAGAAAAAAAAAGAACCGCAGAAACTTAGGACTCTTTTTTTTTTTTTTTTTTTTTTTCTTTTTGGATATAAAAATATGGGCCTCGGTTAATGGTAATAGGGAATGGAAGGTAGGATGTTAGATCTAAATCCACTTCCCAGATTACTCAAGAATGCTGTGTTATTTTTCAACGAAAGTTGAAGTTGAGGAATAGAAATAAGCTTTTATTTTGCAAACTATCTGAACCTCTGCATATTTTACTCGTCTGAAATATGTATCCACCATCTGAGGCTTATGCTTAACTTGAATCTCACCAGCACTGGAACTCGCTTATACTATTTGTATCCTGAGAAGTTTGTTTTGAACACACATCAATGGATTTTCTCATGAATGCTCATTCCAGATGAAGAGGGTTCTTCTGGAGGAACTCTTCAAATGTGGTTAGCTTATCATGGATGTGATTGGTAGACCAAGCGACACGCTCCTTCGCCTCTGGACCAAAGTAGCCGTGTTCCTCCAGGAAAAGCATAACGTCAGCGGTAATTCTGCTATGAGTGCTTGGTATGATATGATCAAACTCATCCACAGACACTTGCTTGTACCTAACCGTCTTGCCTGTCGCTTTACTGATCATCTCTGCTATTTCCTCATGCGTACAAAAGTCTGCTCCTGCACACAAGGTTTTACCCTTAAACTTGTCCGGTTCTGCGAGAATAGCGCCCACAAACTTGCCTGTGTCACCAACAACATCAAAACAATAAATCCCACTGTCGGGAGAGACAACACTGAATATGGTAAAGGTCCCGTCATCTTGGCGTTTAGGAACAAAAAACATTTGATAAAAGTCTTGATAAAACATGCTTGGTGCGAAAATGGCGCTCTTGATGGGGAGAGACCGAATGTACCCCTCAATGTCGGCTTTGACGTTAAAAGCATCCGCATGAGCATGTTTGCCATCGCTGACTTCGCGTGTATGTGGTAAAGTACTATAGATGATATACTGGACTCCTGCGGCGACGGCCGCATCCGCTAAATTCTTGCCTTGAAGCATTTCTTTAGGATAGACACTCTCATCAAAGCTGGTGGCAATATTCGCAAAGACAGTATGGGCACCACTGAGAGCAGCGTCGATCGACTTTTTGTCAAATAGATCCGCTTTGACAACCTCGACTCCTCGTTCCTGCAAGGCTTGCGCGGCTGGTTTGGATGGGACGCGGGTCACAGCCCGAATCTTGTATTGCCTGGATAGTTCTGGATGATTGAGAACATAGTTGATCACAGACCCTCCTTGTTTGCCAGTAGCTGTAAAGACGACGAGGATTTTAGGCGATGGTTTCATTTTTTTTTGGAGAGACGATGAGGTAAAGGCTGTTCTTCTTTTCTTGAGAGGGATGATGTAAGCTGAAGGAGGAGGAGGAAAGTGATGAGCATAGGCATCTGTTTAAATACTTTTTACTGCATTTTAAAGTCTTTATATTTCCACCTCATCACTGATGGCTAACTAATATGGTATACCGCCGACGTGTCAAAACATATCATATTTACCACTACTGATATTTCATTCATGTTCCCTCGTAACAGCGGTATAGCAATTGTGCAACAAACACAAGCAAGTTTGAACCACATTCAAGGATGGCTATCAAGTTCAATGATCATATGATTGGTCGCATGCAAGGTGACCAAGGGAGGATCCAACCCCTAGATGGAGCTGCTGTGTACAAATAATGTAATAATGCGGTGAATGCTTATTTGTCACAGAAAATAGCCTTAAGCCTATAAAAAGGCCTTTAATGGTAATATCCCTTTGACCAATTGAGTGTGCTATTTTATATTAGGCTCGTTCCCAGCCCTCTCCGTAAGTGCATCTTTATCAAAATGTTTCCATTTTTGGATGCTACTTACTGGAGGGGCTGGTATAGAGCAGGAAATGGTATGAAAATACTAGGATAATAAAATGGGAGGCGCTTTTCTCTTTTCTATGAAGGTTTGTACGAGCTACAAGGGATAACAGTGTATAAAAACATATTTTTTTTCTGTACTCAACCGACTTCTACTCATGAAAATACGCTTTATCACTACTTAAAGATCGTATTGATTTTAGTATTTCAGTACCAGTATCACATACTAGTACTGCGTACTAAAATAACGAAAATTTAGTATGACATACTCGTACTGCGTACCAAAATAACAAAAATGCCATTTTTTTTCCACAAACAATCAATCAAGCATGCACTGATTCTAAGCACTCACATTAAAGATACATTGGTACTAAAAACACGCCCGCACAAATCATATGTAGTGATACTACTACTTGTTCTATGCAATACTATTATTCTCCAATAGTTCCACTCTCTGCAGATGCTGTGATCGTGTTACCCGCACTCCCAGTTGCCGCATGGCCACATCGTACTGCTCTTGAGGCAGCTTAGTGAGGCAAGTCCGAAGAAAGTGGTAGGACCTTGTAATAAACCACCCTTTCTTGATGTTACTTGGGACCTTGACTACAATTCTTTTAGCTTGCCTCTCCAGCTGACTATTGCAGCCCTCACATGTTGGCAACCTTCCCTTATTGGTAACGACGTCGGTGAGAACACTGAATGGATAGTTTTGCTGTGCTTTCTGTGGCTGCTTAATACAATCCACCTTTGGATCTTCTTTAGAGCTTCCGTGGCTCTCAATTGAATCCTCTTCAGAGCTTCCGTGGCTGGCATCAACATGTGGCGCCTCAGTTCTGCTCTTTTCAAAGAGGACAATAAAATATTCAACCTCATTTTGCATTGGATTTGTGCGAGCCACATTTTAGTATCATGGAAAGAAGATCTTAGTATCACTTTCCATGGGGTTTGTGCGGGTAAGTTTTAGGTTAGTATCACTTGCATGTTTATTTATGAATGTCAACTCTTGTGTTAGTATCACTTGCATCTTTGTTTATGAATGTCTAGTATCACTTCCATGTGCTCTCAAAAAAAAATGGGCGCTCGGGGCGGGATGGAAATAATACTAATATGCATTTACGGGGTTCATCTCCCAAAGTGCCTGAGTGCTCCATATACGCATATTCGCGTTCTCAGGATCCATAGAAAACCAGATACTCTATAGTAAAGTCCCTCATTTCGGCCCCAAACGTGTTGAAACTTCTAGAGTCGATAAAGCAACCGAAAATATATCTTTCAAAACAGGAAATTGTATTTTTGGGTAAAAATTGAAAATGTTTATATTCAAAAGTTTGAGAACTAGGGCATCTTGAAGTCAAGGTTTCTACGGAAATTGTCTAGCTTTTAGACAAAATATTGCAGAGCCATCAGAATATTTCCAAAACTGACCAAACTTTCCAAAAAGTAAGAATATGTAGTGCATAATATAATGTACTAAGGGACCATACGTGTTCTTATAAAAGGAATCCGAAGTTCCTTAATGAATAAAACCGAAAAATCCCTAAAAAATGATATATTTCTCTCTTCAGCTATAAGTAAAGTCTATGAAAAATGCTTGGATTTTGGAAAACTAAGACTCTATACAAAGCTATGTAACGTATCTATCATATACTATGTGGAAAAGCGCTTTGATGTATTTTTGAGGGAAAGGCAGACACTTTGGCTTGACATTGAACCTCATTTCGACCATTTTATAACCTTTAAACGGCAATAATTCCATAAATACTTCAAGGATTAAGATCAAAAAATCCTTGCTTTGTAAGTACCAAAGCCTTATATCCCCCGATACCTCATCCATTTTTTCTATAATCGATATACATCCAGCAATAGCCTATTTTACTATTTGCGATAATCTAGCTGTCGAAGTCTTGTAAGTCCATTTTTTTACATTAGTTTTGTGCGGCAAACTTAATTTCTAATTTTAGACCAGGAGAGAAAAGTGGTTTTTTGTATTATTTGTTGGTCCTTCTCAATTATAAGATTTTTGTTAAGTAAACCATTTATATTTGAAGGAGAGCGACAAGCTCCCTCGTTTTTGGATAGGTCTGTTCGGACGTTTACTTGGTTCTGATCATTATAGCAAGTATAAATAGTTCGGTTAATACCGTCCTCAGTTAGTTTGTATATACAATTTGTTTATGTGTGAAGAATTCGACAACAGGTAGGTTTTGTGAACACTTTGCAATTGTGGAAAGGGATTTGCTAGACATCTTTCCCGTGACATGCATCTAAAGAGTGACAAAAAAATCAGCACTAAATTCTCCAACATTAGTACTAGTATGTCATACTAGTCCTGAAATACTAAAATCTGTACACTCCTACTTAAATACTAGCGATTAATGGCTCATCGGATTCCTCATGTAAAAATGCAGTTTTCGTGTTGTTTAAAGGAGACTTCATTGGTGCATGCTATTTTTTCTGATTTGCAACAATTCATTTTCCTTTCATGTACCTAGAATGTTTTCTAAACGCGTCAGTTGGACTTCAGTAGTAACTATGGTTCTCTAATTTCATTTCAATGCACCTGAAAACCACAGAAAGGTTGCACTACAGTATGCGCTCGCTAATATAAAATATTGGCCTGATCCGGTGTGGTCAGAAAGACTTCCACTAGAAGCGACTGGATTCAGTACTTTAACGACATCTGTGCTGATATTGTTGTAAATAATATTATTAAATAGGTGTATCTTTGCTTAAGGGGGAGAAAGATAGACACAAAATCAGGGAACGACAGTGTCAACAGGAATATCAAGAGAAAATAAAGGCAAATAACCTTGACGACAAACAGCGCCATAGGATGGCAAAGAAGAGAAGATGGGAGCTTTATAGACGAGCTCACAAAATGGTCGGTGTGAAAAGGGGAAAAGATAATAACAAGAATAAGACGTATGGGAGAAACTGAATACTTTATTGAAGGGAGTTTCTCTAGCTCTTAAAATCTAGTCTATGGACCTGACTGTGGTGCTTTCTAGGCGAGTAAAGATTTCTTTAACTGTGTATACAAAATATTGAAATAGAAAAATTAATTAGATAACTTGATAATCAGCCACAACAGTACCACACAATAACATTGTCTATGCTATTCCCTCTATTCGCTGTTGAACGAGGCTCACAGATTTCTGGCAAGTTCATCAGCCTTTTGCTGCCTGCGGCCATGCTATGGCTAGTATCATTCGAGAAATCTTTGGTCCTGCTGCCAGAGTGACGATACACCTTGATGGGTCTCGCTGCGTTGAAAAAGCCCGCGCTTATGAAGACCGATATGCTAAGCGTGTAAAAGCTGACGAAAAGCTCGATACACTCATAACCAACATGGAAGCCAAGTCCAAAGAAGTGAAATGGGGATCTCGAAGCAATATGGCCGCCATTAAAAAGAATCTTCGATAGCTTTTCACATTCAGTGATGGCGACAAGGTGGCACTCTTAGCGCCATTTGGGCAATATGGCTTTACAGTCTGCCCTTGTCAGAGTGAGGCCGATGTATGTATTGCCAAGTCCTGTGGTAATAACGGTATCGCTGTATCTGGGGACTCTAATCTTCTCATCTATTGTAAAATTTAAAGAGTTCTTCGTCCAACGCCGCCATCACAAGTATGCGCTGTATGAGAAAGATGAGGTCCTGCATGCCCTCAAGTTTAGACACGATGCACAACTCCTGGTCTATGGCACTGTATCCGATAACGATTACACCCCAAATATCCCAACCTTTGGCCTTACCACAAACGCAGATATTATTTGAAACCTCATTGACCCCAATACTCAAGACGTGATGCTATTATGTTTCAAGAGGTCCGTAATCGTGGCACACAAGATTTTTCTGAAGACCAATTTAACAAATCATTCGATGCCTTCGCCGGTGGTGGAGGTGATGATGGCACCACCAAAAGAAAGTTCTCAGATGACGGAGAAGGAGTGGAGGGATCAAGGCCACCAAAAGAACCTATGTTGAGCTCAGGAGAAGGAGAGACATCAAGCGAGCAGCAACAATAGAACTTCTACTACAACAAACATTAATAGACCTCGAAGGGTCTTCGTTTTAAAAAAAGTTGTAAGTATATATGAGCTTGACAATATATTTTTTTTATTAATGTATTTTCTTTTTAGATGGAAAATCCTTTTAATGGGATGGGCTATATATTAGCCTTTCGTTGTCGTTTATTATTGCAGACTGTTTTCCTCCATGTCGCTACGAATTCATGATCATAAAGTAAAAATAAATAAAAATAAAATACATCTTATCTATCCAGTTACAATGCATTTATTTATATTTTAGTCGATAGTAGGGGTTCCAAAAATTAATTTAAGCGTCGATACCCAGCAAAAACGGTGATTGGAATTGAGTTCCAGAAAAGGTTGTCTACACCCGATATTGCTTCCTTTGCGGTGCTATGTCAATACACAGGACTTCCTTGCCAGAAACTTGACGTGGAACTAGTGGAACAACACCGGTTCTAATAAGAGACTTTTAATCATTTATTCTCAAAGCAGTTGTTTAAGAACATATCAATTTAGTAGATGTAATTTATCTCAAACATAATTCTTGCTTTCGGACACTGTTGGAAGATTACAATTTTACATGCACCGAAACGAAATGTAGCCCAAACAATATGTCTACACTCCTTACAACATGCCGCACCCCGCCTCCGATGGTCTCGCCGCGAACTAAACTTAACCCTGCAAGACGCAAGTGACATGGCTGTGCTCGGTACATTCAATTAAGTCGTATTCAAACTGTATTCAATAGACTTACCAGATTTCATACAAACTTAATCATTTTTTTTCATATTTTTGTATCTTTATATACACACAACAGCCAAGCCACCGATAGGCTCGTGACGCCAGTTAGCGTTAGTGCAATGCACATAAGCCACACAAGCTAGTGATGAGCCAAGTCAATTGACGCATCTTTGTTTAAAATTTAATTCTAAGAAAAATCAAATTGAAAAACACCAGTACAATGGACGCCAATAATAATTCCAACTCTGTGCCTCGAACTCACCTTGATTGGCTCGCAGACCAGAAGGAAAACTATGCAACTCTTTTCCCAGAGTTTGTAAACAAATTTAACCTTACTGAGAGTTCCTCGGCCGAAGCTGCATTCGACAATTTAATTCGGTCTAATAAGTTAAAGAAAGAGCTCCGGAATCGGCTCATCGATGAATTTAATACGTGGAAGAAGAAGAAAAGTGAGAGATTTTGGACCGTGAACGCCATTCGGATTTCCACTAGGAGAGCGGTGGGCAATACAGCGCAAAGAGTTGTTCGGAATGCTGAGGGTTTACTACAGAAACAATTGGACGCAGATAGAGCAATCATTGAGGCTCCTACCGAAACATTAGCGTCTCCATCACTTACAACTCCAGAAGATCAGCATATTGATGAAGTCCAAGAAGGCAAGTAATTTTTGGCGAGTGCATATTCATCATGATAGAAACTTTTTTACTGACAACCATTGATATTTAACTTCCACTTTCCTGTCGCTACTTTTTTTTTTTTTTTTTTTTTTTTTTTGGCCTGTTTCCTAAACTCGATCTAAAAGACTGTCATTTCTACTCGGGCGTTCTCCACGAGGAAAACGGCTTCTGAATGATAATGAATGTAAGTGTGCTATTGATTAAAAGATATACAAGGCTTGTAGTGCTTCCTATTTGCCAAGATACCCATCACCATCTCCATCATCCACAAGCTTAACTTGCAAAATTAAGAACTGGTTTTATGATTCTCAGATGCTCAATTTGCCTTTAGTAAATTGTACTATATACTGATTACGTTTTTACTCTATTTTTAGCTGCCGTCTTTCCACAGAGTAATCAGGAATCAAATAAGAAGTTACGATTTGACTTGGATGAATCAAGATTTATGGCTCCAGGTAATCCGTTTGAGGACGATAGCAGCAGTAGTGAAAGCTTTATACCAACGACTTTGGAAGACTCCACAGGAGAGTACTCAGTTATTATTGATCGTCCCCAACGGATTGTACGTCTTGTTGGACCAGGCCAAGAGTCATCATCTCTTACGCTTGATCACTGGTGTTTTGGCGATCAAGATGTTTCCCAGAAGTTGATGCAAAACCGAGCATCGTTAGTAAAATGTCATGAAGATTTGCAGGCGGTACATGAGATTTTGTAAGCCTTTATAACCTTATTTCTGTAGTTTTAACCATTCTTGATATAACTATTAACATTAATTGATTGGATATTTAGGCAATTAAATTTTATTTTCACGCAGGATGTAATACTCGACATCACCGAAGCAAAAGAACTCGCCCCAACCACCTGCTGCCAACCCATCCGCTCATCGTCCATAGCTCTCGCTATATCAGAGCTGGCTTTCACAGCAGCCAACGATGGATACCTCGCGACGGTGAGCGAATGGAGAAAGATCCGAGAATCGATAGAAGTAGAGAGTGAGCATGGAGAAAAATGGGAGGTACTTCAAAAGATGTTGGACCACATGTTTATTACAGCGACCTTGTGGAGTCCTCTTAAATACACAAGCAAGCGAAAAGGAAACGAGGATAGCTTCTACACCAACATTGTTCGCCCTTTTTTGACATGTGCCTTTGGTCAGCTTCCTGATGTCAAGTTGAGGGGTAACGGCGACCGCTTCACCTGCGGATATGAGCTAGATAAGGAGCTCTTATTCCCTGACTTCGCGGTCACAATGGAGTGCTACAGGAAGGCCCTCGGAGAACATTACCTTGCAATCGCCGAGGTTAAACCTCCAAGCGCTTCCCAGGATGAGCTTGATGACGACTTCATCAAACTACCAAACTTGATGAAATCAGCACTCGATCATCAAATCGCACAAGGCTATGGAGATGGCACAGTGGTTGGGCTGTTGGTACAAGGGTGGAAAGTCCTTGTATTCTACATGGCACTCGAGCACGAAGCTGTGTATGAGTTGAGGAACGTCGGTCAGTTTCACTTGATTGCAGACCACACCCAGATGGCACAAGTTCTTTCAATCTGTTCAGTATTTGTGAAGGCCAAGGTATTATTTCTTTCTGGTCTGTTCAGCGCGATTCTGGTCAGCTCTTTTTTTTTTTTTTTTTTTTTTTTTTTTCTCGAGAGTCAGTATGTTTTAAGCCTCGCTTGCCTTTTTTTTTTTTTTTTTTTTTTTTTTTTTTTTAAAAAAAAAAAAACTGTAGGAGTTGGTTGAAGAAACAAGAAAAACACTGCGCCGACGACCAACCTCAAATCCATCACCCAAAGGTCAGTTCTGTCGTCCCTCCTATCATATCGCCCCTATAATGATCCATCCCAATAATAGCGACGATACAAGCTAAAGCTGAGGTGACGTAAGGAGCATCTAATCAAGAGTAGGAAGATGGATTTAAATGAAATGGGTCTGTTAGGAATTAAGCATTATCTTTAAGGATGCTTTGTAGTCACAATTCATTTGATCTTCGGTTTTTTCATTTCTATACCCTTTATTTCTGGCGTTCTATTAACACTCTTATCCAATACTGAATAATACTTAGTTGTTTGATGGCCTTTAATTGTTTTTATTTTTCATAGTGTATTATATCCTTGTGCTTTATTTTGTACTTTTTTTTGGTTTTATTTTTATTTTGGCTTTGCAGAAGTAAAAAATAGTGCCTCAATTTAGAACAAAAAAGCATTATTAAATTTTCTGACGTGGTAAAAAGGCAGAATTTATCTGTCCTAATCTAATGTCACCCTGTTAGATCTCCTACTTCATCAGCGCTTTAAGAACACCTTGACCTTGTCGACATGGAAGTACTTTACTTAATTTAAAACCTTAAAAATATAGTAATTGATTTTTAGGTGAGCTAATAAAGTCGTTTATGGCGCCAGGGGCGGTTACTCTGGTATTCGCAAGAAGACCACACTAGGCAGATATCACACTCATGAACAGGAAGGATGTGGTATGTTTGTAGGATAAATCCACAAAGCAGATTGCTTCACAATCAGCAACAGACTATACCTGTTGTCTACATCAATCGTGCTTGTAGAATGGTTAGTTCAAATTAAAAGCCGAATTTGATAAACCCTTGTAGGAGGCGCAGAGGTGTCCTCTGACCGGTAGACCAGAATAACGCTATGATACCGTCGACTTCATGATATTCTCACTACTGAATCATAAAATACGCACAAGTACATCCATCTCATGGAGTGCACGCCAAGAGCGGACACCCGATATTCACTCAGTAGGCATCTATTCCCCCCATGATCTCAAGAGAATGTGAGGATAAGAGTATTATAGTATCCTTGCAGCCAGTACACCAAAACCCAGATCTTTTTTTTTTTTTTTTTTTTTTTTTTTCATGGTAAACTTGATTGATGAAATATACAGCTGGTCTACTAGTAGAATACAATGAGAATGGACTCTTCATTCTTCCTTCAGGACACCAACAAAGACTCTAGCTCTGTCGCATGCTGTACGGACCAAGATAAAAAAAGCGGATAAAAATTTTATTGTGAAATACAGGATCTAACATTAAACCTATAGTCCGATGAAGGGAAAAAAAAAAAAAAGACATAGAGCTATAGAAAGGACAGAAAATAGAAACAAAAAAAAAAAAAAAAAAAAAAAAAAAACAGAAGTAACACTACTTCTGGTCCTGAGACTTTCGTTTAGACAGGATCCGGAGTAGTTCTCAACAGAGTGTCGACGCCTACTGGTAGCTCTAAACGCTGGAACTGATAACATCATGTGCGTTCTAGAAGTTAAGCAAAAGCCCTATTTGGTGCAAAAAGAGGTCATGTCAGTGCAGACATCTAGTTTCTAAACGCAGACGAACAATAACACAAAACAAGGCATGCTCGTGGCTTGGGTATTGGGTATGCCAACGAATGATGGCTGGTTGATGGTATTGATGTCATTTCCTGGTCATGATGGTAAGATGATGCAATTCTTTGCTCGACCTTCTGCCTTGGCTGAACAAAGCGCCCATCTATTACAGAAGATAGTTCGCCGTCAGGTCTTCATCGGCAGCTCTCAGAAGAACCTGACTGAAGGAAGGAATCGAGCACAATTCATGCTTGATCGACTCTTCATTCTGATGAACTACCCCCGGTGCCATCATTGCACGAAAGACTTGTTATAAGCCTGTATACCAAGATGGTGCAGCTCCTTGCTCGACCTTCTGCCCTAGCTGAACAAAGCGCCCATCTATTGCAGAAGATAGTTCGTCACCAGGTCTCCATCGGCAGCTCTCAGGAGAGCCCGGTTAAATGAAGGGATCAAGCATAATCCATACTTGATCACCCATCCATTCTGATGAACTATCCCCGGCAGCATACATCGTGAGTCTCCAGAGCGACAATCAACAGGCGATGTGAAAACGAGATGTGGATAAGTCAAACTGAATGTGAAGACGCGGAAGCATAACCTTTATTTGAATTATTCAAAGCCACAGCGTCATGGCCATTTTTAGAAGCAATTCTAAAATGAAACAAATGAATTGGGTGGCAAATGAACCATATCCCTCAGCATCAGCGAGCAGTTACAGTTGGTCACTTTCACATTCCTCGATTACATTCGTGACAACAGGCTTCGCTGTTTTCAATCTATAGAGCCAATATTTCAGCCGTCTGCATGCCTAAAGAAGCGTCGAAGGAGAAGGGGGCTCAGGCAAGCGGCTCGAAGGGGTCACAACCTCGCTCTGTGAAGAAGAATGAGAGGTGGTCGGATGCATTCATGGGCATTACTGGGTCAGATTACTTCTCTTCACTCAAGGACCCTAGCTCTATTAACCACATAGAGTACTTCCGACACTGCAAACCCAACCACTATCAAAAAGCCCATTACCATAATTTATGGGGGCACGATATCTTATCTATCATCGAGCACAGCCCTATACAGCGCCTTTCGGAGCAGCACAAACGGCTGAAGCGCGAGTGGAGCGAGACAGGAGCAACAGAGAACTTTTGGGAGCAGGTCCTTACTGAAGAGCTAAGTCGGCGCGATGAATTGAATCACAAGAGACAACTAGTGGCTGTACGAGAGAATGCTGTAGACCAGCTCGAGGACACATATCAATTCTACAGCAAGCGAACTCGACTTTCAAATGGTATGTATCAAACTCATCTTTGGACAATGAATGGGATGAAGGGGAGTGAATATACTAACATACAGTGGACCCAGTCCGTAACCTTGGAAACGTAGGGGACGAGAACCAGGAGACGGCAGAGTCTGACATCTCTGGAAGTGAAGAAGGTGAGGTGGGCTTTTCATTTCAAAGTCTAGACCTTCCGCATAGTACGTCCTGAGAAAGCTTTGTATTTCTGTTCAGGTTATATTTCTATGCTCTTTATTAACGGCGAGACATGATTTATTTTATTTTTTTATTTTTTTTTTTTTAGATATCGGTGAGCTAGAGCTACCATCATCCGATCCGTTCGATTCGTCGCTTCACAGCGATTGCTTTTCTGATGGTACTTTGGAAGATTCACCACCAGTCGGAATCTGCCGCCTTGTGGGACCAGGAACTCGCACATCGGAACTCAGTGGAGACTCCTTGTACTACAAGGATGGCATGTGTGTTTCCACGATGCTCATGAGCTATAGGCGTCGCCAAGTTGAAGATGAATCGTTTCTGCAGGATTTTCAGATAAAGGAGATTCTATCCTTGAACTTTGTGTTTTTCGATCCGCTCATCCACAACCTCCAAGACGAGCAGCTGGCTCAATGGAGGCGAGCCCTTGGCGATAGCGACAAGGCATTTATAGTAGGCCTAGCAGAGGCATGCTGCCAGCAAGGACGCGAAGAGGCACTACGAACCCTGTATTCTCTGGGCGTCAAGCTTGATCTCATCACATCACCTCTCTTCCTAGCCGCCCAGAGCCTAATGTCGACATCGGTGCTGTGGGCCGATACTGTCCTTGTCCGAGACAATGAAGACTCTTTCATTGAACGCTTCCTCAAACCACTTATGAACGCATTCTTTGGACAGTTTACAGAGGCAAGATTATGTTGGTAAGTGCATCTTTGCATCTGTTGATCTACTGTTAGGGCTGATCTGAGATCCATATACATCTTTACTGACAAGAGACTGCATTTATAAATCACAAATAGGACCCGCAACACTCTAAAGACAGGACATATCGGCGAGGGTGAACTCCTCTATCCCGATGTCATGCTATCGACAACATCCACTCCTCAGCACACAGTCCTTGTCGGAGAGGTCAAGAAAATGGATGGATCCGATCATGAATATGACCGAGATCGTGTGAAGCTGTTCATCGAAATGAAGCGCTGTTTGGACGGCCTTCTTGACTGCGGAGTAGATGGACCTGTGGTTGGCATCCTCGCTCAGGGACACCGGGTGGAGGTCTGGAACATGACGCTGCCATATGAAGCACTGTATGTGCCGACCCTTTTGGGCTCGTTTGATCTTATCCTGTCCAGGTACTATTTTGGTGCCTTCTTTGCTCTGGCCCCTCCTCTTCTTGCGGCAAAGGCAGTCATTCAAGACACACTGACGCGGTTGAGACAAGGACAAAGAAGGAGCTCTTTGAAATCAGGATGGAGGCGTGGCACATATCACTATGAGCCTCTCATTCTTAAACAAGACGTGTCCATCGTTCAAGAGGTTCGTGAGTTGAAGAAGGAGAATAAGAACAGTTGTAAGTGAAGCCTTCGCTTGGATAAAGGGCATAAAGATGTACAGTACTATTACACGTGGAAAGTTGTAAAATAATATATAAGCCCTGTATAAACTGTATAAATATAATAAATATAATTAAACATACACTTGCAGGACATCTGTATTAAATGCGGAAAATATGGCAAGGATTGGTATATTGATTGTATTTACTGAGATCGAGACCTCCAATTGGCTGACAATGTCAGAAGCGATAGCTTTCCAAACAATAAGCTATAAAACAACATCCTGTGTGCAGATGGAAAAAGCGACTCTTACAATGAGATAGGCATCAGCTAACAAGAGAAGGAATAATGGCTTCAAATCAATCAAACCCTAGTTACCATATGGATATACGCTTTATCACGAGATCTTACCAACATTAACCAAATTCTTTTCGTTCGCCGCAACTTCACCATCAGAAAATTTTCCCTTGGAAGTCCGTTGTCCCGCAGCTGTAGTAAGAGTGGTAATAATAATAGTAATTGTAATTGCAATATTAATGATAATGCATATGCGGCATATACCAATGCATCCAATGATTTAAGCAATCACCATTAATCTCATCTTTCCCAGGCCATTCAATGATTTTGAGTCCAATGTCTAGCGTGGTCCTTTAGGATAGCTTGGTGACCATTTCTGATACAAGGATGCTCATGGCCAAAACACGTCTTATAGGACTACTCCCCCTACAATGTGGAGGAGTGAATGCTTAGGTGCCTGGTGTTGATGTAGGCACTACAAAGGCGGTATCTGTGGAGCAAATAGTTAGAAACAAACTCATGTCCTTCAGCAGTCATGACTGCGTGTTGAATGAGCCAGAGGATACTTATAATCAACATGAACGAGATTTAGTAGAATTGGGTGATGTGTTGCAAGACCTCTTTTGGAGGTCGAAAAGAAAAAAGAAAAAGAAACCATATTGTCATTTAATAATGCTGGTAAAGCTTTTATGCATCAGAAGAGTGAGACTGATTGAATTAATCATTATATATTACAAAAAGAAGTAAAGGTGTGGCGCTTTTTTTTTTTTCCCCTTCTTTCCTAATTAACAGTGAGTGGTGGTAGATGATACAGCAGCAGCAGTAGCAGCAGCAGCAGTAGCCTTGAGTTCATGCTCGAGCCATTCCCGCAACACCCGCTCCACCAACCGTTGAGTTGTTGGGCTGGCAGATCGAGGAGGTAGAGATGAATCTCGTCGCTCAATGAATCCTGATATGGCTCCTGGTGTTGATGGTGGTGAGGCCATGTGCATATGAACAGGACAGCTACTATGACCACTTGTTGGTGGCAACACATTCTCGAGAATCACTGACCCAGCACTGCTTACAGAAGAAGAAGATGCTGGTCTCTGAATGGCATGTGCTGTTTTTTTGTCTACGATAGGACTACTACAAAGACTACTACTGCTACTACTGCAACTACAACTGCTGATGCTAGAGCTTCTCATTTGTGGACGCGAAGAAAAAGAAGAAAGTGGCGTAGATGTAGTTGAGGATGTAGATGTAGATGCAATAGTGGCATTGCTGCTCTGTCGATCGCGATAGGTCAACTTTCTATTTTCGTTCTCTGCCTGTAGCTTCTCTAATTCCCTCATCTCCTGTTCCCATAAATGCTGTCTCAATGATTCATCCATCTCTTCACCACCCAACTGTGCCAATAGCTTGAGGATTTCCGGACGTTTATATGTATCCTGCTCCTGTGCGAGTTGACTGTTCTTGAGCAATGGCCCCAAAACTCGAAGGTAAGCATGCCGGATTGGCTCCTGTTCCTCAGGTAGGTCCCAAAGCTCTCGAATGATTACATCCACAAGTACGTGTAGATCATTGGTATAAAAGAAGTGCCGAAGTTGTATTTTCGGCGATGTGAAGAGGAGATAGAGAAGCTTGAGAATTAACATTTGAAGAGATGGATCATCTATGCAGCAAAAGTTATAGAGAAAGAAGAAAGAAAATTGTTAATCAACCATGTCCAAAACCTTGAGTTTCATATGAATATCCAGTTTTTTTTTTTTTTTTCTTTTTTTTACCTGCTCGGTTTAACATAAAGATTAGGTTTTCGCCAAATGTACAGCTTGCACCAGGTCGGTCTGCCAGGACAACAAGTAGAGTGTTGGAAGGTGTATAATTGTAAGCAGCCTTGCAAGCTGTTTGGTTCAACATGAATTGCTCATTACATGTTAATAGTAGCTTGATAATGCTATAGTTTACTCCTTCATCCTCATCCGTCCTCGTCCGCTCCACGAGATCCAGCAAGTAATGAAGGAAATCTTCATCCAAAATCGCTATATAGTAGCATTCCATACAGGCATAATATTTAGTATATATATATATAAAAGGTACATAAAAGCACATGTAGAGGTTCATTTGTAGAGTCCTTCTTACCTAACTCTTGGGGTTTCAAAGATTGAACCCGACAGATCTCATACATTAAAGTGATAGCAAGAGGTTGTAGGCGCATGCCTAAATGAAAAAAAAAAAAAAAAAAAAAAAAAAAAAAAAAGATAAAATTATATGAAAAGATCAGCCACTGATAAACCCCCACGTTGCCTCCGTTTCCTGGTACTGAAGAAGATGAAAAAAATAGCCATTGTCTATTCTGTATTATTTTTTTTTTCTTACCACCCATCCGCAAAATTTGATACTTGAGTTTTGCAAAGAACTCGCTGGTTAGCATCCAATTATAGGCCTTGGGTGTTACCATGCCCGCATAGTAAAGAAAATGATATGTAACCCATAAATCCTCTTCGGCTTGGTTCTAAAGAGGATGAACCGATTTCTTTTGCACAATTAGTAAACTAGCATTAATGGGTATAATACGCCTGTGTGTCCGCTTTTTTTTTTTTTTCTAAAAATGATATCATATCATTCATTCATGCATGACTCGCACAGCCCTCGCGCAATCCTTAGTCTTCTTAAATGAATAAAGACATTCGTTTCCTTTTTTTTTTCTGTCATACCCTAACAACCTGTTACATCATTTGTAGCCCTATCTCTATAATCAATTTCTGATCAAAACTGTACCTGGACTGCACGATCACTAATGGTGGAAGTGATGCTGAGAGTATTGTTTTGGAACAGATCTGAATCAAAAAGACGATAACAACACTGTGCTAAATCTTGTCCTGATTGATCTAGAAACTGGTCTTTTTAAAGAGAAAAAAAAAAAAAAATTCGTCAGTCTGGAGCAATGAGAATTTGTCGGAAAAAAAAATGTCATCAAAAGACTTTGAGACCACGATAGATACGTCTTAAAAAAAAAAAAAAAAAAAAAAAATGGAACCCAATCATATCAGAAAAAAAAAAAAAAAAAAATGCTCCGCTCCTTCTCCACACACGTGTTTTTCATTATTTTTTTTTTTTATTTTTTTATTTCTGGATAATGAACTGTACGTTTCCATGCTGCGGTTTGTCGTGTGAAAATTCAGTGGACATCACACTTTGCATTATTTACTCGAGGAAAGAATGAGACGGCGCATACAGATCCATCTATTCTTTTATCCATTTAAACCTACTCGAGAGTATTGAAGTATATTGATAAAAGTAATAAAAACACATGCAGAAGCTCACTTATGACAGTTAGCCCTTCAAATGGGCTTCCCCATATGTGCATCGATAAGGCTGGGCTTTCTAAAGCCGCTTTTAGTGGTTACTCCAAAAGTCTATAGCTGCTTTCAGCGCTTGAAAATAAGTTTTGGCAATCATAGTTGATGCATCAAGTATTTAAGAAGAATAGGTGGTTGAATGTTGAAAAGCCCACAAGAAGTCACCCAAAGCTTCTAAACGTATTTGCTTCGAATGACGGGCGCTTGAGATTTTAGGCAACTGTATTAGAATATAAGGAATGCGGTTTTCTTGAAAATAAATCCCATGACCCTGAGGGTCCTTGTTATCAAAAAAAAAAAAAAAAAAAAAAGAATGCGGTTTTCTTGTATGGAAACCCCTGGCCCGTGAGAAACATATACATGTACATGTATTATTCCTCCATCAGAATCCAATGGAGTGAACTAACATATAAAATGTCTGAAGGGGCATTAAAATGCATCTGAGATTCAATTGGACAACGTATACCAGATCCATGCATTCTTTAAATCCATCATTTGTTCAACCCTCCGTTATGTTCTTAGATTGTCTCCAAAACCAAAAAAAAAAAAAAAAAAAAAAAAAAAAAAAACGCACTTTTGGATCCGAATGATACACATTAAGGTCCTATGGCAGGTGCGTGTAGACCTCGAAATTTGCCAACCCCCACAGCAGCTCCTACTGCTCTCTCTCTGCAGAGGCATGTTCAAAGTCGTATAGAGATTCAGGTCTATACGAAATAGACGCTCCTATTGATCCAGAGTGCTCGGTTGATGCGATGTTTATCTCCAATAATATTGCATCCATTTGAACTTATCACTCTTTTTAGTGACAGACATTTCCCAGTAACAAGAGATTTGTTTAGAAAAGCCGTAGAATAAAGAATTAAATTGTTGAATAACAATGGTCACGCAAATCAAAAAATCGAAGACTAGGGGGTAGACGATGCAATATTATTGGAGTATAGACACTTCGCCAGGTGAAGCCTCTTCTGACCAATAGAGATGTCTATCCCGTATGGACGTTTTGTTCTTTTCGATTTTGAAAGAGACTACGGAGCACGTATAAATAGCACTTCTAGAAAACTACTCGGTTGTTCCAATTAAAATAGCTGTCAAACTTTTAAGAGAAAAGGTTTATTGTATGATGAAAAAGTCAACCAAAAGTTCCCAAAGCTCCAGGATATGTTTTATTATCAATGATGAATTTGATAAGCGCATGGTATAGGGCAATGACATAAGAAACGATGGCTTTTTATTGTCTGTAAGCCCTTAAAGAACTGTAAAATCAGATAATAGTGCTCCTGCATGGACACATTAATGACTTCTGTCTTGGCAAACTTCTGGATTTATACTTGGGAGAAGGCCGAAGCTGACATAAAAAAATGACGACATCAGCATTTACTGATAGATTTCCTCTGTTTTGTAGTGTGAAAATTCTGATGGCGTCGAGTAGTATGAAAATATGGTTCTACTTGCTTCGTGGTTGGTGGCGAACCCCGTGTTGATCTGTAGCTCCAAGAAATTTTATGAAGTTGGCTGTTTCAGATGGTCGATGTTGAACGGCTACCAAGTCAAAGAAAAAAAAAGAACCGCAGAAACTTAGGACTCTTTTTTTTTTTTTTTTTTTTTTTCTTTTTGGATATAAAAATATGGGCCTCGGTTAATGGTAATAGGGAATGGAAGGTAGGATGTTAGATCTAAATCCACTTCCCAGATTACTCAAGAATGCTGTGTTATTTTTCAACGAAAGTTGAAGTTGAGGAATAGAAATAAGCTTTTATTTTGCAAACTATCTGAACCTCTGCATATTTTACTCGTCTGAAATATGTATCCACCATCTGAGGCTTATGCTTAACTTGAATCTCACCAGCACTGGAACTCGCTTATACTATTTGTATCCTGAGAAGTTTGTTTTGAACACACATCAATGGATTTTCTCATGAATGCTCATTCCAGATGAAGAGGGTTCTTCTGGAGGAACTCTTCAAATGTGGTTAGCTTATCATGGATGTGATTGGTAGACCAAGCGACACGCTCCTTCGCCTCTGGACCAAAGTAGCCGTGTTCCTCCAGGAAAAGCATAACGCCAGCGGTAACTCTGCTATAAGTGCTTGGTATGGTATGATCAAACTCATCCACAGACACTTGCTTGTACCTAACTGTCTTGCCTGTCGCTTTACTGATCATCTCTGCTATTTCCTCATGCGTACAAAAGTCTGCTCCTGCACACAAGGTTTTACCCTCAAACTTGTCCGGTTCTGCGAGAATAGCGCCCACAAACTTGCCTGTGTCAGCAACAGGATCAAAACAATGAATCCCACTGTCGGGAGAGACAACACTGAATATGGTAAAGGTCCCGTCATCTTGGCGTTTAGGAACAAAAAACGTTTGATAAAAGTCTTGATAAAACATGCTTGGTGCGAAAATGGCGCTCTTGATGGGGAGAGACCGAATGTACCCCTCAATGTCGGCTTTGACGTTAAAAGCATCCACATGAGCATGTTTGCCATCGCTGACTTCGCGTGCATGTGATAAAGTACTATAGATGATATACTGGACTCCTGCGGCGACGGCCGCATCCGCTAAATTCTTGCCTTGAAGCATTTCTTTAGGATAGACACTCTCATCATAGCTGGTGGCAATATTCGCAAAGACAGTATGGGCACCACTGAGAGCAGCGTCGATCGACTTTTTGTCAAATAGATCCGCTTTGACAACCTCGACTCCTCGTTCCTGCAAGGCTTGCGCGGCTGGTTTGGAAGGGTCGCGTGTAACTGCTCGAACCTTGTATTGCTTGGATAGTTCTGGATGGTTGAGGACATAGTTGATCACAGATCCTCCTTGTCGACCAGTAGCTGTAAAGACGACGAGGATTTTAGGCGATGGGTTCATTTTTTTTGGAGAGACGATAGGGTAAAGGCTGTTCTTCTTTTCTTGAGAGGGATGATGTAAGCTGAAGGAGGAGGAGGAAAGTGATGAGCATAGGCATCTGTTTAAATACTTTTTACTGCATTTTAAAGTCTTTATATTTCCACCTCATCACTGATGGCTAACTAATATGGTATACCGCCGACGTGTCAAAACATATCATATTTACCACTACTGATATTTCATTCATGTTCCCTCGTAACAGCGGTATAGCAATTGTGCAATAAACACAAGCAAGCTTGAACCACATTCAAGGATGGCTATCAAGTTCAATGATCATATGATTGGTCGCATGCAAGGTGACCAAGGGAGGATCCAACCCCGAGATGGAGCTGCTGTGTACAAATAATGTAATAATGCGGTGAATGTTATTTGTCACAGAAAATAGTCTTAAGCCTATAAAAAGGCCTTTAATGGTAATAAAAACACTTGCCTTCACTACCTAATACATTATTACTGCTGTTTGTCTTGCATTATCTGTAGATATCTGTAGTAACCTTTCTTTATAATGCAAAGATCTTAACAAACCTGTTCCCTTTACTTTTTTTTGTATTATTATCACAGGAATGTTAAGGCCTGCTGGACCGAAGTTGAAGAAGATGTTGTATAAAGTATATAAAAAAAAAAGAATATGTCATGAAGCGAGGCGTAAGGAGAGGAACTTCAAGAGAAAGTTCGTTGATCTCGCTATTCCTTTAACCAACTTTTAAAATACGACGTAGGCAATTTTTTTATAAAAAAAAAAAAATAAATAAATAAAATAAAATAAAATAAAGAAAAAAAGGATACATAAAGTTTACGGTCGTGATTGAATTAAAATAGAAAGTCATTGGAAGGGCACTCTACCTCAGTGTCATTTTCTCTACCTTTCTATTGTTCTAGTCTATCTACCTCCCACTACAGTATCTCAGCGAAGTTTGCACATAATATATTGTTATTGTAAAATGACGATTGAAATGAATCTGGGCTGGTTTCTATATCCTCCACCAGTTACATACAAGCATGTTACTTGTTCTTTTACATTGGACACCAATTTAATATTGTTTAAGAAAGATACGAAAGTCAAGTTTAGGAGGTGAAATCCTTTCTTCCTTTTTGGTGACAACATCGCACAACTGCAACTCTGCATAAATTAAATCTTTCTTACTGCCTTGGTCATCCATTGCATGTGTGGACACAGACTTTTATTTTAGTGTTGATCAAAACGCATTTCTCTGAAGAAAAAAAAAGGAAAAGGGATCCTCCTTCTTAAATTGCCTCGAGAGTGAAACGCGTTATTGGCTCACAGACTCGCTAAAGATGAAGAAGGTCCTCTGGAGACACACTTCAAACGTGATGAATATTTTTGGTTGACCATTCAATAAGCTCCTTCCCTTCTGGACCAAAGTAACCGAATTCCTCCATGAAGAGCATCTTGTAGCCGAAGATTTGGTTATAAGAAGTGCCAATACGCTGTCGAACGTATCCACCGACAGCTGCTTATACTTGACGGCCTTGCCTATTGCTTTACCGATCATCTCTGCCATCTCCTCAAATGTATGGAGCTCTGCTACTGCACACTGCGCCCACAAACTTGCCCGTGTCGCCTACATCGAAAAACGGAAACACGCTCTGAGGAGAGACTACGTCGAATATCGCAAAAGTTCCATCGTCTTGGGGGTGAGGACTCAAATAAAACATGTAGAAGTCTTGATAAAACATGCTTGGTGCGAAAAAGGCACTCTTGATGGAGAGAGAGCGAATGTATTTCTCGATGTCGGCCTTGACGTTGAAGAGGTCCAAATCTTGATATTTACCATTGCAGACATTACCTGCGTGGCATAAAGTGGTGAATATGATATACTGGACACCTGCGTCGAGGGCTGCGCCTGCTAGATGCTTGCCTTGAGTGATTTCTTTAGCATAGAGACTGTCGTCAAAACTCGTGAAAGTGGGCCCAAAAACAGTGTGTGCATCTCTGAGAGCATCCTTGAGTAATTCTTTGTCATACAGGTCTCCTTTGACGGCCTCAACTCCTCGCCCCTGCAAGGCTTGGGCAGCAGGCTTTGAGAGATTGCATGTCACAGCTCGAAGCTTGAATTGTTTGGATAGCTCTAGATATTAAGGACATAATTGATAGCAAACCCTCCTTGCTCGCCAGTGGCTCCGAAGACTGTGAGGATTTTAGGCGAAAATTTCATTTTTTAGAAAGACAATGAGACTATAAAGGATTATCCTTATTCTTGAGAAAGGTATTGCAACTTGTAGGCGTGTTAGAATCGGTATAGAAAGTGACATGCGTTGTGTCTCTTTAAATCTACTAAGGTTGTTGAGCATAAAGACAATGCATCCTTTTTTTTTTTTGCAACAGGCCTGTCGAGGAGTAAGGGAAAAGTTGAATATGCTGCTCAAGAATGGAGAAAAAAGTAAGTAATCAAGTCTTTTACACCGTTTCACTCCATAACCTTTGGTTATTTTCCCTTCCTCGTTAGGAGAAACTGGAGAGGGTTGAGCTCGTTCTTTTGTCATTCACGAACGATAAAGTTTATATGACAAGCAACCGATCATATCTTATGTTGCTATCAAAAATGTCTAGGTATTTTGGCAACCTTCGACTAGTTAAAAGGTCCTTCATCAGCGTACTGCCTTAGTCATGCCTTGCACTGCGGTTTGTCGAGTATCCATAAATGCAAGAGAGGTAAAGCCTGGTGATTGATTTTGTATTCATCTTCAAAGTGCATACGTCTAGAAATTTAACCGACCATACTTGTGAATATCCATTGGACATTGGGCACAAGTTGTACTATGCTATTATAAAAGATATCTTGGACCCAACGAGACAACGCTCAAAGTTAACGCTTGGAAGAAGTATCAGGACTGAACAGAACACTCGATCACGTCCTTTCCTATCTGCCTCTGGATGGTTAGAGCCCTCGCCAAAAAGTCGTCGACTGATATATTTCTAAATTATTCAATTTGAATTAAAATCTGAAAAACAGAAGTTTACGTCAAGGTTTCTTTTTCTGTCTAAAAACGAGGGTATTTTATTCAAGTTAAAAATGTGAGAAATATATTAGTCGACGACTTTTTGGCGAGGACTCTACATTAATAATCGTAGGTGAGTGCTGTTGTTAATAGTAGCAAGAAATGACGAGTCTAAATCTGCTCCAGTCCAGTACAATAACGAGAGCCGTTGTGTGAAGAGGTATGGGGCGCAGTGAGACGTGGCAATGCGTTAATTTTCATTCGGAAAAGTTTATTCTCATTAGAAATCCACAACACTGAAAACGTACATTCATGGATTAGTCAGAAATCTACATGTTATAAACATGTAATGAAGTTGGCTTTGTAATTGAACCCGCTCTCAAATAAACATTGACGTACGTCTGGCAGAGCCTACCATGAAGATAAATTCAGAGAGTCTATAAAAGTAGATGTAATGACGGCATAGCATTCCCTTCTTCTCAACATTGAAAAACATCTTTTTTCTTCCTCTTCTTCCTCTTCTTCCTCTTGTTCCTCTTCTTTTCCTTTAAACTGCTTCTATTACTAGCAATGTCCAAGATTCTTGTCGTTTTTGGCGCTACTGGTCAACAAGGAGGATCTGTTGTCAACTATGTCCTCAACGATCCAGAGCTATCTAAGCAATTCAAGATTCGAGCAGTTACACGCGACCCTTCTAAACCAGCTGCTCAAACCTTGCAGCAACAAGGAGTCGATATCGTTAAAGGGGATGTGGACGATAAAGAATCGATTAAGTATGCTCTCCAAGACGCACATACAGTCTTTGGAGTTACCACAACATCTTATGATGAGCACCTTTATTCGAGAGAATTCGCTCAAGGGAAAGCATTAGCGGATGCTGCTGTCGCCGCAGGAGTTCAATACTTCATTTTCAGCTCTTTACCCCACGCAGGCAAACTCTCTAACGGCAAACATCCTGGAGTGGAGTCTTTCAACGTCAAAGCTGATATTGAAGAGTACATTCGCTCTTTACCCATCAAGAGCGCCTTTTTTGCACCAGGCTTGTTTATGCAAAATTACTCCAGGCACGCTGCTCCTCAACCTCAAGGGGATGAAACCTACGCACTTCTTAATATAATCTCTCCTCAGACTTTGCTTCCATTAATCGATACTCCTGGTGACACTGGCAAATATGTGGGTGCTATTCTTGCAGAACCAGACAAGTATGAGGGTACAGTCTTTAATGCTTCAACAGAGCTTCTCACTTTTGAGGAAATGGCAGAGGTGATCAGTAAATCAACAGGCAAGACAGTCAAGTATAAGCAAATTTCAGCGGAGGCCTATGCGAGCTCCATGCCAGCTGATCTTGGCAAATACCTGACTCGTATGCAGCTATACATCCAGGATTGCGGCTATTTTGGTCCACAAACAAGAGAGCTTGTAGAATGGTCTGTCAAGAATGCTCGTGGCAAGCTGACCACGTTTGAAGAGTACTTCCAAAAGAACCCCCTTCATCTGCAGTGATCTACAAATAATGTATATATAATAAATAAAGGCTATTAGTAATGCCTACCACATCATCGAATCAATCATGCACTTCTCTTTTTTTTTATAAGTCTGCTTGAGAAGTATTTCGCGTCGTGCCGCCTAATTCAGAAGTACAGAAAAAAGTTGTTTGACCAAGCCACAGCAATCCTCCATGTGAACCCAACACGACAGGCACCTAACTGCTGCATGACACTTTTTGCTCTTTCTCGTTTTCTTGCCTCATGGATGCACCTCGATCGCGCCCTGTCACACAGCGGAAAAGGAGTTATTCAACAACCGCATACTCATCACAGGAAGAAGAGACATTAGCAGCTCAGTCTAGTAACATCCATAATAACAGCAATAATGCACAGCACCCTGAACCAGCACCATTCCCGACCAGTCTCCTGGCAACAGCAGCGGGGACACAGGTCATGACATACGAATTTATCAATACCGGTAATATCATCCCTACGGCCTCCAAGCAACAGCAACCATCCATTCCACAGCCTGGGGAGTACGAAGGCATTCGGATGTCCAATGAACGGACCTCACTTGCAGTCTCATGTCTAAAATGGAGCCCTGACAGTACGCTTTATCTTTAACACTTTATTTTGTTTTTGTTTTTTCTGTTTTACTCTTTCGTTTTAATACAATGACTACTCACATTTCAAATTATTGGGGCTGATAGACACGATGTTGGCTGTAGAGGCCCGGGATGGACGGATATATCTTCATGACAGCAAAGGGAAGTTTCGGGAGGCACTTGTAAACGAACCTGTGATAGAGCTTTCACAATCGGCTTTCACTGGATGTGTCATCTCCTGGGCGCCTAAACCACAGCGGCTATACTTCGCAAAAGGGAATAAAGTCATGACATGGGATTCAGTATTACAGCGCGTTGCAGAAAGCTTCGAAGTAATATATTACGCTGTCTAAATAAGCTAAAACCTGTGAAGATGACCCCGATATGAAGATTGCGACTAACTGAAATGTACACATAATATTTAGCTATCATCCAGGATCAATGCTTTAGCGATCAACACAGAAGACATATTATTTGCAGTGGGTCAAACTACAGGCAGTATAGATGTCATCAATCGCGCAACAGGGAGCAGCGCACGACTAGAGACCCCAACATCATTGGTAATACTTTTTAGTCGATACTAAAAGCAGGCAAAAAGGAGCACACACACACACACAAAAAAAAAAAAAAAAATCATCTTACAAAAGGGCAATTTGTTCAAACTCGTTTTTACCAACAAGCTTCATATTGAATCCCTCTCTAGGTCGTGAATAAGCTAGAGTATTCTGTATTCAGCAAATCGATACTAGGCGGTGTCGGAAGTAATGACGGCAGTCTGCGGCTTTGGAATACGGGCGAGAGCGGATCAACAGCGATCTACCACAGCTTCGACCCGACACATAAGATGCCAATCACTGGCATGGCTTTCAGTCCGTTCAATCGCTATCTCATTTGCACAGTTGGTCAAGACAAACGTTATGCGCTATATGATGTTGAAAAGAAGAAAGTGATCAAGGCTACAATGACAGATTATGCTCTTACATCAGTCTCATTTAAGAATGATGGTGTCTCTCTCGCATTTGGAACGGATCAAGGAAAAGTGTTATTGTATGATCTGCGCTCAACTAATCGACCCATCAGCATCGTAGACACTATGGTTGATGCTCCAGTGACAGCGGTGCATTTCCAAGGCAAGCCATCATCATCCATGAAGAGACACCAAACTATTGCACTCAACCGACAAAACCCTACTACAGAGATTGTCAAGAGCAGCGTTGGGAAGAATACCAGTAAGACTGCCTTGGACATGTTTTTGGTTAAGCACACCACCTCAGACACGGCCGGACCGATGTCAGCACCAGCAGAGGAAAAGTTATCTTTTAAGCTTAAGCGACCTACTGTACCAGCACAACTATCCACTTCCAGTAGCGCACTACTAGGGAGAGTTGGAGCTTCTGGAACTGGGACAGCAACGGGGACGATAGTGTCGACATCATCAATCGCAAGGTCGCCGTCAAAATCAATAATACACTCCATTTCAGGTCCAACATTCTCAGCCTCATCAATAGGCATGGAATCTACTCCTACGACTCCAGTCAAAGAGCATCCAAACCAAGGGAGTAGTGGCAGCTATCCCAATTCTAGAACCGTTTCACCGTTTGCATTCCAGACCATGCAATCACAACCATCACCCACAGGTGAGAGCTCTGCATCTTCACCTTCTGTAAATAGTCCACCGGGATCACCTGGGTTTCTATCGTCCGCTACTGCTACCCCTGCTACTGGAGGCATATCTGTATCCTCCAGCCAGTCTCATCTAAAACATTATCATTATCAATATCCGTCTGTTGACTCGACATCTAAATCTCCATTACGGTCATCCCGAGCTAAAAGGCGGAAATCATTGGGGGCATTACTGGCCTCTGGAGGGACATCCTCACCCGGATCTCTATATGAATTGTCGGACGAGAAGATGGAGATATTGAGAGGTCAAATTGTAGATCGCGTAAGGAACGTATTGCTGGATCCTCCAACAACAGAAACCACTGGTGGTGGCAGCCAAAGTAATAGCAGCGACCGTTCGACTATGAAATCAGCGCAAGAAGAACTGAAAGCTTGGCAGAAATCAGTTCAAGACTTTAAAAGAACCTCGTCTACAATGATGACAGCGACAGCGTTGCCCGTAGAGGAGCCGGGACCGAAACTCAAGGCGCCTATAAAGGATTTGTGGATGCAAATTGGTTTCGAAAATAAAGGAGGAGATAGCCCAAATCTTCAAAGCCCTATGAATTTAGGGGCTTCATTGTTGGGATCTGTACCGCCTTCATCATCATCTATTCCGATGAATGGGACAGAAAAAGTCATGGAGGCTACAACAGCCACAACAACAACAAAGCAGACGTCTGGTTTATCTGCTTCTCCTTTTTCAATTGCGTTGAACTCGGGAGGGTCCTTCCCGTCTAAGCTATTGGAGGGGGTTATTGAGAATTGTTTAATGGAATTTCGAGCAGGGCTCCGGAATGATATTCAGAATATGCATCTTGAGCTGCTAAGACAGTTTCAGATTCAAAAGATACAGATTGAGGGATTGTTGAAACAGTACACAGATACCAGGGAACTCAAAGAGGAAAATGAGCGATTAATGGAAGAGAATCGACGATTACGGATGAACTTTTGAGGTCAGCAAAGTTGTTCCAGTAGTATATAACATTAGTGAATTGTACTCTAGTCTAATAATAAATACATAAATATACATTTATTTTTTATTTTTTTTATTTTTTATTTAAAAAAAAAAAAAAAAAAAAAAAAAAAAAAAGGAACAAAGGATATAAAAAAAAGAAGAAAAAGAAAAATGAGAAGGCAATATGTTTATTTAGAGCATCTTCAAAAGAGTTTTACCAACGCGAAGGGTGCTGACGGCCAAGGTGGCAACCTTGACGACCTCGAGGAGGACATAGATGCCATGGACCCTCTTAGTCTCAACAGGGCGTCCTTCGATATAACGAGCACCCACGTCACGAAGAACTGGTAGGAATCCGAAGCTTTCAAAGACAAAGACGATGAGACTAGGAGCGAATCGGAAAACCCATTGGTGAGCACTCAACTGACGAAGTCCTGTAAAGAAACTGCTGGAGCGAATAGTACCGGAGCCTGAAGTGGTAGTAGTTGTGAAAGCAGAGCCAGAGCTGTTGATAAGTCCACGTTGTGTGATCAAATACCATCCCAAGAGATCAAATGCTGCCAAGGCGACCTCGACCTTGTTGAAAGCTGAAAAGACATGACGGCCTACGTCGATCAGAGTTCGACGAGCGGGCGTTGGAGCAAGGAATTTAACAGGGGCTTCGAAGAATGAAATAGCCTATGTTTGGAAACAGTAAAGATGTATTAATGAAAATCTTGAGTTGATCGATAATCAGGACCCCTTTTGTTACGCGTTAATGTATCCGTTGTAGTATCGTATGCTTACCATGTTTGCTCCAAGCCAGCAGCATTGTAATGCGCCTACAGACAGCAAGAGTCCGCCGTGTGATAATCTGGCGCCATAGGGGTGTGCAGCTGCTGCCAGTCCTACCGAGACAGCCGCAATAACGCCTGTGGACTTTGTGGAGAGCACAAAAAGCGAAGCAGGGGAATGATGGAAACGCGAATTCATCGGTTGGTTCTTCATGGAGAAAAAAGATGAAAGAGATGAATGTAGGAATTGGATGAAGGGATGAAGGGAAAAAAAAAAAAAAAAAAAAAAAAAAAAAAAAAAAAAAAAAAAGAAAAAAGGGTACAGTACGTTTTTTTATTCCGCGAGTAAAAAAAGAAAGCCGTGCTTGGTTATTTCTGGCGATTTGTGTCGCATCGGAATGTGTTTGTGTACAAACATCATTCATGGATTATGTTCACACTACGCATCCATGAACACAGCAGGATGTCAGGAACACAAGCTGGGAAAAAAAAATACATTCTCATATCATATTGAAGCAAAGACTAGGAATTTATACCAGTTTTTTTTATTTAAAGGATATTTATTTAACAGTCGAATATTACTATCTCTTCTACTCTTGATGACTTACCTTGAAACAAAAAGTTTCTATTTGAAGCGGTATCCGATCATGGCCTAAGGAAATGTCTTGTCAAGCCTATTGTTGTATCCAAAATACAGACACGAAAACAAAATTTCTGGTTAAATATGCTGTCATGAAAATGTAGATCTTCCGCTGTTGGATGGATCAATAGAATGTAGGGGAGGGGGATAATTGCAGGTCTCAGGATAGAAGAGTCACAACTTTACAGGTGGGGTCTCCACCCGTTTCAGATTGTTGAGCTTGACATGCTTTTAAAATCATCTTTGTAATTTTTTTATAAAAAAAAAAAAAGTAGGCAACTATCATCCTCCCCCCCCATTTCAATAGATCAATAAACAATGATATTAAGGGGAACGAGAGAATGGATTGCTTACTTACCATCTGTTATTTACAAAGCTTCGAGCGCGTACCGAGCCTTCAAGCAAAAAATAATAATAATATATATATAAAGAACCTGGAGAAATAAAAAAAAAACCATAAACAATGATTTAGTTGACTGATTATCATTTCTCCCCAGTGCTATAATGATATGACAAGAAATATGGTGTGGAATAGGATGATATTTCAGAGGCATGACATCTCGACATAATTGATGTGTTTGTACGAACACGTTCCGACCGCCCGTCATGCATTCCAATCATTAATAAATTCCTTTCCCTTGATCTCAAGGGCCAAACAAAAGAAAAAGAAAATAGAGAATAAAATAAAAGATAATTCTAAAAGTACATACATTTTTTGTTTTCAGCATTCATTTCCATTGCGATCCATCCTTTCTTGTTGTCTCTTTCTTCCTGGCTTTTCAATCCATGATTTAAGAAAAATCCTAATACAATAAACACGAAACTGTTAACGAGTCAGTTCATTAATTTGATGGTAAATGATCAAACTTCGAGCTATACAAAAATGTTTGCTTTCGAAGAACAGAAGAGAGAAAAGAAAAGTGACTCAGACAAGGCTGAAACTGTTATTTGTTCAACACAATGGTAATTTAGAAATGACTTTTAATGTGGGTCGATCAAGTCATCATAGTCGCTTTTACCCTCGATGAGTCGAATGAGTTAAAGGCCATACCTTGCTTATTTTTTGAAGAGTTAGGTTAAGAGAAAGAAAAAAATTAAAGATTTTTTCAATGTTTATTTTTATTTTTATTTTTATTTTTTTCAAAATTTTTTTCATGACGTAGCCGATTTCAGGATACTGTAATTACTGACATTCAAAGGTAACCCAAATGGTTTATCCTTCCTTCGACAACAGCTTAGGCATCAAGTCAGGGGAAATGTTATTATTCTCTTACTTCAACAGCAGCGGAACACCAGCGTCCACATGTATTTACAACATTGCTTCTCTCAATCTCTTGTAAATTCGGTGGATTTCACTAGTGCACCAACACTTCTAGTGAGTCCTTGGTGTGTCGTGGCTCCGCAGGACAGACAAGCAGCTTTAGACGACTCTATCGAGTATGAACCAGGCAATTTTAAACCCACGAGGTGCTTAATTGCATGGTGTGAATGGCCTAAGTCAGCTCTGTTAATGCAGAAGGGAGCTGTGGACAGACCAACTACGTCAATGCTGGCTCGAAGGCGGTGTAATATCCTTGCTCACAATGATCTCTGGTAAGGGCTAAGATATAAATAAATAAATAAATAAATGCGCATTTTCTCTCTTTTTTTTTTGCCCACTGGCATTGCTCTCTTGCGACAATGACTTAGCTACGCATGTAATAGACTGATGACTTAGACTCGCTCACATCCAGAGTAGATATGGGCTCTCGGATCTTATTGAAGTGCTATGAATATAGCATAGCAATTTCACATTCCCGTATTTCCTGAAGCAATAACGGTTATTGATAGAAAAAGCTTGGCAAGACATAAAAATACAAATAAACACCGGAAACAATGTATTTTGGGTCACTATAAACAACTTAGAAAGTCCTAGCAGATGAGACTAAATGGACCAGGGTGGGCCAGAGAGTTGTTATATGACCGACCAACCGAATAGATTCAAAAGATATAGAGCTTATAAATATCATTGAACATTATTAGATGCCATAAAGGGAATTAAGGCAATGGGAATGGGAACAATAAATTTGAACAGCCATATTCATTTAAAAATTATTCGAATGAAGGCTATAAATCCTAATGCTAGAAGGCACCATTCCTTGTTTTTTTTTTTTCTTATTTTATTTTATTTTCAACTTCACTTGTTTACTTGCTATCTTTAGAGTGACATGCCCCATAATAGCACCTGTATCGTTTCTGAAAGCCCCGAGTCCTTCTTTGATTTTGGTGGTGCTGTTGTTTCTCTGCAAGGGGCTTGGAGCTAGATGATATGGCTGCTACTACTGGTGTTGCTGATGCTTCTAGTGCCTCTGATGCTGGTACTGAGGCGCCTTCTGCAGGGGTGTACAAGGTTGTGTAGGGGCGTATTAAGTGAGATGGATGAGAGTCTAGGATTGGAAGGGCTTGTACAGATGTATTACAACTTGAAAGTAAAAACAGAATGGCCCAAATAACAGCTGTCCGAGCCATCCACTTGGTTAATGATGTTCTTCTTGAAAAGGAAGAGGCTGATTGATTGATATTGACATTGATGACGCGAGAAGGTTGAATGAAACTTCCTTTGCAGAGAGACATTGTTATCTTAACGTTGCTTGCAATGAGAAAACAAGGATTAAAGGTTCCAGAGTTGTGGTATAGTGTTTTTATGACGAAAGAAAAAAAAAAAAAAAAAAAGGAAAGAAAGTAAGAAAGAAGAGGGGAAATGAAGGCGTCAATTAAATATCGCTCTGATGAATGGGGACCTGGATGCAGGATCAAAAAAAAAATAAAAAATGAGTGATGAAGGGGCTTAATTATTGTGCAACAACGGGTGTCTTTTTTTGCTCCCTCTTTCCCCTCCTTTCGAAGATCAAGAGAATCAAAAGACACTCATTTTTTTTTTTTTGTATTTATTTCCATCCTTACTACTGTACCAGGAGAGGAGACTCTCATCTTTTTTTTTTTTACATCTTCATTCATCCCTCATCCCTTTACGTTATTTCACTAGCAGGACGAAAAATATCCGAGCAGAAAAAAAAGAAAAAAAAAAGTCAGGAGGCACATTTATCATATTGTCAACATTGATTATCTTTATTAAGCCCACGAGCCTCAACTGTAATAAAGAATTAAAAAAATAGGAGTAATCTACACAATCTTCAAACTTTAGTTTTCCTTTATTGATGAGGAAAAAAAAAAAGATTGGATAAATGGACTAGTGGACTGATGGACTAATGGACTAATTGTTCCGTAGTTGATACTTAGGCCATGCTACAACATCCCAAAGAAGATAAAAGAAAACAAAGTGTTTACCGATCCCCTTTTTTTTTTACTCTCTGCAGCAAAATGTTTGATGGACATTCATGTATTAATAAATGATCGTAGTTTTGTACCTGATAATTTTAAGGTTGCATGGTTGTCTGATTTTGTTTCATGCTTAGATTTAGTTGCTAACAACTCAAATAGGAACGCTGTGCTTTTTTGATCCCTTTATATCCTTGGTTACACTAAGCGCACAAACAGTTTATGAAAAAGCTTACTTTGGAGCCAACATCAATGTGTTTTTTTTTTCTTTGTTACATTTTTTTTATTTGGATTATGAGTAATATTATATTTTTAAGAAAAATAAATAAATAAATGAAAAAAGACTGAGGCGGAACCGGCTGCCTTATTCTTTTTTTTTTTTTTTTTTTTTTTTAATGATTGCGGATATTGATCGTCGCAGGGATCTTTTTTTTTAAGATCCTTTCATTTAAAGGATGCGGTGATGGCGCTGATGACGGTGACCATGTCCTGCAACAAAGTATTGACGGCGAGGTCTCAAAGTTGGAGTGTTCACACCCTCAGCAGTGGGGTTCTCATAAGCAGTGACAGTGGGGTCAACCGCGTCCTTGACCTTGGAGCCAGCCTCATTAGCAGCATCCTTGATCGTCGTGACAGTCTCATCGACAGAGATGTCACGCTTCAAAACTTCAACGTCTACATCTGCAACATTGCCAACAGTCTCCTTGACTTTCTCAACAGCGCCATCAGCGGTGTTCTTTACTGTCTCGACAGCACCATTAGCAGTGTTCTTGACTTTCTCAACAGCGCCATCAGCGGTGTTCTTGACTTTCTCAACAGCACTACCAGCAGTGTTCTTGACCGTCTCCTTCACTCCGTCGACGGTTTCGCTATTGACCTGGACAGCGCGGCGCTTCAAAGCGCCAACTTTCACACCTGCAACATTGTCAACAGTTTCCTTGACTTTCTCAACAGCGCCATCAGCGGTGTTCTTTACTGTCTCGACAGCACCATTGGCAGTGTCCTTGACTTTCTCAACAGCGCCATCAGCGGTGTTCTTAACCTTCTCAACAGCACCGCCAGCAGTGTTATCGACTGTCTCCTTCACTCCATCAACGGTTTTGCTATTGACCTGGACAGCACGGCGCATCAAGGGTAGGTCAGTTAGAGAGACATCATCCACAGCGGATGGGACGGATGGGGCGGATGGGACGGATGGGACGGATGGGACGGATGGGACGGATGGGACGGATGGGAGGGACGCAGGAGGGACAACGGATGGGTTGATGGCAGATGGGACTGTGACAGGGAGAGGAGCACCCTGAGCGGACATCATAATGGAGGAAACCAAGAGGACTGCGCACGAGGCAGCGAGGATGATCTTGGAGGTGTTCTTGGACTGAGTCATGTTTGGATTAATTTGATAAAGGGAAGAGGGAGAGTATGTGAGTGTATGTGTATGTGGGATAGTAGGGTGGTATTTAGCGCGTTTGCTTGTTTTGTAGTGTGAGGGGACTTTGGAGTAGTTGAGTGAAGAACCAAATTCTAGGGTTCATGTAGGACCCTTTTATACCATTTTTTTTCTTTTAAACCCTCCACTCCATTAAGACGGCATTCTAGCCGATAGAAACGGTTGAAGCTCACAAAGGCACCTTGTAAAGACAATAAAGGGCTCACGTCAATAATATGTGTAACCTAAGCCCCCTGCAGGACTTTTTAGCGTCTTATTTTCCTATGGTGATGTATAGTAGACTCTCTATCTTTATTCCATATCCTATAGACATTGTGCTCAATTATTTTTGGAACGCTTGTAAGGTCCCTTTCGCCCTTCTATATCCCAGTCCTCTCCTCCAAAAAAAAAGAAAGAAAAAGAAAGAAAAAAAGTTTAAACGTGTTAAAGTCTACTGTGCACCAAATTTTTTATTATCCTCAATTAAGTATCTTTGGGGTGCATGTATACAGAATAAGATGAGATTCTTAGACCTGACTTAAAATATAAAAAAAGAATTGCCTCCCGTACGATAACATGCTCTGTATCTCTCGCTCTCACTCCTCTTTTTTTTTTTGTTTTATTTTTTTCCTCCTCTCGTATCGCATCGCATAAAAAAAAGGGGGGGAAAGACAAAGGGAAAAGGAGCTGTGAAGTGAATTACAAAGTACATTCTCACGACAGGTTTTATTAAAAAAAGAAAAAGAAGGGAGAATAAAGCATGCAGGTAAAAAGGAAGAGATGACATAAGCTCTAGTAATGCAAGATTACCATGGGAAAAAGAAGATAAAAAAACAACATCCTACCAAAAAGATGACATTTGAAGGGATAGCTACGTGAAAGGAACAAAAAAAAAAGTTGCTCGAAATTGACCGTTACAACCGTTACACTAAGGATTGTTACATTAGGATGTTACACTAGGAGAATTTTATTTGTTTATTTATTTTTTTTTTTAAGCTGATCCATCTTAAACACAACACACCACTTCAGTACATTTTTTTATTATATTTATATATAATATACACGTACTTAGGTAACAATGGTTACACGGTTATCTCGAATATTTGTGTACCGAAATGCCTACAAACAGTGTAATGTGAAGGAAGCGCTCTGATTTCTTTTTATTTTGCTCTCTAGGCTAGCGATCTTACAGGGATCTATGACAGTGTAAAACTGTACATGTACATGTACTATATTTACAAATTGAAAGAATTGATGCTTTGCTCTTTTTTTTTTTTTTTTTTTTTTAAAAAAAAAAAAAAGAAAAAAAAGGCATGTATATAAATATATATATACATCGCTCTTTGTTGCTTTTTAAAACAGACTGATTGCACTAGGCAAAAAGCAAAAAAACGGCCAAAGAAGAAACAGAACAAAAAACAAAGAGTAAACACATGCAGCTTATTGTATATAAATATATATAATGTAGGGATCTACAATATATATTTACATACACATGTACACTTTGGAAGACAACGCGATTTATGTTGATTAACACGACACCAATGCAAAAAAAAAAAAAAAAAAAGACAAGGGTTTAGAGTCAGAGTCTTTAATTGTGAACTGATATATATATATATATATATAGATATTATACATGTATTTATTTATTATTTGTGCACAGACTTGCACTTCGGGGTATTAAACGCAATGGACTGCAATGGAGTAAATCATTTTTCTTCAAAATAACTCCCATGATCAATGATCCTTCAATAGGTCGTATATTTGACATATAATACAGTTGCTTTTTAATAAATTTGTGGCATTAAGAAATGCCTTTTGGATGAAATAATGACATGTAAAAATAATAGTAAAAATAGGGGGGAGCGCAAGGAACGTTGACCTAATTATTGACGGCTAAGTTCGGCATCAACACCAGCTTCGACTCCGGCATCAACACCAGCTTCGACACCGGCATTGACATTAACATAGGAACCAACACCAGCATTGACTTTTACATGGGGGACACCATCAGCATCAACACCAGCATCGGAATCGACATCTACTTCGGTCTCTGCATTGACATTGGCGTCGGCATCCACATTGGTATCAACATTGGCATTGAAATCTGGAACAACGTTGCTATCGATACCAGTATCAACATTGACATTGGCGTCAGTATTAATACCAGCACCGGTGTTAGCATCCACATCGGCATCCACATTGGCATCCACATCGGCATCCACATCGGTATCCACACCGGCATTGACATCTGGAACAACGTTGCTATCGACACCAGCATTAACATTGACATTGGCATCGGTATCAATATCAGCGTCGATGTCAGCATCCACATCGGCATCAATACCAGCATCGACTCCGGCATTCACACCGGCATTGACATCTGGAACAACGTTGCTATCGACGCCAGCATTAACATTGACGGTGGCGTCGGTATCAATATCAGCGTCAATGCCAGCATCCACGTCGGCATCTACGTCGGTATCCACATCGGTGTCCATACTGGCATTGACATCTGGAACAACGTTGCTATCGACACCAGCATCAACATTGACATTGGCGTCGGTATCAATACCAGTGCCCGCATCGGCATCCACATCGGCATCCACATCGGCATTGACCTCTGGAGCAACGTTGCTATCGACACCAGCATTAACATTGACATTAGCGTCGGTACCAATATCAGCATCGATGTCAGCATCCACATCGGCATCAATACCAGCATCGACTCCGGCATTCACACCGGCATTCACACCGGCATTGACATCTGGAACAACGTTGCTATCGACACCAGCATTAACATTGACGGTGGCGTTGGTATCAATATCAGTGTCAATGTCAGCATCCACACCAGCATCAATACCAGCACCCACATCCACATCCACATCCACATCGGCATCCACATCGGTATCCACACTGACATTGACATCTGGAACAACGTTGCTATCGACACCAGCATCAACATTGACATTGGCGTCGGTATCAATACCAGTGCCCGCATCGGCATCCACATCGGCATCCACATCGGCATTGACCTCTGGAGCAACGTTGCTATCGACACCAGCATTAACATTGACATTGGCGTCGGCACCAATATCAGCATCGATGTCAGCATCCACACCGGCATCAACACCGGCATCAACATAGGCATCAAAATCAACATCGGCATCCACATCCACATCGGCACCCACATCAGTATTAGTATCCACATTCGCGCTAAGATCGGCACCAACGTCTGCATCAACATTGGCATCAATACTGGCGTCTACACCGGTATTTGCATCGATGTTTGCATCGACACCAGCATCAGTACTTTGACGTTTTAAGTGCCGAGTACCCTTTCTGGCAGGCTCATTGACAGCGCGATACTTCAATGATCGACTAGCGACATAACCGACAGGGTTTTTGTTAGCATTAATGTCTCCTAGCACAGGACCAACACGACGGCGCCATAAAGCGAATTCCGAGTTGGAGATGGTAGGGTCAGGGGTAGCAATTGAGAGATCTAAGATAGGAACAGGAGCAGCTTGGGTGGACATCATAATGGAGGAAACCAAGAGAACCGCACATGAGGCAGCGAGGATGATCTTGGAGGTATTCTTCTTTGATTGAGACATGATTAGATTTATAGGTATGTATATATAAAAGAAGTAGGGAGAAAGAAAATAGAGAGACAGAGAGGAAGAAGGAAAGAAGGGAGGATGGGATTATTGTATGTAGGGTATAGGTGTTTTAGGTAGTATAATTAATACAAAGTAAGCGAGTTTGCTTTCACGTAGTGAGAGGGGAGGACTTGATATTGAGTGAAGAACTAAATTCTGGGAACCCATGGAATCCTTTTATACTCTTCTGGTTTTTTTTTTTTTAAAAAAAAAAAAAAAAAAAAAAAAAAAAAAAAAGAGAGAGAGAGAGAAACGGTAAGACTCAGATCTACTGGTATCTGTACAACCTTCATTCTTTACCGAGTTTTTTAAACATTAGGACTTCTATGGTTCGTCGCAGAGATTCTATCTTTATCCTTTTGATCCTCATTGCACATGTGCTCTATTTTTTTTTATTTTTAAATAACAAAATAAAAGAAAGAAGAGGATTTATATATATATATTTTTATAACGTGAAAGGAATGACCGTGCACAATGGTAATAATAAAGTTAAAATTGAGGCTCCGGGGTGAGCGGGAAGCAGGAGTAAGTGCGATACCGGATGTGTATACACATCTTTACATTGCTTAAGACAGAAGTGGGAGAGGAGGAAGGGTGCAGGAACTCAATGAAACTTCAATGTGAAAAAAGAAAGCATAGGAAAGATGGGGCGACAGATGGAGAAATGTCATGAAAGAGAGCAAAAGACTGATACTAGCAATATGACATGACATGACAGACGATCATTTTTAATCTGTTACAACTATGTAAGTGTTTAGACTAAAGAGGAAAACTAAGGCATAAAAAGAAAGAAGGGGTGCATGTGCATGTATTTGTACACAATCTGAACTGCCTAAGGAATTCGCTCTTCAGCTCAACCGACATCTCTCCAGGTGCCTAACCAAAAAGTGGGGTATTTTTTCAATCAAGTATTCAAGAGCCCATACGGTAATATCTTTGAAGCGACTTTCTTAGTTTTATCGCTTTTTTTTTTTTTTTTTTTTTTTTTTTTTTCAAGGCAAGTAGAAGTCAGTTGACAAGACCAACCATGTTCATGTTTACCTGTGACTATGAATATTGTGCAAGCATCACTTTCCATTGCCTTTTTTATGAACCCACATGTCCTGTTCTATTTAACACACGTGTATGTACATAGTTTGTTCACTTTTGGCGCCACTCAAATAGCCGCTTGTCACCATTGGGCTTAGAAAGTTCTGGTGATTTTCACGGCGGCATGTCGATCAACGCTTTTTCTGGAAGACTGAACACTAAATAAATCCTCGTGAGAAAAAGAGAGTAAAAAAAAAAAAAAAGGAAAATTTGTACGACCATGGGCTAACGTGGACTAACGGAAGACGGATCAACCATATTTGGCCCTTCAATCTCAAAGTAAATGACGACTATCAAAATACACAACACAACTACTCTTCAAATAGGGACCCTCATTATTGTAGTACACATGATGCTTGTTTTTTTTTTTTTTTTCTTTATCTATTTTATTCTTATTCCTGTATTACTTTGTAGTAAAACAAGATGTAGAAAAGGATGCTATGTGACAATAAGGAGATGACTGTTTGATATATGTGCATGAAAGGTTGTTTTATGTGTGAAATGCTTTGTTGTTTTTTTTGTATCTTTTGCTTCTTGTTTAAGCAGAGGAAGCAAAGAACTCCTTGGATCCACTGACATCAGGCTTGATGGTGGACTGACCCTTTTGCCAGCCGATGGGGCAGACCTCACCGTGCTAAATTTGTCACAAAAAAAAAGCAAAAAACGGCATTAGATGAATGAGCCTCAAAAACATCAGAGATAAGGCTTGTAATTTTTTTTTTATGGGCTGGTGGTGTTCCAACTTTGACTACGCCCAAGCCTCTTTTTCATGCATGTAAACAAAACTAACCTCATCAGTGAACTGGAAGGCCTCAACAAGACGGATGGTCTCATCGACGTTACGGCCAACAGGGAGATCGTTGATGGTGATCTGGCGAACAACCTGCTTGGGGTCGATGATGAAGAGACCACGGTAGGCGACACCTAAAAAAAAAAGATCAAGTTAGATAAGATATCTTTAGTATACAACGTTCACTCCCTGCACCCTTTTATTGTCTAACTGCGCAGTTCAGGGAAATCCTTTCATCTAGACATAAACTTACCCTCATCCTCCTTGAGGACACCGTAGTCAGTGGCGATCTTCTTGGTAAAGTCAGAGATGATAGGGATCTTCATCTCACCAAGACCACCCTGCTTGCGGGGGGTGTTGACCCAGGCCAAGTGAGAGAACTCAGAGTCGCAGGAGCAGGCCAAGACAGCAGTCTTGAGAGCGTTGAAGCGCTCAACAGCCTCAGAGAAAGCAACGATCTCAGTGGGGCAGACGAAACTATTGTATCAAATATTATGTGTTGAATAATAGTTAATAAAGGAGGCTCTTTTCTCTTGGAAAAATGATCGCATGGCATAGACATTGCGCAGTGATTTTTTTTTTTTTTTTTTTTTTTTTTTTGTCTGTGTGTTTTGTGTGAGTGTTGATCAATCAGCACGTGAAAGAAAGTAGTCGAAAGGGAAAGAAAAGGAACAACAACTTACGTGAAATCAAGAGGGTAGAAGAAAAGGACAACGTATTGACCCTTGTAGTCATCGAGGGAAACCTCCTTGAAGGCTCCATCAACAACAGCAGTGGCCTTGAAACCAGGGGCAATCTTTCCAACAGAAGCAACCATGGTGAATAAAAATGTGTTGTGTGTGTGTTTGAGATAAGAGGATGTGAGGAGTGAAGAATGTAAAGAGAAGAAGAGAAAGTGAAAATGAAGTGAATCAAGAATGCCTTTTTATACTTGCACAAGGAAAAACCCAGCAAGGATGTCCACGGGAGGGGTGTATCTGAATCTAAAGAACGAAGGGGTGGAGCTTGAAATATTTATGAGATGGTCTATTTAACATGAGCTGCTGGGACTCTTCCTATTGCCTATTACCAAAAGGGAAGTGGTCCCAAGAACCAAAAAGAACAAAACAAAAAAAACAAAAACCAGTGTGACGTCAATGATTTGGTCTAGCTTCCTGATTGGCCAGCAATCTACTTCTGGCTGACTGATTCAATTGAAGGTGTTTAGTTTTCCCTATTCCCCCCGATAACGCTTGACGCTAGTCTGGTCAAATTAGTTCCTAGGACCGATCAACAATTGACATCCCGCTATGAGTATGGTACACTGATGGGGCCTCGTAACCAGTTTAGCCAGGCAAATGAAGATGAAAACAAGTTGTCTAATAGTCAAAAGATATTTTTATTAAGGAATATTGCGTTTATGACAAAACAATCCTCGTTTATAAATAATATTACTAAATGTGCACAGTGCACTTTTCCATTGCGGGCAAACAGAAATTAAAAAAAGGCACAGCCATTACGTTCATTACACTATGACACTCTTCTCAGACAGTAAGCACAGTTGTCATTCAAAGTCAACTAAATTAATATTCAAAAGAGTCGCATTCTCCCAAAGTTAGCATCTGCACAGATATCGATTTTAAACAAGTATCCTTTTAAACGATATCTTTTCCTGATGATCATCCACCAATCCATCGATTGATAGTTGAATTACTCACAATACACATCCCATACATATAACATGTACCCACTTTATTCAAACTGATTAGTTCATGTTCGATATAGATATTATATATATTGGCATGACAGATCGTTTTTTTTTTTTTTTTTTTTTTTTTTTTTTTTTGGTGTGCGCGAATGTAGAAAACCATTATTCTGTTGTGTAACTTCTTCAGAAGAGGGGCACCATTCGTTCTTTCAAATCATTTGTCCTTTTAATTCTTTGCTCCTTGTCCTCTTTCAAATATATTATACTGCACATGTACTTACACCCTTCTGCGGGACAGATTATGTTGTTGATCTATCAAAATCTTAGCTGTTTAGTTCATGTCAATCTCAATTGTTTTCTTTTCCTATTTCAACTCTAATTTCCTCTCCCTCAATCACAACTGCCCAGTTTGTGTTTGTTCCTGAATCATCTCTTTCTCTCGCTCACGTTCTCCCACACCTTTTTTTTTTTCTTCTTCCACACTTTTTCATTCTTCATTCCTCATCCTTCATTCTTCATTTCTTTCTGAATCTCATTCCCCTTTTTCCTCTGCATATATAGTCGAAACCAATACAGCTTCAAGTCGACTGAATCTTTAATCACTGACTGTCAAGCAAAATTCAATAACTACGAATCACCGAAAAAAAATAAAAATAAAAATAAAAATAAAAAAATGCCCTCCGACATAAGAGTAACCATTGTAGGCGGTGGCATTGGCGGGCTTGCATTGGCCAACATGTTTGAAAAGGCCAACATCAGTTACATTATCCTCGAAAAAGCCACACAGATCAAAGCCCTAGGATCATCCCTTGGTTTGGATGCCACCACCTTACCAGTCATGGAACAGCTCGGTCTCCTCGAAGATTTCTACCGCGCTTCGAACCCTGTACGTCATTTCAACTTTTACAACGAGCACTTGAAACCCATCGGAAAAGTTGACTTTTCAGATCTGGAAGAAATGTACAGTCTACAAAAAAAAAAAAAAAAAAAAAGACGTTGTTCCGAGCACCATAATTAGCGGCGTCCGAGAATGAACCTTTATTGACTATAAAAATTTTTTTTTTAACTGTGGGGGAACAATAATGTGTTGTCATTAGTGGCGGATACCCTGCCATCATCTTAGATCGACCTTCGTTTTACAACATCTTGCTTAAAAATTTGCCCAAGGACAAGATCCTCTATAATAAGCGAGTTCTTTCTATTGTCCAAGACACTGAAGGTGTCACTGTCAAGTGTGCAGACGGAAGGTAGGGAGATTGGAGTATGAAAGAAATGATGTTCAATGAAAATTTTTTTTTTTTTACTTTCATTTGGCGCATTGTCAGTGCATCATACATGGGCTCTCAACGGACGGTACATCTATTTTATCAGTATTCCATCATGGGCATCATTACTTCTTGGGCAGGCCCATTGCCTCGAACCACTTTTTGCTCTCAATCAATTGTCAATTGTCCGTTCATCTTCCGTCAACCCCACTGGCCAGCGCCGCCACCATATCCACCCACCTTAATTACATGTCCCAATTGCTCCCCGCTCCTTCATTCCTTCAGCTTTTCAATTGAACTATGCTTTTGAATTGATAGTCCATTTCTTTCCCTCTCCTCATTCTTGCTTCAACAACCTTTCTTCGTCCTTATTCTTACGCACACAGAAAGAAAAAGGAAAAAGAAAAAAGAAATTAGCATCTGAAATTAATATGTGAATATATTTCTCGGATTTAACCTTGTTCAATGCACAAATCATAGACATGTTACCGATAAACTAACTTTTTTTTTTTTTTTTTTTTTTCTTTTTGTTCTTACCTTTCCAGCGCATATTTAAGCGATATTATCATTGGTGCTGATGGAGCATATTCAGCCATACGACAAAACATGTACAAGAGTTTGAAGCAGAAGGGTAAACTCTCAAAGTCAGATGACAAACCTCTTGGTTATAATCAGCATTGCCTTGGTAAGTGTTTACATGCTTCTTCCCTGTCTTTATGATTCCTTTTTATTTTATTTGAGCCCTTTTTTTTTTACATTATGCTGACAATTTTTTTTTTTTTTTAATACATATTACATACACATGTACAGTCGGAGTGACCGAGCCTGTCGATCCAGAACGATACCCTATTCTTAAAAGAGATTTTGCAGATTTTGAGATTGTTATACCCAAGCATGATCCTTTCTATGTAAGCTTTTTTTTTTTTTTGATAGCGTGTATATTACAATATAAAGAGTATGTCGCTTTTTGCCTTTTTTCCGAATTGCTTGCCATTTTGTTTGTTGTTTTGTTTACATGACGCGGAAGAGAGGTCCAGGGACCAGCGACAAACAACAAACAAATAAATAACAAATAGGCAAAGCAATTTGGATCATTTTTGTTATTGTTGATGAATGCTCAAGTTTAAGCTCAAATTAATTTTTTGCTTTTAAAAAAAAAAAAATCTAGGCCATTTATATGCCTCTACCAGGCAATAGAATTTCATGGGCTGTGATCCAGAACGTCCCTCGGGGGGATGCACAAAAGGGTGAAGGGTTCCGATTTTCGGAATGGGGACCAGAAGCCACGATGGAGATGGCTAATTATGTACGGCATCAACCTAACCCTTTTAATGGAACGCTAGGGGATATCATTGATAAATCGCCCATGATTTCCAAGATTATGTTGGAAGAAAAGTTCTTTAAGGCTTGGTATGAGGATCGCGTCGTCCTCTTGGGTGATGGTAAAACTTTTTTTTTTTTTTTTTTTTTTTTTGCTATTGTAGCTGTTTTCTCCTCCTGCGTCCCTAGTTTCGTTTCATTTGTTTGTGTGAAATGCATGCTGGACATACAAATGAGGCTGATTAATTTTTTTTTATTTTTTTTATTTTTTTTTATAAATATTATTTGCTCTGCTTTTCTTTTTTGCTTCGCCTTTTGGATTTTTGGTACATTTGGAAAAAGCTTGCCACAAAGTTGTACCAAGTGCAGGCTTGGGTGCCAACCTGGCTATTCTTGAAGGTGTTCATTTATGTAATCTGTTGGTGGACATACCTGTGGTCAATCAAAGGAATATTACCAAGGTCTTTCAAACCTATTATAAACAACGTGCGCATATTGCAAAAGCTGGTCTCACAAAGTCAAGGCAGTTCGGCAAGGTGATGGGTGATCGAGTAAGTCTTTTTTTTTTTTTTTTTTTTTTTTTTTTAATGTTGGTTCATTCCGCTTTGATGCATACGTTGTATTATAAAATGGGTTACCGATCTCTCTTTTCTTTTCTTTTCTTTTTTTCATTTTTTTCTTTCATTTCTTTTTCTATAGGGTCCTGTATCTCGGCTTATTCGAAAGATCTTTTTAGCACACATGCCAGAAAAGCTAGCCAGGGCATCCAATGTTCAACGATTACACTATCGTCCTCAACTACATTTCCTTCCTCAAGTACCGGATCGTGGATCCGTAAAAGGTCATCCACAAGAGCCAAGGATCACTTTCTAAGGAAGAAGAAAAAAGAAAAAGAAAAAAAAAACATTCACTTTTAGATATCCTCATACCCATCATTTATTCCCATTTAAAATAATAAATAAATAAATAGAGCATACAAGCATACCAACATACATATATCAATCCACAGGACTGTTTGCAATGCTCTGTACAAAGTGAGCCGTCGTTATACCATGTCATTTAGAAGCAAGGCAGGCCCTTTAATAGTACTTCTCAAAGCCAAAGCCGTTGTCATCATCGTGTGGAATGAACAACCAAACATTTATGCCAATCTGCATTTCTCAAAGACAATGCGGCATCACATATATCCCCTTGACCGCTTGGGGGTATTTGAAGATATCAAAGAGTAGATTTAGGATTTTAAGGCTTACATAAAACTTAAACAAAACTCCCTTTGTAGAGTCCTTTACAGTCTTGGCCTTACCAGCCATCATCTTGTTTGCAGCCGTCATTCAGTGTCTTTATTTCTACAATATTGTTCAATCTGTGGTTGCGAGGATGGCTAAAGTTGTGATCCATATTATTGATATCTCTGGTATGGAATGTGTTACTGCCTGTGCTATACCCTTTGTGGGCATGTGTGAAGCATCCATGTTGATGGGACCTTTTGTTTCCGGGATATCAAAATCAGAACTTCATCAAGTCTTGACTTCTGGCTTTGCAACGATTTCGGGATCGGGGCCTTTGGGGTTGTTGGCCTTTGGAGCTGACGTGACTGCATTGTTGACCTGCCGCATGATGGCTGTTCCCTGCGCGATTGTCATCTCCAAGATGCGTTTCCCAGAGAAATAAATACCCTTGAGAAAGGGTACGACTGTGGCACCAGTGCACGAGGGTCGGGAATCCAATGCAATCCATGCGATTTCGAACAGAGCCATCTTTGGGATGAAACTGTATTGTCATCGTTGCAGTCCCCTTGGCTGTGATCTCATTGTTGGGACTCGTTAATGGGCTTATGGGTTGGATCTTTTTTTTTTTTTTTTTTATGCTCTGGAGATGTCAATCCAAAGGCTTACATCATGGGTTGTTTTATCCGTTAGCGTGGTTGATTGGGATTCCAACACAGGAACTTGCTGCCTTCTGCAGAGACTATGAGGATCAAGTTTGTATTTAACGAGTTTGCAGCGTTTGGATCGTTCGTCAGGATTCAGGATTCTTTACAGCTGAGGACAAGGTTGATATTGGTGCCTGGTCAAGCGGATGCGATCGCTAGATTGTCGTTCTCGGCTTGTTTTTGTGGAGCTGTTTCGACGTTGATCTCTGCATGCATCGCAGGCATTGTATTGCAACCACTTTTATTCCCATCAATTTGCTTTTCTGCTATTTTTACTATAGTATATGAATATAAAATTATGCCAATAAAATAAAATATAAAATCTCTCATCCCTTGTTTGCAATGTTTAATTGAGCCTCCTGGTATCTTTTTGTTTACAAGCCCCCGGCGTCAATGCGCGAGGAATGCTGTCCAAATACGGCCCTTTTGTTTTATTTTATTACATATATATTTTTAAAAGGGGAAACTAAAGTGCAGCTGGACAAAAAAAATAAAATAAATAATGAATAAATATAGAAATGTTAAATATGTATACCTGCATGAACAAAAACAGGTGTTTCTTCTGTTTGTGAAACGTCTTGATGGTCCGTCCGGTCCCTCTTCTTATTATATATGATTATGATTATGACTATGACTATAGTTTTGAATATGATAATTAGGTTGTACTTTCTTGCTTCCTTTTCCTTTTCCTTTTTCTTTTCCTTTTTCTTTTTCTTTCTCTTTTTCTTTTTTCTCTTTTCTCTTTTCTCTCTGCCATCTGCCATTTCCATGAACTACTGTTATATATCAATATCAACATTGGAAAAAATAAAAGGAAAAGAAAAAAAAAAAAAAAAAAAAAAAAAAGTAAAAGTAAGAAAGCCGCTTGTTATATATTCCCATTCCTTAGCTTTGAGGTATCTATAAAAAGGCTGCGAAGACTCGGAGGATATATCTGGAATCATGAGAGACATGAACGCGGTGGCAGGCAATCCATCTTGTCTCACCTCGACTACATGTTCATCTACATGTACAACAGCAACAACAACAACAATAACAGCTCTCATTAGAGCCCATCATCATTATCATCCTATTGTTGTTCCAGTTGCTGCTGATGGCGCTCCTGATGGCGCTACTGCCGCTATGATTAAAAATTCGACTATGTTCACGAGCAACAATCCTACCAATAATTCGACCACTATTCCTACTAGTCCTACTATTCCTACTCTTACTACATGCACTACCACCATTGCCATTGAGTCTTCTAACGCGCAGCCAGCTGATGCTTTGACATCCGATAAATGGTCCATTGTTGAACCAGGTACAAATAAGGAAAATATATATACGTGTAGCTCCTTTGCCAATAATTATCCATGACTGCATGAAATGTTTTTTTTTTTTTTTTTTTTTTTCCTATTGACGATCTGTTTACTATCCTTTCACAGGACATTATTTTTTCCGACTTGTCAGACTTGGGAATCTTAATTATGCATTCCATCTGCCATCTGTTCATGTCTGCTGCTTTTTTCTTTCTTTTTTTTTTTTTTTTTTTTTTTTTTTGCTGTGTTTGTATGAACTTTTCTTTTTGACATCTCAAGTTATTGGAAGGGTGGGTGGGGAATAATGGGTAGTATAAAGATTTACAATCTGTTTTCTATAAAAAAAAAAAAAAAAAAAAAAAACATTTTCCTTTTGCAAAAACCTTGTCGAGAGTAATTATTTATTTTACATGTTTATGTATTTTATTGTTGTATTAATTATCATCAGTTGAAATGTCATGGACATGTCATCGCGTGAGGGTCTTTCCTCTTTTGGTCCCACACAGAAATTTTTTTTTTCCGTTCGCGTTTGATTTGAGAAAAACTTTGTGGGCTTGATTTATCAGCACAGAGTACACATGATATCAATATGAATATGAATATGACTATAACACATCCACAGTTCATACAAAGACAACAGAACTTGGACAGACCCTCATACACCTGGTATTTTAAATGAATGTAAAAAAATATCCAAAAAAAAAAGAGAGAAAAAGAGATAGTCAAAGAAAGAGAGAGAAAGAGAGGCATTTTTTTTATTCTCGGGTTTTTTATGTTTAGAAGGATGATAAGGCCATGACGCGCTAGCGATAAATGACTGGGATAGTCTACATCACAACCACAATAACATCCTCACGATAGATCGCCATTAATATACCCTACTCATCATCTAGAACCGTTACGACGACACGCGACCCATTCTTTAAGCAATAACTAATGCACTAAAGCAAATGTGTGCCTCTATTTCTTCCTTCAATTTGTTTAATCTTTTTATTCTCATTCTGCATTCTGCATTTCATTGACGTGACAATGTCAATTGTAAATGAGTTCACTTTGAGTAGAACCGCGGTGGCAAGCAAAACATCTATCAGATTTTTATTGACAATGAGACTTTTTTTTTTTTTTTTTTTTTTTTTTTTCTCATATTCATTTTCATTCCCCCTTCCAAATCTGCTTAGACCCGGCTATTCCTCGCGCCGATCCAGATCCTGCTGTACAAGTCATAGCCACGGTTGCACCATCCTCATTATCTCCCTCATCAACATCTAGTGTCGACAACAATTATAGTAATGGTAACTGATAGCTTTCTCCTTATCCTCCACTTCCCTCTTCTTTCCTCTCTCTCTCTTTACTCCCCTCTTTGTTACCATCCTAATTTTTAACGCTACAATTTCAATTACAATTGATACTGACACTGACATTGACACTGACACTGACACTGAAGGTACCCCTTGAATTTTTGAACTTTCACCTCCCTCTCTTCGGGACATCAGAAAGTGCAGTCTCTATCCATTTTAACATCTGCTGTAACGTTCCCCTACCCTTCTCCTTGAACTTCCTCATCATTCATTATCAGTCAGTGTTATTTGTCCCAGCATCTACCTAGACCAACGGATGAATTGACTTCAAAATAACCTTCCAAACAGCTGTTTATTCTTTCTCGAGACTTTGATAATCCTTTGCCTACACAATTGCCAATACAACGTTTCAACGATTCTCTAACACGAATGTAAAAAATTTGTCCCTCCTCAAATAGAAAAAGGAGACTTTACAAGAAAGAGACCAACTATTCCGTTAACTCCCTCCTCTTCCTCCTCCTCTGTAATATCGATATCAACATCATTAGCATCAACAAGTAGTAAAGTTACTCCCGACTGTATTATCACGGAAGATCTTGAGCATATACAGCAATCGGAGCAACATCTATTTTCAAAACGACTCTTTTGCTTTCCTCTCTCCACCAGATCTACTTCCAGTTGTCGTGTCTATCGCCGTGCTAGTCAAAAGAGCGAGAGCAGATCTAATTGCAACAACAACCGCAGCAACCGCAGCAGTAGCAAAGAACAAAAGTCCAAAACCACGCCCTCAGGCTCTAAAGCCTCCTCCTTCATCAGAATGATCAATTTATCTAGAAACAAAAGTTTACCGGTCTCGACTAACAGTGACAATGGCGCCAGCCCGAGGAATGAAAACCAACGTGGCCGTCGTCATCAAAGGTTCTACAGTAATACCTTCTCCTTCCCCGTGACCCTTCATCTGAACAGGACATTGAGTGGCAAAAGCGACCGTGGCAACATCAATTCATCAACCCTTGATAATAACGATACCAGTGCTGAATCTCATTCCTCATCCATATCCTCAGCAGCTGCCACAGCCCCATGGACATCGATTGCACCCCTGAGCGCTGTCATCTCTGCGATCCACCGAGGTGATTTCTTGGTCCTCTCTGACTCAAGGCTGGATGCCTTGATCCGGGCCTTGACGGGCAAGAACTCGACTGTGTTAGAGACCATTAATATCAAAGGAACTACGATTTCAGGATCAGATGCCCGATTGTTGGCTCGCTTGGTCAAATCCTCAGATGCGGCCAATATCAAAAACTTAAAGCTGGACCAAAACTTGATCAGCCAAGATGGATTCAAATACTTGTGTGAGAGTTTCAAATACAACAAGACAATCACCACGCTGAGTTTCTCTCGTGCAGGGATGAACGACAAGATTATAAAGTACATTGCAAAGGCCGTTAGCAAGAGCGGAACTATTAAAGAGTTGGATCTGTCCAACAATCGACTGACAGCTCAAGGGATCGAGGTGCTTTGTGAGGCTTTAATCTACAATCGATCATTGACTAGACTTTGTCTACAATCCAACAATATCAAGAAAGCGGGTGCACCACATTTGGCAAATCTACTGACCAAAAATCGAGTTTTACGCCATTTGAACGTTGGGTCGAATGGAATTGGAAGTGAAGGATGTACTCTGATTGCAAACGCAGTGCGGTTTAATAGAGCATTGACATCTTTGAGTCTGGACATGAATGAGATGGGAAGTCAAGGAGCCACAGCTCTGGCGACCGCATTGGCTTCGAACAGGAACCTGATGTATCTGTATATCCCACACAACAACATCGGTGACAGAGGCTTGGCCATGATCTGTGAGAGCCTGAAACGGAATCAGGTTCTCATAGGCTTGGACCTGGAGTTGAATCATATTGGTCATGGACAGAGTATTGAAGGAATGAAGGCTTTAGCTGAGGCGCTCAAGGTCAACAAGGCGCTTCGGGAGATCAATTTGTCATTCAACTCGTTCCCTACACCAGCGATCGAGGCATTGATGGAGGGACTGGCTGCCAACTCGACTTTAGAGAGCATACTCTTCACGAATTGCTCTATTCCTACAGGCGGAGCCTTGGCGATTGCTAAAATCTTGCCCACCGCGAAAGGATTACAAAACCTGGGTTTAACAGCCAATACCGAGATATCGGTGGAGGGCTATTGGGCTTTAGCCAACAGTTTGAATCAAAATCGATCGATGAAAGGGCTTCAACTAGATTTCAATTCAGAAGGTCGTCATGCGTTGTATAATATTATTCAGCATTCACTAACCAGGAATTTCATCTGGCAGAGAGCGATCTATTCAGCAGCATGTCGGATCTTGGTGTTTTCGAGGATTGTGCTTTTGGGAAGACCTGTGAATCAACGGAATCTGTTATCATTGTCACACCAGCTTCAGAAACGCAACAATAATAAGAATGGTGGTAATGGTAGTGGAAGTAGGCCATGGAATTTGCTTTGGAAGGTTGGCCAACTGGGGATAGCACCGTCTTCTGCTCCTTCGACCTCCACACATACATCAGAAGCGCAATCCAATAGTACAGATGGCGAGGAGGTTGTGGACAGTGGCAATGTTATGGATGATTATGGCGGGATGATTCAAAACCTTACACAAGATAATTTAGCTTTTCGACAGGCTTCTAATTCAAGTAGCAGCAGTGGGGCAGCATCTTATTCTCAAAGGCCGGCTGGAACCCATTTGGGGGTCACGCAGCAACGGCAAGGGCAGGAACAACAGGAGCAGTCCATTATGCCTAGTCCGTCCTCACTTCGACCTCCATTTCCTTCATCTCCATCAACGACTGCGGCATCGGCAAGGATGATGTTTTCCAACTACGACTATAATGTGCATAAAATGATGGCGAACTTGTGCCATATGCCGTATGAGGTGCTAGAAACCATTTGCGTATTTCTGGATCCGGGTTGTAACATGAGTGTGGAACAGATTCGAACAACATTGCAGACTGGAGGAGATCGATCGACCTTGAGAGCTTATTACACTCGACCCAAGATGATGGAGAAAATCTTTCAAAGTCGATATATCCCGACGATAGGAATGCGATATAGTATTAAGAATAACGATGAGCGACTTTGATAAAGATGTTTTTTTCTTTATTGCTTCTCCACAAAAAAAAAAAAAAAAAAAAAAGAATTTGCTCATCATCCATTGATATATTCATGTGAACTAACTTCTCTTGATCTTGTGTATAAAAATGCAAAATGCTATGTCTCAGCAGATAAATAAACAGGTTTGACCTGTGTTTCTACTTCTCAACCACACGACACGATATAAAACATGGGTGTTGTGTGCGGCGTTGCCATAAATCTCTCTTTTTTTTTTTTTTTTACCCCGCATTTTTTCTGTACCCATTTTAAGTAAACAAACAAACATGCACCTTTGGATGGTCAAAACGTGTTTAGAAGAGTAGAAAAAAGGAAAAAATGGATTTGTTGTTGTTCATGTGTTCCTTTCTGTTCATCTGTTTACGAAACGCACGTCTAGCACTACCCCGCATTCCTATTTCCTTTTTTTCCTTTCTTTCATTTCTTGGATGAAATAAAAAAAAAAAAAAAAAAAAAAGCATTGACGCCAAGATCCATTTCTTACCCCACACAACTATAGATCAACAAAAATGCTTTTTTGCATTCAGGGGCTTGGCCCATGGCTTGCAGTAAACAGCCGCAAGTCGATCTTGGAAGCCCAATGTGAGTAGAGGAAAAAAAAAGAAAAAGGACATTTTTCGCGTTCTTCTCAAAATCTGTAGAAAATAGTAAACGTGATATTAAACCGCATGATAAACTTTGTACCAATGATATATATATAGCTATGGTGCCTCTTAGTCTTTTAATATATATCCTCGTTTCTCAACGCTTGTATTATTATTCATCTTCAGGTTGACTTTCTTTAATGTCAGTCCACTTTGTAGACTACGAATATACATATGGTATATATCATGTAGATGTATACACTCAATTTTTTGAGCCTTTGTTCATTTAGACGGACAGGCATTTAAGGCAAAAAAGAAAGAGAAAAACTTTATTTCTCGCATTGCGATTGATCCAAATTTGCGGGGTGAGGAAAGTCAAAGGTCCAATAATCAGAAACCCTGATGCAATTTTAATATAGTTGCAATACCCCATGCCCGAAAGACCATTATATATGTACTGTATTAAGGGAAGCACCAACTCTACTTTTTGAACTTTAACAAAACACGATACATCCATATAAATGTATATATATACGTTTATACATATATTTATCCTATTAGCATGCTTAGGCTACGAGCCAAGACATCAAAACATGATCCTCTTCTCTTCCACATTCACCCGTTCGGGTCCTTGTTTTTCTCAACCAAAAGAACTCGTTCCGTTGTACGACAACCGTCCAACAAATGGGAAGACGAGAATCATTCCGTTGGTCACAAAGTATGCATGAACAATGAGCAAACAAACAAATAGAGATAAAAAAAAAAATAAAAAAGTGAGACGAGTGAGAAGGAAGAGTGAAAAAATATCGTTCACATTTTAACATGTGTATTTAGCTTTTAAACTTTTTTGGAATCGTGCTATACATATACATTTAATGGGGAGTTAGGGCGAAGAACAAATGGTGGTTTTACGTTTGATCAAACAACAACAATAAAGAAAAAAAAAAAAAAAAAAAAAGAGTTACGAGTTGTGAGTCGCTAAATTACTCCGCGTCCTTCTCTCTCTTTGTCGACCTCCTTTCCTCCTTTCAGAGACGGAAAGGACAGGAAGCAGAGGAAAAAGGATATGCAAAGGTGCATAGATGAGAGTAAACGAGTGGCGTAAATCAAGCTGTGAAAACTTGGGAGACGGTCTTTTTTTTTGCCTAGCTCGAGTGACGATTACCATTTTTGGAGGGTACCTTTAAAAGAAATAAATGAACTTTCAGTGTTATTTCTCTAGTCAAACCAAGAAAGATGTCGGTCTATTTTTAAAGGTCGTTGATAACAAATAATAAAAGACGCAAATGAGTCGCATTGTTGCTGGGATTGAAAAGGTATAGAGATAGGAAAAGTTATGGCAAATGAAGTCTCTGGTCGTCCAACTCTTTTTCTTTTTCCTCTTTCCACCCTCGACAAATGAAGGGTATCCGTTAGGCGTAAATACCATTTTTTTTTTTTTTTCTCGAATGTAAAAGATGCTCAATATATTATATACCTGCAGACTAATATGTTTGTATGCATACAAAATGAATACGTTGAAGTCTACATCTATTTAACGTTCCGTCCAAGAAGGGAAAACGAAAAGCTCTCATTTAGTTTGGTGAAAATGCCCTTTGACTTTAGATGATGGAACGAGTCTAATGGGCTTCAACCTTTGGGCGCGTTTCTAATTATCAAGCTAAACACGTCAAGATATGACAGACTATTGGAGATCAGTGCGCATGTAAGTATTAAAAAAAAAAAAAAAATAGGCATTAGATAGACAGCAGAAATTTTCTTGGAGCAAGCCATTTTTTTTTTTTTAATTTTCTCAGGATGGTTCTAACAGTAAAGAAGCATGGCTTCTCCAAAGTGACAACCGCGTGAGCATGTTGGCATACATAGTCAAGATATGAAAAAGAAACAGAAGAGAGAAAAAAAAGCCCATCAAGACTATACACATATAAAAAACTCACGTCTTAGGACAAAACTAAGGCCAGATCGAGTGAGTGAGGGAAGTAAAGGAAAGAGGAAAGAGGAAAGAGGAAAGAGGAAGTATCGGTGGTAGTAGGCCGCTTCAGCCAATTCAATTAAGAAAGTTTTTCCCCGCAATTTTCCTTTTTATTAAAGACAAGTTGGCTCTCGAAGTAAAAAAGCTCATTTTCGTTTTATAATCCTCACACTGCCGTTCCATAACAGACTCCGAACAAACAAACTGTTTAGCTTCCTCCGGTACACTTCGCCGATAAAGATTACATCTCAGGTTGGAAATGAATTAATCTCGTCTTGAACTCTTGATGGTGTCCTTCAAGGATCGATCTTGAACATACAAACGCATACCTGTAGTTGACATTGGAAATGTGTCAAGATAGAGAATGGATAGAAAAGAGGGTAGGATCCACTTTTTTTTTTTTTTTTTTTTTTTTTGTTTACTTCCTTTGTGAATGTTTATTTGTTTGTTTGTTAATACCCTCTTTTTTCCATGTGTTTGTACAGATGCAGTCTAAAGGACATCCTTCTCGGACCCAATGAGACCAGGAGACTGAAGACAAAGTGAGGCAGTCTAATCAAGCATAACTGTTTTAAGAATCTTGACAAAGGGAGGCGATAAGATAAAAAGGGCCAACTCGCTCTTTTTTTTTTTTTTTTTTTTTTCTTCTCCGCTCTTCGCCCTTCTTCCTCTTTTTTGTATTAACATTGTAAAGTACATGTACTCTCGGATCCATCATTTTCATCTTTGAATAAAAAGAATCCGCATCCCACTCTCTTCTCTCTCTTCTTTTTTCTCTCTTTTCTCTTCTCTCTTTGCACCTGTCCTTTCAGTTTACTGATTGCCATCGCTCCCTTCCCCCTCACGAGGTTCCTTTCCTCTATTTTTTTTCCTACGACTCTAAAGTTGCTGGTGTTTCAACTGAGGCACCCTCTCGTGCACCTTTAATTCCCTTCTCCTTTAATATATACAAAAACATATATACATGTCTTTCTTTGAGAGACTGAACCGTAGCGTGGCAGAGTCCCGCATCGGCAAGTACTTCCGTCTTGAGGGTTCTGGCGCTCGTCGTGAACGTGCTGGATCCAAGTTCACGACCGAACTCCGTGCTGGTCTTACTACCTTTGTCACCATGGTAAAACACTTACTCTTTACTGTCTTACTTATACTACAGCTGCCGTGCCCGCTTTTACTTTCAACGCTCTGCCATAATGGCCTACAAAAAAAACATACACACAATGGGGATCAAAAAAAAAAAAAAAAAAAAAAAAAAGACTGCACTAACGTTTCTATTGCTCATTCTACAACTTGATTGATGCTCTACAAAACAATTAAACTAATCGACTTCATATCACTCATGTTTATTTTATTTATTTATGTAAATGACAGGCTTATATTATCTCAGTCAACTCATTAATTGTCACTGATTCTGGTGGAACGTGTGTCTGCAACAATGGAGGCAATGCCACGGATGTGGGATGCTTTACTGACCCAGGTTATGCAGACTGTCTGGCAACTTTGAAACTTGATATGGTCACGGCCACAGCCGCTATTGCCTGCTTCTCTACATTGCTCATGGGTTTGTTTGCCAACTTGCCCATTGGTCTTGCTCCCGGTATGGGTCTGAATGCCTATTTCACTTACACTGTCGTTGGATTCCATGGATCAAATAAGATCTCGTATGAGACTGCTGTTGCTGCTGTCTTCATCGAAGGTATCCTATTCATCCTGTTATCGCTTTTTGGAATCCGTCAATGGCTTGCTCGTCTGATCCCTCAATCTATCAAGATTGCCACTGGCGCTGGTATTGGATTATACTTGGCTTTCATTGGTAAGTTTCTCCTCCCTCAAACATGGGCATAATCCACACAATAAGAAAGGTTAAAAAAAAACAGTGATTCACATTTTAATAACCTTACCTTATCAATTTGTTCATTGATTACAGGTTTCCAATCATCTGCTGGTATTGGCCTCATCGGCGGTGACAAAGCTACATTGGTTGCACTTGCAGGATGTGTCAAGGATGGTACAGGTGCCTGCATTGAGGGCACACAAATGCGTGGTCCTACAACCTGGATGGGTATCTTCGGTTTGGTGATCATTGGTGTCTGCCTTCTGTTCCGTGTCAAGGGTGCAGTCTTGGTCGGTATTGTGACAATTTCAATCCTCTCTTGGATCCGTGGCACAACCTTCACCTACTTCCCTTATTCGGATGCTGGCAACGCCTCGTTCGATTACTTCAAGAAGGTCGTGACCTTCCATCCTATCCAGACTACTATTGGCAAGATGGACTTCCAACTCAACAACTCAGAGGTTTGGATTGCTTTGATCACGTTCCTCTATGTCGATATCATGGACACCACCGGAACTCTGTACTCAATGGCCAAATTTGGTGGCTACATGTACAAGAACGGTGACTTTGATGGCTCAACTGCTGCATTCCTTTGTGATGCCACCTCCATCGTTGTCGGTGCCGTCTTTGGTGTGCCCCCTGTCACTGCTTTCATTGAGTCTGGTGCTGGTATCACTGAAGGAGGCCGTACTGGTTTGACTTCAATCACCACTGCCTTCTTCTTCTTCATCTCGCTCTTCTTCTCTCCAATCTTTGCCTCCTTCCCTCCATGGGCTACTGGACCTGCTTTGATCGTTGTCGGTTCTATGATGGTCAAGTCTGTCCGTTCCATTAACTGGGATTATGTTGGAGATGCCATCCCAGCATTCTTGACCATTGCGCTGATGCCCTTGTCGTACTCAATTGCCTATGGTCTTATTGCTGGTGTTGGTTCCTATGCTGCCATCAACGGTATTGTTTACATCTTGGAGTTGATCTCTGGTGGACGTATCTCACCCGAGGATAAGGATTTGAAGGAACCATGGATCAGCGAAAGCTTTACTTGGCAGAACGTCTTGCCCGGCTGGATCCAGAAGCTGATCTGCAAGATGCGTGGAGAGATCTATGTAGATCCTTTGGATGTGATCGAAGAGGAGGAACGCTTGGAGCGTGAGGCTGCCGCTGCTGCTGAAGAGCATGAGTCCAAGATTGATATGGGAGGACATCATGAAATCCACAAGTACTAAAAAAAAGAGGGAAAAAAAAAAAAAAAAAAAAAAAAGATATTTTGCTTTACGTTGCTGAAAGCAGAAGAAATAATAATATATAATAACAGCCAAAAGATATATACCAGATATACCATGTAACTATATGCAAACAAATAACAAGAAAAAACAGAAAAAAAAATACGATGTAAATTCAATGTGATTGTAGCCTTCAGTGTGACCCATTGTGAAGAGTGATAAAAGAAAGGATCCAGCATATATATATTTTTTTTTGACCAAATTAATAGCCAAGTACAACACAATCTTGATCCTGTTGACGTTTAGAACAATTGGTTGTGCACGTGCAAAAAAAAAAAAAAATTAAGGTCAAATGAGGGTCCATAAGGAGCAGACCAGAATGGATTTGATGAAACTCCTCTCTTACAATCACAATGGTTAGTCTCCCTGCAGGACGGTTTTTTTAAACACTTGTGGATGAATGGATTGATATCTTGTCATCCATCGATCCATCAATCCATTAAATCCGTATTGGCAACAACCATTGAGGCAATAAGCAAGTTAATATTCAACAAGGAGAAACGCAGGATTGCTTATTACTATCGACACTCTTGGCGTCTTCACTTTTTTTTTATTACATCTGAAGAATCATTATTTTGTTAAAGTTGATGTTTGCTCATTCTACGATAAGCACACAAACAAAACGAACAACAGCTACTACTCATTACAGAATATCAATATGGAATCTCACCGGGAATAGTGAATGAGAATCAATAATGGACATACTGAGAACCATGCAAGAGAGAAAGAGAGGGTATCTTCCTTTTCCTGTTACGGAAGGCTCATGCGGAACGATGTTGCTTTGCTACTGCATTCAACGTTAGTCGCCTTTTTTGTTTTTCTTGCTCGTTGGCAAGCAGAAGCAAATAAAACAAAGCTGGCGCTTGAACCATTGTCAGGATGAATCAGCATTTCCCTAATGACCAGAGGACTTTATCAAGGAAGACAGTTATAACTAGCCTCAAACTAGACCCGTTTGCTGAGCTTTGCAAGCAGTTCAGGAAGAAAAAGAAAAAAAGAAAAGAAAAGAAAAGGATGCAGTGGTGATTGCGGCAGCAGCGGCGTTCAGTTTCTTACTTTCCTGGTCTATACTTCAACAGTTTAGAGCAGAGCAGTATGAAATGAAAATACCACTTTCAACCTCTTAATCCACTACTCGACACTTGTTTTCAGGGTTCGTCTTACATTTTATTCAATATTCTTGTAGTACTAACCCTATGCTTTTTTTTTTATTGTTGTTACACTGTTCAATAGGCTAAGAAGGACGCTGCTGCTAAGCCTACGTCATCCTCGGGTGGCAAAGCCAAGAAAAAGGTAACAAACAATGCCTTTTCTTTTTAAAGATAGCTGACGGGAAATGGGAAAAAGAAAGAGAGAAAACAACAAAAGATGATGCCAGCGACCACCTATCCTTTCTTTTTTTTTTTTTTTTTTTTTTTTTTTTTTTCCTCTTATCTGTTCATCACCACTGGAACATGCGAGATAAGAAGAAAGGGCGAGAATTACTGCAGGCATCAGTCTGTCTGTTGTTGCATCTCTTTTTTTGAAAAGCAAAAGGATTGAGTCGCAGTGGTCTTGTTCATTATCTTTTTCTTTCTCGCTTTCTGTCTTAATTTGACACACTTTGAAAGATCATGAAAGAAATAAAACTCACTTTTATGATTTATGTTTGGGATTTGTTTGGTTAATAGAAATGGTCCAAGGGAAAGGTCAAGGACAAGGCTAACAACGCTGTCATCCTTGACAAGGCCACCTACGACAAGCTCATGAAGGAGGTTCCCACCTACAAGTTGGTTTCACCCTCTGTCTTGGTTGATCGTCTCCGCATTAACGGCTCTCTCGCCCGCATGGCCATCCGCGAGTTGGTCAAGCAGGGCTTGATCGTCCCAGTCTCAACCCACGGCGCCCAGTTGATCTACACCCGTGCTACCGGTGCTGGTGGCGATGAGGAGAAGAAGTCTGCCAAGAAGGCTGCTGCTGCTGATGATGAAGAGTAAACAAAAAAAAAAAAAAAATAGCGAAATACCTTTGTTTTACTTCATCAACACAAAAAGCAATTCGTCGATATGTCGATTGATCTTGATCGAATAAAGGACATCTTTTTTGAAAAAAAAAAAAAAAAAAAAAAAAAAAAAAAAAAAATTGCCCGAAAATTAATTTTGTATTGGCGACTGTTCGGACTCCACATGGTACTGTATAAATACTTGAACACTGCCACATGTCATTGACTTCTCTACGTCTCTTAAACAATACCTGAACTTTTGCAAGGGATGTGTCAATATTCGACAAATATGTAACATTTGATGGTTACGTCACAGCCTTTGAATTGTGAAAGCGCTGAAGTATGCGGAAAACGAGAACCATTTGTGTTTTTACTCGCAACAGGCGTAACTTCAAAAAGTTTGTCTCTAAAGAGCAAATCCTATGTCCTCCGTTGCTCAAAAGAAACAATGCTATCTTTTCTGCGTCCCAAAAGCACGCCACAATCCTATTGAAGCGTCCAGAGGCATTATTTGCCTCATGGTTTGAGAATTAACAGACTTTCAGTCAAGTTTTATTGTTTTGAACAACACAGTGAATCCTGTCTATTCTAAGTAGTCCCTCTGGATGGCAGCTATTCAAGGGATGCTAACCAACTCCGCTGAATACGGTTATATCAAGACAGATTTGGAGAACCAACAAGCATCGAACAGTCGCCATTCCTGACATCAGACAAAAGTATTATTGGTGGCGTACATGTTTCGTTTTATCTTTTCTTGAGTATTTTTGACTTTATGTCATCCCTTTTTTTCTTCCTACTCTTTACATCTTTTCACATGATGACGCGCTGCTACAGGCATTGCAGACGAACCTATGGCTATTTTTTGATGGTTTTTTCTGGTAGCAATTATTCTGACTGCCAGATGAACGCTTGATGTCATATACATGTATATGTACAATCACGCCCAGAGTCCTGCAATCCTGTAATATAAAAACAGGCTGTCCTGCAGATGCATCTCGTAGGGCTGTCTGGTGAAGCAGTGATGCAGTTAATTATATAATATCTACATGGATGCTGCAGCTTGGCTATAAAATGAGCCATTTGGTTTTGCTTTGGTAGAGCGCTCTTCATACGCGAAGGAACGCGTCCCACGCTGTTCTGTTGCATCATGATCGACAGAGGCTAAAAAAAAAAAAAAAAGTTACTCTGGGTGTGGTACGTTACGCCCAGGGATATTACAAAGCCCTCGACAGGAATGAACCTTACAACTCAACTACCAAAACCTTAAAAGGGAGGGCGATTAAAAGACGCACAGGCATGCGTTTAAATCAATCTGAATATGGCCATACAAGCAAGCTTTTTCCCTAAGCTTGGCATTTTGCTGCGGCTAACATTTTTTCTTGTCGATTGAGTTAACGCTGATGGGCTTTTTTTTTTTTGATTCTCTTATACAATAAAGAAAGAGAGAGAGCACTTTCCCTCAATTTATGACAAATTAGTATTCTGTACTACTTGAATTCGAGATCGAGCGGCGCTATTCCTCTTTTTTTTTTTTTTTTTTTTTTTTTTTTAAAAAAAAAAAAAAAAAAAAAAAAAATGCGTAAAGCCAAGGAATAAACGCTCTATAGCCCCCAAACTAATCGTAATGACGCAGATCGTTATCTCAAGATGTTAATAATCCTAGTGGCGATGAATACGGTTTAATTCCAACTAAATCCTGGGTAAGCAAGGCCCAGTCTAACGGGTGGAAGTCTCATCTCCCTGAAAATTTGGGAAAGTGTAAAATGGAACCACAGGAAAAGAAGAAAGAGAGAAGAGAAGAGGGAAAGAGAAAGGGAAAAGAAAAGGAAAGGAAAAAGGAAAGGGATGGTAAGTATCCATTGCGGATTCTAAGTCTATCTACTGTACATTTTTTGCATGAATGTCTTTTCTGGAATTTTTTTCTTGATAAAACCCCCCGTTAACAAGAGGATGTATATTTTATTCACTGGCATTTGCCTTAACAATGTGCACAAGTCCCATCCCAGGGAGGAAAAAAGAACATCGAATGAAGGGAGAGAGGGAGAGAAGAGGTCTGTGATTCGGCGTTTCCATTAATCCGCCGGATTGAGCAAGTATAAAAACATGATTTGTGGATATTGTGCAACTTTGATCCCCCTCCTCTTTCCCTCCCTACATGAAGAAATACCCCCCCACACACACTCTCCAAACGACATGTTTAGCAAACTGTCGACCCTTGTTTGTCAACAAAAAAAAAAAAAAAGAAAGAAGGCTCTCACTTAAAAGAAAATTAAAATGAGCGTGCATGGCGAAGAATAGACACATACAACATGAATCCTTGTAGATATATATATAATATATATAAATCGATTATAATGGCTGTCGATGTTGTCGATGTTGTCGATGGTGTCGACATTGATGTCTTGATTAAGAATAGCGTCCTACCATAAACGATGACTTGTATTCCTCTTGAATCGAATCATCTCGCACGGTTAACTTTGCTCCCGTGGATATATTCAGACCAATCTGCAGAAGATGCGTTCACGTAAACGCGCTGCAGACACTCGGCATGCGCAGACAAGTCATCAGATCCACGGAAGATTAAATGGAGGACTTTTTTTTTCTTTTTTCTTAGCCTGTGTGTATGAGTTGTGTAAGAGTGTCAATGTCCGTGTGATATTGATTGACAAGAAGAGGAAAGAGAGGGGAAAAAAAAAGAATAAGAGTGAATGGGCTGTTCAGAGACTTGGCAACTTGGCAAAAGAAGAAACTATTCTTGGTCATCTATACAAATGCGCAATTGTCAAGTGCAATTGTTTTGTGCAATTAGACAACAAACAGGTTTTTCTATTGTTCATTGTCATTGTTTTTGTCCTTGTTCTATGTAGTATTTATATAATTGTATAAATATATATATATCTGTATTCAATCTAAACAAACCAGATAAATATTTTTATATAAAGTCGACATTTTTGTCCTTGAATCCTTTAATCGCGTTAAACCTCTTTGTCTTCTTCTTCTTCATTCTCCTTCATTCTCGTCATTGCCCTACTTGTGTTTTCTACTGTTGTTTAGTTTGCAAGTAGAAGCAATAGTTACCCATTCATATTCTTCGCTTTCTGTTTCTTATTCTTATGCTCTCCTCTACTTCGACTTTTTCTTCTTCTACTTTGCCTACTTTTTCGGTCGCGCATGCATCTAAACTGTTGTAACCCCTCCATTTCATGCTTCCAACTTCCTGCTTCCTCTTCCTTCTTTGAACTTCCTTCACATCAACTCTTTTCTCCCCCTTTCTCTTTTCCTTTACCTATCGTGTCATTTCTCATCTCCTATCCCTATACTCCACTCACATAGAGAAAAGAGAAATAGCCTTGTCTAACGGAATCACACAGTTCATTCACTCTCATTTCAGTGTCATTTGAAATGACATTGTTGTCACAGAAAAGACATGGGTCGATGAGGTCCATTTGGTCCATGAGTATGACGACGACAACTACTGCTTTCTTGCTGATAGTAATGGTCATTGTCTTGTCAGCAACATCAGTAACTACAACGCTGGCTATTCCAACACCTCTTGGGGGTCTCTCAAGACAATCGATTGCAGATGTTCCCGATCCATTAGATTACTCAACCAGTCAAAAGAGAGTGTTACCTCCATCATTATCATTGCTACGAAAGCGAGATATCCCTGCAGGGATGCCTCTGACTTGTACAACCGACTTTGAATGTCTCCAGGTGACTCGTCCTGAGAATTGGCCACGCAATCATGCCAAGGTCCAGGCAGGCACCTATGCCTGTGTCTTCAGTAGTAGCTCAAACGGTGCAACCAACAGGACAGGAACCTGTCAATTTGTCGTCACTGCAGGTAAAATTCAAATGACAAAAAATGATTGACCATTGCATTGTTTTTGTTGATCCGCTCTTTCCTTATCCTCCTATCAACAACAACAACAACAACAACAAAAAACAGGTTCAGCCCATGCTTTTCCACTTTTTATTGCCAAATCGGAAATAGTTTATTCTTATTGCGTAACATGCGCAGACTTTTTTTTTTTTTTTTTTCAATTCTTCTCCGACCTGGAAGACATCAATCATCCAAAGACATGATGAAATGATACCTGAACGTGATTGCAATGATGAATGCACAGATAACTTTACTGCCTGTACTCTCCATCATTGACCATGATGCAGAATAAATATAATATCAGAAAGGGATCGCCTTCATTTTTCTCGGCGTGGCTGACAAATTGCATTATTCATTCATTTATTTTACTTTTTTTTTTTTTTTTTTTTTTTTTGAAATAGGGGAGCAATGCAGTGTTGCATCTGACTGCGCAGCCTATGCTTTTTACACACAGCGCAACATCCCCATCCCTGCTGATTTATGCTCACCAAGTCACTGCACTCTAGAGTCGACTTGTGGTAGTCCCTGGCAAGAAAGCTATGCCCCCACGAACCACTCGTTCTCAAGCGATCGAGATCATAGCCAAATTAGCTGTTGTGGAGGACAGCCTGCAGGCCAGATCTGTTCCTTGGTTGGAAACAATGTCGATAGTTGCGCATACCACAACCTCTGTCAATTTGATCTCGATGATGTCATGAAGGGTCCAGGCGACGAGGCACACCCTTCCAGTGATCCTTCCTTCAATCATGGTTACACATTGGATCAGATGCGAGAGCAAGGATTGGGTTTTTGTCGAAAAATCGATCAGCGCAAACATGTCTGGATCGGAGTGGTCATCACCTTGATCTCATCCACAGTATTGAACTTGGGATTAAATGGACAAAAGTATGCGCTACGTAAACATGATGAAAGACGAGTTCTCAAACAGCTGGAAATGGAAGAAGAGCATGAGCGATGGCGCCAAGAACTGGGCTGGTCTGAAGAACAGGTGCAACAGGAGGCTGACCGTTTGTATGAGGAGAAGGAGAACCGACATGGAAAGCTCTATCGTCGATTGAAGCCTTACATGTTTTGGCGCAATATTTTTGTCTCCAAGGTAAATAATTATGTTCTATCTTCTTCATGCCACCACCAGTTCTCGTTTTTATTTTATTTTTATTAGGATCTTCGTAATAATGCTGTAACTGTTATATATATATATATTTGATATAGCTCTGGGCAGCAGGTCTTGCCGTGTTTATTATCGGAAATTTAGGAGGGTTCATAGCACTTCGATTCGCACCTCAGTCGCTGACAGCACCTCTAGGATCAATCTCTCTTATCTCCAACGTTATTATCGCACCCCTAATCAACAAGGAGGTCCTCGGAAGATGGGATATTGCTGGCATCTTTTTCATTGTCGCAGGATCTGTCATTGTCGTCGTATTTTCAGGCATTGTTGCGCAAGGTATGCTTTTTCTTAAAGTAATTCGTATATGTCTTTACATATATCTTACATTTTGCTAATTGATAATACCGTCCTTTTATTATTATTTAATTATTTAATAGATTACAAGCTGTGTGTTCTCATCAACTTGTTCCATAAGCCGGCCACAATCATCTATCTGACATTTATTGGTGTCTGTATCGTCTTTACCTTCTTTTTTATCCAGTTTGTTGAGAAAAATGTCGAGAACGAGGCAGATGTAGCCATTGGTGTCTCCTCCGAGCAGCAATTGAAGAAAGAAGGGCGGCTCTACAGGATCAACTCCAACAAAAGCACCCAAAGCTTGGCCTTTCAGGAACGGTCAAAAAATCCATCCATCCATGGAGCACTCGTGTCGTCTGGAGCTAACCTACGTGATGCAGAAGAAGGGCGAAAGGCGAGAACTTCAACGTCCAAGGAGCCGAGCTCTGAGAAACAGAAACAAGGACAGGAACAACTCAATGATATTTCATTAAATAGGACATCATTGGATACACCTGCTCGGTCATCCACCCAACAACAGAAACAATGTGATGGCGCATTGAAATCGAGTCGTAGTCATCACACGATCACAAGTGAGGCATCTGGAACAGCTATAGGAGCATCATCTACTGTTCTTTATACGGAGCCTCCACAGGATAACTGGAGACCTTCGTTTGGATCTAGCAGAAGCAACAGCAGCCAAAACTCTATTGCAGATCTGGAAAGTAAGGTCCCATCCTCAACATCCAACGCTGTTGAAGACAAACAAGAACCCAAACTCAAGTTTGGTGGATCAGTCATAGGCTCTGCAGAATTGGGAACAAGCACTCCAGGAGCTGTTGGAGAACATGATACTGTGGCTGCGACTGGATCTTCATCACGTCAGGGGCTGAGCCGTATGCCGTCTATCACACCTTCTGTGATGTCCACACGTCGCCATCGTAGAGGCCAAAAGAAGTCACATCATCATAATGGAGTACCCTTGACGTTCTGGGAGCGCGTGCGACAGATTGAGATTATTCCCACATTGCCCGAAGAAAAGTTGATCCGACGCAATTCACCTTTGCTGCGTTTCTGTCTGCCATTAGCGTACGCGGGACTTGGAGGAATGATGGCATCGTATACTGTGTTGTTTGCAAAGTCACTGATCAACCTGCTAGTGACCAGTATCTTTGACGGCCAAAACCAATTCACATCGTTCATTGCATGGGTGATCCTGATTGTTACGGTGGTGACGGCGATTTCGCAAGTCTACTGGATTAACATGGGACTGAAGAAGTATGATGCATTGCTTCAAGTGCCTGTCTTCTTCACAATCTGGGTCCTTTTGGATATCGTGGGTGGAGGCATCTATTATGACGAGTTTGCAGGTTTCACAGCCAAGAAATATGCCTTGTTCTGTTTGGGTGTATTGATTGTCTTCTTTGGAGTCGCACTGTTGGCGAAACGATTGGCCGTATTGGCAAAGGAGGATGCAGGAGACCCTGAACTGCAGGCAGCTTCAAGGAGAGAGTCAATTTTGAAGGAGATTAAAGAGGCAAAAGAATCTCCTGAGACTTTAAAGAAGACTGCTGGCACTTCCGGAGCTACAGCTGGGGTTGGAAAGTAGAGATGACGGAGCAGGATCCAACTCAAAATAATCATTTTCATCACTTTACCTACTACCATACTATTTCTTTTTATTTTTCATTTTTCAATTTTCATTTTTCTCTAATGTCTAATGTCTAATGTCATACATGTCGTTAGTCACCATTGTACTGTATATTAGCAAAGAAAAATATAAATGTAAATGTTGGCATCTCATAATAATGAAATTGTATTTCAAACCTGACTTTGTCTAATCGACTGATATGCTTGTACAAAAATATTAAATGTTTTTTTTCTTACCTTTGGGGGTTTAGCGAAGCAAAAGAGTTTGTGTTTATATCGCCAATTTTATTTGGTCACGATACCTTATATTTTTAATCTAAAAACGATGATTGAATTGTTCTGGTGGCATCTCACTACGTGACGGACTTGCAACAATACTCGTAACAAGCGAGCTAATTGGCTGCCAATACACTCGAAAGTATTCAAAAAATATAAGGTATCGCGACCAAATGAAACGGGCTATATGGACACTTGTGACCAAACGTGCTTTTTTTTTTTTTTTTTTTTTTTTTTTTTTCTTGTTTCGACTTACAACGTCATTGCTTCTTGGTTCACACTATCAACCTAAATGTAAGGGTAACTCTACTTTCCATAAGTGTTGTTTCTATAGCCTATATCGTCTCCTGCTAGCCAAGCTCTCCTGGATTCACTGATTCACCAAAAAAAAAAAAAAAAAAAGAAAAAAAAAGAAAAAAGAAAGAAAGAAATAGTATAAACAATTCAACAGGATCTCGGACTTTTTACTAAAAGAGTAACAGCTCAGCGTTTAATTGTGAGATGTAAGTCAACAAGGAGAATAAAAATGATGTTGATCCAATCGAGCAGCAAGATGATCTCCAAAAGAACCTTGTGAGCGATCCATCTATCCTGCAGTCTCTGGCTGATCCTGTTCGTTTAGAGCCATTGTTCAAGCAAGAGCTATATAATATGTGGAACTCTCAAAAAGCGATAATCAATGCCAATGGCGGACTGCAGCAGCTAATGCGGTGACAATCTTGGTACGAGCAGGAGAATCATTTATCGAAGCTGATTTGCGAGGTATTTAGATCCCAGGCGCAGATCTGAGTAACGATATATTCGAAGGCGTTCAGTTACAAGGAGCAGATCTGAGGAAAGTAAACCTCCAAAATTGTTGGCTTCGTGAAGCGAACTTGGATGGTGCAAAGATGGTAGATATACAGCTTGGTGAATGGCCAATTCTTCAAGAAAGCTCACCACTTATATGGGGTACAAATTCCCCTGATGGGAAGACTCTCGCAGCGCTTAATAAGGATGGTTCGATCGTTGTGTATAACACTTTTTCATGGGAGAGGCTTTATATATACACTGGATGGTGGCGCAGAGTAGGATGAGGGACATGGTGTATCTATGTTTAGCTACTCGCCGGATAGTCGCCAGATTGCCTAATGGAGCGCTGGTTATTCTATCCTTGTATGGGATGCGACATCAGGGGTACTGGTCCCTAGATTGGAGAGGCACTTTGAAATGATTTGTTGTGTGGCTTACTCTCCCAAATCGCCTCAGCTAGTGGCGACGGCACAGTACGTGTGTGGAATACAAAAACTGGGATGCTCGAATATACATTTGAGAGATCTTTAACGTGAAATATTCACTTGATGGACGATACATTGCATCAGCTAGCAACGACAAGACTGTACGACTGTGGGATGCCACCATAGGAAGAGGAATAGGTCAGATTCTCCATACATTGCAGAATATGAACAGAGTAACCGATATCAAATACTCTCGTAGCGGACAGTTGCTCACTACTCTTGATAGTGATGATATGCATTTCATAAAGGATGATATTGGAGAAGGATTCTGCACACGTTCAGCATCCTTATTAGGCGACTCATTGCTTGCTTTTATTTATTCAACAGAGGAGCTGTATCTATGGGATGCAGAAACAGGACAAATCCATCAAAAGATATCGACTCTTGATCTTGAGGATGAGGCAACATTCGTGATGTGTTCACCATGTGGTCAGCAGATTGTAATCGGAAGCTATGATGGATCGATGTGTGTTACACATATAGGGGTAGAAAAGGAGATACATCGCGTAGTGCTAAACGGACATGGTTATGTCTACACTGTAGTCTATTCGCCGGGTGGCCAGTATATTGCCTCAGCTAACGCTGACAAAACCGTGCGCTTGTGGAACCCACGCTCTGGCAAATGTTTAGCTATTTTACCCCACAAGTCATCGGATTGAATAAGATTAACAGGAGATTGCTAGAGCAGCGTGGAGCTGTGGGCGAGTGAGGGCGATCATCATCCGTGAGAACCAAGGACCGAACAAACTTAGACTTCTCTAGTTTTGCAAGCTGAAACGTCTGTAGGATTAGTTTCATTCTTTTATAAGAGGAAAAGCATGTAAAATCAACGTACGTTATATTCCCATCTCTTTTTTTAGTCCCTACTTTATGTAAAATGTAAATTAACCAAAAAATAAAAACAAAAGGTAAGAGTGATTAGTTTCAATGGTCAATGATCCATGTCTTGTACAAAGGAGATTATAAAATAAGAAACCATGGAAATATATTTAGATGTTGGAGGCTGTGTAAACTTGAGTGGACTGGCGCTTGACCAGCTGTCATTCAACAGCAGTTTTCCACGTAAGCGCCATTTTCAAGACAGGCTGGTTCGTTATAATCCTCTTGAAGATGCTGGGTAACAAAGGAAGAATGAAAGAGCAGAGAATTAAAAAAAAAAAAAAAAAAAAAAAAAACTGTAAAGCATGATTGAGAACTTTACAGGGGTCATGCTTTAGTTCCAAGCACAACGAGAACATGTAATATTGAGTGATATTTCAAGCCTATGGAAAGGAAAACGCTGGTTCTCCATTCATCTATCCGGTCGATTAAGGCCTGACACATGATTTGTTGCTTGATTCCGAGGACTTGAGACGTGATGACCAACAATGACAACAGAGATATAGAAATGTATGAAGGATATTTACCCCATACCTATTGCAGATAGAAGCATTTTTAACTGCATGCAAGCCCTGTCTATAAACTTTTAACAACACTGGGTTACTGACAGTCCACTGATAATCCTTTCACTAATAGTCCATATTCCTTTCAACCGTATGCTCATGTACGATGTTCTCCTGTGGAGAGAATCCGAAGACTCGGATGTTCATTTTCATTCTATTGTCTGTGCCTGCTGTCTGTGTGTTTGTTGTGGTTGTTGTATTGATTGTGTCCCTTAATGCTAAATTTGAAAAAAAGAGAGATGCGATGCTGCCACGCCACGCGATGTAGGCATGACACAAAAACTTGTGCCTTTTATGACCCTGCATGTCTTTCTTTCGCTCTTTTTCTATAGCCTCTCAAAAGCCAATTCCACTCCTTTACAACTTTTATAGACCTCTTTCTTTCTTTCTTTCCTTCTTTCTTTCTCTCTTTCTTCTTTCCAGTGCTATTCACCTATTACCGCTACCACACACCACACCTTTATTCTACACTTGAAATTCATTTTTTTTTTTTTTTTTTTTTTTTTTTTCCCACATTTCCTTATTGAGCTACAAATGCCGCCACCAGACAATCTCAATGGTGCATTGGCATCTGTCAAGTACCATGTCCAACAATGGATCAACCTTGTCCTTTACAATTCCATTTACCAAAACGTCATTTTTCTTTTCCTCTACCGTCTCTTCAAGTTTCTATACGGTCTTTTGACCCGATCAACAGAACTATCACGGATTTGTGGAGCCAATGACTGGAAGACACCTTTGGACCCCTTGTGGGATCATGAAGGCAATGTAATGTCTAACTTGGTGAATGAAAAACATTTAGGGACAATTGCATTCACCAACATTGCTGGTCCGAATGCATTTCCAGCTCATATGCATTTGCGTGCTGCTGTACGTGCTACAGGAACAACCACTGCACCAACCAGGACCTCAACAGATTCTGACAGGTCTTCGTCTTCACATTCCTCGCATGATTCTGGGTCGGATAATCATAGTCCTGACCGACAAACAGCTGCAAGAGTCTCTTCATCGTCGCTCTCAACAACAGTGACAACCACTTCTGATGGAGCTACACTGCTTGGAGAAGGTGATACGACAACTTGTAACGCTTCTGGTGTTACAGGAACTAGTGAGTTAAAACATCGTAAGAAACGAAGTGTGTCCTCAACCAGTAGCCGGTCTAGCAGTAGCAATGGCAATATCAATGGCAATGGCAATATTTATAACGGTAACAGTAATTGCACTATGATGGATCTACGGCAGTCGCGATCTGCAGCTGGAATGATTTACAGGATTGGTAAGTAGGACCAAACTAATTGCTCTGATGTCATATGCAATTATTGCTGCGAAACATTTAGAAAAAAATCCATGGGGAGAGAAAAAGATGAGATGCGCGCATGCTGACATGAATAATTGTTTTTTTTCTTCTTAATTCTTCTTTGTGCTTCTGTGTTTCTTTGTAGATCGATGCATTTTGTTCTCAAAACAACTTACTGTAAGGCGATGGACATGCATCATTGTATTATCCAATGAACGGGAAGAAACCCTTTTTGTATTTTTATTGACTCTTATTCACGCTAATTTCTATTATACTTCCATATCGTCATGGGGGGAGCAGTTGGAGAGGAGAGAGCTAGAGCAAGAAAACAGCGACGCGGCCCAGATCACGCAGCTGATCCTACGCAAGAAACACTTCCCTGACAGTGGATCGCCTCACACGTAAGCTTGATAATTATGATGTTGCATTTCGGCTCTTTTTTTTTTTTTTTTTTTTTTTTTTTTATAGTTTAATGTATATTTAAACTATGTAAACTCGTGTCTCGGCGCATAAAAAAAAGAAGAAAAAAACGGAAAGCAATGGATGGAATATGATACAACAGAAAAAGTCAGGACAAAGATGGAGCAGGACAAAATAGGGTCAGAACAGGACACACATTGTATGCATTGCAAAAGCATGATTCGAACCACGTTTGTGCTAGATCACTGGAAGATTAGATACCCCCTTTTGCCTTTCACCTCATACACAAAACAATTTTCCGAGCGTTTGGACCATTGAAAACAAAGTGTTAAATGCATACCCATTCAATCATTGATGAGCTAAACGAAACGGGATAGCAGCAGCCTAGTATGACACAGGAGATTTGGTCTGAGGCCAAAGGACAAAGACAAGGCTTTGGTCGGGATGTTCATGGATGTGGACGAGAGATAGCTCTTGGGTTACTGCCTTTGATCAGTCAGGGCACCAATGATAAAAGGGCTGCTTTTTGGTTTTGTTTTCCTCATCCCTGATGAAAAGAATTGCGTTGGTAGTACGAAACATCTTTGTGTTGCCTACGCCCTTTACCCCAACGGAAATTTATTAGGCTTACAAAAGCACAATATATTCTCACTGACATGTGCACGTACAAAATATATTCTGGTGTGTTACTCCCAGGCCTGACATACTCGTGTTTAATACAATGGGCTTTCAACATCTCTTCAACTCAATGCATAACATGGATGACATGGATGAACGACTGAAATCGAGGATAGATTAAGCAAAAAAAATCACCCGTTTAATATTTTTATATTCTTAATGATTTTAATGCTTACAGGTATTAACCCAATACATTTTCTTTTTCTTGCTTTCCCCTTAGTCTCGCAGCCAAGAAACTGCAATATGCGCTCGAAAAGATTGCATTGACGCATCAACTTGCAAGGGAGATCAATCAACGTGCACATACAAAATATGATTCAACCAATCCAGCTCATGAACGCAAGCTGATGCTGGTAATACATCTGCAACGACTTAATCAAAATTAATAACAGCATTAATGGATATATGATTTCTACCATTTGTGCAAAAGACACATGGATGTGAGGATGAGAACGTTTGTGAATCTAACCTTGCCCCCTGTTTTTTTTTTTTTTTTTTTTTACTTTCGAACACCAAATAGCTTTGGGAGCTTTTACGCCCTCAAGAGAAACTCGATGGACGATACACAAAGCAGTGGTCTGAGGTATGCGTATGAACGACTTCTGGAATAGTTTTTTATAATTTTTATTTTATTACCTTGATGTTGTCATGATACCATTGCTTACTTTCTACATACACAAATAGATCGGATTCCAGGGCAAAGATCCTGCAACAGATTTCAGGGGAATGGGTAAGAGCCATCGCAAAAAAAAAAAAAAAAAAAAAAAAAAAAAAGGAGAACCAAGGCTGATTGCCGATCAACAGACTTGGCAATCTTATGCAATACTGGGATCAGATTTTAACCTTCAGATTGTACTGCTCTGATCTTTTAGGCATGCTTGGACTGGACGATTTAGTTTATTATGCGAAGCACTACCCTATTTCTTCAAAACACGCATTAGAGTGCTCGCATGATAAGATCTCATGGTAATTAATGTTATGTATACTGAGTCTTCTATCTTTTTCAAATCCAAGAACTATTCAACTAATCTCATCTTCTCTTTATTTCTTTTATTGACATTTTGAAAAGGTATTCTTTTGCCATCGTTGGAATTAATATCACGGCTTTTGCTGTGCAAACACTAAGGACTAGACAGCTGCAGTACTATTTATTCTTGAATGGCACAGACCGTTCTGTCTACCATGAACTTTACTGTAAGAAGTGAATGCAAGATGATAACGAGATGATGTGTGCGTAAGTACTCGCACGAATTTACTAACTTTTTTTTTTTTCTTATTTCTCAGGCTATTTATTCCATCGATTCAACGGGTATTGGACAAGTCTTGATCCCAAACCATCTGTGATGGACTTTGAACGGGTATTTACGGACTTCAAGATCATGATGGAGCGACAGTTGGCAAGACGCAAGTTGATGATGTTGAGATTTGATACTAAGGAGAGCCTAGGCTCTGGTGGATTCCCCATTGTATCTAATAATAAGCAGCAAAACGGTGAAGCAATCGAACTCGAAAACAAGAAATTACAGTGATATATAAATTAGAAATTAGAGATGAGCATATCAGGCTTTAAAAAAAAAAAAAAAAAAGGTCTTTGCAAACAACTAGATACTACAAAGCATTTGTTAATAAAGTTGTGCCGCTTTCTTTTTTTTTTTTTTTTACCAGCAACATCAAAAATAAAGCCATAGCTAGAAACATCCATAGCTACTTTAAAGAGTTTTTTTTTTTTTTTTTTTTTTTTAAAAAAAATAAAATAAAAAAAATAAAAAATAAAAAAAAGCAAATACAAGGCTATATAGGGGACATGAGGAGACGCGGAGGAGGTGTTTATTTATTTATTTTTAAAAATATGTCTCCGGCCTCATCGAACACAGTATAGGGAAGGCCATTCGGAAGTAAGCAATAATAAAACAATTTGACAACATTTACAAGGATGGGTTCAATTTGCAGGGTTCCGTGAATTTCACCAGTGAACTAGTAGTGGTCTGGTAAACCCTGATTCAAAATAAAAATAAAAAATTGGAGTAGTTTTATGGGTGGTTTTTAAACCAAGCGATATTCCTTGAACCGAAAAATAGGTCAGCCCATATTCAGCCTCTCTAATAGTACCAAGGCCCCTTGGTTATCGATCAAGGCATCCTCATTTATAAAGGGTCAAAGCCGCGTTAGTCTTGAGCGCCTCTGATAATACCAGGCTTCCAACTCCAATGGGGCTCCCCCCTATGTCCAAAGTGGTCAAAGTAGTATTAATCTTGAGTGCCTCTGACAATACCACAACTCCTTTTTTCCCAATTGAATTACGCTGCATATGCAAAGTCGTCAAGGCTGTGTTCACCTTGAGTGCCTCTGATAGTGACACAGCTCCTTCATCTCCTATTGAGTTATCCCATATGCCCAAAGTGGTTAAAGCAGTGTTAAGCTTGAGTGCCTCTGACAGTGCAACGGCTCCTTCATTCCCAATTGAGTTACCCCATAAGCCCAAAGTGGTCAAAGTTGAGTTAACCTTGAGAGCCTCTGATAACGCCACAACTCCTTCATCCTCAATCGAACTATTCCCCAATTCTAAAGTGGTCAAAGCTGTATTAACCATGAGCACCTTTGACAGGGCCGCAGCTCCTTCCTTCCCAATAGAGTTGCGGAACAAGTCCAAATTAATCAAAGTCATGTTAATCTTGAGTGCCTCTGACAGTGCTATGGCTCCTTCCTTCCGAATTGAGTTGTCACTCAGATCTAAAATGGCCAAAGCAGTGTTAATCTTGAGTGCCTCTGATAGTGCCACAGCTCCCTCATCCCCAATTGAGTTTCCTCCCAAGTTCAAAGTGGCTAAAACAGTGTTAACCTTGAGCGACTCTGATAGTGCCACAGCTCCTTCAACCCCCATTGAACTCCCCTTCAAGTCCAAAATAGTCAAAGCTGTGCTAGCCTTGAGTGAATTTACAATTAATTGTAGTCCATTGGCATCAACCCGTTGAGCGTTCATCTCAAAGGATAACTTGTGAAGGTGTGATGATTCTCTATGTCGTAAACCGGAGAGTTTTATGAGGCCCAGAGATAGAGCAATATGAATCGTTCTCATGTTGCTGAGTTCTATGATGCGAACGAGTATCTCATATCGCTTGAATATTGAAGTTGGCTCTGTGGCGACGTATTCTTGAGATCGTCCAAGTCTAAGTCGAAGGATTGATACATTTGATGCTTTTAGGGCATTCTCAAATACTTCAAGATCGGTCACCGTCCAATCCCAGCCGAATGTGATATCCAACTCGTAAACAGGCCGTAGCCCATTGAAGAATTCCTTAGCTCGGTCTCTGGATTTCAATGCGATAATCACTCTACCAATCTTAGAGTCGAGTTCGCCACCATTCTTATTCACCGCATCTCTAAGCATCCATTGCCCATTCCTAAAAATGTGGTTTTTACAAACCCATTTTAAATCAACTGTTTCGGTTGTGGTCCTGTGCATAATGGCAGGATTACTATCATCATTGATTCGAAGGAATGAGTTTAGCTCTTGAAGTTCAGATCCTTTGAGTCCTTCATAGCCATCGATTTTGCTGATGTTGCTCAAGGCCAGGTGTGTTCTAGAGAGCGTTTCCATATACTCGATTGAACAATCGATACCAGCAGACGAAGATTGTCTCAACTTGAGCCACTGTAGGAGAATGAATATGTGCTCTCCATACTTTTGAAAGAACCTCGTGCTGTTGCGGATTTCATATCCCTCATATCCGATATGGATTGGGCTCTCCGTTGTACCTTCGCACAGGAAATGAAGGCGGACCTTGTTCTTCAACACATTGATTGGGTCCCATCTAGTGCAGTCGGCAGGCAGAATTATAAAGAGTTGGGGAATTGGACAATCGTAAAGCTCGAACCTCTGGGCAAGGATAGCATGAGCATGATTTTGAATGAGAGAAAGCCTGTCGCGGTCTTGACGTTGCATTCTCTCACCCCTCTCCTTGGCTTCCAATTGCGGTTCAAGTACCCTGTCTTGCAGATTATGTACCTTTTCTTGCAGCTGGAGCATCTTGTCTCGCAGCTTAAGCATCTCAATATCCTTCTCTTTAGCTTCCAGTATTAGATTATTCACCTTGTCATCCTTCTCTTTGATTTCTGACAGTAGATGGCTCATCTTGTCGTCCTTCTCTCTGATTTCCGCCATCAGATTATTCATTTTGTCATCCTTCTCTTTGGCTCCCAATAGCAGCTCTGCCACCTTTTCAAGGTTAGAGTTGGTCTCCTCGATTTGCGCATTGTCGCGAGTAGTAAGCAAAGAGTTGAAAGACTGAATCGAATTTGATAATGGCAAAAGAGGCTCTTGAGCGGCTAGGTTTGCGGAGCTTCTCAATGTAGGTAAACGGATGACAGCGTTGCTGTTGCTGTTGCTGGGCCGCGACACTTCTGTAACGACATCCAGGATCTTGTATGGATAGAATGCAATGCGTAGAGGCTCGATTCTAATATGATATATACAAAATACGTCCAAATTAAATTCTTTTCTGGAGATAGCTATAATTGATAAGGCGCGCGCGTCTTAATCAAGAAATGTATACCTGTTGCCATTAGAGTCGATAAGAAACGGAATAGGAAGGTCATCCAACTTGAATCGTTGTGCATCTGGAAACACGTCTTGAATGTCTTGCAAACTCACATAGCAAGATGAGCTGGCATTGCTTGCAAAAGTGGAAGCAATTCTGACACAGACTTTCTCAATGATGCCGTTCTTTCGGAATTGTTGGTACTGATGCTCCGTCATCTCGGTAAGAACTCGGTGGATGAAGACAGGATGAGAAGGCTTTCCTCATTTCCTTGATGCATTGACCTCCTTTTTTTTTTTTTTTTTTTTTTTTTTTTCTTTATTGTCACGCTGCGGTAATGGAAGGCTCTAAGAGACGAGGTTTATATTGCATACATCAAGTCCCCAAGGACGACCCTTTATTTGTCTTCGAATTCCTGGTCCGCTCGGCGACCACCTAATTCCTCGATATAATATAAATATTATAATAGCAGTATTTACCAGTGCTGTCCCACACTATCCCCCAACCATCACTGTCGAAGACAGCATCTTTGAATTGACTGGATGTGACTTCAGTCGCTTCTTTGCTTGCCATTATTACAATCCCCTTATTGAACCTGACAGGGACTATCAAGCCCTTCTTTTCTTTACAAAGATCTTGTTTTTGGCTGCTGTAAGTGGGGTATACCACGATCTTTTGACCCATGCACGGCGCTATAGATCTTGTTCTTTTTCAACCACTTCCAATTGATCTACAATCGTTTTTTCATCAAGCGATCGCGCACAATACTTCCGGGTAGTTAAGGTTATGGCGTAGATAACAGGTTTGAATTTGGGTAACGCTGTTACAGAGATGGAAGTTCGAAACTTGCTTCTAGTACCGCGACAAATCCCTTGATCTGTTACAAGTCGAAATTAGTTCAAATTTTCATAGGCAGAAGAATGGTATTGCTTGAGCAAATGAAAACAATGACCCCCTTTCACTTACAAATTTGTGAAGGGAGAGTCGATCTCCCCCAATCATTGTTTTCTCGAGCGCTTCACAGAGCTAACGCGAAAACCCCTCGCAGTCCTCGCTGCTGCTGTGATGGGTTCAAACTTCTTGGATCGCATTTGAGATGCCATATGCGCAAGGTACTTTCCACCAATATTTCGGAACCAGATTCCAGATGGCAAAGTGTGCTGGCAAAATATCTATGAATGTCAACAGCGCCATATCCTAGCGATGCGAGCCTGCAATCGATTTTTTTTTTTTTTAAAAAAAACATTTTTTAGACCAGTATGGAGACTGACTCGGCAAGATACCTTTAGCAAAAAAGAAATTACGAAGGAGGTAGGAAACAATAGATATGGGTATTTGTTTATCTTTAGTCTAGGTTAAAGAGGGTGAAAGTTGGGAAATGTACAGAGGAGTGGAGGCTATTTAAAGATGAATGTAGGGCCATCGTGATGATAAAGCTTGATGCATGGGTATTACTGATTTTTTTTTACTGATTGTTCCCTGAGAACTATCAGGTGAAAGGATATATGGATAAGAGATCATCGTATCAACCATGGCCCATAGGAGGGTGAGGTCGTTGACGCGAAACTCTGTGGTATTTACCATTTCCTTTGCCAGATATGCTCGTGCTTTTGGGAGACCATCACTAAAAAATGTAAGATAATGGAAAAGCCTTGGTTAACTCGAGGGGCCATGAAGTGTAAACGACACCTTCCTATCTGATTACCTTAAGGCCAAACGGCAAACTATGCCCCAGTGTAAAGGGGAGACCTGCTGGAAAACTGGAAGGTATTTTACGACTATGGCTCTTATCATTGAATCTTCTAAGTGGATGGAACCTCTGTTTGAATGCGGCTTGCTTTTCAGCCTCTGGGAATAATAATGTAAACTGAGTGCCTTTGGAGAGATCCGTTAAGTCTAGTATCGAGTTAAGCCCAAGGCTCAACTTGTGCCTTTTTTTGACATCAGCTTTTTAACATCAGGGACAAGATTTACAGCCTAGCGGTGTTAGAATCTCCTGGTAGGCGAATGCCATCGCAATTAAAATTGTTTGCAGTTGTGTGGCAGAATCGGATTGAATTTTTCTTTTTAGCCACCTGGAAAAAAGCAATCAATTTCTTGAGTAAAAATCCTGTTCTTTTCAAAGGCCCCATAGTCGAGATTATTCAGACAAATTATCACAGCCACATCTAGGGCATATCTATGGCACCCGACTCTTGAAGTTATATTGCCTTGACCACTTGCCAAACTATTTATCTCTTGGTTCGGGTTGCAAACCACAGCTGTCTCAACAACAGGGATGAGGGCGGTTGGTTGGTTGAAAGATTCGGACACCCCGTTTCTTATTAGAGATGGGGTTGTTCGAGATCACTGCTTTCAATTGACTGATTTCTGTCGCGTTTCGTGATCACTTGGGAGTAGCTTGGCCCAAGTCACTCATCGAATTAAAATGGTATACTATAGTGTTAAAAGGAAATATGCTTTCAACAACACTGGTATACGAGAATTGCCTTGCAAGGAGAGGAAGAGCCGATATCGAAGAATCAAAAAGCAACGCCAGTATGGGCCCTTGGTTACTGCAAGCCAGCTCTTTATTTAATCGGACTCTTTCTCTAAAATACTCCTACGCTATTTCTTTGACCAAGTCCATCAAGTAATAAGAAAAAAAAAAAAAAAAAAAAAAAAAAAAAAGATTCAAAACCGCTCAGTCCATACTCAACCTCTTTAACAATACCAAGGTTCCTTGGTTATCGCTTGAGGCATCCTTATTTATAAAAGGCCAAAGCCGTGTTAGTCTCGAGTACATCCGATGATGTCGGACCTACATCCCCAATTGAGTTCCCCTCCATGCTTAAAGCAATTAAAGCGGTATTAGCTTTCAGTGCTTCTAATAATGCAATGGCTCCCTCTCTCCACATTAAATTGTAATTCAAGTTCAAAGTGGCCAAAGCAGTGTTAATCTTGAGTGCCTCTGAGAGTGCCACAGCTTCCTCATCTCCAATTGAGCTCTAGCCCAAATTCAAAGTGACCAACGCTGTGTTAACCTTGAGTGCCTCCGACAGCACCACAACTCCTTCTTTTAGAATTGAGTTACTCCCCAAGGTCAAAGTCGTCAAAGTAGTATTAATCTTAAGTGCCTCTGACAGAGCCACAGCTCCTTCACCCCAACTGAGTTGTAACCCAAGTTCAAAGTTGTTAAAGTTATGTTAGTTTTGAATGCCTCTGACACTGCTGAAGTTCCTCCCTCCCCAAGTGAGCTGCCACCCAAGTTTAACTTATCAAAGTCGTGTTAGTCTTGAGTGACTCAATAAGCAACAATTAAATTCTTTCCTGCACACAGCTGCAATTGATAAAGCGCGTGTCTTAATCAAGAATTTGTCCTGTTGCCATTAGAGTCTATAAGAAACGGAATAGGAAGGTTGTGCATCTGGAAACAACGTCTCGAATGTCTTGCAAGCTCACATAGCAAGATGAGCTGGCATTGTTTGCAAAAGTGGAAGCAACTCTGACGTAGACTTTTTCAATGATGCCGTTCTTTCAGAGTTGTTGGTACTGATGCTCCGTCATCTCGGTAAGAACTCGATGGAATGATGGGTTTTCTCATTTCTTTTTTGAGCAAGGAATGTCCTGACCCTTTTTTTCCGCTATGCGTGACAAGGGTGAGAAAATACAAATCTGCCACCTGCAGGTCACTTTGGTTGACAGGTTGTTGTATCTTTTGTACCTGATTAACTGATGATCCTTCCTCGGCTGTGAAATAGTTATTGAGGTGGTTGAAATCGTCATAAATAGAACGAAAATGTTTTGCCGGCCGATCGGACGTCTCGAAGATGGAGGTGCAGTCAGCTGTCGGACTTGTGGCAGAGAGATGTAGTAATAAAGACATGAGAATCCAGGGCAGGACAGGGATTCCAGTACAATTACACGTTCATGCATTAAAAAATCCCCCGCGTGTCGTTTTGATTTTTTTTTTACGATTATATACAAATACAAATATATTTATTAAAGGATCAAACTGTTCCTCGTTGGGCTTGTACTCTTCATTCTGATGTGGTCTTTTATTTATATTTTTGTAATAATAGTCCACTGAATTCGCGTGTAAACTTTCACAATGCTATAGAAAGGGTATGGCTTTATTGGAATAATGAAGAACGAGAGGTATAGGTGGAGATGAAGTAACAGTATGTCAGCTTAGCCACTCATTACAATCAAAAGGGCATCGATTGTGGATGCAACGCCTAGTTCACCTTTATTGGTTTAGTCCGCATGCAGTATCTTGTCAAAAAGCAAAGCCCATTGAGAGAGGCAAGGTGGGAACGGAATGTAAACGGACTACATATTGGATTTGTATGGTATGGGCTCACAATACCCTCAAATGATGGATTGTTGGCGCATTGCCTCTGCCGGGTAAACTTGAAGAGTGAAATGAAAGTTGAGAGACCGATGTAGTTATGGCCCTGAGCAATTAAAATGTCGTGTGAGATCTAAAAAAAAAAAAAAAAAAAAAAAAAAGCTGGGTCCTACTCCATTATCCTCATCAAAAATAAAAAGTTTTTACTTTTGTGTTTATGATCCTCAGACAGAACTAAGAATCGAACATTGCAATGTCAAAAGAGGCTGTAAGTGGATGATAGCGGAAAACTAGTCTCTACTTTTTTTAAAAACACTTTTACTGAAAGAGAACAGGATGTGCGTGAACATGGTATGAGGAATCAACTGTGCTTCCGTTGTCATCATCATCGGCATCCATGAGCTATTGTTACCGAATTATCTGGTCAGACATTGTATTAGAGATATACGTACTGATACAGAGATGGGATGAAGATGTCTTGCAGATAAAGAAAAAAATATTTTTGGTATCCTTTCCCGGAATGGGTTAAACTTGCCCAGCTGGACAGCAAAATGCTCTTTTATTCATGTCATCGTGCTGGAAAAATAATTAAAAATAAATGAACGCCCACACTAAAACAATAAACAAATTTTTTTTTGCTCCGACTCACCGACTCTTCGTTTATCAAAACAGTAGTTTCTGAGGTCTTCTTACTGTGAATGTATAGCATATATACTTGCCCTTGAGAATAGCTGGTATGGATGAGTAATATGGGATCAGTTCGTTTCCCTTCAATGTTTCGTTCCAGGAGAAGGGGGACGATGGGCTGTGCAAGTTCCTGAATTAGATATTGAATATAAAACAATTTTCATGCTGTCAATGATAACCCATCCTCTGCTTCGCGTGGCATGTGTCACTATCCAAAGATGGGTAAATCCAACGAGATCAACGGACAACACTCCTTCACTCCTGAGCTAATTGACGCTATTTTTAAAACCGTACGCATTGTCTCTTTTGCTTTAATATAAACGAACATTTATCCCATCGACGATATAAAAAGGAAACATGATCTTTCCTTTTTTTTTTCTTTCTCATTCTGCTCTTCATCCTGCATCCTTTTATTATTCATAAATTGGCGTCCTCTCTTATTCTCTATATATCGTATTGACGCCAAAATAATCATCATCTACTCTTTACATAAAAATCCATTTATCCGGCACCTTTACATAAATTATCCATAATTCATATCTAATATACATCCATTACGACCATGGTCAAGTTCCTTAGTTCCTCTATCACGGTCCTGGTCATGACCATCGCTGCCACTCATGCTCAGACACAGACGGCGACGACTGCTTCTGCACCTGCACCTGCTACAACCACAGGTGCCACGATCAAATATCCAGCTGCCAACCAGATCCCCCCTGTAGACTCACCTGAAGTCCAAGCATGGCTCAAGGAGATCGACTTGAGTGGCGCACCCAAGATTCAGCTCCACAAGGGTTCTCCCCCATCTTGCCCTAACCCCCCCATCCCTGATGAGTATGCGACATCCTTTGCTCTTTTCACCAACAAAAAAAAAAAAAAAAAAAAAAAAAAAAACTTCACATTATCATACCATCATTATTTAACGACTTGACCAACAACTAATATTTTATACATCTATATATTCTATTTCATTTCTAGGTGTTACTGGACTTGCGATGGGTGCTCTGCTGACGACATTGTCTCTTGTCCTCGTGAGAACACCTGGGGCTTGACATTTGATGATGGTCCTTCCCCTGACACCCGAGAATTGTTGGATTACCTCAAGCAGCAACAACTTTCTGCGACGTTTTTCTTGATTGGCTCCAATGCGGCTCAGTACCCTGATATTGTTAAACGTGAGGTTGCGGAGGGTCATCATTTGGCCTCTCATACTTGGTCTCATCACGCTCTTACGACCTTGACCAATGAACAGATCGTGGCCGAGATGAAGTGGACTGAAAAGGCTGTGATGGATGCCACCGGTCTCAGACTTAAGTATATGCGTCCTCCCTATGGTGATATTAACAACCGCGTTCGTTTCGTACTCAAGAAACTGGGTTATATTCCTGTGGATTGGACTGGGGATGAATTTGATACAAATGATTGGCAGATGCCCGATACAATGACCGAATCTCAGGTCATCAAGACTTTTGAGACCTCATTGAATGACTATGCAAAGACCAACCGTTCAACTGGATTCTATTGTTTGGAACATGATTTGAACTCTCTGACGGTCGGTGTGGCTCAAAAGTTGATTCCTTTGGGACAAAAGTTGAATATCTCCATTGCTTCCGTTCCAGTCTGCCAGGGCGATGCCCAGCCTTACCAGGCTGGAAGCACGGCTCCCATGCCCTCCATCAGTGGGGTGACTCCTAACACTACTGTCACTGCAACCGTTTCTATTACCGAGTCGGGTGCTTCTGCTACTCCTTCCGTTACCAAGAGCGGATTGTCTAGTGGGGCTGTTGAGAACCGTGTCAGCTCAGGTGCTGTCTTGGCAATGGTTGGTGCTGTGGTTGCAGGGCTGGTCCTTGCATAAACAAAAGAATATAGTATACGAAGGGATGGTTTATATTGTAGAATATTTAAAATATGAATCTGACAAATGAATAAAAAAAACGCACTAAAAGATATATGTTTATTATCCGTCTATGTTCGTTGTTCTGAAGTTTTCTTTTCCCTGACGTTTCCTGGTATTGTGTTGCTCAAGATTGTATATATATACCTAACAATTCAAATGGAGTAGAGCAAGTGGCTTTATGTCCAATGTCCACCAAAATGTATTTATTGAAGAATAGAATATGAATGAATTAAATTATGGGTTCCAGTAAATTAAGGATAGAATGGACAATGATTCCATTATATCGTTTATACATCATCCGTTAAATTAGAATGTTAAGTAGACTATCCAGGTTGATATTTTGAAAAAAAAAAAAAAAAAAAAAAAGGCGGAATCTGAAATGATTGATGAATAAGTTGGATCGCCGTGGTTTGAAAGATATCCATGTGGAATTGCGGCAACTAATCACGACGATGATGACGATAATCAATAATGATGCTCAATGTCGGTTTTACATGGCAAAAAAAAAAAAAAAAAGGTGCATTCCAAGATACATAGGCGTATTACAGCTTCAATAAAAAATATAATAAATGGAAATGGGCAATGCTGTAGCTATTGATCACATCATTATGTATCATTGGAGTAAACCAAAAGTACCTGAGGATCGAGATCCCCTTCATGACAACTCTTGTACCTTTTTTTATTTTTTTTATTTTTTTTATTTTTTTTATTTTTTTTATTGCAATCCTGACTAAGCACAGCACAGCACAGCACAGCATACCGAAATATGAATGGTCATTGCGAAATAACAGAAATTACACGTGGAGCAAACTGTTGTATAACAAGCATAGTTCCCTCAAGTATAGGATCCTCATTGTGTGCGAGAATGTCTGTAGAATAGTACATCTACAAAAATATGTACATTATCCGTTGAAATTGTGATCAAGCTATATGACAAGCAGAGCGTTGTATAAAAGCCTGCATAAAAACACGCAATTCTCCACCCTCCCCCTCTCCTTTTTCTTCTAAGCGATTGCTTCCTCTTCTGTAAATACCTTTTTCGCTTTTTGCTGTACGCTGCATAAATGCATCTTTTTACGCTTTGCCTTGGCCTCAGCGCTATCCTCTCAGCATCGATGATGGTACTCGCTCAAGAGATTATTGCTCCTGAGGAATGGATCGAATCTGTCAAACTCAATCAGGCCCTTGTAAAGCGCAAACTCCAAAAAAACAAGTATAACAAGCAAAAAGAACAGCAAAAACAACAACATTTTAATCATAATCGTCATCACCACAATCTCCAAAACAGTTTCGTGAAGCAGACAAAACGGAGTCTGCTAGAGCAGGAGCATCAGAATGGATTAGGGACAGTAAAAACAGGAGCACCCATAGAGATGGAAAAAAGTCCTAGGCTTCAGAAGCGTGAAAAGGGGTCTCCTTCACACCCCGAGATTGAACACCACGCTTCAGACCTTGTGTCCTTTGAGACCAATGCTATTGTAAACACACCAGCTATACAACATACCGTCGAGATTGCAAACTTCAAGAAAACGAATAAGAAGAATGAAAGGGTATTAAAATCAAAGTCAAAAGTGAGACGATACACTTGAGGGCCAACAAGTCTACAATAGAATCGATCAAGAGTAATGAACAGTTATGAAATAAAGCGTTATACTTTCCATTATACTATTCATGCCCTCCAATAGCATTTAGTAATGCGCGAGATCTTCCATGACAAAAAAGAAAAAGAAAAAAGAACCGATTTGTGGTTGTAAAATAATAAAAATGTCAGCAATCTCTTCATTACCTTGCAATGAATCATATTAACGGAGTTTGCATCCGGTCAGGAAGCTACTTGATGACATGACATGCAGTGATTTTGCATTTACCATTGAAAAAAATTACAGACATCCCAGATCTTGTTCTTCAAATTATGGTTTCTTTACCTCTCCCTTTCCGTGCGTTGCAAAAGATTACAATGATAATATTCTAAACATTCGCCGCTACTAAATAAACATTTAAAAAAAATAAGCATGATTTGAGATCCATCTAGAAACTACAAAAAGACGCGTTGCGTGCTACGTCCATGCACACGTAAACAAGGCCAACAAGAATGTTATCAGGCCAAGGAGATCGCAATGGGGCTGAAGGAGGCAATCGTAGGAACATTTCAAATGATCCTACGATCAAATCAACCTTTCCCGTCTTTATTATTATTTGGCCGTGCATTAGATTAATTCTGGTAGATATCTGGAATAGGGAATGGGTGTAATGGGCGGGATGTCGGAGTAGAAGAGACTCCTCTCTTAATGCATCCAACAAGAAGAAATATGGATGACCAGGAACTACATTAATGAACATTGGCTCTTTCTCAAATCTGTTCTTTTTTCTTCCCTTACTCTTCACTCTTCTTTAATTAATCGCTGTATTTTCCCTTCACTCCTCTTTTTTTTTTTTTTTTTTTTTTTAATATTTTGTGTTTGTGATTCTTCGTCCGTGTATCCAATATCTCTTTTATACCCCCACTTTTATCAGCCTATTATACAGGCATAATTAACATACACGCACATATTGTAAACATTAATACTAGCATTCCAAAAAGTTCTTCAATATGCGTATCTTCAGTATTAGTTTGAGCGTAGCTATTGCTCTGTTCCTTTCGCAGGTCCAGGCTCAAGATGTCCCTGCAAACGATGCCCCCATCAACGCTGCTTCAGTTGATGCTGCCGGTGATGAACTCGTTTCGCTCGAGGGGCTCAAACAGATGGATAAGTCCATTTTTCCTTCTGCAGAAGAACTCGAGTCAAGAATCAATCTCTTCCAGGTTTATGCCTCGGACTCAGGTGCCAATAGTGACAGCAATGCTGCGGAGGATGTGAAAAACACGGAGGCTAATGGTACAGAGAAGAAAGAGAGCAAGGGGTCTGAAGAGAAGGAGAAGAAAGAGAGCAATGGATCTAAAAAGAAGGAGCATGAAGAGAAGAGCGCTAAAGCGAGTTCCCATCACCACAGCAAGGCCAACCATGAGCATAGCAAGGCCAACCATGAGCATAGCAAGGCCAACCATGAGCATAGCAAGGCCAACCATGACCATATCAAGCATATGGCTGGGCACCATGGCCAGCACGACGACCAGCACCATGACCAGCATCATGCCCAACAGCAAGGCCAGCATCATGCCCAACACCAAGGCCAGCATCATGCCCAACACCAAGGCCAGCATCATGCCCAACACCAAGGCCAGCATCATGCCCAACACCAAGGCCAGCATCATGCCCAACACCAAGGCCAGCATCATGCCCAACACCAAGGCCAGCATCATGCCCAACACCAAGGCCAGCATCATGCCCAACACCATGGCCAACACCATGATCAGCACCAAAATGATAACCAACATAGCCATCACGAGGACAGCCTCTCTGCTTCAACAACAACGAACCACCACAAGAAGCACAAGAAGCACCACGAGAATGACAACAAAAAGCACCCAAAGCATACGGATTGCATTGTCTACGAGACTATCACTCTAACTCCTACATGCCCGCCAACCCCTTCTAACCATCTACTTAGAAATGGATGGTAGATATTAAGAAAAATAAAGCCAAAGTCGCGATTTTTTTTTTCTTTTCCTTTTTCTTTTATGCTCAATCTCCACAAAGCTGGACAGACAAGTTCAGGCTTATCTGTCAAAGGGAATCCATAACCCATGTCAAGTTTTTTTTTTTGTCTTTTTTTTTATTTTTTTTATGAAATGTGCTTGGTAGCCATATTGATAAGCAACTTAGTTCAGAACGACAATAGTGATGAAGATGATAGGAGCGATGAAAAACCACCTGGTGAACCACTCGCTCTTCTACCCTTGCATGGACAAGGAAATGGGCTACACCGAACAGCAAATGTAGCAAGGGCAATATCCACGTAACACAAGCAACATGCTTCCCACCTGAAAGCTTAGGAGAAAATTAGCTGAACCAGTCCGAGCCAAATTGCCCGCAAATCTGGCAAAAATTTATATTTCACTGATGGGAAACAACAATCCTTTGTCACGGTCCTGTTTGGTGCCAAAGGCAAGCATGCAACAGGTGACAAATATAAACTATGAAACATATATTTTTATGTTAAAAAGAAAAGTATACAGCTCGACTAGTCATCACTTCATATCCACTTTAGCTTCTTCTGATTCTGGTTCTGGTCCCCGAGCTCGTATTCTCTCGTTAGCAAGTTTCACAGAGAATGTCCACAACTTCTCTTGCAACTCCTCATCCAACGCATAGTGACCTACACAAAAGAACATATTGCAATATTGTAAGCGGAATATTTTCTTCTTCTTTTTATCGGTATTTTACTTTATACTCAAAAATCAAATGTACTTACTGGGTCGGCAATCATTTCCAACAGGCACAAAGTATCTGCCCCGGATATCCTGTTCTTCAATCTCTGGGCTAGTGGCACAGTACAATTGATTCAGGACACCGATTTCCGGAGTGGAGGCACACACCTTACCTGCGAAGTCATACACTCCTGCAGCAATCGCACCCAAAGATTTTTTATTATTCCTGGCTAGATTTGTATAGACAAAGCCTGGATGAAGCATATTGACATAGACCTTTTCGTTGGCTAGACGACGAGCCAAAGCTTTACCAATGAGTATGTTGGCGAGTTTGCTACGTCCATAACGACTTGTTGTGTTGGAGGCATTCTTATCATTCAGAGTATCGAAATCAATGCCCCCCTTCACGGTCAACTCGTGTCCGATCGAGGAGAGCATGACAATTCGTGAAGGTTGCGACTCTTTGATCCTGTCCAGCAATGCCATCGTGAATACAAAGTGACTAGGAAAAATAAAAAATTTATGTCAGCAAAAAAAAAGTCATAAGCAATTATATTTAATTTTCTAGTTTGCGTTTTGGTGCATTGCTCGCATAATTCTTGTGCTCCGACATACCCCATGTGGTTGACTGCGAATTGTTGCTCGATCCCATCAGCACTCAAGGCAAAAGGAGTGGTCATAATACCTCCATTGTTGATCAGGATATGAAGGGGTAGACCTCTGTCCAAGAACTGCTGTGCTGCATGGTGACACTGTCTCATATCATTCAGGTCGAGTTTCAAGAAATCAAACTCGGGGTTCGGGTTGAGTTGTGGGTGTTTCCTCTTGATTTCCTCTTTAGCTCGTTCGATCGCCTCGAGTGCTCGTAGCTGTGAGCGACAAGCAAAGAAGACTCGAGCGCCATGTGCAGCTAGGGCCACTGCAGTAGCGTAGCCAAGACCACAGTTGGCTCCTGTAACAATAGCGACCTTTCCTGTGAGATCAGGAATATCATGTGTAGTGAACTTTGGTCGTTGGGTAAACGATTTCCAGTATGCAGAGTTGAACACGACGTTAGAATAAAGCATTTTGTTATAAAGAGATATATAAAGAAAATAGAAAATGAAAAAATGAAAAAAGAACAGTAGAGGAGTGAGAAAAGGTGAGTAAGATAAGAAAAAGAGGTGGTTGGGAAAATCCAAGGGCATCACCTTTTATACCGAAAAAGAGATCTGTGCTCAATTTTTTCATGCAAACATGCACATGCAACAATTTACTTTGGATATTGGACCGATTTGCCCTCTAGAAACCGATCGCTTACCTATTGCACTACGTACTTACACTTACACTTAGTCTTTGTTTTCTTATTTCCCACCTTGACGGCCTACAATTAAATTATATACTCGTGGAACACATGCAAACCAGAGAGGCTCGTTGTAGAAAAATGCCTACGCGGCATAGACGTTACTATTACGAAGCGTAATCAGGGATGAATTTGATCCCATTTTTATTAAACTTAAACTTAAGCTCTTTACTTTTTTACGGCATCTCGGTCCGTAGCAATGTCTCTGTCTGTGTTTCCACAAGTCTATATACTCCTTCAAGATTACTGTCTGTGTTCTCATCCACTTGTCGACTGGGATCGATCGCCAGCTGGAAATCAGGCGCATAGTCTTCAAAATACTCATGTTCTGGAATCTCTTCGGAGATATCTTGCTTGCCTATTACAATGCTTGTCAAATATGCATAGCATTTGGCAGTTGATGTAGTCTTGTATCCTCCCCCACCAAGGATTATCAAAGGTCTTTTCCAGGTCATGATTTTTTTCAAACAATCACCATAACTCTGAATGTTTAAATTCCATTTCCCTAAAGGATCGCCTGCCATGCCTTAAAAAATAATGGGCAATACCTTTTAAGTCTTCTACCTTTTATATATCCACAGACAAAAAAAAAAGTGCATAAACAGATAAGTTACCATCTACACCGCATTGCAATACAATGGCGCCTGGGTTATAACGCATGGAAAGCGGCTCCACGACTTGGTCAAAGATTTTCGATAATGTTTTCTGTGACAAGCCTGACTTTAATGGCACATTGACAACGGCCTTTGTCTTGTTTGAGGATATGCCGCTGCCAGTCCCTGGATAAAATCCTTCTGCATAATGATGCAGAGATACAGTCAGGACCTTGTCCGTGAACTGAAATGCGTTTTCAACACCTTTTACCAGTTATATGAAAAGAGCAATCAAGACATCAACCAAGTTGATCGTATTATTCAGCAGGTAATGTAATCATTTTTTGTCTTTGCCGTACCATCACCATGGTGCACATCCAGGTCAATATACATGACACGATCATACACCTTTTGGAGCTCCATGATACCCAATACAATATCATTCACGATACAGAATCCAGCTGCCATATCCTTTTTTGCATGATGTCTAACAAACAATTCACAAATGTCGTTTTTGAGCACGTTGGAATGTTACTGACCACTCGGTCTTTTCTTTCTTACATTATTCAAGTACGAGCTAGCCCTTACCTGCCGCCATCCCAATGGACTACAATGTCAAAAGCATCGTCATTGATGAGTCTAGCGGCCTTGATTGTTGACCCGGCAACTAACTCTGCATACTGAGCAATGCCTTCGAACACGGAGCAATCGTATCGTAAACCATACTCTTCTAGTTGATCCATTCTACTGTCCTCTGTGATGCAATCTTCATTTTCGTCTGACGCATTGTTTTCCTCTACTTTTTGAAGAAACTCTGCAGAAGCATGCCAGCGGTTAATTCGGAAGGAAAAGGGGAAAAAAGAAAAAAGGAATCTAGTCTGCTCACAGACAGTCATACCAATGTAATCGCGTGAGTGATATCTACAAAGCTCTTTAAGTGTAGCCTTTTGCGGTGAGACAATAGTAATGTCAGGATGGTTTAAAAGACCATAAGCATCAATCAAGGCATGAACCGTGATAGACTAAATATTGTTCGTATGAGAGTTACAATGCACGCTTTTGTTTGTTTAATTAAAACATATTTGAATACACTCAATGTATTATGGTCACTGTCAAAGTCGATTTACTCTGTCAATATTGGAGGGTAGCAATGAGGCTAGGCCTGCATACTCCTTGCTGTAGATGTATGCGATTCTTTTTGCATGGGAACTAGACATGGTAAATAAGAGAATTGTCTAAATGAGTCTTTAACAAAAAGGAAATTAATAGGTTGGTCTTGTGCCCTGATACAGAGGACTGCGCCAAGAGCCATGTGTCGAGATTTTTTGACCTCTTGAATTAACTTCATTACATTCCCTCCTTAGCTTCTCATCAATTCTTTTTCTTCGCTTCCCATCGTTTTTGTTTACTTGCTTACTTTCTTTAGGCTCTACAGCACACCTGTATGATAAAAAGGTACCATTATACGTTATATTACTCACATTTACCAATCTCATATGCCTCTCTGCTGACCAAAGAAATGATATACAAAGAGCTAAATAGAGATACGCGATGGATAGTCACCAAACGCAGAGCATTTATCCGCACGTTCCACCGCCTCCTATCTCTGCAAGAAGTTACTCAATTGAACCCTCCGCTCCACCTTCTGCTCCACCTTCTGCTCCACCTTCTGCTCCACCTTCTACTCCACCCTCTGCTCCTCTGCTACTATCATCACACTCTTTACGCCCATCACACACATCCTTCGCTCCGTATCCAGATTTAGCTTACTCTCCTTCTGCTCCTCCTCCGCCTCCATCTTCCATTTCACCGCTATCTCAGCCGACATGGTGCACGTCAATATATAGCCCGACAGATGGCGATAGTCAGCCTGAGCAGCTCTATCCCACAGAACCTTCTGTATCCTATCCAGTTTTGGAACAGACATATAATATACCGCATGAGCAGAAGCAAAGCAGTGCCCAACAGCTCAGCCTAGACGTTGAAGCTCTTCGTATTCAGGCGAATCTGTCCGCCCAGCATTTACGACAACAATATGAAAATGAACAATTGAATGGGCTATCCCAAAGGCTACTACAGTTTGAGGAGTCCTTAACTGTTGATACGACGGATGATGATTTAGATGCGTTTTTCAGCCATATGCAGTCTTATGAGAAGGCGCATGAGTCTGTGCAGCAATCCAAACTTACAATATTTAACCTTCAACAAAAAGCTAAAGGATATGCAAGTAGACTCTGGAAAGTTGAAACAAAGTCAGAGGTCGCAAAAGCCACATGTGGTGATGGAAACATCATCTCACACAACTATAGCTATCAGCATGGGCATCATGAACCGGAGGTGGCCATGAAACTTAAAAAGTCCCTCGCTCGCCTTTATAAACAACGAACAAAGAGTCTAGTACAAATGCAATATGAGGAAACATCATGTCGGCTTTGGATCGAAGACCACCTTGCGGCTTTTTTGAGTAATATTTCATGGATAATGAATAGGAATCAAAGACAGGAGGAGATAGGCAAAGTACCTTGGATAGGAACACCCCCTAATAAGCAAGACTTGGAGCGAGTGAGGAACTATCTCGATATTCTCTTCCAATTTGAAAGATCTGCTCGAAGGCAGCCAGATTTTAAAGCGGAAGTCGATGAACGGAAAACTGATGCGGCTCTCCCAGAGTCACCATTGTTTTCATCGACATCATCGAATGCGCAGGAACCGACTGTTGCATCCACAAACTCAATCCTTCAATCCATTCAGCACTGGATATCTCTTCTCGCAGCTACCTTTTTGCACTATGGTGGTATCATCGAATATGAGTATTTAACCGTGCAGGTACTCCGAACACGTCAGGTATCAAACTGGGCTGCAACTTTTGTGCAATGCGGGATACCAATAACCTGGTCAAAGACATACCAGGACTTTTACATTACTCAGGTGGAGCTAGTATTGACTGGCTCATTAATGCGTAAACATAAACTCAAGGAGTCACCACAAAGCTGTCTTTCAGGACCTTTAATTGAACTCGGATTGCATTTGGAAGAAGACGACTATCTGGCTCTTTTAGACCAAATGGACTTGCCATTATTTTTCAATCGCCTTCTACAAGAACAAAAGGAAATTTACTCCAATGACGGCTCGATCCTACGGCGAGAGCTCTCAGAACGTGCTGCGTTGCGACTATTGAGTACAACCCGCCACTTGTTTGACGTTATCATACATGCGCTACGACGACTGACAGCTTTCACTATGGTTGCAAAGCGTTTATCCCAATTACTCTGTCAATTGGCCCAGATCCTGGGCGACCACTTGTTGATCCTTGGACCTTCATCTGAGCGTGACCATAGTAAGGCAAGCGCTAGTATTAAGCTAAGCGTGTAAGTAATTTCGTTCAGGTTCGAATACTCCATGAAGTTATGGCTTGATCAGAGCTTCATATTATTGTATTAACTGCGTGGCTATCAATGAAACTAGAGAGATCACTACAACGTTAAACACAGAGCTTGACCATATATTTATCGATATTACAAGTGCTCTATTTGAATCACCGGGTCGTGGGTTGTGGGCGTTTCTACCTTCAATACCTTACAAATTCATGTCCAGCTGTTCTGTAGCTACACTTCTCGAAGAGATTGCACTTGAAAACATTGCTAAATGGATCACTAATCCAACAGAGTTACTCTCTATCGCCCCTGAATCAATCAAACTGAGGACAGCACTTGGTACAAATCCCGGAGAGGCTGTCTTCCTACTCACAGCTATGGCTACCATGGCAAACTCAAGGTCTTTGAGCAATAGTAGCTCTCCTGCAGCATGCCAGGACAAGGAACTTGCTTTATTGGAGCAGAATATTGCCTTCATAGTGGCCTTCCTTATCATTGATGCTGCATATATAGACTTAGACATCCGACAAGAACTTGGGAAGCCTGCACGGGAAATCCTGAGCTCAATCTGCGATTCTAACCCAAGAGTGATATCCTTCCTGCTTGGGGTCGTCGAGACTAAATTTAATGAAATGGATGACATGGCCCAGTATTTGTTCCGAGGCTTGCCTCTAGAGGAATGGGAAATTTCTTCAGGCGATTTCAAAGCGCTTAAACGACTATTAGAGACACGGCCTTTAAGCAGCACACAATCCCTATTTGCGAGGTTTATTTTTAGCCATTTACCTTGGGTGCCTCAAGGTATACATTCCCGTATCAAACAACATGTTTCGAGGCGCGCGTTTTATTAGACCATGGGTTTCATTGATTTTTAACAGAGTATAGCTTTTTTCCTTTTTCGGCAAGTAGATTTGGACGGCTCGACCTTTCATAGCAATGAGAGAACACAAGTCCCACTTGTTTACAGCAAAGAATTGGCGCTCACAATGGTCGACATATGTATACATTACCATGGAGGCACTCAAATTGGTGTCGATACTAAGGTTAGCGAAGGCAAAGCAGAGGAAAACTCAACAGTAAGTTCACCGCGCGCCGCTTCGTCTGACCAAAAGTCCACGGCATCCCTCGCCCCTAATCTGCCTCAAGCCATTACAAACATTGCAACGCAGTCAGGAATCCATCGTTCTGAGCAGGCTGCCATGAAGGGTTATATGGACTGGTGTTGGAATATGCTGGGCAAACTGAATCTAACAAAGGTCCCAGTGCTAACGCTAGTGGAGGCTTCCAGGCTATATCCACAAGACTCAGGGACGACAAAGCATCAACAATTCTATCAAATGCAGCAAACATTTGCCCGAACCATCCACTTTCTATTGACAGAAGCTAGTCGTGATGCAGAACACTTTTTACAGGAGGGCTGGGCTACTTTGGTGGCAATTCTTCAGGCTGGACTTGGAACTGTCTTTCTGATCTTGGCGGGGAACCTGATTCCCCCGATCCTCAATTCTGGAGCAGACGTGTGTGCTCATGCTGCACCATTTAGCCGACTATTATGGAGTATGGCATCATGGAAGCAAGATCCGTTGCTTGCAACAGCGGGGGCACGTGTAATCGGATTACACAATCTCTCACACCCGAAAATCCCAAAAGGGCTTTCAGGGGTCTGGTGCCTACTACATTTCCATCTAGAACATTCCGGCACCCAGTCCAGTGGCAATGCTTCCAGAGTCCTTAAACTTTGGATATCGGCTGTAGTTTCTCAAAAGGATTGGATGGCGCGTCAGGAATGGGTTCAGATTATGGACATTATCTGTCTTTTCAGCTTTGAAACGGGTTTAGACAGAATCCCCAAAGATGTTTTAACAGAACAGCAGATTCTACTTTCCATCGAATTCCGGCAAGCACCAGGTATGTCGACCGAGTTAATGGAACTGGCCCAACCTGGACTGGATAGAGTCATGGAAATGTTGCCAGAACGATTTCTGAAAACATTACCCATCCCCCAAGGGTCGAATGACCCCAGTTTGCTCATGGGAACTTGGTCAGTCAGGTCGTTTGCCACGAGCCTGCTAACGCAACAGGCTATGGTCGAGACAAACTCAATCTGGTTTGCGTATTATGTACTATCAGTTGAGACTAGTATGGAACGGGAGATGAGGATCAAGGTCGGAAGCTATTATCGTCAACATCATGAGGACCTAAAAGCCCATGGCAGCATCAAATCTGTTGTGAAAACACTTGGCATCACTTCTCGGAAGACCTTGCATAATTTTGCAATCTGGCGATGGGCGCAGCATCTCCTTATTCTTCCCTTCGACACGCTTCTTTTACCCTTGTTTTGGCAAATGTTCTTTTACCTTTATTTCGGCCATGCTGAACATCATGGCATATTTTATGGTTACAAGTTTCTAGAAACCAATCCGGAGATAGTAGACCAACTCCGCGATAGGCTACAGCAGACATACGCTTATTTTGGGATGGAGGCTCGCAAAGCGATCCAGGACATGGATGCCATTAATGCTGCTCCATTGACAGCTCTACACGAGCTCTATATCGCGCTCCACGGTTGGATTAGTGAACCATTACTATTAACTGCAGACATTGATCTGAAGAGGATTCGTAAAGATCTGATGCCCAATCGCCTTTTTACGTGCAGACTACCAGACCCTTTGGAATGTAGTTCAGATTTATGGAAAGATATTCTGTTTGAGAGACAGCCTCCGAATCAGGGCACCTCTATCCAGAGTTCAGAAATACCGTCTTCGCTATCTCCAAACTCACCACCCACATCTCGCCGGTTAAGCTCGCAACAGTCAGGGATTAGAGAGCACTGCCAAACTCGTGATATACGGAAACACAGTCATGCCTGGCAGGAACATAAAATCAGTAACTGTCTTGTTAAGCAAGCAAAGCCAGGGCCCGTATTTTTTATACCTCGCATGCTAGTGCAGCCTCCAGTTATTGAATCCAAAGCGACCTGCCAGAGCTTGTTCATCCAAGCCGTGCGTACTATCAAAAATTATTGCAAATCATATCGAGCAACAAATAAGGCGTATGAAAGCTTGGATGCGTCATATCTTAATGAACTTGGCTCGCTCTACCACAATGATCTCAAGACGTCAAAGGTGGAGATCGCCTGTAATATTACACCAAATACCCGATGCACGCGGCCTGCAAAGTTCGAATTGAGTTATGAAGAGGTTGTCTTGAATGAACAGATCCGGGCATCAATCGTTGAAAACCGCGAACGTGCTCGCACAGCCCGATTAGGAGCTATCGAACAATCGTTCTGTCTTGCAGCGCTCGATATTTTCAAGGTTATTGATGCTTTGTTACAGCACATCAGCCTGAATCCTACTGATGCCAGTTTTCAAGATTTGTCAATTCAATCTTTCTATTATCTGTGCAACGAACTCCTTGAAGACGCTCGGACCTATCCACCAGCTCATATGCTCCTCACATCCATTGTCAACACTTTAGGAGTCCAGGTTGTTGCAAACGATCCTAAGCAGACAGAACCTATTTTGGATATGATGCAGAAGGATGATTTCAAAATTGCCATTTTGCACAAAACATTTTACCCTGCAGCCTTACCATCCGAGTTCGTGAGGCTTTATCAGAAAGTAGCAACATGCAAAGAGTATGGACTAGCGTCCAAAGATGTTTTGTTAAGGCAATTTGATGTTCAAGCCTGGGCCTGTGGGCGGGATAAAAGCAAAAACATACAGCAACAGCAGCAGCATGATGATCCGTCTGTACAGGACAGGCTAGCATTTTATGAAGTCGCATTTACAGCTATGGTGGCACAGCAACAACTCCAAAAGCATGATGATCAGATCCAAAAATCCACGGAGCTCAGTACACGAGATCGGCTTGCAATCATCAAGTCGCATCGCGAGCTGGCGGGTACGCTTTTTTTGAATTTCTTACAGCAAGACTTTATCGACTATCTGAGGATCCTTTTTGACACATGCGGTATCATGTGCCTGGAACCCGAGGTTTTGGAAGACTTTATCCGCATTATGGGTGTTGAGCCGCGGTTGATTCCAGCATTACTAGATGGTGCTGATACTCTAGATGAGTCTGGGTTATTAAACTGCAAGGACAGCAAACCTATTACAAATATTGGGTTGTCAGATTATGACTTTGAACGCCTTGTTCAATTCTTAGCGACCTACTTTAATGAGTGTCAGGAGAAGATGGCACGTGGAAATCTGCTTGATCGATACAATGGATACGCACTATCAATTGCGTCGCTTTTGACGGTCGTGATGTGTGATGAGAGATATATGAGCAAGTGGATGGACCCGACGCGTGGAAAGGCTGGATTTTTTAACATGAATGAGCCTTTACAGATGGAATGCCCAACCTCTGTAGGATGCCGATCTACTAGAGACAGAATTCTTATCCCAACTCAGTGTAAGATGTGGCACGACACTATATCTGTATTCCAGCCATGGCTAGAATGTCTTACAGTGAATGCAGTCGACGAAGCGCATTTCCAGCGGCAACAAAGCGGCGCTAGTCGGCTTCTTTTCGCATTCGTCGGTATCATATCCAAGATGGTGGGCTCTCTTCATGCGTACTACCATGATACTAGTCCCATGCTTGCTGAGATATTTGGATTTTGGATCGAGATGATACATCAAAGCACACTCGCGAAAGGATCTATTAACCAGATCATGCTGATTCACCAACATTTCCATAGGATCAACTGGAGGGGATTAAGATTGTCCAAAGATAGCGTGGAAAGAGTTCTATGGGTATCAACAGAATTGAAAAATGACGAGGTTCGGATCGAGTTCTGGAATTATCTTGTCATGCTTGTTATGGAGAAGGCGGACTCGAACTTGCGGCCCCAGGCATTGCAAATTGAAGGACAAAAAGGTACTGCGGAGTGGCACCAAACGGAATCGACATTCTTGAAACTTGGCCTAAAAATCATACAAAACGTAGACCTCGTGACGGGGAGTGATATAGAGATGAAGCAGATGTTTCTGGACCGCCTTTGGGCAGTTATATTTGAAGCAGGCGATTGGAGTTTATTATCGACAGATGAACTCAACAATCAGGTCCAAGAACTGAACATTCAGTGGGATCGAGCCGGAAAATGGGATGACCTTTCTAGTCCACTGGGTCTGCTATTATACTGGATGCGCATTACGGTAGGCCTCGAAAGTATCGACCAAAGCGATCTTGATGGCGAGGAAGATCTGAAAGACGTTCAAGGGAGTACGATTCATCTGAGCGAAGAGCGGGTTCTTATCTATTTTGGATATGTGCTTCGATTGCTTCAAACAAGGCTTGCTTCTTCTGCACAAGACTCCCAAAATGTTAATTTCAGAATGGATGCCATTCCGCTAGTGATTCAACACCTTGGCCAAGTGTTAGACCGAATGGCAGGAAATAGGTATGAAGCGAAGCATCCCAGCATTTATCGCCCTCTTTCAAACCTTATCGGGATCCTGAACCAATGTGGCAAGGCGTCAGCATCAGTGTCGTCGTCATCGCCATATATCCACTCATTTGAAGTAGTGCAGCGCGGGCTTGCCAGGATGATTTCGGAAGTGAACACTATTCAGCTCGATGTTGTCCGAGTGATATGTCAAAGATTAAACTCTATTCCGGCCATGGTATATCTTCTAGAAGAAGCAATTGAACGCGAGTTTGACATTTGGGATGGCCGCCAAGGCTCATCTTTTTCTGATGGCGGCTTTAGTAGGGGAGGCTACCATAGTGCATCGGGTTCCACGTTTGGCCTGGAGGAGACCTCTACCACTCAGCAGATGGTTATTCCAATTCCTATGATGGTTGGCCATGTCAAGTCACCATTACATCGTCATAGCCACAGCTATAGCAATAGTCATAGTGGACAAAATGATCAATGGCAATTCTCAGGGGGTCGAAATTCGTGGACTCAAATTAAAACACAACTTGAAGCGCCGGAATTGAGTGAGGATGAGTTTTTAGAGCAAGGGCTGAAGCAAGGCGCCATCTTGACCATATATGGACGACTCCTACAACGACTTGAGGACTGTGAGAAAAGTCTGGATTTCGATGAAGTCTTGGGGTTGGGAAAAGAACTAGCTGAGATAATCTCCAAGATTGATCTCCAGGCGATTGAACCTTGGAAAGCATACCAAAGTTTATTGTTACTGAGAATGTTTTTTAATCTAGTGGCCAAGGAATCTGTGCACAGGTATTCTATAGCTTTATATCTGCATGATGTTGGTTGCATTGGTTTGCTCATTAATACTACTCTTGTTGACACTCTATTCCTTCTTTTTATAATAGTGTTTTACAGAGTCGGTTCTTGAATGCGCTTAAGCAGGTCTGTAGAGCCTTGGAGACTTGGTGTCGAGATCGGGATTCGACAAAAGGCATGCTCGGCTCAATCGGTATGGGTACACGCTCCAGTTTTGATACGAAATTTAGGCTAGTGATACGAATAATATATACGTATGTTGTTGTCCGACTGCAAGATAAGGGTGTATCGATCCATCAAGTATCAAGCTCCCATGGTGGCCCAGGTAGTGGTGTATTAGCATGGCGCAAGGGAAGGCAGGATAGTGAAGGGCCAGTCAGGTTACCATCTTCATCATCATTGGATGGTAAGGAGAGCAGCGAGAAATCGGTCAATAGCAAAGATAGTAGCGCTGCATTGATTGAGACACTAGCGCGATTACCTGTCAAGAACAAAGATTATGCTTTAGTCTTCTTATCACCACCACTATCCCAACCAACAGCATCGAACATGACGACGGCATCTTTGCCAACCTCAAGTCCAATATCTTTGATCCCAGTGTTAGCATCTTCACCACTAGGGCTTGTTAAAAAGACCATCGTCCCATCATCGCCACCAGCAACCCGCATTTCCCCTAACCTTCCATCACCGCTCACATCCTCGTCGTCAAAAGCCGCAGCTACTTCACCTCTTCCCACACCAAGGGAACGCAGGATGAGCCAACACAGCTTGGACAGTTATCGTAACCGTCGTCTGTCATATCAAACCCATCGCTCGCGATCATCATTGGGCGGCAGTAGTAGCACTAGTCATGGTTATAGTTGGGACGATACTGCAGGATCCGTGGCTCTATTTGAGGAGATGAGTGAACCCAATGGAGCACGATCTTCAGGCCGCGTTTTGCTGGCGACAAGGCGAAGATTTGGTAACGCCTGTAATGCCGTTGCGACGCCTTTTAGCGATCTTCAAGCAATAGTGGGGCAACATCGTGTGCGACTGCAGAAAGGAACCAAGAATGGAACTTCGGATCTGGAGTGGGCTGTTCAGCAGATTAAGGACCGCAGGCTCCGGATCTTGGAAGCTGGTGAAGTGTTGGAGGAGGTGATTGATAGATTTTATGAAGGGGACGACTACTTTGTGTAGATGAGATAACAAATCATGTTAGCTATGAAAGCGACCGATTAGGCAATTTTCTGACTCATTGACAATCGCCTTGTAACACTCACTTCTTTTGTAAATCATAATAAAACAAATGGCGCACATGGCAACAGTATTTTCAAAAACAAGATGTTGCCCCATTCGACGAATGCAAAGATCTTTCGCATTCCATCCAACATTTATTCACAATTTCACATCAGTAAAAGGGCATCAATGTTCTATCAGGTTAGCACAGTCCACAGCAACTTGTTTGCCCGTAATACAACACCAACTACAGCGTGAAGGCAAAGACGTCGTATTTGGCCCATTAAATCAATATCGTATGTTTTCGACATGCAAGCCTTCTCTTAGCCAGAATAGTCACAGCAAAAAAGCTAGTAGCAACAAGCAACAACAACGGCAACAGCAGCCACGACAGCGACAAGAGCCTTTAAAAGTGAATGCACGCACCAAAAAGAAAAAAACTGGGGAAGAAGCAGCAAAAGGAAAAGCGACTGGCGTTGCAGAACAAAATGTGTCTAAAACAAAGGATACGCAACTCCATGAAGTATTGACACCATTAACAACGATAACAGGACCATCATTGCAAAACATACACATTGGTCATATCGCTACTAATCATGATACAGAGAATACAACACCAATCTGGGCTCCTAAAGTATCGGACTACAGATATTCCAGGACACCACCAGGTCAGGATCTAGATGCATTACAAGAATTGGTCGACAAGCTTCTGCTCACAAACTCCACGACTGCGAAACGAGCCTTGCTGAAAGAGTATCCAGGACCAGCACCACTTTTGGCATGGATCTATGACCCATCACGACAATTCAATGTCTCCTCAGCTAGACTTGTTAAATATGCAAAAACGCGAACGAAAGAAGTGCGGGAACAACACAACGAAGCAAAGGCTCTTACACCGCCATCCACCCAAGGCTTCAGTAGTAGTAGTAATAGCAGTAGTAACGGTAGGGCTAGTACTGAATCGCTAAGAAGAGGAAGTGGCGTCTATGACACGCTCCCTGAATTGTTGAATGCGCTTTCAACACGGGCTGTTTCTGGACATGCAGCTCTAGATACTATCCTGTTGTTCATGCGACGTTTCTGTACAACTGACAAGGATCAGAATGGCTCTACGACTGAAATCCAGAGAAACGATGACATCAACGGGACATTAGCACTATTCAATACATCACGGTCAAAACTTTTATTCCGGATTCTCGATAAAAACCTCAAAGCTGGGTGCAATGTGAACTTGATTCGAGATGCATATCCGAACCTGATCCCAGGATTTCATGTAGCATTAGGACATAGCCTTTCAGGAGGACTTGAACAGGCACGACTGTTGTTCAAGGTGGTTAATTCAGATACAGTATCTACGCCTTCACTTGGATCGAATGAAAAAGGAAAAAGGGAAAAGAAAAAGACAAAAGCAAAAAAAAAACAGGAAGCGGTGTCATTTACCGATAAGGCAGAAGTGGGGATGGATGGATGGTACGCATCTAGAAAGTTGGATGGTGTACGATGTTTGATCCGAATCGATCGATTAACAGGTGAGATTGAAACATTGTCACGGACTGGAAAAGCGTTTGAGAGCCTAGGACCACTTCGAGAGGAGTTACGCCGTTTGCTTTCTTCTTCTACTTCTTCGTCTTTTTCTTCTTCCATTATAAAGGATTCGAAATCAGAACATCATGCTAGTAATGGTGATGAGATACGCAGAAGGGAGCGATTCTTTGAACGAGCATTAGGTTGGAACAAATCCTTAATGAACATCGATAGAGGAGGACATCCAATAAGGAGAAGGGAGCCATTACCAGAAACGTTGATCTTGGATGGTGAGCTTTGTGTCTTTTCAACAGATCCAGCATTAATACCAGATACTGAGATCAATAGTAATCTCATGAGCTCTGCTCAAGGAAATGAGGACAGCGACGATAATAGCAACTATACGAGTGGTAGTATTGATCTCGCAAACATCGGGAGCCCTGACGATGAGCTAGGCCAGGAACGCTTCTTGAAGGCGGTCAGCGTTGCGAAACGTGGATGGGATGGTCAAAAGAGCTTGCTACTCGATGGCAATGATGAGGGCAAGGACAAAAATGATGATAATAAAGAGGACGGGAAGGAACAGAACAAACAAGTTGATAAGGAAAAGGAAAGAGTTCATGAAAGTTTAGAGCTAGAACGTACTATGGAAGAGGGTAGTTCCTCTAAATGGCTGCTGCCTAGATCAGATGTGGTTGTTTATTGTCTCTTTGACTGTTTGACCGGCGAGGAGTTCCAGGAACGGATAGGGACAAGACCCTTTTCAGAACGCATCAGAGGGATTACAGAAGCTTTAGAGATGGAGAAGGCCCATCCTCACCAGCGTAATACTGACGAAGGGCCTCAGGCTATGAACAATGCATCGCTACCGCCATCATCTCCATTGATCCGAGTATTGCAACAAACTAGGATCAAGGACTTTGAACAGTTGGAGGCGATGGTTGTCAAGGGCATGAAGCGTGGATGGGAGGGAGTGATCCTACGAAAGGATGTCGGTTATGAGGGCAAACGAAGGTATGTTAATTTTTTTTTTTTTTTTTTTTTTTGTTTTTATTTTTATTTTTACTTTTATTTTATTTTTATTTTTACTTACATTTGACGCTTTTTTTTTTAAATAGTCGCAATTTACTCAAAATCAAGCAGTTCCAGGACGCCGAGTTTATTGTCCAAGATGCCATGCTCGGATCGATGCGCCTGGCTGTGAATGGTCAATTCGAGGAATTGGATAATGTCTTGACAAACGTTGTGATCCTACATCGAGGGAACCGTGTCCGAGTTGGCTCTGGATTTTCAGCCGAGGAAAGAATCCGATATGGAAAGGATCCAAGTTTGATTGTGGGGAAAACAATTACAGTCAAGTATTTTGAAGAGAGTAAGACACAAGCAACAGCAACACCTTTGCCCTCGACGTCATCGCCAACATCACTACGATTATCATCTGACAGCCATACAGTGACTGAGGCTGGAGCTGAAACTGAGAATGGAGTTGGAGTGAGCGATAAGGTGAATAGGGTACCACAGGAGGAGAACGAAAATAGGCGTGAGAGCCATGGTGAGAATATGAGTAATGGTCAAGTTGTAAAGGGTGAGGATAGTTTCGTTTGGAGTCTACGGTTCCCGACGGTCAAAATGATATATGAGGATGGTCCACGACAAATGTGATCAATTTATAAAGAGTTTTTTTATTATTATTTTACTTTAACTTTATTTTGGACAATTGGCACTTGGTAAATTACCAAATTCTGTACAGGGTATTTAAAACGATGATGGTAATAACAATGATAATGATGAATGACGACAGGCATTGATAAATCTATCTACAATAAAGAATGATATCTAATCTAAGCAAAAAGCACAAGCAAGATCTTGTTGCTCTTCCCCTCTTCGCGTCTGCATTCTTAAAGTAATCAATCTCAAGGGGATTCGGCTATTTACCGCTGCTGGAGTGCTTCATCTGAAATATTTTTGAGGCCAAGGTTGAGGTTGGTGTTGAGGCTGTTACTGTTGCTGTTTATAGAGATCTTGCTCTTGTTGCTGCCTCATCTGCTGAAGGTAATCCTGTTGAAATAAGATTTCTGTAGTCTGTAACTGCTAGCTTTGTTGCGACTCTTGCCATTGCTGCTGCTCCATCTGCTGTAGCTGCTCCATATCCCCCTGCTGTTCTTTGCCTTGAGGTTGATGCTGCTGTTGCTGTCGCCGCTGCTGTTGCATCTGCTGTCTCAACCTTTGAGCCTTTTGCAATTCTTCGACTTCCAACTGTAAGGACTGTTGAACCTGACTCTGTTGTAATTTTCGGATGCTTTGATCGGCCTCCAGCTGCACTACAACATTGCGGCATGCTTCTTCTACTTTGTAATGCCGACACAACGCATCTGTCCTCGCAAATGCCTTCTGACAGCTCATGCAAACATATGGCTTGGATCCCGTATGTACCCGAATATGTCGCTGTAAATCATGCTTACGAGAAAATATCCGTGTACATAGATGACATGGAAAGGTCTTGGCTTGAGCTGATGTGCTTCCACCACTAACTGAGTTGGATCCAGGACTAAGAGCAAGCCCATATGGGACAGCTGGGGGAGGAGATGTGGAAAAGGACTTTAAAGACGCTGATTGAGGCGATGGGGATGAAGAGACAGACGAAGGCTGGGGTGAGAGAGGCATAGAGGGATTTAAATCCTGAGGATCCAGCTGATGTTGGTTTTTGATATGGGTATTTAGATTATAGGTCTTTGAAAAAGCCTTTGAACATCCGGACACAGGGCATGGAGTCAACGGAGGCAGCAGCACCTGTTTCATTTTGACTGAATGAGGCGTACCGAAAACATTAACAGTTTCTACGACCCCAGTCCCTGTAATGGGGGTAGCTCCTGGGTCTACAGCAGCAACAGCAGTGGTCGATAATGTCGGAGAGGGCGATGCAGACAAGGAGCAAGAGGACGGAGTAGGCGAAGAAATTGCTGAACGGGTCGTAAGTGGAGGCGAGAGACCCTCATGAAACCTTAATGCTCCAATACTACTCGAGAGTAGTGTCGTCAAATCGAAACCAAAATGATTAGCTGAATTCGCCAATGAAGATTGAGCTACTATTGAATCCGAAGGTGGTAATATTGTTGGTAGTACCATGGAGTCTTCGAAGCTATTTGTAGCATTGAAATAATCCATGCTTGTCGTGGTTGTGGATGTCGCTGTGGATGTGGGGGAATATATATCCTCATGCATTCCTGCGGCTCGTCCTTGTTCCCACCCCATCATTGTCGGTGGCGTCAGGACCGTCGTGGCTTGCGAGAGTGGGGCCTGGACGGCGGGAATAGGCTCCGAGAGTATATGAATATTCGGAGATGAGGTAGTTGATCGAGCACGTGGTCGGCGGTGGTCTGTTGAAAAAGGTGCACTGGTATCGCCACCACTCAGTGATATTGGCGTCGAAAGCAAACCTCTAGCCTTAAACGAGCGGCGTCGCGCCCTCTCATTATTGCCAGGGTTGGGTGAGCTGGGTAATGTGCTGGAATCCATTGAAGCTGATGCCGATGCATGCTGTGGAGGCTGTAATGCCATGGAGTTTGGGTCGATAGGGAAGCCCAGTCCAGTTGCTTGCCAAGGAAGCAGATCAGAAGCTCCTTGGTGGTGGAACTCTGGATTATCGATCAAAGACTCCTGGCGCTGCTGATACTGTCCACTAGTGGACTGCAGAAAAGGGTCTACGCCATCGGGGTAAAGGCTATCAGGGCCAGAGCTCCACATCCAATTCTGTTGCCCCTCTTGTTGTTGATATTGTGGTTGCTGCTGATGCTGGCCGTGAAATTGCTGCTGTGGAGCAGGCAGTAAACTCGGTTGCCCCCCCAATATTGCACCGGAGCTATAGCTTGGGAAAAAGGTTGACGCAACATCAATCGCTTCTATATGAAATTGTGGGTGTTGCTGCTGCGTTTGCTGCTGTATCCCCCCTATACCTGCTGAAACTGTCAGTGGTGACTGTGATGGACTGGCGGAGGTAGGATTAGTAGGACCGATAGATGGGTCCACATCGCTCATGATCGAGTCTATTACTGAAAAGCCATGCTGGTAATCTGAGGGTGGGACTCGCGATGAGGTCATGTTGTTTGTATCGATTATTTCTTTTTTATATTTTTTTCTGGGGGTTTCTGTACTACGATCGCTGTTTCTATTGTTGTTGTTGCCGTTGTAACTGTCGTTAATATTTGTTTCTGCTCAGTGAGACGATCGTATTACAGCTGCCGATGTTGAAAAATCGAGTTTTTTTTTTTTTTTTTTTTTTTTTTTTAAATAAAAACAAGAGAAGTATGGATGGCGGATTTCCAAAGTAAATATATCAACTCACAGCTTGCTACTACTGCTTTTGCAAAAGAGGAGACTATGCAGCAAAGAAGAATGGTCTTCTCTCTCTTGTTTTTGTTATATTCTGCAGTGCTTCGACCTTGCTTTGTTTTTTATTGCTTTATCAGGGTAAAAGCCAGGGCAGCGTTTATGGGGATCTGCTGCTGAACTTGGTCAAAGAGATATAAAATACCACGATGCTAATGGCGCAAATGTTATCCTTTGGTTGAAAAAAGTTTGCTGTGGGAACTCAGGTAGGGATCTGAAATATTTTTCTCCGCAGCAGGTAAATGCTATGGTCAGGACGCTTTTGTTGGCAAATGCATAAAGAACGGGATGGAGGCGTTAGGTATGATATAAAGAACAGGAAATGGTGTTCATGAATAAGTATCGAAGATAGGTTTGAGAGATGAAGGGGTACATACGGCTGGAAAGTAGAATAAAGAGCTGAGGAAGAAGGGTGCGACAGAAAAGAAGATGACAAATAGGATTAAAGTGGGAAGTTGAGAAAGGGAGAAACAGTGGATGGAAAGCCAAAGAATATAAGGATATCACAGGCAATGATGTCGATTTGAAGCGAAGACAATGTAGAATGTTGCAAATATGAGAAGCAATAACAATAAAGAAAACTACCATTCGTACTTAAAGGGAAGAAAACAACGATGTCGTTTGGATCTCTGTACCAGAAAATAAAATAATATGGCGTTGATTTAGATTGAAAGTGGTGAGGAATAGCAATAAACACCATCTCACAATCTCGGAATGGTGAGCATTAAGGGCAACAATAAATAAACATTCAAGAGCGACTAAGGGATAGCTGGCCAACGAGGAAGAAATTGAAATAAATAAACGTATATGGCTGCAAATGAAGGAATAGAATAGGATGAAGAAGAAAAACGGACTAGCCTTAACAAGGATCAGCATTATCATACGTGCGTGCCAGTATCGCTGCAAGTGGAAATACAATTAAGAGGAAAAAACTTGTTGGCATTGCTTCTGACAAATGATTTGTGGCGCGCATGAAAGGAGGACTGAGGCATTTAAAGGCATCAGCATCTCAAAAGACACCTTTGGACTATTGCTTTCCTTGTTGCCACCATAGTGCCGATATGGAGATGAGTCAGAGAGAAGGAAAAAAAAAAAAAAAAAAAAAAAAAATGTGGTGTGGGAACGTGAGGAGTTAATTTGGAAAAATCACCTACCGTATTATAAAGTCAAATGATTAGGACGCGTTGGATTAAGCTGGCCGATCCCTATTGAATAAGATTTATGAAGCAAATCGTGATTGGAAGGTACAGTATTGCGTCAGTGAAGGAGCTGAGAGGTCGTTATTGATGACTGAATAAAGTTGCTTTCGCAACAGTTTGCTGAGAGGAAGGAGAAAAAAGCAGGAAGGGAAAAAGGAGAAATGAAAGGAGGGAAGATCCAAAACGAGGGGGATGAAGTCCTCTTGGTCCGTTTATATTACGCAAAAAAAATAAGATAAAATAAAATAAAATAAAAAATAAACACTAATATGCAAATAAAGCGGATGAATGATGAATGATGGGCAAAGGCGTCTTCAATCGATTCAATCGGAGCATTGTCAGTATAGGGAGCAAGTGAGGGTAAAAGAGTGCGAAGCAAGATAGCATTGAATGATCAAATCGTGCCAATGTCTATTTTGCTCATCACAATAGATGTATCATAAAGACAGAAAGACATATAAACATAAAAATAAATGAATGTGTGTGTGTGTCATGTCTATGCAGTCTGAGCCAATTTCAAAGATCAATATCCTTTGTCTATCCATCCATCCATTCATTCATTAGATGCAGAAATGAAGAAATAATAAATAATAACGATAAAATTATAAACTAAAAAAGAGTTGTATGCATGTGGCCCTGTTATTTCTTTGCTTTACATGTTATAATTGAGAGCCATGCTCTCTTTGGTTTCATATACCCTGTCAACTACAGCACTGTCCATCGCCACTGCTCCGTGTTGCCAATTTTTTTTTTTTTTTTTAACTCATGCATGCTTTGTCTGAAATAACAACATTCACCGATCACTAATCCACCTGTGTGATTGCTCCCCAGAAATATCTCAACGCCAATGGAAAGAAAAAATTAAGTGTGTATGATCATAGGAACAGAGCATAGGGCGCACTGCTCTCTTTTGATATCATACATTAAAAAAAAAAAAAAAAAAAAAATGTTTGTTCGTAATGTCTAAAACAAGACGCTGACACTGACAAATCGTTAGCATTTGCCATTGTGGGACAAAAAGTAAAAAAAGACAGCGAGTGGAATTAGAGGTAGCAAATGAGCTTTCAGAATCACAGGAAATTGGTTGTAATTGTACAAACCTCAGCCTCACTCACCGCCTCTCTTCTCTATACCCATTTAAGCTTGGAATTTAACCCTTCTCTCCCTCCTCTTTCTCATTCATTCCATCCTTGCTGCGCTTCCTTGCTTACTCTCCCTCCCTATATGTGTATGTGTATGAATGCATGTGTGGTATAGGAAGGTGTATGATCTGCTTGAACATGTGTCTTATGGCTTAAGGTAACCACAAATGGAGTAGAAAATGTCCCGCGGAAGGGCTTATTCCATTAATCTCGCAGTTGGGCTGTTTCTTTAATATAATTTCTTTTTTAAGTGCGTCCAGCTGTCCAGCTCACTTGCTTTGTCATGTCTAAGACTAAAGAACATGTGGGCTGTACTCTCTTTCTCCGACAATAACAAGATCAGCATAAGGCTGAGCTCTCTATGCCGTTTAAGATTGAAGGGCAAATCTTAAACAGGGAGGCTTCCTAGAAAACACTATGCTAGGCCAAAAAAGCCAACAATGGGAATGAATCGAATATCCATAAAAAATATCAAGCACTCTAAGATAGCCCCCCCTCCCCCATTTATGAGAAAGCTCACAATTAATAAAGGTGCGCAATGGCGGCTGTGCCTGAATGAATTCTCAATGCACTCAACCTATTGTCATCCATCACAAATACCATTACAGAAAAAGACAAAAAAAAAGTATTGACAGACACCATACTTTACAAATTCTTCATTACCACGTTAACACATTACCTGTATTAATCTCCAATTTTTTTTTTTGTATCCAGATTCATAAATACTTTTTTGAATTCTTTCTCCTCGAATTACATAGCTTATATATTTAAAAAAAAAAAACTCCCATTAGTACACAAGCCGCAGGCTGTAGGCCTTTTAGGCTTTTGAGAAGTAATAAGCAATTATATGGTCATTTGGTGTATGTCCTTTACCAGTAGTAAAGAGACAGGTGGCGCTACTGGTACTAGCAGATACTGTGATTGCGTGCATTATCCAACAGCGAAACACGAAGAAAAAAAAACCCCTCGGGCTGTGAAGACACAGAGAGAAAAGAAGTAAAGCGAGTTGAATGATGGATGGCCTTTTTTCCCTTTTTCGCCTACCAACGCTACTCTCTTGACCCAACGTGCTGTTGGCTGTAGTCAAGATCTACTTTCTACTCCAAAAGCCTTCTTTGTAATACAATCTTAACGGGAGCCTTTGGCTTGATTGATCGGGTCCTTGAAAAAAAAAAAAATAGAAAGTTGCTAATATTCACCGAGCCCCAATTTCAGCCCAACAGAAAGAGGAACGTGTGATTAGAGCCTTTTTTTTTTTCCCTTTCTCGAATGAGTTCAAGGATGAAAAGACGGAACGCCTCGCCAACTGTTCGATACTCCTGCATCTGATAGTCTGACTAATCATCACTATCAACTTAATACAGGTATATCTTTCGGTAATGATTGGTAGCTCCCCCCTTTTGCTCTGCGCACGACAAAAAAAATAATAGGTAACATAGCCTTGATATCCTATTGCAACAGCCCTGATTTATAGCTATAGGCCTTTCACCCACACGCGACGCGTAGGATAGCCTGTGACCCAGCCCCAATCCCTTTTCCTTTGCCAATAGTTACACAGCACAGATGCGTAAATGTACTCCCTTATGAGAATCACAGAGCAAGGATACAGAGAAAGGAAGGAAGCTAGACCTTTAAGCTAGCCATCCTAGTATAAAAGGGAATAGAGCAACTTTCCTTGCAAGAATATAATACGCTCGAGCCATCTGAGCGCCATGGCTCTCATGGTACCCATTTCCATAATTTGACAAGAGCAAAGTAGTGATGGGAGCCCTCTGTTGCTTTTTTATTCCATGCGCAAATACACAAACAGACCTGATTGCTCACACGTTCACTATACTTCTTTCTGCAGGATTGAAATGATATCGCAGGGACTCAAATGGTAGCAAAAATGAAGTATGGTCCCCTACAGCCATATACCACTAAGCGCGTTTATACAATGCAGTAAAAAAAAAAAAAAAAAAAAAAAAAAAAAAAAACTTCCTTACAGGTAAAACAAAAGTAAAATACTAATGGTGACGTTACGTACGCGATCACTCTAGCGCGATTCCTGTAACACGCGTCAGTTGGCAACAAAATATACATGGTGACACACTAACAAATATACTTTCTGGTGTCTGAAAAAAAAAAAAAAAAAAAAATACAAGCAAAAAAGCATGTTGATCAGGGAATAGAAGAAGGGGTTTCACATGCGCTCGCCAGGAAATCTAGGACCCTAAAAGAGAAGCCACCATCAGAAATGTCCATTTCCTTTTATCTGCATTAAAAGACGAAATTGAAGCCAAGCACAAATATAAACACCTTCCATCTTCACGATACCGGCCTAGTCTCGGTCCCCTTATCATGATATCAATAATCCCCCGTTTTTTTTAGAGAAAAAAAGAGGATCACAGGGAAAGGAAGTAAGTGATGAACAGGGGGAAAGATTATTCAGCCAATCACGTTTTTAGCAGGTCTCGGATCGAAGATCACTACTAGAACAGGAGTGGACACAAAGCGTAATGAAAAAAAGGCCGCGTTGAATACATCGTAGTGGTGTTGGAGAAATGCTGATGCTTTAATGTTTAAAATAGGACTTCATCCTAACTGGATCCCGGTAATCCTTATTATGGTATGGTTGGAGGGCTATTGACCGTCTCTCTAGAGAAGGCAACCGTATTCATTCGGCTGAATGATATCGATGGTGGATGAAGAGCAAGTAGGTAGGAGGTATTAAGAGGAAGCGACCGATGGCGATCAGTGCCTGAAAGTAATTTACCTCTATTAATAAAAACAAGGGCGAGGAAGCGAAAGGTGAAGTGGAAGTAGAGAATGATAGAGCAATGTGTTGTGGAATGTGAGAGAATGTGTGAATATATGTCTGCGATAACGAACGTGAGAGAAATAATTCAAACGGATGGTGTTGGAGTGGAAGCAAATGTATGGAAGGTATTAAGAGAGGAACAGAGATGAAAAGGAAAGAAGGGCAAACAGGAAAAAGAACAGAACGGTAGTCCGCTAAAATTGACAACGATCGTTTCATGACAAACAACAGCAGTAGTTATAAATATTCAATCATGAGAAACCACTCCTCCACATTTGGTTGGATCTAGTAGTAGGAGTCTATTGGATTGCATTGTGTTGGGCTATATTGTATGTATTGTACTGTACTATTTTGTATTGTAGGTCTATGTCTATGTCTCGATCTCAATGCAAACATGCGTCAGATGATATTCAAAGATGATGATGACAATGATGGATGATAGGATAGTATATAAAATGTATAACACGATGCTGTAAGTCGTGTCATATCCGATGACAAAATACAGTATACAGATACAAAACACTATGTTGATTCTTGTCTCCATCAACTCCATCAATTAGTCTTTTCTGGTCCACCCTATTTTACTCCGCTCTGTTCTGTAAGTCGATCTGCCCTTTTTCCCACTCTATTGACCTCTATGCTTAAAAAGTATTCATAAATGTACATGTACCTAGAACATGCAAAAAAGAATCCCGCAAGTTCGCAATACTCATGACAGTTTGATTTTAGACAAAGAGCCTTTTTATTTACTATTTTATTTAATTAATCTTATATTGTTATATTGCTGCTTCCCTTCTTCCCATTATAGTGGATAGAATGGATGAAAGTCGAGGAATCCAGCATTGAAATATTATGGCCCCGGCTTGTGGTTATAAAGATCTTTCTTTTTTTTTTTTATCTTAATATGAGTACCTTTTCCCTCATAAACAAGTAGCTCGTTTGAGCCTGTTCATTTTAAAATAAGTGTTGGAGTATCCCTCGTGGCGTTGTGTCTCTCTCTCTTTTGTATTTTTTTCTGTTTTGGATGCCACAGAGCAGATCAAGTATCTATCCGATAGTACTCTTTAAAATGTATTTTTGGGAATAAATACACAAACACACAACAAAACGAAAGCGTCGGGCGTAAACCAAACAAGGCAAGCAGAATGCTTAGAAAACCGTAAACAAATATGCAAGCCAGGAATATAAGCAAAAAACAAAAAGGATCCTCAATCCCGTCTTCCTCTTTCCGATCCAGGAATAGGTCAATCAAATAGCTCTGTTGTGATCCCACCCAACAGGCGAAAAAAAAAAAAAAAAAAAAAAAAAAAAAAAAAAAAAAAAAGCAATGGTGAATAAATGTCACAGCACATTGATGTAAAACGGCCTTTTTTCCTAGTTTATTTTCCGCATGAACATCGTATGAATTACTTCAATTGATACGCTGGGAGAACAGGCTTTTTTTATTATATTGTTATTATTATTATATATTAATATTATTATTGAACATGTAGTCAAAGATAACTCCAAAGTAATGTTAGGCTATACACTCAAAGCTATTCCCCAATTTCCCTTCATGGTAATACACCCGTAACGATCTCCAATTTTCTTTACGGATGTCCCACTCATAGCCTGAGATCCACATTCATGAATATTAAAAAAAAAAAAAAACCTTAGCAAAGCTTGAGACTGCGCCACTGTTGATTTTTTTTTTTTTTTTTTTTTTGGTTCCTGAATGAATCTTAAAAGACATTCAGGAACAAAACCTGACTTTTAGATTTTTAATTTTATTTTGTTTTTGTTTTTTCATCCCTATCCACGCTGTGCTTTGTATCTTTGCCATTGACCAGGGAGAAAGCCTGCAAAGAAGAGTCCACCAAGGACAACCGTCATGCCAATCGCCAGCCCAGTCTTGTTTTTGGTCGGAATAGGAATACTCTATAATAGAAATTACATACACGCACGTAATAATAATAATAACAATAATATATAATATAGATCAATAAATAATGAGCAAAAAGAAAGTTGGTTCAATGTGTCAGCCAACTAATGAGGGCGAGGGAAAATGTTGTATGGATAAAACAAAGCTTTCTTGTGAATATCATGAAGGAGAAAAAAAGAATTGTATATATATATATATATATAGGACAGAAGTATGAGACTCTTGGAGCATTATGATCGTCTCTGTAATCATGACTTCCTTGCCCTGATCTTTTTGTTTTGTTTTGCTTCCCTGTTGCTGCTGCTGTTGATGATTACTCATCAGGAGCGCGTTATGGCCCACGATTTTTTTTATTAAAAAAAAAAAAAAAAAAAAAAGCCGCAAAATAACAAAAAATAGCACCTTCCCTCTCTTTCTCTCTTTTATTAAATTGACTAGTTACAGTCGATATATATATATTACCTTGCCGCCTTTATTACTGTAATTAGCACCTCGCAAAGGAGTAGAACCGAATGTGGCGCGAGCACGAACTCCAGAGTATGCAAACGTGGTAGTCTTCATTTCTTTTTAAAATATTCGTTAAAGTGCAGCAAGAAATCCGTGAGAAAAAGTATATGGATGAACAAGAGAAAAACGAAGAATAGAGAGGTGTTATCAAGGTCGGGTGAAGAAGAGTAAAAAAAGCAGACAGACAAAATGTATCAGACCATTTTGTTTTTTGAACGCTTTTGGTATTTCCGTGTACGACCAAACGTCTTGTCTTGCCCTCCTATGGCTTCTCCGAGAGACACGAAGTCTTGAAAATGTTTCACTTGTCGTTTCCCCAGAAATTGTCACGTGTGGGAACAATCCCATACTACATGCATGTACCCAAAGTTCACAATTATAATGGCAGTAAATTTTATTAAATATTTGAGGAAAAGAGAGAGTATCGAGAAGAATGAATGGGAAAGAGTAAGGATGCAAGAGAAGTCCATGCTCTCAAGCGGAGAGTTCATCAAGTCAAACAGGCCTTTTCTTTTTTTTTTTTTTTTTTTTTTTTTTCATTTTCATTTTTCACTTTGCCTTTTTAATTGTTCCTATTATTCCTGTCCAAAGCCAACAGTCTCTTCTACGGCCAATGTTAACTTATTGACAAGAACATCATACGACTTGTATGGAGGGAGGTCAATACGGTTGAAGCTGAAAAGAGAACAGAGAGAGAAAAGAGGAAATAATCATAGAAAAAGTCAGTCCCAGTATAAAAAACAAAAACTAATGACAATCAGCCATGATAATATAGAGACAATAACATACCAGGTATGCGACTTCGGTAACTGTCCAATTTCTCCTGCTTTCTCAATTGTGAAGCGCCTGGGACCATCAGATCCCTGAAGGTCCTTGAAGCCGTTAACAGGAATACGGGATGTACCTGTCGTGAATTGCAAGAGACGAGCCTTCTTCTCCGAATCCCAGGAACGGACACACTTCCAGAACCACTGCACTACTTCATCCTGCTCTGTATAACCTCGATAGTCTGTATGCTTCTTCCAGTCATCACAGTCAATCTCAGAGATACCACCCATCAAAAGCTCAAGCTCACGCTCATCAAATACAGTGACAAGTTCCTGTGGAATCAATTGATGGAATCCTTCTGCAAACGCCTTGAACTGCTCTTCAACACGACGAGTGATTCTCCATTCAGTCATCAGATCAACGTACTCCCTCTTGTTTTCCTCTGTCACTACAATGTCTTGTCCATTCTCCTTCAACTCTATTGTCACAATTTCTCCGAAGCGCTCATCATTAGTTGTGAAAGTCGTGTCCAGGGTCTCTGCCCCACTAGGGTCGTCCAATAGCCAGTTCAAGTTACGGTATACATCCGCATCTACTGACTCTAAATCCGCAAGCGTGACCTTCTTCTTGAGAATCATCTTATAAAACGATACAATAAAGAATGCATCCAAGAGGCGACGATGGAAGATGGCAAGTCCTACAACACGACCGATAAACTTGAAATAATTCAAGTGTTCAGAGTTGATACTTGAATGCGGGTTGATCTGAAGGGTATAATTATCGTGCGCAGAATATTCGAAAAGACAGTAAAAGGGGTTGAACATTTCGTGGGACAACAAGAAGAAAAATTCTCTGTTGATACGGAATAAAAACAAATGAACAAGGTAAGAGATTAAAATTTCAATCATGTTATACCACATACTGATTGAGGATGGTATTTCAAAGCTGATGACACCTTACCTGGATAGACCGCCATAATCCAAACCATCTTCGCCTTCAAACTTGATCATCAATCTCTTTTTAAGATCTGTCGGTGACTGACGCATAATTTCATGGTAAGAATCCTCAAAGATGTGTGAACGGCGAACCTTGATATGGCACTGGCCAGGGACAGGGCGGAGTGCAGGTTGTGATCTAAAATAGATCAGTTTGCGACGGAAATCGCGCTTATACTGGGGTACACTTTGGTCCAGACTACTTGGAAGACGTGGGTCTATTGTAGGAAGAATGAAAAATATGTTAAGAGATTTCCCTAATTAACCAATACAGCGTTTGGGCTATATTCTATACGGAGTACTATAAGAATTTTGAAAGTAACATCAAATATTACCATCCCACGTTGTCGTTTTAGTGTTATGGTCCACAAAGTAAACACGAGCCGTGTTAGTTAAGCGCATCTCCCATCCTGAGGGTAAGGGACCGAGCTGAGAGACAGGTTGTTGGTGAACTGCGACTTGAGTAGTCGAACTTCGGGGATCATTCATCCGAACATATTGCTGGCGGCGGGGGTCAACCCATGTGGTCGATCGTGTATTGTGGTCCACGTAATAAGGTCGACCTTCGGGTGTCAAACGCTGCTCCCATCCTGCAGGCAAAGGTCCAGATCCAGCAGTAGTTGAATTCAAACTAATAGGAGCCAGTCCTGCTGCATTTGAAGATGAGGTTGATGTTGAAGGATTGGCAATAGTCTGCGAAGGGGAGTTTGTCTCGGCAAGATTAGTTGTGGAGTTGCCCGTTGGCAATGGAGAGTTGCCACCTGAACGCTCACCAGGGAGTCCACGGTTATTGTGTTGTCTCCGTTCCATTTCCGTCTGACTTGTGAGTTCCTGGTTCCTCTCTGGTGTAGTTGCTGTCAAGCTACGATATATTCAAGGGTAAAAGGACGTTTCTAGATGTAAGTGACTAGTTTAAGAGTAAAAGAATAGATATACTTGCCCATATAATGTCATACTCTATAACTGGGGACTTTTTTCTTTTTCTTTTTTTTTTTTTTTTTGAGTTTTACCTTGGTCTTGTCCATGTGGTGGTACGAGTGTTATGGTCTACATAGTACGTACGACCCAACTGATCAATGCGTCGCTCCCAGCTACAAAGTAATACAAATGACAATAATCGGGGTCAATAACACTGAAGAGAGAGAAGGGAAGGGAAAGTTTGAGATGAAAATGGTCTAGAATGCCTACTTTGGTGGTAAAGGTCCATGTTGATCCTCGTACGCTGACAATTGCCGCCCTCCATTGGTTGCACTATTTGCAGCAGCGGTAATAGAAGCAGATGCTCCAGCCACGTGTCCGTTCGTACCCAAGGAACTGGAGGATGCAGGCTGAGCACTATTGCGCTGATTGGAGGAGGAGGCTGCACTGGATGACATACCCGAGATAACAGACGACGATCGATTATGCGAAATAGCCGTCGATGGCGTTTGGAGACGACCATTTGCAACAGCTTGACCGCTAGTGTTGGATGAGATATTGATAATGAGCTTCCCCTGGACTACCACATCGTTGGATCCAGATTTCTTTAGTTCCGTAGTCAACATTTCTAATATAAACCATATGGCGAATGTTAATATGATCTGAAAAAATAACGGAATTTACTTTAAAAAAGAAAAAAGAAAAAAAAATACCATCGCCTCCAATGTTCACGTCGAAAACATCCCCCATTTGAATGTTGACTGTTCCCAAGAAACCCTGGTCCTTTTTTTTGAACTTTTTTTGGTCAAAAATCTGGACCGCGAGCACACTCTTATTTGTGACCATCCTATTGTGGATAAAGAGAAATAAAAAAAAGAGACGTTAGTTCACTATTCAACTCATACTCCGTTCATTAATATAGGATTCACTTTTAATTGAGTGGCTGTCCTTGATAATATAGTCAGGCTAACTTACACTTCAAAGCTTTCATTCCAGTATGGATTAAGTGTCTTCTTCATCACGGTAGTTGTGTGAGTCTGATCCCCATCCACAGTGACTACAGCGAAGGGATCAGGAAGACCTAGATATATTATTTTCCAAATACATGGCAAGTAAAGACGCGAGGTTATTATATCTTGGAAGCACAATAGCATAATAGCATAATAGCATAATAAATAGAACATTATACAAACAGTTCTATCAAGAATAAGATTTTCTACTGTCATTCCAAACTTACGAAATACATCTCGCTTGTAAAGACCATCCGCCGCAATGACTATGGTTTAATATTTTAAGGTTGATATGAGAGGCGGGTTGCAGGTGTCCAGCAAAAATAAAAAATAAAAAAATAAAGATATTAATTATTTTCAGTCAGAGTGAATGTTGCATTCCATCTACTGATCCTTTTTTCTTTTTTCTTTTGGAGTCAGGTTCAAAGTTGTAGTGTCGAGATATGGAAGTAGAGGATGGTTGTCTAACCAAGGTTAAGGGTATTAAATAGAAATGGGCTGTAGGACGAGTTGCAATATAACAAGTGACGATATAAATGAATATTTGTGTGCCTGTGTGCCTGTGTCGTTGTTTGTCTGTGATATGTCTTGTTCATTACCAGTCAAGCGGATGGGTCGCCTGTGTCGGTGGGATATTAAATTTTAGAAAGGAGAAAGAAAGTGACATCAGTTTGGGTTAGGCGACTTGTTTCCATCCAAGGAATAGAATGAATAGAATGACCTCCTCAGGTTAACCATGTCTCCAGTAAACTGACCTGGTCAGGCTATTAGAGGCCATGATGCCTGTTTAATAGAGAGAGGGAATTAAAATGCGGGTGAGATTGTAACTGGCACAGAGATGTGATGACGAGGGAAGTAAACCAAGAAGGGAGCCTATAAAGATGAACACGGACACGGGATGCCGCTTTTTCTGTGGCAAAAGGGAAAGGAAAGAGGGAAGAGAAGGAATTGAGAAGAGGACAAACGATGGGTGGCGGAGATGAATGGTAAGAAGAAAAAAAAATACTGAGGGTGTGTGAGAAATGACTTGGAGAAGAGTGAGTGCTCAACCACTCCACAGACGATTTTGCAGGACCAATGGTAATATTTCTATTTTATTCAGTAATGGATGGGCACAAAATACAATCGCTACACATGCACTGTGCACTGTCCACTGTACACATGCAACAGACATTTTGAATGTCTGTCAACTGTCTTGTTCTGGAATAAAGAGCAGCTGTGTGTGAGTAAATGTGTCTGTCCACTGATTTAGTTATCATCTATTCGAATGGGTGGTACAGCCAGCACAAACAGTCGAATGCATGGCATACAATCGTGTGCACTTTACATGTTCACTCCCCAACAAAGCCTTGTATTTCAACCATGTCATTCTCCTGGACAATCAATTAATCGATCGGACATGGTTGGGTTCTATGAGATGATGGCTCTACCAAATTAAAGTAGTCGAACTTTATATAATGCCCATAAATAAAAGATTCTTCAAATTGATGGGAATGCATGTGACCATTAATTTTCTTGATAAAAAAAGTAACGAGGCAAACTGATCTGCAATCTTGAACACAAAAAAAAAAGACTCACCACCCATTCTATACTGACCAGAATGCATCTCACCAACACTGCCGATACAACCGTACATGCACACCAACATACACAGACACAGCCTGAAGTAGGAGTGAAATCATCAAAGGGGACTAAACCTCTCAGGAATCCTTGCAATCTCTGTCAGTCTGTCCGAGCTATCCTCAAACGACCAAAGACAGGTCAGCAACTCTGCAAAGAATGTTTCTACCATGTTTTCGAGACAGAAATCCATAATACCATTGTCGACAACAAACTCTTCAAAAAAGGTGACAGAGTAGCTATCGGTGCAAGTGGTGGCAAAGGTAATAACTCATGCCTATTTTTATTTAGAAAATTTTTTTGCTTGCTACAAATTAAAAAGGCAAAAAAAATACTCATTTCATTATCTCACATACGATAGACTCCACGGTCCTGGCATATGTCATGAAGCTTTTGAATGATCGATACAACTATGGCTTGGATCTAGTACTACTATCAATAGACGAAGGAATTACTGGATACAGAGACGATTCACTGGAAACTGTCAAAAGGAATAGAGACCAGTATCAGATCCCCCTTTTGATAATCAGCTATAAAGATCTCTATGGATGGAGCATGGATGATATTGTCAAAGAGATTGGGCGTAAGAACAACTGCACATTCTGCGGAGTATTCCGTCGTCAAGCATTGGATCGCGGCGCCATTATGCTCAACGTGGACCATATCGTCACTGGCCACAATGCAGACGATATTGCCGAGACTGTCTTGATGAACAGTAAGTGCACTATGGTCTCGGCCTCTATATATATATATATATATATACTTTCCATATGAGACTTTCAGAGATTAACCGTAGATGCATCAATTATATTCAATTTTACCCGTTAGTTCTTCGAGGTGATCTGCCGCGTCTCCAACGGTGCACATCTATCATTACTAATGACACATCTGATGATGCTTCTGGCATTGAAACTTCTAAAATCCTACGCTCAAAGCCATTCAAATACACATATGAAAAGGAGATTGTCATGTATGCCTACTTTAAAAAACTGGATTATTTCTCAACAGAGTGCATTTACTCACCCAATGCCTATCGTGGCTATGCCCGTGTGTTTTTGAAGGAATTGGAGGCCATCCGTCGTACTGCTATCGTTGGTAAGCGTCGTTTTTTTTTTATTATTATTATTTCCAATTTTATTATTTTTTCCGAGATTCTAACAAGCTTTTTATTATTATTACTATTATTCTGCACTTAGACATTATCCATTCAGGCGAAGCGCTTTCAGCTTCGGTACAGGCTAATGAATCAACAAAGCTGCCGACTATGACAAATTGTACACGGTGTGGATATATTTCTTCCAATGAACTTTGTAAAGCATGTCTTCTCCTTGAAGGTCTGAACAAAGGGTTGCCACAGCTCGGTATTGGACATACAACGAAGATCCGAAGAATTCATGAAGCTGCTGCTAATGTGGCTGAGGGGTTATCATTATCATCGACCTCATTATTGTCACCAACAACAGCATTATCAGGAAATGGAGCTGAATCTGCTACTGTTGTCACCGCTGTAGCTTCATCATCAACATCATCAACGTTAGAGGAAAGAGGCAAGACTGTAACCCATATCAAGGATCTCGCTAGACTTGAAACCATGCCTTCTCTACAAACTACATCATGAAACATCTTGCTGATATAGAAAGTAAAAATAGCAGAGGAAATCAATAAAATTTGTTTCTTATTAGAAAGATGCAGTGTTATAACTACAAATTATCCCTAATCGAACAGCACTATTAAAACGAAGACCAATCAGTTCTATCTGTTGATCTGTAAGGTTTTTAAAGTTAGTCCAGGAATTCAGAGGCAAAAGATTAGGTAGAAGGATACAGAGACGGAAATATGCAGAACTTACAAATTCTTTGTGGGTTGTCGGCACCCAAATGCTTGTGTCTAGCGTCGTGCGCGCTTTGCAGCCGGAGCAGGCGACTCTTCCGGGGGTTTGTACTTTGCAGGGCTCTCTTGCCTCTCAATTTGAGCAAGACCGATTCTTGCGATGTTTTCCGCTCCTACTGCGTCACGGCTGAAGAATACCTCACATGCACGGCAATATTTAGAGCGAGGGTACAGCGCTTCCAAAAAGCTATCACAGAGGGATCGGGGACAGCGGGCATTGGTGTTAAATTCGTGCACCCCTACAGCGAAGTGTCCTCGTGCTTTGACCTAAGCGTTTCAAATGACAGTCGTTTATCAGCAAGGGTTCTATGGCTTTCCAGATTTTCTTATTTTTTTAAAAAAAGTCATACCTGTGTGACAAGGTGTCTCTTTATAGGGTACCATCTGGACTCGTAGAACTCTTGAAGCACATCCAACTTCTTTGATTCTGTCTGTGTCTGGGACTCCTCGCTCATCCTTTGGAAGCACCCATTGTACGTATCCCTTCCAAATACAGGGATGGCGCTCGCAACCTCAATCATTCCTTTTTCACACCTCTTTTGTTCAGTAGGTGATTGAAGCGGAGGACGGGAAGGTACAAGAACCTGCTTCTCACCTTTACCGTTTGCCGCAAATTAGAGTTGTGGGGGTCCAGCGAGGAAAACGTAAGGGCATTAACAATACCAGGATCGCATCCGACGATAGTTGTGGTGCTTGCGGATGGGCATCGCCCTGGTTCGTTGAATGTGAGCTCAACGTTTTCAAGCAGTTTGGAGCTCCTCCTCCAGTTTATGTTTACTTAGCCTTCATCTGTCAGGCCTTCAGCAGCTGCCTTTGAACACGTCGTGTCAAGGAATCCTTGGGAAAGCCCCAATTCCTGACTGGGGTCTTCTTCATCTACGTCAGACTGCCGCTGTCTCTTCGTCTGGGTTGTGTCATAGGCAAGTAGATTCAGAACAAGACCGTTAGTAGAAATCGCTCCTTTGAGTTATTTCTTTGTCTTGTGACTGTAGAGATACTTTGTCTCGATATCCATCACCTCCAATGTCACAAAAGAGAGCCTGTATCAAAAACCCTTTTGTTCCCTGTACACATTCAAACATTGCAGTCTTGGAAGGATTGTTGAGAGGCAGAATACGCTCCAGCAGCTGCTTGGTATCTTCGTTCGCCCAGAGGATGCCAACTAGGGCGTGCTCAGACAGATACACATATTTGAGTGACCAGGGAGACGTAGGGAAGCCTAAGCATTTTCCACTTCTTTGTTCTCCCGCAAAAAAAACTCAATATCGCCCATGTCTTCGTTAGTTTTCTCGACATCGAAATTAGAAAAAAAGAAGAGTCTGAATAGAGAGCATTTGATTGCAGAATATGCATGAAAATACCCTACACAAGGTTATACCATTGCGTTCCTGTAGTGCTGCCTTAATGATGGCTGTACTTGGCCCATTAGTAGCTCTGTCGCTCTTGGAAACGAGGTCTTTTTGGGATCAAAGCCTTGTACGTCCCCCAATGTGATGTCTATTTCCTTTATTGGAGAAAGTTCAGTGGTGGCCTTGAAATGTTCATAAGCGAGGAGATAGTGGGGCGTTTCTACGGCCCTTCCTTGTTTTTTTGCCCTCGCGTAAGCTGAATTGGGGCCACCTTGATCACTTAAAAGAAGGGTGGCGGGACGGAAGGAATAGTCAGTGCTATCCAAGACCTCGTCCAGTGCCTTTTTCCTCGACCTTGCTGCCCCTGGTAGCCGCATGATCCTCTCAATGTCCAAGGCAATCGCCCAGTATGCATAGCGGCGTAGTCGGTTGAGGATAACAACTGCCCCTCGGATCTGGCTTGCAATATTATCCCTTTCTTCTGCGTCCAGTCTGCCTTTCCTTGCCCATGGAAGCCTTGAGGGACTCAGTTGTTAAGGCCTTGATAAGGTGCTTACTACTGTAGCTGTAATCAACCTTCGTAGCATCCTTCAAGTTCCTAATTGGTTCACCTTCTTTTTTAACCCTGTGGGGCTTCTTGCCTTTGTGCTTCCGCTTTTGTTTTTTCTGTTGCTTCTTTTTTGTCTTTTTCCGACGCGGTGGATGCTTAAGGCCCGGCCTATCGTGCTGACGGCAGTTACTGATATCAACTGTGCGCCCATTCAATATGCTCGCCTTGTCAGAAAAGATGGGCCGGAACTGGTTTCTATGTGACCCTTCCGCTATATAGAATGATGGTGCGTCTCTACACTATCCAAGAAAGGGACTAACGATTAGTATAGGGGACGTCTGGTTTCAAGGCCAAAACTATAGCTTGAGCTTTCTTACGTTCTGCGGCGCTGCGTTCACCTTTGCTGAGCCATTCTATGGCGAAGACCCCTTCCATTGAGTAGACGCTGCTTGAAGTTATCGAACTCATTGTTCGATGGTAACGCTTGGGCCGACGTTTGATAGCCGGAAGTAAAAACGCGGAGAGCTACTCTGAAATGGCCTTCTTCAGAGGCTGCGTTCCTTCCCAACATCTTACTAGCTTCCCTAAGATAATCTTGAAGCATTTTATTGTAGCTCTTGTTCCACGCAACCTTTCGAACTAATCGAAGATTATTAATCGAGCCCAACGTCTCGGGGTTCCTTGAGTAATCATTGCCCGCGATGGCACAGAATAACACCAGATGTTCGTGTGATGGTAGGTTTAGTGCTTGAATAACGCTGTTCACGCCGTAAACCTCAAACTTTCGTCTACGGTGTGGAAGAGGTCGCACTAGGATGCAGACTCGTTCGTATGCAAAAAAAATCAAAGTCTTGGGACATCACCGTCCTATCATTCTCCTCATTATGGCACCCTATGCATGGGTTCGCTTCATATGCACACAGACAGACATCGAAGACAGAGGCAAGGCCTGTTGCCAGCTGATTCTTGTCCTGGACGCTCAGGGTGTGGACTTCTCGAAGGCCCTTCTGGATGCGCCTCATGACTTGAGGACGAGTTCAAACTTCGGTCCGAGAGTTTCTCTCGAAGGTGTTCATATCGTTCTCCAAAGCGTCCATATTTTTTTATCTTATGGCTTGTCGTTCTGTTCTTGCTTTTTCTTTCTCAGTACAAGGTCACCAATCAATGTGATAGTCAGATTTTCTGTTTTGAAAAGACCCTTTATCTCGAGAGCCAGGGACCTTCCTACATCAATGGCGGATTTGTTTTTCATCTTTGTATGGACGACTCTACGGTGGATGTCGTAATAGAACATACCGAGGAGATCTACATGAACAGAATGGTCAGGATTTGCCGCCAAGAAAGTGCCCACGTCAGTTTCCGAAGGTAAAACCCTACGATCCGCAACCAGTTTGAAGAAGGACCTCAGTCCCATGGTCGATATCTAAGCGAAAGAGAAAGAAAAAAGGGGAAAATGGTGGTGATGAAAAGAAATGAAAAAGAATAAAAAGAGCGACAAAGGTATAAATGGATGAGTTTTTTATGGTTTAAAGATCCAAAGTGAATAGATAAAGAATAAAACGTTCAGGCAGAGAAGATTGGTGAAAAGATACAGGAACAAGTGGCAGTGGTAAAAGGGATGAGACTTTGGAGTGAACGAGCGGGAGAGGAGGAAGACAATGATCTCTTTTTATATCCTAAATTGATGATGAATATTAACATTATCTCATATAGTTTTGGTATCGATCCTTTGCTTCACAGGCCACATCAATCTTTATTCAGTTCCTTTTGTTTGGATTGGGGTTTTGTCCAAGTCAATAGTAGAGATCGACAAATAAATACAAGCTCTCATATGAACGGCAGATTGGAAACGATAGCATTGAGATACCAAAGTGAGCATTTCCGTATAAAGCATACAGTGTTGATGTCGATCCTTTGCTATACAATTTTTTTTCAGTTTCTTTTTGCATTGGCCCTTGCTTTGTGAGGAATTTAATGAATAAAAAAAATTTTATAATTTTGAACAGGGGTAGTAAATACGTTGACAGATTTGACTCGGTGTGTATGAACTAGTTTTGAAACAGGTGATTACATCCTTGTCAAAGGTAACAACAAAAGAAAAAAAATCTTTTTTTTCTTCTTTCTTCTTTTTTATCAGAGAATGGGTTCAGATGTCGCTCTTTGCTCCAACAGCTCCAGTACTTTTGCGTTAAAGCAGAGATAATCGTTGGCTCTCAGGTTCCGGCATCAATGGCGGAGATAGGAGTGATGTAGTTGCATGCGCTTATTGCTTGGAGTAAAAGCTATCTAACTACCCTCTCTCACTGGATGGTGCCTTGTTAATGGTGATATTGTACAGCGTCTTGTGGATGAAGGGAGAGCAGAAGCGAGAGTGGTGGTTTTTGGCGGTCGTTTGGTGTGTATGTATGTGTGAATTTGATAGTTGATACCAATCGCCAAAATATATGCATATAGAATTACAGATATCAACAAGATATACGAAATTACAATAATAGAAGCGAGATTATACCGACGCGTTTGAGTTTCTTTCCTAGGGATTGTTATGATTGTGGAGTGGCCGCCAAAATAAAGTTTAAATATTTCTTCTAGAGGCTCCATTGGAAAACGCTTGTATTTTGGAATTGCCTAGAAAACAAAAAAAAAAAAAAAAACGCCGCGATGCAAAATGTGTTTCTACATGTATAGGAACCAAAGAGACGCCTCAGCTGTTTATTCAATAGCCTGGTGCATGTTCGTACACACAACTGAGAGTGATTGATGAACAAAAAAGGAAACAAGATTTGCAAAAAAAAACCCCCTCGTGATGCAAGAAGGTATGTGCAGACAACAAAGAAGCACAGCAACTGTTTGCTCATATACATTTTTTTCCACCGTTGATGTGCTTGTATGTCTTTTAAGCTTTCTGTCTGGCTGTTTAACACAAAGAACTCCCAGAAAAAAAAATACCTCCCATGGTTGGTGCCTAGGTCTGGAAACAATAATAATGCACATGCCGTGCATGGAAGATAGAGCCTTGACCATCGTTATGCGGACTCACCAAAATCAACTTGTGATCACAGCTGCTACCCATGCTCTGTTGCCAAGGACTTAAAAAGGGATACAAACTTTTTATTTCTTGCTCTCATAATCGCTCACATCCTCTCGCCGTAAATGTTCATTACATCTGAATCACACAGGCATTTCACCATTCACTCCAACATAGATATATGTATCACCTTGGATATGATACGTTGGTGTGGTTCCCTCTAGTTTCAACAGACCCAAACTCTATTAGCAGTGTTTACCAACCCAGGTATATCAAGGGAACGCAAGAAGACGAGGGAGCAAATGATGTGACAAATCAAGTCTCGCAGTTGTACAGGAAAAGATCAAGTTAGTCAAGCTCCATGGTGCGGTAGGATGAATCAACTCAGATTGCCCTCCTTTCAAGTCAATACTACGGCGGCGAATATTATCACTGCTATATTATACCAATCAATAAATAAACGATACAATGGGCCCTCAAGCGGATGCTAGGGTCATACGAAAGTCTTCATGAGTTTTTTTATTTGCACAAATAAAGAAGCCTGGATAGCTCCATGACAGTTTAGTTTTCGGTCATTTATTTCGACGTCGAAATAAAATTCCGAGGCAATGCCCATGGATTGCTGGATTTCAAGCCCATTTGTAATGGGAAATTTGTCCTTCTTACGGACGAAGGGATAAAGTGTTCTACAAACAACTGATGATATGCACTATCTTTTGAGCTTACTTTCCGTATCGTATTACTGATTAAACAAAGGCATAATCTAGGCCTCTGAAGCCGACGACGACTGGTTTGAGACCATAATGTTATTTTTTTTATTTTTTTATTTTTTGATAACGAGAACCCACAAAGTCATGTAGGATTTATTTAGACGTTAGCTCTATTGAGGCCATGGTGTTTAGCCATTTCTTTAAAATCCACAACAGCAAAAAACAATATCATAGGGTCATGTAATCTGCATTAAAAGAAGATGTCATGCATGCATATGGTTTTTTTTAAACAATTTGTCTCTAAATGAACAGTACTATAAAACTGAAAAATTATCTAGTTCAGAATGAATATACTTGATGACCCGTCCTCCGGAGAGGGTCGCTTTACAGTCACCATAAGTCTAGCCATGTTTCCTTGGAAAGCCCTTATCCAGGATATCATGCATATATAGATTTTTTTTATTCTAGATGCCTCTGACATTTTTAGCCACTAAGGGTCTTTCTCCATCGCGCATTTCTGAGCAGGGACAACATCGTGTGTGTGTGAACTATAAAACTAGCGTAGATGGTGAGGATCAATGTCTGCTTCGTCTAGCGTTCGGCCGTTCTTTCAGGGTCGTTCCGTGCGGCATTCCGAGAGGGTCATCACCTCTAGACCATGGAGCAGGCCCTATCGCTCGACTTCCTCGAGATATTGCCTCAATTTTAGTGTAGTGAACTTGCTCCCCGCCAGGAATTCAATCAATAGCCTTCAGTTGTTAATCTGGAAGCTTTACGGCTAAGCCAAGGACTCGTTTTTTTTTTTTTTTTTTTTTTTCGTGTTAACAAGAACCCACAGAGGTGAGGAATTTTATTTCATAATCTCGCTCTAAAGTAATGATATCGCCCTCAACTATGAAACAAGCGAAACTCTCAAAGTTCGCACGGTATGGCTGTGAAGAGCCAATTCGTATCCATGTTTTTCTCTGCCAAGTACACCGTGATCGGTACTCGAAGTCCATCCTTCCGATGTGGCCTGTTGCGCCCGTGAAAAGCCGCGGAGGCTGGCGTGCCGACTCTAGCTAAGGACGACTTTTAATTTTTTTCTATTCGATCAAATCCACTGGCATGTGGACCCAAATCTTGCGGGATTGGTCTGAAATTTCTACTTTGGACTCCTTCAAACTTTGTGATCATCGCTGTCCTAGTCAAGTGGATAGATGGGGATGTGCTGCCAGATGTACCGCTGGTTCGGCCGGGGGGTGGAATATATAGCTAAGACGTGTGGCCAGCCAGGCGACTTAGGGTAGTGCACCCACGATCTTAGCCTTAGCGGAGAACACTAGGCTGTCTCGGAGAGAAAGTGTAAAAACTCAAGCAAATCCCTGACCTGGCACATGTTTGCTTCACTTTATGTGCCTTAACCAGGACTCAAACCCGGCCCTTGGCCTAGACAGGGGGTGCCCTGAGGAGTATACTACTCAGCCATTAGGCGGCTAAGCCAAGAGCTCGTCCGTCTTGATTTTTTTTTTTTTTTAAATTCGTCCACTCGTCTTGCATTTATGGAAGCACTTATATAAGTGCTATTATGGATAAAGGTGTTGTATTTAAGGTAATCAAACATAAATAACTGAAAAAATCACTGTCTTAAGAACCGGGGGGTTATACTGAGATGCCCTTAAAAACCGCAACGAGACGCAAATACATAGAACACACTGAAGTGTTGTACCAAGATAAAGGTCTTTATTAGTTTATGATACATATAATACTATACAAGTAACTAGTGCTGAGATCAATGAGGTTGCATACCTGAAGTGTTGTACCAAGATAAAGGTAAGGAACACTTCAGGGACGGAGAGTCCACTATTTATTATAGCGGGGAGGATCGGGTGGCTGAGCTCACGTCCAGGCAGGACGGGGTGACCACTATAGGTATACCTCTGGTCCTACCTACCATGACGTCACTTGTTATAGGACGTGAGCTTAAGTTGCCTCGATTTAGGACATAACAGACAGCAAAGTCGCCCAGAGGAAGAGCGCTGGGCTCATAACCCAGAGGTCGGTGGATCGAAACCACCCTTTGCTACGATTTTTTTGTTTTTGCAACCCAGGTGCCAAATATTATTGGCAGCCCATACTTAATACATGTGGTAATTTTGCCATTATTTGGCAGCCTATTTTTTGGAACAGCCACTTAACTTCACACTTGGGTGGCAACTGGGCTGCCAAACAATGAAGTTATTTGCGGGGGGTTATTATTCAGTCTTTCAAACAAAATCCGCCTTTAATTGGTGGGCTTTCTCTCAATAAAAACGTCAATAGACAGGAAGTATTAGGATCGCACATTGTAAACTGTTGTTCTTCCTTCGAGCACCAAATGCTTATTACATGTTGCTATATCCAATGTGCAGAAGAGGAGATGAGATATAACAGTCCGTTCAGTGTTAATCAAGACTGTGCCAAATATTGTGACAAACTTGACTTTAAGCATGAATGGCTCCTGTAGAATGAACGACAAATGGAACTTGTCATCTTCTATTTATAGTAACTCTTAAAAGAATCTATGCAGGATCCATGGAGCAGTACCTGTATACATTACTATAACCATAGAAATAGCAAAACCATGTCATTTGATGGCTGTATGGATTATTGTGCTAGAGCCTTGAGAAGCAGAGCTTAAAGCAGGGATCACTCGCCTAGGCTATTACTAACGATATGGACTCTATTTTCAATACTTTATACACTGCCTCTTGAGAAAATGAGTTCAGAATATCCGATAATTGTTATTTTTCGCGACCCAGCCGAGCTTCCCTACAGGAAATCTTTTTTTCTTGCTATGTAACTTGCGCATATTTACCACGACTGGTTTCAAATTGAGAAATACATATTTTCTGAAGACTCAATGGACTTTGAGTTTGTCTATGCTGCGTTCCACTGGTTTTATCAAGTTTTTGCAACACTAATTCAGAAATAGTTGTCTAGATTGGTCACATACTATGCCCTGCTGTACTCATCACAGAACTACTATTAGCATTCGTCAGGTAGCGTAAAATCCGCTTGAATAAGTTGCGCTTCGGCCCCTGCTAGCGGCTCCGGATGGAGCGAGGCCAATTGGGTTTGAAATGAGTGACTTTATCTATAGCACCAAGAATATCGATATGTCCATAAAAACATCGTACAAATAGTTTTTTTTATTTGCACGTGGGGAGCAGTGTAAATAAGGTGTGTACAGGCCCGTGCAAATAACTTCATCCTTGCATTGAGACAAAAATCTAGCATGCTCTTGCATTTGTGATAAACGCGTCTATTAGCTAGAATCGTCCAACGACGAGATCAAATACATAATTAAGTTGACATCTTTTATTTCCAGTGATGGTGCAACGCAACTCCACCACTAAAAAATGTGGAAATTTACAAAGAATGCACATGCGTGGAAGATAAGGCTTTGGCACCATGGCCGTTGCTATAATTAATTCATATGCATTGTCCAAAGTCAACCTGCGATCATAACTACAGGCTGAATGCATAGATGCTATTGACGTACTGTATTGATGTGCCGATCTTTTAATACGTCGCTATTACAGTGAAAGGAAACTGGACATATATCATATCATCTTTGCGCGGGGGAAAGGATATTGGATCAACTGCAACGTAGCGCTGGACAAAGAGAGTTATTGCTTTTCGATTACTCTCTACTCTCTCTCTCTCTCTCACAACTGGTTGTAGTGACAAAGACGAAAAGGGAACATTGACTCGTGATTTTTAAGGCAAATTCCCCGGCGCTTCGCGAAAGGAGCGTGAAGAAGACTGAATTAAGCTTTCAAACATGGTGAAGTCCAGTCTTGACCAGCAGAGGCTTGCCTTCCTCGTACGTGGAGGGATGGAAGGTATCGGTGGCAGCAATTTAATAATCTGATAAAAAAAATTGTGAATATGTATCGCTTTCTGGACATGAATAGTTCCTGGAATCGTTCACTGATGTTTTTGTTGCTAAAGCCAGTGTGAATAGTAGTCATAGTAATCGACTAGTGAATGAGTATGGGATTCAAAGCCATATAGCCAAGTAATACATGGTTTATACCTGTTTTCAACAGAGAAAGTAATCTATCTTTATTTTCATCACTGGAAATTCGATGAGATTAACATGGCCGACAACGTAAAAACAGGGCATGACCTAGAGAGAAACAGGATATTTAGGTATATAGTAGGTCATGGTTTAACTCTGTCGGACAGCGTTGTAGTTAGCTTTACCTCTTCTTTATCCTCCTATCCTTTTCCAGAAAACATCCTAGGGCCCAAACCGACGTGCCTGTGCGCTTGAGTAATCAAAGAGTGCTGAAGCTATATCAAGGTTGCTGAAACATAAGAACAACCAAATAAACAATACTCTATTACTCTATTTTCCTCAAATAGGGAAGCTGAAACTTCCACTCTCCACGGAGCAGAAGAGGGGGGTTACTTGGAGCTTTAGTAGATGGATATAGAGGCGCTAGCTATACCCCTCATACATTTTTAGCCTTGTTATTTGTCCTTACTAAGTAACAGGCTTCATTCCAGCAAAATGGAGGCTATAAGAAGGAGACTAGACCTGAGTGCACAGCGGCAGAATCATGGGGGTAGCTCTTTGAGGGTTTGAAAAGAAACTAAAGGAGAATGGTCCTTTGCAACAATGCAAAGGGGTCATACCAATAGTTGCAGGTGAACCTCGATCCACAAAGGAGATATTTATTGAGGGTAATGGTCGCTGAGCAAATCCATAGGTAATATTGGCAATCAATTGAAGGAGTTTGGGGATGAATATATTTTTCTTTCGTTCTCATTACTTATTACGATCCTGCTATATTTCACAACCAAAGGCGAGACTAGGCGTAAGCAGGTGCTTACAGTTGCTTACAGTTGCACCAAGAATGAGTAGAACACGTTGTGTATGTTTATATCACGTAAAAAAAGGATAGGAAATAAAATAAAGTAAAATAAAATAACATAGAATAGTTTAATTTTTCAAGGAAGTAATTTCTGGTGATAACTCTACGTTTAACTGGACACTTGAACACATCTTGTAGGATGCATACTGAATGAAAGAGAGGAAGATCTACCGTTTATCAATCTATCAACTTTTTATTCCAAAGCGTGGCCTTGTTACCGTTGATCAAGGGGCTGAACCCCAATTATATCGGCATGTTTTGGATACAATAAAATTGAAATTAACGTGGTGCTCATACAAATCATCTCCCTTTTCAATTAGTCTCCCACGCTATAATGAGTAGCGGAAGCATTACTTTACTTTGATTGGATATTCTTCTCGTGGGCGCAAAAAAAAGCTGTTCAACGTTCCCATAAAATCACATTGCCCGTGATCATGACTTCTTGTTATGACTCGCGACATTTTTACCCGAATGTCCCCCCTTTTTGTCGTTTAGAAAGTTGAGCGTGGGAGCGATAGACGCTCCATTCTTACTCATTAGTCTGTTTGAATGAAGGTCCTGTCGACACTCGATCGAACCATTCATGCCTCTTCGCATCAGCATTCGTGTCTGCATCCATCCTTCGTGCTCACACTCTCTAGTGCATTGAATCTTTCCCGCCGTGTCACGCCTGTCCCTGCCCAAATAAGGCTCTCACATTCTCTGTTCACCTACTGCTTTAAATCGTCCCCCACTTCTCGTTTCTCTTCTTTACATCACTCTTATCCTTCCTCTTCTTCTTCACATACTCTCAGTCTCTTCTCTCGACCCATCTTTTCCACCTTACCGCGTTCAGGACCCCTCGGTTACAAGACCCTCCTCACGCTTCGCTCCTTACCCCGGCATTCTAATTTTCATCCTTATTCTTTGCACACCTCCACCCTTGCTTTAAACACTCGCAGTTCGTTCAATATGGCCAAGATTATTGACGGAAAGGCCATTGCCCAGTAAGTTTCTTTTGCATGAGTCCCTCTTTTCCTGAGAAAGAGTTTGGACGCTTTCAATTGATGTATCGTGCGCTCATAGGAGGATTCAAAGTCATTAAAAACATCTTTCTCACGCTTTGTGCAAAATAAATATCTAAAAATGGTATAGAAAACTACGCAACGACATCAAGTCTCAAATTGAGGAAGTGCGCAAGACAGCTCCAAGTTTCAGTCCAAAGCTTTCTATCATTCAAGTTGGAGAACGCGAGGATTCGAGCGTCTATGTCAATATGAAGAAGAAGGCGGCCAAGGAGGTAAAATCCGATTAGCAAAAAATAACCAAAGCCTTGTTCCGCTCCAGCAGAATGAAAAAAAAAAAAAAAAAAAAAAAAAAAAAAATGAATCTCCGCATCGGTTCCCCACTCTTTTTTTTTCTTTTCTGAAGTTGGCAGAAGAAGGATACACAAATCAGGACCGGTTTCACATACTTTAAACAAGACAGACGGAAGTATTTATTACCATCGGTTGTATAAGAAGATTAATTACTTATGCCATTCCTTCTGAAAAAATATAGGCTGGCATGGATTTTGAGCTTTTCCACTTACCTGCAACCATCACTCAGTACGAGTTGTTGTCTAGAGTTCAAGCCTTGAATAATGACCCTAAAGTACATGGAATTCTCGTTCAGCTCCCTCTTCCTGATCACTTGGATGACAGAATCGTCACAGAGGCAATTGATCCTAAGAAGGATGTTGACGGGTATGTTCATATCATTCTTTCTTTTTATTGGCTGGATAGTCAGATCCATTGTAGTCGACTCAGCAAGTAACTTTTTTATTTTCATATACATCGCTTCCAAAATCATTATTAGTTTCCATGCAATCAACATCGGCCACCTTTCTAAGCGCGCCTCAGAGCCTGCATTTGTTCCATGTACTCCCAAGGGCGTCATTGAACTCATCAAGTCAACTGATGTGGTCATGGCTGGCAAGAAAGCTGTTGTCGTTGGTCGCAGTGATATTGTTGTAAGTTGCCCAGTTTTGTCCTTTATTACTATTATTCTTAGCCATCCAAAGACGCCCTTAAATACCCATGGAAGCATTAAAAATCATGGTAGCAGAAGTAGCAACGGCATTAAAACATTGGTGGCATCGGTATATATTTATATTATACCTAGGGAACTCCTGTGTTTAGCCTGTTGACCAAGAATAACTGCACAGTCACATTGTGCCACTCTAAGACCATGAATCTACCCGAGATTGTTAAGACTGCCGATATTCTTGTTGTTGCCATCGGAAGTGCTGGATTCATTAAGGGCGAGTGGATCAAGGAAGGAGCCGTGGTTATTGATGTCGGAACTAATGCTGTTGAAGGTAGTGCATATAACGTAACTTTCTCTTGTCATACATTGACAAACAAGATCTCACTTTCTTTTAGTATCTCATGAAGAAATTTACTAACGTCTTTTCCTACTCAAAAACTAGACTCTACAAAGAAGGCTGGAATCCGTTGGGTTGGAGATGTGGAATATGCTACTGCATCGCAGCGCGCCGGTCATATTACCCCTGTCCCTGGTGGTGTTGGTCCCATGACTGTGGCCATGTTGATGCAGAATACCTATCTTTCAGCTGTCCGTTTCCTGAATGAAGGTCGTCACCGCACCATTAACCCTCTACCATTGCAGCTCTTGGACCCCGTCCCTAACGACATCGACATTGCCTTGGCTCAGAAGCCTAAACCTATCAAATTCATTGCCGATGAACTGGGGATTTTGCCTTGCGAGGTACTTGAGAAACGAGCAAAGGTCTAATAGCATTGTCAGTGGAACAACTGTGAAATGGAGGACTGATCTTACTGTTATTTTATTTTTATTTTTACATTCATGCACCCAACATATTAGCTTGAGCTCTATGGAGAGTACAAGGCCAAGGTCAGCTTGGATATTTTGGAGCGTCTATCACACCGTAAGAATGGTCGCTATGTTGTCGTCACAGGAATTACACCTACTCCCTTGGGTGAGGGCAAGTCAACGACTACTGTTGGTTTGGTTCAGGCATTAGGTGCTCATTTGGACAAGATTGCTTTTGGATGTGTCCGTCAGCCGTCGCAGGGCCCTACATTTGGAATCAAGGGTGGAGCTGCAGGAGGCGGATACTCCCAAGTGATTCCTATGGATGAGTTCAACTTACATTTGACAGGAGATATTCATGCGGTGACCGCTGCCAATAATTTGCTTGCTGCAGCCATCGACGCGCGCATATTCCATGAGAAGACCCAGTCAGATAAAGCGCTTTTCAGTCGCCTTTGCCCCACTAAGAAGGGCAAGAAAGTTTTTGCGGCCGTGATGCTGGGTCGCCTCCAGCGTTTGGGCATCAATAAAACAGATCCTGCAGAATTGACACCTGAAGAAGTATCTCGTTTCGTTCGTCTAGATATTGATCCTGAAACGATTACTTGGCAACGTGTCATGGATACCAATGATCGCTTCTTGCGTAGAATTGAGATTGGACGTAATGACACCGAGGCTGGTCATGAACGTATGACTGGATTCGATATTGCAGTCGCTTCTGAAGTTATGGCAGTTCTTGCCCTCAGCACTGACCTTAAGGATATGCGTGAACGGTAAGTGTTCTAGCCTTTGAGTTTGAACAAGACTCGGTTTGTTCGTGGTGCTTAGTAGTGTTGGCCTTTAATACCATATATTACCATATATTCAACCTTCTTTTACAACCCTCTTCTCATTAGTCTTGGAAAGATGGTGGTTGCTAGCAGCAAAGCTGGTGAGCCAGTCACTGCTGATGATATTGGCATTGGTGGCGCTTTGACTGTGCTAATGAAGGACGCCATTAAGCCCAATGTGATGCAGACATTGGAGGGAACACCGATGTTTGTCCATGCTGGACCCTTCGCCAACATTGCACATGGCAATTCCTCCATCATCGCTGACCGCATTGCACTCAAACTGGCTGGTATCGAGCCTGGCGAGAATGAGGAGATGATGGGCTATGTTGTCACAGAGGCTGGATTTGGTGCTGATATTGGCATGGAGAAATTCTTTGATATCAAGTGCCGCACTAGCGGATTGGTTCCCGATTGTGCTGTCCTTGTCGCAACAGTCAAGGCGCTCAAGATGCACGGAGGTGGACCCGAGGTCACACCTGGCAAGCCCCTACCTGAGGTTTACAACAGTGAGAACTTGGAACTGTTGGAATCAGGATGTGATAATTTGAAGAAGCATATTGAGAACGCCAAGAAATTTGGAGTACCAGTAGTGGTAGCCATCAACAAGTTCACATCCGACACAGATGCAGAGATGGCGTTGATCCGTAAGATTGCTTTGGAGGCAGGAGCAGATAATGCTGTTGCGTGTGAGAACTGGGCAAAGGGCGGTTTGGGTGCCGTGGAACTGGGACAGGCGGTGATCCAGGCATGCAGTAAACCAATTAATTTCAAGTATCTGTACTCACTGGAGTCGGATATCGCATCCAAGATCGAAACAATCTCAAAGGAGATGTATGGAGCTGATGGTATTGAACTTTCAGACTTGGCCAAGGAGAAGATTGCAACCTACACTCGTCAGGTAATAATATATTACGCGAGACGCGAGGAGCTATCGATATTCAATGCTGGTTTGTTACTCATCAACGATTGCTTTTTTTTAACTTGAACAATCTAGGGCTTTGGTAATTTACCCATCTGTATGGCCAAGACGCATTTGTCGTTATCACACGACCCCAAGTTGAAGAATCGACCTGTAGGATTTAAGATACCTATTCGCGATATCCGTGCATCGGTTGGAGCAGGGTTCTTGTACCCACTTTGTGGAGCGATGCAAACTATGCCTGGTCTTCCTACTCGTCCATGCTTCTACGATGTTGATATTGATTTTGAAACAGGCAACGTTGTGGGTCTGTTCTAAGAAAAAGTCCTAGATGAGGGTTGATTTGTACAATTGTGCCTTCTAGTAAAATAAACCTGCTTTCTTTCCTTCATGGAGCGTTAAAAAAAAAGAGAGAGAGAAGTTTCTATTTTTATTTTGCTCCATTTAAACAGAAGTGGGGAAGCAGAGCTATGGTTGCAACATGTGATCAAGAATGATAGCGGTAATCCTCTCAGCCACTCTTTTTCAGAAAAATGACGCACATCACATTTTTATAACTTTCTTTTGATGAGTCCACTTGGGCTCAGTGAACAGCAATAAACACAGGGCTTTTCCGTTCGGTCGAGCCAAGAAAACAAGAAATTGTTTGAGGCGGAGCATTTTTTTATTTTATTTTTCTTTGTTTGTAAACACAGATGTAACAATGCTGTATGTGGTCATGGCGAGGAGAATGTCAGCTGGTGCAACATGTATAAAAATATAAAAAGGTAACAGATTCCTCTCTCTGTCTTCTTTTGATTTTATCCCCATTTTAAACAGCGAGAATAAACAGCTTTTTCAACAGGCACAGCATCCACATAATCTTGTTTTCTGTCTTCGTCCTCTTTCACTCTTTCATCCTCCATTCTATTTCAACCACACCTATTTCATATCAAAATACAAAGCATACAATACATCTACCATACACATGCGTAAACTATTTGGTGGTCGTCACCACGTCAATAAACCATTACCAGAGCCTTTGGTTGACCCTGATGAGGGTAAAACTCCAATCGGTATGGCTTTTTCCTTTCTTTCTTCAGGAACATTTATCCTATTAGTTTTATTTTATTTTTTATTTTTTTCAAGAATCATGCACCTTTCACCTATACTTCGTACCGTATAACTCAACTCTTTTTGTTTTCGTGCACAACAAACACAATTAGGCGAATTGATCATTATTCCTATACAAGGACGTGACCTGCCTAACCGGGAACGATTTGGAAAACAAAGCCCATTCATTCTGTTCAAGCTTGGTAATCAATGCAGAAGAAGCACCACTGATGTTCGGGGTGGACAGCGGCCTCGATGGAAGGATGACCAGGTAACACTTTTGTTTGTTTGTCAACATCGCGAAGAAAGTGGTGTGAAGAGGACAAATAGTAATAGTCAGCGGCAAAAGACCACTCACAGAATATATTTGCTTTTTGTTCTCTTTGATGTTGTCTTTGACTAGATCAAAATACCAATGTATGAAAGTGATGCCAAGGATGCAACATCGCTGTATGTAACATGTTTAGATGAGGATCATCAGAAGAATGAGCTCATTGGCGACTGTGTTATCAATCTGGCAAAGGTTCTGGAATATGGCGAACATGATGGTATGTGTTAAAAAGGGTTAGTCGAATGATGCCAAATTACACCTGCAGTTATGCTTCAGCGTCTTTACCCAACTGCGGGTATTGAATGTGGTTTACTCCGAGTTGAATAGAATTGGCTGGATGCACACACTTATCTGGTCCTGCATGGCCCATGTTGCAACAGAAAAAAAAAAAAAAAAGAAAAATTCTGTCATTGCATCAGACCTGACTGAATGTCCCTTCCCCTTTTTCCCCCTGTTTACGTATTAATAGATTGGTTCGAGCTGCATTATAAAGGTCGTGAAGCAGGTGAACTCATGCTACAGCTGACCTACTACTCTCATGTAAGTATCCCAGGAGAGTGCTTTTGCATCATGAAGAAACACACGCAGCGGGATTATTCTCAAAATGGTTGAAAATACGCGAAATCATGATGTCGTTGCTTTGTCTGTGACATGGATGATCAATCTTCCCGATCTTCTTGTTTCCCATTCCGTCTTCCTCCCGCATGGGAATATTAAAGTATTTTACTAGATGATGTATTACCAAACGGCTGACGATCTGTGTACGCTATGACTTTTTTTCTTTTTAGGATCCTAAACATCCTCTCCACAAGATGAACCGTGCCCCTAGTACACCAATCCCCGCCGGCACACCGCTGCGTCGCCCTATTCATCCATCTCCTCATGGAACTTCAGACCACTCACCTTCTGTAGAGTCAACAACATCAGTATCTTCAGTAACAACTACCGCAACGGAGGACTCGGAACTCGTCTACAAACCCCCCGTTGCCACAGAGCCAACCGCCTATGCAGGAGGTTATCCTTACGTCAATTCTACATCCGCAGGGGCACCCCCAACTTTAGGGGGCCGTATATCCCCTGTGGGTCAAAACCCCTACAATTCATACAGCGCGAGTCCTTATATGTCTATGAATGACTTTCCTGGACACCCTAACCTGAGCGCTGGTCAACCATTTTTCCCTCAAGGTGCTTATCCGGCTGGGTACCCGCCTCATATGAATGTCGCCGCAAGCGATGTTAATAACATCCATGGAGGCGGATACCCACCCCGTCCAACCGTCAATCTCCATGGGGTATATCCAACGCCTCAATATAATGCCGTCAATGGATACCCACCTCAACTTGGCAACAATGCCTTTAATACAGGGTATCCGCCTCAGAATAATACATATCCACCACAACAAGTACCACCGCCGTTCATGCCCATTAACAACAATATCAATAACGTCAATGATGCTTATCGACCTTTGAACAACAGCATCACCAACCTCTATCCACCTGTACAGCCACAGCCACAGCCGCAGCCTGTCATCAATAACCAAGTCTCACCACCTAATGGAACAGGATATCTTCCACCAGTATATCCATTCGCAACCTCCAATTTGTATCCATCTAATAGTATAACCACTGGGGGCGGGTACCCGCCGCAATCTCAAATACAAATGCGACCATTACCTCAGCCGATGATGCAGCAATCTCGGAACTCATCGCGGCCCTTACCGCAGCCACCACAGTCATCACATTCATCGCCCGCCGGATCTCCTGCTACAACTACCTCCACAGCAACACTGCCTGGCGCATTCCCTGGCGCCTTTCCTTGTTCTAATACCTTTACCCCCGGCTCCACAGAAACCGCTACCTCGAACCCTTCGCCTCCACTGCCCCAATCTCGGCCTTTGTCTGACAACTATAGCATGTACAGAGCCAACCCTTTGGCCGGTCATAAGCAGAGTGTCAACTATGGTCAATCCTCGAGCTCTTCATATCCCGGTCAAGGAATGATGTATCCACGATCATCTTCGCCAACGGTAGGGAAGATCCCAGGCGGATTTCCACGGCCACGATCGGTCAGTCCACCTGGATTGCCGTCTAGAAATAGCAATATAATGATGCCCCAAATACCGCCCAGTTATGAACAAACAATGTATGGGCCTGGTCGCCTGTAAAGAAAAACATTGTCATTTCACACTGTACATAAATTCAAAAGCATAATAAAAGCATTATAATGATTTCTAATACGTAGTTTGAGCCTGTCTCGAATTATTTTTCCGTCGCCATTTCTCGGAGCTCGGTGATTTGGAGTGAGAAAAAAAAAAAAAAAAAAAAAAAAAAAAAAAGAATTTCACATCAATCGAAGCACAAAATACATCCATCTCACCTCTCACCTCTCACCTCTCCTTTATTTCTTCTCTCTCCATCCTTTTTATCTGCTCAAGCTTGTCTTGCTGCGGTATTTTGTTATTGTGTTCTTTTTTTCTTTTTTCTACATCAATTACCAACCCAACTTCAGGATCAGTGGATTATTTGATTATTTTACGACACAAACATGGCTTCTGTTGCTCGCCTTTTATCACGCCGTTCGGCAACACTGTTGAGCAGGACCGCTGCTAATGTTTCTCGCCCTTCGACATATTTCAACATGGCATCGCCTTCTCTTCTTGCTCGCAGTAGCAGGTTGCAGTTTGCAAAGTGCATGTCCACGGAGACCGCTGCAGGTGACTCACACCACCATCGTCATTTCGACCGCGATCTATATGGTGCAACTGCTCCTCTTGGCGCGGGTACAACCATCACAGAGGATGAGATTGATGACGGTGTCGATGTTACCTCACGTCATTTCACTGTCAACTTTGGACCTCAACATCCTGCAGCTCACGGAGTATTGCGTTTGATTTTGGAGTTGGAAGGAGAGGAGATCCTCCGATGCGATCCTCATGTTGGATTGTTGCATCGTGGTACTGAAAAGTTGATCGAGTACAAGACATATCTTCAAGCCCTTCCTTACGTAAGTTTCTTTTTTAGAACCGGTCAAAAATGCAATACTTTTTTTTTTTTTTTTTTATTTTATTTTATAATTTGATCTGTAAATGATAGTGAAACTAGATGTGAACTGACAATAGCTTTTTGTTTTTTTATCCAACATTGTCTTTTTCGAATGAAATGGAACCGCTCGGGATACCATGGGGGAAAAATATATACATAATTCTGTACACTTTCTGGACCGACTTCACAACGATGCTTGAATACTTTTTTTTTTTTTTTTTTTTTTGACAGTTTGATCGTCTCGATTACTGTTCCATGATGGTCAATGAGCAGGCATACTCTTTAGCCGTCGAGAAGCTTCTTAATATTGAAGTACCAATTCGTGCCAAATATATCCGTACTATGTTTGCAGAGATCACCCGTATTATGAACCACTGCATGTCAGTCATGTCTCACATCATGGACGTCGGAGCTCTGACCCCTTTCTTGTGGATGTTTGAGGAACGTGAGAAGCTGATCGAATTTTACGAGCGTGTTTCAGGTGCTCGTATGCATGCTGCCTATATTCGCCCCGGTGGTGTCTCTCTTGATATCCCCAAGGGATTGCTCGAAGATATTCATGTCTGGGCTGACCAATTTGGAGACCGTATGAATGAGGCTGAGGAATTGATCACTGGAAACCGTATCTGGCAGGGACGTACAGTCGATGTGGGCCGTGTTACTGCGAAGGAGGCTCTTGATTGGGGGTTCTCCGGTGTGATGTTGCGTGGATCAGGTGTCAACTGGGATCTGCGTAAGGTTCAACCCTATGATGCTTACGACCTTGTTGATTTTGATGTTCCTGTCGGCTCCAAGGGCGATTGCTTTGATCGTTATCTATGCCGTATGGAGGAGATGCGTCAATCTCTCCGCATCATTCACCAGTGCATCAATGACATGCCTCCTGGCCCCGTCCGTGTTGATGATCTCAAGATCTCGCCCCCTCGCCGTGCTCACATGAAGGAGAACATGGAGGCCTTGATTCATCATTTCAAACTCTACTCCGAGGGCTACTCTGTTCCCCCTGGTGAAACCTACACCGTCGTCGAAGCGCCCAAGGGAGAGTTTGGTACGTAGATTTGCGTTGTAATATCGCTTTTAAGGCTCTACCTTTCATTTAGCTATCTCTCAACTTCAATTTTAATTTATTTTAATACCAACTATTACTTTTTAGGTGTCCATCTTGTTTCCGATGGAAGTAACCGTCCTTACCGCTGCAAGATTCGTGCCCCTGGTTTCGCCCACTTGGCTGGATTGGACTTTATGGCCAAGGGTCACTTCATTCCCGATGTCGTCACCATGATTGGAACCATGGATATTGTGTTCGGAGAGGTCGATCGTTAAAAGGTTAACCTATTGCTGGAGGACGGAATGAACGATGACCATGAATGAGGATGATGACATTATACGCACAAAGAAAAGAATACGATTTCTTTTTATTTACTTATTTTTCTTTTTTGCACTGTTTGATGCTTTCTATTCCTTATTTTCCTTCTCTTTTTTATTAGAATAAATTACATAAATTCAACATCCATCGCTAATGAAGTAATGCGCGTGTGTGTTTTTTTTTATTAGACCTATATATTAGCTACGTCGCTCACTACTCTCTTTGACTTTGGCAAAACACAGAGACGCGTTTGTGCCTCCAAATCCAAAAGAGTTTGTCAGAGCAGCACTCAAAACTTTTTCTTGGGCTTTTCGTGGGACGTAGTTCAATGTAAACTCGCCATTATCGTCAAAGTTATGGAGATTTAATGTCGGAGGCAGGATATCGTTTTTAACAGCAAGGATAGTGAAAATAGCTTCAACAGCACCCGCAGCACCGAGAAGATGACCCACAGCGCCCTTCGTAGACGAAACAGCAATGGAGTTGTGATGACCATCGAAGACAGCCTTGATGGCACGGTTCTCTGCAATGTCGCCCTGATGAGTTGATGTTGCATGAGCATTTACATATCCGACATCTGCAGGTGTTAACCGTGCAGCCTTCAAGGCTCTGCGCATCGCCATTGCGGCTCCTGTGCCATTCTCAGGTGGTGCTGTCATATGATGAGCATCACCTTAACAAAATTAACACGTAAATGCGGATATGAGTACTCACGGAGTAAAATCAACAGATCTTAACGAGAAAGAGAGTGCAATAAGAGGTGTTTCATTTATACCTGAGAGTCCATATCCTTTCAATTCTGCATAGATGGGAGCACCTCGTTTCCGAGCATGCTCATATTCCTCCAAGACAACGACGCCAGCGCCTTCACCAATGACAAAGCCATCACGATCGCGATCAAAAGGTCTGGAGGCTTCTTGAGGCGCGTCGTTGTATCTGGTCGCTAAAGATTTGGCTTTTGCAAAGCCAGCGACTGCTATAGGATGAATACAGGCCTCAGATCCACCGGCAACCATGACATCCGCGTCACCGTACTGAATAAAGCGCATCGCATCGCCGAGAGAATGGGCCCCTGTAGTACAAGCGGTGGAGACTGCGTGATTTGGACCCTTGTAACCAAACTTCATAGTCAAGTGGCCGGCTGCCATATTGATCAGAATCTTGGGTACGAACATGGGGCTCATCTTGCGATATCCCTGTAAAGAGGAGTATATATAAAAAAAGTTGGTCGGCTTTCTAAAAGAAAAGATAAATCTAGACATTTACATAGAAAAAGTCTTACGCTTTCAGCATAGGACAGAGTTGTGTTCGCCATGTCGTCGAGGCTCCCAATTCCGGATCCAAGACAAACTCCTGTGCGCTCCTTTTGATCCTCAGTAATCTCTTCCCAATTTGCGTCCTTGATCGCCATCTTTGCTGCAGCGATCGCATACTGAGTGAACATTGCCATCCGCTTCTCATCCTACGTTATATTGAGTAAAATGTGATAAAAAGCACAGATTAAATCAGAAATAGTCGAACATGATTGCGATTGTTGCTACTGAAATAAAAAACTTTTTTTTTTACCCCTCGGTCTAGCCATTCTGTAGAGTCAAATCCTCCAAGGTCCTGTCCGCCTCCACGTCTTACGACAGCTCCAACCTGAGAAGGTAATGTATCAAAACCAGGGAGAGAAGCATGGGCTGAAGGCAAGTCTTTTAAAGAGACAACTCCACATTCTGATGCAATGAGTCTGGACCATGTCTGTTGGACACCAATGCCAAGTGGAGTGACAAGGCCAAGCCCAGTAACGACGACTCGTCGAGCATGGAGGGACATTTTCTTTATTATTTGAATGTAATGGAAAGGAAATGTGGATGAAGGGAATCTTGTAAAATAGTAATAACAGTTAAGCAGTCAAATAGCGTTTGACATCCAACTGCGCGATTGATCTGCTCAGCAGTCACAAGGGTTTGGTTGCTATCAACCATGCAAGCAACATTATGAACAAAGGCGAGATAACTACTTAACAGCTTACTCTCTTGAAATGGGTCAATGTCCTGCCAACCCTACTCTGTTTGCTATTGCTGCAATTAAAGATAAAAAGTATCACCTTTAGGTCAGTCAGGTACGTGCTTGATCTGGTGTGTGGCTTAGCCTTGAATTTGTTTATGCCGAATCAAGCGCAAGACCCGTCCGTCTGTTGAGCTTCTTCCATTCATTCAACACAACCGAAAAAAGAAAATAGATAATGGCCTCACTCCTTTCCTCTGTTCGAATTAGCCTTAGCCTTCGCGCACAATGCCGCCCACTTGTCACCGCAGCCGCACAACCCGCCACATGGACTCGTAAGGGAAATTATGTTTAAACCAATCGTTCAACATCGACCCCACACAAACTGGAATGATCCCTTTGAAAAAAGCTCTTGAAAGAGAGTAAAGGGATGAATGCATTGAAATCTTGAATCAGTTAATAATTCTTTGTCATATTTTCAAATTAATTCTAGATAATTCATTAAGAGCGGGAGTTATTGCAAGGAAGAAGGGCATGACCGCCATGTGGGATGAATGGGGTGTTCGGATACCCGTTACTGTCCTTCAGGTACGGTGGATATAATAAAAGCAGGAGGAAGTAGAAAATCCATATGGGCTTTCTCTTTTTTCATGTCTCTATAATAGCCATATTACTGCTTGCTTGGATAAAGGAAAGTACCTCACCAGCGCCACCAAACTGACTTTCTGTCTCCTCGTTCTGAGGTGTTACAATACACTTATATTAGATTGAGGATTGCCAAGTTGTTCAGGTGTTGAATGAGGAAACACATGGATATACAGCTTTGCAGATTGGATGCTCAGATCGCTCAGAAAAGAACGTCAACAAGCCTAACTTGGGCCATTTCCAGAAGGCAGGTGTCGAGCCAAAGCGCAAACTGTTTGAATTTCATGTTACCCCCGATGCTGTTCTACCTGTCGGCACTGAGCTTGTTGCTTCACACTTTGTTCCTGGTCAGTATGTTGACTGCTCAGCACCAACGTAAGTCTGTCCCATCAACAGGATGTTGCAGCTATATCCATCCTTTATTTCTTCAAAGTATTAATCATGCCCATCTTGATGTTGCCTACCCTTGTGCTCTTGTGTGGAATCGACTAACTCTGGATTGGATTGACCGGACTGGATTGAATTGGATGAAAATATATATTAATAATTAACATGGCAGTATTGGCAAGGGATTCCAGGGAGCCATGAAGAGACATGGTTTTGGGGGTCAACCAGCATCGCATGGTACCTCTCTCACACACAGATCGTTGGGTTCGGTTGGTCAGCGTAAAGATCCCGGCAAGGTTTTCAAGGGGAAGAAAATGGCTGGACGCATGGGAGGAGACCAGGCTACAGTCCAATCGCTCAAGGTCATGAAAATCGATAACGCTTTGAACTTGATTTATGTCAAGGGCAGTGTACCTGGCGTCGACGACCAGTTTGTCAAGGTTCGAGACGCAGTCAAGAAGCGCGGTAATAAGATTGCGCCTGCTGATACCTTACCCCTCCCCTTCCCCACCGTCGACCCCAAATTAGTGGAGGCTATGCCAAGAGAGTTAGTTGCTAAGACTGGAGGTGCCGACCCCTATGTCATGAAGGAGTAGAAAAAAGATGAAAGAAGAAGCATTTACTTAGAATTAGTATGAATCGTTTTTTTTTTTTTTTTTTTTTTTTCCTACAAACTATTAAAACAATACATTTCACATACATCTGTGCATGTTTTTCCTTTTTGATTAAGCATGTTAATCGTTAATCATGTTAACCATGTCCCAAAGCCAAAGTGCTCATATACACGTATTTATGTGTTCTCAGGATTCGTAGAAGACTAGGTATATTTTACTTGTTATTGATGATTTATTGAAGCATAAACTTTGATGCCGTTGCTATTCGAGTCTCAAGCCTAAGTACTTTCATTTCTTGGTCAATCCCTGTTCTCCTCCCTTTTGCAGTCTATACTCATGGCGGCAATGATATGCTTCTGCCTTTGGTCCCATTCCTTGGAAAAGAAGCGCATGATGGGCGCCACACGCAACTTTTCAGATTTTCTAAACTTTTCACGGACATCATACATGGCCTTAGTAAGATATTGCTGTCGATTCCGAGGGCCAGGATGGGTGCTCTCCCACCAACGCGACTCTGCGTGTTCCTTGAGGACTTTGTTCTGTTCCTCCATCGAGAGGGAGGATGTCGATAAAAACAAACTGAAATCCTTGTGCTCTACGCCCTCTTGAATTACTGCGGCTGCGATAGAATCCCAAGCGGAGGGTGAGAAAGAAGAATGGTCCCAAAGTCTTTCGTGAAGGTCGCCAAAGCCTATTATAGGGAAACAATCAGGCTGCCATAATCCATCGGTTGGCAATGCAATCCGACCATCAGACATGGCATCAGCATTGATAGATACAGGGAATGCCATGTGTCTTGTCGCAACCCTCCAGTCTCTTGATGGATAGAACAGCCCTTCTTGCTCCGAGTATTGCAAGAGTTTGTACTCTTCAAGCCGGGCGAGGATATCAAAGAAGCGAGCAAGATGGATAGGGTCATAACCCGCACAGGCCATGATCCTAAGTGCAACCATATCAGCCTCGCGTTCAATTCCTTGACGCCAATGGTTGGCTATTAAGGCGCTATTGAATGCCGTTGGAAGTAGATTGCCCACCAGGTTGGTAGCAAAAGGCCCTAAACACTTGAGCTTGGCCCATATTACTCCAAAGACGCCCACTTAAGTTACAACAGCAAATAAGAAAGTGACCAAAGAAAGGTAGTATAAGTTAGGACCGGTACAGTATCTTAAAGAAGTACAGTGCCAAAGCTGGATGCAATGACTTACTACTGAGGATATGGGAAAGTGTCTGCTGTCCCTTGCTCTCTTGGATATGGTCCTGGATCACATGAGCAAGTTCATGTGCTATTACAGCAGCGACAAGGTCTTCATTGTAATTAACCATTTTCAGCAACCCATCATAGACGATAATTCTTCTATTAGGCAGGGTTACTGCATTGGGCTCACCGTCTTTTGAGACGTTGATACGTATTGCATCCCTTGGCTTCTTCTGATGTCTACCTTCCGGTTCTGTAATAGTGTCCGATTTAGGATCGGCAAGGTCAGGGCTACTTCCATCACTAGTAATGATGATGGTTTTCGTGTTATTCTCGCCATTGTATTCACAACACTCTACCTTTGCTGAGCCAGCTCTCTCGTAGCCCTTAGGGGCCTCGATTTCCCTGAGGTCACACAGAAATGACTTGAGCGTGACTCCGTCTTCATGGATTGCGCCTTCCACCAAGTTTTTGAATATATGCTCCACTAGTTTAACACGCTCATCATTCGGATCCTTAATAAGTTGGTCTCCAAAGGCAGCATTGAAAGCTTCCTCCTGCAACTTCTCCTCACTTTTTTTTCCATCCTCATCCCATTTTTCCTTGTATTTTTCTTCGTTGTTCTCATTCTTCTGCTCCTTCCCCCCTTCTTGGGAGCCCTGTGAGTAAGTTAGGAAAAAACGCCATCGGCCTGTGTTTGGAGCCCTCTCAACGACGACCACAAGCAGAAGTATTATAAGGAAGATAGGGAAAGACACGAACAGACGGCGTGACCAAGTACTCTTTTGGAACCACTTCTTGTAAGGCAGGAAATACAATGTAGAGGACGCCATGCTGAGAGCAATCAAGGCATTAGCGCCTTCAGCGGTCTTGAAGAGCGTGAGTGCTTCAGGTACAGACTGAGCAGAGAAATTAGACCGGACGGAGCTGTGAAATGAGCGCGACAGACATCTGTGAAAGTAGCGGCTGTGGACAGAAGCAGGGGCGAGGATAGGCTCTACTACTACTAGTCTACTAGGCGAGGCTGAGACAAGCATATTTTGGGCTCGAAGACAGAAATGAGGAGAGTATGTTGTTCCTGATATCAAGGTAATCTTAGATGTTGTAAAACTGAAGCTCTGAGTATATGAGCTCGTTCTGGATAAATATAAAGATGGCATGCCCCATTGGGGGGCAAAAGGGTATGGGACACTTAAAGGTCTCTGAGGTGGATACAAAGAGATTGGCTTGCTCCTGAAGGCTAAATAGGTCCTGGATATTGAGCAGACAGTACTCCGAAAAGAGGACAGTAACTTGGATGTCATCGCAAGCTGAAGCTTTTTTTTTTATTTACAGTTGATAGTAGATAGTGAGCAAAGTTGGAGGACGGTTGGGAAGGCGAGGAGCGCTGATACCATTCCAATTTTATATCACCCTTAGAAAAGACTTTACTAGTGAAGAGAACCACTTCCAGAGATGCACAAAGAACTCTGCTTTTACTCTTTCATCTACTCTCTAAAGGGTATTTCCACAACTCAAAGAGCCATGCACTAACATACGCTACTTCGCCAGGTATATGAACACCACAACCACAACGTAAAAAATAATTTTTGTTTCGCAGGGTCACAAAGAAACTTTGGTGGAATCAGAAAAAAAAATTCCCAACTTGAAAAGCGAGTTGTGATGCATAGCATCCAGCTATTTCTTCTTAACGATAGAGGACCACAGGTTGATATGTATACAATCCAGCTAACTTGAGAGAGGGACAGGGTAGGTCCTAAAAATTAGATATACCCCTTAACATACCGCACGGCATAATATTAAGGTAATAAATAGCTTTCTAACTCAGGCAAAATTGTCGTAAATGACGCCTATTCATTACCTAAATATGTATTTCCTTTCAATTTATTTATTTCCTATCATCCTATTTTCTACCATTTTTAAATAGTATTTAAGTAGCTTTTTCCTTCACTGCAAAAACGGCATCTCACTTCTTATTATCGATGCCCTTTTGCAGGTGAGTTTATCTTCATTATTCTCATTATGAATTCTCAGAAAATTAGCAGTTATTAAAGATCTCTCTTCTTATTATCGATGCCCTTTTGCAGCATCCTCAAAATCATTCAAAGCATTACTTAGGATCACTATCGTATCCCAAAACCACGAGGCTCTTGCCCAATTCTTCATTTTTCATCATTACCTACTAGTTTCCAGAGATCACTAGTAGATGCTCTACGACAAATGTCCTAAATCGAGGCAACTTAAGCTCACGTCCTATAACAAGTGACGTCATGGTAGGTAGGACCAGAGGTATACCTATAGTGGTCACCCCGTCCTGCCTGGACGTGAGCTCAGCCACCCGATCCTCCCCGCTATAATAAATAGTGGACTCTCCGTCCCTGAAGTGTTCCTTACCTTTATCTTGGTACAACACTTCAGGTATGCAACCTCATTGATCTCAGCACTAGTTACTTGTATAGTATTATATGTATCATAAACTAATAAAGACCTTTATCTTGGTACAACACTTCAGTGTGTTCTATGTATTTGCGTCTCGTTGCGGTTTTTAAGGGCATCTCAGTATAACCCCCCGGTTCTTAAGACAGTGATTTTTTCACAAAATATCGTGAAAAGCAAAGTCGCCCAGAGGAAGAGCGCTGGGCTCATAACCCAGAGGTCGGTGGATCGAAACCACCCTTTGCTACGATTTTTTTGTTTTTGCAACCCAGGTGCCAAATATTATTGGCAGCCCATACTTAATACATGTGGTAATTTTGCCATTATTTGGCAGCCTATTTTTTGGAACAGCCACTTAACTTCACACTTGGGTGGCAACTGGGCTGCCAAACAATGAAGTTATTTGCGGGGGGTTATTATTCAGTCTTTCAAACAAAATCCGCCTTTAATTGGTGGGCTTTCTCTCAATAAAAACGTCAATAGACAGGAAGTATTAGGATCGCATAAATACGTTGATGCGTCTCTAGCCGTTTCTGTCACTGGATTGTAGTTGGATATCATGATCAAAAAGGACATTGATCTACAGTGGTGAACCTTTTTTTGTTGGATGTCAACAAGTTCAACAATAACTCCGGTGCTTCTCATCAACACAAGATTGTTCTCAGTGAGCGAGATACGAGAGTTTTTACAGTAAACAAGAAATAGATGCAACTTTGAAGACTCTCTTTGGTAGCTGTCAACACCCTCATGGTTTTCCTGGCAATCTGTTTAGCGTTATTTGGCCTCCATTCCTTGTTTTACCTGTAAAACTTTCGCATCTCGTTTGTTTAGCTCCGCTAGGACTTGGCAGTAGGAGTCGCCTTTAGATTAGCCATTTTTACTTATCAGACAATATTTACCGAAGCGAAGACATACTTTTTATATTTGCTTTGGTTTATTTCACTTCAATTTCTTGCCTAGAAGAGCTGGCTGCAGGCTTTTATAGGAGCTTCCTCTTGAGAGGCTTTTGAGGGAGAGGGTCTTTTGTACCACGTTTAGGTGCCAAGGGTAAGAACAGGCATTGGGGCTTATAGGTACCGGCTTTTATGATTTCATTGAGTCGAACATATTGTGGCATATATCCAACAAAGATTTTTCTCAACAGTTGATCGGACCATGTCTGGCCAAAGACAAGACGAGCCTTCATGGCGCTGTCCTGGAAATGAAATTTAACATGGGGAAAGCGCTGTTCCTTGTATTCCTTAAAGGCTTCGGTAATGTTTTGATATGTGGGTGTCTCTGCAATATCATAAAGGCAGTTGGCAAGAATCACTGCATCTTCTAGAGCATTCACAGCACCTTGACCCTGACTAGGCGACATCTTATGGGCAGCTGAAAAAAAAAAAAAAGCTCAAATAGGTGAGTTTTAGAGATCTCAGAATTCGCATCTTTCCTAATACATTAAATTACATTAAATTACATATTTTAATATTTATCTTTTCTTTTCTTTTTTTTTTTATTACCATCACCAATAAGCACAGTGCGACCGTAGTGCCAAGTATCGAATAGTTTTTCTTCGAGATAAACCTTGGAAATCCGTTCTCTTGGAGTAGCATCAATGATTTTACCCAATGGACCATAAGGAGTTGTAAAATCACGAACCTCTTTGATCATTGCCTCTGTGCCCTGAGGTCCCCATTCGGCCTCATCTCGAGCTGATTTGTCCTCAGATCCAGCATCCTTTGTCAATTGAACCTGGACTCCCCAGCACATCTTGTTCTCTGGAACCGTGAATGTGTGCCACTGGAAGATCAGTTAATACGGGGAAAAAAAAAAAGATACAAGTTTTTAATACTGGGATTAGGGAACTAAAATTAGACCGCCTTCATGTCATCTCCAGATAAAAATGCAAATAAAGAAGCATTACGGTGTGAGGTTTTCCATTTCCAATCACAAAATGAAAGTGTGAGAAATCATCCTTAAGTTCTGGGTAAGTATTGACATCTAATGGGTCTGTGGTGCCAACCATGGTGAGATATCCGATCTTCAAAGCTTGCATATCATTCTTTGGTAACAAGTTTTTCTCCCGCAAGTCCTTGTAAAGGCTTTGGCGAACTGCAGAATAAGTCCCATCCGCGCCTACGAGGATATCGCCTTCATAGGATGTGTTGTCAGCACAAACAATCTTGACATGGGAACCGAATGGATTTTTTTCGATTTCTTCACCATGTTCGATCGAAACAACCTTTTTGTTGAAATGAATCTTATCTGTTGGGATCTGAGCGAGAAGGAGGTCATAAAATTTGGGCCGAGAGAAGACGAGGGGACCATAGCCGATTCTATAGATATAATGAAATGAAAAAGGTTAGGATGAAGAATTAACAAAATCATATGCTTGACTCCAATGCGCTCGTTCTTATTCAATATATTATACATCCTCAATTATCGCTTCATATAACATACGCTTCTTTGACACCCTCATTACTGTTGTGGCGAATCAAATTCAGGTTCTCGTCATAGATGTACATCCCATCCGTTGTGTAGCTGAACTTCATCAAATCATCATAGATTCCAATTTGTTCGAATACGGGGAGGATACTTGCATTGACTGACATGATGGCGCCTATTTTTTTTTGGTTCAAATAGCTTTAGTGACTGCACACGCAGAAAGGGGTTCAAAATAAACGTTGAATGTTCCGGTGAACGTTGTTTTTTTTTTTCTTCTTCTTTACCTAGCGGTTTTACAGTCGCTGCTCGTTCGAAGATGACATAGGGGATCTTGGCACGCTCAAGCAAAGCTCCTAGCAACAAGCCTGCGACACCTGCACCAACAATAAGTACTTTTGGTGGGGATAGAGGAGATGCTGGAGATGCCATGGAGTCCGGTGTTTTTCAACAGTGTAGGATAAGATGATGAATGACAAGCGAATAAAGTTGAATGAAAACAAGGAATGAGAAGGTATGAAAAGGTAGTGAATGAAATGAAATTGTTCTTTTGAGATGAGAATGAGCAATTGTATACAAGTACTCCACTTTTGCCTTTGGGCGGCGACTAAAAACTTGTGCCACATGGACATGAGGATGGCCGGAACACATTTGCATACACGAACCAAATGATGTAGCACAATGAACACAAGTATTAATTGGGACACATGTAAAATAAAAAGTGAAACCTAAACCTGGAGGAAACCGGTTTTAAGATTGATACGTTTCTCAGCAATAGCCAACATTGTTGAGAGGATATCCTATTGTAAAATTATCCGAGATATTAGTACAATGGTGCAACCCTGCACAAACACAAACACATATACAAAAGATCAAGACATTGTTTATATATACTAGGTCGCTATTGACTCTCTGAATCGAATCCAAGTGCGCGATGATGTTCCGAAGTCTGCATATAGAGATAGTATAGTATCGCTGGTCAGGATAATGGTATCGGCCGAATATCTCCGTGATGGTCGTCCTTTGTAAAAAAGTAGTTATAGTGAACATTAATGCAGATATTTACTACTCAGTCTAGATATGTTACTATGCAAGCTGAATCTCATTAGAAACTTGAATAGGACACTGTTCACGACGACACCACGAATCGATCCCGTGTGGGTCCCCTAAAAAGACGGGAAATGGACACGTGATACCAAGGAACAACAATCGCCAGTGCAATGCAAGAAATCGTTTTTCCATGCCTTTGTCTCTGTCATGAGTCGCGAATGGACTATGTCCAGGTGCTCGATAGCATACAGACATTTCAAAGACTGTTTCGTTGAACTCGATAAACCCAGGAGAGCTGTTATCCAGCCTATAGAAATATTTTTGAAATTCCATTTTTTTGTATTTTTTGTTTCTTTTATCTTGCTATCGGAGTGGGAACATGGACAGGATGGTTGACATACAAGTTAAGAGGTGAAGAGAGATAAAAATGAAAGAGGAGGTAAAAAAAAATAAAAAAATCGTCGTAGGGGTGTACCAAGAAAAATGTTAATTTATCATCGAAAAGTTCAATAGCAATCTTTTCTGAATTATTTCTTCAACAATGGCCAGCATTATCGGACGAACGTCCTATCATAAAACCATACAAATGTTAAACTCGTGGTTAAAGTTTATTTTTTTTTTTTTTTTTTTTTTTTTTTTTAAAAAAAGAGGTTGTGTGGTTTGTATTTCCTCGTCCCTTTCGGTCTTATAGCTCGTAAGATCCTGCTCCAGAGTATCCCGCAAATTACACATAAGGCGGGATACTTCTGTTTTAGGCCCTTAAATTGACCAAATTACTTGGCAATCGACGCGTTCTGAATGAAAAAGTGACCCTTTATATTCTAAATAAAGGACGACCAGAAGTTAGTCTTTGCAAAGATTAAAAGGATTCCCATTTGTATCTGATCCATTGATTCAATAAAAGGGGTTTTTCATCAGCAAAATCAACGTTAAACAACATGACATTTCTGGTAATCCAAGTATCTGTATTCAAGCGATGTCAGTTAACCGTGCGTACCCTTTTCCCCAGGCCAGGACTAACAAGTCTCAAAAATAAATCTCTTAATCAACTAGCTTCTGTCTAAAGTTCGACCAGCACTCATTGTCATCACTATGGTAAGGGAAGAAAAGTCTAGACGATGCTTTTGTATTATTTTAATCCAATACTGCTTATTAAAAATATGGTATAAAGAGCTAGGAGAAATATTAGGTCTATACCATCATCCTCCAAGGAATTTTCCTTAATTTTTGTGTTTGTGCATGTGGTCCGATTTTACAGAGCGTTCAAATGATTTTCTGTGCAAGGGTAATAAGATGATGCTGAAATGATATAAAACATTAAAACCTTGAAAACCTTGCTTAAGAGCCTATTTTGGGGTCTTTGCCTTGATCTACATCTTTTTTGTTTCGTGACACCATTAGAGGTTAACTTGTCTACCTGCATCATTATGACAAAAAACAAGCACTAAGGGGAAAATAGTGTGCAAGATGACCCACGGCCACATTTTTTTTTTTTTTTTATTTTTTTTTATTCTTCATGCCAAACTAGTTAGATGGTGATCTCAGAGCAATTACATCTTGCCTTGATCCCCTGTAATTGTCTGTGGATTACGTGCAGGCGATTGGCTGTTGGTGTAATCTCCAGTCTCGATCTTATTGAACGGCTCGTATGTCTCACTCGCTGAAATCGGTTGTTGTGGTGGAGGAGGATGAGGGTATGATTTTGGTGGCGATGCGCTCGAGGAATGTGTCATGGATGGAGACCCCGGTCCGTGAGCAGGCTGCTGATATGCTACTGTTGAATCTGGATAATAGCCAACGGCCGGCAACTGGGCCCCTCCGGCTTCCATTCCTCCGCCTGGAGCTTGCGTAGGAGGCATAGGTTGTTGATAGTATGGATCATAAAGGTCATATTGTTCATACTGGTCCTGATAACCATTATATGGCATATTATTGGGTGGATAGCCTTGATGGTTATAGTCGTAGATGTCGTATCCATCGTTCGCAAGGTGCATAGCGCCGGCAATTGGTCCCGCTCCAATAGCGGCTCCAGTACCACTCATCTCCAAATGTGTCGATGGCCTTGCAACAGAGCTATGAGCAGAGCTAGGCCTTGGTTTACCAGTAGCATTTGAGGGTCCACCTCCTAGTCCTAAAGCCTGAACTTGATCATGACCTTGCCCATGCGAATCCAGTAAGATGTCGAGCCGACGCTTTCTAGCCTTGTTCTTCTTCCGATACCGCATGACAAAGATGCCAACTATGAGTGCAAGCACAAGAACTCCAGCAATACCTCCAATCAGGGGACCGATCACCGATGACTTTGAGCTATTTTTATCATCGACTGTACCGCTGTTGTTCCTCCCTCCATCGGTATTGCCTCCATTATTGCTTCCAGGACTGGGCGCTATTACACTGCTAGCACTCGTCTTAGGAGGGTTCTTACTACCTCTGGTCGTATTATCACCATTCCCTCCTCCTCCACCGCTTGAGGGCTGTGATGGTGGAGGTCCAGGGTTAGGATTAGGATCAGGATTGGGGTTTGGATTAGGATTAGGATTAGGATTGGGATTAGGATTGGGGTTGGGATTCGGGTTAGGATTGGGGTTTTCGCTTGGCACTGGTTTTTCAGGTGATGGTTCAGAAGGTGAAGGATTATCGGTTGTGACTGGAGGTGAAGGAGGGTTGGATGTGGTAGGGGGCTTTGGGGGTTCGGTCGTTACTGGAGGCTCTGTTGGTGGTGAAGAGGGTTGAGGAGAAGTCTCTGTCGGTGAACCTGCACTTGGTGGGGCAGGATCCATGGTATGTTGTATTTGGTGTAGGTGGGTTTTAGATATTTGTTTATCTCTGGATTTCAAAAAAAAAAAAAAAAAAAAAAAAGAAAGAAAGAAAGAAAGAAAGAAAGAAAGAAAAAAAAGGAAATAAATAAATAAGAGGTGGAAGAGAAATAGATCTGAGGAGAGTGGAAGAGAGGGTGATTAAAGGGGAAGAAGGAGAAGGGAGTAGCTGTGCAGAGGAGTTAGAGGGATTGAAAGACTGGAGAGCTTGTGATATTCAGACGGCTACTTGTTGTAAAAGAAAAGAAAAAAGAAGCGAGGATGAGGATGACGATGGGATGGGGACGGTACGTGTCTACTGTATGTGACTAGGGGTGATGAGATGAGAGTGCTATATATAATAAGGGTACGAGACAAGACGCAAAAAAAGGATCGAAAAAAAAAGATATAAATACTCCAAGGAAAGAATATTTATACATATAAATGTCGGACTAAGAACGCAAGGCAAAAGGAAATATATATGAATATACATATATATAATATATATATATATACTGTAAACACGCTTCACATAATATACGATGTGTATCTTCCTCAAGAGGAGGAATGCTATGTTCTACAAGGGGCAACAGGGGTATCCGCTTACCAGTTTATTTATTTATCGAGGTAAATCAAACACATCCACACAAGTTGGGTCAGATGTTGAACTATGCGAACGGACGGGCTGTCTGCATACTGCTCTCTTTTTTGTTCTTTTTTAATCCGGTCTTGTAATGGTTACTGTTGCGGTATACCAATATAGCAGAACCACAAGAAGACAGAGTGAGGCAAGTGAGCAGACGGAGGTGCTTAAAATGATGTGGTCCCCCCTTCTTTCTTATTTTAAATGGACACTTGTACACCTTTGTCTCCTCATCCGTCTATTTGACCCCTCGCCTAATCCTCTTTGCCATTAACTCTTTAGACAGAAATGTCAAGGAGATTCAATGAAACAAGGGCCAAAACATGTATTACACATAAGAAAAAATATGTACAACACTTCCAGTTATCGACCGCATCGTCATCTCAGCTTCAGATCAAGGTACATGTATGTGTAGTACGCATTTGTGCTTTTTTCTCCAACGCCTGAAAATCTTGTGCGTAAACTGATAACATGGTGAGAAATATAGTTGCTTATATATCTCCTTTGCTACTTGTCGATCGAACTGCCTCAAAGTTTAGGAAAAGAATGTATATAGATACATGTATATACATTTGTATTCATGCCTTTACATTTATCCACGCTTAAATGGCCAATGTCTGGTCATTGCTGTTGCGTTAGACTTATTAATTTTTTTGTAAATCAGCAGTCAATCTTTATTTTATATCCGTTGTAATGCGTCATGTGATTTTATGTACCTATTGTGATGACACACATGAGCATAGGAAACCAAACCATCCAAACTATAATTGCCCGTGGTAAAAAACATTTTTGCACAGACTTAAATGTCATTTCATACAATTAAAGATGACTTTGTTGACTCTTCAAGCTCCATTATCCATTCTTTATTTCTTTTCCTTCCTGTTCTTGTTCCTGTTCTTGTTCTTGTTCTTGTTCTTGTTCTTGTTCTTGTTCTTGTTCTTGTTCTTGTTCTTGTTCCTGTTCCTGTTCCTGTTCCTGTTCCTATTTCTGTTTCTGCTTTCTTTTTCTTTTCCTTTTCCTTTTCTGTCTCCGCTCAAGGATTTCTCTATTTCTTTTATTTATCTTAAGGAATACAGTCCTTCTTGTGGGCTCCACTTTGTCATTTTCCTTTCGTTGACTCATTTCAACATTGACATTGAAAATTTAACATCATCCGATCAGTCTACATGTCAAACTCAACATTACGCTCTCCTTCCGTTTCTATGGCTGTCCCTACTCAGGCTGTGCCTCTCCCCACCAGCACCGCTCTCACAACAGCTACAAACACAACTATCAAAAAACCCTCTGCCCTCTATGGCTTCCTTGCCGGAGGTATCGCTGCCTGCGGTGCTGTTACTATCACCAATCCTGCCGAGGTACTAATAGTTATATTGTTCCCCATATTTGATGTTTACTTTTTTGTTCAAGAGGAAGAAAAGGCACTGACAAACAACCTCTGCCCACTTGTATTGCTCTATTTTTGTCGGACTTGTCTACTTGACTCCACATAAATACATATTTCATTATTGCTAGGTAATCAAAACAAGACTTCAATTACAAGGAGAGTTGATGCGTCAGGCACCAGGAACAACTAAGATCTACACCAACTTTGCTCAGGCATTCGTTCATATTGCAAAATATGAGGGTATCCGAGGATTACAGCGTGGGTTGGGATGTGCATACATGTACCAAATCATGATGAATGGAACTCGGCTGGGGTTGTATGATCCCATCAAGCATTCAATTCATCAATTGTTGGGTACAGATCCTGCCAAAAATAACAATGTGGTCAACATTGCAGCTGGCGGAACGGGCGGCGTACTCTCTGCTGTGCTGGCATCGCCGCTTTTTTTGGTCAAAACTCGGTTACAATCCTATTCATCCCATGAGGCCTCTCGAGTTGGACATCAGCACTACTACAAACATACATTCGATGGATTAAGGCACGTTTACAAGTCTGAGGGCTTCCGAGGTTTATACAGAGGTGTGGATGCTTCGATGATGAGGACCGGCGTGGGCTCATCCGTTCAATTACCTTTATATGATGTGGTCAAGCAAAACATGATTGCGGTCGCTGGATTAGAGAATGGAGCGCTTTGCCATGCACTCAGTAGTTTAATCTCTGGGTTCTTCTTGTGCATTGTCATGAATCCATTTGACATTATCTCGACCAGAATGTATAATCAAGCACCAGATCCCATTACTGGGAGAGGAGGCATGTTATATAAGAGCCCGCTTGATTGCGCTGTCAAGACGGTCAAGGCGGAGGGAGTCCGAGCTCTTTACAAGGGGTTCACAGCCCACTATCTTCGCATCGGGTAAGTTTACCGGTTAAAGATGAAAGACAGGAAGCTTCGGGTGAATGAGGGAGGCGGCTGATCAAAGAGGTTTATTATTTACCCAAAGAGTTCACCGCACATGCACTCTTGATTAGCAATCTGCTCTTTTTCTGTACAACAAATATTAACAATTAGTTTTATTGGTTTGATTTTCTTATGTTCTTTGGCTGTGACTTTAGCCCACACACGATTTTCACCTTTGTGTTCATGGAGCAAGTCAGGGCAGTGTTCCGGCGACTCGATCTGTATTAGTAGTACATTCCCTCAGACAGTTAGACAATTTTATGGCATTGATATTATATAACCCTTTTGTTATTTATTTATTTTTACTCTCATGAATGTCTGTATACCCGAAAATAATAGTCTTTTTCTGACCACAATCCACAACAAGGACATAATGAAGACTGGCAAGATAGCGATGAGAGTGTTTTGATAAAGATATTAAATGCCGTAAATGCAAAATAACAATTAAAGGAACATCGAGCAAGAGCATTGGAGTATAGATCGAGTTGTGCACAAGTTGCTGGTATAATTTTTTCTTTTTGAAAATGTTGTACAAAACTGATTATTCAAGAAATTGAAAGGACTAAATTTGCAATTCGTATTAGCTGCGGTGGTATTCCGTTAAGAAGGAGCTGCGTAATATCTACACCATCCTTGCAAATTCCTAATAAATGAGAGAGAGGAAAAGACGAGAAAAAGACATGTCAACTGGATTAGTGGGAAACACAGAATTGGAGCAAGCTATTGAGCGATTGAGCTATTGAGCTATTGAGACATTGAGGAGAATCTAGACTTACTTCACGGTCGATTTGGCCGTCCCTAAAAAAATTTTTACAATCAATGACAAAAAGAGGTTGTCAGTGCATGATTAAATGGCTCATCACCTGTCGCACTTTTTTTAAAAAAAACCTGCCCAGTCATGTTGCTTCAGTCATCACTCATCCATCTTTTTTTTTTTTTTTTTTTTTTTTTTTAGTTACTTATTTATTCATCATTACCTGTTAGTGTCCGCAGCGTCAATCATCTCCTTGATCTCTTCCTTGGACAGATAATCACCTTGTTTGGCCATGACCTGCTTGAGCTCTTGAGGAGAGATGTACCCGTTGCCATCTAAATCAAACGCTTTGAAGATGGCATCGATCTCTTTTTGAGACTTCTTAGTTGGTTGGCCTGTGGGGTCGCAATCGCGACCTAGACCCAATTCATGGCAGGCGTCCAAGAACTCGTTGAAAGTGATGCGACCATCTCGATTTTTGTCTGCACGATTGAAAAATGCCTGAAGATCGTATTCGTCAGGGTTGCGGTTAGAGCTCTTGAGGGCATCCAAGAATTCACCCTCAGTAATGGAGCCATCACCATCCTTGTCCATGCTCTTGAACTGCATCTTGATGTTCACAATTTGAGATTCAGTAAAGTCAGCTCTAGTCTAAAGATGTGTCCATATAGATGCGTATGTGTATGTGGACCATGTTTGAATCAAGAAAGAAGCAAAGTTAGTTTCGTGGTCAACAAAGCAAGGAATTATGAATCATTGTGAGAAATTAAACCAAGGAGACTTGCCATTATGGTGGGTAGTTGGGAGGCGAGTGTGGTGAAGGGTTATGTAAAGATAGTTGGAGGAGTGTGGTGAAAGGTTATGGAAGACAGTTAGAGGAGTGTGATGAAGATGAAATTGGTACGAAGAAAAGAAGAAAAATTATCAAAAAAAATTTCTTTTAAAACGGTTTTTTATTTTGACGTCTAAAATACGACGACAATGAACGTAGGAAAGGAAAAATGTCGTGCATGATTGCTTGGATAAAAGCAAGTTTTCCGTTCAATTTAATATATGTACATCTATATACTTTGTAATATAATTGTGTTCATTGAGAGCATTCTGAACAGTACGTGCAAACAATTATTCATTAATCGATTATTATTTTTTTTACCACCTATTGAATTATGACTAATAGCATCATTACAATTCATTAATAATGGACTTTTGGGATTCCGCGGAAATTTCTATTTAGAAAAAATAGAACCCATTTTGGCCGCAACGCCACAGAGACACAAAGAGAATAACAATAGTTGCTGTTATTTATATACATATAAATATATACCACATGTGAAGCTTTTCCTCTCTCTTTGTGTGTGTTACACACTAGCAATTAGCCACACATGCTTTCAAAAGTCGACTTCTTTTGTTTGCTCAGCCTGTACAGTTCGCAATCGATCTCTTGATGCCACAAAACGCTTTTTTTTTTTTTTTTTTTTTTTTTTTTGTAGCCCCAGAAAATTAGGAAAAGAAAGACAGAAATAGAAGTGAGGCATTTGAGCATACTGCGAAAATGTGAAGAGCAAAGTAATTCTACATCGGGCTATGCAATTAAAAAAAATTTTGTTTTTTACATTCTTCGAATCTTCCATTTTTTTATTAGTTTGAGACAAGGTATGCAAGCTCTTTGCATGTTGTAGCATAAGGGAGCCTTTGTTCATAATATTAATAACATTGTCATAAAGAGATTTCCAAAGCTCCTTTTTTTATCATTTTAGTGGTCCACACCAGAGAGTAATTGTGGTCTGCTTGCTTTGCTGAATCATGAAGTCAGTGCTTTCTACTTGACCAACCTGCCGGGGAATACCTCCTTAATTTGATCTCGGAGGATCGGGATGGGCTTGCTTGGTATAAATGAATCCTTGATGGATTCCATTCTGCAAGTCATCTTGAACTTAACCACCAGGCTAAAGGTTGATCTTCGCCCCTTCGGAAACCCAACAAGTTTACTCTCAGACATGGACCTAAACCTAGCCCTACAGAAAACACATTATGTACACAGGATTAATATTCACATGAATTTGGTTAATACATCAATTGCACTGTTAATAACATTACTACGCAGTTTTAAACCTCTTCAACTATTTATTTATTAATTTTTTTATGTTCATGTAACAATCCAATTATGCACATCATGATAGCTTGCGCTTGAAAGGTTATCATCACTATCTAATGGCCCAATACTCCCATTGTCACCGTAATCGATCTTCAGATCATCCGAGCCTATGCGATGAAGACCTGTGCCATTATTACTATTATAGCTACTATTACCACTGCTGTTAGTGGTATTACACTCAAAGTCCTTAATGCTGGTGCTGTTGCAGCTACAGCTATCATCCTCCAAGTGACTCTCTACAATAGTCGCCAAGGATGGTGAACGCGAATGACGAAAGATCATGTACCCAGCTTGATCACACATCAGGGCTTGTTTTACAACAGGATGACTGACCCGTTGATGTTTCCAATGTGATACTAGAAAAATTTAAAAAATACAGAATACATAAGAAAAAAATGATCACCATTCCTTTTTTTTTTTTTTTTTTTTTTTTTTTACGTACTATGATTCGCCGTGCTTGGCTCGGGTGGGGCTATGGGCAACCCAGACTGGTCAAAGAAACTGGATGCGTCATAGACAGAATCAACACGTGGTCGGACCATGGGAATGAGCCATGGTCCGATACTAGCCTCATCCAGGTCCATATCGATCATCAATGATGCCTTACTGAGTGACAATGTCAGAGCCGAAGTTGAGTTTGCCGCGGCTGATGCGGAAGAGCCTACTGTTGGTAGTAACGATGATGAAGCATGAAGAGGTAGAGATTGATGCTGGTTATGGAGATGCAGCGGCATTTCTGAAGAGATAGACGCGCACTGGTTCACGAATTCCATCATCTGTTGGATCCTCTCCACCAGTTCTGCACTTCCTCCCTGGTTTTGGATAATGAATGGATCCTGGAGGAAAGCAGATTTTTCATTAGACAACAGCGACCAGATAGGGCCATTCGCATCTGTATCAAATTTTGGAAGGAGGCCAGTCATTTTTTTTTACCTGAAGCAGATCATACACGTTAGGCCGGGTCCTGGGGTCTGGAGTCAAGCACTTTGCAATAAACGACCGCATCTCCTCCGACATCCCCAACCCTACTGCGCCAAGTGATTCATTTGCAGAGGATGCAGTGGACTGTAGGCTCTCCCATCCTGGAGTCCTTGATCCTGACTCCAATCCTATCCCACCAAATTTAATCCCACCAAGCCTATCAACGATATCAAATGCGGGTGACGATAACGCTATTTGTTGATGACTCACAGGTTTTTGTTCATCGAGCATTGCCAGGAGTAACATTTCTGGCCTAGGTGGACGGCCTTGTGAGAGCTCAATGCAAGCAATCCCTAAAGCCCAGATATCTGTCTCTGTGCTTGCTCTTGGTGTCCACGATGAGCTGTTTGGGTTTTCAGTATTATTGTTTGTGTTGTCATGTCCTAATGGGCAATTCTTGACCCTTGTCCCAGAGATTACTGAAGGACAACAGACTGCAGAGTTGTTGAGCTCAGGTGCTAGCCAGCTTACTGGGAACTCGGTCATGGCCAATGATCGTCGACGGCGCTTACGCTCCCCTGCACCTTCTTTATGATTCAAGACTGTGCCAGAGCCGCCAAGTTTGACCTGACCATCCATTGTAAGTAGAATGTTACTGAAGAAGAAGAATGGAAGAGATTTAAGGAATGAAATTAGGATTTTATCAAAGAAGCCTTCCAAAAAAAAAAAAAAAAAAAAAAAAAATACCCAGCTTTGATGTCACCATGAACATGGTCCTTGCTATGCAGGAATGTAAGCCCTTGAAGAACCTGGCTCATGATCCAGCCGATCTCGGACTCTGTTAAAGGCCCATCTGAGAGTCGAATGAGGTCAGCAACTGATCCTCCGGCACAAAATTCCAATAGTAGCTAAATAATAAGGCCAAAAAAATAAAAGCTTTCATGGTCAAACTTAAGAGCAATGACTGATGATATAAAGATGGCGTGTTGATGCAAACAAACAAACAAACCAACTCTGCCTCTCTTTCTCACATCCTTCTTTTTAACCCAGTTTCCGAGTGGATCGACTTTTCTATCATGGTGATACCATTTCTACACTAGGCTAGAAAAAAAATATTGCTTACCCATAACTCACTACCAATGAGAAAACAGTCCTGACACTTCATGACCTGATTATAACCCTTTTTTCTTGCGATTTTTGAAGCTATCATTGATGATATTGGCCAGTTGTTTGACGGCTGTCTGTCCAAACATCTTGTTCCTTCTTGCCTTATTTTACTCTTGCTGTTATCACCGCCATCATCAGTTATGTATTCTTCCCTTACTACTTCGTCGCCACCTTGTCCCCAATCCTCGTTATGATACGCAATACTGTTAATAAAAGCATCAACATCTGCTTGAGCAGGAACGTTACTTTCTAAGCTGTCACTCAAGGTCAATAATGGAATCTTCTTGAGAGCTACCGGTTTCATTCCATCTAATCTGTCCAATGCCTTGAAGATTGAGGATCCACTTGAGCTATTTTTTTAACAAAAGAGGTCAAATATTTAAAAGGGGTGCGCACACATGAACACGAATAAAAACCGTAAAAAGGTGTTAATAAGATGGGAGCATTAACAAAAAATTCGGAGGTTTTTTGTCTTGCATATTTGCATTGCATTTTGGGGTGGTTTTTTTTTTTTTTTTTTTTTTTTTTTTAAAGGTTAGATGATAAGAAGCAGGAAACAGTCTCGAGAGTGTACAAGGAATGATTAAAGTAATTTTAAGAAGAAAGCATGCGATGAATAGAGTAAGAATGTGTAGTGCCGTTTGGTGTGTCTACTTTTGATGCATGGAAACTGACAGCTAAGAGGACGTACCCGGATCCAAGTTTTTCAAGAATCTGGAAGCGAGTTGTTGGATCTTTCTTCAAAAGATCAATATTCTTGCTCTCTTTGATCCCTTTGATCTCTTTGATCTCTTTGGTCTCTTTGGTTTCCCTGACCTCTTCGACACCGCTGCATTTTTTGCTTCCATTGGTTTGCCGTGGTCCTATCTCGTTTAAATCTGACTGCGGAAAACACTCATGTGCTGTTGGCATGTTGGCAGTAGAGAAAGAGGGGGTTTGTAATGGTGGCAAAAGTGAAACGGGAGGCAAAAAGGTAGAATCAAATACATAGTGAGAGTTGGAGAAATGGACACCGTACGCCTTTTTCTTTTTGTCTTGTACTATTCTAGTATCATCCATCCTTCTCAGTTGGTCACCCCTGTTATCAAATTGTTGATACTGCTGACCGTTGTACTGCTCTTGTTTATCTTTGGAGCACTCAGCATAGTGGTGGTGACGCGGGTTGTGTTCATCTCGTTTGTTTATGTCTTTTCCATTCATCTCTTGCCCTTCTTCTTCTCCCCCCCCTACATCTTTTTTCCTTTCTTCTTTCACTTCTCCCTCCCCACCATCGCCTTGTATTCCATATGATGCTTGAAAAGCCGAATGCCGAAGTAACGTTAATTCTGGTGATACTGTTGATACAGGTGTTGTTGTGGTAATTGCTTCTGTACCCGCATGAATTGTATCACTGCTTCCGCCGTCTTCTGCTACCCTTGTGCAACCCAACAATGCGGGCCTCGGCGCTGGACCCATAACAAGCGGTTCTTTCGTCTCATGTTCATGCGGTTGACGGGGTTTCTGATCACCCTGAAGGTAGCAGCTGTTCTTGTGTTCATGTCTGTGCTTGTGTTCGTCACGCTCGTGTTGTTCGAGATGTTCAGTGCGTTGCTGCAGTTGCTCAAGGGTGTCAACGGATCCAGTTAGTAACCATTGCGCATTGCTTTTATTGTTATTTTTGTTATCACTGTGGCAATCGGCGATGTTTGAATGCGTCGAGACCAAAGGTAGGTGTGATGGGGGCTCTAATACGTAACAGGATGTGGGAGAGGGAGGCGATGTGGATAATAAAGGCGAGGCGTCAACTTGCTCCTGCCACTGCCCGGGCGTCGTGTTCGCGCGACTAGTTTTAATGATGACACCCCCTAGGTCAACATCGTCCGAAGAAGACCGATTGCAGCAGACAATAGTATCAATGATATTATTTGGTACTGAAGCGTAAGCTTTCTTCTGATGTATCTGAATTGGGAGTGACGCTATTGTTGGTACTGTTGGCGCTGTGATATAGCCATCGTGCAATGGTTCCATGGGTGTAGATTGCGACGCGCGGCGCGTAGGGGAAAACGCTCTGCTGATATACAGTTTTAGCGACGATATTGAGGCTAGTTTAGGGTGTCCATTTTTATTTGGCTGTGATGGTTGTTGCTCACGATGTGGTGTAGGCTTTTTTGAGCTCCGCCTTGACCATGGACTTTTCTTTTTACTGCCGTTGCTAGTGGAAGGGAGTGGGGATGAGCATGGTGCTGAGGATAGAACCCGTTCATTTCGTGTGGATTGTAGTGCTGGAGGCTGGACCAAGGCGGAGGCTGAGACTGGGGCCGGAGCTGAGGTGAATGCGCTGCCGCTAGTCCGTTGGAAGGAGGTGTTTCTTTGACTGAAAGGAAGAAAATTTAAAACCCGAAGAAACACAGGCGGCATGATGTTTGTGATGGCATAGCGTCGCTGCGGAGATGCAGCTCGGTAAATTGGGCGCGGTTGAGCGTAGGAAGGAAGGGCAGAGGGAAGAGGAAGTAACCGAAAGAGTGAATGAAGGCAACAGTTAGGGGAAAAAGTGGGAGAATGAACCAAAGAAAGGAGAAGCAGAGAAATGAAGTAAGCGGGTTTTCTTTGTCTTCGTGAGAACAAAGTAAGCAAAACAAAATGTAGTAAAGTAGAAGTAGCAAAAGTAGCAAGCAACTGTACTGAGCCCGCTTCATTTGAAGGAAGGAGGGAGAAGAGGGGCTAGACTAATGGTGCTGATTGAGAACAGATGTAATATTTACAAGTGAAGTAAATTAAAAAATAACCATATCTTAGGTCGAAGCGCAGAACAGAACACGTTGTTTCCTTTTCCTGGATGGGTTTAGGCGAAGCAAACAATAGTAATACAATAACGGATTAACGAATTGATGTGCTCAAAGACACATTATTACAGTAAAGAATGATGGGATTGAGATCAATTTATGCACGTGAGCAACGTGTAGATGGAGAAAATTTGCACTAAACGCGGCAAAATATTAAATTCACGTCTGGACAAGGACACAAAGGTTAAATAAAATAAAGTAACAATGCTCAATAACGACAATGAGATCCTCATGCAACAAAAAACGAATGATCAAGGCAGATCAAAATGAGATTGTTCATGGGGCCAAGAACATGAGTAAGGAGGATTGTTTATACACTTATCCATTCATCCATACATTGTTTGTGTACAGGGTCTGTGCGAGGATTACTTCTTTTTCGGCATCCTCCTTCTTTTGCGTTATTCCAACGTAAAGCCTTACTTTTAGAGGATGCGCCGATGCTGCTATTCAATGACTACATGAATATGAGCGTACAGAAAGGAAGAACCACTCTCGCTAGTATAGGCAACCCCCTGCTCTCTTTTACATGTTATTGGTGCACAAATCCTCAACATTTCACTCCTTCATCACAGCCCTCATTTCAAACACACCATGCATCCCAATAGTTTCTTAACTCTTGTATCGAGGGGCAAAAATGGTTTGTATCTTCTCATTCCTCCTTTTTTTTTTGTTTGTTTGAAGCAGCACCTTTGGCTTCTAAATCCCCTTCTTAATACCCACATATCCAAATCCACTTTCCAGTTCTTGTCTGGGAATGTTTCTTAGAGGAAGGGATGTAAGAAAAGATGAAAAGAGCCTTCCACTCGCTTCTGTCATTGTTAAGTCAGTTTTTTTTTACTGTCTCTTTCTTGTCAGGATGACAAAGCTTTCAACGCTGAAGAGGTACACCAAGTCATTCTTAGTTCTAGGCTCTATCTTATATATTGATCCCACCCCCTCGAAAAAGGTCGTAGACTTCACTAATAGAAAAATAACTTGTGTCCATACGTGCACCCTTTTGGCTTATACGCGCTGCACTCAACTCCTGGATGGCCACACTTCATTTTATTGTTTTTCGAAGTCAGGCTGCCAAGGATGCGATCCGATCACCGTCATATTTCCCCTTCGCTCCCTTATTTTTCTCCTTCCCCCTCATTCCTCCTTTTCCCTTCCTTAAACGAAGAGCCTTCCTTTACCTTCATAGTTTGGACACACAAGCACACGCGTGCATGACGCTCACTGCAGAACATGTGTCAGCTTCCCGTTATCGGTCAATATCAAATCGCCGACATGCTATTTTTTTTTTTTATTTTTTTTTATAATCTCATCTACTTTCCTCCATCACTCACATTATTTTCTTTTCAAAGATTTGGTGGGTGCTTTCTAGTATGATTGCACACGCGTCTATATGAGAAAAGCACGCGTTTTGGGCACCTAGAGACTTGATACTGACTGAAAGGATACAATAACGGAAAGCTTTATCACCCCCCCTGTATTTAGATTGTTGTATGGAGCGCCACATTGAAACGTCTCTCTTTTTTTTTTTTTTTAAGTCTATGCTTCCGATTCTCAACCGACAACAGGCATAGCCATATTCTAACAAAACTGGGAAGGAGGAATAAAATAGACCAGGGGCGTCTGGAACATTTTGGGTTTGAAGCTTTGCATGATCTTTTGCACATGGATCAGTGGGAAAATTCATTTGTTGCACAACGGCGCCACTTTTGCAGTGTTGAACCTCATTATTTTTTATCACCGGATGAAAAACATTTTCTGGCTTTCAATTTCCCGCTCTGTCCCCTTCTGCTCAGCGACTCGTTAATTACATGAAAGTTGGCAGACCAATGGGTTCAAAGTAGGCAAAATATGTAAATACAGTATCAACCATAGACAAGAAAAAACTATAAAGTTGGTCTTAAGATCTACTAGAAACATTGAGGAGAATATCTACCTCAAGGATAAGGAGAATGAGACCACACCCCAGAGTTAAAAGGTAGTGCCCATGTAATATTGATCTTTGATGTGATACGATTGAAATGGGGCCAGACAGCAAAATGCCGTTTAATTTTTTAAGAATGACCCGATCTCTTGCGGTGTTGCTTTCAAAAAATCTATCGTGAGCTGCTACAGCTGTCCTAAATTATTATTTTTATCTAAGATCTAACCCCGGTGGATTTGCTCTAATAAACACAGCCAGAAGGCACCTCACCTGCTACGCTCCTATGTAATGGATATGTGGATATCAATTGCAAGCAACTGTGGAACTCTGTTTATTTTCGGTTGTCTGTAAAGGAAGAGAACAGTTATTTGTTATTGTGTATTATACATCTAGGAAACAGAGCATGAAAACTGATTGTACTACAATGAGCTGACAGGACTTGTGTTCGTTGCTACAATGCCACGGAAGGGAGATCGCCTTGGTAATATGGGAGGGGAATCTATTGATACCAGGGATGCAGGGGACACAGGAGATACAGGAGATAATGCTGCAGAAGATCCATCTCGACTTAGTTCATTTCTATTCATGGCTAGAGTTGTAATTGAATCCATCAAAGTAGTGGTAGCACTATCCGTCATAGCCGTAGCAACCGAGGCTTCAATTGCCATTAAGTCTTCAGGCCCATCGCCGGCATTATCACCTTTTGCGAATTCCAGTATTGCCATGTGATCATCTCTCCTCGTTATGGTCGTGGTTTCAGTTGGTCCATCTTCAAAAATATGGAAAGACTCGTCTTCTAATAAAGACGCATCTAATTTTGGCATTGAAATATATGATACTCGTGAGGCTTGTGAAGCTTGTGATACCATAGTTGCTCTGTGCAGCGATGGTTGCGCGGAGCCTTCGGGACCTGTTATTATGGATGGCTGGCGACGAAGGCTGCGTTTCGGGGGTGGAAGGGATCGCGATAATGGAGATGGTACATCCGACTTCCCAACGTCGTTCAATTGGCCCAGTGGGCGTACAGCTGCCAGGATAAGGTCACAGTTGCCACTAATTGGCTCCGCTACGGCCGTGGAGGTTGGCGGTAGCTCTGAATTCGTTGCAGCCAGGATGGTGAGCGAATTCAGCGATATGACATCACTCACAATAGTATCATCGGCTGCGATAGTAGTGGAGGCTATAATACTTGCGGTTGTATCTTGGGATCCAGACGGTAATAGCTCTGACTCAATCAGCTTGGATTCTTGGTCGTTGCATTTCTGTTGCTCCTGCTCCTGAAGCTTTCCTAATCGCTCTATTTCCTGCTTCCGCCTACTCTCCTCCATTTCCAGATCAATGGCTAACGCAAGTTCATCAGGAGCTATGATATGTCGTAATATAGCTCCATTCGCATCTCCAGTGACTTGGGCAGGCTGAGAATGATGTTGTTGTCGAATAAGTGCAGGGGCAATACATCGCTGTGGTTGTGAATAGAATCTTTGGTCTTGAACATGTGTCCCCCAATCGTTCTTGATTGTATGTATAGGTGCGGTCGATGCCCTCGACGGCCTGAATTGCAGACCATGCTGCTGCTGCCTTTGTCCCTGGTAAGGTATTGGCAGCTTTTGGCCCGACTGTTGAATGAATGATGATTCAAATGCAGCAGAGGGGTCAGCGCTAGCACTCCCATTTTGTCGATGCATTAAAATGACACGCTTCTGTGAATAATCAATGCTTGCTAATTGATAAGCCTCATCTAGAATGGAGACTGAGGGTGAGCGTGCCCTTGAGGCCAGGGCCCTTGGAGATGATGCTAAGGACGACGGCGCAGCAGAGTGAGGACCCGCGCCAGTCGGCCTTGTATCCACGGAATAATGACCCATCGATGTAGGTTCATTGGGCAGACAGGTCATGGACTTGGAGAATACCTTATTGTGTTTCTTGCCATTATCGCTTTTCCTGCTAGGAGAAGATTTTTTGGAAGGTGGTGAAATGAGGACTAGATTTTTGAGCATCGGGTTGTCTGCATCCAGAGCCTGGCTTACGGCCCTCTTACTGCCATTACTGGCTTTCTCTGCTTTCCTTGATTCACTTCCACTTCCACCGTATACTGACCACAGCTTCTTTGCCTTCTTTGGGTTCGCTGATGCTAGTACTGATGCTGCCGTGGGCGAATTGCCTTCCTCATCAACTGATGGAAGGTAACATAGGTCGTCGTAATCATTATCCGTACAATAGCTCCTACTAGTGCTTATTTCCCTACCATCAATATGGTTAGTCAGAGAGCAGTTACTGCTTTGGGCATGATTGTCGTTACTTCCGTTGCTGCTCTTCTTCTGATCATGGTGTATGGTTGGTTTAGCATATCCAATCTCGGAAACCGTTTCGCTGATCCTGGCGTCGTTAGTTGCGTCCATATCACCTGTGATCGAATCAATCGTGGAAATAGATACTGAAGATGCCTCACTTTGGGTACGTTTATGAGATGGAGTAGTGTCCGCCTCAATGGCCATGGAAAACGGTATTCGGGATGGTGTAGCGATAGTATTGTCACGGCTACTTGGGGTAGATTTCATGTATGACAGCCTTGGTGATCCGAGTGGTGAGCCAGGGTTGCTGCTTGATGGCGGAATGCCGCCTGAAAACAAAAACAGAAAAGGGCCCGTAGGTGTTAGCAATCTACCTGTACGGCTAGCTGTTGGTTGGCTGCAAAAGGAGCGGCGGGAACTTACCAATCTCTAATAGTATCGACTGCCCTTGCCCGTTTATTCGATAAGGGCAGATTAGTGGACTTTGAGGAGTGCCAATGCTGCTGTTGCTGTATTGGCACGAGGATTGCTCTTCTGAGAATGAAGGCGACGTCGGATGGCGTCCACCTTGACCTTGGTTTCCGCGGTCCATCTGGGCCCTCACCTCCCCCCCTCCCTGATGGTATGAATCAGTAATTGGGTGATAAGGTGCTAAGCCTTTTTTAGAAGTGATAATAGTTACCATCTTGCTACTACTACTAATAGTACCGCTGTTTCCAGTGAGGATGCCAATCTCCGAGAAACTCGAATGTGCAGGAGGGGAATCAGTGTAACTGGAAGCTTTACTTTGAGTATAGCTTCCCGAATGGCTGGTTGGGACGTCACTGCTGTGGATGCGATCCTCGTTATGGGTTGCAATTGGACTTCTTTGTGGGGACAATGGTAAGCCTATACTTTGTTTGGCGTCATATACCAGTAGCGGATGATCAACACTGAGGGACGTGCTGCTTGAACTGAGATTGTTGACGCCACAATTGGTATCAATATTCAGTCGATTCGTCAGTGATGGTGTTGAAAATGGACCCCAGCCATCGAGGTTGTCGTCAAAGCTAAGTTGCATTTCTTGAAACGACCTCTGCAATAGGTGTTGGCTAGCAGGATAGGATGGGCTCGATGGATGCTCCTGGACTGGCATAATTAATGTAGAAGGGTCGTTTATATCCGACAGGGTTGGATCTTCGAGCTGTAGACGCTCTAGGACTTCGTCAATAATGTTTCGCTCTTGCTCTTGCTCTTCTGGTGGGTGCTGCAATAATGAGCACATGCTATCACTCCTCTTCCCTGGCCCTGGTAGCCCCCAGGTTGATTCCATGCCCAATGGGTTTAGGAAATCACCGTTTAGATGTGCCAAGGCATGATTGATATGTCCCTGGATCGCATCCAGCCAAAGATCCAGAGCCTGAGCTGTTTCAGCATGGAACAAATGATGTTGATTTTCGTTCGGCATGGGTTCTACAGATGAAAGTCGGAAAACGAATTTGGACTTCCTAGATACCTCGTGCCCGTATGAAAGGATTGAATAGTCGGCTAAGTGCAACACACCTAGGGGCTTTGTGTCCGTCTAAAGTTTGTGTCAATTATGTATATAAGTTTGAAGATTCTTGTTTTTTTATCACGGTTGGTACACCAAAAGACTAATGGAAAGCAAGGACGAAAAGTAGATGAACATTACATTTGACCGATAGTAATAAAAGCACCCATCGCGTAGAACACACCATCGTCGCTTCCAAACAAGTTGCAATGAAGATGAACGCTTTTGCAGCCATTCCTCCAGTATGATCCGCTCATCAAATCGATTGCTTTGGCATTGAAAAATGGCTTTAAAGGAGGCAACACCTGATTTGTCTGTTTGGGCCCGTTGTGTATGTGTATGCGCATGGTGATATCGACTGCTCATGGGATTAAGGTGATGGTTTTCGCTGTCAATGTGTGAAGAAGGAAGAGGTGTGTGATCATGTTTACTTGGTTTGTTTTTGCTGGACTGTTTCGAGCCTTTTTGGCTAGGAATGCTACTGTTGTGGTCAAGTGGGGAGGAAGTTTCATTATTGTGTTGATGATGGCCTTTGAAAAATGAAAAACCTTTCATCCCCGAGTGGGATTTATTATGATGGTCCATGTTTGCCCCTGATGATATTGATGTAGTTGACTTGTAGTTAAGGTTGGTGGTCTGTAGTTGATATTGCGACATGGAAAGGATGCTTGAGCTCTGCTGTACAGGTGGGATCATGAGCAAGTGTTAGAAAGACTAGAGTGAGAAGGAATATCGAGGTGAAAAAAAAAAAAAAGACCTGGGTTAGGATCCCGATCATGAAATAGATGAACAAGAAGAGGGGAGAGGGTGTCAAGTGGATGGACACCACTCTGGTGCCATGTAAACTCCTTGCTTGGATAGTGGATGAGGATAGGTGGGTTAAGGATGTTGATGGTTGGTGTAACTGTCAAAATGAGATTCATCAAAAAGAGAGGCAAATTGCTCTTCATCTGCGCACACCCTCATTCCACAATAATTTGTAAAAACGTAGCAATTGTAACACGAGGGCAAGTTTGGACCCTGAATGGGGCATAGAAGAGTATGAAATGACTAGAAAGAGAAAGTGCTTGCCCTTTTTTTTTTTTTTTTTTTTTGAAAGGCATAGGTCGCATATTAAGAAGTATAATAGAAATATATTAATGTCAAAAGTAAGGAGAAGGATCTACAAGCGATGTCCATTCCTCGTTTATCAAAAAAAAAAAAAAAAAAAAAAAAAAAAAAACGTAATACAACAGGATGGTTATTTCCATAAGAGAGCGGAATGCATTCACATCGTTAAAGAGAGGAATGAGAGAATGCATCGCTTTTGCATGTTTAGAATGAGGGCCATGGTGGAGGCACCAACACGCAACGTGGACCTTGTAGGGTACCATCAGAGAGGATGAAATGTATGTAATATAGAGTAAGAAGGAAAGCAGGGCTCCTCAGTTGGCATGGCATAGGACATGCAATTCCATAATTTAATTGACACACAGACAATTAACGCTGCAATCCTTGGCATGGTTTGGTTCGATAAATCACACCATCCGGCTGTACCAACTTGGAAACACAAAAAAATCAGGCACAACAAGTAGGACATCGACTAAGCTGTTTATATACAAGCAAAGTAAAAACACTAAACACACCCTCTTATCGCCTCTCTTGCCTGGACGATATGAACACAAAAAAAGAGCTATGTATAGATGCTAGTGTATGATTCTCGCGCAGAGGTATGTATGGCAATATGAAGGAGTAGTGCGACCGATTTGATCTATGGCATCTTTTTTTGGTAGCAAGAAACCTTCAAGGATGTATTTCTTACGGATTGGTATACAGTTTGGCCACAAGGGATATCTTTCTTTGCAATTGAAACAGCAGTGGGCGTGAAAGCGCAAGGAAGGGTGCAGATGTCGATAATCAAAGCGCGAGGGGCAAAAGGGTCAGAATAATGAGCACGAGAGTAGATGCAAAGTATTAAGTGAAAGACAATGGGTGTGTAAAGGTGTGATTAAGTAATTCAAGACAAGTCAATGAGATTGCTAAAAAGCAACAGAGTAGGAGTTATATGAGTCTATGACTGTCGTTGTTGATGTTGCTGATTTGAAAGGAAGAGGATTGAGAAGAGAAGTAGAAGGAGCGATCGAGTGAAAGAAGAAGAGGGTGGGGGAAGAGAGTGAAGATCGTTTTTTAGAGAGAAGAGGGGTAACGCTCTTATGGAACCGCATAAACATCAATAGCGGTATATAAATCATGGTCAATGAATTCTTGTCAACTTGGCTAAGTTGAACATTTTAATGTGCCGCCTGTAAACAAATGGATACATACACATATGCCGCATGATTTTTATATCATGGTTCACCAAAACAATAATGTCTTGCACCATTTCTTCCCTGTCTGTCCCTTACATGAGATGTACAGGAGTGTATACGATGGTCCCTTTTCTTGTGTTCCCAGCTTCTTTATTAACGCTCTCCACTCTGCTGCTAGTCTAATAAACAACCTGTATCACTGTGTCCCTCCTCAGTCTTCGCCGATACGGCTTGGGTATCCGGTTCTATCTGGGTTCAAATACCCCAACTTACTCTTCTCTGGATGGCCTAGGAAGGGTAGCCTAGAAATGTGCCTTATCTTGACTTTTTTCCCCTCTATATCCTCTAGCATCTTTGTTTAAACACCTGTTCTTAGCTTTTTTACTCAGTGTTCATGTAAACAACTCCCTCGTGGCATGCAATGCGTATTGAATATGCCCATGTGCGCAGCTTTGTGGGCAGATTCGTCATAACCGACTTAATAATTGCGCCAGACAAAGGCGAGGTTTATGACAAAGCATTGCAGCTTACAACTCATTGCTTGATTGTGGTGGTGTCAAAAAAAATGAGCCCTTGTCCTGAACAGTCAATCACCTCATTATTTTTTCTTTTACATCTTTTCTCTTTTTTACGTCGATCGATGCATGCATTTTGTTCCTTTTTTTTTTTTTTTTTTTTTTTTTTTTTATCATACCCTCTTTCTCTGTGGTACAATCGGCTACAAAGCCAGTCCATCAATATGTGTGTTATGATATCCTTACCAATAGTTTTGGTCTCTTGCCACGTTTTAATTTGGCCCGATTCAAGCTGCTCTTTTGCTCAATGTAGACAGGCCAATATTTCCTTTAAATGATAGGAAGCAGCAAAGGAGAAATGCATTTGAGGGGAAAAAAGAATATTGAAGCGCTTGTTGCAAGATCCGCAATATGTCAATTGATATATAAAAATATTTGTATTTACTTATTGTCATAATAAAATAAAACGCACGCCTCGCATGGAAAGAGTTTTTATACACAGAAGGATACATGTTCGAACATCGTATTAAAAAAAGTTATATCTATAATATTCCTAGTTATTTACTCATTGACATGCAGACATACTTGTAAATATACATGTAGACTTCTCGTCTATTCACACTCAATAACGCCATAGCTCACCTCTCTTCAGACGTTCTTTTCTTTTTTTAGAAAATACCAGATTAATCAAGAGGATATTGAGCAAACACGTTATTTCATACATATATACGGGCGATATGCCTCACCTGGAAAGATAATGGAGAACAAAGATGTAGATAGATGGATAGATAGAGGATAACTTTAGATACATATATTGAAGAGAGGACTCTATCTATTACTGTGTGCGCAATGATGAGATGGATTGAGTTATCTGTTCAAATACGATATACGTAGATTCTCTGTTTCAGTGTATAGATTTGCTGTGTACAACGGTGACGACCTGATCAAGCCAAACAGAGAGAGAAAGAGGTAATTATTCAACAACAACGCAATAAGATTACAATAGACAGTAACAGAATCAAAGTGAATATTCAAAGTTCAAGCAGCGATGTTGGTTGCTCTTTCAAGCCAATATCTGAAATTCTGAAAACAAGATGGTGATGGCTCTTCGAACCATGCCACATGCCACGTGTGGGCCAACGTTCCTCAAATTCCCTCAATTTGCTTCCTTAAGACAAATGCTTCCCACATGTTGAGCTTCCTCTTTTTTTGAGTTGTCTCTCAAAGACCCCATACTCAAAAAACATCAGCTTTTTTAATTGCAGATCACCCTAAATATAATTTTATACATATATATATAATATATATTATATATATACAAATATATTATATAAATATATATATATATGTATATATACATGTTTATTCCAAGATACATGGATTCATCTTCCGCTCAGGAACTTTCGAGTCTGCTCTTTTAAATGATTGTTTGCCGTTTTGTCTAAAAAAACAAAGGTACAGATTTATTGGAATGTTTGTGTGCAGCAAATATTTTATTCTATTTCTTCCTAAAGAAGGTGTATGTCAATATGCATGCGCTTGTGTGGATATTGATTGCATTTGAAGTAAAGGACATTGCATTTGGATATTTCACAACGCCCATTGATGATGATCCGAGTCCTCCTCAGTATTATTGTGATAGGAAGCGTGTAGGTGAAGCGACTGCAAGAACTCATCCATTACCCGAAGCTCCTCCTCCTCTGTCGCAGTGAATTTAGAATTAGACTCCATGTTAGTCACAGTATTGCCGACAGGTACAACTGATTTAGTTATTGTGGTTGTGATATGATTGTTTACATATCGTGATGCTACACTGCTTAGAGAGCCATCGCTTAATGTTGGGCTATGGGCATCATTTTGGATAGTTGGCAACACTACCATTGATTGAGGATTTGTTGCAATGCCTTGGGTGTGAGCTACCAGGGGTTCCGATAGCAATGAAAATGATGGGGATACTGCTTGTGATTTCATGATCAAGGTGGGTTGGAGTGGACTCCAAGCTCCGCATGTAAAACCATCAAGATCTTCTGGGTCTAAATTGATATATTGGGCCATTATATCCTCGTTCGCCCATGCCGGGTTGGTATAGAATGCATCACTGTGGTGACTACTACCAATACCGCCGTTGCCATTATTGCTGTTACTGTTATCGCCGTTGCTATTAGCGTCATTGCTGCCGCTACTGTTGTTAATCCCATAAATATTCAGGGTAGGGGTCATGCCAAGAGCTTGTAGATTGGGGAAAGAGTATCCTTGAGACGCGCGCATAGTTGTGCTTTGGGTGGCGTTCGCGTTGATTGCAGGCAGTGTAGTCAATGGGAAGGGGTACACTGGCTGGCGATTGGGATAAGTCGGCTGAAGGATGGGGTAGTTTGTGAGGAGGGTTGATTCAGAATACAAGGGCATCGCCATTTGCGGCATAGTCACCGGCGTTGTGGCAATAGCTGATGGCGCGTTATGAGACCTAGTTAGCTCGAGTAGCGCATCTCGGAGGCCTCCTGCTTGGTCTACTTGGTTTAGTCCTGGGCCCTGCTCATGCTCATGCATGTGACCATGATTTTGAGCTAGGCTAGGGACATACATCTGCCCTCCGAGCGATGAAATCATCAATGAGGATCGCTGCACCAATCCAGTGTAGCCTGAGGATGAAGAATGTACACCGGGAGAGGAGGAAAGGGAGCGGTTAGTGAGGTCATGACCGTAGAAAGACGCCCCATTATCTTGTGGGCTCGGTAGATCATACATAGAGGTTTCTGCTGTGGATATGGTTCTCTCCGGATCCAGAGTTCCTCCAGAGCTGCTTTTCTGATTCCTATGTTGTTTCCTCTCGGTCCCGCTTATGGAAACTTCACTATTACTGAGCCCTGTTAAAGCGCTGGCACCTCGATTAGTTTTGCTATTCTTTTTCCTCCGCTTGTGAACATCAGGATCATCTTGATCCTGGGATCTCTTCTTGATCCTAGTCTCAGATATTTTCTCTGCCTTAATCCTTGTGGTCTGCATGTACTCCGGGACGACGAATAGAGACAGCTCTCGTCTATCCTGTGCTCTTTTAGACAATCTACGAAGATTCCTTGTTAAATGTGCTAGCGAGTCTGGCCTCCACGGCTGTGTAAAAGCCCTATTATGCAGTTCAGGCGCAAGGCTCTTATCTATAGTGCTGGATCGGATCTCGTAATAGAACTCTTTGTGGTTCTTCTTCAGGATTTCTTGGTCTTTCTTTGGCTTGCCACTAACGATAATCCGACCCTCTGTATCAAGCCATGGAGATGGACCTAAGATCCATCCATAGGCCTTTGCCTGTGTATCACGACGTAATCGTTGTTGCTCCGGCGGGTCACGACTCTCACAGGTGATGCCGTGGAATTTCAGGCCATTATTCAACGAAGTGGTAAACCGCTGTTCCAATGATAGAAGCCTTTTGCGCCTTATCAAGGCCCGCTTTCCTTTCTTTTCCTCTCCTTGTTCACGCTTCTTCTTCTCATCTTCACTTTCGTTAGGCATTGCTTGTAGGCGCCATGGAGATGGTTGCATCGAGGATGATGTAGCCCAAGTTCCTGATGGAGCAGGGCAAAGTGGGTGGTCCACCCCTTCAGCCTCTGGTCTTTGCCGCTTGGTTTGAGAGGCCTCCTCAATGCCAACCGCAGCATCAAATGCTACCTGATGACTACGCTTGACAACGTTGTAGGATGGTGGTATAGTCCCTAGCTCATCTTCATCACGAATTAAGAACAACGGCCACAGCTCTCTATAAGCCCTTCGAATGGTTATCGCCTGAAGGTCACAATCAAACCATGGATGCCAGACAAAATAGCTAAATAGCTTTCTGAGTTGGTTTTGAGTCAATTCGATATTGTGAGGCAGTATGTGAGCAAAGGCAGCCATCAAAGACCTGGCTGGGTAGTAGGGGTACAGAGGTGACGATGAACTAGCTGGAGAGGCGCATGGGATCTTGGAATGGTCATGGCCTAATACAACCTCCCAGCCAAGATGAAGTTTCGTGCTTGGAGAGCAGTATTCATACTCCATCATGTGGTCATGCGGATCTTCGTCGTCATCAGATTCTTCCCCGATCTCGTTCTCTACAGTCTCAGATGCCTTTTCTTTCCCCTTTCCTTTTCCCCTCTTTTGTGGCTGACTCCCAACTCTTGGGACTATATTTTGGCTACTATGAGTAATAGACCCTATATTTTCTTGTTTAATATGGGCACTGTAATCCAGTTCACTGTCCTGGTCCGATTTCTTGGCTCGTGCAAGCATACCATGACCCTCTTCCTTAATCCCAATGTAATCCAAATTACCATCGTATTTCTTGTCCCTGCGATTGTTGTTCAAAGCGTTGTCAATGTCGTCGGGACTAAAATATGTATTTTCAGTTGCTCCAAAGACCCCTTCGCGTTGGCTTGGATCAATTCTAAGACGGAACAATTCTACTGCGCGAATTGTCTCTCGTTTCCGCCATGGGCCCCTTTTACCCTTGGTTGCCAGACCATTCTGAAGCTTTTCCTGTCGGGCTCGGCGTTGGCCATGCCTTACTGTCGCGGGACAATCATACAGCAGCTCCTTATGGAACTTGAAGCCGCATTCTACACAGGTCGTCAGGATAGCTGACCCATGTGGACGCTTATTGGTACTGTGTCCATTAATATCAATATCTACAGCATCGGCGTTATTGTATTTGTTGTTCAGAATGTCTTTCTCCTTTTTCATATCCTCTCGTACCATCATCAAGGCATAGAATAGTTCTTCTCGGTATTGCCAGAAATGGGGCAAATGGTCCTGGATTAGACGATTGACCAATTGCTGAACATTCGTCACTTGGCTTTGGGCGTTTATAGGTACGAAGGAGTTGTTCAACTCCCTGAGGCTAGTGTAGAGCTGATTAATGGTCTTCCGGACCAAGACGTGGTGGGGGGTATAGTCCTCTTCTATGAGTTGAGGGCCATAGATGGATTCAGCGGTGCGCGGTACGTAGGGTAGTACCCCTAGGTCATCTGGATCCACAAAAGATATGTTGCGATAATCCGCGATGTCATCGTTGTCTGTAGGCTCTTGATCCGATTCACCCGAGTCCTCTCCATCTCCATTATGGTTAGGGATTGTTTCGGTTTGGTTATCATTAATGTTATTGCTGCTATTGTTGTTATTGTTATTGGCGCCAGGCTCAGGGTCCTGACCGGTCTGGCCCGTAGGCCCTGGGCACTGCCGTTTCCCTCTAGTCAGGGAAGCTTGGGCATTACGGCCTCGGCGACGAGGGGTCGAGTGAGTATTTTGACGCTGATGGCTGGAAGTAGATGGCCTATCCGCTTGAGGATGATAATCATGGTCTTGTTCGTCGTCGTCATCGATACCATCAGATTCTCCCTCAAAATCATCTCCAGGATCTTGAGTCGTATGAGTTTTTCTGTTTCGATGAGACTGATCACTGTGGCTGCGACCGCTACTACTACTACTACTACTACTACTACTAGATTCAGCGCTTTCTGTGGGGACGGGACTTGAAGGCTGACTATCACTGACTATAGATCTACTTTCGGCCCGTGAAGGCACTACAGGGGCTTTAGACTTGTAATGTACGTTGGGTGAGACACGTAAAACATGCTCATGAGACTTCGATGCTTCCTGGCGCGTTATGTTGTCCATTTTTTTTTTTATTTTGTTCTCTAGCAGAGATGCGAAGAGAAATGAATGTACGTAATAAGGAAAAGAGAATAAGAAGCTGCGATGAAGAAGAAAGGAGTGAAGAGTGGTTTGGCTTTTTGCATGCACTTACTGAAGTTTATATGGAGATAGTTCTTGATACAAAGAAGAGTGATGGTCCTTCTGGCGAGAAAGAGAAGACAAAGAAAGATGGAGGTGTAATTTGACCCTTTCTACTCTTTAAAAGACCCTTATTTCTTATTCTCGACGCGTCGCGTTCTCTTCCTTAGAGGGGGGGCTATGTGGACAGAGCATATTGATGCCAGAAGTTGATTAAATAATATTGCATAGGCACGGACTTCATTGTAACTCTTGCCTGCTGTCCATATAGTTCCTTTATCGCTTTTTTGGAAGATCTGTGGCTGCTCTTTTCTTTTTTCTTTTTTCTTTGGTTTTTTCAATACTCCGCTTGCATTTCTATTGCGCTGTGTCATGATGTTATTGATATAGCTCTATCTTAGTTGGTTGCAGCACCAAGATTAGGGTTTATATTCGATTCCATTCAGCGTGGTTATCGTATATTATTCATTCTCTTCTTTACTTTTTCTGTAATGCGCACCACCATTGTACATTAAGCAAGGTGGGGCAGTTTAGGGTACATAAAGGAGCATTATTCATATGTTGCCTGACACTATAAGGTGTGGATATTTCCTATATTTTACAAGGGGTGTCACATGGAGCGGTGGATCCCATTCCTCATTTTCTTCTGCAGCTCTAAGAAACAAATCCCTAGGGCCACGCGACCCTTACTTTTTTTTTTTTTTTTTTTTTTTTTTCAAGGGAGACCAAAAAGCCACACTTTGCACCACATGCAACTATCTAATGCTCCTTAGACTCTCTGAACGCTCTCGAAAGGATATTTCAAGAAGAACAACGGAAATGCAACACTTTGTCAGATAGCGAGTTATTTTATTTTTCGAACAAAGAGCGTTGTAAAAAACTAGTTATTCCAACTCTGAATGCTGAAATTCAAGAACAACAACTACGTCGAAATGATCCCACTATTGGTTTTATAGATCTTTTAATCATAAATGATTCTTTAGTCAGGTTTAAGAAAAAAAAAAATAGCGAAAAAGAGAACTATGTATATATATATAATATAATATAATATAATATAATATATGATACATCTAAGCATATTAAATGATGATGAAAAAGTTCACGCAACGCAAGGCGCTATATTTCTTCGAGGGAGTCGAAACATTTTGCTCCCAAGAAAGAAATGATCCAGACTAGGCATTATCGACAGTTGGTGCTCCACTAAGAATTGGAGTGCCATTAATATTCCAGTCGTTTCTACTTGATAATAGTTAGCACATGTCGACAGAAACGCCGTTGCCTTGGCAAGTTGTTGCTGTTGCTGCCAGCGGAATGAATTCGTTTCATCCGGGTTTCCACTGGTAGAGGCATCAATATCGCCTAAAGATGCGTTAGCAGAATTCGTGGCAGTGAAAGCGGTAGAGGTTGGAGTTAGGTATGTCTCGGAAGGGACTGTTACTTCGAAAAAATCAGAAGTAGGAGTCGACGAGAGTTTTGTTGACAATCCAGACTCGGGTGCGGATGCGGATGTAGCAGGGTCAGATGTGTATGTAGAAGATGCAGAAGAAGAAGAGGGGTCAACTCTTCGTGACTGAAGAAACAAGCTTTTGATGAACATCTCCATGACAGCTTCTTCCTCACTATCCATCTCCATCACTCCTGGACCACTCAGTTCAGAGAATTCAAGCCGTAAAACCGCAAGGTTGTATCGACATGCCCAATTCGGGATGGAGGCAATGACGTCGCGCAAGGGCAATGGGATCTTGCAGTCCGATACCTGCAGGTTAGGGCATGTTTCCAATACTTGAAGGTAAAGTTGACGAAGTCGAACCCATTGATGATATTGACCATGGCCATAGGAGTCATTGTGGAGTGGATGATGGTAAAAGCCACTCTCGGAGGAAAAGGAGGAGTCATGCTGCGGCTGCTGTTGTTGCTGAGATGAATAAAATCCATCATCTGGGCTCATGGATTCATCCAGAACAAGGAAGGACTGAAGATGCTCTCCATGGAAGTGAAGCAAGGCCTCCATAATGTCCTGATTCTGGATCACTAACTGCGTTGCAGCCACAAAGTGAAGCAACTGAGGAATTGCACGCAGGAGTAGTGATACATGTGATGCCCATCGGCAGTTTGTCTGAAGCGAGGGTTCATTTAGGACAAGGCGACAGATGTGGGGACAATACTTTGATATCATGTTACCCAGTTCTGAGATTGCGAATGGTTGTAATGATTGTGCGGGTTTCTGATGGTCAGCATGTTCCATCATCCTTGATTCCTTTGATTCTTGTGGAGCTTCCTCTAATGCTAAATTCTCAAGGTTGGGAAGGTATTCAAGCAGCTCTGGGATGATGATCTTGCCGCGGAAGATTAAAGATCGGATAGATTGGAACTGAATTTTATGTGTTGATGATGAACGGACATCGGTAATATCTTCGTCGAGTTCGTCGTCATCTACAAGTCGTTGATATTCAAATTGACGCTGGAAACTGCTGAAGCTTTCTCCCGCACTACCACTGTTGCTGCTGCTGCTGCCGGCGGATAATCTTGCATTGTTACCAGGCCAGCCACTGGCACTTGCTGTCGAATATGTAGCATCATGTTGAACATTCACATCAGCTAATAACATGTCGAAATAATTTTCGCCATCTACTACTGTGCTCTTTTGCGTCGAATCATGAACTATCTCTGCCTCATCCATCATGGTGTCGTATGGGGAAGTGTCCATTTCATGTAAAGAAGAAGAGATTTGCCTATCATGCTGCTGCGGTTGAGCTTGCCCTCTGTAATGCGTTTGTGCATGGTAGCTGTCTGGTAAAGCTATATGTCCACCGCTTCCCCTGCCCACATGATCCTCGTCACTAAACGTTTCTGCTGCTGTTTCTGGTAATATTGCGATAATGTCTAGATCCAACTCTTGTAGTAAGGGCATCAGTTGCATCATCTCAACCCATTCTTCCATTATAAATTCATACTGCATCAGTGAAAGATGGGTCAAGAGCACCGGTCGAGCTGCTTGGCGGATAATACCCTCCATAAGGATATTTCGGATCGCTGAAGTTCCATCATGCGAGTTTGGATAATGCTGCTGTTGTTTCTGGTGGTCAGACCCCACTGTCGTATCTCTGTGATCCTCAGCGGACCAGAAATGCTGCTTGTAAAGTAAAAAAATGGACAATGCCGGCCGATTAGAAAATATTCCCGAAGATTACGATATTAAATTCAAGAATGAAAGGGGGAAGCATAGCTACGAACGTACAGAAAAGCTTGTTTCGACATTTGGCTCCAGGACTTGAGATCTAGAAGCATAAAGGTCGCCGTCGGAGTAGATACGATTAAGCCTTCGAGCCTTGTATGGAGAGTAATGTAAATCCTTTTGGAGAGAGGGACATGAACGGGCATTGCTTTCTGGGTGAGGAAATGTAGGAAGAATGTTGGCATGGTAACGGTTGGAGCGATGGGCTCTGTGAGAAGATCTATGTGTGCTTTGTCGTTGTTGAAACTGACGAGATGCTCCTCGGGAATGTCGTACATCTGAGCTTGAGTCTGATCCGGTCTCACTACCACTATGATGGATCAATGGTTCAGGCTGGTCATGTATTGTTGTAATATTGCCGCTATTACCGGCGCTGCCGTAGCGGTTTACAGGGTAAGAGTTAGGATGGTGTTGTGTATCGGAACTGCATCGACGGTTGAGAGTCCGACCAATTCTTAGTCGCTTCAGTCGTTTATGGATGTTCCTAGCGATAATATTCTCGACTTGCTCCAGGTTATCCATACTTGGCAATAAAGTGCAAGTAAATTCCAATAACTCTGAGACGTTGGGATGGTTAAATATATAGGCTGAGTCAGCGTTGACTAGATAGATACAACGGATGAGGTGACCGTTGCTGATTATGCCAGCAGAGATGTGTCCTGGTACCACAGAAATACTGCTGATAGGGGATGAGGTACTATGAGTAGTTTTGGGTGGTGGAAAAGAAGAAGAAGGAATAGACGGAGCTGAAGAGTGGATCAAAGAACTGAATGAGGAAATAAAAGGATAGGAAGTAAAAAATTACAGTGTCAGAATTGCTTGATTGTTAATGATACGTTTGATAGCGTCCAGGAATACATGGTACGGACCTGTTTTCAGAATAAACAAACGTTGACTCTTCCTGAGAGGAAAGAGCTGTATCCAAGCGGCGTGAACAGTAAGGAGATCCACGGGCGTCCTTCGGAAATGAGAGGGCAGATCCAAGGGAGGCTGGAGTAGTTAACTTGAACGCAGATAAAAGGAGAGACTCAACTTTATCAAACTGGTTGATGCGGATCGTGTGCCAAAGCAACGGAAGAAGTTGCTGAGACCAAAATCGACAGACTTGTGCACAGATAACGAGTGTTTGTCCGGGTGTATGAAGTTTTAAGCGCAGCCTTTCGGGGTAGAGATCGGCAGGATCAGACAAGTATTCGTGTTTATACTTCTGTTGTTGATGCAAGGACTGATGATGGGCAGCGAGTTCAATTCCGCCAAATTCAAGTCTAATAAAGATGAGATGACATAGGGATCACGTATTAGGATGGGCCAGGACTTTAAACTCCTGAGACTGGGCCCGTGCTCGGATATATCGCGATGCAGCATTTTAAAGGTAATAGGAATATAGGAAAACTTCAGACTCGCATACTGGTTAAGATCTTGGTCCTGTTTGCTTCGAGTAGTGTCAATCAAGAGATAGTATGTAATATGATGAAACAGCTCTGGGATGAACAACGGAGAAGACAGTTGTTGTTGGGAAGGATGCGGCGTTGTCGACATGGTCGATAATGAAAAATCAAGGTGGTGATAATGCCGTAAAGTGTATGAATGCTGTTACTTGATGAGTACGTCGTTTAATTTTAAAAAAGTAAAAAAATAAAAATGTAACGCTTAGGCCGTTCTTACGTTTTATTTTATTTTATTTTTTTCTCTCGTGAGAGCTACACACTATTCAGTGTGATGAAACTAAAATGCAGAAAGAAATTAAATAGGAAGAAAGGTTATGACTCTGAATTGGAGATGGTACTTTTGGTATGTACACTGTCTAGCTGTGCATCTTTTTATTCTTTTTATTATTATTTCTGAGGCTACATGTCATTCGCCACATGTTACGAACAGACCATCCACAAGTCTATCCACACCACACACATGTTAAGAGATCAACAAAAAAAGAAAGGAAGGGGGAAACAACATTGCAATTATGACAGTATTCAAAGGCGGATGTGGTCAGGTGACGACTAACAATATTTTTCTTACCAAAGAAAGAGACAGCAACGGTAGCAATGAAAGTAATTCGGCAGAGAGTGAGTGTAAAGGATGAACAGAGAGGGCATAATCTAAAGGGCTAGAAAGGTAACAAGGAAGGCGAAAAGAGAATCAAAGGTTTTGAAGCATTTGCCATGGCTTTTTATACTCTCTTTTTGTCCTTTTTTATTTTTTTTATTTTTTTTGGTTATAAATTTTTTATGGCCAAGTCAAGCATGCTCCCATTTGTCCAGACAGTCCAACACACAAAGTTTTTGCTTGTCTTGTCCAGCTTTCTTGGGCAAGAAGACCTGCTTTTCCAGTAACCACATTTCGCTTTCTCACTCATTACTACTTTCGTTCATCTTTTAAATACTCCTTTCTAGACAACTAAAAAAAAAAAGAAAAAGAAAGACTTCTAATGTTCATCGTTTTTTTACTTTTTGATCATCGTCCTTGTGCCACCAAAAAAATACTGTTGATCATTTTAGAAAAAAAATCGGTCTAATTTTTTTAACTCCTTCGTCGCTGTTGTCTCAATGTAAAGCTTGTAACATTCCCTTTTATACGCTAAGATGACGAAATGATCAACATTGATAAAGACCAAAAAAGGATGTTAATATTCCTAAACCAATCCCATGACCAGCTTTGGTGTCTATTCATGTCTTCAGTTTGTCCTCTTTTTTAAAAACCTCCTAGTTCACTTGATAGTCGTTGAATTAAAAATTTTAAATTGGAAATAAGTATATATGCATATTAGGATATTCCATTATAGATTACCGATCTTCGGTTTCCAGAAGAATGGACGCGCTATTTTCTTTGGTCGAGGCAAATTGCTTGCATGGAGGCTAGAGCGGAGCAGACAGACAAACACATACACGAGGCACCAAAGAAAGAAAGCGCCTAGAGGCATAGAGGAGAGGCATTGAGGCATAGAGGCACACATTTGTAGGAGAACCTCTATTGGTGCCTCATTACATACCTTGTGAGTGTTTTGTATCACTGGAGTAGAAGTAAGGATAGCAGCAAGTAGAACTTGCAGAGCCACAGAATAGACGATACGCCTTGGGCTCTGATATTCCATGTGCCTTTCACAAGAAAAAAAAAAAAAAAAGAGAACCAATTGCACTGTTTTGTACATCGTATCGTTGATCTGTCCATTGTTTGAATCTTGAGGCTTCGTTGATGGACCCTGCGGCCTGCATTCAAGTGAATCTAGGTCTTTGGATCTTGTTCGCCCTCCCCCCCCTTTTTTTTTTTTTTTTTTTTTTTTCAACCATCATTGTCAAAAAAAAAAAAAAAAAAAAAAGACGCCTGTTACTTTGATAATTGCATATACGACTAACCCTCTTTAATTTGAATGGACAAATCATATTCCAGACGGTTAATCCTGCTCCCATATTTTACCTGGAAAGAGCATTCAAGAAAAGCCTAATGTGGCACTTACAAATAAATCAAGTGATGCTAAAATATAGACCATTCCTCAACCATTACAAATAAACGTCTTTATAAATTTGTAAATTAAAAAAAAAAAAATAAAAAATAAAAAAAATAAAGATCATTTGATGCATTTAATGAATCCATTTGATGCATATAATGAGTCAAGTGAAAAGCATGTCGGTCAGTTGGTGTAAAAAAGTTCATGTCAGGATCCAATACTGCATTGCACAGGGTTTTTTTTTTTTTTCTCAAGAACCTGAAATGCACCATTACGACAAACAGGATCCACCGAGCATAAGCCATGCATGCATGATTGGTCCCAGATATTCATGCCTGTGCCCCTGCGTCATGTTTCATCTCGATGCGCGATGCCTTGACTAACCTTTCTTGCGTAACCCTTTTTACTTTTTTGCTAAAAAAGGCAAAAAACGATTCTTTTTTTTTTTTTTTTTTTTTTAATCTATTTTATTTATTGAGAGTGATCGTCGCTGCCCACAAGATGAACAAATAGAGTAATTCATATACCTTATGTATGGCCCAATAATTTTAAACAAACTTTATTATCATGGCGGTATTTGATGGTATATAAATATCTATGAATGTTAATACACATGTATAGATGTACATGCTATGATATATACATGCATATCGGATCCATGTTCGGAGCCAAGACACCCAAAGAGCTGAACTATATCTCGTTACGATCTTACAATCATTCTCATACTCGAGTATGTGAATGTCTGTTTGACTTGCAGAAATGGACCTTATTCTTTTTTCCATTGTAACGCAACCATTTGATTGACCTTGTTCAAGATGATCTTGATAATGTCTTGAATTTTGAGTCAGCTACCCTTTGAAACAAATTACAGCTTTTTTTTTTTTTTTTTTTTTTTGGTGGCGTATTTTTTACATTTTTTTTTTTGCATTTTTTTTTTTTCTTTTCTTTTCTTTAGGATCTGTCGATCCTTCATTTCCCGCAGCTATGGTCTACAAGTCCTCCCTCCCCTTCCCTTCCCTTCCCTCCTTCCCTTCCCTTCCCTTTTTCACTTTCCCCCTCCCCCCTCACCTCCTCGCCTCCTCACCCCCTTCCTCTTCCTCTTGCGCCTCCCAGCCCTCCGTAATGACATATCCACTTGAAGGAAAAAAAAAAAAAAAAGCATATGACTCCTAGTCAATTACTTTCGCGTCCAAAGTCAATCTCTAGTCTACATTCAGTTCATGTACCGCAACATAGTTGGGATATGGCTTGCTTTTTTGTACTTTACTTTTTTAGCTTTCATGTCATGTCTTCTGGAAATATCCATGTGGAAGAGCAAAAAAGTGCAAGCAAGCATAAAAAAAATTGACCTAATGATCTAAAAAAACTATTTCCGATTATCGATCTGTAAGTCAGGTAAAAAAAAAAAAAAAAAAAAAAAAGTCTATGCTATGCAAGCCCAAGATAAATATTATAGATATATTTACTGTTTAAATGTAGACTAGCATTGAAGTAGAAGAAGGAAAAAAAAAAAAAAATAAAAAAGTCAACCAACAAAAACTCTTTACTTTTCAGCAACATCAAAAAAGTCTTTTTTTTTTTTTTTTTTTATTTTTTTTTATTATTATTATACCATACAACTCACACCATTTGACCATTCAATAAAAGAAAAAAATAAAAAATAAAAAGTAAAACACGCAAGAAGCAAAACAAAACCACACAACACCAACCAAAAGACGCTTACTTGAAAAGAAACGATGCACAAGAAGCCCATTGCGTTTCACCATACAACAAGGCTGCCTCGATTAGTCGTATTTGATTTAGATGGCACTCTTCTCAATCGTCAACATTCCATCACCCGTCGTTCCATCAACGCACTTTCCCTTCTTCAACAGGCCAAAGCCGGTCCTGCTCTTCAATCCTCTCCCATTACTGACAATCAAAGCGATCAACAGATCAATGGCCAGGGTGACATCATCAACAATGGTGGCAGTAGTAACAGCCATGACAACAGCAACAATGTCCAGATCATGCTCGCCTCCGGACGATCTCCACGATCGGTCCAATTAGTGATCGATCTCTTTGAAGGAATCGTAATTCCCGATGCGGTGATCTGTTGCAATGGTGCTCTCAATTATAACCCCCGCACTAAAGTCATCACTCATCCTCAGTTCATCCCCCTGGATCAAGCTACTGTTGTGGTTCAACAACTCCGCTCAGAGATTTCAACCTACGGAACCCCCAAGAGTCGGATTCCTCTCAGTAAAAATCCAAATGAAATGGGCCTTGGCGGGGATTTAAGACCATTGCCTCCCCTTGAAAACGATCAAAGCAATGAGCCGCGAATGGCTGGAAGACCAGGCTTTGCCTGTGAAGTCATCTGGTTCTTGGGCAAGGACGAAAAGACTGGAGAGGTCATCTACGCTCCAGACACAACTTTTGTTTGTGATCGGACCTGGGAGCTTCATCGGAAGCATGCCATCTATTACGAGTATACAGTCTTGCGAGAATCTATGGAGACATTCCTGCAATCCCTTTTGGTCCCCTCTGAAAGTACCGGGATGCCAAAAGGAGGAATTGTTAAATTGATGGCATTGGATCGCAACCGATCTGCACCAGATCTCTTTGAATCTTTGCCCCCTACTTTACGTTCAATCAACCCGACAACGACGAACACAGAGAGAATGACAGGCACAGGCACAGGCACAACAGGGGTCGAATCTGCGGGAATAGATGCAGAAGCAGCACTAGCAGGAAATGTCTCAAACTCAATTTCAATTGCATCACCACAAATATCCATCACATACTCTGGGATGTACTTTTTAGAAATTTCAGCTGCAGGTGTCAACAAGGGACTTGGACTAATCAACTACTGTAAGTCTCAGGGGATCGCACACGATGACGTGGTGGCCTTTGGTGACCTTTTGAATGATGCAGAGATGTTACAGGTCGCAGGGTTGGGACTTTGTATGGGGAATGGACATGCCGACATGAAGAAGTTGGCAGACCGAGTGATCGGTTCTAATGCGGACGATGGTGTTGCAAAGGAGATTGAGTCTTGGTTTGCATAAACAATACAATACAAAACAATATATTTACCACAGTACAGCATTATTATTCATCCATCATCCAACAATAACAACTAAAATAAAGAAAATAGACATGATAGAAATAGAATAGACAATAACAACAACAACAATAACAAAAAATCTTTCCAATAAAGGGAGAAATATGAACATTCATTTACATGTTACAATTAACCAATTAACCATAGACAAATAATAGTTTAAATAAACATGAGATATCTGAACACAGAAATATCAATATACATCTATCACTTAAAAAACTAAACCAAAAAGCATGCGCACATTTATTGAAGTAAAAGTTTATTGCCATATTACATTTACAATTGTGGTAAAGAAAAGAAAAAAAAAGAAAAAGGAAAAAAAAAGAAAAAAGAAAATTGAGAGAGGAGAGATATAGAGTTGGAAATGCAAAAGAACAGTACTTTAGAAAGAAAGAAAAAAAAAAAAAAAAAAAAAAAGTATACAAAGGTGTTTTTTTTTGTTCTACATTGAGTGATTAAGCTTGGCGGATAAAAAAGAGAATAAAAAGAAAGAGAAAAAAAAGGTACATTATCATTTACAAATGCCCTTCTCTCCAGCTTTGATACGCAAATATTCCCTGCGCAAATTGAAATGTTCCACATGTCGACTTGCCTTTTTTTTTTTTTTTTTTTTTTTTTTTTTTTTTTTTTTTTTCCCTTTGGATAAAAAGGATTCCCTTCTTATTCACCTTCACGTCTTCTACCACGTTTGAAAGGTGGTTGATCATGAAAGGCAGAAAAAGAATCCATGGTCATAGAGTTCGAGAGCCTTGCTGCGTTGGTTCCTGCCATCGTCATCCGACTCGACGCCCCATTATAGTCTTGTAATGCATACCGTCGTTTTAATGAATCCACATACATCTGCTGTCCAATTCCACCATCAGGTCCTGGAAAGATAGTTTGAAAGCTGGTCTGATCTAAACCTGGGTGGAAAATCGGCGCAGTAAATGTAAAGGCATCACTTGGAAAAGGCGGTGTAGGAGATGCAGGAGTAGACACTCCTAAAATGTCGGATGAAGTTTGAAGCAAGCCATGTTGCTGCTGTTCTTGTTGTTCTTGATCTTGCTGTGATTGATTCTGCTGCTGTTGCGGTTGCTGTTGCTGTTGTTGTTGTTGTTGTTGTTGCTGGTGCTGTTGTTGTTGTGGTTGCTGGTAGTCCTGTTCTTGCTGTTGATGGTGTTGCTGTTGTTGCTGATGTCGAAGGAACTGTTGTTGTTGTTGTTGCTCCATTAGTTGCTGCTGTAATTGTTGCTCATGTGCACGGTGCTGTGCCTGAGCTTGAGCTTGCAACTGATGCTGTTGTTGCTGTTGCTGTTGCTGTTGCTGCTGTTGGACATCGTTCCCCATGGCAGCACGGTTCATGGATCGAGCATTGGTCAAATAGGTGACGATGTCGTCGACAGAAAGACTGGTATTATGTCGAATTTCATCCTCTGTCTGTCCTTGGTTTTTCTTTGCCTGGACTAATGGATGGTTCGCAATAAAGGTCAGAAGATCCTGTAAGGCGGCATCATAGCCTTTGACATGTTCGGTTTTTTGATGTTTGAGAGAATCTTTGTAGAGCTGTGTCACTGACTGAGCCGCAGCTTTGAAAGAAGCCAATAACATTTGTTCTGTAGAAGACTCTTCGGATATGAGCTGTTGCTGTTGTTGGGGCATACCCAAAACGTGACTAGGTCCTGGCCCTGCTTCGGCGGAAATATTGGCAGGATGAGGCGCAGGCACCGAGGTTGGGGAAGGGGTTGTGGTTGTGTCTCTGTCGTTACTATGGAGAGAAGTTAGATTGGTGGCTGATGAGGAGGGATGTTGCTGGTGATATGAATGATGTTGATTGGGGCCTTGATTCTGAGTCATGCTCCCACTCCGAAGATTGTAACCGCTGGATTCATTCCTGAAAGGCGCGTTGGTCCTGTTGCTCATGTAAGATAAACAGTCAGAGATATAGGTTCACGTAGAATGAGTGTGAATGGGTGAATGGGTGAATGGGCGAGTGGGTGAGTGAATGAGAATATTAAAAAATAAAAAAGATTGATTTGCAATCGTAGGTGATTGCTACTTCGCTTCCTGGTTCTGCTTCTGGTATTGCTTCTGTTTTTTTAATCTTTTTTTTTTTTTTTTTTTTTTGCTTACAGTAGAGAGAGGAGATAAAAAAAATAAAATAAGGGTTTTCTATGTTTTTGAATGTGTGTGATAATCACACCAACCCTTGTCCTTTCCTTCCAGAAAAAAATTTCTTTGTTTCAAAGGCTTCTGTGCATTCTGGACTGGTGATCGCAATTAAAGGGCCTGGCCTGTAGCACTTGCATCTTTTTATCGCTTTGTTTCTCCTTCAAGGTGAAAGGACATGAGAGGGCGTTTAGTTTGCTCTTTTTTTTTTTTTTTTTTTTTTTTTTACAATCTGGATCCCAGCCACAATCATGCGAATCATGAGCTTTATAGAGACAGGCAAGGTTTTTAAAATATTTAGCTATTTTCTTGTGATATTTGATACTTGTCTTTGGTAGCCTTTGTAGTCGGCGCAGCAGCAACAGTCAACAACAACACAAAGCTTGTCTTCTAAACAATCTTTCCCTTATCTCCATTATGAAAGCATTTAAATACACACGTGACGAACGATCAGATGCCACATGGAAAGTTTATTTCCCACGATTTAATTATGTATAAAAATGTGCAAAGGCTTATGCTATAAACGCATTGAGATGCCGCTTCAGCAGAAATATAGCTCAATATTTACGTCTCGGTGGATCCACCACATCATTCGCCTGCAAAGAATCCTTAACCACCATGAAGCGAGAAACGTTTCTGTCTACCCGACATTGTTGTTGTTCAAAGCATATAATGCTTTATCATTCGCTGCTTGTGATGATTACTGATCTGTTTCTGTAACCAATGAAATTCAATCTGAGTAGTATTGAGAGCAAATTGGTGGCAACTGTCTTATGTACATGGAATGATATCTCGTATCCTGAATGTGAAAATAAGATTTTTTGCGACCAAAAATGGGTACATGTAGTTTTTTACATGTATTTTGTTCGGAAAATAATATGGTTTATTTTTTCTCTCTATTTGATGTGATATTCTTCAAAGTTATTCTACTTTGCTTTCAAGCAAAGAGGAGCCTTACATATAACGCATGCCCATTCTGATCGCGAGGTGGGCTTCTTGTCTTCTCTAAGGCTCTTAATCCTGCAGTTTTCACATGTCCTTCTACTCTTAACCCTACCATTACTTTCTTTGGTTTTATCGGGAAACGAAATTCCGGTAGATGTCACTGAGGATTTAGAAGAGAGTTTTTAGTAATGTATGGGCCTTTTGATACCTTGAAAGTAGCCTCCGGGGACTCACCAGCTTCTAGGCTCCTCTTTGAATTGCTTTGCTCGATGACAACTTGGGACTTAGATAATAATAAAAGTTGGTTTACAAGCTTTAGTCGAAATTGGCGATATCTTTTTTTTTTTTTTTTTTTTTTTTTTTTTATTTGTTCCTGGTACACCATAGCATGTATGAATTGACGATACTTGTATCTAATAGCCACAAGAAAAGCGGCGTTCAAGAACAACTGGACCTATTAGCGGAATTGGTCTGCGATATCAACCCCACCCGAAGTGATATTTTGAAAGCGAAATCGAGTCTTCATCGTGATTGTGGGCGATACTAAAATCCATTCCCTCATCAAACAATGTGGGTTCATCTTCAAAGCATGAGAAGCAGAAATTTTTAAAGCCATTGATACTCTTCATCATTAACCTTATGTACAATCGAATTTCGGTTTTCCGGACGATACACAGTAGAAATCGTCCAGATATTAATAAAAGTATGTATATGATATTGCACTTATTTATTCGAATATGCAGTTAAGGGAAAAAATAAGTGCATTGTCACCTGAACATTTATATTTTGTAAATTTAAAATTATCCGGACGATTTCCATTGTGTATCGTCCGGAAAACCAGAGTTCGACTGTACAAAATAGAGAAAAGAACTTCTACAGCAGAAGAACCAATCGAGTAGACCAAAAAGGTCACCACTTTCCTCAAACTTTATCCTTACTAGCATCCCTATTGGAGGATGAAAGTCTGCTCATCTGTTCAAGACGGTTGCTGCTGTGCCCTTCTTTTTTACATGGGTTCGCCTAATGTTATATGGCTTCGATTACCAGCTTCAGAGCCATGAAAATTGATAACTTGACTCTCTATGTATGAGTGCGTCTTTACCTACCCGCAATTAATTTACTGGCAGGGCCACTCATTTGCATTCTTTGAATCAAGTAGGAGATAAGGATAAATGGATGTGAGGTGTTGAAAGCATCAAATTAACTACAGGAATGTGTAAAGGAAGTGACGCGTCAAGGTCAAGAGAGAAGCTTAAAATATTAGGTTAGGAGTTTCATCAAATCACTCAAAGAACCAATCACTATCTCATGGTTGATCTACAACATGAAGAGAAGAGCTGATGGAAGATTTGAGGAAGATAGTACAGAGGGAGGATACCTTATAATATTGCCTTGCGAGCCTTCTTTCAATTATACATCGCAAGGGAGTCGGATTGAGCAGATCCACATAATTGGTTAAAACGAACAAAGCACAGTGTTTATTCTACAAACAGATGGGAACAGTCATCAGCCCAGCTCAACTGCTTCGCATCTGTTACCATCTTTCTTGCTTGGCGCTCGCTGTATAAAAAGGCCTTGGTGATTTCGGTACGTTTTTTTTTTTTATACAAGCCTTCAACTCTATCCACTGTTTTTTTCCTGACATCTCCACACTTTCCATGTTGTTTTCCAGTTATCAAAGCTTTCAACGTGGGAATCGTAGGGCTATGACCGCTTCTAAAGGAGAAAGGATAAGATCCAGTTTTCATCAGCCGCTCAAATATTGCTTCTCGTTTGCTCGCACTCGGCCCAAATAAGCAAAGAGTAGACATCTAGGTAGTTTCCCTCACTGCCATTCGCTTTGCCTACACCTCACACCCGCGCGACACGGCCCATACTATCCTAGAACAGAAGACCTCAGAAACCGCTTCTAAAGCAAGTTCCGTCCTTTATCTTGATGGGAGACCCTGCTTAGAGAAGCAGGCAACTAATGGCAAAAGACAAGAGTTGCGCGCGAAAGCTTTGGCTCAAGCGATCAAGTTCGCCGGGCAGTTCGAAGTGAGGGTCAAAAGGAAGCAAGCCATCCAAAAGGCTCTCTTCAAGAGCATTGACAAGAACCTTTTGGGGGCCTTTAATGATTTTATTGATGAATTTTTTTTTTTTTTTTTTTTTTTTTTGATTAGGTATAATAATGACACATGAACCGTGCTTACGCTACGCGTAGCAATGCTACGTTTGATAATGTCTCATCTCCCGCTTTTTCTTTCCTTCCTTTCCTTTCTTCCTGAGGGCCCTAGTTATCAAAAAAAAAAAAAAAAAAAACTCCTTTTCCTTTCTTGCTTCTCATGATACTTGAAACATTCGATACTCGAACCATTTGAGCCATTCGGTACTCGAAGTAATCGAACGACTCGAATTATCCAGAGATCTGTAACTTAAGGCCGTCATTCGAATCGATCCAGATAAGGGCTTATTCGAACCGATTCGAACTTACCATGATTCGTTTTCGATTCGAATGCATTCGAAACCATTCGAGTTCGATATGTTCGAATCAATTAGGAGCACTGCGGACAGCTAAAGAGAAGTACTTGGCTCTCAAGATTGTTTCCCAAGCCCTGCATTGGCTAGAAAACGATGTATTTACGGCACCTTTACCCGGACATGTGTTTGTCCGTGCGTGGAGCGATGTATTCAACACGCTCTTTGCTCACTCTGGTCTAGGTGGTATTCCGTAAGTGGATTTTATTACAAGTTTAGCCTCTTTCCGGAATATCGCACCACTTATTGTCTAACACTTTTATATTCATCTATGCTTTTACTTGAATAGTGGCGAGCTAAGCAGTAAGGCATCACGAGAGTCTCGCTTCTTGACCGAAAGCGCGTTCAGCCATAAGATGGCGACCAGTACGAACCCTAAAAAAGCGGACATGGTAATCAGAATCTTTGTCAATAAGCCCTGGGCAGATAAGATCTGTATATTTGAGTGCAAGCCCGAGGCCAGTGATCTTGTCCGCCACGTGCAACGAGAGAGTGTCCGTCTGAACACCGCCATCCTCTTGACCCTAGAGGAGAAGGCCCTGACATCGCACAATGGCACCCTATTATTGCAGAAACTCGTACTCTAACTGTTGATTTTTACGCACTCCGACGTTACGGCGACATTATCGGTGCTGGTCGAGCGACGCAAGAGAAGGTGTGACTGCCGTCTGGATACAACAAGTTGGATGCTTTCCTGAACACGTTCGTTTGAAGTACTGCTTGGCTTTCGGGTGGGTACTTTTCTTCGAGATAACTGTATGATATTTATTTGTTCAAGAACGACGACTAACCCTGGATTGACCTGCATAGGCGCACATGGCTTTGTATGCTAAAAAGGCCACTGCTATGCTTGCGTCCACCCCAGGCATACCACACCTCTCCACCAATTACATTACATTCGACATTTACACCTGTGGTATGGCCCTCGTCGGCATCAACACCTCAGACCACTTCGTCTCCAGGAAGCATGTTCGATGCTGTTGCGCCCGTCTCTCCGACACCCACAGCAGTGCCGCCACCACAAAAATCAACGGCTCCTCCACTCCGAAAGCGTGACTTACCGTTTGTTGTGTTTTCTCCATCAAAGTCTCAGTGATGTGGCATCCATGATGTTGACGACTTGGCTTTGTAAGTAGCAGTCAACGGACGTTGAAGGTGTGACTTTTTAAGGAAGTCGGCTACAATGAACGACTTCACACCTTAGTTTGCCAGTCTTCCGATACAGTCTTAATTAATTGTCGCTCTCAAGCTTCCTATTCGCTATATTTTTCCTTACATTAAGTGATTATATGATATTGACTCCTTAATATAAATAATCCTAAATCTTCACCGTCGCCGCCATCCATCTTCGAACATGCATCGCGGATGTTTTTCAGCTCCCTTGTCATAGATTTCAAAGCAAACACTATGCGCTTGTATTTTAGGAAGTAGAAGAAGAGATGATGATTGTATTTTAGAGTGACAGGTAATTAAACAAGTCGTCTGAAAGGACAAAGAAGATGGAGCTAGATCCAGCTAGTGATCACTGGATCCAACACTGCGACGTAAAATGGCCCAACAAAAGGGGCTGCCTAGGTAGGGTATGAATGCGGCTGGTGATAATATAAATACATTTGGGGGCGGTTTCGTGGGTATATGTTTGCATTTGCTCCAGTTTTTCTTTTCTTTTCTGTTGTTTGTTTTATTCGACATATGAAAATCTTATCGATCATCACGAACAAAGGACGCCCTAACAAGTACTAATCAGAGTGTAGGAAGTATGCATTTTCTAATAAGAAAAAAAATAGTGGCGATGCAATTATGTGTCATTCAGATAAGGTAGATCGCTATAGCTCAATTATGACTAATATATAAGGGCGAACCAGCACACAAACCTGCAGTTCGAAGCAACAAATAGGTGTGATCTTTTGTCACAAATGTAGGAACACGAAAAATGATGGTGCCATATCTTTGCGGGATGAAATTTGAGCCTTGGACGCGGTAGCACCCCTTTTAGCTGTCTTCGTTAAATAAAGCGTGAAATGATAATAGAAAACCATATCCTAAACACAAGGCCCTTAAAATACAAACGCACACTGCTTGCAAAGCCCTTAAAGATCAAACTCTTACCTGTAAAACAAAGCATCGACAGCTTCCTCCTAAAGTTCTAATAAAGCCAGGAATGAAAGACATTACTGAAAACACGCAGCTATCACAAGCTTTTAATAGTCCTGAAAAATGTTATTAACTTACCCTTGAATAAAAAAACAAATTCTAGTAGTCACGGTGGTGAACAAAGGCATCGACAACGCGCCCTGAAATTCTAATGAAGCAAGGACTGAAAGAGCCGATATCGACCGCAACGGCGCCACAAGCCTCTTTCTTCATAACTTTTCTTTGATGTTGGAATATCCTTTGAATTTCATTCATTTTTAGATTATAAAGAATTATTCGAAAATTGACTGATTGTGAGAGCTCGCAGTATTTGGCGAGTAAATTAATGTGAGACGTAACAAAAATTTTTGTTTCAGGTCCATTTTCACAGCCTTCTTGTGATATTTGCTCGTTATTGAGTCTTTAGGGAATTGTCCCACATTTGAGCAACTGAAGGAGCTCGGCATTTCCTCTTAAATGGTATATGTCAGGATATGGTCCCAAAAGCCAGTATTTGGGGAATTATGGAGTTCAAAGTGATGGGTTCCGAAAAAAAACTTGTTTCAGATTCTTTCAACTGTTTCTGTGGTGGCATTTTTTTTTCTTGCTACCGTCGCCCTCACACTGCACCCTCTTCTCGTTCGCAACTTTTTGAATTCCCTTCAATCAAAGTTTTTTTTTTTTTTCGAAACATGGCCGATGCAGACAACCTCTCTCTCCTCAGAAATGTACATTCTGCTCCGAGTCCAAAATCTTCAACAGCAAAAAGGCACTCAAGTACTACAAAAGGGGCTATCATTGCAATGAGTTTGACATTTCATTTGTCAGCCCGCAAGGTGTCAATGGAAATTGTCCAATTATCCGAAAAAATGATTGCTTGTCATATCCTCTTTGTTCTAAGCAATCGAGACAATAACCGGAATGAAAAAACACATTTTCAACAAAGTCTGTCAACAAGACTTGGAAAATGCAGCTGTAATTTCCGAGATTCTCAATAAACACTCATCAACGCTCTGGATCTGCCTGTCCCACAAGATATTTAATCATCTGAACTCATTGATCTACACAGACAGATCCCATCACAAGCGGTTCTCAGTATTCGGATCACCCCAGTGAGCGAAGCTTAGAGAAGCAAGTGCTTTCAGCGTTCGAACAAACTAGATCTGACAGAAAGAAAGAGAGGACTGTTGCAAGCTCAGATCATGGAGGTGGTTCCAGCTTGTGCAAAATATTATCTTGGGATGAGGAAATCCTTTTTGCTCACGTCAACAAGCTTAGTAACTTTCTTCTAGGGATCCTTTTTATGTCTCTGTGGACACAACATTGACACACATTGTCCCTGAAAAGCCATTATGCATTCGGTGCACGCCAGTTCCAGCCCAGGACTAAGCGATCTTATAAAAACTCATTCTATACCAACATTCCTCAACAGAGAGAATATGTTGAGATGAACACGAAGTTCAGTGGCTTTCTTAATGACGATTGGGTTTCAAAGTCAGCATTATGGGAATCGTTTGTGCCAAAATCCTTGCAGAGTGACACCAGAAAGACTCACTGTTGCATTTAGCAGTCATTTCTATATGGATTTTTACATAGGATTTTTATCCTTTTTATTTAACGAAGATCTACGGAACATCTTACTTTCGTTCTCGTTACTTATTATGATCCAAGCATATTTCACTTATGCAATTCTGGCCAACTGCGCTGAGGCTTATGCTTGAAAAAGAAAGTCGATGCCCACTGCGAAGTTTCAAGATCACAAAAGGGGCAGCTTCACAGACTTCAATCCCAGAGTCTGATTCAATACGATATGAAGACATATTGCCGCTAGCCATGATGTTGAAGGATGGTGATTGGGCATAGACGCTTAATGCCCTCATCACCTCTTCACTACGCCTGGATCAAAAAGAGCAACCATCACTTGGTGGCAAAACTGCATCCTTCATATTAAAGGACGAAATGAGCTCATTCAACACAAAGATATACTTGGATCGGGGCTCAATTGAATAGATAATGAAACTTGCGGAAATAGAGAATGATTAAAACTTGCCATGTCGAAACAAATCGAAGTAAATCTATGAGCTCTCAGCCTATAATCTTTGCCGAGCATGGCGGCCTCTCATCCAGGCACATACAATAGTCTATTTGCACTCGCCAATTGCGGTGGTATTGTGAAGGGAGCAGGACGAGCCGCGGCAGTCCTCTTTAATACTATCGCTATTAATGTCTTGAATAAGGGCAAGTGTAATATTTTTGGAACAATATTTTTGCACCTGTGAGCATCCTAATTCCTCATTCTTTTTCTAATCTCCATTTTCACATTTCCTCATTAGCTCATTTCCTTCTTTGCTAACGTTCAAATACGTAAATATATTCTCATGCAGTCTGAAGAACAACAAGACTACCCTGGCTCCCCAGAGGATCACCGCCCATACTCGAGTGAACATCGACGAGAAAGAGAGAGATATGGACGACGAGACAGCGATCGAGATCGGGAGCGAGACCGGGAACGAAGAGAGAGAGAAAGGGCAGAAAGAGAAGAAAGACGTAGGGAGAGAGAACGCGATAGAGAGCAGAGAAGTCGAGAAAGTCGAGATCATCATGGCTCAGTACCATCAACTTTATCATCACAGCCATCGTCACCAACTTCATCACGGTCATCACGAAGACGCAACGATATCAGCTTTAATCATACTCTTGAGCAGTCTCTTGACCAGACGATTGAGCAATTACTCGGGCAGACTTCTAAGCAGACACGTGGGAAAACACTTGATCAGACACTCGAGGAGCTGCTCGAACAGACGTCTGAGCATGCGTTCGAGGATACAATTGAGGATACGCTCGAGGACACATCCGACCAGCCAACCGGTCGGCCCAGTCTTGATCACATTGAAGAGGAAGATCTCAATTTCGATTTCAACTCTCCTCCACGATTGCGGACCAATGTTGAAGAGACGATTAGTACACCACTTAGCCCCAGAGATGAACGAGCGTCAATAGCTTCAGGGTCGACACCAATACCAACAGCGACACTACCACCACCAATGTCAATAGAAGAAGAGATAGAAACAACAGTAATTACAGGAGAAGATGGGGATACAAATGAAGTATTACCATCAACAAGACCTGAAGAATTTAAAGCTACTGTTGCAATGAAGTATACGCCAGAAACGAACCAGGTTGCGCTGACAGAAACAATGGTAAAAAAAAAAAGCTTTATACTTTTAAGCTTCAGAGGAGGAATATAGCTTTATTCGGATCCACTCGATAAATGGAAGTTCATTCGGGGCAAATGTAACACTTGATTTTGATAGACTTGATGATTGTCTCTGCGCCTTTTTCTTTTTTATTGATGCTTTATAGGAAAACGAGGAGGATGTCAGAATTGCAGAACTGAAAGCCAAAATCCAGGATTTACAGAGAGAGGAGCAAGAAATCATCAAATCGATAAGGTCTATCTTTTGTAAATGAAGCGCCTAGTCATATTTCTTTTCTTTTCTTTTTCTTTTATCTGTACTTATATCCACAGCAACTAACATTTATAAACAAACTTTTATTCCATTTTTCATATTTCCTTAGAGGTGAAGGGACACCGGCTGAAATCATCGACAAACACATGAAGGATTTACGCAGATACAATGAGATCAAGGATGTGGGCCAGATTATCCTCGGGAAGGTACATTTATGCTCCTCAAATAAGAAGGATTCTGTTGTAAATCTTTTTAAAAGTCAATTTTCTTGTGAAGAGTTGAACTTGCTGAGCTAACATTAAGCTCGATTTCTTATTTCGATGCTTTCCTATTCTCAAAACAAACAAACAAAAAAGTGTGCTGAATTGGAAGGAACGACCATAAAGAAGCAATATGAAATCTTTGGCCTCGATGTTGATGATTGATTTAGCTGCATGAATAAAAAAAAATACACGTTACACAAAAATGCTGTGCCTTTGAAGTCTTTAGTGACTGCTCTCAGAAACTTACTCAAACACTGCATCACACATCATTCTCACACGTCGACATCATTCATCGACGCGCTATTCAACGAACGCCTTTTTTTTCTTTTCTTTTTTTTCTTATCTGGAAAGACAAAGAAAAAAAAAACAACGACAACTAACTAGGAGGAACAGAGCTGTCGGTATGAGTGCTCCAACAGAGAACATTTATGACGCCCTCGCCTCAGCAGCAGCGGAAGCAGAAGCAGCAGTGGCAGCAGCAGCAGCAACTGATCCTTCAAATGTCGTCAATACAGCCGGTTATATGAATACGGACTCAACTGCAGACGACCCAGCAAACGAATCAGCAACAGCAATAGGAGTAGGTGGCGGTGCCAACATGAGTGGCGCACCACAGGTGGCCCAACAGAATATGCATTTTATTGAAGAAACTGGCCGCTGGACATACACAGATGCTGAGGGTATTTCCTACGAGTATGACGAGAACCTGAAGGCATGGTTTCCAATGGTAAGAGGGTATTAATCGGTGGACCACAGACTTTTTTTTTTTTTTTTTTTTTTTTTTTCTTTTTTTTTTTTTAAAGACAGAGTCTTCCTAATGCCGAATTTTTTTTTTCTTTTTTTCTTTTATGTTTATTTTATCAAGTTTAATGAGCAATTAGTCCAGGCGCAACAATCAGCGTATGGAGAGACAGTACCAGACAGTTATGTAAGTTTTTTTTTTTTTTTTTTTTTTTTTTCATCCATATTTAGGAAAGTAATGTTTTTTTTTATATTTTTTTTTATTATATTTTTCTTAACTCTCTAACCTGTGTTACCATTCTTTTATAGGACGCAGTATACGCAGAAAATTCAAAGCGGAACAAATCTAAACGTAAGGATTACGACAATGATAACAACTCAACAGCAGAGCAGGATGACAATGGTGAAGAACATGTTGCAGAGTTTCTATCAGAGATCGAATCGATGCATGGAGGCAAAAACAATCGATTTAACAAACAGAATAATAAGAGACAGAAGAACAATAATAACCCTCAGGAACGCGAACGGAAACCAAAACCGATCTCATCTGTCTTTGTGACTGGATTGCCGTTCGATACTGATGTTGAGGAAGTAGCCGATGTATTCAAGAAGGGAGGCGTTTTTATGGAGGATGAAAAGGGAGTGCCCAAGATCAAGTTATACACAGATAAGGAAGGCCGTCGGACGGGAGAGGGTCTGGTCTCCTATCTGAGACCTGAATCCGTTGCTTTGGCGATTGATCTGTTGGACGATACAGAGTTCCGGCCTGGAGTGGAAAGAGGACGGGTCCGAGTGCAACAAGCACAATTCAAGGAAAAAGAGAAGCCTGAGCAAACTAAATCAACTTTGTCAGAGGATCAAAAGAAGAAGGTGCAGAAGAAGTATCAAAAATTGGAGAAGTAAGTATATACAACAAACCTGTTATTACTATCCTATTTGTGTTTATTGTGTTTACCCTTATTTTATTTTATTTTATTTTTTTAACTTTTTTTGTTGTTGTTGTTGTTGTATATAATTAGGAAATTGGATTGGTTTGAGGATGATGAGAATTTGGTCAAGGCTGAAAAGTGGAACAAGGTGTGTATTCTCAAACACATGTTCACACTTCAGGAACTGGAGGCAGATCCGACGTTGCTCTTGGATTTGAAGGAAGATATCCGGGAAGAATGTGAAAAGGTTGGAGAGGTTACCAACGTGATCATCTACGACGTAAGTTTTTTTTATTTTTTTTTTTATTTTTTTTTTTTTAAAAAAAAAAAATTCTATATTCTTATTACAATGTGAGCTATCCACTAATGCATACTTTCTTTTTATATTCACATTATACCAATAATATATATATATATATATAGCATCATCCTGAAGGAGTCGTGTCAGTACGGTTCAAGGACAAAGAGTCTGCAGAACTCTGTGTTCGATTGATGTCAGGACGGTATTTTGCAGGTCAAAAAGTGGTTGCAGAGATCTATGATGGCCATACAAAATACGATGTCAAGAAATCAAAAGAGGAATTGGAACAGGAAGAGAAGCAACGATTGGATCGATATGCCAAATGGCTTGAGTCTGAAGAGGAAAAGGAAAAGCAGGCAAAGCAATCTGCTGTTGCAGATGCGCCTACACCTTGAATAAAACAAAATAAAAAAGAAATAAATAAACTTTTTTTTTTTTTTTTCTTTTTTTTTTTTTTTTGTTTTTTGTTGATCTAGGTTGACTTTATTTGTTTTGAATTATCTTTGAATGGGTAATGAAGGGTGGATCGGATGAAAAAGAAAAAAAAAATGGGGTAGAACGGTTAATGTTGTTGGGAGGGGGTAAAAATACAATGATTAGTATTGAGTCTATGTTAGAGTGAAAAATGAGACTTCTTTCCGAAATGCAAGAGGGGACAAGGTTGAAGTAAATGATATGCAGGTGGCTAAATAGCTTCTCGAGCTATTTTCAGCACATTCCGAAAAAGGATCTTCCCGTTGTAAAGTATCCTGCCAGACTCTTCTCGTTTTTGAACTTTTTTTTTTTTTTTTTTTTTTCTTTTTTCTTGTGCCTTTTTAAGCGCTGGGGGCTAGAGTGGCAGTTGGAAACCACGATGCAGAAGGACCACCTTGTCCAGCATACATCATTTGATGATGATGTTCATGTTCATATCCACCATAGACAGCCTGGCATCCAAATGTGAATCGAGAGTTGTAGAAATGGACCATGGCCATGTAATGGTAATAGATGCCTGCAACAACAGCCACATGCCAGAATTGATGAGAAGAACCCCATCGGTCAAACAGACCTGGGAACTGCTTCTCAGGGAAGCGATGTCCATAAAACAACAATCCTGTGACATAAGCCAATCCTGACTTGAAGAAAGGTGCAATAAAGTTCCATGTGTTGATGAATCCCTTCATGTAGGCTACGTAGCTCAAGGGTACAACTCCGGAGCAAGCCATGCCCACAAAGATGAAGATACGGAAGTAACGGAAGCTCGGTAGATCAAAGAACGGGTACAGGGGAAGGATACAACCAATAATGCCCATGCCGAATGAAAAGGCCAAGAAGATCCAGCGCTCTGTGTCACAAAAGAATCCATAGTGCAAAGTAGCCATGACCGAGGCGGTGATGAGGACACCGATGCCGATATAATCCAGTGTGGCAGCACAGCGCATCACTGGTAGACGTGAATGGCAAAGGAACGTGTGATAGAGTGTTGAGCAGATGAGACATTTGGAAGCAGCGAGGAAGAAGAAGAGGAAGACAGCATGGTCCCAGAGTGAGCCATGTTGCAGGAACGTGGTATGGATGTATAGACCGAGGCCAATGAGGCCAAAGAGACCAAGCATATGTGTCCAGATGTTGCAGGTTTCATTATGGATCTTGAAGATGCTCCACAAGCACTGTCGTTTTGAGGACAAGAAACGGTACCTAAACGGGTAGGATATGGTAAATAAACGTCAAGATGTAAATATTCCATTCTGTCATTTAATGATAGTTCTTGGAATAAAGAATATAAAGAAATGAAACAAAGTCGAACGATGTGATTCGCACGTTTTTTTTTTTTTTTTTTTTTTTTTTTTATAAAAAAAATGTGCCTGGATTTAGATTATTGCCCGCCTGCCTTTTAGCCTTCTTCCTCATTTAGGTTGATGGTGGGAAAAACCTTTGAACGAACAAAGTAAAAAAGAAAAAAGCGGGCACAACGTTTATGGAGAATGGGGTAGTTTGTAGTTTGTCACACCATGCTTACTGAGATGATCCAAAATGAACGCCTTTGTTTTTGTTTGTTTTTCTTAGATCTCGCCGGTTTACATTTTAATGATATCAAAGAAAAAAAAAAAAAATTGCACAATCAAACTACATCAGAAAAAAAAAAGAAAGAAAGAAAGAGTGCTATGCATAACACAGCAGCAGTTTGGAGACTTGCTTTGGTACTGGTACACGCCAGAAGAGATATATACACAATAATTCTTCCTTGTATGGTGGGTGATCGAATGAGAGGAGAGGAACTTTAAAAAAGATCCAGTTGGGCGAGTGTTGAAAAAAAAAAATCCAACGGTTGTGTTATATCGTATGATACAGAAATAGGACTCTGAAAAGAATCCAAAACAAGGGAAGAGCAAAAAATTACCAATCTGAATCATGGTCACTTCTTTCATTCTTTATCCTCTATCCTTTATCAATCCTCTTTCCCTCTTTCTCCCCCCGTTGCTTTCCAATGTTCTCTTTTTGAAACTATCTTTTCTGTTTCATACGCTCTGAGGAGAGGGAAAAGGAGAGTATTGCAGAGGGAAGAGGAGATAGAAAAAAGAGTGGAGCGATAAGGTTTCATTTCTCCCCGAGTACAAAAAAAAAAAAAAAAAAAAAAACAACAAAGAGAACATGAACGAAACAAAAAAGAAAAAGAAAAAGAAAACAAGGGGAAAGGGATATGTGAAAAAGAAGGAGATGGGAATAAAGTGGACGTGAATTTAATCCGATTTAGATGTTTTGCTTACCCTGTCAAGATGTATGGGTTACTCTGCCATTCTTTTGGTAATTCCTCAAACCGCAACAATCGTTTTGCTCCTTCAAAAGCAGCCTTGGAAGCATCCCAGGTCTCGCTCATTTGGTTTTCTACCACCCGGATGGTCTCGTTTGCAGAGGCTTTAGTGGATCGCCAAGTTGCTGCGACAGTCTCATTCGTTTTAGAGATAGAGTCGCCAATTGTGTCCTGCAAATCCCCAATAGTATCTTGCATGTTGTGCAAGAGATTGGATTCCACTTCAATATATGCATCAGGGCCATCATCATCGTCGAGTTTAGATTTAGTAGATGAAGCTGGACGCTGTTGTGATACTAATGGGCTAGAGGCAGTGGTAGTGGCGGAAGAGGAAAGGGCTCTGCCTGGCCTCTGACGAAGCGTAGATACCATTTGTGCGTTGTTGGTTCAAAAGTAATAAATAAATAAAAAAGATAAAGATAAAGATGTGGGATGAATGTATAAATTGAGAATTAGGATGCGATTTAATGTTAAAGATGGAAAGAGGTATATCGAGATATGTCAGTGTAGAGAGAGATAAGGAGGAGAGGAGAGTGAGGATGAAGATGGGGATAAGGAGGCACAGGTCAAAGAGCAAGGGACCTTATGAAGAGAAGAGAGGAGAAGAGAAAAGAGAAAAAAGAAAAAAAAAAAAGTCATGAACAAGTGTCTTTTAAAAAAAAAAAAAAAAAGAGCTGATCTTCATCCGACCCACTGCGTGGATGTAACATGCTCATCTTGTACTAAAGCAAAGTCGAGCAAATCGAGTAGCAAGAGACCAGTGACCAATGTCGGGTCATGGACGGGTGAACGTTGTTCATTTTCTCCCTTTTTTGAACTTTCTCTCGTCTACAAATCTACAAATACATTCTACACTAAAAAAAATATCGTTAGTTAAAAAGCAGCTGGACTATGGATGACATGTCTCTTTCTCCACCCTCTTTCTCTCTTTTTTATTTTTCCACACATTGATCTTTGTCATCGGATGAAATAGCCCACCGACAGCCATGACGATTTTTATTTTCTTCTGTGTAAGCCTCAATCCATTAGCCTTTGTTTTGTTTCGGGAAGGTTGGCGTATGGTGTGGATGTTAAAATGAAATGTGTCCTACACTCCTGTAATGAATATGAGAATATGACTGAACATGCACATTTACAGCATTCCCAAGTCTCTGCTTTAGACTAGCAAGTATGGCTTACTACCGTATAGTTCTTAAAAATAAAATAAAATTGGCTTGATTAAGCATTGAGGAGATTCAAATTTATATTTATTTTCTTTAAATATACCTTTATATTTGTTTTCCATCTCTTGCATTTGTGCTGACAAAGAGGCAATTCATCGACCCATTTTTGTATACAAAGCTTTTCCACACATAAGTCATACTAAAGAAACTCGCCTAGTAGTTTCGATGTCGTAGACTAAAGAGCCCTTAAACTCCCTTAATGCCCAATTGCAATCATGAGGTATACATTTTAGAGCGTACGCATGCCACATGTACACTCATGTACAAAAAAGATCACATCAGTCAACGACGTGCACAGACTTGGACTCATCTCAATGATCTCTAACCCGGTAAACACCAATAATAAATATCTCCTCAACAACCTGCCGGACCCTCCTCCTTTTTGTTGAAAGACGTTACTGGCTGTCAAAATACTTCTCATCAATTAATAAACGCGGAGATACCAAAGCCTAGATAACCTCGGTCTTTTTTTTTCATGTATCGTTCGTTTGGGTCTCTCGTTCAAAATTTGGGTGATCAGATTTAGATTTTGGATTAAGACTGTTGTGACAGTTACTGGACTGAAAACTAACTGTTCTGTGGCCATGGAAGGTTGGTTCTTGCCCTTGTCCTGAACAAGCCAATTTACACCAGTCATTTTAGTGTTTCTCTCACGATATCGAGGCTTCCTATCCAAATCAGCCTTAAGCTATCCCAGAACTGGCACTCTCCTTTCCTTGTTTCCATATCAAAGCTCATTTGAACCAAGTCATAAAAAAAAACTAAGTGAGGTCAATAATAAAATCCAGGCAACATTTCGATAAAAGATTAAAAGTGTAACGGACAAAGCACAAAGGATACAAGACGCAGACAGAAAGGAAACATCCGATTACTTTCAAATAATAAAGAAACTCATCTCCATGGAAGTCAATAAGGATGAGGCTCTAAGATGCCTCGACATTGCGCAGCGGCATTTGGACAATGGAAACTTTCAAAGTGCTCGGAAGTTTGGCCTCAAGTCCATCTCGCTCTTCCCAACACCGCAAGGAGAAGCATTCATCACAAAAGTTGCAGTAGCCGAGGAATCAGCATCAGCATCGACAACTTCGGCATCAGCTTCAGGCAATGCTTCACATAGAACAAACAGCTCACCAGCTACTTCAGGGACAGGGCATTCATCCGCTCGACCAACGTCAAGTCCACTAAGGTCACGATCGACTCCTTCAACAGCACATACACATAAGCCTGTAGAACGAGATTATACGCCAGAACAGGTGGCCATGGTCAAGACCATTCGATCTTCAGGAGGTGATTTCTACAAGGTCCTTGGAGTAAAGAAAGACGCCACAGATACGGAGATTAAGAAGGCATATCGCAGGGTAAAGCAAGCAACAAAAAGGCCAAATGCCAACATCTCATTATTTTCAACAATTGATTATAAGACCTTTGGATTCTTCTCCAACGTCTCTGACCTTCTTTTATCTTTTTCTTTTCTTTTTCTTTTCTTTTTTGTAAAGCTGGCATTGCAAATGCATCCGGACAAAAATGGAGCACCAGGAGCGGATGAAGCGTTCAAGAGTAAGATGATCTTTAGATTATTACTATCAATTTTTTTTTCTTTTTTGCCTCAGATCTATGGTCCACTCTATAATACTCATCCACCAAGCTTTATTTTTTTTTATTTTTTTTTCCTTCTAAAAACATTGTTTAGTCGTGTCCAAGGCCTTTACGGTATTAAGTGACCCTCAGAAACGGGCTATCTTTGATCAGCATGGACCTGATGAAAATAAGAACTCCAGTGTTAACTATGATCGCGCAACACCTACAGGACATCATCCATTTGGATATTCTCGTAGAGGGGGAGCGTATGGAGAAGAAATTTCACCAGAAGAACTCTTCAACATGTTTTTCGGTGGCGGAGGATTTGGAACCCGTAAGTGGATTTATTATTCGCTAATTCGGTACTTGCCTTCTTTTTTTTTTCCTTCTTTTTTTAACGTTTTGAGAGGTTTCTTCATCGAAAAATATATATAGCATTACATTCAACAACTTTTGCCAGACCACGGGCCCAACAAACACATTATCACCAACAACGTCAACAACATTATCGTCAACAACATCAACGACAGCGCCAGCAGCGTGCAGCTAGGAACAATAACTTCAATAACGATGACTTTGGAAGTGGTCTTGGAAGCTTCATTCAACTGCTCCCTTTCTTTTTACTCATCCTTGTCACCTTAACGTCAAGTTTGTTCTCATCTGATTCCAGTTACTCTTCTTCATCATCACCATCCAACTCTATCCTTACTGATTTTTCATTACGTCCAAAAGATCAATACACAACCGCCCGTCATACTACCATCAGAAATGTTCCTTATTTCGTAAACGACGTCCGGTTCATGAACACTTATTTTCCAGGACAGCAATTCGAATTCAAATCCACAGGTGCTCGACAAATGAACGTGAAGCCGGATCATGTCACACTCCAGGGCCTACACGTCGGACCATTGTTTAAGCGGATGGAAGAAAACGTGGAGCTGGCTTATCTCAGAGATATGCAGGTTCGTTGTAAGGATGAAAGACGGAAGAAAGATGAAGCTCGGAATAGAGCTATGGGCTTCTGGGGCGCTGATCCGAAATTGTGGCAAGAGGCTCAAAAAATGGGAACACCCAGTTGCGAGATCATTCGACAAAAATATGGCAAGGCCTATGTACGTTAAGAGATTAATAAAAAATAAAAAATGATGCTTAGATACCATTCATAATTAGATACAGTTCTTACCATTGATAAAAGGAAAGAGAATCTTCATTACATTAGTAATAAAAAGAAAAGTAATAAAGATCTTACCGTTGTACCTATCCTATTTCTCATCCCCTTTGTGTAAAAAATAGGCCTGGAGCCGCTATGTTTATATATTAAAGCTCCTGAGCGATCTCCTCATCTTCTGCTTCTTAAAGAATGGATTTTTCTATTTGCTTGTTTGAGGAAAACAGAGTGTTGTTCATTCGAGTGTTCCCTATGCCTCGGCGGTCTGGCCATAGACTCAGGCAACTAGAGCTCAGAAGTCTCGAAACGTAAGCTAGGCTTCATTGATCGGGTCCTAGAATGTCTTTTAGGAGTTGGAAAGGAAGAAGATCAAAGAAGAAGACACTACCTAGCCACCGTATCATCCAAACAAAATTACGATGTGGCCTCTACAGTTGCCTAAAAAGAGTCAATGGATTTTTTTTTTTTTTTTTTTTTTTTTTTTTTGAAAACCTCGACAAACAGCTCAATCAGCATGTAAGTTTATACATTTGGCAAAGAGGTCCATGTGATTATCTGTTAGGCTTTTGAGGATGTATTATATGTGGAATAACCGAAAAAGGAAGAGCTTATAGTTGTTTTTTCGCAGATGAACGTATCTCAGCAGAGCTGGCCAATACTTCTGTCAGTGGCACTATCGTCGCTTTTACACGATGGTGATGGCCTTGGCGAAGGGGTTCTGTACAAGGAAATACCCCGCTATATCTGCTTACAAAAGAGGCATTCATTAACACTGTGCAGCAGAAGCATGCATGATACGTTACTTGCCAAGTTGCCATCTCCTATCCCTGTTCAATGTCTCGCGGCGAATATTGGTCGTGTGGCAAATGAGTCTTGTATCCTAACCTTTATTGAACCCCTTGTCTTCCTCAAGAAGTTTTCATTTATGACCATCCCATGATATAAAGGCCCAAATACTCGAGGTGCTGATCGAGGATGACAAAGAAGAAAAACCTAGGATATTACACATGGAGCATTGTTTATTAGAATGCTTTGTAGATAGACAGTACCTTATTTAATCTCAGTTATTACGGTACCTCTTCACCTAACCTTCATTTTTTTTTCTTTTTTTTTTTCCTTTTTTTTTTTGATTACGAGGGCCCACAAGGTCATCTCTATAAATGAGTTGTCTTCTCTTATCCTTCATGTCTTTCCTTTTTGGTTGTCAGCTCACTCCTCGACTATTACTCTTGTACAATGCTCTTGATTGTTCATACATTTAGTCATTTTGCTATTTATTTGATCATAGTGTGTATTGGGAATGAAGGAGCTGTGGCACTGTCAAAGGCGCTCAGGACTAACACCACTTTGGCCACCTTGAACTTGAGGTGTAACTCAATTGAGAAGAAAGGGGCTTTAACACTGTCGGAGGGACTCAAGGCTAATACAACTTTGAGCACTTTGAAGTTGGAGGGGAGAAAGCAGCCTTGGCACTGTTAGAAGTAGTCAAGATTCACGCGACTTTGACCCTTTATAAATGAAGGCGCCTCGATCGATAAAAAAAAGAAAAAAAGAAGCCTTGATGCTGTCAGAGACATTCAAAACTGGCAGGCTTTGAGTTGCTTGCCTGGTATTTAAGGAGGATATGCAGCCAAATGGTCAGAGCGGCGTCTACATGTCAATGTTTTGAAAATTTGATATCTCGGGATATTATTTTAATTCAATGAAAGGCCAACGCACAGTTTCCTACAATGGGTGGCAGCAAATAACACAATGCCTTTCGAAGAAGCATTTCGCCAAGAGCCGCCTAAACTAGACGGTTACTGGAAGAAGGTAGTGTTCTCTGATGCGATCATAATCAGTAGGAGCTGGTCGTTTGAACAAGCCATAGTTGTATCCTACATTTTGGAAGGTCATGTTTTATCCAGATTCTTTGGCTTTGGATACTATATATCTCTCTAATGTTCTGACTTCTCCTAGCGCTCCTTCGAATACGATGCGCGCAGTGCTTTCACTGTCTGCAGGTCACTTCTCCATTTCTCGCTCCATCTTTCGCAAAAAGGAAGATGGCTTGGATGGTTATGAAATTGCTTTTTATCACAATACTTCTCAACGTTGGGACGCGATAAATGCAAATATCCAAGACATATACACAAGCTCATATCCAAGCAGTAAAGAGTGAGCCTTAATATTAATGATCGGTATTTTGATCCAGCCACAACTCCTACAGCCGTGTCAGAAAACAGATCAGAGAATGTGATGGTGCTGACAGATAGAAGTATGCTTGTATATACAGGCCTATCGTATATCTGGTGACCTTTCTCTAGACCCATGTTTTCATTTTACGATTCCGGAAACATTTGAATTGATTAGGACGTAACTTACAGCACATAGTGTTGACAATAATAATGCTTACAGCCGTAAGAACGTTGTTGGATACCAAGCTGAAGGTAGAAGAAGAAGAAGATCTGATTGATGCTCATTTAATTGCATCAGATAGTAGTAATTGCCAACTCGAGACGAGCAAACCAAAAACAAGCCCATCATGAAGCTTTTAGGCCTGCTGGTTGTAACTCTGTACGCCAGAAATCCCCAAAGAGAGGACGACAAAGCCGCATCATACGTCTATCCTCTTCATTTCAATAGTTTAAGTTGCTTTTTAATTCTCCAGCCAATGTGGGGGAAGGCACCATGGCTAGTCATAATAGATCCGATATCATTCAAGAACAATCCCATAACCAACAGTGGTCTACTTCAACCTCGGTCAAAGATCATAAATGGATAGTATAGAATGGTATTGAGCCTTGGATGGGATCAAGATCGGCTAATTGAGCACAACAACTTCACTAAGCCCAACAAGTTGCGAAGGGGCATCTGAAATTCAGAGACCATACCACATTAGACCTCGCCCAGTTGAAAAACAAAAACAAAAACAGAAACAAGAAACAGCTACACTGCATCCCTTACTCAAAAGAGAAATGAGGGGGCACTTGTCATCCTGTCTTCATCAATCGAGTTGTTACCGAAATGGAACTTCAATACCAACAATTCCGAAAGGCCGACATCATTGAAAAAGTTTGTGTCAGAATTGCTTCTACTTTTACAAGCAATGGCAACCCATCTTGCTATGTGAGTTTGCAAGACATTCGGGACGCGTTCCCAGATGCAGCGCGATTCAAGTTGAACGGACTTCCTATTCCATTCTTTATAGACCCTAATGGCAATAGGTATACTGCTACTTATGACGCGCCTTATCGATTGCTCTGGAAAGAAGACAAGCCAATTCAATTCAGTATATTTCTTTATAATAGAATTGAGCCTCCATGTATTGCGTTCTATCCTAATAAGGTCCTGGATGTCATTACAGAGGCACCACAGCCCAACAACATCAACATCAACAGCAACAGCAACAGCAACAACAGCAACATATACAGCAATACAGTCATTCATTTGCCTGGATTGAGAAAGCCGGGAAATCAAGCCTCGCAAGAATCACTTTTGCCATTATCAAATCTGATTCAATCTTTCAATTTATTTCTTATTACTCCCAGCGATACACAAATCGAGGCGATCAACTCTAATCTTGAGAAGATTGCAGAATTGCTGTTGGAGGCCAGCAAGAAGGATGAGAAAATTAATCTGTTGGAAGCCCAAGCGAAGGGAGATACAATGAATAATCTACTACTGGAAGTTAAGGAAAAGGATGACAAGATAGTTAGTCTTCTGTTGGAAGCCAAAGACAAAGGTGATGATATACTTAGGCTGCAAGACAAGGTGCTTTGCCTGCAGGACAAGATACTTAAACTGCAATCAGAGGCCAAGGAGAAGGATGACAAAGTGCAACATCATTCGACGTACAAAGAGAGTGGAGAGAAAGTGTTAGAAAATGCAATGAAGACGAATGGCGGCAGTTATGATTTGCACCTTGGCAAAGCGACTATCACATTAAAATCCAGAGACAGAGCTGAAGAGTTCTTCAATGCCCTAACCAATGCAAAACGTGTCTATGACCTGGACGTTACATTCGACTGGGATTGGACAGAGACTGATCTTGCAGCATTTGGGAGCGCGCTAACTCTTTCAAGTATATCGATTCTTCGACTTGGGCTTGGGCGATCTCAAGGAAACACCAGCAAAAAAGTGGTTTCAACATCCAAAGGGCACGAAACGCTTGCTCGCATCATAGAACTCAGCAATATGAAAATGATACATATTGTTCTACCTCCAGATCTCATAAAACTGCTCATTTTATGGCCCAGGAGACCGCCGCACCTTCATAAGCTAACATTTGAGATGGGATTTCATTCAATTGGAGCCAGCGGATTACCCGTACTTGTAAATTCACTCAAGACTAGCACGACTCTGGCTATTTTAAACTTGGAGAACAACTTGATCAGGGTTGATGGAACTGTGGCACTGTCAGAGGCACTGAGGACTAACACGTCTTTGACAGCTTTAAACTTATGTCGCAACGCAGTTGAGGATAAGGGAGCTGTAGCACTCTCAGAGGCACTCAAGACTAATACAACTTTGACCATTTTAGAATTGGGAAGCAACTCTATTGGGGTTAAAGGAGCCATAGCATTATCAGCGGCACTGAAGGCTAACAATACTTTGACGATTTTGGATTTGAGTAGCAATTCGATTGGAAAGAAAGGAAGTCTGGCACTGTCAGAGGCACTAAAGGTTAATACAAGCTTGATTACTTTGAACTTAGGGAAAACCTTAATTGAGAATCAAGGAATTTTGGCGCTCTCCAAGGCACTCAAGGTTAACAAAACTTTGATCACTTTGGACTTGAAGGGCAATACAATAGGAGAGAAAGGAGCGCTGGCGCTGTCAGAGGCAACCAAGGCTCGTACAACCTTGACCATCCATAAATGAGAGTGTTCAATCGATAACCAGAGAGCCTTATTGCTGTTTGAGATACTGCACGACTTTCTTTTTTTTTTTCGTCATTTGAGTAACTTGATCATTTATATAGTATTTAAGAAAATTAAATAAATAACTGACTTTTCAAAGCAATGAGTTCTTCGATATTGGTTCTTCGATATTAGTCCTTCGATATTAGTCCTTCGATATTAGTTCTTCGATATTGGTTCTTCGATTACTTGCAGAGTAATTCCCCCATGTCAGCTTTGCTGAAAGCCCATTTATTTTAATAATACATTACTTCATTCTTATTCAAGGAAAGGCTGCTTCTTACAATGATAAAATATCAGGCTACATGACATAGAAACAGTAAAGACGGTTAATCAAGTACAATAGCTCCATCAAGCTAGTCCAAAAAGGTTTCTGACGAATAAGTATTTTCACTTGCACGCGAAGTTGAAAAAAAAAAAAGGGGGGGAAGGGAATCAATGCATCGATGCATCGAAATGGCGGAGTATCAGTATCAACAATTTCGAAAGGCTGGCATCATTCAAAAAGTCTGTGTCAGAGTTGCTTCCACTTTTGCGGGCAATGCCAACTCATCTTGCTATGTGACTTTGCAAAAACATCCGAGACGTGTTTCCCGGTGCGTTGCGATATAAGTTGGAGGAACTTCCTATTCCGTTCCTGATGGAAACAGGCATATTTATTATTGATTATAGTACGTGCCGCACCAATTGCGACTTTTTCAACATAGAAAACGAAGGAAACCAATTTGGCATACTTGCATCTCATTAGAATCGAGCATCTGCGCATTGTGTTCTATACTTACAAGGTCCTGGACGTCATTACAGAAGTGTCGCAGTTAGTGACAGTGACAACGACAACAATAGCAAGCATGGCTAGCCATTTGCCTATATCAAGCAAGTCGACAAATCTAGTCTCTCAGGGCCCTCTATTACCATTATCTATGCAAAACAACACACGGTTCGAGATAACCAATTCTAATCTTGAGAGGATTGTGGAATTGCTGCTAGAAGCCAAAGAGAAGGACAACAAGATGAGTAGTCGGCTACTGGAAGCCAAAGAGAAGGCTGAAAAGGGGAATGGCTTGCTGCTGAAAGGCAAAGAAAAAGGATAGCGAGATACTTAAACTACAAGGAAAGGTGCCTGAGCTGCAATTGGAGGCGGAGGAGAAGGACGATTGATGTATATTTCATAATACGCAAATGACACCAGCTCCACACCAGCAAAATCGTTAAAACTAAAGTATATTTAATCATTTAATCATTTAATCAAAATCTAACATGTCCATAGTACGTCTTGTAAATACAAGCATTCACGTGTACGCCTTCTATATACGACGTTCTGCGATTAAACGTGTAGACTTGTGAGATTTAGATGTATTGATTTCTGATAATAAAATAAATAACCCTTGGGTGTGGTATGTGGGCCCACATCTTACGCTCACTTGCCCTCGTATTCACATACCTGCCTACAAAATATTTTTCAACGATAAAACACAGCGTCAAGCCCTCAACAGACCTGCCGTCCTTCAAAAGCACTTTATCCTGCCTTCTAAAGTCATATTTCTTCAAACTTTGAGAGTAGAACGAAGTAAAGAATCGCTTCAAGTGCAAGTTCGAGGCAAAGAAAGTCCGATGGTTTTTTTTTTTTTTTTTTTTTTTTTTTTTTTTTTTTTAATACTCTTTAATTAAGGTAAGCCATAGTCTATGATACACAAAACAATCAAGGGAATATAAAATAGATGAATAATAAAAGGACACACATCTGTGTATTTCTAATCGATCATGATGGATTCTTGTTCATGTCTCCTTTCTTGCTCCTTCCGTTGCTGTTGTTGCAGCTGTTGCAGTTGCTGTTGCTGTTGTTGTTGTTGCAGCAGCCTTGGTCCTTCAGTACTATTATGCTTCATCGCATCCCTTGGAACTGAAGAAGAAGATGAGGGCGAAAATGACGACGTTCGTATCGGAATCGGAATCTGAGCGTCCTTACTGTCCATCCAAGGTCTATATGCTGCATCCTTAACATCCTTTAAGGCCAGTGCCATCTTCACCCTCTCAACCTCTGCATCTTCAGCCGCTGCAGTGGCAGCAGTCGCCTTGGATTTCCTTGAACCTCGTTTCTTTGGACCGCCCGCGTCCGTTCTACTGCCTCTAACGCTATTACTTCCGCCTCGGCGACCATTACCACTTTGTTTGGTTTTAGTCTTATTATTATAATCATCATTAATGTCCTTACTGTTGGAGCGGATCAAAGCCTCCTCCTCCTCATCTTCTTCTTCATTATTATTATCATCGAGCTTATTATTTTCATCGTCCTCATCATTATCGACCTTCATCTCTCTTTCTTCCTCATTCCTCTCATCTTCATCCTCCTCATCCTCCTCATCCTCCTCATCCTGGTCATCTTCATCATCCCCATCATCCTCCTCTTCTTCCCCCTCTCCACCTCTTTTCACCCCTCCTCTCTCTTCCTCCTCTCGCTCCCGCAATAGCCGCTCCTTTTTCTTTTGCTGCATTCTCGCTTTCTGCAAACGTTCATGTTCCAACAATCTTTCTTGCTCCTGCTCAACCTGCTCTTTTTGATCCTTGTGCATAATACTCTGATGTCGACGGACTGTGCTGATTGAATTATAAGCCTTGGTGCATCCATCGATCCCACAAACAATCTCTTCTGTGATATGACGAGCCTCATGTCGATCCAAATGGAACTTGTCCATAAATGATTTGGAGCATCCTTCAAAAGAGCACGGGTATTTGCGAGGACGTTGCGGTACTGGTGTTGATCGACCACTCGTCTTATGGACACCTGACTTCGCTGCCTTGTTTGTCGTACCAGTATCGATTTCATCTTCCTCATCATCTCCTCCATCAGCACTCCCTGCAGATGGTTTTTTACCGAATTCTGCTGTATATGTTGATGCCGATACCATTCCACGCTTCTTCTGTTGACCCTTACCAAGTTTAGTTATTCTACTTGTGGTGGTATTGGTTCCAGTGTCCGAGTCTTCGTTCAAAGACTGTTGTTGTTCTTTAAGCTTTTTGAATACACGCTTCTTCTTCAGAGGCTGTGCTGGACTTGGGCCAGGTGATCCACCTCCACCACCAACAGCACCACCATCGAGACTATCGGGGGTGTTGCCTCGTTCTGGCGAATCCAAGTCAATGTCCATATCCAGTTGACTCAACACTGCCAGCCTTGCTAGACTAGAATCCTTCCGTCCTGTCATGTTCATCATCATGGATGGGATTCCCTGCTGCACGTACAGTGGTCGGGGTTCATTGAGAAGCATTTCTTGATCTATTATTGCAATTTTTTTTTTTTTTTTTTTTTTTTTTTTTTTAAAAAAAATAAGAAAAAAAGTTAGTAACGTTGTTGGTAATTGCTGTCATGTGCTAACATCGGATTTTTTTTTTTTTTTTTTTTTTTTTTTTTTACCCGAAGTCCATAGAGGGACGATAACTTCGCCGCCCAGAGTCTGGAAGACGTTGGAAGCTCGGCCCCATTTGCGTGCTCGCCGAGTTTTGTCGATGACAAATACTGGAGGAGGTTTAGGAGTCAAATCCACAATGATTTTGTTTTGCCCACCTGTGATTGACTTTGTGCTGACGCCACCACCACTACTTCCACCCAATGTAGAAGAAGAGGTAGTCGTTGGATTTTGTTGCACTGCTGAAGACTGTTTCTTGTTAGATCGTCCAGATGAAGTAGTATTCATTTTGCCTGTGCTCGTAGATACAGTGTTAGCATCGGTTATTGTATCTCTCGAAGACGTCATGTCCTGGTCCCGGACATCTTTAATCGATAGTTCTGAAACAACATCGTCTAATGATAACCATCATTAGGACATTTTTTTATTATGTTTTGAGATCGACTTTTTTTTTTTTTTTTTTTTTTTTTTTTTTTCAAAATAAAAAGATTTTGCTCACCTTTGTCATTTTGTTCAGTTTCCATATCTTCATCCTCATCGCCTTCTTGTTCTTCCTCGGTAAGTTCCTTCTTGACTAATCTACCAGCATCATCGTCATTATTGTCGTCGTCCTCCTCCTGCTTTACGTCTCTTCCTTCGCTATCATTTTTATCTTGTTCATTTTTCAATGGCTTCGATTCTATTACTGTTGACGATCCATTTGAAATACTGGCTTTCCGTTTTGATGATGAGGAAGGTGGTGGGGACTTTGTGCTTGTAATGGAGGTTCTCAAGGGGCTGGGCTTGATCGCTGCAGATGTTGTATGTCCTGTCTTGATTTTTTTCAATGGTGGCTGTTGTTGTTGATTACTTGAATTTGATAATGACTTTTTGTTGTTCCCTGTGTTCCCTGGTGATGATGATGTAACCAGTGACTTTGTAGAGGAATCATCCACTCCTTTTGTTGCGACGCCTTTGGATTGAGTTTTGGATTGGTTTCTACTGGCACTATGACCATTACCGTTTTCTCCCGCTGTCATGTTAGCAGCAGCAGCAGCGGCAGCAGCGGCAGCAGCAGTTGCCCTACTCTGTCTGCCTTGTCTAGATCCACCTTCATTATTCTGTCCTGAAAGACCAGGACCAGATCCAGTAGTGGATGTGGGTGTAGACGTAGACGTAGACGGAGCTATGGACTCATTAGCATCCTGTAATGCTGTGATGACACCAGGAGTAGGTTCGTCATTATCATAGACACAAACAACATTTTCACCTCCACTCTTTAGACAGCTGGAACACGTTGGTTTCAGTCGATCGCATTTAGTCTTTTTCATTCTACAGCGTGCACATGGACGGAACACACCAGGTCGAGGCCCAATTGGACCTCTTGACCCTACTCCTGATCCAGATCCAGTCCCAAATCCAGTCCCAGTTCCGCCACTGCTACTACTGTTATCGCCACCTCTTGTTCGTCCAACTCTGATTTGTAGAATAAAAAGTTTAGTGCAATTTTTTTTTTTTTTTTTTTTTTTTTTTTGAAGGGAGAGACAATAAAGAAAGATCAGCATCTATTGTATTTTACAAATAAAGTAACTTTTTTTTTTTTTTTTTACCTTGAAGTTGCTGATGGGTTGTCATTATCAGAAATGGATGCTGATGTATTGTTTACAGCAGATGATCTTTCTGCGAGATCATCGAGTGTAGATTCTGCATCGGAAGACATGATGCACAAAAAAAAAAAAAAAAAAAAAAAAAAAAAGAGGAAAAGCTAAGAGATGATTATTATTAAGATGAATGTATGAAGTAATAAGGCGTTAATGTCAATGGTTGTGAATGAAAGAGGAGCTAGGGGATAGGAAGGATTGTTTTCCGCTGAGTAATTGAAGAGAAAGAGAGAGAGAAAAGGAAGAAGAGTATCGTCGTAACACGAAGAGAGAGAGAGAAACCGATAGACGCGTACAATTGGACGTGTGTAGGTCACTCGAAGCGAAAAAAGAAGGAAGAAAGGGAGGAGATCGAATGAATTTGTGGAAGGAAAAGAGATGATGAATGTCAGAAGGATGAACAAGTGTTGGGAACAAGTAAAAGGAAAAGGAGAAAGGAAAAGGAAAAGGAAAGAGGCTGGGAAGAAAGTTTAAAAGCTTTTTTTATCCCGTCTCTTTTTTATTTAGTCAAGAACAAGAACAAGAACAAGAACAAGAAGGAACAGCATCAGAAAGGATTCGATCAATGGGAGGAGGGGTCGATGGATTTTAAAGCCTTTTTGTTTGTTTGTTTGTTTGCTTCATGCAAACCAGATCGAATGATTCATTCATGGGGGAAATAAAATGTTTGTTCTTTTCAAAACACATCACTGGACATGGCATGGATATCCTGCCCATAGTCCATAAGAGCTGTGCAGAGCAGATCAGACCACGTTTCCATTGCTTGCTCATCTATGCCCACCAATGCCAATCTTTGCTTATCATGCTCGTTGCATCATGCTTAAAAACGTCTCCTATGTTTATTATGTCCAATGCTAATGCCTCCTTCCCCTTTCCCTACAAAGTACACCATCAAAAGTTTACTAAAGTAGATCTACTATTTACAGTACATGTACATGTTTATCTTGTATTTATACCCATAAACTTTGGTTATTTTTTGATCCAAAAGAGCCATTAATCACTAACACAGCAAACATAGACCCCACACGCACTCAAAATCATGAATAAATGACAAATGACATGTGCTCTCTCTTTTTACATCCAAACATTCCCAGGGGAGAAGCTTACATTTACCATGTTCTATGTATAACATGTATACTTTATATATATTATATATATATATTTACGTACATCTTTATAATCCGTATTATATCCATAACTATTTTTTTTTTTACTTTTATTTTACACGGAATGAAGCTGTTAAATGGAGTCTCTTCTTCACATCCAATTTGTTTATACACTCTACCATGCCCAATATACTCCCAATTACATAAAAAAAAATATCACTCATTGTCGTTGTCATTACACCTAACATAATCTTTCTTTTTTTTTTTTTTTTTTTTTTTTTTTTTCTCATTCTTTTTTTATCTACTGATACTTGCGTCGGACTGATGGTCTCAACACCTCCTCCTCTCCTTCTTCTATTTTCATCCTTTCAATTGCTCCATTCGGTCCTTTAATCGGTCTATCAACACCAATATGACCATCCTCATTCACATGACTGACATTGTATCCATGCCATTTCGAGCCTGCTGGAGCCATCATCCCTCGATCAAACTCCCTATGCTGTTGTTGTTGTTGCTGATGATGATGATGTTGATATGGCTGCTGCTGATTCTTTTGAAGTTGCTGTGATTGCATCGCTTGATAATATTCCACCTGAACCGACGATCCTAATCCAACAGGCACCGTTGGCGAAACATATTCTCGACCACCAACATGTAAAGGTCCGGTGGAAGGAGACTGTGGCTCTTGGGCTGAGTAGTTTGGATGATGCTGTTCTTGATTGGTTTGTCCGTAATTATAGTCATCTTTATGATGCTGTTGCTGATGATTACGAGGAAGAAGAGTAAGTGGAGCATGCTCAGCTGCACGTGAATGACTCGCTGAAGGCGAATGTGACCCATTTGAATGTGGGTGCTGATGCTGCTGTTGATGCTGTGCATGTGAATGAACAACAAATGTATGGACATTCTGCTGTCCCCCAAGCTGACCTCGTAAAGCCTTCTCAATTAAAGGAACAGGAGGTGTACGTGATAGTGACCGGGACACAGATGGCGGTGATGGATATCGCTCTACCACAGGTGAGTGTCCCGATCCTGAGATGCGCCCATGTACTGGTCGAGGATGACTTTGTTGGTACTGCCCCTGCTGCACAAGGCCCTCATGCATCTGTGGCCCCCGTAATTCTCGTGGTCGCCCTGCTTCCATCCTACCTTGATGTAAATCTGCATTATGTGTTATAGCGCCAGAGTGCCACCGTTCTTGGCCTCCTTCCACTATCAATACTTCATCACCACGTGCTCCCTCCTCATTGATGCCTACATGTCCATGACGAAGAGGTGCATAAGGGCTAGGGTGTTCTACAGTATAATGCTCCTCACGTCCATTGGCATTATCGCTGTACATCGATCCTAACGGTCTCTTTAACCCTGCTACAGGTGCTGGTCCTGGTGCTGTTGGTGAATAATCTGCTGGACCCATCCTAACTGCCCTACCATTATGAGTTGTAGGCATTTCTTGCGCCCCTAACGCTGGTCCACGTGGATCCATTCCGCCAAAATTTCTACTTGTGCTACCGCTTGCCATGGTCATTGTGCGGATCGATATCGGTGATCGTGGTGATGAGCTCGAGGACATGGTCCGTAATCCCACCCTTGATGTATCAACCGCAATGCTTGGGCGCTCTTCTCTATTTCTGTTCAAAATGTTCCCATTATTGTAATCTGCTCCTTGTGTCCTATGATGGAAAAAAGGTTGGCTAACTTGGTGGTAAACATAATGTTGACCATGACTGTAATCCGAGCTAGAATATTCAGGACGGGTGATTGGCCGCGATGAATGAAACGCTGAATCGGTTCCGGATGGCGCTTGCCCTTGTGTTTGCCCTTGTGTTTGCCCTTGTGCTTGTCCTGGACGAGACGTGCTCTGCTGAGGCGAAGTATATTCAGTGTCCGGCTGTGTCATAGGCAATGTGGATGCACCTGCGCTGTCCATATAAGGATCAATCTCAACTCTATTGCTTCGTGGCGGGCGAGAGTAATTGCCATGGGAAGAGGTAGAAGGAGATGATGACGGACGCGAGTATCCAGTACTAAATCCATGATGATGAGCGCCAATATCTGACGCATCAGAGAGCGGCGTATGCGAACTCTGCTGGTAAGGGTGGGAGGAATTAGGGGGTAAGGTTGCTGTGCTGAGGTGAGGTGGCTGCGGTCCAGTAGGACGTTTTATTTGATTGTGCTGTTGCTGATGCGATGAATCAAAGTAGTCTTGACCATCAGTCCCGTCGCTCCTATGAGGTTGCGGCCAGGCAGATGCTCTAGGGTTAGACACATGCTCATTTGTTTGTGAGCTGCCATGGCCATCAAGATAGTGCCGTTGTGGAATAGTTTCTGGAGCACGACGACTATGATAGGGCTGATTGTGGTCTTGTCCATATTGGGTGTTAGACTGTGAGCGATCATAGGTGGCTTGAGGGGGAGGAGGCATAGGCGAGCGGCTACCAGAGGTAGCGGTAGACGCTGCACCGCCAGGGCTCTCTAACTTGGGCGAAAACATCAATACTGGGGACGATCTGGATCGGTCACCATCTACTACCCGATGGTTTGTTTTCGTAGATGAGTCTGTTACGCCACCAGCACTTTGAGAAGTTGAACCGGGCATAGGTATATTGGATCTGTGCTGACCAGTTATTGGGGACTCCAGAGTAACCGTCGGGGCAGTTGCGCTATCACGTGAAGGTCGCTCCTTGTCTGGATTGCCTGCATCGTCTATCTCATAACTGGTCATATAAGATCTCTCACGTGTAGAAGCTGTTGAGGAGGTATAATCTGATGCTAAGGAATGCTCGCGCCTATTATGAGAAGGTCCAGGAAGCGTAGGAGAATCCGTAGGTATGGCTGTTTGAAGGCATACGAGAGTGTTAGCTGATGCAATATGTGTATATGTATAGCGAAATATAGTAGTATAACCATTTACACACCTGTCTGTGGAACAGATGCCTGTTTGGCAGCCAAGTCGAATGATGTCAAAATGCCTCCTATAGCTTTTGACGTCACTGCAAAATTGAATTGCCTGATGCACCAGAGGGTCTTCATTAGATTCACCTTTGCGGGTGTCGAAATAGCGGGGTCTGGCTCCTTTGAGTTGGCTGTCTGAATCGTGGCGGCTTCTGTCAGGCAACGCATGCCAATGATAATGGAAAAGTTGCGCAGGTCCGGCTCCATAACGATGTCACCCACTGTGGCGGTAATGCCATTGGCAAAGGTAGCTAGCATCCGCAAGGGTGAATCACGCCTGGGGCCTAGGCCCGTTGAGCTTGATCGCACTGACTGAGGTAGATTGTTCAATAGAACAATATGGCCCAATCGATAATAAAGATCTAGATTGGATGCATGAGATGACAGCGCCGCTGCCCCACCAGTCCTAGGATTAACTCGCATATGCTTTGGCAGACTATTATGCCAATTGGCAAGAGCATCCAATGTGGTAGTCACAGGATAAAGGTACCCTGCCGACATTGGCAGTCGGATTCTTGTGATGCTTTGAAAGATCTTGAGTAGACACCCAAAATGATAATAGGCGATTTCACCCGATGAGAGCTTTGAGCTTGGCATCTCTTCAGGACGTGCATCGAGATATGCGTTTGTAAGGTCTTTCATAGGCTAAAGCGTTGAGTTTTAATTGGGAGAGGAGGAAGTAAATGGAGTTTTAGTGACATTTTGCTAGTTAGATCCTGGATAGACATGATAGATAAATACAGTAAAGAACACGTACATCTACAGGGCCGTTGTTCAAAGAGAGCATGTTGCCCATAATCTCTGTCCAAATGAGCAACCGCCATGTGTTGCGCACAACAACATCTTCTGGGGACATGGTGGGTTGAGAGGCTATTTTTTGTACCGTCTCTGCTAGCCTAATATCATTTGCAATCTTTAGCATTCGACCAAGGAATTTGGCACATTCCTCTGACCGAAGAGTGATCACTAAAAAGTTTTGAAGGATTAACATTGTCTGGATGCTTATGATATCCTCGGACCGCGTCTCATGTACAGCTATTGTGCGGCGATAAAAATATCCCACCATCTCGTCGAGGTTCTCTGCGCCAGGAGGCCTGTTCCTATAAAGAGCTCCTACGGTACACATGGCATAGACAATCGATGCCGCTTCGGGAGTGAGACGGTCATACAGCCGTGGCCAAAAATCGGGGTCTTGGTCGTTCACTATCCGGTGAATCGGATGGGAATAGCGCAGGTAAAGCTGGATGAGCTCGCGCATCACTTCTGGATTAGGAGTTGGTTCATCAGGGATAGGAGACCCTTTCGCAATGCATGAGTCGGGATCAGCAGCTTGAATGAGCGATTGAAGAATAACATTAGGTATCCCAGATACAGTTTTGACAAACTGCTGTGCCGCTGGCGAAAATACTGTCTCGAGAGTAGATGACAGTTCAGGGCTGGGGGAGCGCGGCGGCTGAGAAGGTGCCACTTCAGCCTTTCTCCGAGGAACTGTGCGGACTTTTTTATCTAGTCATGACACGAGCAAAAACATGAGAGTAAGGAATCGATTTTTAGTTTAGTTTAGTTTAGTTTAGTTTATAGTAAACCATAAAGCCAACGTAGTGTTCAATATGAAGGCATGACAAAGTACAATTAGAACAAGTACAGCCACTAGACAAGTGGCAGGGTAACAGATTGATGAAAAAAAAAAAAAAAAAAAAAAAACCACACAAAAATAGACATGGTTGTGGAATGCGGGATGTGGGATAAATGCATGTGTGTGCGAGAAGCCGCGACCAAAGAATGGGAAGCAGTAAATGCCGGATGTAAATGCGAATGCGACGGGAATGTGTGTTTGTTTTTGTGGAATATCACAGATGAGTAGATGATTGTACGAGGTTGTGCATCATCAACAATAAAACCACATTTGCAGTGCCCAATGAAGGGTACAACCGTTAGATCGCCCACTCCCATTCTACAAATAAAGAAATGTGATCGAGTGTGTGTCTCAATAAGCAACCACCTTGTGTAAACATACCACTGCATGCATGCATAGTAGACGCGACTTTTTTTTTTTTTTTTTTTTTTTATAAAACAAAGTTGGATACTTTAATAGTATTGTCCCATTTAGTGTCGTCATTTTCACTCTCCCATGGATGTATGAGTGGATATGAATATAAACAAAACAAAATACTCGAGAATAAGCACGCGGATGAAAATATATAAAATATCCAGAGGTATAAAATCATCAAGTAAATAAAAAAGACCCAATTGGTAAAATGTCATCATTGTAAGCCGAACATGCACGTCGGCGCAAAAAAAAAAAAAAAAAAAAGAGAGAGAGAGATAGAGATAGAGAGGATAAAAAAAAGGAATGCATATAAAAAAAAGCTTAAAGAAGTAGAGGAGAATGAGGATATTAGAAACAAGTGGCCAGATCATGTCTTTTCCGAAAATAAATAAACCCTTCTCCACTATATCCATTCATTCATCTTATCAACTTTTTTTTTTTTTTTTTTTTTTTAGTTTCCGCAGTTGTTGACTGACTCACACACACTGGAAACAATTATTAAACAATATAATGGTTTTATAGTTATTCAAGAGTAAATACAAGAATAAAAAAAGGGGGATGAAATGGGATGCAAGAGATAACAACAGACACAGCAGTTGCGCCTTTAGAATGTAAATGTCAATGTACCAATGTAAATAAATGCAAGTATTATAATTCTAAAGGGCAAGGGCAAGGGCGAGAAGTAAAAAATATTAGGGCTGAAAAAAATAAAAAAATAAAAAATAAAAAAGTGTTGACAGGTGAGGATAGGAAAGTGATAACTTAATTGTGTATAAATAATATACATTGTATGTGTAATTGTAATACAGTAAAGTAAAATAGAGTTGTTAAAATTAAAAACGAGTGGACATTTTTTTCATTAACCAGTCCAAGACTTGGTTTGTTTTTCTCTTTTCTTGTTTAGAACCCCTGACTTGATTTTCTTTTTTTTTTTTTTTTTGCTCTCCAGATTTCATTGCTGTTGAGTGATGAGTGACAGTGAACTGAAAAAAATGAGCTTAGACCCACAAGAGAGCCAAATATCAAATCAACAATCAACAAACAAATAGCAGTAATAAAATGCACTAAGCAAATAACAACGGGGGGACGGGTAGAGAGTGCGAGGAGAGTTCCCATCATTTGGAGCCAAGCACCCTGCTTCCTCAGCTTGCATAAACTTATGACAACATCCATCAAATCTCCCTTTTTCGAGATTACTATGCATACACCTGTATATATAAATATATATACATTCAACCCCAGCAGTCGACTGGAGTTGCTGATATAAAACAATGGTTGTAATAAAAACAATTACAATTGTCGTGTACAATGTCACAATTGCTTTCCATCTTCCAACCCCATCCACCCATGGAATCTACCATCAAGATCATAATGACCATAATTGGTTAATAGGTATTAATAGGTAACCCAGTCTGTCTACAATATTTAAAACCTGTCCATGCTAATGTACTCAATAACATGGTGCTCTGTCCACCAATGGCAAGTTTGTCGTACTAGACCTGCCCATCTAGACCATTTGTACCTTTTTTTGGGGAGGAAGGGAGCAGAGAGGGGGATGCTCATCAATGCGAGATTTTTGAATGTAATAATCACTCTGCATGGACTTCAAAATAAAACAAATAAAATTCAATCTGGATCGTAGAAAAACTTAAACTAGTGTTGGTTGATTGAATGTTTGAATGTCCCCCCAAAAATAATAAATAAACGCATTTTACATAAAATAGAATAAAATAAAATAAAATGGAAAAAATAAAATGAGAAAATAAAAAAAAATAAAATGCACACAGCACAAAATGCCAAATAACCTGAACATGCTCATTATTATTTTCCTCCTATAAAAAACGGCATAGTTTTTTGAATTTAAGGAGTGAAAAAAAAAGGAGGACCCAAGGGGGAAAAAGGATCACAATGCACATAATGTTGTCTTTGATACAAGAAATTGAATGTTACATTAAACATGGATTGTGTGATACGTAATTGAATGTGGGCAAATAGGAAAAGGGGGAGGAACCAGAAACTGGGAACCAATGAATGTCTTTTTCGTTTTGTTTTTGATGTTGTAGATGATTGTTGATCTTAATGGCCGTTGTCGATTTCGAGTTCACAACAACTCGTTTAAAAATGTCGCTTTGGTGTGTTTTTTTTTTTTTTTTTTTTTAAAGAAAAAAAAAAAAAAAAAAAAAAAAAAACACAAGAAGAGAAAAGAAAAAAGAGAAAAAGAGCGTGCACTTACTGGCGCCACGGATTCGTGTAGTGGTAATGGGTGATGTTGCACTTCCGGCTGACAATTTGTGGGAAGATACAGTGGTTAAAATTGAAGCAGGAATAGTAGCGTGCGAGGCATGTGAGGTTGTTGCTGTTTCTGCTCCAGCCTTTGACTCCTGTCCTTTCGCTGTGCTCGTTGAGTCTGTTGAATAGGCTGTAGCGGCCGCAAGGGCTGCAAGACGGTGAGCTGCTTGATTTGGAAGGACAATGTACTGACATGTAAGCCCAAATGCATGACATCGGGCACATGGTTCTTGACCATTGCACTTTATCTTTTGGGTGCGGCAATTGGCGCATCCCTTGTAGATCTTGAGCAAACTCGATGGCGGAATTGGTTCAAACATGCGTAGATCAATCGCATGGTTGGTCCGTGGGGTCGGACTCGATTGTGCTTTATGCTGTTGTTGCTGTTGCTGCCGTTGCTGTTGCTGTTGCTGCTGTGGCTGTTGTTGTTGTGGTGGTGGTTGTTGCTGGAGAGAAGAAAATGTAGGTGAAATGGGATTGTGCTGACTATGGATAACGGTGTTAGATGATGACAATGAGATTTGGATGGGTGGAGGAAATGACAGAGGGGCGGTCATGAAGAAGAAATGGAATTTATAAAAACAAAAATAAGAGTTAGAAAAAATATGCTTGTACAATGGAGGAAAAAAAAAATAAAATAAAAATAAAATAAAATAAAATAAAGTCAAGCTGTCAAAGAATGCGAGAGTGAATATGCGTGCGTATGTGAATGAGGTTGTTCAAACATAGACGAGGAAAAAGAAGAGCGTGAAGTTGGATTAGATTGAATGGATGTGGATGACGAGAGGAGGAAGAGGAAGAGAAGAAAAAGAGATGGACAGGATGAAGAATTGCAGTATAGGCAACAAGGCACAAAAAAGATAAAAAGACAGTAATTGGGATTGGGAGTTGAAGAAAATAGATACAAAGGAGGTTGTTGATCCACAAAGACTGACAATTCGTTATTAAAGCACAAGATGATTATGAGTAACGATGGACGAGAATGCCAATGCAATTGAAGAAAAGAAAAGAAGAAAAAAAAAAAAAAAAAAAAAAAAGAGAGAACGACGTTAAAAAAGAATAATAAATTGGAGAATTAGAGTTCCATTTAAAAAGCGATTGTCGTGACAGTTTTAACGATTTTTTCCTTGTCAAAAAATGGAAGGAAATGTACAGTATTGAGGACCAAGACAAAAAAAAAAAAAAAACTTTCTCCGGCGAGAACAGCAAGCGAGTAGGCGAACAGACAAGGAAATAGACGGAAATATATAAAAAAAAAAAAAATTGTAAAAATACATTCTTACAGGTACAAGTCAGATGTCAGGAGTGGGAAAAAAGTCAATATGATTGAAGGAAACAGGTGTAACAGCAAACAGTTTGGTTTGGTGGTGTAAATAAAAAAAAGTTGAATACGAAGAGAGAGTCAGAATATGCGCTGGATCTGGGAGCAAATAAGAGAGCGATCTTTTTTTTTTTTTTTTTTTTTTTTTTTTCAGTCCATGATCATGAAGTATGCTCATAAACATGCCCGATGGACCGATTCGTGACTGAATGGCTTTTTGATGGCACGCTTTAGTGCTGTGCGGTGGGCTTTTTTCTTTTTTTTAAACAAGTCAGATGGTAAGAAGTTAGAATAACTTTTCTCAAAACAAAATCACTCTCGCACTCTGCTCTAATACGGAACCATTGATTTGAATACAAAAAGAGCATGTCTTTCTTTGTATACATGTGCATGCAGTCTTTTTTTTTTTTTTTTTTTTTTTTAACAAAAAAAAAAGCTCAATCAAAGAGAAAAAAAAAGAAAAAAAAAAAAAATTGACAGAAAAAGAGTATTTCAGTCCTATTGAAAGAGCAAAAAGTACAATAGAGAAAATCAATAACCCAAAGTAAACAGGAAAACAAACAAAGCCAACGGCGTACATAATCAAAACGATATATAAAATAGAGCTGCATTCAAGCCTAAATCAGTAGCAACCTGACAGACAAACGACATAAGGTTGGAGCAATTGAAAAATAAAAATAAAAAAAAAAAGTCTAATCAAAATGGATCTGCCCACTGAACGGCATCGGAGTCATCCTTTGGGAGAGTCACCGGGGGTCATTGAGAAAACTGAAGAAAGTATTGCATTATATATTTATACTGTATATATAAAATATATACTTCTGAGCTATTTCTTTTCGGATCTGAACCTTTCATTAGCAAAAAACAGATCTATACTCCGCGCTCACTTGTTCTATGTTTACTCCCATTTCTATCCCTCTTTTTTGTTCCCCTCTTTCCTGTTTTTTCTTTGCAACACGATCACAACATTGTCCTTCATTTATATACCCTTGACAATGACATTTTTCACATGTGATGATTGAGATGGTGATGATTGCATGCATCAGCGCACAGACTGAACGGATAAAGATGTGTTTGAGTGTGAGTAAAGGCATAAAGAAAAAAGAAAGAAAGAAAAAAGTAGAAGTCACGTTGGCAATGGTCGAGGACCAAGTTGAAGAGAGTTGTAGATGGGATAAGCTCTCTCTTTTCTTAACTCCTTAATTTTGCAATCCAATTATTCTACCAGGATGACAAAGGAAGGATCGAAGAGCTGTGACGACTCGCTATTCAGACACCCGTTTTAACTCTGACAGAACCACCCTCAATTCCATCGCGATGCAAAAATTAAAAATAATAATAATAATAAATAATAATAATAATAAAAGACAGGACAAGACAACAGACAAGACAAGACAAGACAAGACAAAGACAAGACAAGACAAGACAAAGACAAAGACAAAAAAAAAAAGAAGTAAAAGAGTTGAAAAAGATCAACTGAGCTAATTCAAACAAGTTACCTGTTGCTGGTATCCTCTTTTTTATCCATGGTGTCATGGATTGCTTTCTTGCTATTGTCTTTTTACGCTGGACAAGGCTGGGTAGAGTGAAGGGAGGAATGATGACGATGATGGGGATAGCGATAAATGTGACAGCTAGTACTTGGTGTTGGTGTATAAAAAGACGTCGTAGCCTACATGATCAAAAATACATGTCGCAGAAAGAAAGAGGAGCTTCGTCAATAGGCTTCAAAACATAAATATCCACGCCCCTCATGGATCTTTCTTTCTTTGCTGTGTATCTGTAGTCCATCCGTTAAAAATCAAACATGTGAGCAGGGGTATCTTGTTCTTGTGCAGTTAACAGGGAGAGAGGAAAAGAGAGAAAAGATGTTTTGCCAAGGAAAAGGGGGGGGGAAAGAAGCTTTTTTTTTTTTTTTTTTTTTTTTTTTTCCTTTCTTTGCCCTCTGTTGTTTACGTTGGTTGCAATTTTGGTGGCAAAGAAGTTTCATCAGAATTTATAAACTGATCATGTAGAATTGATCTGGACATCACCTTTGTTTTTTTTTTTTTTTTTTTTTTTTTTCTGCTTTACTTTCAATCTAGAGTCTTCACTCTTTGAGAAACAAAAATATCAATTAGAGGATCAGGAGAACATATAAATGAGAAAAAAAAGGTAATCGAATCTTTCGAGATGTTTGTGCCAAGATCAAAAAAAAAATGATGATGCGTTAAAAAAAAGGAAAAAAAAAAAGGAAATTAAATTGCAGATAACTCGTTCCATACGATACATGAATACATGGCGTAAAACAACACCAAAACAACAACAAAAGTAATAGCAGTAATAATATTTGACAAACTCTGGCTTCTTCTTTTCTTTTTCTTTTTTTTTTAAATTACATAGTAGTGCTAATAAAGATCAAAACCTCATCATGCTTATGTTGTATAATTTCCTTCAGCATCAGGGTATTGTTCTTTCCAAGGAGACAATAATGATAATCTTATCGCGCAAAACAAAAAACAAAGAACAAGAATGTTCTCAATGCTTTTATACTTTTTTTTGTCGTCATCATGTGACTCGTAAAATACTAGAACCATGCCATTGGCCATTGACCACTCGGAACGCGTCAAAAATAGCATATATCGTATGTATTTCTACATGTATTTCTTTCCCTCTTATGGCAGGTGTTCAATGGCTCTCTTTTCCTCGTTAATGATTTTTTTTTTTTTTTTTCCTCGTTCGCTTTCTCTGAAATCATTCTTTTTCCTTTCCTCTGCGTTTTTCCACTTCGCTCCACTCCCACTACTCTCTTTCCCTCCCTTCCTCTCCCTCCCTCTTTTTTTGTGTGTTGCTTTCGTTCTCGGTTGTTTTTCATTCCAGTTCATCAAATAGTTAATCGGATCGAGAAACTTTTTTCTGTTATATTATTGTCTCCTTGCTCTTTCACAGAGCCATGTCCTCCAATGGCAACTCTTTCACATCCACACATCCTAATGCCACCATCACCACAGCTAGTAACAGTAATAGTAACAGCAGTAGTAGCAGTAGTGGTGAACAACACCAACACCATAATCACTCCCTTAGCGTCTTTACAACACTCCCATCCGATTCCATAAAACATGCCCTTACACCTGCAAACATTAACGGCAATGCAGAAATGGATCCACCATATGTTGATGTAAGACGCTCAATTCTTTCAGAGTCATTAAAGGATGAATCGAGAACCTTTTTATTACTTATTATTATTATTAGTATTGTTGTTATTGCTGATTTGGTTGTTCACTCATTCGCTTTAATGGTCTATGATCTGGACCTCTTTTCTCTCTGTCAGGTCCTGATTGCAGGAGGATTGGGAGGGACACTTGCCGACTTTCTCTTGCATAGGTAATGAGAAATCTTTTTTTTTTTTATTTTTTTTATTGATCTAATGTAAATATTATTCTAGGACCCTGAGAAACAAAAATTGTGCAGGAACGCTTCCACGTGCACGGACAAGATATTTACCCGGATTTTTATTGTTAATCTTATGGCTCTTGACAATAAACTTTTTTCCCCCTAGTGTTGACACTGTCAAGACACGATTACAAGGACAGCCAGCCGTCAACCCTCCAAAATACCACAACATGTTCCATGCCTACAGTACCATTCTCCGAGAAGAAGGCATATCTCGTGGACTCTACAGTGGTGTTGCCCCAGCCATGACTGGATCTCGTAACGTTTTCCTTTTTTTTTTATAAAAAAAAAAAAAAAAAAAAAAAAAGTCTAAATATTTTTCTTTCATTAGAAAATAGTTACATTAACAGTTTTATACTACATTTACATTTGCCTTTTACGTTTACAATCAGTCCCAGGAACAACGCTTTACTTTGGAACATATGAATATACTAAGCGCACATTGACTGGGGCTGGTTGCCCTGATGTCATTGCTCACCTTGCAGCAGGATCCTTAGGAGATTTCATTGCTTCATTTATCTATGTCCCATCCGAAGTTCTCAAGACCAGGATGCAATTGCAAGGACGATACAACAACCCTTCATTCATCAGTGGATACAATTACAAAAATACATGGCATGCACTTCAGATGATCATCAAATATGATGGCGTAGGGGCTTTGTACCAGGGATACCGTGCTACTTTGCTCAGAGACGTTCCTTTTTCTGCTCTCCAGTTTGCATTCTATGGTAAAAAAAAAAAAAAAAAAAAAAAAAAAAAAAAGAAAAAGAAAAAGAAAAAGAAAAAGGGAAAAAAAAAGATTAATCGATCGACTTTTTTTTTTTTTTTTTTTTTTTTACAATTATAGAGAGATTTAAAGTAGAGGCAAAGAAGTGGGAAGGGCGTCCAGATGGTCAGATGTCAATACCCGTTGAGATGGCCTGCGGAGCAATTGCAGGAGGCATGGCTGGATTCTTAACCACACCTTTGGATGTTATGAAGACTTTACTGCAAACTCAGGTCAAGAAGCCCTCAGTACGTTTATACTTTTTTTTTTTTTTTTTTTTTTTTGCCTAATCTTTTATTATTATTATTATTATCGCTATTTTATTCGCAAGTTAACACTATATATATTTTTTTTGTTACGATCGAATAATATGACTGGTCATAGCCAACTTCAAGTATAACAGGAACAGCACCTGCCATCACCCAAAAGTACTATGTCGGAATCTGGGATGGACTCAAATGGAATTTGAAGCATCATGGCATCATCTCTGGGTTATTCAGAGGCGTAGGACCTCGTGTCTTCTGGACTTCATTACAGAGTGCTATCATGTTTGTGTTTTATGAACAGGCATTGCATTTACAAGAGAACATGCGGCATTTCGGACAATGGCCTTATGGATCAAGTGCATTCGGATCGTCCAGCTGAACAAAGCAAAGCAAAGCAAAACCAACACAAAAAAAAAAAAGAAAAAAAGAAAAAGTTTGAAAAAATCTTTTAAAAATTTCGCGCAATCACAGTATAGAACATTGGTTTTTATCAACTAACAACACCTCATTACGAATTATAGACAAGAAACGAAATATAGAATAAAAAAAAAGAAAAAGGAAAAAGAAAAAAAGAATCTAATATGGTTTCCGTCTATTTGCTAATGACACTCCCGATCCTGTACCACGGAGAGGCCCGCCCCGATTACTATGGCTGTTATGATTACTATTATTGCTACTATTACTATTACTTTTATGGCTGGGTTTAGGAGGCAAGGAAGCATGTGCTGGAGGTACTGGTACTTTGACTGGTTCTGACATTTGTGCCAATTTTCGTTCCATAGCCCTGATCTTTTCATCTGTGCTTGCATTCTTCAATGTGCCTCCAGCCTTGAGTAACGAAAATGCTGTGGGTCGATTCGGATCCATTGTTCGTTTACGACCTTTTTCCCCATCTGATGCTGTTGGTGGTGCCTTTAGTAGAGAGAGAATAAAGCGTTAAATGTTAATATTTAACGATTAAACAATAACGGAGAATCCCCTCCCATTTTTCGATCAAAAACTTTAAAGTTTAATGTATACCATGTTGGCTAATGATACGTTCAATGGACGCATCTTTATACTTTTACGGTTCATATACTTGACTGCATCTGCAGCCTGAGAAGCAGCCTCGAATTCTAAAAAGCAATATCCTCGTGGTGTACCCTTCTTGGCGCCATGCCAATGAAACATGAAGTCAAGCTTTGTGATTTTGCCAAATGGGGAAAAAAGCTTCAATACCATGTATCTATAGAGTAAAAAAAAAAAAAAAAAAAAAATTAGCCGAGTGAGTGAGTGGGTGACATTGAAAGAACCAGCAATGGAGTTCAAAATTAATATACGAGTGCAATAGATCTAGAATTCGATATTTACTCGTCAAGAGATGGGTCTAGGTTGCCGACATATATACGTTTGTCGTCTATCGCAGCTGATCCTTTTTGTGTGGAACCTCCTGATGAGCCACCATGCTGCTGTGTTTTACGGATGGTCAAAGGATTAACCGATGTAGAAGTGGAACTTGAAGGAGAGGTTGAAGAAGAATGAGAAGCCATGCAAACAAATATATTAAAATAGATTAAGATAGATTAAAAAACAAATCAGTAAGAGGTATAAATGGATGTTGAAGGTAATTATTTATGAAAAAGTAAAAAGCATGTCATTATTCTCTTACAAAGATCGAAAAAATACTCACGTGAGCATTGCCCAAAATAGAAAACTTTACGCGTCGTATATGAAACTTATCATTCAGCTTTCCACCTCAGAATCTTTAACATTACTGCATTGACTTCTGGCTTCCACCACGGCGCGGGATGCAGATAAGAAAATGATTAAAGCTAATAATAAATGCCTATGTTGGGACATAAAGTGCAAAAGTAACATTGGTAATCTGAGGGAAATAAAGTCAATTTTTATTCGAGGTTCTATTTAAACTATTTTGGCGATAGAAAACTCTAGAATTTGAGCGAAGCGTTGTATATTCTAATAGATTCTGTTACATAAAGTGCTTCACTCGAATATACTGATCACTCCTCTTTCCGTCCACTCGCGAGCGCCGCTCGATAACCTACGAGGCTTTTTCGCTCCTCTGTAACATTTTTAACGCTACCCGCTTTATCGGGAGTATACAGATCCATCCTTGCATGGGTCTTGAACACCTCCTTGATCTTCCCTCCTGCATCGCCTTTTGCGGGAATATCATGGCCTTGCAAGAGTTTGAGCAGTACATCCAGCACTTTGATATCTTTTTCGACCTCAGATGTTAGACTGGTCCCTGTCTTGACTCGGCTTGTATAAATATTGTTCACTTGATATGTCAAACATGGGTTGAAGGGAGTCCAAGGCGATGGCAATGAGGTCATTTTTTTAAAAAAAAAAAAAAAAAAAAAAAGGCTTAATAAATGCAACTAAGGAGTTCGAGTTACGAGATCTAAAGCTCTAGAAGATGTTTCAATTTACAACGCTTGAATTCGCTTGAACTAATGGCATCGACGGCATTGGCTTGGGAAGACATATTCTTTTTCCTTTTTGTGTAAAATGGAGGGTTAATTTAAAACAGTGGTTGTAGGCGTTGATAGTCTAGAGGAGAGTTGAGATACTGTTTGACTTTCGCTATGCTCGCCTTTTTATTCATTTCCAGGTCAAGGGAGGACCCGTGAAACTGCTGTGTTAAGTATAAGATGATTGGTTGACAACCATTCCATTTGGTGAGACAGTCTAAAGTTGCTATCTGATATACTTGGAAACTTGCAAAATGATTAATGGCCCAGAGCTCGATTGATTCCATTGCTGTGCTCTGTTTGCTCTGTTTGTTTTCATTCGTGTTACACAAAACACGCACAGCTGTGAGACAGTTTAGCTTAAAACGTTAAATTGAAAAAAAAGGTCAAAGTGCTACATTTCTAACCCCTGGTTTCTCAGTTCAATCAGCCTTGTCCACCGATCGATTGATTGGTTTATTTATTATTATTATTTTATACAAAGAGGAAAGTATATTCAAAAGAAATCAGAAGCACGAACACGATGGAGAGGTCGGGACGGAGGAGGAGGCGGTAGTTGTTCCGCGGAAATTGGAATATCAACCTTCTTCTCCACCCAAAGACTCTCCATATCTGAACCTTCATCCTTTTCGGCCCTATCACGATGTCGTGACTTATATTTGCCTGATTTCGATCGCTTGCTTCTATCTGACTCTCGAATTCTGTCTTTACCCCTTTCCCTGTCCTTATCTCTATCTCCTTTATGTGATCGACTGGATGGACTTCTGCTTCTACTACGGGACCTATGCTCCCGATGCCTTTTGCTCTTGCTTTTTGAGGACGATGAAGATTCTTTGTGCTTTCTCCTCCGACCTGTATTGTCTTCATGGTCTGTCAATTCATCTCTGTCAGAGCTCTCGCTGTTGTGGTCTTCTGCGTTATCATGATGTCTTGATTTCTTTCTTCGAGACCTTGACGTCGACCGGTGTCGAGTTTTGGAGCTGTTGGAAAGTTGTTCACGACTTCTTTCTGACCTTGACTTGTGCCGAGAGGATGATCCTTCCTTATAAGACGAGGATGGTCGATGGGAAGATGAGGGTGACAATGTTCTGTGCCGCTTTAAGGAATGAGAATCAGTCTCCTTTGATCCAAAAGATACACTTGATTCATCCAATATTGTGTGCTTCTCTTGTGCCTGTGACAGTTCTGGCGCTGGTGGCCCAATAAAACCATCTGGACTTTCAGAGCGATCGCGCTTATTTCGTAGCGCCTCTGTAGTTAAGCTATCTGCTTCAGAAGTAACAGTATGCTCAACTTCATGTTGACTGGAAACTCGAGTATCAGTCTCAGATGTGGTTCTCTTACTAGCCGTAGTTTTTGGTTTGGCTATGGATAATTTAGGCCCAATCTCATCCGCATCCTCTTCGTCCTCGTCCAAATGAGAAAGATCTGGCTTACTTGATCGAGTCTGGGATATACGTGTTGGTAGTGATGCAGACAATCCACCAGCTCTGTCAGCTTTTCTCGTGAACACGGGCCGGAATGGCTCCCCAGGTCCCTGTTCTGACGCCGGCTCTGGTATTTTTTCCTTCTCAGCCGCTTCAACCGTGGTATTACCTTGATTGAATCCGGGATCATCAGCCTCTAAATCTGTATCTGTATCTGAACCTGAGTCGTCAAAGATGGCTTTAAAGATATCCATCGGAGGACGTTCCTGAATAACTTCGGGCTCCATTTCAGGTTTGGCCTCCTCCGTTTCCTGTTCTCCAGAAGCGATGTCCTGCTGCTGATCTTTGGTACTTTTATTCTCTATAGCCATGCCTTCGCCTGGGATTCTGTTCATCATCATCCTCTCCATGGTCTTCTTATCCAAAAGGTCCTTGACTGCCTCAGAACCCAAACCTTTATGATCTGGGTGCGGATTCGGGACATTGAGCCTTTTGCACAGTAGTTTCGACGGATAGAAATCAACTACCGTACGAGTCAATGGGCCAAACATACCCATTGCAGCAGCTCTTGCAGCTTGCGATTTCTGTGAAAACAAAAAAAAAAAAAAAAAAAATAAATAAATATGCGTGTATGGACGTTGTAAGTATATCATTGACGCTTAACAAATCATATAAAGTATGATATGCGGAAGGGAAACAAAACTTACCGGAACTTCTATTTTCTCGACAACTGGCTTTTGAGCCCCTGACCTTTCTGCGGCTTTGATATCTTCTGCAGACCTCAGACCAGCTGTAGGCTGTGCAAACTCAATCACCTTAGTGGCAGCTGTGAATCTGTTAGCCATTGACGATGACAGAGGCTTGAATATCCTTGCCGCTTGTACAAATTCGTTCAGTTCTTTAGTCATATCCTCTGCTGAAAATCCTGGAACCAATTCGATTTTCTCGTCCAAGATCCCAGCTTGTATGTTTAAATATTGTTTATACCGATTCTGTTTTGGGATGTTGTCGCCAAAAGGTATGAAGCCTCGTAATGCAGCTTCAGCTGCGGCCTTTTCGATTTTAGGTACTTCCCAATGATCTTTTCTAAGGCGCTTGTCACCTTCTGTATCCATAACAAAACCGAGAATGTTATCCAAGTGGCTCTTGTTTTCAGCAGACATGTATTCAAACACAGATCTACGAGGTGCATCGATAGGGGTTTCCCCTAGAATCAATGCACGCTGAATAGTAAGACATTAAGGAATATATGAGTGAGTTGCATACGATATAGAATTAACATTCTGATCCCAACACATTCATGAAATGGCAATTTACACACATCGTCCGCAGTAAGCTTGGGCTGTTCGTGCTTATTGGTCTGTTGAACGGGTTTTACATCATCGGGGAAAATGTGGTGCGGAACAAAATCATCAGGCACTTTCGGAGCTGAATACCACTTCATAGGCTTGGAAGGGGCTGCTGCTAGTACAAATCCGGGAAGAGGACGTCTCCCATCGCTGCAGCATATTGAACTCAAACCTTCTGGCTATTGGTCATCAGAAAAACATCTTTCCTTTGTTATTTACCAATCTCTTTCTTGGTTACCCAGTAAGAAAGAGATACTTCTTATCAGTAGCTAGCTGCTTTACCTGAAACCTTTTTGATTCATCGAGACTTTTCCTTCGAGATCTAGGTCTATCCTCTAAATCCATGGCTAGATCAAACGAGCGCAAAGGTCCAGGTCCTGATCCATACACATCATCTTCATCGTCGTCGTCATCAAACGCCCCAAACCCAAAGGTAGCCTTTTTGCCTTCTGATTGCGAAGAGAGATATTTTGACTCTTTCTCTGATTGCAAAGACCTATCAAATTCTGGTGCATCCCTGTATGGATCATAACCTAACCCCTGGCGATTAGTTTTGTTGGTGAAGATCACAATAGCAGAATCTATGGGAGCGAATGATACATTCGTGGGAATATCTTCATCTGAGATAGGCCCATCTTCTGGTTTTCGTTGTCGCCTCGAAACACGCGGACCAATTCCCTGTCCTGGCTTCCATCCCATCCGTTTTAAGAGACGAATCCCTACTGGCTCGGAGCTAGGAACTACCAGATCATCAATTAAGGTATCTGGAAGGGCTCCTAGTATACTATTCCGGTATAGATATAAAATATGACGTGAGGCATTAGAATGGTAAACCTAGTAAAACCATAGAAAATGAACAGTTCAAACTTTGCATGGGACATCTTTGATCATACCCTCCGGACTCTTGCATGTGCCTTGCAGTCGCGCGCTTGTGTTCCAGATCACGCCTGGAAGACCCAATGGTATCGAAGTCGCTCGTTGCCACAAGGCGAGCAGAATCCGAAAGCATCTATTGCAATATTAAATAACAATCATACCAACCAATTAATTAATTTCCATGATGCCATGCTTGGAGTCTGATGCATCTATACACTTATCTGTTAATTTACCATACCTGCTTGTCCTCTTCATCCATGAAATCTTCAGGTCTTGCGATTTTCCTCTCCGATCGCTTGTCTCTGGAAGACACGAATTCTGATGGCGCCCATCCTACAGTGTCATAACTCCGCCGTCAGTATTTTATATGCCTTAAAGAAAATGCAATTGGTCGCTCTTTTTTTTTTTTTTTTTTTTTTTGTGAAAAAATAACTGGTACCTTCTTTCGATCCCACAGTGTTGTAATAACCTGCTGAGAATCCGCCTGTGAAAGCGCCATGGAACCTCCTGCGTCCTTGTTCGTCTCGCACCTGCATTTGATATTTTCAATTGATATAAAGTATTTGAAAGGGAAAATGAACATGCTAGTTTTTTGCGTGTGTTGTGTTTGCTATTGTACGTCTAAAAGCGCCCTATTTTTTTATTGGGTGAACACTGACTTGCCTCTAGATCCCTAGTTGGGTTTGGCTTTTTTGGTTCACCATATATGTCGGTCTTTTTTATCTGCGGTAATGGTGTTCCAATGAGTACATACGACTCATCCGACATTGCGAGTGTTGAATGAAGTTTCTTTTAAAGAATGAAAAGTGTGGTTGTCATGGCATACTAAAAAAAAGTACCGCGCCATTTAAGAGTCAAAGCCACAGCCTAATCTTTTCTGTTACATGTCAGTGTAAACGAAGAAAGAGCGGTTTAGGTGATCAGATTATTATTGTCAAGCCTAGAAATTTTATTCAACAGGAACTGATTTCGCTATTCTTTCGGGTATAAAAGTTGTTTTAGGCTTCGTGTAAAGAATGGCGGGTCCCAATCTGATGAATAGTCTCGTCAGCGAATATAAACCGGTCGGACTGTCCAAGGTAACTGTTCCTTCTCAAATATGTGACGAGAAGCATGATGGACCTCAGTCAACTACGCCTTCCTCCATTCAATGCGGGTTTAAATCCTTCTTTTTTAATATTTCCCTGAATGGTATTGCTTTAAATTGAATATGTACATGAGTATCTCGATCCTATTCGAGCAAATGCTGTCAGCTCAACGAGAGACTGTAGCCCTTCCAGTTATTGCAAGGCACCATCTGAATGAATTAGGTGCCAATGGAAGGAGCCTTGGTTTTGCAACTGGAATATTTTCTTTGTCATTTTGATAAATCTTTGACACTGACCTAAAGAGAGTTTGAGCAAATCTTTTCACTCCTTTTTAATGGCATTCCTTTCTAAAAGCAATACCTTTTTCTAAAGCGAAAATGTGTGGAGGTAAAACTGTAGATGACTATGAGAGGATAACTCAAATGTCTATCCAGGGATGGGACCTAGAAAACAATCGGGTATTGTCTATATGATTATTTTATTCAGCTATTGTTACAAATGGTTTACATCGTTGTGATGGAGACGACTGAGTTGGCGATAGTTGGATATGCTTCAACACTGCTGGTTTTACTTGGCATTGTCAATAACCCACTGTTCTTTCCATGCCTTAATTCTTGCCACATTTTCCTCCATTTCATCAATACTGTTGCTTTGCAATTCAATCACAATCTCTTCTGCGTACGATTCGCGAGCATCCTCAAGAACCACCTGCATGATTTCACACTCCATGTTTTCATTAATCTTTTTAGCATTGTATCCACTATGGAGAGGGAAGAAGAAGAAAAAAGGCGATAGAATGGTTATTATTCATTTGAATAAAGCCATGTCATTAACCAAAGTAATGATGTGGCAGCTGATTTGGAATGAATAATTGATGATACACATCTTACCGAGATTCAAGACGTGGATAGAGTACACTGTTGTCAGTGCGAAGAACAATTACAAGATCAAACCATCTCTCAGGAAAGATATCGCAGGTATGGAAATCTACGATTTTCCCCCCTGGTTTCATCATGTCTTCCATCTCGTCGATGAGCTATATAGGTGTAGTTTTCTGTTAATTTATAAACGTCCTTGGATTGCGCAAGTAACAAATGATTTTTCCTTTCAGATCTTTTACTAATACTCGAGCCTCGAAAGTGAAATATACAAAAAGCTAAAAGTAAGAATGGTATGCTGGTGTTTACCTTGTCTTCGTCCAGAATATAGCTATCAAAATCAGTATCGAGTCCTTCATGTAGAGATTTTGTTTTAACCAAGTCGCCAACGTTAAGATGGGTCAGACCAGTCGCTTCAGCTGCCATTTCCGAAGTAGTAGTCTTGCCTGTCCCAGGCGTCCCTGTAATGAGAATGTTGGGTAAACTTCGGGGGTAGTTGGGCACATCGCCGTAATCCGAGCCTGAATCAGAGTCCATATTTTCTTTCTGAAGGTGGGTAAGGATGTAAAAAAAAAAAAGAAAAAGAAAAGGCAACTTGATCAAAAGCAAAAGCCACTCTAGGACAAAATGGGCTGTGCTGAATCGGTTGTCGCCCAACTCCAAATTGATGATGCAAACGTCTCCTTAGTCTCTTTCTTCGTCACCACATCCACTATTTTTTTTCAAATTCAACAAACACAGCTATCATGGCAGCATTGGAAGAATCGCGTCTCAAGGATGCCATCAAGTTCATGCATGAGGCAGAGAAAAAGTATTGCCATTTGCTTGTCTTTTATCACAAACATTCTGTGAAATAACATGTGGTCAAATGAATGCATAACGCCATGAGTCTCATCGCATGTCATTTCTTCATCCTTTCTGTGCCACAGCACCCAAAAGAGCTTCTTTAAGAAACCGGACTGGGATATTGCTGCGCAATACTACGAGAAAGCAGGTAAGGTATTCAGCCAAATTGCGAGGTACCATGCAGCTCAATGTGCACACTTGAACCTGTATCACTCATACATTCTGTTTTGTTTTAATCCTTTCAGCGCAATCATTCAAAGCTGGGAAGTCATATGAGCAGTCAGTTCAAGCCTTTATCAAAGCCTCTGATGCTATGGTCAATGCCACTAGGTATGGTTCCGCTAAAGTAGTATCCAGTAAAATTCCACATTTCTGTGCTTTTTCTATCATCTCTTTCTGATTCATTATTCTTTATATATATTTGTTTATTTATTTTTGATCACTCTACATAGTTTCTTCATGGCGGGTCGTGCTCTCGAAAACGCTGGAAATGTATGTCTGCAGAACCTGGGACAACCCGAACGTGCCGCAGACATTTTCAAGCGTGCTAGTGAATTATTTATCCAAAACATGACCCCTGATCGTGCTGCGGAAATGTTGGAAAAGGGCGCGAAGTACGTGAAGAGAGACAAACTCTGTTATGGTGTTAAAAGGCGTTTACTATGTGCCATCAACATATTATTGTTTAAATCCTCACCTATGGCAAAACACATCTCTTGTCAAAACAATAGAGCTATGGAACCCATTTCTGTAGATGCTGCCATGGATTTGTATATCGGAGCCTGCAACATATATGAAAGTGAGGACCGTGCCAAATATGCCACAGACACATATAAGCGAACCATTGCTCTTCTCGTCAGAAACAAGAGGTAAGAAATCTGCAGGTTTTTTTGTGATTTACCAATGCGCCTGAATTAGTGAGTTAGCTTACTGATTTTAATCCAATGCAGATATGAGAAGGCAACCGAGATTTTGCTTCGACTTGGAAAGGTGCAGAGTGACTCTGCCAACAAACATGCATATTACAAAACCCTTTTGAGTATTGTTATTGTACAGCTCGCAGCAGGAGACGAAGTCGAAGCCGGCAAAAGATTCCAGGAGTTTTGTGCGTAAGGATCTCTCCCTTCGCTGCAGTTATTTTTAGTGAATTGGGTCGCTTTTATTATTATTATTATTTTTTAATGATCATCCCTCCGCTTACATATTTTTGTTTTCTTTCAAAAAAAAAAAAAAAAAAAAAAAAAAAAGCGTTGATGGATTTATTCGCTCCGAGGAGTCTGCAGTAGCACATGCCATGCTAGATGCATTTGAGCACCGCGACCAAAATTACTACAATCAGGCCGCTGCGCGCCAACATGTTGGCTTCCTCGATAATGAGGTCGCTCGTCTCGCCCGTAATATTGTTATTTCGAGTGATCTCATCTCGGGAGGTGGATATGTTGATCCATCTTCTGGTCCACAAAACCCTTCCCCCGGTCCTCCCAGCGGGGTCTACAACAGCAATAGCAACAGCAACAATGGTAACAGTGGATATCAGCAACAGCAGCCACCTCATAATGGAAACCAACCCTACTCCCATCAACAGCCACCTCATCTTTCACATCAGCCGAATCCTTACCAACAACAGCCACCTCGACCCGAGTCTCGTGGTTATAACACGCAACCCAGTACGATCTCTAGTGGCGGATACAATATTACGCCTACTATGGGTGGCCAAGCCCCTATGCACCCTGGAGAGGAACGTAGTGAATCTGACTGGCAAGCCCTAACAGGTGGGCCATCAGCTCCTGCACCGGCACCTCATTTTCATCATCAACAACAGCCACCACAACGCCAACAACCTTATCCTCAACAGCAACATGGGCAGCAAGGCGGAGTACCGCCAAGTCGCAACTACTATCAGGATGAAGAGGATGAAGATCTGCTGTAAGAGTCTTTTTAAACTTTTAACAATAGATAGTATCTGTTTTAGTAACAATAATAATGACAACAATAAAGAAGGAAAAGAGAAAGAAAATATATCCTAATGGGTGTGATGGAAGCATGAGCTTATAAAAATCGGAGTAGTAGCAATCAAGGTCACTAATGCGTCTGATCCCAAGACTGGATTATAGCCCATGCATCCCGCAAATAAATACTTAAGCAGATGTAAAGAACAGGAACGGAGAATATCCTTACAGCCATAGGCAAGTAGAGCGATCAAAGGTCATTGTGTTGTTTTACAGCTTTACAAGGACTCCTTTTGTTTATAAAGACAGCTTTACATCCTCACTTCTTCATTCTTCGCTCTCCACTCTTTGTCTCTTCAACACTATTCATTTCGATTCAAGGTAAAAAATCCTCCGATATTTCCCCTCTTCCGTCGCCATGTTGAGGTTAACTGATCGGGCTTTTTTTTTTTTTTTTTTTTTTTTTTTTTTAAAAAAAAAAAACCTATTCTGTGCGCAGATGAAGCCTGTTATTATACTATGCGCATTGCTGGTTGCCTCTCTCACCGCAGCTAAGCCAAACTATTCATATAAAAGATGTATAAGAGCATATGGACCCTCTTCCTTTGTCTGCGATGATCTTTGCAACATCTGTAAGTGCGCTCGGTACGGATTAATCAGCACCGAAAAAGCTTGTCCTCCATACGATTTCGAAACCTGCAAAAAGGTCAAAGGCACTGGTAAATGGCCGTGCTATTCCGGAAACAACATATGCCGGTGCGCCCCTGAAGGAATTGAAGTTTGTGGTCTTTAAAATCAATAAAGTTCCTAAAAATATTAAATGGAACCCTTCAACAAGGTAGAAACATCTATAGAGCTCCTGATGCACGCATTCGCTTTTGGCTTTTGCGGAAAGAATTGGACAGAATAGATATTTTTTTTAATTGAGGGTTTAAAATGCACAATCGGCAAAACGAAGCCGCTAATGTCTGTATCTCCTAATGTATGATGGGATATAGTGAGCAAATAGTTGGACAAACATAAAGCATTAAGAACGGAGGACATCCTGCAACCAAATCATAGGTCAAGGGTCTCAAAAAAGCGGAAAGTAAGCTGAAGGTCACTCAGAAGATCAAAAAATGAATGATTTTTTAAAATAAAAAGTAAAATAATGAAATATTAAGAATGGATGCCCTTTGATTATAAAAACGCCATTACATCTCTATTTCCTCTTCACTCTTCACTCTTCACTCTTCACTCTTCACTCTTCACTCTTCACTCTTCACTCTTCACTCTTCACTCTTCACTCTTCACTCTTCACTCTTCACTCTTCACTCTTCACTCTTCACTCTTCACTTCTCACTCTTCACTATTTATCACTCTTCAAAATCGTTCAGTTTAATTCTAACTAAGTACGGAATCATCCGATCTTTTTCTCCTTTCGCCCCTATGTAGAGCTTGACTAATTGGGTATATTTTTTTGTTCTCAATCTCCCCCAATGTCCAGATGAAACCTTGTGTTGTACTTTGCACGATGCTAGTTGCCTCTCTAGCCGCAGCGTATCCAGATTATTCATATAAAAGATGTATTAAGGCATATGGTACCTCTTCCTTTGCCTGCGATGACCTCTGCAACACCTGTGCGTGCGCTCCGGATGGTTTAGTTAGCACTGATCAAGCTTGTCCTCCATACGATTTCAAAAAATGCAAGAAGGTCAAAGGCATTGGTGCATGGCCGTGTAATGCCGGAAACAATATGTGCCGGTGTGCCCCTAGAGGAGTAAAAATCCTCGTTCTGTAAAGTCACTGAAGCTTCCAAAAATAAAAAAGCTCCAAGTTAAAGGCCATGTTTTACAATACACCCTTAAATTTATATAAAAGCGTCCTTTGACTATCGAGGGCTGTACACCTCTACTTCTTCATTCTCTTCTCTTCTCTCTTCTCTTCTCTCCGCTTTCCACTCTCATTCTTTGTCTTTCTTCGACATTATTCGTTTTAATCCAAGGTAGAGAACCCTTCATTGCTTTCCCTTATTCGCCGCATGTAGAGCTATTCTGCTTGGATTTACTTATTATAATTTTTTTAAAAAAAAAAAAAAAAAAAAATCTCTCCTATACCCAGATGAAGTCTTTTATTGTATTTTGTACATTGTTGGTTGCCTCCCTCGTCGCAGCTAACCCAGGCTATTCATATAAAAGATGTATAAAGGCATATGGCCCCTCCACCTTTATCTGCGATGATCTTTGCAACTTCTGTTCTTGTGGTCAGTACGGGCTTATTAGCACTAAGATAGCTTGTCCTCCATACGACTTTGAAAGATGTAAAGAGGTCAAAGGTACTGGTAAATGGCCGTGCTATTCCGGAAACAACACATGCCGGTGCGCCCCTAAAGGGATCGAAGTTGTCCATCCTTAACGTGCCCTTATTTTTTTAAAAAAAAAAAGTAAAAACAACAATAACAACAATAAACCGACATAGACTACAATTAAGCCATGTTTTCTTGATGCTACAATGATTAAATCAAATTCCTGTTTCCATGGGGAAAAGCTGTTCAACTAAAAAAAAACAAAAGTAAACAGATTGAAACCCTTCCATATCGATATTTTTTGTCTGAGAGATGAAGCTCTCCCTTGTGAATCAATATGGATTTTTGAAATTTTGATGGTAGCACTCAGGCTCAGACCAATCCATCGTGAAAGACTTTCTATAGTTTCAGTAATAGTCCTAGCCAGGCACAAAAATATAGCTTTCTGGTTTTGTCAATACTATCTAGCTGGTGCTGAATGAAAATTTCTCGGTTAAAGGCAGCTCTACTTGACCAAAGTTAAAGGGGTTCAACCATAGTTCGAAAAAGCAATTCGTGCCATGTTGTCGCAGTTCGTGCACACGCATACTCTTCAACTTATTAGGTTGATCAATATGAAGGAGACAGCTTGCATAAACTTTCCATCGAGCGTGCTTCTAGAGGAAGAAGCATGCAAATGTAAAAGATGCTTAGAACATGGATTTCGGGAATGGTTGTATGTATTATAATCCTATCACTCATTGGCAAGTGACGAAAAGTAGATCAGTGGGCCACACTGTTCTCTTATCATCCTCTTCGTTCGTGGACCGCGTGGTTATAGGTGGTAATCTAGTAAAAATAAATAAAGGCGAGGCGAAAGACATAATTGTTCGCATGATGGTCAAGCACCGTGATCTGGATGCAATCTCATCTGTCCTGCTAACCTATTGGTCCATCCATCTAGTACACATTTTTTTTTTTTTATTTGTTTCTTTTTACGTGTCTAGTTGCACATTCGGCTAGATAACTATGATAACTTCCTTGAGAAAGGTCAACATTCACCTCTACTTATTGGCTTTGGGTTATTTCTGCGCAACTATACGGCATTCGGGCGTTTACTGCACAGTAATTCATGGTCGACTAAATCACATGTATTGTGGAGTGACTATTTTTGAAAAGGACAAGGACTGTGGCCAATGTAAGCAAGCCTAATGAGTTAGGAAGAGTGGATACAAGAAAATATGGATATCAGAAGTAGTTCAAAGAAAAACTAAAGCGTAAGCCATCGCCAAACATCGACAACTTGATCAAATAGAAGAAAAAAGACCCATAACGACCTCCCTTAGAAAACCAGTCGGAGGATCGGCAGCCGACTATATACCTCACATCTGCAACCATTTTTCAACAAAGTACAGGGTTATCTCGATTGGCATTCCTAATTATTTTCAGATAAAGATGACAATTGGTATTGTGGTGATCCCAAAGGCACGGTTTATTAACCTTCATTTCTGCAATAGCACAGTTCAGCCCAACAGAGGGTAGCTCCCGCGGAGGTAGAATGGGCGGGAAAGCAAAAGAAGATAGGCAGGCAAGCAACGTAGGTTAGAAAGATATAGGTGCATACACTCCCATGGGTAAAAAGATGGATAATTGGCATTTAGGGAGCGGTATGGCTTATTAATCTAGCGCTTGCCGCAACTTGACATTGAGTAATATATGGGGTACATATAGAGGGCATGTTACATTGTCAGCGTCAGAAATAAAGAATATATCGTTTGGTTATTTAGTCAACAAAAACACAAAAAGCATAGATATAAAAAAGCGCAGAGAATTGACATATGCCAACTCTGAAAAGTTCTGCTTGCCGCAGTAGAGTCCATCATTGAAGAGAGAAGAACACTGGAAGCAAACAAGAAAGAAATAATAATAATAAGCTTCCATGCCTGTGCTCCTGAGAAAGAAAGGAAAACGAAGAGAGTAAGGAAACTGCTTGTGAGTATGGGTGGCTTCGTTTACGGTCACACCAGTCTAATGCTTTGCCGGGGCTCGCCTTAGGCAGAATTGCTACAAACAACAATTACACACAATTATATAAGCTGTGGTCAGGCCCGAATAAAAATCAATACCTCTTTAAATAACTCTCCTGTCTAGCATGGTCACATTGGTCTTCGCACCACTAGGTGGGTTGAAGAAGCTCTGGCGCTTTTTGAGCCACTTAGGGTCAATACAACTTTGCTCATTTTGGATTTATGGCATAACTCAGTTGGAAATGATGGAGCTCTGGCATTATCTTACGCGCTAAAGGGCAACACAGCTTTGATCACGTTGAACTTGAGTCACAATTCATTTGGAAAAGAAAGAATTATAGCGCTGTCAGAGACACTCAGGATCAACACAACTTTGACCGATCTGAAAGTATGGAGCAGTTCACTTGGGGGGAAGGAGCCTAGTACTGCTAGAAGCAATCAAGACTAGCACGATTTTGACGACTTGAATTTGAGATACGACTCAATTGGAGATGAAGGGGTTCTTGTATTGTTAGAGGCGCTCAAGCCTAATGCGACTTTAACCACTTTGGACTTGACTAACAACTCATTAGTGGAGGAAGGACGCTGGCATTATCAGAGGCACTGGAGTCTAACACAAGTTTGACGACGTTGGGCTTGTGACGTAACTGAATTGGAGATGTAGGAGCTTTTGCGCTATCAGAAGCACTCAAGATTAACACAGCTTTGGCTAGTCTGAACTTGGGAGACAACTTAATTGGGGACAACCAGTATGAGGTTGATGGAATGGCATTGTCAGAGGCACGCAAAGCCAACCCGACTTTGGCCATTCATGAACGAGGGAGCCTTGGTCGATAGCCAAGAGGCTCTGGTGCTAATAGAGACCTACAATGTTGACTTGCCAAATATAAATCATTTTTGGGTCATTTGATTGATTTGGCCGTTGAAATAGGGTAAGTGTATTTAAGGGATTCGCCCGATTTTAATAATAGCTAGCTTGTAGCAGATAAGGAACCATTGCGACGTTGCTTTTTGATCCTTTGATATATACTTATTACTGATTAACGGAACTAAAGTGAGGAATATATGAATACTTTTTATGCTTTACTCGCTGTCATAGACTTCGACTTCGACAACTCCATCGATGACCGGATTGCCGACATAGTTGGGGTTAGATTTAAGGTTAGCCTTATGCTGTTCCATTGAGACCTTGACTTTCTTGATCTTGGGGATCTTGCCATCGTAGCGGGCGTTGCTGACCTTGTTTCTAGGGGTGAGCACATCATAGAGATCGCAGCGATTGTAGGTGCCAGGCAGAGAATCTCTCTTCCAGCTTGACATGCCCTTGCAGACATCCTTCATCGCATCATAGCCCTTGCTGGCATCGTGCATCACACCTGAGGTCATACTCTGTCGGAACGTGCGCAGTTTCTCGACATTGAACGAGTAGGTATTTTTGAATTGCAACCACCCAATGTTACCGATGAACATGCACTTGTGTTGGTAGTTCCCGGTCGAGTGGGTGTTATAAGCCCAGTGATGACCACACTCATATGTCATATCTCCAGTGACAATGATCTTCTCGTCATAGGGGTGCATGTCACCACTTCCATAGCTGAATGACAAGTGATCAATGCAAAGCGCATGCTTTTCAGCATGGACCTCGATAACCGTGTTTCTGAAGCCGGAGCCCATAGACTTTTTCTTCATAGCTGTCTTTCCAGATTGCCAGCATTCGCCATTTCCAGTAAGACTAGGGTCAGTCGAAAGCCAGGTGCATCCACCACCCCCACCACCATGGTAGCAGACACCTAGGGATGATCCACCAGAGAAGTCAACGCTAGCGAGCACCCCTCGAGCAGTAATGGCGGTCTTGGACTTTTCGGCTGAAATGAGACTGTAGAGGTCGAAGGCCTTGCCAATGACAGTACCGACAGTTTCGAGGGAGATAGCAAGGGCCGGTGTACCGAGAAGTGCTATGGCAAGAGCGACTGGAAAAATCATAATTATATATTTGTAAATAAAGAAAAAAAAAATGATCACCTTTTGGTTAGTAGTGTATTTTACGGTATTTAACGCACAAAAGAGTATTAAGCAGCTTTAGGCATGTTAAGATGAAGGCAGAGCAAAGGACGGTTGTTGATCCCAACAATACCTTTAGCTGATTTAAAAAGCATCTTGTTAGGCTTGGAGCAAATCAGGGGAGAAAATGATCTAGGAGGTGAGGATCGAAGTTGTAATGAAGAATCCTAGGAGCAGGGATATATCCTCCTTTTTATATTTTCTTTCTATTCAACAAGAGCCGTTACCTGTTTATCACAAGAATCTCAACATCTGTTTGTACTTAACATACGCATGTTGGGTGCTATATTAGGATTGGGACAGAGTCAGAGGCTTGCATTTCGGTGCTGAATAATAATAGAAATCATATGAGTGAATTGAGAGGAATGAAGGGACAATTGTTGTATCTTTAGGAAGTAAAGCACAAGTTAACTTTTCAAGTAAAGTGCAGAGATTGGTGGGTTTGAAACAGCTCCAAATCCTGGGAATAGAGGGATCAGATGAGAGCGTGAACAGACAATTAAAACTCTCTTCGACAGAAACTGTGCTTGAAATAGATAAATTTGGTTAGCAATAGGAATGTACAGTACATGTACAGTACATATGCTAGACACGAATAAAGTTCAGGGACTTGTTGGTAGAGAATTCTCAGTTTGGTTGGGCTCTATTCTGGATTCTGGAATGACCTGAATCTTTGAGCTCCCATCCACCTGGAGCTTAAATTTATTGCATCCGATTCTTTAATGCTGCACCAAATCTTTAAAGTTCTATATTGTTTAACTTTAACATACATGTGCATTTGGGCTGTTGCATTCTGAGGAAGACAAAATAGGTGACAAAGCAACAGTAAAGTCTCAGCTTAAAGATCATTTCTACCTCGTGAAGCGAGGAAAAGAGGAAAAAATAAAAACCAAAGTGGTCTGGATCTTTTGTTTCTTCTACTCTCCTAGCTTCTGGTCAACAGCCTTTTTTATTATTTTATTTATTAATTTGTTTACATGCTAATGCACGTAAAAAAGGTTGATATCGATCCACGGACAAGCATTGTTCTTGAAATTCGGATCAAATATTTAATGGCTTCCAACATGTTTTCCTAGAGAAAAATAGTTGACGCGTTCAACAGTATTATTTACAAAGTAGTCTTTAAAATGGCCACTAAAATTCAATGAACCCATATTTTTTATTCAAATGTGTTGATGCACGTTTTCTAGGAACAGCTGGAGCCAACTGCATATTGTTACATCCCTCATCAGCACTATATCCATCTGCTAATAACGCTTGCTCTTCATGTTCAAGGAATGATATAATCAGGTACTAGGACTTAGATAAGATCATGCTACTCTCCTTTAACATCTTCCTTCTTTTCCTTCAACGGAGTGTAGATTGATTTTCTACTATGATTGCCTTTGCTTTCTCACCTTCCTCTTTTTGTTCTCTCTCACGTGGTGGGACAAAAAGGACATCAATCTTGAAATGTTTGAGAGCACACCACTAAAGATAATTTGGTCACACAATATTGATTGGTTGGTCCACTTCATTTTCCCACCATACACATCATCTTTTTTTGTCTAATCCCACATTCCCATCTTTTTTTTTTTTATTTTTTTATTTTTTTATTTTTTACTTCTTGTATCGTCAGACTCGAGCAGGATCAGGAAGAAGGAAAACACACATATCAAAGCAATTGCTAATCATAAGAAGAGGACGGGAGACAATTATACAATTACATCTCCAGTGATGACCAAAGCAGCAAAACCACTCAAGCCTAGTAAGGCTGCAAAACAACAGCGCAGACAAGCAGTCAACTCCAATCCATTTGCAGGGTCCTCTCTATTCGAAAAATCAGAACAATATATCAAGGATGCTCCTGACGGCAAACCATTCGAGGACATGGCCTATTTCATCCTCGCCTTCCTCTTGTTTTTCATCTGGAGATTAGCTGTCGCTGTTCAGAGTGGTCATCAAGGTAACGTTTTCTACAAAAAAAAGAAAAAAAAAATAGTCGATCACTTTAACTAACCAAAGTCTTTTTTTAAAATATATAATAATATATCCACATATATCAGGAGCTATTGGAGTCTGGAGCTTGTTCACATTCGGAACGATTACAGTGATCAACATCTGGACTTTCTTCTTGGTGATGGTCTCTGCAAGGAGTCGAGGGGATATTGGTATCCTTAAGATTCACGATGGCGATCTCTGGCGCTTCACGGCTCTCTCTGGAGTTATTGGTGCCTGGGCTGGAATTCTTTGTAAGTTTTTTTTTTTTTTTTTTTTTTTTGCATATTGTATGTGTATAAAAACGTTGTAGTATCCTTTATTAAATTCAAATCAATCAATCATATATAGTATTCAAGTACAAGGGTGAAGAAAAATCGTTCATTTTAAAAGTTCTTGCTGCCACCGCTATTAACGCCTTATGGGCAGCAATTTACATACGCTACTACTTGGGTTGAAGAAAAGAACCTTTGCATCAAAGTATCATTATCCGCATTTTCATGGCAGTATCAGTACTTAATATGTAATGGCTATTTTTTTCTTTCCTTTATATATATATATATATTTAATATCCGGACAGGGTTCTATGTTTGATAAAAGAAACAATGAAGAAAAAAAAAAAGAAAAGAAAGAAAACAATAATAATAATAAAAACTACGGTACAACGGTACAAAATGCTTTATAAAAAAAAAAAATAAGATGAGATCCAGTTGATATTTGAGGCGATTCGTTTAAAATAAAAGAAAAATCATACTCTCCTACTGGCAAGTATTAAACCGCTTTATGGTTTCAAATCCTCCGCCTTCACCTATTGTTTGATCCTATGAGAAACTGGTAAATACTGGGTGATAAGAGTGCTTCTATCTCCATGAATGCTCATAACCCTCCGTTGATTCTCATTTACATGATGCTTTTCCTGTTGATTTACTCCAAAGAGACTGTGGCACCCAGATCCTCAAGAGTCTTCTTCAACTTCTCAGCATCAGCCTTAGGCAAGCCTTCCTTGACAACCTTTGGTGCGCTCTCAACAAACTTCTTGGCCTGTTGCATTTATATAAAAAAGAAATCAATCAATTTCATTTTTCCATCTTTAAATCTCGGACCAAATCAATTGACTTCACATGGCTGTAATCATCTCATTATCGGCTTTTTTTTTTTTTTTACCTCAACCAAGTTAATGCCAGGGATGATGTTCTTGATCTCACGGATCAACTTTGCCTTGGCAGCAGCATCAAACTTCTCAAGCTTGACGTTGAACTCGGTCTTCTCAGCAGGCTTTTCCTCCTATAAAACATGAATGTAAGAAGAAAAAAAGGTAATTATGACCCCTGACAATTTGACTAGAATAGGTCAAGCATGTCCATAAGACTTTCATTTAGAAGCCTAGCACGTAACCTTACCTCAGCAGGAGCAGCTGCAGCAGGGGCAGCTGCAGGAGAGACGCCTCCAACAGGCATGGCAATCTCCTGGATATTCAAGCGAGTCTACAGACAATAATAATAAAAAAAAACGAGTTAGGCTCCTTTATCCAATCGATCAATACCATGTATCCCATGTAACTTACTCGACTAAGGGATAAAAGAGAAAAAAAAAAAAAAATATATATATATATATAACGGCGCCTCTAGAATGAGCCAACATATAATTACCTTCAATAATGAAACCAGATCAGCGGTTTGAAGAAGGGTCAGTCCAGAGATCTGATCAACGATGGAGACGATCTTGGGATCGACATCCTTACTGGAACCAGGGGCATCCAACTTGTCTCCAGTAGCAGACGAATAATTGGCGACTCTGCTGACAACTACGCGAGGTGCGATTCTTGCAGCGGAGCGAGGAGCAAGGCGAGCAGAGATAGTACGCAGCTGTATATAAAAAAATGACAACAATGGGACCAATCGAAAAACATTAGAGAATATACACATTTTTTTCTTCTAGAATTGCACAAGTAGACGTGACAGATCGCGTTGATGATCCGTCAAAGTCCCATTCTAGAATTCAATGTAGCTGACATGACGAATAGTTGATAGTTGATCTGCTAGGGTGGGGTCCTGATCAATAGCTTTTGCCTCGCTTTTACCAAAAAGGCTCGATCTGCAATGTATCTTTTTCTTTTTCTTTTTTATTATGTCTAGTGTAGGGTCCTGCTCCATCTTTTTTTTTTATCACACTTTCTTATGTATATTAATCATTACCATGGTGCAGTGTTGAGGAAGTCGGATGTGTGAGAGGTTGTAGAAAGGAAATGAATGTACTGTCCACAATGGAACAAGAAGGGTATGAGGAGACCGGAGAAAGAGTAAACAAAAGACAAGGCAAGAAAGTCAACTCATCGTATGTACTACCCTTGGAGACAGTCACAATATTTTATTTTATATCTTTCTATGGAGTATACAGCCAGGACAAACAAAGGCTCCAGTGGTTTGCTTACCTTCTTGAGTTGTCATTCTCCATCCTTGATAACACAATGTATTCATAGAACACCAAGAGGAGAAGGGAAGCAAAACGCGAAAAAGTTGTAGGCCTCGACCATGGCTCATTCCTTGAAATAATGTTAGTTTCTTTGCTTTTCTTTTTCTTTTTCTTTTTGCTCCTGTTGTCCTATTCATATCCTGTTCGTTATGAGTAATTTTTCTTCATCTTATTCTGTGTCATTGCATTGCCTTTTTATCTTTGATTCTTTTGTTTTTTTTTGTTACTTTCTTTTTTTCTTTAATGCTTTGAGTTATCATGCTGTATCTTTTTTTTTCTTTTTTTCTTTTTTCCTCTTATGCCTATTGCCCTATTTTAATTTTACCCGCACCCATATACCATGTCGCCGACTCCTCTTATTATCTTGAACTGATATCGGAGCATCGGTTCTCCTAAATGCACATGGTTAAAGAAAAAAATTACAAATATTTCAAAAAAAAAAAAAAAAAAAAAAGATAGAGAGGCCGAGAAGGAGGGTCTTCTTTGCTTAAACGATATCCATAATATCCTTCGTTAATATTCTCATGAGTCCTGGCATTTGTCCTGCTCCTTGGAATCTAAGCAATAATCCAAATGTCCAGTCCAAGGTTCAAACATATTCATGGCTGCCCACTTAATAAGGAGCGTAGTAGCCTCCTCGAGTACCACGACCACGTCTGAAAATTGTATAGATAAATAAGGCAATGTTAGACTTCTGTATTATCCACTATACCAATCTTTCATTCCTCGTCGTAAAATCGTTTGCTGATGCTTACCCTCCGCGGCCGCGGTATCCACCGCTATAAGGTGTGGGTGCACCATACATCGGCGTCTGCCCGTATCCACCGTATGCTCCATGTCCTGCAAACCCACCACGATATGCACCACGACCACGACCACGACCACGGGCAGCCATTCCAGGAACATTGGTACGCTTGGGAGTAACCTTAATCAAACGGCTGCGGAATAAAGACTCGTTCAAGACCATGGCGTTTGCGACAGATGAGGGATCAGCAAATTCCACGTAGGCATAGCCCTTTGGATGTCCTGTCCACTTGTCACACAGAATTGTGATGCGATTAATGGTTCCACATGACTGGAAATGGCTCTGAAGCTCCTCTGGTGTCGAGCCCCAGTCGACATTTCCAACATACACTGATCTGGAATCAACAGTCTCCTTGTCTACATTCACATACGGAAACAGACGGCTGTCCAAATCAGCAATACTTCCAGATATATTAAAATATTAAACACTAGACAGATGGTTGCTATAAGTTCATCAGTCATTACCTTCTTCAACCATGTTCATTTCCTTCTCGGCCTGTGCCTGCATCTCTCGAAGTTTGGCAGCTTCAGCCTCCATTTCTTTGACGCGCTGTTTCATAGCCTCAATTTCCTGCAAAATGATCCAGGCAAAGAATCAAAGAATTGGTAAACATGGCAGATGGAATAAGTTTATTTTATTACAAACTTTCATGTAGACCAAAACATTAATCCCTCATTATTCTGTGCAAAAGAACAGAAAGTATTTTATTTACCTCGTCGCCAATATCTCTCTCAAGATCATCAGCCGCGACGGATACTTTCTTATCTTCTGCAGACATGTTGTGGTATTGCAACAAATGTGATGAACTAAATGAAATTATATAAGTGTAATGCAAATATTATTAGGTTCGCTTCATCATCTTTGATGTGGTTGTACCAGCATTGCAATCATATTAACTCCATGAAAAAGATCTTCCGCACGCATCAGACAAAATAAATATCTCATAATGGAATCAGATGTGGAGGTGTGGTCGAAGGTTCAAGTTGATTATAAAGTGCGGATTGGCAAAAGATTTAACAGCTCCATTAGCTTCATCATTAACCGCCGATAAACTTGAAGTATACAGATGGACAAAAGTCGAGCGTTCAAATAAAGGAAAAAATGGAAGTAATAACGCAGCTACAGGATATAGACTGACGTGTCTTGACCGTTCAAAGATCCAAAGATGTGCCATCCTCAAGCCGAAACTTCCTCAGCTCGCGAACGTCAGAGATGCTTTATGTGGCATACAGTGAGAAAGACTGACGTTGATATGTTGCAATTTGTATGCGAAAGCAGTTCATATGGTATGAGGTATTTCGTGTAGAACTGCCTCCAACGTAGAGAACCTTATTAACAGGTTGATAGGTCTGAGGTAGAATACAGAGTTATCCTCAAAGTGAGTATAATTATAAAACATACCAGTGTATTCAAGTCAAATTGCAAACAGTTGCAGTTAGAATCAACAAAGGGATCAATAAATGGACGAAAGGATGAGAACGAAGCAATGAGGAAAAAAAATAAAATAAAAACAGCTTTTTGTGACACATGACGATCACCGTAGAGAATACCGATCGCATGTCTTATGCCAAATTGTACGTGTACTGAGTCTATTGATTTGGAGATTATTTACGGCACTTTCATCCTTGTCACGGTTAGTGCCACGATCAAAACAAGACTACGCATCCAGACCTTGCTCCAGTAGTTCGACCGGCCCTGCCCCTGTGCTGCCTCCGATCGCGCCTTGGGTATAAGTCCTGTGTGTCGGATATTGCTCGGCTTCGATGAGGCTCTTTGCTCTGGCTCCAGAGATTGAATACCTTTATCTTTTGAGCTCTTCTTGCTGTGGTTGTTACTACTGTTGTTGATATCGCTACCATTGCTGCTAATATTATTAATATCGTTATTACTGTTGCCTTTAATATTGTTGCCACGGCTATTGCCTTCATAGTCGCCCTCACCGTCGTTACTATCCTCGTCCTTGATGTCTTCTTCAACGTTGCCATCATCTGCTAAGGGTATTTTAGCCACTGGCTTTTTCCTATGCGGATTCCTCAGGGTTAACCCACGCACCACAGAATAAGGTCCACGGCGCCGGCGATAACCCCTATACCAATCTTGATGCAAGACATATATCTTGCCCTTTCTGCGGAAAGCCTCTTTGGTTGTTGGCGCATACCAGTAAGAATGATTGAGTTCTTTTTGTTTTCGATTTCGATATTGATGGTGGCTATGGTCAAAATTGATCGGTTTCCTATCATGATGCTCCATTATCTCTTTGTAACTGTTCCTGTGTTTGTCGCCTTGGGTTTCCAATTCGGCTTTCTCGTTGAATAGGCAATGCTGCGGTGTGAAGTAGCATGTCATTCTCCATGTCACTGCAAGCTCACTGCTTTCTTCATGCCCCAATTCCCCATAGCCATCCGACACGCCCCCTTTCCATGTCGCATTTCCTTATGTTCTGCATGGATGTGTTCGCTACAAAGCATTATAGCAGTAACGGCAACTGGAGTACTATAAGCACTTGCAGTTGTAATTGGAGAGGATCTGATCGAGACTAGCAGGCATATTACTATTGGAATTTGCTTTGTATCCATCAGCGTCTTCATAGCTTTTGTTCCTGAATCCTGACCGGAAATTCCTCTACAAAGGAAAAAGAAAAAAAGAAAAATCGTGTTTTGGTAGGCAGCCCAAGTCGCAATAAGAGGCAGACACCAGGCACATGGTTGACGGTGTGCCACCAAGAATGTGGAATGAGAAGAGTGAGCTTCTTCCATTTGTATCGGTTTGTATTGAAACCAAATCTCTGGAGAACTGACCACTTTTAATTTATCATTATTATTTTCTACAAGTTTTAGTATAACTGTGTCTGTTGAAATGGGAAACACAATGAAGGATGCCAACTGATAAATCATAGTATACATAAAATATATTTTACAATAAAGGTATTCTTGGTTCATTGCTCTCAGCTCAAGGATCCATTGCAAACGCTCGCAGCTGTGTCGTGAAGCGATGTGTATGACCAATAAACTTTTTTCCACCTCCATACATCTCAATTTGGATATGATAGATATAATTTTTGCCTCTAGAAAGATCCTTGGGTGAGAACACAAAGTGGGGCCTGGCTCTTGCATCCAGGTTGGCTGCCAAGATGCGCACGATCTCAGCCTTGAGTGAATTATCCTTATTACTACTGCCATTGTCACCTTGTCTACCATTATAATTGACGTCTCTTTTGTTCGTAACCAATAGAATGTTGACGCGTGTGTGGAGAGCGCTCCTGAGCTCTGGTGGAATAGTCCAACCAACCATATAAGGCGCCATCAGCACCATGGAATGGCCGCCGGATTCATAATCGAGTCTGAGCGACTTCTTGACCAGCATTGCCTCGTTTGATTCCCTTGCGAAATGGAACTGATCTCTGCTCTTAGCATCCTTTGATCCATGCATGATTTTAGACTCTTTAGAATGGGTGTTAAGAAACAAGGTTCATTCAAAATTCCCTTCGCTTCCCCCGTCGACACTACTTTCTGGTCCTGCTGTTCATCCACTACGCATAGAGTGAGTACTAGAGAGCATCCCACAACCGTAGATATACGGCCTTTGTAGGCTGTTAGCAGCAGTGAGTACCTTCCAGGAGCAATTTGAGGGCCAAGATTGAACCGGATCGATCCCAGGTGACTCGGGACATAGCGGCGAAGCAGGACAGAGCTCTTTTCAGTGTGTTGTAAAAGTATGGTATCTATCGTGGAGCCCTCAGGCATAGCTGAGCCATCCCATGCAACTGTAGAAAACGAATCTATAGAGCACTCTGTCGCTATGGGTTAAAAAACACGAAACATGGAAGAAAGATACTACAGGCTGAAGAGATTTTTGAAAAAGGGCGGTATTTATTGATGTTGCCCTTCAGGCACACACCAGGGTGTGACAGGGCGAGCTAAAAAGGGTGTGATTAGGTCTATTTTATATTCCAAAGGGTATCAATCGACGATCTATTTGACAATGTCAATGGTGATCAACATCAACTGTGCCTGTGCCTGAACAGTCCTTTGCTTCATATGGCAGTGTATATGCCCATTTGACTAAAGAGAAAACATTCATGTACACACTGTTGCATGAGATATCAACAAGAGTAAATGGGACGCACTCAACATGTTTGAACCATCGCCCTTTCAGGAAAGTGGAGCCGCCTGGCAGCAATAGGGCAACACATCTTTCCGTAGTCACCAATAGACATGGTCAACCGTTGCCTTTGTGATTGTCGATTGAAGGTGCTGATACGAAATGTTGATTATTTATTAAGCTCTTTAAAATAAGTTTGTATATACGACAACATTTCTCGATTACGAGTGTAAACATCAAGAATCATTTTCTCGATACTACGATGGTTATCATCCACGTTGGTTTATCATTTGAGACAACCATTCGTAATTGTAACTTCAAATTCATTTTCTACAGTAGTATTGTTAGTATTGTTGGTGTCCAACAGTCTATATATGAGTAGATCAAGTGTTGGTAGAAGTGATTGGTTGAGTTGGTATTCTTCCTATTTACGCATGTATCAGCCTACTTGAAGAAGGGTCAAGAATGAACTTTATCCCACCAAATCTCAACATCAAGTCTTGCCAATGTCAGTACAAGGATCCGGAAAGGGATGTGAAGCACCCATAGTAGTTTCATCAATAATCTGTTGAATAACACAATAGTCGTATCTAATTTTTTAGAGGACCAGCAATAAGTAGTAGATAACAATGCTGAAAATGATGGCATTAACATTGGCTTTCGAGTCAATAGGTAGAAGAAAAAGAGAAGAGATGGTGGCAAAGTCGTCCTTACTCCATTCATCAGCCACACTATCTGCTACTGCTCGAGCCATGACCCATTTCATGGTTCGTTCATTTTTCTCCTCCATCTCTTCTTCTATCTTTTTCCTTCCCTCAATCTTGTCATTGACCAATCACTTCAACGACGCCAAAAGCCGCTATTTCTCCTTTACAGACTTTCGAATATTTCAATCCATCACTGCTTTCGTAACCCCAGTTTTATCATCTATAACAACAAAATTGAGGTATGAAAGCGATTGCCGCTTCTTTATTTCTCTCCCTTTCTTCTTCCATTTTCTTCTCTCCTTTTACCTTCTTTCCAAAGTACTTTTTTTTAATTAAAATTGGTTGTTCAACTTTGCGGGAGAGAGAGCAGAAGACTCCAAAACTGGAAAGCAGCATGCTAATCAAACCCAACGTGGAAAAAAAAAAAAAAAAAAAAAAAAAGACAATCAGAGTATAAATATCACGCACGCCATTGTCCCATTGCTCATCACAAACATTTTATTGTTTTTAATCACACAAACACGCACAACGCAAAGGCAACGCACTTAGTGCTTTATTATTTTTACTTCTGTCAACAACATGTTCACTCGCTGTTCACTGCTTACACTGAATGGATAAACGCATCATTGACACTCGCCATTGACGATTTGTTTTGTGTCTTTATCATCAACGTCACTCTAATCATCCATCACTATCATCAAGCTAAATAAAAGCACAGTAAAAAAACCTCTAGGCACACTATTCGGACAAAGTGCAATCCATCATTTTCCCCCTCTATGCGCCATATATTTCCACATGTCAACCAGCTCAATGAATTGAGGGGAATATCCAAATGTTGTCATTTCTTTTTCTTTTTTCTTTTTTTTTTTTAGAAAAAAAAGCGTAGATTTATCTATTTCTTATCAAACACTTATTCTTTTCTTTGGCTAAAAAACTCTCTCAAATGCAATGTATTTTTTCAGGCAAACATCTTCTACACCACCATCGCCTCTTCATTGCCCTCATTCTGCAAATTTCAATTCACGCCTTTCACTCTCAGCCTGATAGAAGAAAGAAGTGTGAGTTTCCTACCGCTATCCATACTTTCGTTATCATACTTTCTGTAGAGAGGGAAACGTAAAGGAGGAGCATTTTGATGGCATGTGTTTATGCAAGTTTTTCATTTCCGCGTTCTGTGTGTCACAATGGCCATCCATGCTGAGCAATTTAAAAATCACTGCTTCAATGGGAAGAACATGTGCGTTGCTTTTTTTTCTCTCTGCGAAGCCCATAATATATTGACGTTCTCAGGCTTTTTCTTTCATCTGTCCATTCAACATCCCTGATTTTTTTCTTTGAAGGAAGTTCTTTGTCTTAAGATTTGCAACCTCTTCCTTCTACAGTGCAGTTGATTGTCTGTGTGTAGATCCATGTGTTTGGTGGTTGGGATTATGATGATAAATAAGATTTCATTTTGCGCTCGTACAAATGGCGCACACGCCTTGTTGTAAACAATGGTGCATTGGGCTGCGCTATTCTTTCTGTCAACTATGCCTTAGCTTAGTCCAATAGCAGAAAACTTTCATGCATTAACTTGCTGCTTTTCCTCCTCGGTAAATTGTTCTTTTTTTAATATTATTTCAAGCTATGAGAACATCAAATTCAAAACTTTTCGATCCTTCACCGTAACAGCAGTAGAGTACTTTGAATATATTCTGGTAGTGGTACCTCTGATATCGAGAGCTACCTTTTGGTGAGCACGAATACGATCGGGGCTGACAAAGGTGCTGAGCCACATGATGTCTGCTGCATCTCATAGTACAACGACATTCTTACCAGCGGGTGTTATTCTTGGCTTTGCCTCTAATCTAGCAGAGATGAGCAATACTCCGCATAATACTTTTGGACCCCGCACCTGTGTGTACATTGACGGGTTTGCACATGGACCAATGAGAGATAATATCGACAAAAGTTTGACTGAAGACGTAGTGGGCACGGAAGTGGATGTAGTAGAAGGCAAAGAAAGCAAAGAAAGCGAGGCTATGCTGAACAAGGATAGCCGAGAAGGAATTCGAAAGGATGCTAGGCCAAATGCGGGCTCGCACTTGGCCCGTGAGCCACCAATGAGATCCGATAGGACTATTATTGTACAGGAGCAAGAACAAGGCACAAAAGCGTTATCAAGCATACTCCGCACAATAACAACGCTCTCATCCAACACTTCTCCCTCTTCTTCAATTGACCCTCGACAGCCTCAACTTTTTGCTCATGTTTCGCCGACGGGGACTATTTCCGTTACTTCACCTCTCTCTCTTTCCTCTTCACTTTCACTCCCCTCTTCTTTATCCTTGCAGCAGCAACGACAACAAAGATATCGCAGCCCATGTCGTGATCCTAGTTCTGAAATGCCTGTTGCAACAACATTTCCTCCCATATTTTCGCATCCATCATCTTCCCAAAACTTTAAAACACCTCCACAGTACCTGTCATCCTCCTCTATCATCTCGTCCTCTTTGCAGACTGTACGGCATGTCAGTGGACAAAGAGGGTTGTTGGCACAGCGACCAAAGACAAGTTTTAGTAGATTGCTGGATTCGGTGACGAATAATACGGCTGTGATGGCTGAATCCCGCCTCAAGTCATATTATAATTTCGATAACGGGCAAACAGCTGTAACCAATGCATTATCCTTACCACAAAAGGCAGAGGTACCAAACCAATCTACAGCCTTCTTCACTGGGCCTTTGATGGCAGCACGATCAGATTCAAAGCCAAAGTTCTTTGTATGCGATGACGATAGCGAAGAGGAGTTAGAGGATGAGTTTGAGACTCTTACTTTATCCCCGAGAGCTTCTCAATCACCTCCTGCAGCGATATCTCTCAGACAGTCAATGGACGGCTGCCTTGATAGATGTGATATGGGTGAATTTAAAAACCCAGGTTATAGTCACCAAGGCGCAAGTACCTGTAACATGGTAGAGACGACTACACCGCCGTCGCTGAGGCATATACCTACATCTGAGATGCCACGGAGACAGAGTCTACTTTCAAGCCTTTTCAAGACGGAGAAACATTCGGCTACACAACATGGTTCAAACAACTCGATCCCCACCATCAACAACAAAAATTTAAAAGATACAAGGCTTTACCACCATAGTGCTTCCAAATCCAATGGAGAAGATCCAGAATTGAGTCCTATTTATCAACCCTCTCTAAATTCTACCATTAATTCAGCTGCCCTACACTCATTAAGTCATTTCTCTGTAGGAATAACTCATCAGTATCGGCCTATCCAGCGGAACCACCATCGGCATCTTACAGATCAAGAAGAACGAGTTTTTTTAATAGACAATGATATGACGATAGCGACGAGGCGATTAGCTAATCATGAAAAGATGTCGACGTCAGCGTTGAAAAGGACTAAAAAGTCTGTGTTTAGGAAACTGGATGAGTTAGCCATAGGCAATGAGAGGGAGAGTAGTATTGTTAAAGTAGAGGAAGTGGAAGCAGAAGAAGAAAACGAAGGAGAGCAGGCCGGGAGGAACATCATAACCTCTCTGCCAAGGTTTTCACCTGAACAGCGATACCCATTACAACATCTTTTATCTAAGGAGAAGTCTATTACTCTCAAGTCAGCCAGATCATCTAACTGTACCATAACTAGCACATCTGTAACGTTACCATCTCTGGAATACCAGATTATACCCGAATCAATATCAAAGCCATCGCTGTTATCCTCTTCATTCCAAACACAATCTAACCATAAAAAAGCCCTTCGCCCCGCTTTACTACCATCATTTCAAACATGTTACTGTACTCGGTCGACAGCCACAGCGACTACCACATTTACAACTGCTTCTGCGGCTTCCAAATGCTCAACAACGACTGCACTTTCACCTGCCTCAGTATCAGTATCGGCATCATCCTTGGGAGGAAACGGAGATGTAAGCGCAAACGCAAAAGGGGCGAAGTTTCTCTCGAGCAAATCTCGAGTTTATAATGTTCAAGCGCAAATTCATTCGTTCTACGGACACTTGTCCTCTGGTATCCAAAGAGCTATTGCCACAGCCTTTGAGATTTGAATAAAATTAGAGATACTAATATATTATAATAATGACATATCCAAGCCTCTACTCATAATGATAATAAAGCTTGGCCTCTGGATGGGTAGTTGCCTCGGGGCAAACAGCTTCGCGTGCATGGTCGATCGTTATTTCCCCCAGCCAATAGTAAACAGAATAAAGAAACAGGATGTAGACGCTATTTTGATGATGTAATTTTAGCCATTAGTGTCCTGTATGTAGGAGATAGAAAGGACGCTTTATTCATTCATCAAAATCAGCTTCCTTTGTTCATAAGGACAGATCAGACTCAATCCATTCCAACAAAAAAAAAGACCCACTATGACACGAATTCAGCTTGGAACACCTCAGGAAAAAGAGCTGACTGTAATTTCTTGCGCTTTTTTTACTCTTCTATTTTCTTTTTAAAGGAAAAAAAAGAAAAGAAAAAGTGCACTCCAACTAACCAGAATGTTGCCAATATTTCTTTACACTCTAGGCTCTCGTGCTGGCAAAGCTGAACGACTATGGATGGGCAGATAGTATGTTTTTTGCTGTTTTATCATGATATACAGAAACTTAGTGTTTACAACTAACAGTTTTTTTCTCTTTTAACAGATGATGTTCTCGCCAATTTCATCGTGGTCATGATCGCTAATGATAAGTCTAGAGATGATATAATCACGGAGCTAAATGACAGTACGTTTCTTATTCCTTCATACCTTGACTTGCTTGAGTGTTGGTAAAAAAAGGTATGCTCAAACGCTTAATGGAGCACATCGATTGAACTGTTATTTTCTTTTTTGGCCTTTTCTTCTTGTACCCATTAGTTTTGCCTGGAGAAGGTTAGTATTATAGGTTCATTAGTATCAGTTATTATCATTAATTCGAATCTCTTTTTTTTTTTTTTTTTTTTTTTTTTTTTTTTTTTTCATCCCTGACTTTTTACATTATCTCTTCTCTTTGAATTAAAATAGCACCCTTATTTGCTGAATGGTTGTTTGGAGCTATCGACAATATTGTGGATCAAGGGGCACAAGGTATATTGAAACGCTCTAGTCCCTCTAATCCCTCTGGATCTTTTGCTTTCTTCTCTTAAGCAATTGAAGACTGATACTTAATCTCTCTCTCTCTCTCTCTCTTTTTTTTTTTTTTTTTTTTTTTTTTTATAGAAACTTCATCGCATCCTGCAGCTCCTCAGCAGGCCATCTCTCAAGACCAAATTTCAAATGATATACCAGAGTCAATGGAACTAGTAAGAAAAGAGTCTCCTGTAGCTGCAACATCTCCAGATTTAGGATCATTAAGTTCTCGTCAGCAACGTCATCACCATCACAATTCTGAGAGACGCGCGCCAGGCAGACTCTTACAGAGTGCAATCAGTAGTGCTACCAGATCTGAGTCATCACCACCTATTTCAACATCATCTCTTCGACACCGAGAGGCTCCATCCAGAATCTATGAAGACGACAGCAGAGGGAGGGAAAGGAGACACGAGTCTCCTCGACGACCCGCAACATCGCGTGGAATGAGTTCCAGTCCCGTACGATCTAGAGAGGGGCTCACAACAGGTCGTGGAAAGGAGGAGAGAATCCGTTTCCGAAGGACCAGTGCTGAACGTGCTCAGGATGAAGCTAGAATCAATGCTCGTTTGGGTATCAAGGGAGGGAGAGGAGGGGGAGGCGGAGGATCAGGAGATCGTTTAAAAGGACGTTTGGGAAATATCGACAGTCGTCTTGGATGGAGAGATAACCATACTGATAATGATGATACTAGACGTGTTCGTTCTCGAGAGCGCTCATGGGACACCAACAATGACTATCATGACAGGAGAGATCGTCAGAACAAAAACAACAGCAACAGCAAGCGCACTGATCGGGATGCATTAAGGGATATTGAACGTCGACTTGGCACACGCACTCGCCCTCTACATGATGACAGTGATACCGATGGCTATAATAATAATAGCGATATTCCTAGCCAACCTGCCTCATGGTCTAGAGACCCAGAGAAGATGCTTCGCGTCGAGGCAGAAATTACACGCCGGGCCGTGGATGCTGCTATAGCGAACAAGACTCGATGTCGGTTCTGGCCTAGCTGTTCTCAGGGAGATGCATGTCATTATTGGCATCCACGCGAGCTCTGTGCAGAATTTCCCAATTGTCCTAAGACAGCGGACACATGCCTCTACATTCATCCACTTGCAGAGCCAACAGCGGAGCAGGTTGCTGCTGCTGCTCGTCAGGCTCTGGTGCAATCTATGAAGGCACGTAGCCCTAAAAGTGAGATCGGCAACAGTAATAACAACCTGATGAATGGTGCGGGAGGAGACGACAGCTCAGCATTAATTACGAACGCACTGCAAATGCCATTCGCATTGGGATCAACGACACTTCAGGAATGCAAGTTTGGAGCACGATGCACTCGATCAGATTGCAAGTTCCGCCATCCTCAGGGAGGCGATCCAAGCCAACCTCTGTGCCGTTTCTTTCCGAACTGTACTAAACCCAACTGCCCATTCTTCCATCCTCCTTATGGGTAAGGCTTTTTTTTTTTTTTTTTTTTTTAGAGGGCAAGCTGTTGAAAGGTTTTCCATCATATGCTTGACATTTTTGTCATTGACTTATTTTTATTTTTTTATTTTAATTTATCTTGTTATATTATATTTTCTTTTCTTTTTTAGTGAGCCACTAGCAGCAAAGGATGTAAGCATGGACGAGTCAGGCTCCACCAATGGCGAAGGAGTGAATCGAATCCCTACAGCTTGTCGATTTGGAGACCAATGTACCCGTCCTGGTTGCCATTTTACACATCCACGTGATGGCACCGGCACTGTAGCAGCAAAATCCAATATGCCCATGGTAATCATACTTTTTTTTATCTATCTATTTTTGTTAGTTTAGTCCCCGATATTCTCATAGTCCATATTGCGATATCTGAACTTCCTTAATTCATTATTTCTTTGTCTTTGTCTTTGTCTGGCTTATATAAATAGTGCAAATTCAATCCATGTACACGCCCTGGATGTCCATTCCGTCATCTTGCTGGTGGAAGTGGAGCACCCAATAGGACCTTGGTGTTAAACAAATCTACAAATAACACCAGTGAACGATTTGCAAGTGGTATCGTTGCAGATGGTGAAGTTGAAAAACTATATGTCCCAGCCAGTTCACATTGGGCCAACGGCGGCGTCAGTCATCAACCACAGCAACAATCACTTGACTCGGAGCAGCAGTTACAACAGGATAATGCAGCGATCCAGGCAGAGATGGACATGGACATGGATATAATTGTTTGAGTTTTGAGATGTTGAATGACACATTGGGATCTTTTTTTCCACCTTAATCATTCAAGCAAAAGTTAAATACGGAGGATTAGGAGTAGAAAGAAACAAATGGATTACATTTATGATGGAGTCCTTATTGTCGCAGGAGTTATCGACGTCTTCCATTGGACAAAAATGCCCAAAAAAAAAAAAAAAAAAAAAAAAAAAAAAAAGAGAGAAACAGCGCGTTTTCAGGAAGATCAAAGAGTAGAGCGTTCGGAAAGAAAACAAGCTGCAGATATTTGTGACCTAAAGCAGCCTCCTGTGCCTGCGAAAATGAGAAAAAGAATGCAGGACATCCTCATGCAACACATGTAGCTTATTGTATTATAGTACTAAGGTTCCTTATCATCTAGAAGTATTCGTCATCCATATTGTATTTTTAAATTATAATAATAATTTTGATATGAATTACACTTCTGAATGACGTGTGTGCGATTGATGCTGTTTATATGTCCCAATCGCAGTGCCAGCAGGATAGAGGGGCTGGCCTAGCTTGGATCTACTCTTATCCCACTCAATCCTATTGCTTGACCTGGATTGCGATAGAAGCGCACTATGACTCCTACACACATCTTTGGTATCTCAAAACGAGGTTGGACATGTGCAATGACATGCGATCATATGGTATCAAAGCCATCCTGAAGCATATACAATGGTTAAAAGGATCAGGAAGTTTGTTGCTTTTACAATCGAGCTGGTTCATCTAACACACAAAAAAGGGTGCCTCCAGAGATTCAGGAATCTAAAGACGATTCTTTTTTTTATACTTTAAACCAAGCCTAGCACTCTCTTCTATTTACTCAATAGATACGACATCAAGACACCAGCTATTGATACCGTGAGTATCACGCTAGAGCCAAGCTTGTTCTTGTGGTGGTAGTGATACTTCTGCACTGGACAACATGGTATCTACCAAGTTCAAGCTTTAAACAAGTTCAAAGGTTGTGAGACACAGGTGAGAGAGAACAAAATACCTTAATTACGTTGATTCTTTCAATTAGACAGTGTAGCAGAGTAAATGCGATCTTTTTTTTTTACTTAATTGGTATGTATAATTTAGACAAGTAAAACTCACCCATCATTTTTTTTTAAATTTTCATGTATTAGGATACAAGTTGCAAGGATGTCACAACCACAACTGAAAACAAACAAATAAGCATAGAACAACAGGAAGGGAAAAGACATAAATACAAGGAGAATGGATTGTAAAAATAAAATAGAAAGTACTCTTTTTTCTTTCTTTCAAAACCCCGGGAAATAAGATCCCAGGTCATCAACCTCTCCAGGAGGATAGACACCATAAGGCTCTGCATCCTCTGGATAGTCATCAAAATTGCTGGCATCACCTTCGCCCAAGATGGTTGGACGATAAGGAGCCTCAATCTGCCGAGAGTATACTAAGTCCCAGTTGATACCCTCAAACCACGGATGGTTCTTGATATCGGTTGCTCCACCTCTCAAGTTTCCGTAGCGTTTCGTTAGATCAGCTGTCAGCAGCCGTTTCAATAGATCCTTTAATGCTGATGAGAAGTGTGACGGGTACTTGACCTTGCCTGCCATGATCTTGCCATAGAGCTTGATATGGTCCTCATCAAAGAAGGGTGGATATCCTGCACACATTTCAAACATCAGCACGCCCATAGACCACCAATCCACAGCTTTCCCATATCCTTTGGATTGAATAATCTCGGGCGCCAAGTAGTCGGGTGTGCCACACAAGGTCCATGTCATGTTTTGAGGAACATGTTTTGCAAATCCAAAATCTGTAATCTTGATATGGCCCATCGAATCCAAAAGCAAGTTCTCAGGCTTAAGATCACGGTAGATGACTGCGTGAGAATGAAGGTACTCCAGTGCAAGAAGAACTTCACACGTGTAGAATCGAGCAACATGTTCAGGGAAACGCTACGCTCATCATAAGCAAAATAAAAAAAAATAAAAATAAAAATAAAAAAAAAAAAGACGAGTATGGTAAATAAATCAAGTCATCCAGATGTTTCATTTAAATATGTATGTACGATGTACAATTTTTGAGGGTTCATTGGTTCAATGAAGCAGGGAGAATAATACGCGGAATCAGCAGGATTTGTGAATGTCACACAAACAAAAAAGAAATCCGCCTTGTCTGGCGTTTCTTGCATTGTATTTCAATGTGATGCCGCCCCCTTTGCCCTCTCCTCTTGCCGCGCCTTTTTTTTTTCTCCTCTCCCACGCACTCATGCATCAGATCAAACCTAAACTAACCGAATCCATGCAAATCCAATGGTGGCTGGTCATGCATAACTCCTTTTCTCTCCCGCTGTCTTGTCCTGCACTCACGATCCCATTGAAAGAAAGATCTGTGCAACAGACTTTCAGCAGCGACACAAATGTCACTCTTTCAATTTTACTCTCACATTCTCAAGTTCAACAAATAGGCAAAAAAGAGTCCAGCCTAGACCAGACTAAAAAAAACCCGAAAGAAGATTAAAGTATTCATGCGAAAAATAAAAACAAATAAAACAGGTTCCATATCCTTTCAATGTAACTCTAAAAGATCCTGCTTATTCGCGCACAAGAATGATATAAACATTCGCAACCAAAGACATTGATCCAAGGTATCATTCTGAGCAATGAGGTTAGAGAGCAAAGGAAGAAAGTCCTGGAGATGGTGTTGTGCATCATATTGCTGAGGTAATACGGAAATCACTTGATGGCTCTGAAGCTTTAAAGAGCAAACTTCAACACAAACAAAAAAAACTTTACCTGTGATTTCCTAAGTACCGAGAACAACTCGCCTCCAACAACGTAGTCCATCACCATATACAGATTCCGGGTGTCTTGAAACGTCCCCCATAAATTAATCAGGAATGGATGCTCTACCCGTTCCAGGATCATCTTTTCGTTGTTGGTGTGCTCCACTTGCTTCAAACGTACAACCTCGGTCTTTTTAAGGACTTTCATTGCATAAAAACGAGAGTTGTATCGCGATTGGACTAGATGAACACGGCCAAACGATCCCGTGCCCAATGTCCGATGAATCCTGAAGTCATCTAAATTGAACTTGCGACGCGTTGCTTGTTGCTGAGGCTGTGTTTGTCTCTGTTGCTGCTGTTGCTGTTGAATCTGTGGAACTTGTTGCGCTTGTACCTGTGCCTGCGCCTGCTGAATCAGAAGCTGTGCTTGCTGCTGCTGCTGCTGCTGCTGTTGTTGCTGTTGTTGCTGCTGCTGCTGTTGCTTCTGCTGGCGTTGCTCTTGCTCTTGCTGTTGTTGCTCCAGCTGTTGATTTTCAGGCAAATTGGTATCTACAGAGACCATTTCAACCGATTGCATGCTAGCTGAGGGAATACCACCACTTTGCTGAAGCTGTTGCTGCTGCTCTGTCTGCGGAGACTGGGAGTGTGGTAAGAGTGTCTGGAACTGAGGCTGCGATGGCGACGGTGAGGATGACTTTGGCGAGTGAAGCTGCAATTGGTCGAGAGATATGTTATTCCCCTCAGGACTTTGAACAGTCGTAGCGGGCACTTGTTGCTGTACTGTCAACGATGGTTGAAATGAGGATGTAGTTTTGTTTCCAAATGTACTTGAAAGAGATGGCACACTGTTCTCTTTGAGGCTGACTTGTTCTAAAGTGGGCTCTACTGTAGGCTGGACAAAAGAATCGCCGTGGTTGTATCCGTAGCCGTTGAAGTGGGTGCTGTAGTCAGTTACCGGAAACGTGTTCGAGGCTAAGCGAAGGAGTGATACCGAGAAGCGATACAGAGAGACAAAGTAGAAGAAAAATGGTAAAGGGTGTGAATAAAGGAGAGTAATAAAGAAAAAAAAAAAATTCTTGTGTAAAGAACCCCCACACTCTCCGTTTAGTCTCTTGTACAAGAATTCTCGTACTCTTCAAATAAACTGTAGTTCGTCAAGAAAACAAATATTTGTATCGGGCGCATCCACTCTCCTCCATTAATGATCAGCTTTGCACCTTCTCTGCTATCAGAACTATGCAGCTTAGTCTGAGCAAACAATGACATGCTATTAATGCACTTTTGAAGACACCTCTTCCCTTCATTCATAAAATGTCCACCACCCTTTAATTCACAGGTTCGAGAATTCTCATAGTAGCACCCATAGGGTTACTAAAAAAAGGGGGTGTAGTGCGCATTGGTCATAACCTTCTTAATGTGTACAATGCGTGACATTGCATTGTTTTTTTGTGAAAAAAGGCGTCTGAAAGAAAAAAGTAGCACAAGGGCTTGGGAATAACCACAGCGAATCAAGGCCATAATAAATATCTTTGCAGAAAGAAGGGATTATAATGATATGTGGTGAATGCATAAGTGTTTGTGTATGTTTGGATGTACTCAATATTCATTTTACTCATGAGAAAACCCTTCTTTTTCCGATAGACCTGTTGTGCTCATGTAAAAAAAAAAAAAAAAAAAAAAAAAAACTCCCACACTACGAGATGGATAGGGCTGAGAGAATATAACTATAATTTTAGTGGATAAAGCATGGGTTTCTTGCTTCTGCATTCTCGCAGGGAAAATATTGATAGTCCTTTTTGCAATTTCCAATTCTCCAGTGTATTACTTCTGCTGAAGTAAAGAAAATCTTCCAGTAAATTCATAACGTTAAAGGCCTTGATGGAGCAAGTAATAATAGCAGTGTGTATGTACAAATGGATAATAGGAGTGTCATATACTCGTGTAATATACCTTAATGTGCAAGACAAGAGGAGGAAGAAAGAAAAAAAAAAAAAAAAAGAATAGATGGGACAAAAAATAAAATCATGCAACAAAAATGATGCGTTTCTTGAAATAAAACAGAGCGATTGACTTCTTTTTTTTCTTTTTTCAGCTCCAGCGAATTGCCGAGAACACTTGGCAAATGAAAAAGCAAACCCTGTCATAAAGAGCATAAAAAAAGTATAACATGTTTCCAGCAACAACGCAGGGGTAAGAAGATCTTTGGTATGTCAATGACGCATAAACATATGAGCATACTCTCCTCTCTCTCCTCACAACTGCTCTTGATAACACAACAAAGAATAAAAGAAAAGTAAAGCCAAACTACTCTAGAGAGTACTTTTAATTCATATATTGTTTCCACTTACTTCGACAGCTTTGTATATACCCAGAGCCTGTGTCTCCGTGGCCATTGCTATTGTATCCTTGTCCAGGCTTGCCTGTATAGGCATCATTACCGATGCCAATGTTGCTGCTGTGGTTGATCGTGGTTGTGCCATTGGCATAATTAACCGGCCCTTTCAAGGTGGTGGCAGCAGGAACGGTATTCATGTGGGTTGAGGACGACGTCGATCGTGCCTCATATTGAGGCTGCTCGTCATGTCCAAAATCATTTGTATCGACAGATGCTATATAAGTATCATCGTGTTATTGTTGTTATTGATAAACGGTTATGCTTAATATCACTTTAATTTTGACTTGTCAGAGCAGAGACAATAGCCGGACTGATAAGAACTTGGGCATTCAAAGCGATAATAAGAAAAACTAGAGAGCGATTCGCTCTAATATTCAAACGTATGGATTGATTACGATCATGAATCTCTCTCTCTTTTTTTTAATATAGCAAAAAGAGTCATTTATGAATATCAAAAGAAAGCCATCCGCCTGGTCTAGTCGGGTCTGGTCGGGGCTGTTTTTCCTGTACACCTAATTTTATTCTGGGGTCTCATATTTCATGTCCGATTTTTTTTTTTTATGCCAATGCTAATTTCATTTCAACGCATCGACCATCTTTGGCTTACGGAAAATAAAAAAAAATAAAAAAAGGTTGTTGATCCATGCATTTATCCTCATGCATACAATTGATATCCAATTGATCACGCATTTGGCCATTCACACACACGCATCCTTGATCCACACAATTCATTCCGTTTCTTTCATTTATCAAAAGTCTCGGTTTTGATTGGCTGCAATGATAATTGATTAATATTTCCCTTTTTATGCACGGTCATCATCCATCAACATATTGACATCATTGCTTAAAAAAATAAATAAATAAGATAAAGTCCTGCTCAACAAACAAAGAGGAGATTGTAGATCGAACAAGAGTATATGATAAACAAATGGTGTCCACCGCGTTGATCCCCTAGATTAAGCTCTTAAGATGAATCTGAAAAAAAAAAAAAAAAAAAAAAAAAAAAAGAGACCAATGGAAATGGAAGCAAGATTACATCACCTCGATACTCTCTCTCCCGTTAACCATGTTACCTCGCTTATATATATTTATATTTTTTTATCTGAGTATTACCTCCATGATCCCTATCCATGGTATTGCCATGACCATGACCATGGCCATGGCCATGGTTGTGTCCATACTTGTGGATTGTTTTATCCAAAAGCTTGTTGAATAAGGACATTTTAATCCTTGAGTGTTGTAATAAGAGCTTATTTGCTGTGTGAGTTTCTTTGGGAAGATATTAGCGAAGAAAATGAGAGCTAATCAGATGGAGCAAAAAGGAAGGGATGTACTAAAGAGAGCAAAGCGGTTGCTTATGTGAACGCAAAGATGTTTGGAAATGCAAAAGGGAAAGGAAAAAAAAAAAATAAAAAAATAAAAATAAAAAAATAAAAATAAAAAAAAAAAAAAAAGAAATAGATGAGACCAAAAAAAAATCACATGAACGACGTTTAACTAAACAAACGCGTCTCTTATTTTTTTTTTTTTTTGCACCGTGAAACAGATGTGTTTAAAAAATAAAATTTAGTAAAAACGTTTATTAACGATCTATGCAGCCCCCATGATGATCTCAGAGGGGTCCAGCATCCTCAACTTGCGTACAAATAATGACATTATGAAGGCAGCACAGGCAATTGGCGTCAAACATTTATAAATAAATTGGAATGATTCCACGCATGCCTTCATCACTAAACCCTTCACTTCCGGTGGTAAAAGCTGAACTGCTGTGATTGCCTCTGTAATATGATACTCATTAATCACTTGTAGTATTTCCACAGGATATTTCTTGAAGCTATCTTTCAGATGGTTGTTGAACAATGCTGAACATATTGCAATACCAATCCCTCCTCCAATACTGTTGAAGAACCCGCACATTGCGGTCACCACTGCCATGTCCCTTTTTTCAACCGCTGCTTGAGCCGCCAACATACATGTCTGTAGGATCAAGCCGATACCACATCCAGCGACCAAGAGAAATCCAATCTGTTCTCCCATGTTGGAGTCAGCGTCTAACAGCATACAGAGTCCGATACCGATTGACATCAAGATGGTCCCGATCCAGATAAAAACACGGTAGTCTCCCACTTTGTTTAACATCGCACCCGAACCAATCGATGCTACCACCAGGCCAAGAACCATGGGTAGCAGATGGAGCCCCGACCTTGTAGCGCTCACTCCTTTCACAACCTGAAAGTAAAGTGGCGCATAAAAGATTATACCCAAGAAGCTCATGCCTGTTAAGAAATTGACTGCAAACAACACAGACACTGTCTTATTACGGAACAATCTAGGAGGGATAATAGCTTCCGTGGCACGACTCTCAATCCACAACAGGATAGCGATCAAGATTACGGCCACGCAGAATAACACAATAATCACAGCCGAGTCCCAGTCGTAAGTCGTGCCTCCCCAAGTGATAGGCAGGAGTAAACAGATGACCGCAACAATGATTAAAAGAGTACCAAGGTAATCAATACGGGCCAGTTGCTCTCTTAGCCGCTGCGCTTTGAACGGCAACTTCAAAAATAGTACCACTGCGGCGACGGTTACCACTCCGAGAGGCAGATTGATCAAGAAGCACCAGCGCCATGTAGTCTGTTGGACAAATACACCGCCCAATAATGGACCAATGACAGAGGAGATACCAAAAACAGACCAGATGATGGACTGATACTTGGGTCGCTCCTCTAGCGGAAAGATGTCCGAAATAATGATCAGAACAATGGAAAGGAGTCCTGATCCACCCAGTCCTTGAATGGCACGGAAAACAATGAGCATAGTCATACTGTTGGCGCCACCCGCACCACCAGAGCCAATCATGAAGGTTACTGTTGCAAAAAGTATGCTCGCCTTGCGACCAAAGATATCACTGAACTTGCCTTTACGTTTTGCGTGTTGAGCAGGGAGATACAGGTAATATGTGGGCAGTCTGTTATTAATATTGCAAAGAGGTGTATCTTCATACCAAGGCAAAAAACAAAAGGTATCCTACAGATTTGGCATACCATATAAAGGCTGAAACGCGTCTGTTTGAGAAAAAAAAAAAAAAAAAAAAAAAAAAAAAGCAAGGAAGGAGACGTTAAATTCATATAGGCATATTTGTGGTTTGCAAGAAGTTAACTTAAACTTACTGAATGTGAGCAAGTATGCGGTAGCAACCCATGCCATTTCCGATTGAGCTCTGAAGTCAGAGGTAATCCTGGGTAGAGCCGTAGCAATAATTGTTCCATCAAGGCTTGCCAGGAACGAGGCCATGGCCAATCTAAGAGGCCATAAGGAAAGTCCAGGCGTAGTTTTGAGTGGAAGCGTCCTTTTTTTTTTTTTTTTTTTTTTTTTTAAATGGAGCATGTATAGGCTTACCCGATAAACAAGAGGACCGCGGCATTACGGGAAATGGCTGCCTGAGATCCCTTCTTGATGACATCAGCACCATCTGCTTGCTGTTCGATATCACATTGAATAGTTTCCAGTTCTTCTTTCTGTGGTACACTTTGAGGTCCTTCGATAGCTGAGACTATGTTATTTTTCTTGTCATTAGAATTGTGCAGGGACGAAGCATCTACATCCTGTGTATTGTGCATTGATGTCTCTAATTGTGAAGACTCGGGTGGTAAAGACGGGGGCATCAGTTGTATGGGAAAATGAAGGGTATAAGGCAAAAGAAAGGCTGCTTGACTGGATTGAAAGCTGTGGTTTACCCAGTTTCTTTGCAAATGTGTCGTAAAAAGAGATGAGTTGAAAAAAAAAACTGAGAAACTAAGAAAAAAAAGAAAAAAAGTAAGTAAGAGCGAAAGAAACGTAGAGTGATGGGACATAATGAGTATAAATACATTACCACATTATGTGCAACAGTTGCTGAACAAGTTTCTTACCCTTCTGTCGGTTGCTATCCTTTCTGTCTACTAAATGAAGACATGTAAGACAAAAAAATGGAGATATGATGCCAAACTTGTTCGTCAACACTTTGACGGATATACGGTGCATTGACAGGAGCAGGCAGAAACAACTGCGCTTCTGCGCCTTGGAATGCACGAATGTATGAAAGAAATGATTTCTGAAATGAGACCTCAGACATTCAGCCTTTTGTCTACATTGTTATGTATATACATCATATATATTGTGCTTGTAGAACAACCATTCCTCTAACGCGATTAAAAGTTTAATGGGAATAAGAAAATTGAACAGAGCAAAGCCAAAAAAGCTGAGATAAACAAAGGACACAAAATACCAGTTCTTAGGCATGACTCTGCACGACAAACCTGTTTATTGCATCATACAAAGGTACATGTAGTAAGAAGAAGGTTGGACAAACAATACAAATACAGTGCATTTTTGTCCTTCGGAACCATGGATGTCCTTACAAAAAAAAACCTCGATATTGAATATGCATACTCCACGCATTTATTTCAATCATGCGGATAAGATTGACTAGAAATACCACAAACATTTGGTTTTTTTGTGGAGGAAGGAAACTTCTCGCTACGTCTCATTTAATTGGTTGGACTGAATAAGACCGATTAAGCAAGAAGCGAGTAATCAACTTAAGCGTTTCAACAGCAGCTTCCACAAGGTCTAGTAACAAATGATGCTAATAAGACATTGTGAAGAGTTGCAACATGGACAGAAATCCGTTGTGTAAATGTGCCACACCGAATATCATTTTCTTTCTCTTCTTCATTGTGCCTCTTTGAAGGTAGAAAGGATACAATTACTTTAAAGTCATACTGACGTTCAATAAGCAGAAAAATAAAATAGAAAAAGGATGATATTTCAACTCAAGGCTTCCACCATCAACTATTAATCGTCAGCAGCCCCTGGAGGGATAAGGTAGATAAGGCTTATACATGTGAGATCTCAGTGATGTGCTTGGGATGGAAATTATATACAGTAACGGGTACTATTAACAGGCTATAGACAGTCGTCTGTTGTTACACCTAGGGCACATGAATAATATTGAAGATATCAAAAAATGGGGATATTGTCAGATCTGGAGCGTTACATTGTACGCCGTGGCTGCTTTGTACAAGGATGCCATATAACTGAACAACTCAGGCCATTCTGACAATATTAAGAGACACAGCGAAGGTACCAAGGTATGAAGCTAGGTCGACTCATCAAGTAATACTTGAAACAACGCTTACCATCAAGACGTTAGGTTCAGCGAAACTGTATGATGGCTTCATTTATCAAAAATCTTTAGTCAGGATATATGTAGGTGCTGTAGCAGCTTGCGTGCTGCTTCAGCTTAGTACATCCTACATCTGAGCCTGCGAGTGATCTCAACTGTCGCGGGCAGATGAGTCTTTGGGTAGAATGAGGCGCCAAATTGAACAAGGACGACTGGACAACCTGATAGCAGACCTCACTTCAATGTTTGTTCTGAAAGAATTAAATCCAAAGATAGCAAATGTGTGGCGGCCGTTTGGCTGGACTCAATATGCGGTTGTGGCCACTTATAGCTCAAATATTATATTTGAAGCACAGATGCTCGAAGGAGTGGTGCGCTTCGCATGATTTGCACCATAAGGCCATCTTAACTCAGACAGCCTTGTCATGATTCTGAATACGCCAAGTTCTCGGCTACAAGATGCACATCAATTACCTGCCTCAATGTTTGATGTGCTCAATGTTACATTCAGCAATCAGATCAAGGGCCTAAAAGCTTGAAGCTTTCATGAGCTGCCGTCCAGAAATCTGAAGGAGCTGCAAGGTAGCACACAATATCTGGTGTGCATCACGCAGCGTCTGCCTTCCAAGTTTGCGATGCATCCTAAGGGATGAAGAACGATGCCAAGCACTGCTGTGGTGTATGCAAAGGCTCATATCATATTATGCATATGCCTCGGTTTGAAAAGGAGAAATGAGGTGAACAGGAGGGAAAGACTGATAATGTAAGATATTGGTTATAGGACTGAGGATTTAGGGAATCCATTTGAACCATATTTTTTCTAAATCCGCAGCGACGTTACACTCATACACGATATAATATGCCGAACGTTATCCAAATCTGCATAGTGAGAGAGTTATATGCTATGAGAGTGATGAGCTTCATCTGGGGGAAAGAATTAGGGATGTAAGAAGTGTCATTCAAAATAAGCTTTTTCAATATATTGGTAACACCGCAAAGCACACCCAATATCAAGATCAAGCACTGTTGAGTCAGCTGCTGGATATGCATGATTCCTGGGTTGACTCAATTGATACTCTTATTCCTTGTCCACGTTTTACTTCATCTAGTAAATATTCAATGGTCATTATTAAATAGCACAATATCGTAGAACCAACTGACAGGACAACCATTTATTGACAAAGAACAAACAGACAGGACCTACAACATGGACAAGGCAGACGCAATGGCTGATTCAAATCACATGGATGCTGCTCATCAGAGTGACCGTGTAATGGACACATCGCTTGACCACAGTTCAGTAAACCAAGGCTCATCTCCATCAGGCCATCTTAGTTCTTCTGACAACGATGGCAGAACAAGCAATGGAGAAAATGGCATTAATGAATCACTAGAGTCGACAAATATGGGCGGCTTGCCACCGTCATCGCTCTTACAACAGAACCAAGAACAACAGCAACAACAGCAACAGCAACAACAACAACAACAACAGCAGCAGCAGCAGCAACCCGAAGCCATTCATGAAGCTGCATCAATGACTCATAATGGCATGCAGAATATTGTAGGCCTGCCTCGAACGACTACTCCTACGTAAGGAAAGAAAAAGAGAAAGATATCAGGAACAAGGAAGTCTTGACAAGATATAATGGTTGATACCATTGTTATTCAAGTTATATTAACTTTTATTGTATTTTTTTGCAATTGGATCGTTAGAGCGCCACAGAGCCGGAGACGACACCCACCAACTTCTATAACGGGGCTGGTAATCAGAAAGTGAAGAGCAAACGAAAAGGCACTAATAGATTTGCACAGAAAAAAAAAAGAAAAGCCGAGGAATGTTTACCCAACTGACAGTCGTCTTCGTTTTTGAATTTCTGGCTGCTTTTATATGTAATGCTTGCAAGCCGTATCCTCGTCAGCGAACACAATCCCTCAATACTGGAGCGCGCCAGCCAAGATCACAGCAGTCTTCCTCAGTCATTCGGCATGCTAGGAACCAAACTTACTCGGATACGCTCGGTGGCATATCTTCACATACTGCAAATGCAGCTACTGTCGGACCATCTTCTTTATCCTCTTCATCCTCTTCTGTACCGTCGTCATTATCCAACGTACGAACCCGGCCGGAGGATACTGCCTCACATGAGCAAGATACGTTGACAACGGACTTGAGCTCGCTAACCCCTACTTCAATACAACCCACACCATCATCCTCATTCTCAACGCTGACTGCTCGTGCGGATCAGCAATTGATTACCAGGTAAACACAAAATTACCATATTCTTGGTTGAACGCCGTAAATTCGTAGCAAAAATGGAGATGGGAACAAAGAATATTGTGTTGACATCTTATTTTGTCTCTACCTACTCTTCTTGTATGTGTGTATAAAGATATCTTCGTCAGCTTCTTCAGGGCTGTGGCATCAACTCTTGCCAAACGCCATACTGCGCGTCAAATGTAAATTTTTCATTAAAGGATCCTAAAGAGGTAGCGAACAAGGCTGCCGAAATGGCGAGTAAAGGTCCCGGCGAATTATGTCCGCGCCTTGAACTGAGTAGCCGATCAACTTCATCTTCATCGTCATCTTCATCGAGCGGACCTCAGGGTGAGATCGTTGCAGGTAATATGAAAAGTCGGATAATAATATGTAATATTGGATATCGTAAAGGTTAGGCCTTGTTTTAGTTTTGACCGATGTTCATGTCTTTCAATTTGCAAATTAATTAGATCCGACAATTGACTTGGACATTGTATCGTTCAAAGCACTCATTGATCAATGTAAGGCTGAGCAATCTTACGGTCCCCTGCTCGCGCGACTCCAAGTCGTATTTTCATCGCTCTCTCGGTTATCGATGAGTTTTGCAGATGTAAGCCTTTTTTTTTTTTTTTTTTTTTTACTTTTTCCATTTTGCATTGCAACAGAAATGTATGTGCTACATCATTGCATTGTATATTCTTAGATTAGTATACCAAAAGCTTTTTTTATTAATCCACTTTTTTGATTTTGCAGCAAAGTAAAGGCCCCAAAAACCCTTTCTCTTTGCTGCTATCGGATGTTCAGCAGGCTTATTGGTTACTGCGTGAGTGTCCACCAGAGGCTCAGATACTGATCGCATCTGCTGCTGAACGTATCATGAGCTCGGTATCAGCAAGACCTGACCTTGTCACCCCAAGGCTAATGAAAGGCATTCTTATTATCTTTATGGTATGGTCTCGACTCAATTCTTTTCATTATTTAGTGGTCATGAGCAGAATCTCAATGTTTATTTCCCATCTCTATTCTTGTAACTTTTTGTGTTATATGTGAACATAGTATCCAATCCTGAAAGAAAAGCCGTGGCAGAGCAGTTTGGTGGCGCATTTGTGCCAGATTGTATGGAGATCATCAGCTGAGTGTCAACAAGTTCTCAAACATTATCTAGTCACGCCTCGACCAACATCTGGTAACGGCGTAGCATCATTAGAAGAGACAATGGCGTGGCTTGTATGGCTCGTGCATCGATTCATCAATATGAGAGTGGAAATGATTGAAGGATATGTATCGAGGGTCGGGATCCCTTCTAGTACTGCAAGTCTGGATGATAACGTGATCTCGGCACTTCATTGCCTTCACTTCTTCTGTATGATAAAAGTCGACTGATTCTATTGGTGTAGATTCTTCCAATGTGTTTGGAGTTGTTAAATTTTCGACTGATTCCTTACTTTATTTATTTTATTTTATATTTTTTTAGACTACATTAACCAAGAGGCGCGGTTAATCAAATATACAGAATTCTACAACGAGTCCTTGAACCGGTTCATTGATTTCATGGACGATTTTAAGCGGTTCCGTGAACAGGACTTTGCGCTCTGTAACTTTCCATTTGTATTGACTGTCACCACTAAGGCCAACATTTTAAAGCTCGAATCTTCCGTTCTGATGCGCGAGAAGCTACAAGTAACATCTGGTTTCTCCTTTGGGGTTTGGGATGATCTGAATGGTAATCAATTTGTATTCTAATTTTTTTTTTTTTTTTTTTTTTTTTTTTTAAAAAAAAAAAAAAAACATAGCTCGCATTCTTTCGTGCACTCTTTGCGGGCGTAAATCCACCTTACCTACTGCTGACTATCCGGAGAGATCATATTATTGAAGATGCGCTTGTACAACTTCAGAATAAGTCTCATGAAGATCTCAAGAAACAGCTAAAAGTCAAGTTCGTCAATGAAGAGGGTATTGATGAGGGTGGTGTCCAAAAGGAGTTTTTCCAGTTGGCGATGCGTGAACTTATTGACCCCAAATACGGTATAGTTTTTTTTTTTTTTTTTTTTTTTTTTTTTTTTTGGCTTTACAACCCTTTCAATATGTTTTGATTTACATCCAGCTAGCTTTTTTAACGTGGATGGGTTTCATATATATATATTTTCGTAGGGATGTTTACGACAAACGAAGAATCCCGTCTTTGTTGGTTTGCACAGAGTCCATTAAACGATGAGTTGGCTCTGGATGAATACAACATGATCGGTAGACTGATCGGTCTCGCCATCTATAATGGTATTATCTTGGATATTCATTTCCCTTTGGCTCTCTATAAGAAATTAGCCATTGCTGCAGAGACACATAGTGATGTGCAAAAATTGGATGAGTCGTGGGATCTAGATGATTTAGCTGAGATTGATCCAGTAACGTACCCTTTTTGTTGATATGCCCCCACGGCTGGCCCTCCTTAAAATGTACAAAGTTTAATCATACTTACTTTTTTACATGTATTTAAAATAGACGCTTGCCAAGGGGTTGAGGCAGTTAGAGACATTTGAGGGAGATGTTGGGGAAGCATATGATCGAACGTTCCAGATCGAGTACGAATCTTTAGGCCAAACATTCCAACATGATCTTGTACCGAACGGAGCGTCCATCCCGTTGACCAACCATAACCGTTCTGATTTTATCAAGGAATACCTCAAATTTTATTTCACAACATCTATTGCCAAACAGTTCAACGCGTTTAGTAAAGGGTTTCATCATGTCACCTTGGGTAGCGCAATTCAGGTATACACTTATACGGAAGGAAAAAAAAAAAAAAAGAGTAATTTCCAGTCTTTGAATACTGTCCGCAGTAAGAAAACCTTAACAACAATCCTTACTTACTGTTTCTTTACTCGGCTGGGATTTGGACCTTTTTATCCGAATAGCTTTTCAGACCTGAGGAAGTTGAGCAGTTAATCTGTGGCTCTCCGGATCTGGACTTTCAGGCTTTGGAGAAGATCACACAGTATGAGGGCGGGTTTCACGCCAAGTCAAGGATCATCCGGTAAGGTAAAAAAAAAAAAAAAAAAAAAAAAAAACTGCCTCTCGTTGATTTTTCAAAGGTTTTCCTAATTTGTTTTTACTGTGTGCTTGTACGAAACCATAGTTGGTTCTGGGAAACAGTTCACGCATATGATGAAAAAGACAAGAAGCGACTGCTGTTCTTTGCAACAGGATCTGACCGCGTGCCGATTGGCGGTCTTGGTCACTTGTCCTTTACTATTTCTAAGAATGGGCCAGATTCAATGCGACTACCAACTTCTCATACCTGCTATAATACCCTCATGCTATGTGCTTATTCCTCCAAAGAACGATTACAAGAACGACTTATGACAGCCATTGGAAACGCAGAAGGGTTTGGTCTCATGTAAAGAAATATTCAATGCAAATATATTAAAAAAAAAAAAAAAAAAAAAAAAAAAAAAAAAACATTTAAATGGTGCTATAATATCGACACAACATTGTTTTCAAGTATATAATATTATGACAATGTATCTATGTTGTAATAAGAGTTAATAACAGGAACAAATACAATGGAGGAAGACAGTAATAAAATAAAATGTGGACTAGCGGAACAACGGTAAACAAGGGTTGAAGAGGTGTATGTGTAAGAAGACGATAGTGATAATGGGAGAATGAAAAAAGGCAAAATATCTGCTCCAAGGGTAGGGATCTAGTGTGCTGTCGCTGGTGGTGAAATGGCTCGACCAAAAGTGGTTCTTGCTGACATTTTAGTCGCCACAGATATCACTGTTCCTTCCTCCTCATCTTCTAGTTCTTGCTTATCGCCTGCTATGACCCCACCATCAGATCCTCCTACTCCGCTTGTCTTTGAATCCATAGTCGCCACAGATCCTCCCGGCATAGCGCCATTCTTTATAGGCTGCTGCTGTTGTTGTTGTGTCTCCTCCTCCTCCTCTTCTTCCTCTTCCTCTCCGTCACCTCCTTCCTCACCCTCACCAGCTGCCTCTAGTTCATATGTCCGCTTGAGCAACGTAGCCATCACGGATGTATCACAAGCCAAATCCAGGAATGGATGCGCGAGCAGTTCCTTAGCAGTAGGTCGCTTCTCACTCTCTCCTGTTGTGCATTCCTCCACAAATGTGATGCATCGCATTGATGCGAGACCACCATCTTTAACTCTGGGGAGGTCACCACTTGCAATTAAGAACATCGCCTAAGGTTAAAATCGAAAATAAAAGCGCAAGTAAAAGTACAAATAAAATTAGTAATACAATTCATATTGCTTTGTATCATTTGATAAAGAGAGGTCAAGTAAACAAAAAAAAAAAAAAAAAAAAAAAAAAGTACCCGTAATGGAGGCTCGTTAAGGTAAGGTGGCTCTCCTTCCAACATTTCACGCATAACAACGCCCAAACTCCAGACATCAACCGGTGTGCCATAATTCCAGCCTTGAATGACCTCTGGGGCCATCCAGTAAGGTGTACCCACAACTGAATTCCGTCTCGGTTGTTCCTTCGTCAGTTGTACAGAGTGTCCAAAATCTGCAAGCTTTACTCTGCCCTGATTATCCAGTAGAATGTTGTCACTTCGAATATCACGATGAATACGCCCATGCTGATGCAGATACGCAACTGCTTCGAGTATATCTTTGGCTACGCGTGCCATATGGCATTCCTGCAAAAGTCCTTGATCTGGGTTTCGTTGTCCTTGATATGGATTGATTGCAATCACATCAGCGAGTGAAATATCCATACGCTCCATAACCATCCAGAGTTCTGTTGGAGTCAAATGACAATCCTTAAATGCCACAACATTAGGGCTTTGACTGGCCTTCATCAACTCGAGTTCGTTGCGGATGGTCTTCATTTTGGCAGCTACGGTCTTGGCAATCATCTTGATGGCAACTAAATTGCCAGTTGCATTCTCAGTTGCTGAAAACAAAAACCCTGATTCTCCTTCCGCAATTTTAACAATATCAGAGTACAAAGCTGACGCATCCTTGGGTCGTGGACGGCTCAACAGATGCTGAAGACCATACTCTGTGAGGAATGCCAGATCATCCTTATCTTCTTTTGCAATATCATACTTTGGGGTAGCAGCAGTAGTTGATTTTTTACAAAGATTAGCCTCGGAGCCTTTTGAGCGGTCCAATGAGGGCGAGGCGGCGTTGCTAGTATTGCTTCCACTAGCACTACTGCCTCCTGAATAATTTGTGCCTGATTTGCTTCCTGCCTGCACTCCGGGGCCTAGGGGTGATGCTCCAGCAGATTCCATAGCATACTTGCGCAATAGATCGTCCGAAAGCGTTGGCATCAAATTTTGATGCTGCTCTGCTTCTTCAGGTGAAAATGGTTCCTTGTTCGGATCCAGTATTGATCCATCTGTTCTGCGTTCGCCATTTTCCAAGGCTGAATCGCTCGGTGTAGGGATATTGACGTACATACTTTTGACAGATTTTCTTCGTAGATGTTGCGCATTATTCAATGAAATAGGTTGGGAGGTTGGAGTGGTATTGGATGTACTAGCGCCCGAAGTGGGAGATGATGAGGCAGATGCAGATGAGGGAGCGTGCTGTGGTTGTTGTCGTGCTTTGGGGTCTTGTACATTGCTGCTATTGCTGTTACTGGTTGCTGTAGAGGCGGCACTGTTGCTTTTATTGGTTTGTGAACGTTCCTTAAAATAGGATGAGATTGGTAATGGATTAGAGTCAGTTGGTAAGCGTGGAGCAGGTCGTGCTGGTAGTCCTGAAGCTGGTAGAGGTGAGGCTGGGGTCGATCCAGATCCAGATATATTCGTAGCGGGCGATAAAGGTCCTGGACTCGCCCCCGATGCTTCTGTGGGTATATTTTCACCAGTTTTTGCTGTAGTGGCATTATGAGCGCTACCATTCATTTGATGTGTCCTTACGGTGGATGCTGGGTTTCGTCTTGTATCTAGTGGATCGGTGGTGTTTGATAGTTGTTGTACTGCGGATGAATTCTGATATTTCGGTGTCGTGGATGCTGAGTCGGCGGTTCGTGAGGTAGATGATGCAGCTGATTCCTCGCTTGCACGGGACATTGGCCGCCAGCTCTGACGTATATCTGCTGCAGTCGTCCCTGCGGAGTAATTGCGGGTGCGAGCGGCATATTCCTGATAATGTTCGCCATGTTCCCTGACAGGCCCCATTGGGTAATTGGTGAATGGTTTGGATGCAGATCCCACGACAGTTTTTGAGTCCCAGCCATCACTATTTGTTCGCGAGGCCGGAAGAGGTCGACTCGCCTGGGATTGCTGCTTAGAGGATTGAGGGGATTCTGGTTGGGAGGGTAGGCCACGAATGGGTGGATTGAGGCTAGAGGTTCGTCTTGGGTTGGGATTAATGGTCAGATCAGGTTTTTGCTTTAGAGGTTTTGATGTTGGTGTTGTTGAATTTGAGTTGACAGCGGTTGAAAGAGCGTGAGGAGATCGTGAAGGTACAGATAAATTGTTCTGAAACGGCTTTGGAGGAGGAGGCGGTGGCCGAGAAGGAGGTGGGAGTTCCAGATCGTTGAGCTGCAACTGCATGAGTTTACGAAGTGCCTGCGGATGTTGTTTGATATCCTGTTCGCTAATCCCTTGTGATTCCAAGACTGTTTTCCACTCGTTCGGAAGCCCCTACATCAGAGAACAAAAGGAAAAGCGAAGAAGAGAAAGAGAGTCAATACGAAAGGTAGTTTAGGCTTTGTTAACATAGACAGGGGATGAAAGAAAGGGATGAAAATGTATATTGGAGTATAGTATATTCTCTTTACCTTCAGTCCTACTTTGCCATTCTCCGAGATGTCAATGTCAACGTGAGCTTTATGTTGGACGTTGTATGGCCATCCAATCCTGCTCTCTGTTGTTAAAGATGATGATGATATATATATAAAATAGAGAGAAGAAGAGAGACGAAAAAAAAAAAAAAAAGGACAAGTAAAGAAAACAAACAAACAAACAAACAAAAAAAAAAAAAAAAAAAAAAAAAATGGATATATTGGAAACGGGAGTAAAAAGCAGAAAGAGAGAGAGAGAGAGAGTTAATAATTTTTTTTTTTTTTTTTTTTTTGTATGGATCGATTGATTTTAGGATAGAAGCAAAAAAGGGTCATTACCTTCGGTCGGGTTTGGCTGGCGGGTAGTGGGGACTAGATGTGGACTGATACAGGTGGTGTCAAGGGGATCATCAGTTGGAACCTCGTTCTGCCATACATCGGGAATGCCCATAAACTTGCGTCGCTCAGGATTGTATTCGACATGGATACCATGTTCCACATCTGTGGGCTTGCCAATGCTGACAATCTTTTTGGCATAGTTCTTGCGACTAGGAGACCATTGAGAGAGACTGGAGCTAGATTGATTAGTGTGTAAATAGGCGGGACTCTTGGGGGCAGGTGGAGCAGGTGCACTGCTGGCGAAGGAGGTCGTAGAGTGGTTCTTGTTGACTGTTAGGGACGAGGCTCTTCCACGAGGATATCCGGTGTAATGTCCAGTGGTTGAGCTGCTGGGGGATGATCGTTGGTTAGAGTGATGATGTGAATGAGAAGAGTGTTGTGGGCTGCTGGGTAGGTACCAATCCTCTGGACGGGAGCCAAAGTCGCGATGCATGCGCTGGTGCTCCGAGGAAGGTTTTTGGCCCATGGTAGATGGCGTATTTGTTGACGGATAAATATGGATAGAGAATAGAAATTAATTAATTTCTTTTGTACAGTATGAATGAGAAGAGGCAGATTAGTAAATGATGAAATGAAGCAAAGACAATGAATTGGACGAGGTTTAAATTAAGGATAGGGAGAGAGAGAAAGAGGGAAAGAGAGAGAGAGAGAGAGAGAGAGAGAGAGAGCGAGAGAGAGAGAGAGAAAGTGAGAGGGTGAAGGAGAGAAGGAGTGAAGGAGTGAAGGAGAAGGAAGGGAAGGAAGGAAGGGAAGGAAGGGGGGGAAGTGATGACAGTGATGACAAGTTGATGAGAGACATTTTTAAAAAAAAAAAAAGCTCAAATGGATTTCAAACGAATACAAAAACAGATAGACATCCAACCCCAGTTCACAACCCTATTTAAACTCGTTAAAACGTGTGCAATGACATCGTACAGAAGAGTATCAGCTATTGGAAAGAGCACTCGACAACAAAGGCAGTAGTCCTTCGCAGTCGCATTTAGTCGCTAGCCGTACTCGGAACAGGACCAGCACCAACAGCACCAACAGCACCAACAGCAACAGTAACAGCAACAGCATTCAGTAATTAGCAAGCAAGTCAACAACAGTACCTTTGCCTTTTGCTCCACCTTACTTTGACATTTCATTTGTGCCCATGGGTTCATGAAATTTGTATCCTTCAAATACAGACGATGTGGCTGCAATTGGTTCCCTCTTGTCTTTTTTTTTTTTTTTTTTTTTTTTTTTTAAAAATATCTTTTACAGGTCTACTGTCAACATCAGCAACAGACACACAATGTCAACATTCTTTCCAGAAGCAGACCCGCCAAAGGCATATTCGTACATGACTCATTATTCTTTCAATTCACCAAAGAAACTACATGCCACCGGAATACTATCGCACCCTTTTAACCAAAAAGTAAATACAAAAGGGCTACAAAAACAGATCAGTTAATCATAATCATAATAATAATCATAATAATCATAATAATCATAATAATCATAATAATAATAATAGTAATCATAATATTAATTTACTTTATTACTTTCCAACTTTCTAACAGATCCAAGTTTTTCTTCCCACAGCATCTTCTCCAGCCATCACATCCCAATTGATACAGACGCTACAAAAGGACACATACTACTATCATGCACATCTCCCGCTCTCGCTTTTCCTCTCTTCAAATTTCATGCAATTCATCCGCAATGGTAAATGCCGTACAAATAACCTTCTTTCTTTCATATATCCTTGCTTCTTTTTAAAGAACGATACAAACTTTACATTTTTTTTTCTTTTTTTTTTTTAGGACTGATTGCACTTTCTGTCCAAGGAGGAATCGATACTCATGATGTGATCTGTATCGATGGCAAGGGTAAATAGCAAACGAATTAGAGATACGCGAAAACAATTTTCCTTGTGGTAGATTTTTGTCCCTTCCTTACCTAAACCTTGCTTTACCTTGCCTTGCCTTGCCTTGCCTTGCCTTACCTTGCCTTACCTTGCCTTACCTTACTTTACCTTCTCCACCTTATCTTATCTTATCTATTTTTTTTTTTTTTTTTTTTTTTTTTTTCCATTCAGGCAGGATGATCCTCTCACTCACAAAGGACACGTACGAACAACTTGGACTCACCGGTGTACCTTCAAAATTTCATCCGAACCGTCATCGCTATGGTATACAATACAGAGTGTTATATCCTTTCCAATTCAACCTTTTTAAATGTTTAACACCATCCTTGCACTGACTCATTCCCCTATTTAGTCAAGTTACTAAAATCATTCTTCCATTGCCTTCCCTGCAACTCTTTCAATTTCAACCTGAATACGTTACAGTCGTTGAAATTGATATGCTTTCACCAGCTATGGTTCCAGGAAAGCGAGGCTTTGATCGGATCAAATGGTGTTTTGAAAACACTCTTGTCACTGTCTTCCCTATGGTCTTGGCTAGCGTAGACGGACATGGTAAGACATGCATGAGAAATATACATGAATGTTTTTTTTTTTTTTTTTTTCTTATTTTTATCATATTCGACTGACCTGTTTTCCCCTTTTTTTTTTTTTTTTTTTTTTTTTTTTTTTTTTTTTCTTTTTCTTAAATCCTCATGTTCTCCATAAAAGGAGTTTCCCTGCCGCTCGAATTTCCGGATACTGTCAAAGCAATAAAAATGGGATTCAAAATCCAATGTACCTCTCTCAACAACATAATCATCCCAGATACCCGGACCATCCGCACCATTGGTAAAAACAATCTTCGCTGGCGATTAAACGTGTCCGGGCTATTTGAATGGATCGGCATGGCTTCCATACAGTCAGATCGGTAAATCATCATCAGTATCTGGTCCTTAGTCAAAAATGAGAGGAAAAAAAAAAAAAAAAAAAAAAAAAAAAGCTATCCTTCTACATGATTTTTAAACAAGTTATATCTGATCTTCTTTATCGATAGTATCGTCCAAGGTGACAAAATCGACCCTTACCTCTGCGTCTACTCTAATCCTCCTCAGGCAAACGCAAATGAAACACCGATAGCATCCAGAGCTTGTTTGATTGAAATCACAGGCTTGATCCCAGCTCCATCTGTCCTTCATATATTTGAATTGCTTCGGTAAAGATGAATTTTTTTATATATGCAACTTGTAAACGATAGTTTGTTGCTTTATTGTTTATGTGTTACCTCATTAAGCTTGTTTTAATAAAATGATTTTTGTTAGGTCCGTGCTTAATGAAAGCAGCCCGGATCCAGAACTAATGCCAGAGTGGGCCAACTTCACAGTCTGGGGATTTCAGGACTCGCCCATCTCGTGGCGAGGTAAGGAACATGGACATCTGATCAGCGGCGAGAATATGTATTCCTTTTTCCTTTGGTCTTCAAATATCTCACCTCAAGGCAAAGAGCATCCAGACACCGGCGTATATGTCATGTTCGAGAATGTGGCTGCCCATGACCTACACTCATAGTTCTGCATTGAGAACGAGAACAAGAAATTGAAAACCTTAGCATAGACCAATTATAGAAATGCATGTATATATTTATTAAGATAGATGGCGGATAAAATAATATCAGAGAGGAAGTATTCCAAATCGCCATTATCAATATTTCGATACTTAAAAAAACATAACCCCCCTCCCTCTTTATGGGTTCGCCTCAGTCACTACCCATTGGCCAGCTGCGTCTACAGTGTAGATCTAATTGGATAAAATCCAGCAAATTAAGAAACATTAGCCATTGTACAAGTAAGGTCGAAAAGAAAAAAGAACCATGCGCAACGGACCGCAAAAAGAAAAAAAAAAAAGAAAAGAAAAGAAAAGAACTTAAATAACAATAATAAACAATTGCAAGTCAACAAGGTTAAAACTTACAGTTCTCTTGGGTGGAAGAGGCGACGACTCAAAATGAACAATGTCCAAGGGCTTGAATAGTAGCAGGCAGAAATTATCCAAGGCAATATCATGTAGAATTTTGGCAGGGTTGTCGTTTCGAATCTTGGCCGAGATAGGCGACAAAGGTGCTGGTGCCTCATCTGTTGTTGGTGATGTTGCACCGCCTGCAAAAGAATTCCAGCGTGAACGGAACGATGTGACGGAAGAAGGTGACGAAGGAGATGACATGGGATAAGGTGTGCCATCCTGTGACATTAAACTATCCCGATTATTGTTCCTGCCAACCGCCTCCTGTTGTGTCAAGTCCTCCATCGCTAGACATTGGAACGAAGTACTAGGTGCCTTGGGTGTGCTGCCTGACATTGGCCAAGTGTATGATGCCCTGATCTTGGGTGGTAGTTTGCGCCACTGTTCCACACGTTTGGCCTCCCAGAATTGGTTGGAAACCTGGCGCTGTGTAGCCAAATCCTCAGCCGTGCCACTGATATGAGGAAGTACGGGCGGCGAATAACGAGTAACTTGGCGGGGTGCGGAGCAGATGTAAAATTTGCCAGTCAAATGAAAGTACTCGCGCGACTTGGGCATCTGCCTGTGAATCCGTTTTTATTATTGAAAATACATGCAATGTCATGAAGAGATTTTTTTTGTCAGTCTTGAGTGATTTCACATGTTTCCGCAAACAGTTGATACAACGTAAAAGATTTTTTTTTTTTTTTTTTTTGACGTGCAAACTTATTTTTTTGAGCACGAAAACATCTTCTGGAGACAGGGAGTTAATGAAGGACGTACCATGCAAGTTGTCCAACTTGGTTGCTCTGAATGGTTGAGAGCAGATTTTGGTCAGTGATGGACATCTGAAACATTACGTATCGCCCATCTTCCTGCAAGAAATCCAGAAACTGTACTGCCAGCAGGGTTACTGCGCCAAGTCGCGTCTTGGACGCGAGATGGAGGTAAACTATGCAAAGTTGTAGCCGGTAACGTTAATGAAAGTTATAGTTGTGGTTGTAATAAGTGCAAGTCATTCATGTCCAACAAGCATAACAAAGAGCCAAAGCAAGATAGTAAGTATCGATAGTTCACTTTTGATTAACGGGTCGGGTCCTATATTGCTCATGTTTATTTGACTTTTTTTTCTTTTTTTTTTTTTTTTTTTTTTTTCTTACCAGGGTCCTCACTACGACCATAGTTTGTCTTATATGACTTTTGCAAAACCTGAGTCCAAGCAGGCCAGCCATCAGGACCAAGCAAGTTTAATTCCGAGAGTGATCTCTCCACAGCCCGAGGTGTAGTCATTGTTGTAGGATGTTAAAAGTAAAAAAAATTGTAGAATAAAAGAGGAATGGAGAGTTCCTGTGAGTAGGGTAGAAGCCGTTGCCGTTAGTTGGTTGTTGGACCTCCTGAGAGTTTCTTTTCTTTTCCACTTGTTTCGCCTCACAATCAATACGTCTTTTATGACAGAATCAGATGCAGCGTGTTGTCAATGAGCAAAGTGACAGTAGGATGCAATAAAATGGGTAATCAAATAAAAAAAATAAAAAAAAATAAAAATAAATAATAAAAGATGGTATATAAAAAAGAGAGAAAAGAAAAGAAAAGAAAAAAGAAAAGCAAAAGACAAGATAATTTAATTGCTTGCTTGCTTTTGCTCCTCATCAAATTAGCGTGCCATTTAGCCTCATTTTTCCACAAGATAATAAGCCAATAAAACAACAAACAAGAAAACGAGCTGGGCTTCATTTTCCCGCAATTACATGTATTACCAGTATTACATCAACACATGGTCTGTACACAATCAACAATCTCCGTCCCTGAAAGGCGGAGTAAATAAAAAGACATGAATCGATTGAATGCATCTATCTGATTATTGATCTATCAAATGAAATAGAAGTGCTTGATATCCTATCTCATTTTTAAATGCATGAAACAAGATCAACCCGCCTACATACTATCTACAATATTCTTCACAATCGGCATCTTCTTCAACACAGTCTCTGCATGCAGACGTGATACCTTGGGCTGTCTTCTTGTCCTGTTCGAATCCACATCTATACACCCCTTCTCCTTATTTTCCTTTTCAGTGTCCTTTCCTCTCGCATATGTGGTTGCCTTCATACTATTAACAGTTGGGATAATGTTCTCCTTGTCTGTTACCTCTTCATCACCGTCATCGCCTTTTTCTGCACCCTCATCCAAGACACCTAGCTGTCTCATTTTTACACAACCAGTCTCTTTTGACTCCAATGACGATAGCATACCGACCTTTGTCGCTGCTGTCGCTGCTGATGTTGTTGAGACTTGTGACAAACATGGATGCTGGTTTTGAGCCATCGGCTGTAGCTTCAGGGTCCATTGCTGTTGCTCCATCAACCTCAAAAACTGCTCAAACACAGGTGATCCTTGCAAAGTTTGTCTCGATCCAAATACCACCAATTTTCTTTTAGCCCTTGTAAACGCAACATTGATTCGACGCCAGTCCTTCAACAGTTCCCCAACTTGCTGCTCTGTATTCGATCGAACCAATGATACAATCACACATTCCTTGTCTTTACCCTGGTATCGATCTACAGTATGAATATCTAGTAATGGCCGTGTCCGCAAGAGTCTTGACAGCACCTTCAATTGGGCTCGTAGTACTGAAATGATACCAATATCTTGTTCAGAAATTCCTCCGCCGATGAATGCCTCCACTAACTGTCGTACAAGCAATGCCTCTGTCGGGTTCTGTGTCGAGTGACCGACCCGTATCTCACGTGCAGGAACATCATCCGTATCCACAAAGACGACAGACTGCTTTGGGTTCAGTATCTGCTCTAACCAACAGGGCCTTTCTCGAGAATGGCCAAAGCACTGTGCAGTAGCCTTGATTTCAGTTCCATTAGATGCTGTAGGAACGATTGGTTTAGAGTTATTATAATAATGGCAGTAGTCTCTAAAGTTATTCATGGATGGAATATCGAGCACCTTATTCGCCACCTCTTCTGTCGCACATTTGAGCTGATTTTCATAAACAAGTGTGTTCGATAAAAGCATGACATCCTTGTTCATGCGATACTGCTGTGTCAGACTGGTCACAGCTTCAGGATATCGATCTGAAAGCATCTTAAACAGACTTTGATCAAATCCATCTTCCTTAGCCTCTACATTCTTGACCTGCATAAGATTTGAACGAAAAAGCAATTATCAAAGTCGCGTGTTAATGTCAATCGTATAAGAAAAAGTACAAATAGAGTATTGAAATGACGCAAGACTAAGCAGCAGCCGCCTCATTTACCAATGGTGGAAGTTGATTGTGATCTCCAACTAGTACGAATATGTCTGCATATCGGATCGGTCCAAGGCAAGCCGGCAGCGTGATCTGCGAAGCCTCGTCCACAATGCAATAATCAAATCGTTTTTCTGTAAACAAGGGGCTGGCAGTTCGAAAAAAAAAAAAAAAAAAAAAAAGGGCTGTCAATGACCACTTGTTATAATATATTAAAGAATACAAATCAAACTCAGGATTTACTTACTCTCCAATGCCTAAACAGGTCGTTCCTACAACTTGGCACCTTCCATAAAAGTTATGAATTGCTTCGACAGTGTTCAGCGGTGGTTGACTAAAATCTGGAATCAATCTCTGAATATCGCGATGCACTCTGTCCTTATTACCAAGTCGTACAACATTAGTGTCTGGTCGTTGTCCCAGTTTCAGGAACTTCAAGAGTACATTATCGACTGCAGAATGAGTGTACGACGTCAATAACACGGATTTGCCCTGTCTCACCAAGATGTGAATGATTTGTGCGATTGTTGTTGTTTTGCCTGTCCCTGGCATGCCCAAAATAAGCGCGTAATCCCTTGCTGCCAGTACAGCCTCCACTGCTCGGCATTGGTCTCCGTTCAGATCAAGAAGATCCTGTCGCTTAAAGTCATGAATTGGCTCAAACTCTGGTCTCTCCAAATCAACTATCAACCGTCTTCGCTTCGAATCACCTCCGTCAGCATCTGCACGGAACAGTTGTACAAGGTTATTACGTGTCCGAGCAATGCCTGCGGACATTTCATCCTTATCTAGCCGGAACATGACTTTGTTCTTGGCTAGATTAGAATAATATTCCTCAGTATTACCAGAGGACGGTACTGGATTTTCAATACTAATCAAACCTCTATAAGATTGATTACGCTCCTGATCGAAGCCTTCTAGCCTCATAGGTGGTCCAAGCAGCGGGCGGTCCAATCCAACAGTAATTTCCGTAAGACTCATGTCAAGAACATAGCCCATTGCTAGGGCAAAATGATTTCCTTCAGAAGAGACAACTATAGGGTCTCCTACAGAAATGTTGGAGCTTAGAAGTGACAGGCCGCCTCGAAGGGTTTGTGAGAGAGTCTGTTGGCTGAGAGATGATGGAGGAGCGCCAAGTTTGAATCGATACTGATGTCGAGCAAACCGCCCTGACATTGAAAACTCAATATCCTTGCTGCTTGACAGGTCTCTGGGCCTATTGTTACTTTCTTTAGGCTCTTCGATTAGTTCTAAATTGCTGAAACAGTTCCCGCTTGCTTGTCGATCCACTGAGAGCATGGACCAGATCTGACTTTGGAATTTGGCGACATCTCCTTGTTCTAGTGCCAATAGTCGGTTCCATTTGCGCAGGAATTCTGCGTGCGTACTGCTCAAGTGATCAGTTACCTCATCAAACATAGCTCCAAGCCCTGAAGACTCTGCAGTCCCATCTTCTAACAGCTTGTGGAGAACAGTACAAGATGAGAATGAGAAACACCGTCCGCATTTTTGTGAGTCCTGCACCATAGGAGGCAATGACAGCTTCTGTTCTTCATATGCAGCAATCTCATTGCGTTGGAATAAGATTGCCCGAATTTGATCATGTGGTGCATTGACACGGATCAGTTCCCCGGCCTTGAGATAGAAGAGTAAGCCCCATTGAACATCTACATCTATTTTTTTTTTTTTTTTTTTTTTTTTTAGCATACATTAGTTCAGTTATTAGGAATAAATAATAGAATGAGTAGTTGTTAGCCACTACTTGTGGTTGAGTGTCTAAATCAACATTCTCACTCTATCATATCTCCTTTTGGCCTTGTTCTTACCATATCGATCTGTCATGAGTAGAGTATAGAGCATAGTTTGGGCACGATGTGAAATCACGTTTGACTTTTTCCCTGTCTTGAGCTCAAATGGAACCGTCAATATCTTTGTCTCTGCTATAGCAGGGTCCATGTTTTTTTTCATTGTCTTGAGCACCACCTGAATGCTTGCATCGATTTTGCCTTTCAGCCCAAACATTGGCGACCAGATGTTTTCTTCAATGTCCAAGATTTTGTTAACACAAAGCAAACTGTATTCATTATTGAGGGTATGGCCCATAGTATTATCAACTATTGCTTCTGCCTATTATAGGGAGTAAAAAAGAGTAAAAAATATATAGTTGTTAGTCAAGCCTAAAGCAAAAAAAAAAAAAAAAAAAAAAAAAGAAAGCCAAAGCTTACGCAAGGTGAATTCCGCAAGTATTTTCGAGCCCAATCCTGGCATGCTGGTATCAGTTCCGAGATCCTCTCCCGTGCAACATCGATCGACTCGCTAATTAGGCAAAGGTCATTCAAATGTAATTTTATAATATCGTCCAGCCTTGCCTCCATGGATTCAGTCGAAAAATCATTGCTCCGCAGTGATTGTTGGAAGAGCTCATGCAGCATCGTCCCATGAATCAAGGGCACTGTCGTCTCGTCTGTCTTTCGAGCACGGATATCAATGATGGGCTTGCGGATACAGTTGAAGCTCTCTGCAAGAACTGACGTTGAGACCAGACTATCAGGCTTGACAATCAAAAACCCTTGATGGTCATCCAACATTAGCTCTAGTATATCGAGTTTGTATATAAAGGCGCTTATCGTATGAACAATGTCACCTGAAGTACCAAAAAAAAAAAAAAAAAAAAAAAAAAAAAAGTAAAAGATTATTAATTGTTCGACAGAAGATGCCACAACTGACGGCAGAGGAATAGTATCTCCAAGTATTCTTGACTTACCAATATCAATACGACTAGTCATCCATGAGTCTCGTAGAAATATTTTTGCAGGAGTTTGATTCCGATCATCTGTAACAAACAAAGCCTATGATCCATTCGTGACCCCCCCCCCCCCCCCAAAAAAAAAAAAAAAAAAAAAAAAAAGGATTTTGCAATATTAGTACTCTTTTTCCGGGTTCGATACTCTTGATTCTCTCTTGATTATGAACTTTAATATTACCTTACTGGGACCATACCACCTTGGGTCCATAATACCATCCATGATTTTGATGATCTTAAAGCGTCTATATTTTACACTGTCAATGTGGGCCTGCACATTGAAAGTCAGAGGGGTCTGCAAGAGATAAAAGATTATTGAATTAAGATTTTGTCATAAGCGATGTATGTAGCTATGTAGCTGACACAGGGCTATAGGATATACCCTCAGAAGACACACTATTTGTCCATCATAGTTTAGTCCCTTACATCATACAGATCATCATCCTCAAGCTCAAAATCATCTCCTAGATCTGCAAAGTCATCAAAGTCACCACTTGACAATGTACTAGCCTTCTTGATGTTGATTCTCTCCTGGTATTCAGTCACCTCTTCCACGATGAGCTCCTCATTCAAGCTTAAACCTGCCCCCTCAGGCTCAGCGGTCGTGTCTGTTGTGGTAGTAACATTATCGGCTACAGAATCAGTTACATTTCTCCACCCTTCTCGCAGATTTTCTGCTCTCTCTCTCCCCAGCTCCGATAATTCCTGTCGAACATCGTAGAAAGTCCTGTCACCACCGCCACATGATGCCGCAGACGTAGATACGCTAGAGATGGACATGTCCGCTGCTGCAAAGCCGGGACTCATGGACGACACTAGTTCGAGCTGTGTCAACTCCTCAAAATCATGATCATCCATGTCCAAATCATCGAAAAAATTGTCAAACTCTCCAGGTGAAAAGTGCAGTTGAGATGAGGCCGAGACAAGGTCACGCAATGGTGTCTTGGGCACACTGTCAGACTCAGTTGGACGTATTGAGGAACGAGAATCAAGAGGTGCTGCTTCATCATCTGAATCCGAGGTCCCGGGATTAGAAGGTGCAGCCATATTGGCGTTGATTTGATCAATCATTTTGAGGATATCCTCGCGACGTTGCGGACATGGCGTTGAGTGGTTCGGAGAGAGTTGATTCAAGGTCTTTTTATTATATTGATGTGCGCGCCCATATCGTCGTCCAGCCCTCCCACGTTCCAGCGCAGTATTTGATTTAACTAGGCTTTGACGACTGTTGGACACATTTTTGCGCCTTTCCATTAATTTTTTTGTAGGAGATGCTGGGTCTCCATCTTCCGTGTCATCCAAGTCTTCATGTAAGTCTTGAAAAGGGGGCGCACTAGACATGCGGATGGTGTTGAGCATATCTTTGATCCTGTCTTTGGGCCCCCGAGGCTATAAGGTGCAGTTAATAAAACAATATTGAGCCTTGGTTGTTCTCAAGTCATGTGTATATCATAGCGTGGATAAAAATAAACATGTGCAATTGCTCGAACGTGTCATACCATTGACCTGAGTGCCGCACCTGCGGATGATGTTTGATATAGTCGACCGACGATTGACGCAACCTCTATTAGGTGAAAATACCCAAAAAGATAAGTTTCAAAAAAAAAAAAAATCGATATGCTATTTTCATGAAGAATATTACCACATTTTGATCCACAAACATGATAAGTTTTCTTTTTAATAAATACCTTCTTCGTGAGACTGTCCTGTATTCATTCTTCCTAGTTTCTTAAGCGCCTCCATAGGTGGGGTCCTGACCCAGAAGACTGAGTCCTGAGGAGAGAGGCCAAGAGACTCCATGGCTGAGCGGGATCTACGCGATTTATCTGGTGTCCTAAAGGGACTTGGGTTTTTCTTTGACCGTTGAGGCGGAGTGTTCACACTTGTAGAAGTATTACAGTTGGAATCTGATTTCTTTGGGGGCGTAGATGGGCCGGTATTTGTTGAACAGGGACCCGATGATGGTCCCGTGTTCATAATCTCAGAAGGTGCAATCATCGACGCTGATATTGACTCAACTCTTGGATCTTGTTGGGCTGTTATCAGTGCATCCTGCTTTGGCTCTTGAAACAACGGTGGTCGCGCATTCATTCCAGGGGAACCTGGTGGTGAAACTGATTTTTCCATGTCAATATAGTTGAATATCAGATGCTCAATGAATATCCCCAGCCATAGAGTGATAATAGGAAGTTTTTGTTACCTGGCATACGCTCTTCAAACGGCAAAGTCTCATCATCTTCCTTACGTAAGGGCTTCAGCCCCATGCTCCTTTTCCTGTCACCTGTAGAGTGCCTGTTTAATATTTCGGCCCTTGACGTTGGTCGAGATGGTCTAGCCGCTAATACGGACCTTGCAGCTATTCGTTCCTGTCGTGGATCCGTATTATGGCTGTTGCCACCGTTGTTGCCACCATCCTCGTCCAAGATAATTGTTCTGCGTGGCTTTATTGTTGTGTGCGTTTTTGTGAGAGAAGCCGTAGACGTGATAGCTCGTGGAGCTGAGGATGTATTGATTACAGGGGAAGATACAAGACTATAGGACGATTTGGTTCCCATTTTTTCTTCAGAAAGAGGTGCTTCCTTTCCTGATGCATCGCAAACTCGGGCCTTTGTGAAAAAAGTACTAAGAGTTGGCTATGACCGTTGAAGATTATAGAGATTCTTTAACAAATTTAAAAATGCAATCATTTATCAATTTATCAGGGTGTTTTTCTCCCTTTTATTATTTTTAGTTTTTTTACCTGACTCAGTTTGCTGTCAGCGCGCGTCCCCAAGGCTACATTGCTGGTACTCCGCTTGAAGGTGTTTGCCGAGCTACCTTCCCTGCCTGTTGAGGCATTGGTTGTGGCCTTTCGTTTAGGAGCGTTGGGCATGTGTGTTTAAATAGCGGCCTCACACTACAGGAGGAATAGGGGAGGAAAGTAAGAGGGTATGCGAGGCGAAGACGATATTGTGAGTATATTGATGAACAAAGGAGTAGCCACAAGGAGCTGGTACCCATGCAGAAATATAAGCAAAAGAATCAAATTACTATAGAATATTCAAATGGAATGCAATAAATGAAAGGAGGATGGAAGAGCATCAAGGTGTGCTTTTTTTTTTTTTTAAGATCAATTTTGTGACTCTGGAAAATTGTCTGAATCTCAAAAATCAGGTGTGTGATTCAAAATTGTAATTTTTTTATTTCTGTCTTAATGTCTTTTCTTTTCTTTTCTTTTTTTTTTTTCTTTTTTGTTTGGTTTTCAAGTGTTTTTGGTGTTTCTTTTTCTTTTTCTTTTTTTTTTTCCTTCTAAAGTTGTAAATACATCCCATAAGAACCAGTCCTGAGGAAGAAAATATAGGTATGAGCTCATTTAGACTTTGAGAGGTCACGGAATGCTGACTCGATACATGCCTTGATCTCGCGATAGCTGACAATCAGGCAAGATAGTTCATCCCTTGACATCAACACAATCTTTTCATCTACACCGGCATCCAGCTATATGATCAACATGAGAATTAGTTACTAATAGAGATCATGGCAAAGTAAAGCGTTTTTTTTTTTTTTTTTTTTTTTTTTTGATTGTCAAATATACCTTGTTGAGACATGTCAGGACGTGAGCGACGTCTAGTACGGGCAAGCCAGCCTCATCAACCTGATGGAACACATAGTCTCTGAAAAGTTTGATAATATATCGATCTCCAGTCTCTGACCATGCAGGATCCATATCAAACTCTGGTCTCTCGTTGATGAAGCCAAACTTCATGAGAAGTCTAACCAGTCGTCCGTTCTCAAGTTCTCGTCCTAAATCACTTTCCAGAATATCATTGGCATTCTGTACATCATTGATTTCCTGCAAAACACGCGGTCCGAGCATGGTGATGATCTGATCTACAGTCTTCATCGGTACAGGCTGGCTCATCAAATATAATATCATGTTCTTCAGATCTTGTGAGTAGTGCTGAGTAATGTATTCGACTGATTTTGAAATGTTGTGCGTGGCTGTGAGGGATTTGCAAGCCAATGTCATCATGAGTTGACCCAAGTTTAAGATATCATCCTGTTGCAAATGAGCAACGTTGGGGGCTGAATCAAATGTTAACATGTCCATGACTCCACAGCAATTCAGTCGAATCCTACATGAATATTTTTTTTTTTTTTTTTGCAAAAATATGGAAAAGTTGAGATCAGAGCGAGTGCTTTATAATAAACGCCTGCAAACATCAACGATAGCCAATCCTTTTCAGATGTAGAATTAATTTCGCCTTCACTATGGTTTTCGCAAATACCTGTTCTTGCCCGTTACCAAAATCTTTGTAGGATCGATTAGACGTGCAGCTAGACCAACAGAGTGAATTTTTTTGAGTGCAGAGGTGAGCTGAATCAGATAGGACCAAAGGATTCTTTCGTGAATGATATGGTCCGAGGTCTTGGGCACTCCAACAACAACTTGGGAAGCCAACTGGGCCTGGGGCCCGAAATGAACGTCGTACAATGTTTTGGAGCAAGGATGGTAGTCGTAAACAAAAATAAGTGAATGATCGCCAAAGGCTTTGCTGGTAAATGCTTCCTTGATCGAAACAATATTGGCGTGTTTTATCCTACGCCAGCCATCGATGGTCTGCATTGCCTGCTCATTCGTTAGTCTAAAGCCCTCGATCCGACGGAGAGCATAGGTCCGTCCATCAACGCTGCACATGCACTTGTATACACTCGACTGATATCCAAAGACTTCAGTCGACTTTTCTTGTGTAAGATCCAGTGGATACAAAGAATGGTATTCATGCAGTTCCTCTGGTAGCCCATACTCCTGAGCGTTGACGGTTTGTAGAATCATTTCGTTTTTACGATGCAGCTCTTCACGAAGACTATCTGAAATGAAGAATCCATGGATTGTTTTTTGATGTGGTGACAAGTTGGACACGTGAGGTAGCGGTGTATTATATAAATGATATTGAAGCTATTATTGGAACATCAAATAATAACACAAATCATAATGGTCATTTCATTTCATTAATCTTTGTATTAATATACTTTCGTTCAAGACTCTGCTTAAGAAAAGAAAAGAAAAGAAAAGAAAAGAAAAGAAAAGAAAAGAAAAGAAAAGAAAAGAAAAGAAAAGAAAAGAAAAGAAAAGAAAAGAAAAGAAAAGAAAAGAAAAGAAAAGAAAAAAAAAAAAAAAAAAAAAAAAAAAAAAGGCTTACAGGTTGCTGGACCATAGTTCCACCTCCTTGAAAATAATAGTTGTTCATGGAACCTTCAGCATAGTAGTTCCCGGGTACTGCTCCAGGAATGGACATCTATCAAACAATGTTGGTTGAAACGTCCTTTGAGTCCAAATTGCCTATCGCTCCCTCCATCTGATCCAGCGATAAGAATAATGGCACTCACATCATTAATAGTAAATTGCGAAAAGTTGCCAGAGAGATTATTGATATTGGTCATAAGATTATTTTGTGTTGTATAAGGATGGGTCCTATCATTATGGGACGCAAGATGTAAGGATCCGTTAGAGCGAAAGCAGGTTCGACATAGTCCAGATGGTTTCTTGAAGATAGACATTGACAGAAAATAAAAAAATAAAAAAATAAAAATAAAAAATAAAAAATCGAAATTAAATGATGGAGTATCCTCGTTCTCATACATTTGACGCGCATCAGGATAGACAGCTCCAGTGACCGTGTTGGAATCTAAGGTTAACACCGAGATAATGACAGGTTGAAGGTTAGAAGATCTGAAAAAATAAAAAGCACAATCAACCAAAGAGAACTATATGAAATGATTGTGTGAAGAAGGATGATGCAGAGACTATTCATTACCTTGACTTCCCTTGGGAACAAACTCGGGAGCATGAATAGCATCCGCTTTGACAGAGCCTGTGCTGAGGTTTGAGGGTTTAAAGATGGGCGAATTGACATGAAGTTTTGCCTTTGATCTGATAATAAAAAAAAAAAAAAAAAAAAAAAAAAAAAAAAGTTGAGTTGTTGTATGATCTGATAGAGTAATAAAAAAAATAAAATAAAATAAAAAATAAAAAATAAAAAATAAAAAAGGTGGGCAGGATGGGTCCGAGGGTTGTCTTTAATAGAAATGGTGATAAACAAAATGGGGCTGCTTACACTTCAGGACTTGCAACCGAAGTTGGTTTTCCCTACAATATGTGAAATGATACATGATATGCATGGAATTATTTAAAACAAAAATGTCTTGCAACTCACCCACAACGGTTACACACACTGAAATACTTCAAAGTAGCTTACGACGTCATGGTTGAACTCGCAACCTTTGCCCTCGTACTTGCAGAAGCCATGGATCACGATATTACGGCAGGTGCGAGCTTTATTACTATTTGTCACGGAGGCAGCTAAGATTGAAAAGAGACAATAGGAGAGTATAAAATACATGATTATCATCAGTCAATTGAACGAACAAACACGCGAGGAAAAAAGGAAAAAAAAAAAAAAAAAAAGAACACTCTAAATCAATTAGGATATTGACAGTAAAAGATAAAGGAGAGGAAAAGAAAAAATAAAAATAAAAAAAGTTATCCGTTACGTTTAGTGGAAGGGGTGGTTGAAGCAGATGGTTTTGGAGTGGAAGCGGTTGGGGTCTTTGCTGTCCATGAAGCTTCAGAGGCGGATGAAGAGTTGACATTAGGGTTGTTGGTAGGATTAGGGTTATTGTCGTTGACTGATACCCCTGGAGGGGCTATGATGGGAATAGCAGAAGCCATTGCGAAGAGCAAAGATGGAATGAGCCAAAAAAGAATAAAAGATAAAAATAAAAATAAAAAAGAATTGTAAGAAGAGAAGGGAAAAGGGGGGAGCAAAAAAAAAAAGAAAAGAAAGAGAGAGAGAAAGTAAAAAAATAAAAGAGAGAGAAAGAGAAGGAGTTAAACTCTTTTGTGTGTTAATGAAGTTCTTCTTTGAGGCAATGAAGAGATCTGCCCTTTCCCTATTTCATCTCTCTATGAACGTCCTCTTTTTTTTTAGATTTTTTTTTTTTTTTTTTTTTTTTTTCTCCATCTCATACCATACAATACCATACACTCTTTTCTTGAGAAGAAGAAGAAAAAAAAAAAAAAAAAAAAAGAATGGTGACGTAATTTCAGCCTCTAAAAGAAAACAATAAAAAAAAAAGCTGATCAAGATGAACAAAGCAGATCAGAATGCATCGGTTTTTGCTATTGGGGTGTAGAAAATTACTGTAGACTGCTGCGTTCTATTGTGCTATTGTGCTATCGTGCTTTGTGCCATCGTGCTATCATCCGTGCTATTTTGTCCTCTTTGCTTTTGCTTTGCTTTTGCTTTTGCTTTGCTTTGCTTTTGCTTTGCTTTGCTTTTGCTTTGCTGTCCTTTGCTGTTGCAATACAAAGTCATTACTAAAGCACAAAAAATTAAACTTCATCTCATTTTTATTTCCATTCCATCGATTGAAGATTAACTTTTTTTTTTTTTTTTTTTTTTTTGATCTCTTCCTTTCCTTTCCTTTTCTTCCTTCCTTCCTCCTCTTCTTCTTTCTTTCCTCTTCTTCTTTTTCCTTTTCCTTTTCTTTTTCTTTTCTCCTTCTTCTTCTGTCCTTGCCTTCATTGACTTGTAACCACTAAATACATTGTAATATAGAGGTGCATATAACCTTATAACCTCTTTTGACAAACTTTTTCCCTGCCTCGCCACACGGCCACACACTCATCTTCTTTTCTTCCATCCCTATCCCTTTTCCTTTCCCTTTCCCTTTCCCTTTCCCTTTCCCTTTCTCTCGCAACCAGCATACAAATCACTCTGGATTGTAAACTGCAAAGGACAAGGGACCATAGAAAAAAGGACGAATAAACAGCCTCCTTGGAATCAATAGAAAATAAATATATATAAAAAAAAATAAAAAAAAAATACAAGGGATTTGAGCCATGTCTTCACACGACCTTCACCTTCAGCATCAGCAGCAAGTGAGAGATATGCGTAATGCTGGTGATGTCGAGGAGGAGGAGGAGGAGGAGGAGGAGGAGGAGGAGCAACTGCAAGGAGAGTATGCAGCTGATGAGTATTATGGTAAGCAAAAACTCTTTGATTTCTATCTTACTCCCCAACGTTTTCTGAGCCAAGATCCCCCTTATTTTCTTAAAGAAGCAACAAAACCCAGTGCAGCAACAGACAATCACGGATTATTATGGAATCACAACATCCCTCAAGAAAAATATATCCTATACTCTCTTCATGCCTTCTCGTGATACGACATTATCCCGAACCACTTCAGTTCCTGTACTTATTCAAGCTACATTTTTATTATAATGATTTTATTTACTTGCTCATCATGATCATCTACATGTCCACTTCACATTAGGAACAGATGCCTCCAACGATTCAGGCACAGAATCCATGCCCTGGATCGCTTGGTTTTGTTCCCTTGGAGGACATCAGTACTTTGCCGAGGTCGCCGACGAATTTGTGGAGGATGACTTCAACCTGACAGGTCTCAATTCCATCGTGCCCTTTTACAAGGAGGCCTTGGAGATGATTCTTGACCTTGAGCCTGGTGAGCAAACATTTGATTTGAAATAGCATTTTCCTGATGCTAAAATGCATACTATCACCTCAGCCATTGACACTTTCACCTTTCAATTCTTGGTTGAATGTTGGCGATAAATAGAGGAGGATAGCACAAAAGTCCCAGATGTTTCAATTGTAGAGGCTTCAGCAGAGCAGCTTTACGGTCTAATTCACCAACGGTTCATCGTCACACGGCAAGGTCTACAGCAGATGGTAACGTAATCCCTTATTTAAACCCTTGCTTTCACAGGATCGGATCAATTAAACAATCACACACACAACATACTCCGAAAAATCTGTGAAGCCATACCTCAACAAAAGGAATAACACCAAGAGAATAATTTTTTTTTTTAAAAAAAAAAAAATAAAAAAAAAAAAAACTTTAACGCTCTCTTTCGCTCTCGGATAGGCGGATAAATACCAAGCTGGACACTTTGGAAGCTGTCCCCGAACTTATTGTCAATCAACAAACGTTGTACCATGTGGACGATATGACCTTCCAGGTGTAGAAACTGTAAAGCTTTACTGCCCCAACTGTCAGGATATTTATTCGCCTCCTAGTTCCCGCTATCATAATTTGGATGGTAAGATCATTTTTCCAGTCGATAGCTTTCGTACCCAACCATACCCGTGCCCTCTACAACTTTATGTCTGACTACATTTTTCCCTTTTTTTCCCTCTCTTTTTTCATCAGGTGCATACTTTGGAACAACGTTTGCACACATGCTGTTCCACATCTATCCGGAGTTGGTCCCCAATATTCCAAACAAGATTTATACACCCGCCATCTATGGATTCAAGATTTCAGAGTATAGCCGCTGTGGACCTCGTATGCAATGGCTCAGGATTAAACAGGACCCTAATACATTGGATGCCAGTGGCAGATTGATTAAGGATGCAAAGGAGCAAGATGAAAACGACAAACAGTAAAAGAAAAAGAAAAAGAAAAATCAAAACATTAGTCATTTTTGTTTTCCTGACCAGGCAATTCTCTCTCTACCTCTCTATTTATTTATTTATTTATTTTTTTTCTTCGTCGCTGTTGTTGTTGTTGTTGTTGTTGTTGTTGCTGTTGTTGATATCGTTTATGTATGAGAAAGGGCGCAATAGAGTAGGAAAAAACCTGTTCAAAATTCATATTCACGAAAAAGCATTTACTCACACCAACACCCCACTCACACTATTTAAATTTTCACCATAATACTATTGCGCTGTCACTTTTACCTTTTTTCTTCCCTGCTTTCATCTGAAAGATATTTTGTGATGATAAGATGTCTGATCGATGTTTCTACAAGAGCATCACAACGGCAAACCAAGATGAAAGAATGGGCCATTGACTGAACATTTCCTCTGTGTCTTCTCAGTGGCGCCAAAGAAAAAGACAATCGTTCTTTTGCCAAGAGTAAAAAAAAAAATTATATTAAATATAATTCTTGACTGCACACAGGGCCAGGACCGCGTTAAGGCACTTGCGTGTCCATAGGCAGTATTGCAGCGACTTTTTCATACATTTATTTATTAAAATATTATTTATAAAGATCTTGAACTTTGAAATGTCTACAGATTACATAAAAGATTGCATTAAAGATCCTTTTTAAGCAGCTTCTTGCCAAAGTTCTTGACCTTGGAGTTGGTTTCCCATAGAAATTGAGCTGCTCCAAACTAAAAAATAAAAAAAAAAAATAAAAAATAAAAAAGTATGAATATTTTTCTGTCTGTTTATTAAAAACCTCCTCGCACTGTAAGGACTAATCAAGGGATGACTTACAGGTGCTACCAGTCCTAAAAGATAATCCCACCCAACGCTAGACATGGGTGTAACTCCCTTTGCAGAGATCCGTAAAAAGTCGGTCTCAAAATCAGTCGTTACTGCGTAATATCCCTTTCGGAGACCTTTGGGTTTTGTAAATTTATAGGGAAAAGTCGTTAATACATGTAAATAGATACAAACACCTTTGTTTGTATTGTAAAAGTATCAGTCCGTCCCATCCATATTTACCTTTAAACATTCCTTTGGCAGCCTCCTCGGACGTTATGCCTGAGCTTCCCTCAATCTCTCTGGTCACCAAAGGCTTTGTCAAGTTCTAAAGGAATGGCACGTTATTTTAGGACTTGGTTGATATATCCATATATCTTTCCCTTCCTCTTTTTTAGAAACAAAAAAAAAAAAAAAAAAAAAAAAAACACACACACAAATACCTCGTTATCAAAGCCAGGAGTGAACATGGTTCCCGGGAAGTAAATGTGGAGACCAAGACCATACATCAAAAATTCATTACGCAAACATTCTGCCAATCCTCGTACGGCGAATTTGGTAGGCGCATAGCTGCTGTATCCTGCAAAGCCTATTAAACCCATGGTTGACGCTGTGAGCACAACCTTACCCTTGACATCCGTATCGACCATGCGTCGCACAGCTTCCTAGATAATAATAATAATAGTAATAAGTATATAGGCATATATATGCCATATTACTAGAGTGAGTATGCTTGGGTCTATGTCCATCAAAAAAAAAAAAAAAAAAAAAAAAAAAAAAATATTGTAAAGATCCTGAAGGAGATTTTCATACATGAACTGTATATAACGCTCCAAAGTAATTGAGCCTCATCTGCATCTCAAATTCCTCAATCGAAGCTTCGACAAACAGTTTTGGGATGGCTGTGCCAGCACAGATGATGATGATCTCTGGAACTTGACCACTGTGAAACGCAGAAGCCTCATCCAACGCACGGATCGACTGCTCCCTGTTCGAGACATCCGCACTGATCCAATGGAACTTTTGCTCAACATGATGATCCTTGCTCTTGATTTTCTGTGCCGCGGCAGCTTGCTATTAGAAAAAAAAAAAAAAAAAAAAAAAAAAAATTCAAGAAAAAGCTTTTAATAATAATAATAAAAAAAGCTGATCCAGGATATCTTAATATTTTTTTTTTTAAAAAAAAAAAAAAAAAAAAAAAATAGCAAACCTTCATAAGTTCAACGGTTTCCTTTAATGGGCCCTCTTTACGTGCTACGATAGTGACATGAGCACCTTGTTTGGCCAACTCGATCGCTACAGCACGCCCCAATCCAATACTTCCTCCAGTAACGTATACATGCTATTTGAAAGCAATTTTACAAAAGCGATATTAGGTCAAACAATCATGCTTGATACTCATTATAAAAACCATTTTAGCTATGGGTATTATAATGAATATAATAGTTACCTTGCCCTTGGTTGGGAATTGGTTGCCCTTCAATAGATTGTACACCGGAGTCACACCAAGAGAAGCGACAAGAACCAGGAACAGATTAGCACATATCGACTCAAACACCGTTAGGGATGCTCTATTAGTCAGGGACCAGAGCAAGTCGGCAGGTGACCAGGTCATGGTATGGTGATACTAAAATGAGAAACGTGTCTTTTTTGAAACGAGAGGAAGGATGTTAGATGATCTCAGATGAAAATAAAAAAAAAGTGATGGGTTGCTTCCTTGAATGTGTTCACTTCAACTGAGGCTGAGAGTGAAAAAGCCGATGGTTACACATAAAAACCAGCCACTATAATTTGACAAATGCTTCGTTTGAACATCAACGCATTGATCATATTCTTCTGTTGCATACATGTTTGATTATGAATTTATTTTGGTTCAACAGCTGTTGCTTGCATTGCCTGCAATACTGTATCGTGGATTATTTTGATCATGACTTTCTACTTTTTAGATGCTGAAATTTATAATACTAGGACTATTTAAAAGATTTTTTTTTTTTTTTTTTTTTTTACAGCTCATCCTTTGGGTGCTTCACAGAATCAATGGGCTCCTCTGACTTTTCCTGCTCCTTCTCACCCTGGTCTTCCTGATTACCCTCTAAATCTTTTTCCTCCAGAGGCCTCGTCTCATTCTCCTTGACGCCCTCTTCAGCCTTGGAAGATTGGTTATTCTTTTCATCCTCCGACTCGGTCGTGTTGACTTTTTCATCCTCCTTCTTCTTGACAACTTTAGGCCTCTTCATGGTCATCAACCGGTGCATTTCCCGCTCCACAACACTTCCACGCAATTGGATCTCGCGTGTCGTCACCACACCATCTTGCCAGAGAGGAAGCGCTGCCTGCTCAGCCTCCTTCTTCTTGATCCATGCCAATACATCATCGCAAGCATCAAATAGTTTTTGCACATCAGCAGGATCATGGAAAGCACCTTCGCCAGACAACAATTGCTCACCCACTGTACGTGCCATCGTCACAGACGAAGTAAGCGATGCAAATGCCTTTGGTCTCGAGACATGCTCAGCAGCACGGACTGACAGAGGTCGCTCAATCTTGCGAAGTTCCTTCAAACGCGTCTGGAACTCGTTTGTCTCCGCATCCTCATTATCATCCAGCCATTCTGACACAGTCGACAACATGTCAGACAGTTCTTTCCGTTGTTCCTCCGTTGATACCTCAATGATCTCGTCCTTATACAATAGTTCTCGGCCACGATATAAGAACGATTCGAGTGCATTCCTGGCTTCCTCACGTGCACGCTTCGCTGCATCCAACGCATCCAGCTTCTGAATCTTGTTCAAGGACTCTTTCATCTCAGAATCACTAAGAGGTGCAATGCCCCTATACTCTGTCTGCACTTTTAATACAACCTTCTCAATCTGAGTGGTCACAACAGTCTCATTCTTAGCTGATGGATCGGTGCTGCTGTTGTTGTTACTCTCTGTCTTGTCTTCGTTCTTGTCAGAAGTATCTTTACCATCACCTTGTTCTTGATCATCCTTGCCCTCTTGTTCGTCCCCATTGTCCTTGGGCTCAGCATCTTTAACATCTCCATTCTTGTCACTTCCGCCAAAGAAAGACTTGACTTTGTCTGCAAGAGATGCCTTCTTGGAATTGTCTGTCTCAATGCTAGCGACTGCCTCTCCAACACCTAACAAACCAGAGTCAGAGAGCTCAATGGTCACCTTAACAGTAGGAGTAGTCACACTTACATCCTTGAATTTGTTGATGGCTTCCGTCAACCCCGACAGGGAGACATGTGCAATCTGTTTGCTCGTAAGCTCTGCTTCATGCTCATTCGACACCTGACCGTATTCCAAATCGAAGCTGAAGTCTGTGACGCGCTTAAAGCTCATGGTCTTTCGGGTACCCAAAACAGAATTTTTGTTGAAGATCGGTGTCAAAAAAAGCTTTCCAGGAGTGGCAGCATCCTTGGCTTCGCCGGTATATTTGACCTCAATAGGGAGGAGAGAAACATCCTTGAGGCGGACTTCCTTCACCTTAAACTGCCTACTCAAGCTGGCAGCTCGGAACACTGCGCCCATGACTGCAGCTTCATCTCCATTGACATTCTTGGCAATCTTCTCTTCGCCCACAACAGCAGCCAGATTCGCCTGAACAGCAGGCACGCGTACACCGCCACCCACCAAAACAAGCGATTGAATGTCCGCTAGCTTCATGTTACTTTCTGCTAATGCAGCATCAATGGGCCCCCTGACACGTATAAAAAGATCCTTGGAAATCTCCTCCAATTCAGCACGGGTCACTTTAATTCTGAAATCTATCTCATCAGTCAAATTTTCCACCTATGCAACAGAATGATATGACAGAGTGATGTCAATTAAGGATTCTTTTTTTTTTTTTTTTTTTTTTTTTTTTTGAGCTCGCAAACGATAAGATAATAATGTAGACTTACTGATGCCATTGTCTCTGTGTTAGCACTGAGGATCTGCTTCACTCTGTTAGCTTCCTTGAGGAGCTTGGCCATCGCACGTTCATTTTGAACAACAGGTACACTGATTTTGGAGCCAGACTGCTCCTGGAACTTTTCAGCAAGGAATTTTTGAAGACGGACGTCAACATCATGTCCTCCCAAAGTGCGATCATAACCCACAGCCTTGATCTCGACTTGTTGAACAGTTTTGTTAAATTTACCAACATCCTTCACGGACAAGTCCTGGAAACAAGCCACACTAGCAACGGTGCTTCCAGCACCCATGTCGTAAAAGATGTGACATTGCTCCTGAGGGAATGATCTAGTCATGGCGTAGTTGAGCGCAACTATAATTCAATACCAAATCATTTTTTTTTTTTAAAAAAAAAAAAAAAAAAAAAAAAAAAAAAAAAGGCATCTCGTTAGTCTCCCATTTATGCTTTAAGTCCATCAGCTCCTATTCTGTGTACATACCAGCAGATTCATCGTGGATTAGAGACAGGACATGCAATCCTGCTAATTCGGCGGCATCGAGCAATGCCTGACGCTCAAACTGACTAAAGTAAGGAGGAATCTAGAAATTGAAGGAAATGTATAATTAGATATTTTTCTTTTTCCTTCAAGTACTTTTCGGCATTTCAGTACCAACTATTACTTACTGAGAGGACCACATCCTTGATGGTCTCTCCAGCGGTCTCTTCAGCTTGCTGTTTAGCAAGAGCCAGTTGCATGGCCACCAGTTCCTCAACTGAATACTTATTACCGGCCGTCGTTTCGAACACTGCAGTGCCACGGACCTCATCCTTGAGCATTTTATTGGTAAATGTGTTACGGAACTCAGCGCAATAACTATCATCATAATCGCGACCCAAGATTCTCTTAAGACCGATGAATGAATCTTGAGGGAATCGAGTAGCCTAATAGAATGGGCGAATAAGCGTAAGAAAAATAAAACCAAAGGTTGGTGGTTACTTTTGTTTAAAATCCAAATATGATATATATATGAAAAAAAAGGCGTGAAGTGTCTTACCAAACTAATTGCCTCCGATCCAAAGGCGCGATTGTTACCACGAATAGTCATGGCAGATTGAGTCTTTCGCTTTGACTCTGCGTTGAGGACGATATCAAAGGGAATGCCTGGTTTGACAAGACCAACCTTGAACCAATCAGTACCATAGTCAATGGACATGACCGCGGCATCGACCGGCACAGTGTCCAAACACAAGGCAGCAAGGGCAGCAACAGCGCCCAGTGCCAGCAGGGACTTCTTTTTGATCTTTGATTGCACCATTATGGCTTAATGTATGTACACTGTGTGAAGTTGCCCGTTTCGTTTTGTTTGCACAAATTGACTGGAATATCAGCGAAATTGGATTGGATTGTCTGTATATTTATGTGGCGAGATGAAATGGTTACTGATCAGTCTTGATGAGAAATAAAACAAAATAAAAAGGCTAGGAGAGATGATGAAAGAAGCAAAGCAATGTAATTTTTTTTTACATCTCAGACTGAAATAGATCTCCCTTTCTTTAAAGCTTCTTTTATCTTCTGGCAACTTTTCTTTCAAGCGTTGGGCGACTCGCCTCCTTCCACGTTGATGTGATTTGGGAGGGAGGGAAAAAAAAGACTGGGATGCTGCCCTGGCTCATTTCTATTGGCCCCCATTTCACAATTGCACGTATGTTCGTCGTTTAAAGTTTGCCTGATCAAAGTTTTGACGATCCTTCTTGTACGTGTTACAACACGCGTCGATAATTAACCCACTAGAACAATTCAATGGACGCCTGCGTGAGTCGGTGAGTCGACAGTGGTGATCAAGAGAGGACCTTTTTGTACATATAACCCCCATTGAACTGGGAATATACAACATATGCCGGAGACTTAAATACTCACACAAGCATTGTCAGCTTAAATATATCTATGTACATGAATGTGGAAGAGGAATACCTGTGCATAAAAAATATACTCTAGCAGCACGGCTCAATCAGTATCTTTCATGGAGGTTGCCAATACTTTGCACATTTTTTGGTTTTTCGAGTCATTTGAGGTGTTTGGGGTGCCACATAAGCTTTACCTTGAGCATATTTGTTCTTTAAGCTCATCTCTTTTCAAAAATAAAATTAACTCATGTCACTACCTCTTTACTCCGCCCCTTGGGCAGTAAGGAAAAGCTATGGTACCCTCCATACTTCGCAATCCTTCCTACAGTCTTTGCCTTTAACGGAGGCTACATGCTTGCCACCTCTGGTATTCCCATCTTTTAATTCCCAAAGTATGGATATGATAATCGAATACCTTGTCCGAAACTAGGATTGTCTCCCAGCTCTAGATACGGAGATCAAGAGGGCAGATGATATCGAGATTTTGTTTGGAGGGATCAACGTGCGTGGGCGGTTCAGTACCATCATACCATCACTCTCCCACTTCCATATCATAAGTGCTATTGAAGTTCGTGCCTGCGCATTTGCATACGATCACAGCTGCACCCCCCAGAAAAGCTCCTAAAGATTCAAGAGTTATGGAAGACCTCATACTTCTCGAACACTGAGATATCAGTATTACTATCCTTGAAGGCAGGCTAGATCTTAAGACCTGCTTCAACGGTGTGAGATCCACGGCTTTCGAGCTTTAATAGGGAACACCGTCCCGTTTGCTGCATTCAAGTTTTCAACATAAAATGCAAAAAAAAAAAAAAAAAAAAAAAAACAATTCTCAAGAGGCTTTGTTGCAGTCCCTCTCTGGCCCGTATACCTAATTTTTTTTTTTTTTTTTTTTTTTTTTTTTTTGGCCGTGTTGCTGTGTTGGAACTAACGTGAAGCAATTCTGTCTTTAGAGCTTATTTACTAATAATACTAAGAGAAAAAAGTAGGTCCAGTCAGATGCTCTGTAACCTCAGGGGCAGCCGACACATGGCCTTTTGGCTCCTGGGGTCCTGCTATTCCAGTGTGTTATGGGGAATCAAATACTATGACGTTTAAGCAAACCTCAAGCCTCCAAAGTCTATGGGTAAAGAAGGTGGTACCTTGAATATGGCAACAGCAGTGTAATGAATGATTAGATTTTATCTTGTGCAGCTCAGTAGAGTCGTCAATCCTTATCAAAACAGCGTGTTGAGAAAATAAAGATAACATGACTATCCCCAAAATCCTGTGCATGAGTCAGGCTCCTTGCGAACGAGCTCTAAGTACATAAAGTACATATGTCACCCTGGCCCCCCAGCTCTACCAATTCTACAAGCAATTCTATATCATTTTATTCATTTGGCTTTGATAACAGCAAGTCAATCTAGGACAAATGAACCCCCGTAGATCTGTAGTACCACTGTTTTTACAATACTCGTCACCTTTTGCAGAGCCTCTGGCCAGCTCATGAGCACCTGAATGTGCTTGGGATTCGCATCCGCCGGCGCTGCTCTGCTCTGGTTCTGTGCTATCTTCCTTCGAAGGTACCGCAGAAGCAATCGAGCTCTCTCTAAATCACGCTCCATGTAAATAATCTTTACAAGGAATTCTAGGAAAGACTGCACATCCTCTGGATTCGGTCCTTCATCATAAAGTGTGACATCAACTTTAGAAGATGATGATGAGTGGTCTTCAGCAGTAGCAGAAGTAAGACGTTCCTGTAAAGGCTGTTCGCTGCCTGATACAAGAGTGGACTGCACCCATTCCGCCAACATCCCGCGAAGCTCATCCACTCCACGCATGTTCATAAGCGTTGGTCTTTCTAGCAGAACAAATCCTTTCTCCCCTAATCCTCTTCCATAATTATTGTGCTCTGCACCATGTCTCGAGTCCTGGGGTCGGTTGTTCTTGGCTGCATCAGCTAGATCGGCCTGTCTCCGTCGGCTCTTCACCACCTCCAATCTATGTGCAGCCACTACCTCTGCTCGAAGGTCCTCAGGCAATGCAAGCAAGAAGCTCTCATCAAGGTCCGGTATTTGATTGGTTTGAGCATCTGTAACATCATTTGGACCAGCTCTTTGGTGTAGTGATCGCCCACTGTTTTCAAAGCCCTCCATACCTCCATGCTTGTTCCGCTTTGGAACTATATCTCCGCCAATAGCTCTCCCTCGGCCACGGCCTCTACCTCTAGGACGGCTGCGGACGGAACCACGTATTACATTTCTACCTTTCCCTCGGCCGAGACCCTGGCGCTCCATCAAGGCTGATGATTGAAGGAGCAACCCACCAGGAGTAGGTCTAGCAGACTCCACCGAACCAGATTGAGCAAGCTTTTGGATTAACTCCTGGTTCTCCATAATAAGGGTATACTCTTGCTCAATCTCAGCTCGTATCTCAGGAGGCAAAGCTTGTAGGACTGATTTATCCAACTATGATGGATCCAGAATAGAAAACAAACAGAATGTTTAATGAAACATAGTATCTCCGATCAGGAAACATTAATTGGCAGAATAGCTCTGAATTCTTCGTAGACTTACTTTTGATGGAGACGGCAGAACACCACTATCCAGAGAATGATCAGAGTTGGTATCTCTAAGAATATCAGTTTCATTATTATCTTTATGCTTCACGGCATATCCCTTCAGGGTGTCTCGTATTGCTGGCGTTGACATGGCCATAAGTTCACTGGGATCCACTTGAGACCACGGGGGTAGAGCATCGTCTCCAATCGACATATGTCTACTCTTAGCTTTTTCCTGGACTGGCACTGTGTTAGACTCTCCTTGTACATCGACCTGCACATCTGTTGACTTGTTTTGGTCTAGGTTAACAAACACTAAACGGTATTGGAGCGAGAGCTCTGCTTGGATTTCCTGTGGTAACTCCTTGAAAGTGTCACTGTCAATCTCCATTGTTGGGCCGCCCTCAGTGTAGTTGTAACTAGCAATAACCTTTGTTTGATCAGTGGGCTTTAAAGTGGGTGCGTTGTCTTGAGCAGAAACCTGGATGGGCGGTGTAGGATCTTTGGCAGCTTTGGTGGAAAGGAGCCGCTTGGGTTGGAATAGGGTGGATGTCAAGGTGGTCTGATTCATATAGTCCGTAGTAACGGATATAGGCTTTGGAGTAGTGTTGATAGCATCATTATTGAGTTTGAGAACTTGAATACCAATCCCTATACAATAAACAAGCATCCATAATGTAGGTAATGCTTAGCCCTCTATATTCCTTTGCCCAGGATCCTCGTGTGCTTGTAGCTCAAATACACAAGTCGATCGATTTACCTCTCAAATCCAATACGTTAAACTTGAAGTACAATAGCAATCTGCGTGCTTCGGTGCTAATCAGCTCAGGATCATCTGTGTAGATGGGAAGCTGGCCTGTCCGAGCAAATTGATCAACTGGCCCATGGCCAAGATGCTTCCATTGCCCACCAACATGCTCTTTCCGCTTCATCACCTGCGTATTATTCACAATACCATTTCATGGATTAGTAAGCAATAATAATAGTAAAATAAATACATACAAAGATCCTCCAAAAGGATGCTAACTAAAATTATGTCATTTAGGGGAATCCCATACTTTGAGCACAACGGATTTGCCCTTTCGGTTGATTTCCTTCAAACGTTTGCTAACTTCTTTAGCTAGATCAGCAATGAAAATATCCACTTGCTCCTGGTTTTCAAAGCGTACACCCCAAGAGATTTCGGCACTAACGCTCTGTCGAGTTTTTTCACGGTCAGATGCAAGGGTTGTTTCATCGATTCCTCGACAAGAATTATAAAGCATTTCCCCTGTTTTTACCCCACAAACCCGCTGAAGCTCCTCTTTGGGTATCTGTTGAAGCTCGTACAGCGTTCGTGCCGAAAAGCGCTCCTCAAGCTCCTGGATTGTTTTATAGCCAACGCCCGGTAGATCTTGTACAGCAAATTCTTTTTGCGACTTTGACTTCTTAGCCACTGGCGTCTCGGGCTTGTGGAATTGAGAGCCATTGTCGCTACCAGGCAATGTCAGATCGGGTTCGTCGTCAACATCAGGTAGCAGTAGTGACACTGAGCCTTGAAGCTCACGGAGAGTCCTCTCAGAGCCTGGAGTGCTCGGCCAGATGTATTGTCCATGAGGCTTGGCACGTTTTGTAGCCAACTTAGCAAGAAGGATATTAGGTGCAATGCCAACACTTGCATGACATCCTGTAGCATCAAAAATTTCTTTCCTCACTTGCTCAGCTAACGCTCCAGGATCCATTTGGACTGACAGCTCTTCAGCCTGTTGATGATGACCATCCATACTCCAATATGGAATACACTTTGATGTGACATCGACAAGCGCTTCATCTACCGAGACGGCCTGGAGCTCATCCGCGTAACTTAAGATGATCTTGTAAAACTCAATTGAGATGTCCTCGTACTCTTGGAATTCGTACGGCACAACCATCAAATCTGGGCAAAGAGTCCGGGCACGCTGCAAATGCATTCCGTTTTTAACGCCGAAACTGCGGGCCAAGTAATTACAGGATGCTATCTCACTGTTGGAGGTTGACCCTCCTGACCCATGCGCGACAGCAACAGGTCGATTTTGAAGCTCGGGCTTTCCTCTCGTCGCGACTGACGCGAAGAAACAGTCAAAGTCAATATGCCTAAATTGTATATCAATAGCGGCAAATAAATCCGCCAAACATATCGAAAAATAAAAAGACTCTAGATTAGCATTTCTTCAATAGTAATAATAATGCGATCCATGAATAATGGGCCTAAGAAGGCTTGAATTATATCATTTTACATTATGATCTTATCTTTGTTCTTGTAATTAAGAGGAACCCGGTCCTTTTGTATTTCTGCTGTGAGTTCTCTCAGTTTTGCCTTCCACGCGGAAAGGTAATGCAGACGTGATGATTGGTAGAATTTTTCAACAAAACCAGGCTGTACAGACGAGTTGAGACGATTCCATGGGACTGAGAGCTCGATCAGGGTAGGATGGCGATCATCAGATGATGCGATGTGATCTACGCTTGTCTGCACATCATTACCAGCGCCTGTCATTGCATCCATTGGTGATTGCATATTTACATTGACAAATGGATTGTGAACGAAAGTCGTATTGATGGTAGATGGGTCCTGATTTTTGTCAGGTAGTCCTTCCAGCTCATGATCTTCATTATCGTTCGGAGGTGTAAGAAGACTTTGAAGTTCCTCCAAATCAAGCTCGCCTGAGAAGAGCTCATCTTCATTGTATTGAACCCCAATTGACTGGTTTTCGCCCTCTTCAAGCTTGGTATTGCACCTTTGCATCTCAGAGGCTTGATCTTCATAGAGCGCATCATCCACCTTCTGAGTAACTTCTCGAACTGATGCTTCGTTCTGGATATTGGCCAATCTACCTGTGCTCACAAAACTTGCAGGCTGAGACGGGATAGTAGTTGTTCCGGCATTCGAGAAGCGGCTAGAGGCATCTGGGGATAATACGGAGGTTGATGATGAAGATACCTCCCCGAACTTCGTAAATGATGAAGCGACTCTCAGAGTACTAAATTTATGCCAAGGTAGAAGCTTGTTGGCTTTGACGCTCTCTACAATCCATTCAGGTTTCGCAACCTTATAGTTTCTAAATCAAGGAACCAGCCATAAATTATAAGAACACTGTGAGCTCATGAAGCAGCCATGTATAAAATTAAAGAAGGGGTCTTAAAGCCATATCGGATAGTAATAGCCATACTGGAACTCCTTCATTTTAGCTTGCGTCAAGTTGGACGCAATGATATGCGTCGTGGAACTCTTTGATACTAATGGTAATATTGAAATGATACAATAAATCTGTTAGCAGTGAGCAATGAAAAAAATAAATAAATACTTTGCTTTGATCAATTGAAGATGGTTTGCCACTACTTACAGTATTGCCGGAACTCACCTCCTATCATATTATGTACAATGTTTAGTACAATTGAAATGTTTGCCTGATTATAAAAAAGGTGATGCATTGTACCTCATAGTGCGTGAGCATGTATACTTGCCTCGTTGTACAATCAAGTTTCTGAGTTCTATCATAAAGAGCAAGTTGATGTATTATTTCACCTTTCTTGATAAAACAATAGATATCCAAGTGATTACTTAACCTTTTTTTGTTTTTTTTTTTTTTTTGTTTTTTTCATTATTAAATAAAAAAGATATCTGTTGTTACCATGAATGGGGGGATATGTGTATCCATTCACATAGACAACAATACCCTCAAAGATCTGTTGGACACCCGGTGCAATCTGTGCAGCTCTGTCATGAAATTAAGGAAATACAATTAACACAGGACTACTAAATAGGATAAATCTTTAAATCGACTCCTTACATTTCTTCCTGCTGCAGCCGTAGCTTTTGTTTCTTGCGACGAAAGTAGGATCCAAAGTCTCCATATCCAATGGCTTCGTATGGATCATCCTCTTTTTCACGCTCCATAATTTTTTATTCTATGTTGGCATGAGGAGAGAGTAGGCAAAAGAGAAAGTAGGCAAAGAGAGGAGAATGAGGAATGGAATGAATAGATTAAAGAATTTACAATCTTTTGCCATGAATGGTAATGACTACGGGATATTTATTTGACGGCGCTTGCCCCCAACTGCTGCGAGTAGTACTATAGGCAAATCGCACGTGACATCCTACTAACTGGATGTTTCTTTTCTCGAAAAAGGCCAACCGGGATGCCTTCAGATCAACTTTTAGTAAACCCAGACCCACGCCAGAGATGAGGATATCCCCCTACTTTTGTCTTTGACCGATGACAACGATAGTAATAATTATGCTTTTAGTCATGACTATGGTTCCAGCTGCTAGAACATGAGCAACACGAGTCAGTTTAGAAAGGAACAGCGCAAAGTAATGATTTGAATTACTCTACTCTTTTTATAAAGAGACTGATAGCTTTGTCAATCCCTTGAAATCAAAATCCATACACCAAAATCAGGCGAATGCTCCCCAAGGACATACACACAAATCAACTATCGAATATCCAAATTACGTCGCTGAATGCTCGCGTAATTGTGGAGAGTCAGACACTTTTCTAGGCTCGCGTAATGATGGATAAATCATACCGCTGTATGGTCACAGGATCTAATTTTCCTGCCATGCTTATAACGGATCATGCTGATGCCCTAAAAGCGTCGAGTAGAAAGTTCTCCGATGCCTGTCTCTAGTAAAAGAACCAAATATGCCTGCTAGAGAACCTTACGGGAACAATGGGTCCACCTTGGTACATGTAGCCTGCAAGACTATCATGAAAACCACCCATCCGCGATGGTGGAATGGCTTGCCAAGTCACACCCTATCCGACATAATATCGAGTCCACACGAATTTCGGGAGCCTTGCAGACCTCGCCAAATGTACATCTTTCTCTCGTAGATATCCATCATATATCCGCTATATTGACCGTTCTACTTATCTCCCAACACAGATTCTGAAAGATATGGCTTCTCTCAGCTCAGAAAAACGTTACCGGCAATAGGAGCCATACATGGAGGCAGGTCATCCATCGTTACTGCATTATAACAACAATTAAATCAGAAACCACAATTGAATTACCTAACGGTCTAATGGCTTAATGAGGATGTGCGTGTGGTTTTCTTGTAATTCTGTTCCTGCAAACCCCTTGTAGCCCTGTTTTTATTTTGGACTTTACGGTTCCATTCATTTGGCTTTATCGCTTTCTTTTTAGAAAAAAAGTTGCTGTCGCTTTCAGACTGTTCGTGAACTTTTACATAAACTTCCCTATTTTAGTCCGATGTCTGTCACACATTGACTAAAGAGAGGATGGAATGATTACACACTGCATGAACCCAATTGATTTCATTTAGGGATGCTTGACTATTTAATCTTCTAATGTGGTCTTCTAAACCGTGACAGAATTGAAGGGATGACCAATGAAAAACTCCCTTCTATTGCCTATCTAGCCTTCTAAAAAAAAAAAAAAAAAAAAAAAAGCCTATTGTAGTTGTCAAACTTTATCAATGAACAACAGATGATTGACCTTCTTTCCCGCCATTCTTCTGATCCCATTCCCCTTCCCCTTCCCCTTTGGTTATCCTAGATGGATATCAAAGGCAAAAAAAAAGATAAAGTACCGATATGGCCCTTGTGAGGGATAGGTGAAAAAAAAAAAAAAAAAAAAAAAAAAAAGAGAAACGATCTCTTTGGTGAGACTCTGTCTTGGTGTCAGGTCTTTTTTAAAGATGGAACACACACTCTTTATTTTGTTGTGACAAAAGATTCCTGATCCGTGATCCGTGAACATGACATTGGAGAAGAAGAAACACGACAAATCAGTAACGACGCAATGGAAATGTACATTTGTAAGTAAAGCAATGAATACACGTAAAAAACACATGCGTTGAGTGGTCAAGGCGATAATGATTTGTGGCGTATAAGTATTGTATGTTTAAAAAAATTGTGCAGTCGACTGTTGCAAACAAATAGAGACCTGCGAATAGTAATGAGAGGATCAGAGAACGAAAGTTGGCAAGGATGATGATGGTGGCTCCAACATCATCATGATCAATACAATGCCATCTGTATTTTTATGCATGTTAGTGCACCACGTTGAATAAATAAATGCCTCAATTCAGTTCAATGCCAATTACAATACACCCAACGGAGGTTCAATAAGATGTATAAAAATGTATAAAGTATAAACACAATTAATACTTTCCCCTTTTTCTCCTTCTTTCTTCCCCTATTCACGATTCTGCTCAACATCTGTCCTCTTTTCTGACTACAACATTCTTCTTCATCTTCACTCGAACATCTGGGTTATAAACTGCTCTTTTTATTAAAAGCTATTGAAGATTGAAACAGGTAAATAGATGTATCCCTCGTTCTTCAGTTCGTGCAAACACATGTCTTCTGCTCATCACAACGTAATGTTGGTCAAGGAGGAAAAGAAAAAAAATTTCCCTTAGTGTATGAACACATGTTGAACGGTGAATCAGTAGAGACCAAAAAATTCCCGGCGAATAATTTTAATATAGTCACCATTGCTCCATGCTTGTCTTTTTCATCAAATGTAATCTATATAACGCGAATGACAAAAAAAAAAAAAAAAAAGCCTAGATGAGCGGAAACCACATCTTCATATAAGAGTGGTCTTCTATTTGTTTAATATTACTAAACCATTATGGTTTGAAGCATATCACTAGATCACTATCCTACCACCCCTCTCTCTCATGTTTGTGTGGGTGATAGTTCGCATGGCTGCACACATTCGATTTCATCTAAAAAGCACACGTATATAAACTCTCTTCAGTTTCTTTTTTGCAAACATACAAACATTGCATGACATCGGCATAAGGCCCGTGTTCTTTTTTTTTTTTTTTTTTTTTTTTTTTTTTGATTGTATGAACTGATGGAATTAACCTTGCCATTTCAAACAAAAACAAAAATAAGTGTACGTGTGTTATTTCTTTTGCTTCTTCGCTTGGACCACCTGTCGGAGTCTTTTTTTGAGAGCGAACTTTTTTCTTAGAAGTTGTGTGCCCGAGCATGCGCCTTCCCACCTACCACACTAACTGAGTGAACTCGTCTGCAATTGCACAACTATCTTTTTCTCTCGTTTCTCATTTTTTCTTCCTTTCCTCTTAATTGTATATTGTGTTTCCTAAACCATTACTAGACCTATCTTACTTCAAGTTACCATCTCTCTTTTTAGCGTCATGCTTATCACTCGGCATTGTCAACAGAGCTCAGACGACTTATTTACATGTGAACGGGTAAGTGTGCATCGTAATGCACTTTTTTCTTGTAGAAGAAAACAAAATAAAAAAAGAACCCCATTGGCTTATATTCACATTTGTTTGATGAATGGTGGATGGCAAAATGAGGATGAGCATTGGAATGAGAAAAAAAAAAAAAAAATTTTTTTTATCCTGTTCGACGACATCATTTCTCCTCCTCTACCCCTGCTTTCATTAAGATGCAAAATTGCCTCTCCTCAACGCCTCAGTGGATGAGTAAAGAGGTATGGAGAGAGTGAGGGAGTTGTATATGGGCCCGTATATTGTTATAATATACTTTTTTTGCCTCTTGCGCCAGATCGGCTGCTGTTAACGGTTAAATTCAGATGTGCAGGAACATTGGATCATCAAGTCTCCATCTCCATATCATTTGCGTTTTCCTTTGTGAAACGTGTGCCCATGAGTCCATGGCATGGCATGGCATGACATGATGTAACTTTGTATGAACTAGAAAGGGGTGCAAGAAGCTTTTTTTTATCGTCTTTCTTCCTCCCACCTCTGCTCCTCCCCCTGTTCTTGACCATCACAACCCCTTTTATTTACTTCGGCATGTGCAACATGGCTGGAGAGAGATAGAATAGGATAGGATAGGATAGGATAAGAAGGGATGTCGGTCAATGCACGCAATGCACCTTTTTTTTTTGTTTTTTTGTTTTCGTGGCATGGTGGAGAGAGACTGAGAAAGACTATTTGTTGCTCACAACCATCACAGAGCAAAGGAAAGGAAAGGAAAAGGATGCGAGTCGCGTTGATGCATGCATCTGCTCCACTGTCTGTCCGTTCCTAGGACAATACAGAGGAGATATTGAACGATAAAAAAAAAAAAAAAAAAAAGATGCTCAACTGCCTAACGGCCTGTTGATGTCGGGAGAAAAGAATACTTTTTTTTTTTTTTTTTTTTTTTTTTACAATACCATTAAAGCCATTTGGGTATACCTTGCACGGATCCTTTCAGAGTAAATATGAAAGAGCTTTTATTATTACTTTTCTGATGGAGTGATGGAGAGGAAAGACACGCGACGGCTTTTGGGTTTTTTACTTTGCACCCCACAATCCATAAATTCATTTCTTTCCTCCTGAATTGGATTGGGCAGGGATGGATTGGATTTAAATATACTCTGCCTCTTTCTCTCCTCTTTTTTTTCTTTCCTATTACATTATATTCTATTTCTATAGTCTCTCCTCTTGTCCATTCTAGGGGAGGTGGATTGGGGGGTGGAGAATGGAGATGAGATGTGGTAGGGGAATTAATTCATATAAAGACTAGACTACCATCCCATTCTTTCTCTTTTTATCTCTCCTTTATCCCATATCCTCTTTACTCTGTGTCATCATTCATCCTTTCTCTCTCTCACATCCCTGTTACCCTTACCAACATCTGCATTTATCGACTATCGTTCATCATCTATTCTGTCACTCACCAATCTCTTCATCTCTCTAATTGATTACAACAAATTTAAACTTTTCATCCAATCAAAGGTGATGCTCAGGTTCTTGTCGGGCAAATGCGAGCCAAGAGGCTTAGACTTCAATGTCTGGGACTACTCCATGCCCGAGATATACGGCATCATCCTCGGCATGTTTACCAAGTTGGGTCTGGTTGAATGTCTAGGCATTTCCGAAAGTGATCTCCTTGACTTTATCATCGATGTCGACAAGGGTTATCATGCTACATACTATCATTCATTCTACCATGCGGCCGATGTCACTGCTGTTCTCTATCGCATCTTGTTTGACATGAATGCTTCTCAATACCTGACCAAGCCTGACATGGCTACGCTCTTACTCGCTGGCCTTTGTCATGATATTGGACATGTAAGTAAAAAATAAATAAAAAGTAAAAAATAAAAAAAAAAAATAAAAAAAAGTATTTAAAAACGTATCAACGTGCTTCTTACTCTTTCACATAGAACGTTCAATTGATTAACAAAGGAATGGGTCCATTACTTTCTCAAACGTCTTTTCTCTTTCTTTTCTCTTTCTTTTCTCTTTATGCTTCGCATCTAGCCTGGCCTCAACAATTTATTTCAAGTGAACGCAAAGACAGAGCTCTATGAACGATACGGAGAGGCTTCAGTCCTTGAAAAATACTCATGCTCGCTCGCTATGGAACTTGTTGCAAAACATAAGCTCTTCCGTAACATTGCCTCCTCTCCTGATGCTATCCTCCCTGAGGGTAACCATCCGACCGAGGACGGAATGAAGGATGCCATGATCAAGGCCATCATGGCTACAGACATGTCCTTCCACTATGACATGCTTAACAACCTCAACACTCTTATCGAAGTCATCTCCACTCCTTTGTCTTCTCCATCCATTTCCGACAATGAGCCCACAGAAGCTGAATCTGGTCCAGACACTTCCCTTCAATCATCACCCACACAGTCTAGCTTTAGCTGCAATTGTACAGCATTATCATCACCAACTGTTTACAAAATCCCATCATTATGCTCACGGTTTTCATCCTGTCCTGTCGCTCAGCAACCATCGCATATCCATCACCATGATCACCATCGTCGACAATCCTCAATCAGCTCAACATCATCTATATCTTCAAGTGACTCTGGATGCTCCGAAGAGTCAACTCAAACAACACACAGCCTCGACATGGGTCGCCCATCATTTAATTTGACCCCAGAGCTTCGGCAGAGTTTATGTAACTGCCTCTTGCATGCCGCTGATATTTCGAACGCCGTGAAGCCATGGGGACTTTGCAAACGATGGTCTGATATGATCGTTCAAGAGTTCTTTCGACAGGGTGATATTGAAAAGGCTCGGAATCTGCCCATCTCTCCCAACATGGATCGGAACCAGCATAATCAGGCACAAATCTCACTCGGATTTGCCGACTTTGTGGTACGGCCGTATTTCGAAAGCTTAGCCGCATTTTTACCCGATGCAGCGCCTTTCCTTACGACACTGGCCAGTAACCGAGCACAATGGCTCCTTCAAAAGGAAGCCTTGGAAGCGGCGAAGGATATGTCCATGAATACATGTGTTGCCACCGTCGCGGAAACACATGAGACTAACGGCATTAGCTCACCTATACAACCGCATCTGACAACTGGCCGTCGCGTTTCAGGTATTTTTTTTTTTTTTTTAGAAGGGGGGAAAAGTTTTTTTGGCATGATAGCAAATCGATCCATTCTTGTTCTTAACATGAGCAAGTTAATTGTTTTTTTTTTTTTTTTTTTTTTTTTTTTTTTTTCCTTTTGGTAGAAGCTAATGGCAATACCCTCTCTTTGTTTTTGCAGTGGCCGCTGGTGTATTAGTGCTAGACGACGCCGGTACGCATCGACCAATCCATCACAAGAGACTACGATACATGGACCGCTCGCACCGTCATCATTCACTACGGAAGATTAAGCGGTCGCTCTCTGGGAAGTCTTTATCGTGCCTTCGAGACCTCCAAGACCACTCGCGCTTTACAGAAAGTAACAACAATGGTACTATGAATCAGGATGCCGTTATAAATGCCTTGAAACGAGAGGTAGCCCTTGCTGGCAAGGATGCGACTGTTAATCTCCCTAGCGCCTGCTCGTCCAACAACACTGCCATCACACCCATCAATATCAGCAAGGGTTGTGATAGTGGGGATAAAGACGAAAAGGTGTTGCTCGAAGCAAGCGAGCAGCAACTACAGCTAAAGGATTCCGAACAGACTGTTCCTGTGTCGTGCTCATCTCATCTTGATCCAAAGTCACCATTTCGGCAACGTCGATATGGTAGCCTACAGCTTGAAGAAAAACACACAAGCATTCGAGAAGAGTATGGTGATGGCTATGTTATCCTTAACTATCTAGACTCCTCATCTGATCGAGCATGGGCCCTTTGTGATAATGATGGTGCGAATGCAAACTTAAGGCCTTTAAACCGTCTCCACACATCATCATCGATACCTGGTGAATGGCCAGATCCTCCGCCAACCTCGCCGCCCTTGCTTCTACATCCGTCTCTATATCACCCCTCACAAGCACCTACGGCTGCTAATGATCCGACATTTAATTCTAACCAACCGGCAAATCAACAGTATCATCTTGACCACATTAGCATGCGTAGTAATACACCAGCGATCTTTCCTGGTAATATTTTCTACGGCCGGTGTCAAGAAATTTACCGGCCAGGTGGACCACTTGATATTGCTCGTGGATGCTTGGATTCGACGTCAAGTCCATTACCACCATCACCCAAATTGAGTCTATCTGAAGCGAACCACTAATATATCCGTAGTCTTTGCAGGACCACCCTCCACAACATGAATGTCTCTTTTGGCTATTGTTTATTATTATCCTTGCAATTATTTTAATGAGAGTCCTTTGCATTGACATGTTGTTTATATTTGCATTTATTCGTTGTTGTTTTTTTTTTTTTTTTTCTTTTTCTTTTTCTTTTATTTTGTATAATAATGCACTGCTTTGTAGTTTGTATCATAGATTATTGTAGACACCTCATAAAAAAAAAGGTTTTTTTTGATAAAGATCATAAAAGTTGTCAAATTGCTTTAGACTTGCTGTTTGTGAAGAGTACATGAAGAGGAAGAGTGTTGTTTTTTGTTTTTTGTATATCCTTCAATGGTTTATGTAAACAGTTCAGTTTCCCCAGGTCTTTCCTTATTAAGATGTCTGTACAAGATAAGGAAAAAATCTCCGCACCATGGCAATTGCTCCCCACAAAATTTCATATCAACAGTCAGTGCGATGACTCTTTTAGCATGTGGGTTTCTTAAATCAAAATTTTCAAATAAAAAAAAAAAATTTCAGCCTGCGCCTTGTGCGTGCGAATGTTTTAGAGATGTGGATATATATGACATGTCATGTATTCATTTGATTTGTCATGAATGACATGAAAGAAAGAAGAAAGAGAGAAGAGATCCCTTAGGAAGGTCTCATTCTTTCGGTCGATAACATTTGTTCAATCTCAAAAGAAAGAAACGAGGGCAGTCACGAATGGCGCCTTTTTTTTATTATCAGGGTGTATTACTTGGATGTGGTGTACAATGTAAAGGATGAAGGGGTAATGTTTACAAGGTTAGCTTGTATTTTAGCTTGCAATGAACTCTAGAAATACTCAGCCTTGATAAAAAAAAAAAAAAAAGAGCTCAAAGATGGCTGTTACTTGCTGATCAACTGTCTCTGTAATTCATTGTCCGTCGCTCATATAAAACGGGAAGATGATGCGGAGCAAAAAAAAAAAAAAAACGTCTTTTTTCATTTCTCTGTTTTTTCTACTCCCTGTCCCACACGCATTCTCTGCCTTTTTCTTTCACTCGTCTCTTTACTCCATTAACAACGATGCCTTCGACTAATGAAACCAACGGTGCACCCGCAGTGCCAGCCAACGGATCACTTGCATCCTCTGCACCAGCAAATGTTGAAAGAAAAGGATCCATTAGTGGATCCAACAAGGTCAAACTTCTCAAGCCCTTTAACACTGCCAATATCAAGATCCTTTTGCTCGAAAATATTAATGAGACTGCTGTCACCGGTCTCAGGAACCAGGGTTACCAGGTATTAAAAAAAAAAAAAGAAAAGAAAAGATAAGCAAATTTTGTAAAGGAAGGAAGATGACAATTGTCCATTTTATTTTTATTTTTATTTTTATTTTTTGGGTCTCCAAATCAATAAACTATTGGAGATTCGAACAAAGGAACACTTCCTCTTCAACTTTTTTATACAGATGAATATTCAATGTCTTTGTCTTTCTATCCCTCTCTTTATCATTTGGAGAGGATTTGCGATGTTTGTTGGTATGACTGTCCTGGAAGTGAAGGAAAGATTTTGATAAGCATCTTTTTTCTTCTATCCCGGACTTGTCCTCCTTTGGAAGTTTGAGAGACCAAAGGAACTCTTTTATCTCGAAATACATTTAAAAATTTAGCGTACTATTCTATCTTTGACGACGCATGCATTCATTGGCTCACGCACTTTATCTTTTTCTTTTCTTTCTCTCGCCAGGTTGAAACGTATGCAAAGGCCCTGTCAGAGGATGTGTTGATCGAAAAGATCCGTGATATTCATTGTATTGGTATCCGCTCCAAGACTAAACTGACCAGAAAGGTTCTTGAAGCTGCTGAGAAACTGGGTGTCATTGGATGTTTCTGTATTGGTACCAATCAGGTTGATCTGGAGTACGCGGCTCAGAGGGGTATTGCAGTCTTCAATTCCCCCTTTTCCAACTCGAGGTCTGTAGCAGAGTTGGTTATTGCAGAAATCGTTTTATTGTCCAGACAACTCGGAGACCGTAACCAGGAGATGCATCAAGGCATCTGGTCCAAGGTCTCTGCCAATTGCTATGAAATCCGTGGCAAGACTCTTGGTAAGAATATGAGGATAAAGAAAAATACCATACAACATTTGAAGAGGTTCTATCGCAAAATAAAAATCAGCTAATCAAAAAAAAATTTTACCCCTTGACCTCTAGGAATTGTCGGATATGGCCACATTGGATCACAATTGTCAGTCCTAGCCGAGGCCATGGGCATGCGTGTCCGATTCCATGATGTGGTTCCTTTGATGCCTCTGGGCACTAGCAAACAAGTCGACTCGTTGAATGAGCTCCTCGAGATTTCAGATTTTGTCACTCTTCATGTTCCAGAAACAGAGGAAACCAAGAATATGATCGGAGAGCACGAGCTTAACAGGATGAAGAAGGGTTCCTTCTTGATTAATGCTTCCCGAGGCACAGTCGTCCATATCCCTGCCCTCGCCAAGGCTCTTCGTTCCGGTCATCTGGGCGGTGCAGCCGTCGATGTCTTCCCTAAGGAGCCTGCTGCTAACGGCAAGTTCTTTGAATCAGAGTTGATCGGATGCCCTAACACTCTTCTGACACCTCATATCGGAGGTTCGACTGAAGAAGCCCAGTCCATGATTGGTATTGAGGTTTCACAAGCATTGATTAAATTCATTAACAATGGCACCTCCATCGGAGCTGTCAACTTCCCAGAGGTTGATCTCCGTGCCATTCGTGATGAGGAAGAGAACTCGATCCGTCTCTGCTACACCCATCAGAACGTTCCCGGTGTTTTGCGTCAGATTACCGATATCTTGGCCGAACATAATGTCGACAAACAGTTCTCAGATTCGAAGGGCAAGATTGCCTATCTTATGGCCGATATTTCAGATGTCACACCAGAGCAGATTCAAGAAATCTACCGCCGAGTCAGCGAAACTCCCACCAACATCGTCACTCGTGTCTTGTACTAAGTACAGGAGTAGGTGGCGTTTATCGTGGTTTTTTTTTTAAAAAAAAAAAAAAAAAAAAAAAAAAGCCTCAACAGCTTTAAAGACATTTGTCCTCACCACTATCAGCAAGAATGGGAGAACAACATTAGCACAGGATCATCGTGAGATTCAACTCCCCACTCAAATACCACACTCATATACGCCTAAGCATAGTTTATTATTTAAATCCTGTACAATTTTCCAAGCTTGCATTACATATTTAATCTATTGATGGCCGGCCGCAGCTTTTTTTTTTTCATCAAGATAAAAATTGGCATTGATAATAAATAAAATAAGCCATTCAAACCCCCAGTTACACGTTTTTATAATCGATACTTAAACTACACATTTCTCTATCCTATTTGTTCTTTTCAAACATCGCCAAGCGTTCAGGTGAGAGCTTCCCTACCAACCGTGGACCTGGATTCAGAGATCGTACTGATGCAGAGGCGCTAGAAGATGGTTCTATGTCAGTACTGTTGGTATTGTCGTCGTCTACAGAATGCTTTGAAGTCATTTTAACATGAGGCTGATCATATTGATGGGAATCGAGCTCTTGAGGCTCTGGATCGAATTCTGTAGTGCTTGCGGTCACTATCGCTGGTACATCAGCTATCCCGATAGCTGGCACTGGTTCTAGTTGTGTTTGCGGTTGCAGTTGCTCTGATGTCTCTGAAGGACGTGTGTCGTAGATTCCTTCTTTGGACACATCTTCCTGCTTGGCTTTCTCTTGCGTAGCATTATCTGGCTCAAATTTGACCTTGTTTGCGGGCACCCAATAGCACAATCCAGTCTCCATATCGCACACCTGGTACCCTTCTGGTTCTACTGGTCCCTTTTGCGTGCTATTGTGTTCTTCCAAAGATACTTCTTCTGACTCATCTTTTGTCTCTGCTACTTCGTGTGAACTCTTGGTTTGGCTTGCCTGAGTTGCAACCAATGTTGGGTTTTCCTGCTCAAAGTTTTTAAACCCTAAACACAAATCAACTCTTGTTGTTGCTTCAGTCTTTGGCTTGTTCTCGTCACTCTTTTCCGTATTGAAAGTATTTTCGAGATTGACACGATTCAACATCCTCTCCAATGAACCACTTGGTGTCTGTTCATGATGGCTCTTAGTTCCTTCTAAAGGCGTGAGAATTTGCTCGTTGTTGTCAGGACTTTCGTCTGCATCTTGCATCCTTTCACTCTCGGGCAAAATGTCAGAAGTGGGTGAGACTGCAGCAGAATGCACAATAGAATTCCTAAGACCCCTCTTGAATCGGGCAATAGCCTTGAACTGGATGTTGATGGATTAATTAAAGAAACGAGATTAATGGGTCTTTTTAGATCTTTATACAATACTGATAATTATAATTTTTCAGCATATGGGAAACAAGAATTAAAGTCAAAAGATTACCACTGTCACTAATCCATTGATTTTTTGAATGGCACCACGAAGATCCTCCTCTGTGACCTCTGTCACTGCATGTATCGTGTTTTCTTCTTTACTGATCAATTGGTCGTTGCCGTTGTTGGTTAGCCATGGGTCATCCTTCAGGAAATACCGATGAATGGGCAGGAATGAGAAGCATATGAAGTAAACGTTAGCTATTTATCAACGTCAGAGTTTCGGATTCTCCAAATATCGAATTCATAGGTTGGTGAGACTGGTAACTAATGCATACCCTGAGCTGATCGATAGTCACACGCTTAGTTGGATCTTTTTCAAGAAGACCTTCGATCAAGTCTACGAACCGTGCATCTTGTTCATCCGGTAGTTCAAAGTCTTCTTCACGAATAATCCTCTGCATTTCCAAAATTGACTCGGAGACATATGGAAGACGACCATACCGAAGACAGTATAAAGTCACACCCATAGACCAGATGTCTGTCGCACGTCCAGAAACTTCTCCGTGATCATGACGGCAGAGCTCTGGAGCCATAAATGCCGGACTTCCTGCAGATTTCTTGGTCATGTCATTGCCCTTTTTGTCAAACATCTCGGATACTCCAAAGTCAACAATCTTGACGATGTTTCCCTCTGTGAGCAGTAAATTGTCAGGCTTAATGTCGCGGTGGATGATGTCGTGCTCATGAACTAGAGACGGGTATAAAAACCATACATGTCAGTGAGGATATGATAATGACAAGCTATGAAGTACAAGTATTTCCTATTTCGCATATTTCAAACGAGGCTTACGGTATTCAATTCCAAGAACGATCTGCTGGAACAAATCGCGGCACATTTCATCCGTAAAAAGGCTCTTGTTGAATGTTTTCGTCAAAGATACGGGCATCAATACACCCTTCTCGCAAAATTCAAAGACTAGAGGGGGAAAAAGATAGCCGAGAAGATAAATAGGATGGTCATATCAAACGATAGAGCACATCTCTACTTTTTTTTTTTTTTTTTTTTTAAAGCATGCTAATAGAAAAGAAAGCATTTTGTATTTCAGTATTGAAACTTACCCATGTACATCGAATCATCGTTAGCTACATCGAGGACTTCGTACAGCTTCACAATGTTGGGATGATTCAATTTCTTGAGGATAGCAATCTCACCACGAATCAGATCAAGGGGTGAAGACTCTGCTGTAGAGGTTGGACTGGGTGCAGAGGGTCCTCTCATGCCACGACCACGTCCGCGGGGACCCAATTTGAAAAGATTTGTCTTATCCTTCTTCCTGAGTTTGGATTTGCTGAACTCTTTGACAGCCTGTGGTTATTGAAAGGAAGATGGTTATAATTCATTGGAAAAAGATATTCCCATCACATATGGTTCATGAGTCCAAATGACAGAACCAAAAGGTTTTTTTTTTTTTTTTTTAAAAAGAGAGAGAAAAAAATAAAAAAATAAAATAAAAAAAAAGTTAAAAGAACTGCTTACATAGGGAGTACCAGTGTTCTCGTCAACACCAAGATGAACTTTTCCAAAGGCGCCTTTGCCAATCTCTTGCTTGAGAATATATTGCTTTAACTGTCGAAGCCCATCAGCGTTCTCGGTGACGAAGGCATCGAGCGTCTCTTTGACCTCAACGGGTCTTGTGAACTGCATCGAGCTACGCCTGGATGCGGTTGTGGATGCGGTGGAGGAATAAGTGGAGAGAGTGTTGCCATTGTTAAAGTTAATGCTTTCACCCCCGCCAAAGAAGCCAGAATGGTTAGAAGAAAAGGAAGAGAGTGTATCAGTGAGAGCGGAGGGCGCGGTTGTGTCCATCATGGCGGAATGGACACAATCAAATGACATTATCGTGTTGTTGTCATGGTCCTGAAGAGGCATATCGTCCTGCAAGATAGTTGGCGGAGATAGTACCGAGGTCTTGTCCTCCTTGTTGTTATGAATGTGCCCCAGCAGTTCATTAGGATGTGTTACTGAAATGTTCATGGTCGGGTTGGGAAAGGAGGAAATTGCAATTGAAGGAAAAAAAAAAGAAAAAGAAAAAAAAAAAAGAAAAAGGTTTTTACAATGTGGATTACAGGGGCAGCTGGACAGGGCAGCTGGACAGGACCCAGAAGACTAGAGACAACTACAGTGCCCATCTCGATTTCTCATAATACTCCACTCCCTTTTTGTCTCAAAGGACCCAAACTCAGGCTCTTGTTTCATTGCTCTCTCTCTTTGTCTCTTTCTCTCTTCCTGCAAGTAAAATGATATCCTTCATTAGGTATATATATATTTGTAGAGAAAGAGGGAGGCAGAAACAAACACATCTCGTCATGGGTCTTTTTAGTTTTTCCGATCCGTTTTCATTGCGGAAGACACCTAGTATACACCACACCCTCCTACAGCCTCAAGCTCAGAAGCACAAGGCACGTTTGTATAGAATATGCCTTTACAAACATGTACATGGACTGTTTTGATTCATCAGAAAAGGGGTGGTTGATGCAAAGCTACACAAGGACAGAGTGCTGATCTTCTGTGTGTATGTGACACACTGCACACTTTCCTGTTCAGTGCACACCGACTGAAAACAATAACTTTATTTTTCTTTTCTCTTCTTTCCATCTCTTTTTCTTTTTTACATCATCCTCACCATCCTCACCATCCTCACCATCCTCATTATCGTCTTTTAATTTATTCCTCGACCGAAGAGCGCTTGCAAGGAGAAACAACTACAACGAAGGGTTAATTGACATCTTGAATTGCCATCTAATATCCATTCAAACCAAAAAGAAAAAATACAAAAGACACAGACAATCAGTTGAGCCACTCGAGCCAGTCGAATCAGTCTGTCAGAATCAGAGAGTTTTTTTGTCGATAGAGATTAGAAATGGAACAAGAGGCGCAACGATTGGATCACATCCTTGAGGAAGCCCATGAAGGCAAGATCCACTTGAGTGAGGGTCAGATTCACAAGTGAGTATACATCACGCCCACTCACACACTTTGGCTTAAAAGACAGGACAGAGACGAGACAAGGAACATTGCAACAATAACCAGTTACAGTCGCCATGTCACTGCATGTTATCCAAAGACATACAGGAAATGGAGAAAAAAAGGAAAGAAAAGAAAAAGTAAAGACTTTTTGCCAGCAACGGCAACAATGGGTTTGGATGACCTTGATACCCCCTGGACAGCTAAAGTCTATTGACGCACAGATCATTGACCAACGAAGCTTTTTTTAGTGATCCAAGTTAATGAACCTCATTCATTGACGCTCTCTTGCCATCCTGATATTTCTTTTGCTTGGGCTAGTATCGAAAACCAAGCCAAGTACCTTCATGAGCATGCAGGACACGAGGAGACACACAGCCGGATGGCGCTTATTATCATCGTATCTCTCATTTCCTTTCAGTTCGTGCTATTATACTGGAAGAAACACCATTACCGATCATACCAAGCTACAACAACTATTGGACTCTGGTATATACATTTTTCTTTTTATTTTATGAGAGTGCAAACCAGTTGAGGTTTGTTTCAAGTGTTGACATAAAAATAAAATAAAAAAAACTCTTTTTCTTCTTAGGTTGATCCCGTTCATGTTTGCACTTCATGGGCGTATGGATCAGTTTGCATCAATTTGGGCTATTTTTACCATCCTCAACTCATGGATTATTTACAAGGCCACCCGAAAACCACTCCATCATATGACACCCAAGTAAGGAAAGAAAAGGAAAAGGAAAAGGAAAAAGAAAAAAAAAAAAAACTCATGATCCGTCGAAGGCAAGCATTGCCATGCACGGATATAAACGAAAGACATGATCCTTGATACTTATCAATCTACTTATTGTTTTCATACATTCTCCAGGATTGTGTACAAATGGTTCTGGATCATTTATCAGATCTCGTATGTCATTGGAATCATTGGTTACGTTATGATGTTTTTGACTTTTATGGGCTTTGGTGCTCCGGATCCGGAGGGCGAGGACCCTGCAAGTTCAGGACTGATCACTTGGGGCTTAACATTTTTGTCATACGGAATTTATTTTGGGTATGTTGCGCAATGAGTTGGTATTACTTGGAAAAAAAAAAAAAAAAAAAAAAAAAAAAAATAGTATACATATTTATGCATCACACCATTTCAAAATCCTACATGAAATTAGAATTTTGGGTCGAGATTTCGTTGAATTTTGTACGGAATCAATGGCGGCTACACTGGGCTATTACACCAAGGAGGGATTCCCACGCAAGCACTTGCGGCTGGGTGTCTGTGCTATTTGTGGTATTCATGTGTCAAATGCCATAAGCACGATTGATGCACATGGACACCTACAACCCCCTGTTCTCCTCCAGCCCTTGGCAAATGGCGTAGCAGGAACAGTTGAGCCAAGTATCAAACTCAACTGCGGTCATGAATTTCATGAGGAGTGTATTCGTGGATGGTGTTTGATCGGGAAGAAGGATATGTGCCCATACTGCAAAGAAAAGGTCGATCTGCGCGCCTTCAAGACAAATCCTTGGGATACAACACAGCAGCTCTATTTGAATCTCTTGGATGCGCTCCGGTACTTGATTTGAAAGAATTGCAAGCAGAATGAAGGATTACTGTTGCAAAGAAAGTGATGATTGGGCTAATGTTTTTTTATTTTATTTTTGTTTGTTTGTTTTTGTAGATATATGATTGTATGGCAACCTGTGATTATGGGTCTGGTTCAGTTTGGGTTCTACATGACTGGCCTCAAGTAAATAGGAAAGATTAGAAAGAATCAATCTTGTCCAATATAGAAATATTAGAAGTCCTGTAGTTTCATTGGCATGACATCATTTTCATTTTTTCGATTTTTTTATCTTTCAACTGTTTTTTCTCCTCTTCTTTCCCCATTTCTTCAACAATTATTATATTGCAACAGTAAAAAGGCGAAGCGCAACTCCCCATTCTTATTTATCGGATCTCGTAAAAAAGCAAAAAGTACAAACTAAAGTATCATGAATTTTGTGCGCCAATATCATCTTGAACCTCGAACGGAGAAGGAGCGTGAGGCTCTCTATGGTCGGATCCGGAAGATTGCATACTGGCTCGATAGTTTTGCAGTCGTCGGAGGGTTCCCTCTCGGAGTGGAGGCCATCATTGGCTTTATTCCTGTTGTTGGTTAGTTTAGTTTCAACAATGGACGTTCATTTATATACACTGAACAACATGGAGTGACCTTGGCATGTCAACGACATGACAAAAACTCTTGCATGTGTTTTTACTTTTACAAAATATTACTGCCTGACACGTGCTTCTTTACACTTTATTGGCTTGTTATGTTTTCTATATATCTTAGGCGACTTCTTGGGGTTGGTTGCATCGTTATATCAGGTCTACCTCTGCTTCCTCTTTGGTCTCCCAATACAGCTCATGCTAGTAAGGACTTTTTTTTTTGTTTTGTTTTTAAGAATATGTCCACAGAATCCAAAATGATGACTTTTTGTTCTTTTCAGTATCCCCTTGAATTTCTTTTCTAACGTTCATATTTTAATGATTATCGTCTCATTAGCGTATGTTGCTCAATGTAATAATTGATTTTGTAGTTGGTCTGATTCCTTGGGTTGGCGACATCCTTGACGTCTTTTATAAATCCAACCAGTACAACCTGTCTATCCTAGCAGTAAGTCTTGTTAATTTGGCTTGTAACATGTAGTCCTGTAGTCTTCAAATTACCCTGCCTAGACTGACGCAAATATTTTTGTCCTGATGACTGCATAGAATTGGTTACAGGACAATCGCCTAGTTGATGTGCAGCGCTACAATAGAGAACATCCGCTAGCCAACGGCACAGAGCCAAGAGGACGTACAAACATGAGATCAAGGGCTGCTGGTGTTGGCAATGGATATGGGTTCAGTCGATGAAGTAGTTTCCATACCAAATCAATAAAAAAAAAATTAAAAAAAAAATCGAACACATATAAATCGATTTACTCATGAATTCAAATGATTCCAGGTTAGCAGCCTCTTTCCTTCCTCTTAGTCAATAATGATCCTGGTTCCTGCTTCTATGATCCTAATAGGTCTTTTCTTCTATTCGCTCATCGTCATCACCTTCAAGTATACCAAAGCTGCCATGATACGTCAATTTCACACATTTTTTTTTTATTAAGTTATTTTTGTTTGTTTGTATGTGCAGATGGATGGAATCAAGCAGAAAGGATATGGAGGGGGGACGTGGGTGAATGGTTATGATGATAATAATAACAATATAAAATAAAAACACAGATAATGAACAAGAAATAGGGAGGTGTGATCTTTCAATCGTCTATAGAATGAATTGGATAATGAGGGAGGATATGTTCACAAAAGCTTACTTCTTGGCGAACATGGCCTTGATGGCAGCAGTCGAGTATGACTTGGGGCGCTCAAGAGGCATGCCCAAAGCACGGTCCCAGATCAACTGGGACAACACTCCGAGGCCACGTGAAACACCAAAGAGGACAGTGTAGAACTGCTGCTCAGTCAAACCATAGGCAGAGAGGAGAACACCAGAGTGTGCATCAACGTTGGGCCAGGGGTTCTTGGTCTTGCCGTGCTCAGTGAGGACACCAGGGGCGACAGTGTAAATCTGTGAGACGAGCTTGAAGAGAGGGTCATTGGGGATATGCTTCAAGGCGAACTCACGTTGGCAAGTGTAACGAGGATCGGTCTTACGGAGGACAGCGTGGCCGTAGCCGGGAACGACCTGACCACTCTTGAGTGTCTTCCAGATGTAATCCTTGATGGTCTCATCCGAGACATCCTTGTTGCCGAGCTCCTCGCGCATCTTGATGATCCAGTTAAGAACCTCCTGGTTAGCAAGGCCATGAAGAGGACCAGCCAGACCATTCAAGCCGGCAGCGAAGGAGAGATAAGGGTCAGAGAGGGCAGAGCCGACCAAGTGGGTGGTGTGAGCAGAAACGTTGCCTCCCTCGTGATCAGAGTGAATAGTAAGGTAAAGTCGCATCAACTCAACAAACTCCTTGTTGTCGCCGAAGCCAAGGAGACTGGCCAAGTTGGCACCATAGTCCCTATCGAGGTTGATCTCACCAACTCTAGAGCCACTCTTGTAAACATTCTGATAGATACGGCCGGCAATATTAGGAAGCTTGGCAATGAGGTCCATAGAATCCTCAAAGGTGGTGTCCCAGTATTCCTGCTTGTTGACACCATCCTGGTATGCCTTTGCGAACTGAGATTCATGCTGAAGAGCAGTGACGGCCAAAGAGAACTGAGACATGGGATGAAGGGTCTTGGGGCAGCGATCGATGAGGTCCTCGACAAAAGTGGGGAGGGTAGCGCGGGCAGCCCACTCGGCCGAGAGACTACGGACCTGTTCCGAAGTAGGGACCTCGCCAGTGACCAAGAGCCAGAAGAGGGACTCTGGGAGAGGCTCGCTACCACCTTGGGCAGCTGGGAGATCACGCTGGCACTCAGGGATGGTCTTGCCGCGGAAGCGGATACCTTCCTCAGCATCGAGAACGGAGCCCTCCCAGATGAGACCCTTGATGCCACGCATGCCTCCGTAGGCCATGTCGACGGTGGTCTCGCCCAAGACCTTGTTACCAAATTCGGCCTTGACCTGCTTGACCTCCTCACGCTTCTCAGGGATCAACTCGCGAAGGCGATCCTTCAAGCCCTATTTATGTTGGGGATGATGTATTTAATGGAAAAGATATTGGATCAGTAAAATGGATCATAATAAACGGATGATCCTCTATCAATTTCCTCAGCGGCGCCCGCCCACGGGAGCTAATAACTTTTTTTTATCACCATTCATGATATGATAAGAAAAAAAAATTACAAATTCAACCCAACAACATTCCCACAGTACGAAAACTGTGACCTGCCGGAGACAGCAACACAAATACCCCAAAAACAGAGCAAATATAAGCCACCGCTTCCGTCTATGTGCTGGTTGTCTTTAAGAAATATGCCCCTTCCTGGACGTTCATCCGCTAGTCGATGACTAATGCAACAAGGAGCTTCTTTCAAAAAGAAAACCCTCGCATTCAAATTAAAACCCTCTGCTTTTTTATTTTTTTTTTTTTTTTCTTTTTCTTTTTCTTTTTCTTTTTTTTTTTTCTTTTGATACATTTAACGTGATCTGTGAAACTGAACCGGCAATTTTTAGGAGTGACAGAACCATCCCATCATCCCATAAAAACAAAAAAAAAAAAAAAAAAAAAATCAATCATCAGTAACGCACCTGAGGCTTGGTGGAGTAAGCGCGGATGGCAGTAGCGGCGAAAGTGTTATGACGAGTAGCAACCTTAAAGACAAAAAAAAATAAAAAAAAAAATCAAAATTAGAATGTAAAGCAAAGATTAAAGACTATTACTTTGAATAGTTGCAACGCGACTCAAGAATTCTTCTTTGGATAGATCAAGTGTGAGTGAATTTGTTGATCACTATGATTATGGTCCATGATGCAAAGATTAGAGAGTAAAGAAGACTGGTAAAAGAATGGAGTATAGTAAAATACCTTGGCAAGGCCAGGGAGGCGGAAGGCAGCGCGGAGAGAAGCCATGGTATGAGGGGATGAATAAGATTGGAGTGGAGAGAGAAAGTAAGAGGAAATGATGAGAGAAAGAAGAGGAAGAAAGAAAGAAAGAAAGAAAAGGAAGATCGGAGGAAGACGAAATAATTATACCCGTCATGTCCTTGTCGTCGGTCTTTGGTCTTTGTTGTTTGTTTATTTTCTATAATCACATTCACATTCATTCATATTGTCGCTTTGATCAGTTCAATCTTTTTTTTTTTTTTTTATATATATATATATATTATTTTATTATATATAATATATATAACAGTATAAAATAAATAAATAAATAAATATAATAATTTATATATATATAAATATATAAAATTTACGTTCATTTTGCATTTGCATGTGGACTTTGAATGACCTCTTCGGTTGAATTGGATAAAATAAATGGCTTTGCTGTTTACCCTCCTGCCTCTCCTGATAAGGACCGGACAAAGAAACACATTTCAGCTTTATTCAATCATCAATACACACACACATTTAAAGTGACGTACATCTACATCCTGTTGGTCAGCAAACTTGGCATTTACTGGGGATGGGGAAGAAAAGAGAGATCAACCCTTGTCTTGTCTGACCTTGTCTTGCCTTGTCTTGCCTTGCCTTGCCTTGCTTTGCTTTGCTTTGCCTTGCCCATATTCAGGCACCATTGACACCACATTCGTGATGTACCTATTTAGCAAGACACATTGAAAACTACAATTGATCTATCTACCCATCTTCTCTAGAGTTTACCCTCAGATTCAGCCTTAACCGTTCCATGCGCACTGATCCATTGACAATGCACTGCATTTTTTTATTTTTTTTTTTATTTTTTTTTATTTTTTTTTTCCTACTCCTCAATATCAATGTTATCAATGTTCATACATAAGAGAATCTTCGGTTGTATATAATAATCAAAGGGTTTCTATTTCAAGCCTAAACATCCTCTGCTCTGTTTTATGCTTTGTGCTACATGTTTTGATGCCATAAAAAATTTTAACCTGATGATTATTTCTCTTGCCCCGCAATTGACCAAATACGGTCACTTCAACAACTGACAGTTTATACATATAACACATCAGCTTTTACATCTGAAAACGGATTCAATAGAATTGCATGACGCGATCTGCGTGTTGTATGCATCTTTGTTTGAAATGATGTGTCTCTCGCAACGGTATTTCGACTCCATGTTCTAGAGCCATATAACTTATAATGGATTTACAATAAGATGGACTACCACGAGTCTTTCATGTCTCTGATAAATACTAGATACCATGCATGAATCCAACTCAGGATCAACTCTTGAGGGCCGTCATGGCGGATCCGTATATACAGTGCATGCGCCGTAATAGAAATAGAAAAAAAAAAAAAAAAAAAAAAAAAATTTTTTTGAGCGGGGTAAATGGCCACAAAAGGAAATGCCGACCTTCTTGCTCAATTGTGAATTTGTGATTGTATTCATTCCCTTTTAAATTTAAAAATATATCAAGATTAAACTCTTGATAAGAGGAATAAGATATGTACATGTATACTAGCGGATCCCTGGATCTCAGAAAATGCTTTCATCTGAAGGATGATCACCGTTCTTGGTCCTGATACGTTGAAACAGAAATGTACGTGGATTATTGCCTGTAAACCGTTTCTGTGAGCCAAGCACAGTTCTTTTCCACGTCAAAAAAAGACAAAGACTTTTCTTTCCCATTATTCGCTCATCCGACTACATGCTAAAATGTTACATTCCTATCTATAATATAGCATAGCTAGTATATATATATTTGAATATCTCAACAAAAATGGATAAATGCCTTTGGCACTTCCTCTTTCCTTTATATAAACACCCATCTCTCATTTTGTCCTCCAGAAGAGAAAGATCACGTATGACTTTGATCAGGGTATTAGATATGACACTCTTTTTTTAAGAGGTTAAAGAATACGCTGTTTTTAATCAAAGTATGCGTGCCCTTCACTCTTTGGTGGCTGTTAAAGCAAAAAAAAAAAAAAAAAAAAAAAGTGGCTTTGTGTGTTTTGAAAACTTTAATGCATCAGGTCAATATCTCTTGAGTCTTTTAGACGACCATTCTTTTCACTCATTCATCATATCTCTATCGTCATTAATTCATTGCCATGACCTGGATTGTACAAGACAAAGCTAGCGTCAAAGAGACTGCTATCTCCCCGATTGAGATTAGTAATAGTGCTCAGACTTCGACAGCTCCTTCACAAAAACGCTCAAACGCAAAGAGGAAAAAGATGGCTTCCTCTGCAGTCCAAGAGAGCAGTCATGATAACAATGGTCCAGATGATGAAAACGGTGAGAATAGTAGCATAATCACAGGCACTGCAGTTGAACAAGCAGAGGTCAAGAAAGAGCCGTCAAAATCACAGCGTAAACGTGCCCGTCATGAGATCGCACGCCCTCTGAATGAAGATGAAAAAAATTGGAACAGGATTTCGCTCTTTGATGTGCCGGCATTACCCGCGGCATCCGAGATCGACCCTATCATCAACAAGCCTGTAGCGTCTTCTAGCAAGAAGAAGAATCAGCATGACCAGAATAAGACAGCAACAACTAATATCAAGAAACAAGATCAGCCACGGAAAAATAGCAAGGACTTAAAAAATAAAGGATCGAAAAAATCCAAGCAAGGGGGCCAATTTGTTACTGCAGACTACGGAAAGTTGGACGATTGGGGTTGGACTCCTGTGGATACCGAGGGTATGTTCATGGACGACACAGAAGGGTTTTTATGTCTAGAGGAGTTGGATGGTGTAGAGGTCGACTATCAAGGGACAGAAGAGACTGGGAGAACTATTGTCTTCAAGGTATGGATCTCTACTTTGGTTAAAGTCATTAAAGTAGACTTTTGTCTTTTAACTGTACTAAATTTTCTGGAATGTTGTTTTTACACTTCTGTCAGCATGATCCTAAAAAGGCGGCAGCTGGTAAAGGCAAAAGCGTGAGACACTCAGAACCATTAAATGTTGGCGATAATGAGATTTATTATGACATCGATACATTTGACGAGGATCTTCTAATGCACCAAAAGGGACAGGAGATACAGAATGTAGATACGGCTATGAATGAACCAGAAACTGAGCAGCATCTGAAGACAGACTCAAACTTAGATGTATGCAGTAAACCATCCAAGCCAGAAAGCAAAGCCGAGTCAGTAAAAGAAAAGAAAGGTCAAAAAAAGGATGCTAATGATCCGAAAGCTGTTGAGAAAGAGACTGATGGGCCTATTAGAACCGGACAGAACGGCCTGGCTGACACCTCCATAGCGAAGAACACGGAGCATTCGGGAGATGAGGGACAAAAAAAACTTGACAGGAAAGAGAAGCAGCGTCTCAAGGTAGAAGCATTGAAGGCTAGGCAAGCAGCAAAAAAGGCAGCCAAGGCAACCCTCAAGGCTCAAGAGGAACCCAAGGCGCCATTTGACCCTATGGAAGGCGTCGACACATGTAATCCTTCTTCCCACCTTCTCAGTATTGTATCTTTTATTGTTATATGCCTCTGACATTATGATTGTACATCATTGTAAAATAGCGTTTGACATTTCTGCCTGGATGGATTACAATTTTTCATCCATGATCCAGAATGCCCTCAAAAAGCAAAAGTTCGCGAACCCGTCTCCTATCCAGCAGAAAGCCCTACCTTTGGGCTTGGCAGGACGTGATGTTATTGGTGTAGCAGAAACAGTACGTTTTGGTTTTCGTATTAATAGGCATTATCCAGATGATTCAACCGGATCAAACAAATGAGATGAGTGCTAATATCTATCTTGTGTCTGTAGGGTTCCGGTAAAACTCTAGCATTTGGGCTTCCCATTATTCAATATTTGGCAGAACAGGCAACTTCTGCAGTAGGAAACAATACTCCGCTCCAGGAATCTCTGACAGCACTCATCCTAACTCCTACACGCGAATTGGCTATTCAGGTTAAAGATCATTTGGTGGCATTTACTCAATTCACAGGACATCATGTTGTACCTATTGTCGGAGGCATGTCGATCCAAAAACAGGTTCGTCAACTGGATCGCAATCCTGCCATTATTGTTGCAACACCAGGGCGTCTTTGGGAATTAATCTCGACCAACACCGTCTATTCGGATCGACTCATTCATACCCGATTTCTAGTCCTGGACGAAGCAGATCGTATGCTGGAGTCTGGACATTTCCAGGAACTATCCAATATCTTGAAGCTGCTTGAACGCAAGCGTGAAAGGACCAGCGATTGGGAGCAGCACGCCGTCACGGACGAGGGTTCACAAGATAATACAAACGGGGTTGTAGTGTCAAAAACAGTCGCTCAGACGGATTATGAACACAACCGCCAAACTTTCATCTTCACTGCAACCCTGAGCAAAGAGCTCAGCTTGAATCTTTCAAAGAAGAAGAATCAAGCCAAATCAGCAGAGCAAAGTGGCGAAGGTACAATGGAGGATCTGATGAACAGGATTGAGTTCCACGATGAATCACCGGCACTTGTTAATATTGTTACAGACAAGATCGTGGCCTCGACACTTTTGGAGGCTAAAATTGATTGTCTAACGACAGAGAAGGATCTCTACTTGTATTACTTTGCGACGAAGTATCCTGGTCGCACACTCGTATTTGTCAACTCTATTGATGCAATCCGTCATCTGGCACCGATGATGCAATTGTTGGGTATTGAAGCCTTGGGTATGCATGCTCAGATGCAGCAGCGACAGCGTCTCAAGAACCTAGAACGATTCAAGGCAAATTCTCACGCGATGATGATTGCATCGGATGTTGCTGCGCGTGGTTTGGATATCCCGATGGTGGACCATGTCATTCATTATCAAGTCCCTCGCTCTGGCGATATCTATGTTCATAGAAGTGGACGTACGGCTCGCGCTCAGAATGAGGGTATTTCGTTACTGATCTGTGGACCCGATGAAGCACAGCTATACCGCAAGATTTGCGTGACACTTAAGAAGGATAATGGTATTGTTGATTTCCCAATTGACCGTAGCGTTATTAATGAGATGAAGAAACGCGTTGCCTTGGCCAAAAAGATTGATGAGCAAGAGCATCGTATCCAGAAGGTAAAAAAAAAAAAAAAAAAAAAAAGAGACATGGGCTGTTAAATGTAAGTCATGCTACGAACTAATCAGTTAAATATGATACGTTACATTGCTTGCTGCATGGGGATCATGACTTTTCCTTTAGGCTGCACATCAAGATGATTGGATGCTCAAGTCTGCTGAGGCTATGGACATTATTGTGGATGAGGATATGCTGAATGCGGGGCCAAAATCAAAGGATAAAGAAGAAGACAACTCGGCCATGACGGCTCGTAAGAACAACCTCAAAGCTATGCGGGCAGAACTTAAAGCTATGCTGCAGAAACGCATAATGCCGATGGGCGCTAGTGCCAAGTATATTACTAGTGGCTCAATCCGTGATCTGGCTGATCGTCTTCGCGATAGCGCCCACCATAATCCACTGATGCCTGCACATATCAAGTCCACGGCATTAGAGGATATTAAGACGCGGCCTTGTAGGAATAAGCAGACCCAAGCTAAAACGCATTAAAACGTTCATTTCAGCCCCCAGCTATAGAAACTATAAGTAAGAACGCGTGCACAATGTAAAGCATATCTATTCCATTAGAAAACCAATTAAATATTCTCGCATTCATTAATTAAACACCATCGTATATCAGAAGCTCAAAATGAGTTTGCTAATAAAATCCGACTTTTCCATCCACTGATGCGACGCATATCTGTGGTCGAGATGTAGCTTATGGAGCATACAGCACATTGATCACCCTTCCAACGGCAGGTTGAAATCAAAACAGGGCCTGAGCTGATTCCTTTTTACATGTTACATTAGACTAGAGTTAATTTGAACTTAATCTTTCCAGAGCACAAATAGAGTACATAATCGAACATGTCTCTCTACCATGTGCAATGTCGTTACTTCGGAAACGTCCCTGATTTTGCAGGATGTTGCTAAAATTGTAACAATGCATAGTGAGCATTTTTGAGCAATTCAATATGAAATTGTTCTTTTTTTTTTTTTTTTTTTTTTTTTTTTCCTCTGCCTCCTTTTCCTCTGACAAACTCACTCATCCTAACAGTAACGAACAGACGCAATTCATTTTACAACCTCCCCCCCTACTGCTTCGCATCCTTCAGCTCGTCTACATTGCATTATTGCCTCCTTGTCCTGCATATCCACCTCAGAGAAACGTGTTCCCACGCATAAATAAGATCCAGCTTTTTTGCCATGCCAGAAGATCTCCTTGCTGGCAGATTTACTTCCAATACCGAAGACAACCTTGTCAATAGACTATCATCACCCTCGTCAGCGCCCTTGTCAATAGGATCCCCATCGATACCTACGTCGATAAGGACCGTAATCACTTCCTCGTACATTTACCCGACGTTCAGGGCCCTCGAGATACCTGAGATCCTTCTTCACATCTCTTCCTTTCTCACCTTGCATGACCTTAATGCCTGCACCTTAGTCTCATCTGCTTGGTATGCAATTTTCAACTCGGTTCTCTGGCAATCCATTACTATTTCGGAAAGCAGGCACCAGCCTGATTTTTTGAAGAGTCTGCGTAAAAACTTGAATTTAGTCCACTCACTTCAATGGAAGTACGCAGACTGGTGGGAGTTACATCATGTCACCAGGGTTTCACAGCATGATCTTTCTCCTTCTCATTTCCCTTCTGCTTCTTTAGCGCCTCCCGTCTCCATATATAGGGCATTTGGTCCCAAGGTGATGATGAGTACTATATCAGGAAGGCTTCTGAACGGCAGCTTTACACAACCAAAGTCCATGTCGCAGACTGTTGCTGCTGCGCCCATATTCCTGACGAACAACATGCAATCATTATCAGGTCCAGGACGGCCAATTCACCAGGACCCATCGGTGGTCTCCTTTCCAACTACTGAAACATTGCATCAACTGTGTTTCGAAAATGCGTTCTCGTTGAGGACGCTCGTGTTAGATGGGCCTTTTGAATTGACCTTGTTGCTTAAGACAATCCAGAGGTCCCGTATCCCCCTGAAACACCTTAGTCTTAAGAATACGAACTACGTGAAACGGGAGACCCTGCTGTTAGATAATCTGCTCGGAGTGTCACCAAATTTAGAACATTGCTCTATACGTACCAATGCTCAAATTGTCCTCTATACAATGCCAATACCACAATCGCATGTCACGGGAGAAACCAACTTTCAGCAACAAGAGCCGAGACAATCAAGGCCGCCTCTAAAGCTCAAATCACTTGAGTTGGATATCCGGGCTTTGACAGGTGTCCATTTGATATCCATTCTTGCACAATGTCCTGAGCTCGAGTCATTCGCAATGACCGAATATGGTCAAATATCGCCTTTACGCGACATTGAGACGCATGCTTTTACTATTATTAATGATGTTTCGGGGCAACGGAAACGTCCATCTAGTCACGCGGATATGCTCAACTACAGCGCCGATGGAAATGATAGCATATGCAAATACTTGAAAGATCCCGTGTGCCAACTTCCAACGTTTATACATCAGGGAATAGAGTCCTTTCAATTTGGAGATGCAGGCCTTATGGCTCTGCTGCAGTTTTGCCCTCGGTTGACGAGGTTGGATCTTCATCAAGCAAGCTCTGGCAAGATCTATAGTAAGACCTTGCAAGCCTTTTTGCGGTCTTGCATAGGGCTACGCCATCTTCGTGCTCATGGAGTAGTCCTGCAGGTAGAGGATATGGTTGAGGATCCATTAAAGGGAAGAAAGCTTCAGCCTTGGGGCTGCACAGGCCTTGAAACATTGTCGCTCGCATTCGGAATCGCTCCAGGATCACAGGGCGAGGGAAACAACACCAGTAGCATCAATAACAATAACGGCAATGGCTATTACAATCATGCTCATACTGATGTCATCAGCAGCAGCGATAATCATCACTCGATCGCTTGGGCAGAACAGATTGTGTACAGCCAGCTATCTTTACAAACCCAACTACAAGTCCTCGATATCCGTTCACCATCCTTTCTACGGCTACAACTCGGCGCTGGCGTCGAGATGTTAGCATCACTCAAGAGGCTGAGAGAGTTCTCGATTGCAGGATCAGAAGTGGATGGCCATAAGAGGCTAAGGACTTGCGAATCTATGAATAGATGGTTTGAACAACATTGGCCGTCGATCAACCGGATTGTTATCGCTTCGCAGATTCATACCTTCAAGAAAGTTGTCGAAGGTACTGCTGATCCTTTTGAAAGCTTCACCACTGCGATTGTCAATACAACAAAACAGCCTCAATCAATGTCAGCGTCAGTGTCAGCAGCAGCGCTGCTGGATATAACACGCATCGAGAGAAGGCTATCGTGCTAAGCGGTTTTCATTACTATCGTGTCGATTTTAGATTTATTTTCTTAAAAAATAAAGCTTTAAATGGGAAGGGTTCTGTGGGCTAAAAGCCAGCCCATTCTACCACAAACATCATGATATGGCCCTTATTCGGAACTGGGAGTGCAGGAGGGCTAACGTGTGGCCATAACTCTGGACTTGAATTGATCGTACTTGTTTCTTTGGCTTTTTCATACTCATGTGGTTCATAGATCTTACCCACATTAGTTGTAGTGTCAGCAGTAGTAGAAGGGCAGCAACATATCAAGTGCTGCTTCTGGACCGTAGTGGCAAGTCGCGCATGCGTCGCCAGGTCAACTAAAGGCAGTGATTGGTTAGAACATTGGACGACAGATGCGATCAAATCGGCATGACACACCAATGGGTCATTTTTGTAAAGTAGATAGTCGCCCCCAAACTTCATTCCTGGAGCAAGGAAGAACTTGTGCGTTTCCCAAAGATGCATAAATATAGCGACTTTTTGTTGTTGCCTTGTTGTATTGGGGTAAGTCCATGAGACAGACATCTCGGTAGGGGATATGGGCTTGTAATAAGGAAGGCAGTCTGATAGCGTGTGAAGATAGAGATGGGCACACTCTGAAGCATTATTATTATTGTTATTTCTACTATTATCGCTACTGGTGCTCCTCGTAGCAGACATCAAGTTATTAGCAGCAGGGGCTATCAGATTGCTAGCTTGAAATCCATCAGGTCTTGGTGCAGAATCAGACACATTATAAGAACGGTTTTCATCAACTAGATCAACAAGATCGCGGCTCCGGAGGACGTACACTTCCTCTGGCAATAACCGGAGTGGAAGGCCCTGGAAGATATTCTGCATTGGACTACGGGCTAAAGATCCTGTTAACGAACCCACGATCCTGTATGTTTGCCGCAGTTTTCGGACATCTAACAATAATCATAAGATGATGTGTCATGATGGGACTAAATACGGCTGTCCATCAAAAATAAAAATGGTCATCACGATATTTACCTTGGATATCCCATACGAGAGCTTCTGATCCAACAAGGTGTATTCTGGGTTTGCTACTATAGGGATTTATTGTAGCCGCCATTGCAGGTGTCTGTTCGTTATGGTGGCTTGTATAGCCAGATTGGTCACCTTTCCTTGGTGAGGATTCAACAATATGGAGTTGAGAAGATGAGCAAGCGAGCGATTAAGGAGAGAAGGTTGAAAAGAGAAAGGGCTAAAAAATGTTAGCTCTTTTTTTTTTTTTTTTTTTTTTTCATCTCTCCAACTCCATCTCTCTTCATTCCTGCAGAGCGGATATTAACATTGACATTGGCTCGATCACTTTAACATTGGACATCATCCATCAGCCCTTTGATTTTTCACTCTTTTTCTTTTCCATCATGAACAAATCTGCCCGCAAGGCTGTTAACCTGAGCGTGCTTCAGCGGCATGACCCGCACATCTCTGACATTCTCGACAGCTCCAGTTATGTTGTCGTCTATAAGTTTGACGAGGACTCACAAGCATGGGTAACGAGAGCTCGTTTTCATCGATGAGTACACTTCACTCTTCCTCGCGCGTTGTTATCTCAATGCACTACTCTTCCTCACTCGTTCCTGCTCCTGCTCCTGCTTCTCCATCCTGGTTACTACTTTATCGTCTGACTACCTTGTGCTGTGCCCAATATAATTTGATTATGTGGAAATATGTGCTCATCTGCTGCAGACAAAAAAAGGTGTCGAAGGAACAATGTTTGTCTTCAAGAGGTGAGCTGTTCTGTTTCCATATGTCAATTTTTATTGATAAATGGCTGGTCTCGATATTACAATTATTCATTCTTCTTGTTATCATAATGAACAGGTCTTCACCTCCAACCTATGGATTTTTCATTATGAATCGCCTTGGCCTTGATAATTTGATGGCTGATCTCGTTGGCGACATGGCTCTGCAACTGACCTCTGATTATATTATCTACCGTGATGATAAAGGCATGAGCTTTTTTTTTTTTTTTCTTTTTTTTGTCACCTCAGCACTTCAATTTTGTAAATGCCACAGTTCAGAGAGAACTTCTTATTTTCGATCCTGCTTGTTATGCATACTTACGCTCTTTCCCTTTATCATCCTATCATGGTTTTGTTCTATTTTGTATAGATATTCATGGCATTTGGATCTATGAACCGGCAGATCGAGATAGGATCGGTGAAAAGCTCTTGGAGTATGTCGCAATCTTCACAGGATTAATATCATGCCAACTCTTGTTGCAAGAGCCTTTAGCAGTTTCATGATATCTATCATTCCTGACTTTACCTAAAACCCCCTCCCCTTCATCTTCATGAAAATACTCCCTAGTTGCTGTAAAAAGGCCAAGGATGAGGATTCACACTACGCTGTAAAGCAATGTGCTGCACCCTCCTTGACAACATCTAAGGAACATCCAGTCGAGCAAAAGATATCGCAACAAACTAAGGATTCCTCGGCGCCTTTGCAGGCAGCCTCTATGGATCCTTTAACTAGAATGCTCAGTGAAGCCATGTCTAAAGCAAGAGTATCGGAGGTCTCAGGGGTACCATCACAACATCAGGACCAGCAGTCGTCAGCTAAAAACGTAATTACACATTCATCTTCTAGCGCGCAACATGAAATCAAGCCAATGGCTACAGGAGGAACTGCAGGACATTCTGAAGAATCATTGGATAAAAATGAAATACCCTCGTTTCTTCTAGCAATCATATCCAAGGATGAAAGCAAGCCTTCTAAATTCTTAGACGCGTCACTTTCCTCCCCAAAGCCTAAATCCCAGGATATAGGCAAAGATTCGACGCAATCATCATTGCTTAGTTCATTGACAGGAACCGGAAAGAAGTCGCCAACATTGGACCGTAATGCAATTCGCCAGAGTGGTCCTCCTCTTTCCGCAGAACTTCTACCAGCATCTGTCATGCCTAATGGTCTTTACTCCAATACTACCAAGATGTCTACAGGAGGCCAAGCAGGCCATCAACAGCTATCTAGTTCGCATCCATCTCCTGGGGCCATTACAACTACAACTATGTTAAACCGACCCAATGGTGTGATGTCGCATCCATCACCATTACAGGGGCCGACGTTCGCATATTCCCCAGGCATGATGCCATCACCTTTGGTGATGCCTCCAATGCAGGGTGGACCAATGATGCGTCCGCCACCGCCCCCTCCTCTTTCGTTCCAGCACCATCCAGGTCACCCTATGGGTATACCTCCGCCACCACCCCCTCAGGCAGCACTAAATTTCCCAGCAGATGCTATGCATGCAGCCATGGGTGCTGTTGGATTCATGCAGCAGCAACAGCGTGGATTTATGGGTCAAGAATCAGAGGTACTATCCAAGGCTGAATTTACACAGCAATTTCTGGGTTTGCTTCAAAACGATCCTCAGTTTATGGATGTTCTCTATTCCAACTATACGGCTGTGCTTGCTCGACGTGGCTGATTTACAACAAATACATATAGATTTTTATATTCTTCTTCTCTTCTATTTCTTTTCTTTCTGAATAAAAGCAAAAGAGATGGAATTTTCCTGAGTAACAATTTTGAAGTGGCTCTTTCAATTGAGTAATAAATACTATTTTTGACAATGATGGAAAAATACTTGATAAATAATATGGGATGTATAGCTACGCATAACAGGTAGTAGTACATTTGGCATTTTAAAGAAGCTGCTAAAAAGTTGATAAAATAAGAAAGATGAAAAGAAAAAGAGAGACAGAAAGAGACAGAAACAGACAGAGAAGAGATACAGACAGGCAATCAGACAAATAGAGATGGTATTTCTAGCTTATACATCGTAATATGCTTCATAGAGCGAAACAATAGCAAAGAGTTCAAATACGACAGCTCCGGCCAAGGTCACTAAGATTAGAAAACAAAATAGGCGTTATGAACAAAGTTTCATAATTAACTTTTTTTTTTTTTTTTTTTTTTTTTTTGAATACTTACCAGTCCGGACGGAGATCCGAGATGCCAGCATCCTTCCTCCAATGACGGCGACCCCTGTGCAGAGTGAATGGCCAAATACGGCACCAATAGAGACCCAGGTCATGTTCTAGCCATAAAAAAAAAGAGAAAGGTCATCGTAATCCATGTTGTTTTTCACTAAGGTTGACTATATTGATTATGTCATTAACAAAAAGAAAAAAAAAAAAAAAAAAAAAATGGGGAACAGACGTACATGTGCAGCAGCTAAAGCAATGGTAGCGATTTGGGATCTATCACCCCACTCTGCCAAGAATGTCATGACAAAAGTTTGGACAAAGACAGGTGAGAACAAGAGCTGGAACAAATTGATCAAGCCAGATGATTCTTGTTTCCTGGAGCGAGTTTTGGGCGGTGCAACGTCATTGTCCTGAGCATTCCCATCTGCATTGGCCGATCCAGCCTCTGCACGTTGCAACAACTCGAGATCCTCCTTATCCTGCAGTTCCTGCGTAACTTCCTCGAGCTCATGCTTAGCATCTTCTTCGGTCATGTGGTATCCATCATAGAACATGCGGATACCAAAACAGAAGAAGAGCAATGCAGCCAGATAATTGGTATATGTCCTTGGAATGAGGTTTGGAACTGCGTGGCCAAAGGCTGCAGAGAGGACTGTCATGATAGCGAGAGCTGAAAGAGCGGCTGAGAAGACGAGGAGACGAGGGTGTTTCATAGCCATGATGGCAGCAATGAGAAAGGTCTTGTCACCAATCTCCGATACAACAATCATGGCGAGCGAGAGGAAGAAGGACTGAGCCTCCTCTGAGCTGAAGTCAATTCCACCAAGTCGCTGCGAAGGATCAATGGGGTTCTCTTCGCCAGCGTCGTAGTTGCTAAATTCATCTACATTTTTATGGCGCCCTGGTGGCACTTCTTGACTTTGATACGATCCTGAGGCGCCCTCAAAGTTATCTCCAAAGTCCAGAGGATACTAATATCAAATATGCATCCAGAATAGGTGCGGCCACCGTAAGAAGAGAAAAAGAGAGAAAGGGAAAAAGAAAGGCAAGCATTGACAATTAATATTCTGGTCAGTTTATGATTGATGACGCGCCGTGCTGTATACGTGCTCCTGTGTTCCTGTTTGTGATCATGATCTCTGATGGAGAATTGTATTCGGAATAATTAAAAAAATTCAATTCTTACACGTTCTAGATTTCCATCATTCTGAGCGACTGCAACAGCATTAACAGGGCTGGCAGTGGAACCAGGGGAGAGTATAAAACAAGCGAAGATGAGGGCGATCAGTAAAGTCTGATGCAGTTTCAATCTTGACATGATTATCATGAAGATCTACACCGAAGGAATGCTCTAAACAATTGAACAATTGAACAATTGAAAATTTTTTTTAGAAAATCTTTTTTCTTTTTTCAGGCACTGTCCAGCAGTAGATCTGATGGTGAGAGAGGACAACGGATCGATGAATGGATGAATGGATGAATGGATGAATGGAATGAATAGAATGTGATGAATGAGAAAGAGATGACGATGATGATAAATGATGTTAGATGCAATTTTAAAGAGTAAGAAGATAAGCCAAAGATAAAGCGTAGATTTCAAAAATAAACTTTGGATGACATTACGTCCCAACTTTGTTCAAGTGTTTTTTTATACGTTCACCTGGCAATCCAATCAACCAGTAACACAGCATCACAGCCACAGTCTCTGACATTGCACCTCGTGTGCTATCACGTACATGAACACATTAATAAAACTTTGCCTACTGAATGTATTAGGCATGACAGAGAACCAGTCAACTGGCTGAACCTAATCTCTGACACTGTAATTGGCTTGGCGGGTGTGTGTATTTGAGTGAGTCGAACTAAGAGGATCAAGGAAAGATAGAAATTGGTGCTTTGTGACAGGCCAGCTCCTCAGCTCCATGGATCTGTCTAGCGACTGGGATGGCCTGCGGCAGTATTCTCTGATATAAGACCCATCTTTATTTGGACAAGTCTTTGGATTATCTTACGCCAAAGATCACGGGATGACGCCGTAAAGGTCAGAGTGGAAAAGAATCCAAAAAAAAAAAAAAAAAAAAAAAAAAATCGCGGTCACCTACAGCTTTGAAGTTGTTACACGCCACTGCCACTGAGATCAACAAGGTGACAAACACCATATGCAATTACGGCTAAATACATATCACAGCCTGATTTGAAGGCAGGTTTTGAAGCTCGTTATCGCATCGGCGGTGGGACGGCTCTAGAGAGACGTCTCCTATGGGATACAATGTGCTAACGACCGACATGAAGGACAGGTATATTTGCAGAATTGATAAGTTCCAGATGAGAATCAGATCCTAGACACATATTCCACATTCGGCTTCCTTTGCCGGCTTTGATAGGTGATCATTGGTCACAAAGTAGTACGCACTATTAGGGCGTACTCGGCTCCGCGTCTTAGTGAGGTCAAGGGTGCAGGTATAGTGATGAGGACGGTGCAGTGACAATGGTGATAGTAGTATTTCCATTAGGCCCGACAATGAGCCATCCCAAGGACAAGAGCTAGTCAGCAACGGCATCAATGACAGTGTTCGCGTGCTAGCGATGGTGGCGATGGTGAGGCTGATGAGATTACATTCCAAGATGCATCCAGTCATACGGGTATATAACGATCTTGTCCATAACTGTGAGCCTGAGATCATCTGCGGGAATTGGCCAGGTCGACTGGATGAGTTGACTAATTTAATATCGACATCAATGGTAGGGAAAGCGATTGTAGCCTCCAATATCAGATATTCAAGTGAATGAGAGGCACCACAGAGTATTCAAGCCTTCGATGTCTGGTTGCTGGCACATGATTTCCTGACTGACTTTTATTATGGCTTCATATGGTTCGAGTGCCGAGTATGAATAGGTTGTTCTGTGGGATACTGGACACGGCCAAGGTCAAGGCCAATGAATTTCGAGTCCAGAAGAGCAAGATGCTTATTAGACTTCACATTGTGCTCCTCACAGGCACTTTGCAAAGAAGAAAAAGAAGAAACGTTTAATAGATATACCCAAAGCTTAAGTGTCTACTCCGCCAATGAATTAATCTAGGCATAAAATGACCCAGGTCCATGTGCACAGACTGACCACAGCTTTGTGAGCCTCCTTTGACTCAATCACCATGATCAACGTTGTACACATTTTAAAAAGTTCATATTTATATAATATATATATCTATATATATATATATATATAATTACTAATATATATAATAATACATGTATAAAATAATATATACAGGTATGTATACATGTTGAAACAAATATGGCGTGAACCTGGGGGATTGTTCAGGGACCCACAAACATTTTTTCATTAATGACGATCAAATTAGACACAGACTTGTGAACTTGTGGCAACTGCAAAGAGGAAGGGGGACCATTGGCCCTGTCGGCTGAGGAAAAGACATTTTTATGCAAAGATAGGAAAGGCCACAGGCTATTTGTGACATGTAAAACAAGTATGTTTTGTAGATCAATGTTTTGATGAAGAAGAAGAAGAAGAAGAAAAAGAAAAACTATTATTAGGACAACAACAACAACACAGGCACAGATCCTTGATGAACCCATGTATACAACTCCATTTGAATGGATCGACGAATGGATGCATGTCTTTCTGATTTATATGCAAACGCTCTTCTGTCCATATTCAGTATATAAAATTATTATTATAGTTGTAATTATTCTTATTGTTATTAAAAATGTATTATCAATAGTTTAGTCCGTAGTCTATTTCATCAGCAATTGTCTCTACAAGCTTCTCTCTTTTCTTTTTTATTTTACTATGCTCTCATACCTTCAAGAGATTTAACTTTTTTATTAATTGTTCATTCCTTCACTCTCTTCATTCTTTTTTTTTTTTTTTTTTTTTTTTTTTTCTCTCTCTTCATCCTCCTTTCCTTTCTTTTCTTTCTTTCTTTTCCTTTCTTCCTTTCTTCCTTTTCTTTTCCTTTCCTTTCATTCCTTTCCTTTCCTTTCCTTTCCTTTCTTTTCTTTTCTTTTCTTTTTACTTATCACTTGCTTTGCTCGCTTTGCCTTTGTCTGCTTGCTTGCATCGCTCGTATCCACTCCCAAAGAAAGAAAGAAAAACTAACGTCCCTTCCATCCTTCTCTTCTCTCTTTTATTCTTTTATCTCTTCCTTACGCTTTCTTCTTAACACCAACCCCACATTCTTATCTCCACACTCACACATGTCCAGCAAAGACAATACCTCGCTTGCCGCGCTTGATGCTCAGCACGACAAGTATGTGGGACTCTTGTTGGCTGTGTCCTCATCTCTCATGATCGGCATCTCCTTCGTCATCACCAAAAAGGGCCTTATTGATTCCACCAATAGACATGGAGGTATTGGCTCTTCATCCGACCAATATCTCTTCCTTAAAAACCCCATTTGGCTACTTGGCATGCTCACCAGTACGTTCACTCTTTCTTGCTGTTCCATTATTTTATTTTATTTTTACAGATCAAAAAAAAAAAAATAGTTTGGCTTAATTCAATCATGGATGGGATATGAAGCCGACAAAAGTTAACATGACTCCCATCTGAACATCCTTTTTTTATCTCATCTCAATCTTTAATCACTTTTAGTGGCTGCTGGTGAGATTGCTAATTTTGCTGCCTACTCCTTTGCTCCTGCCATTCTGGTCACTCCGCTGGGCGCATTGAGCGTCATTATTGGGTAAGGCACATGCAGACAGACAAAAATTCACGCTGTAATTCTCTACATCCATCCCCTCTGTTTTTTTTTTTTTTTTTTTTTTTTTTTTTTTCTCGAATCATATCACTCTCTCAAAGACGATTAAATAGGAGTAAGAGCAAGGAATAGGAATAGGATTGACATACATAAAAACATAAAAGTGTATGCACTGCTTCAGCTCTATATTCTCTCGACAACAAAAAAAGAAAAAAAAAAAAAAAAAAAAAAAAACACCTCGCATACTTGGGAATCGAACGAGAAAAAAAAAATAGATATGGCAAGACCGTTGGGATTAGAACGGAATAGAGATAAAGCGGTTGTGCCTCGCCAGAGGATACAGGTGTTAGATTATTCAAAAATAAATAACAAATTGACTTCTTTTTTTTTTTTTTTGTTGCTAATAGTGCTGTCCTTGCTGCTTTCTTTCTTCATGAAAAGCTCGGCATCGTTGGCAAGGTCGGGTGTGCACTGTGCCTGATTGGATCTGTCGTAATTGTCCTACATGCTCCCGAGGACAAGGATATCAATTCTGTAGATGAGATTCTCAACTATGCTCTTCAGCCTGGTACGTTTCAACTGAATGAATAGAATGAATACTCTCGCTTATCTAGCTCACAAGACAGGAAGGAGGTTGTCATGGAGCCCAAAGTTTTTGGAAAAAAGAATAATCTCTCCAACAGAATCACACAGCAATAAGGTCTTTGTGAAAACAGAGTGAAATCAGGATGATCAATCACAATTGGGGTGTTCAGGTCGTACAATGAGAGCAATGGCCCACAATTGAGGACATATGTCAGACTGTGAAAGCATCAACTTTAAATACAACAACAGCCTAGACTGGACCTTGGGCTTTGGCTGAATGGATAACTTCATAACTTCTAATCAACAGGATTAAATACGAACTGTAGTGATTGGACCGTATTAAAACAAGAACGGCAAAATCTTTCACAAGGATAGTTGATCTGAAGCATGGTCTATTGACAAGTGCTGAATATATCAAAGAAATAAACTGGATCAGCAACTAACATAACTATTCCTACTGGCACACGTTATCTAGCATTTATGATGTACAGTCTGTTTGTATTAGGCTTTTCAACATTTATGATCTATCGTGTAGTACCAAAGTGGGGCAACAAAACACCCATCGTCAATATCTCGATCTGCTCACTTGTCGGCTCAATTACTGTCATGGCATCCAAAGGTTTCGGAATTGCGCTCAAGCTGACTTTTGCTGGCTCGAATCAGCTGACGCATCCCTCTACCTATGTCTTTGCTCTTTTGGTGGGTGTCTGCATCGTTGTCCAGATGAATTACTTTAACAAGGCTCTTGACATTTTTTCGACCAATGTGTAAGTGGCCCATCGCGCGTTTATTTTCAAATATTCTCTGGAGAGATATGAGAAATGGCTTTTTTTTTTTTTTTTTTTTTTTTTTTAAAAAAAAAATAAGCAAGCTAACATTGCTATTACTATTGGACATTTGGTTCTATTAAACAGTGTGATGCCCATCTATTATGTCATGTTCACGACAGCAACCATCACAGCCTCTGTAATTCTCTTTCAGGGATTTAACACGACATCTACAGTGAATGTTGTTTCACTCTTCTGTGGGTTTGGCACAATCTTTTCGGGTGTACTACTGCTGAATAATGCTCAACACCCAGTAGTAGAATCACACGGCAAGAGCGGCAGTATAACTAACGGAGGGGTTGGTTTTGCAGACCGGAGGACGTCACGCGAATCGACAATGCTTAATGCTTTTGATGAAGAGAGTTTGGGCTTGACACAGCTCCATGACGAAGACGATGACGAAGATGAAGATCTAACAGAGGATGAGGACAGGAGAGTAAGGATGCCAGGCAGTCATTCCCATCTTCATTAAAGAAAATACTTTCATCAGACAATCAATCTCGGGATTTAGGGGTCTGGATATGCCACTAGAAATCTTCAGTCTGTCTGATATAATGAGATCAGGGGGCTGGAAAGGAAAGAAAGGATCAATAATGAGGACATTAAATGCATCATCAGTAGCAGGTGAAAAAGACGAAAAAAAAAAAAAAAAGGCGCAACGACCGTTATGACAATAAAGAATACACATGTATATCCGCTGTACATTTTCGAATCCAACCTTTCTGTGCTTTTTTTTTTTTTTTTTTTTTTTTTTTTATTATTACTAGTATTACAGATTTATTTATTTTTTTTTAGAAAAAAAAGGAGACTAGAGTAATCTTTAATCATCCTCCTTCTCCTCGTAAAGATGATTATTATTAAAAGGTCTCTCTCGCTCGAGTTGTCTCTCTGCATAATCATCTTCCCCACAGAGCTCCTCCAGAGTTTTGCCTTTGGTTTCAGGAACAAAATACGTAAAGAGTAAGCCGATGAACATGAAGAGGGCGAAGATCTGGAGCAGCTGTGGGATGAATTGGTTTTTGCCACCACGGTCTTTCATGTTGGAGAAGCCAATTTGGGCAACGATAGCGCCAAGCTTTCCCATGCCTGCAGAGATACCATGACCTGTGGAGCGGTACCGAGTAGGAAAACACTCTCCAGGGATGATAAAAGTCGTAGCATTAGGACCGAAATTTTGGAAGAACTGAGTAACCGCGAACAAAAACACAAAGAGCACAGGAGACGTATCATGGATAACATTGTAAGCAAAACCGAGAGTACAGAAGAGAGCACAGGACATGACGAAGCCAATAACCTGGATCTTGATCCGTCCAAGGCGTTCGATTGTAAACACCGTGACCCAATAACCAGGAATGGCGCCCAATAGAACAATGATGACCTGTCCGACCGTGGCGTTCCACATGGTGTAATATGCATTACCATCAACTGCGCCAAAGTGGATGGTCGAGAGGATAAAAGTGTTGTTGAGTCCGATGCCATAAAACGCTACATCCAATGCAAACCAAGTCATGGAAGTACCCATCAACACCTTGAACGTTTCCCAGCGAGAGAAGTAACGGCAAAAGTCACGCAAACTACTTTGATGGCTCTGAAATTTGCTGCCATTGTTCCTTCTCAATGCTGTTTGAGAAGTATACGACTGTGCTCCCGTGAGCCTGGGAGATGGGTCGTCGTTCATATGACCGAGTTCAATGGCATTAGCATATTCATTACGGCCACCGCCACTGCCTTTTCGGGGGTAAACAATGTTGAATTGAGCGTGACGTTCCTCAACCACATCCCGATCACTCTGCAGCGCATTTCTTGTCTTTAGAACAGTTGCAACGTCATTTTCTGCTTTGATCAAATTATTTTCGACATCAAGCACAAAACGTGGGGTCTCTGGGATGGTCATGCGGAAGTAAACTGCTACCAGAGCAGGGACACATCCGAGGCCGATGAGAGATCGCCAGACATAGTCCAAATTCTTAGGGTCGAGCTCGATCAAGGATCGGAAACCGAGCAAAAGGACAATGGCGACGATACCTGTAGTCAAGTAGCCGAATCCTTGCATTGCAAAGACAGCTGCCATCATGGCACCTCGTCGATGAGTTGTTGCAAACTCGGACGTGATGACAGCTGATAAGGGATAGTCGCCTCCTACACCGACACCGAGGATGAACCGCCAAAGAATGATACTCGCAGGAAGTGACAGCGCATAACTGTCACCAGAGACGGCTTGACCGAAGGTTGCAACAATAATAATGAGCAACTCAACACCGTACATCTAAAAGAATCATTTTTTTTTTTTTTTTTCATCATCCATCATGGACAGATAAATGACAGGAAAAGATGGTGGTTAAGAAACAAAGTACAAAAAACAACAGAAGGCCCCTATTTTAGATCAATAAAAAACAAGATCCCTTCTCTAATATATTCTAAAGACATGATTTGCAACAAGACAAACAAAAGCACATACTCTCTTTCGTCCGAGCACATCAGCAAGGTAACCGAATCCAATTTGACCAAAAAAAGTTCCGATTGAAGCAGAGATCTTTAGGCCTAGGTCAATATCAGCAGGTACGGAATTGCCCAAGTGACTAAAGTATACATAACCTAACATTGGCGAAACCAAGTTGATGGCAAACAAATCGTATGCATCCGTAAAGAACCCTACACCAGCAACCATGCATGCTCGGACATGGAACCATCCAAATTCTGCATTATCGACCAGTGCCAACGTGTCGAGACGGCGCTTCCGTGGATCGTCATAGACGCTGCCACGGGAGAAGGTTGTTGAGGTCTGACCGGCTTCAACTTCTACAGAGTCTTGTCCAAAGCCAGTGGGTGCATGATGAGGTGCAGGGGAGGTTGTTGGAGAATAGGAATGTTGAGGGTATGAGGGTGTATAAGATTGTGAACGGGGGTCATCGTGTGGATGATGGTGATCAGTTGCTCCAGAGGTTCCACGTCGAGGGGGTGGCCGGAGAGACGAATGGTAAGGTGATGGGGTAGAAGAAAGCTCGTTCATCTCGATATCTGTGTGTGGCGGACCCGAAGATTGAAGGAGTGGTGTGATAGTTGGGCTGCGAATGGTGATGGCACAACAAGAAAAGGGCAAAAAAGGACCAGGAGGATCTCTTCCCTCTTTTTAATTAATTAAAAGAATTTTTGTGTGAGGAAAAGGACAAAAAAAATGCTATAAATATTCGTGAACAGGTTGGAAAAAAATAAATAAATAAATGGATGGATGGATGGCACAGACAGAAGAGACGGAAAGTGAGAAAATGAGCGAAAGAGTGAATGAATGCAAATTGAGTGGAACCTTGGTGCCAACGGTCAAGGGAAAAAGATGAAAAGAAAGAATATGAAACGGAGGGTAAAAAGAAGGGCTAATTATGAATACAGTGTAAGCTGAGGGAGGATTATGCGATGCAAAAGCAAATAAGGTATCGAAGCTGCGAGTAGCCTTTCATCAGAGGTGATCAAGGATTTGCAGGACAAAGAATCCAAGTTAGAAAAAAAAAAAGAGAGAGAGAAAAAGAAAGGAGAGTGGGATGGTTGCATCTTTATGTAAAGATTGGAGGCGGTTGAATACAAGAGAAAAAGAACAATTGACGCCACGCCTAGACACAAGGCAACAAACAAAGCGAAAGGAACCAGAAAACAAGGAAAGGAGCAACGAATTATCTGTTCCAGTCCTGAATGGACAAAAAGCAAAATGGAAGAGAGAGAAAGAGCTCTAGTTATTTACATGGAATCTCGAATGTTGCACAACACATCACATTTTTCTAAATTAGCACCACGCGTAACCCCTGATCTGCGCACGTTGCTGACCTGTGGCTGCTAAATGGTGCATTGTGGAAAGCAGAAAGACAGACACGCTGAATGTTCTCTCTTCTCTTATCCTCTTTGTCTTTCTGTTCTGGCACAGACTATGAATGCTAATATTGCATCGCAATAATGTTCTGTGAACTATAGTATATAGTACATGTACATGTATATATAAATATATAAACGTTTATTCTTTTTTTTTTTTTTTTTTTTTTTAATCAACTTCTAATCCATGCATCGTCTACTCCTTTCTTGTCCCTACGAACCAAACAAACAGTCAACGACATTGTTATCTCCCCAACAGGTTCAAGAGTTTATAATCAAAATAAGGAGCTCATATTATTCTGCTTCGGAAGTCTCTAAACAGCTCCTGAGAAGTAATAAAAGTAATGTAGCTCTAATCTTAATGAATGTTGACTACACATGAGTGTGATCCGAGTACATTGAAACGGGTCTCCCTCTTTCTCTTTCTTTCCCACTTATTGTTGTTCTTATCCTTAAGATCAGAAAAAAGACTGAGACTCCAATTAGAAATGGAAGCATGATTATATATATATATATATATACTTATACACAACTTTCTCGACAGGCAGAAAGCGATGAGGGGTGGTACAAATGAATCTATAGGCGAGTCCTGTTATGAGTTGCATATACATTTATATGAATAATGTGACATTGGGTCGGTTCCTGTTGTCGAATAATGTGAGCATGTTGGTCCTTGCATGAGTGTCAATTGGCTCCAGCGCCATGATACATAGCCGATGATTTGCTCAAAATAACTGCGAAATGTGTTCCAAAGGTTATTCCTTTTCCTTGGGTTTAAAAAAAAAAAAAATGGCCCTTGCATCTTCGGTCATAGCTGCTTATGTTTGTGAACTAAAGTCAGAACTTAGAAAAATCACGAAGGTCGATCTATCTTTGCGAGGCTCCTTTGTTTTTGGTTGTGTGTCACAATGTGCAAATCGTCGATTTAAACATTCGAGATCTTGAAAGAAAAACCTTTTTTTCAGCTGACAAACGCGCAAACAAATACTCGTACGCATTGGGTTGTCTGTAACAAGGGTTTATACATGTATAGATAGACTATTCACGTCATGAAGAAAACAGCTAAATCCCTGTGATAGACACGACACGTGTAAACTTAGGCATGGCCATACTTGAAGTTAGGCAATCTGGTCTGTCTAGCAGTTTGAGTCGGGATTTCCATAGTCACTCAAAAGTTTCTCAGTTGTTTTCGACACTGAAAATCGAGATTTAACAATTGTAGTTGATCCTCTATGTGCTTCGTAACATTGTGCCATCAAAGTCCCCAAAGTTACTATTTTGCAACTACACGAATAAAGCAGTGTTTTATTGACATTTCTTCTACCCTTGCACTTGTCTACATTAGTTCAAAAAAAAAAAAAAAAAAAAAATGGCGGGAAAAAAATGATGTGAACTCTAAAATAGAGAGTACAATTCATGGTGGCATGTTTCTCGAAAGAGTTGCTTATTCTGTGGTTACATGTATTTTTTTTTTTTTCTAAAGCTAGGCGTTCTTAAATAGTCGACATTGACTTTTTGTTAAAGCCTTGACCAGGTAAAAGATGATTCGACTGCGTGTGCGTTCGATAGAATGATCTTTTTAAAATGTATTTGCGTGGTTGTCTTTTACGAAATTGCACCGTACTTTATTGATGAGAGAATACTGTTTCTTTCTACGAAGTGTATGGCGTATCATCCTTCTGAATTGGATTATTTTAATTAATGCATCCCAAACATTTACTTCAGACATTAAGCTACAAAGAGGAAAAAGATAATAATAAAAATAATAAAAAAAAAAGATAATAATAACAAATGTCTTCAATCGATCACTCTCAGTCCTTGTAATTACATATCCATCACATCAGCATCCATGTCCACATCAACATCATCACCATTCTCTCTTTGCTGTCCTCCTCCTTCTGCTGCTGCTGCTGCTGCTGCTGCTTGAGCCTTCTTGCCTATCTTGGGCGGTTTCTTAGCTTTTGGCTCTTTTTCTTTTTTGGGTTTTGGTTCCTTGGGTGGCTTTTCTTTAGGAGTGCGGCCTCGCTTGCCTTTCGTGACAGGACTTACTCCTGCCCCTGAATTACTTTCGCCACCAGCACCAGCTCCTTCACCCGCCGCCTGTGCATCCATCTCAGCCCACATCTCATCCAAGGTTCTTCCTTTTGTCGCCAAACCACTTGTAGAGGCAGTAGGCGTAGAAGCTGCAGTGTCCTTGTTGTCTTTACCATCCTTCCTAGGTTTCTTCGATGGCCGGCCACTGTCTGCCTTGGATGTGCCTTTGCGTGAACTCTTGGCTTCTTCTTCCTCGACCTTGCGCTTCAACTGCTGTTCCTGCAGTTTAGTCGCTAATTCGTCGTCGTCTAACAATAATGAAACAATTTCGCGTGGCTTGAACTCGACACTCTGTTTAAATTCTCCGCCAGAGATGACGACCTTTTGTATTTCGTCTTTCTGTTTGGCTCGCTGCAAAATTCTTTCCTCGATTGTTCCTCGAGTGATGAGCCTATACACAGTGACTTGACGTGTCTGGCCCAAACGATGGGCACGGTCCATAGCCTGCTGATCCACTGTAGGATTCCAATCGCTGTCATAGAAAATAACGGTGTCCGCCGCTGTTAAATTGATTCCTAGACCACCCGCACGAGTACTAAGCAAAAAGATGAATATCTCTGGTCGTGTCTGCCAGTCTGTCACCATATCGCGACGATCAGAAATCTTGGAAGATCCATCAAGACGCAAGTATTTGTACTGTCGATAAGTAAGATATTCTTCCATCAGATCAATCATTTTAGTCATCTGGAAATACACAAGTACGCGATGACCACCGGCCTTGAGCTCCACAAGCAATTTGTCCAAGACCGCCAGCTTTCCAGAATCCATAATCAGTTGTTTCATCTGAGGTACTTCGATGGTCGAATAGCCCTGGGAGCTGAGTGATGGCTCACCTAGCAATCCACGACCCTGATTCACCTGCCATAAATCCATTATTGGAGCAACATATTCTTGATGCACAGCCTCTGTTCTAAATTCTGGAACACCAAGCAGTAGTCGTCGTATTCTGGTATCAAACATTTGCTCATATTGGTCAACAAGAAAAGTACGATCAGAACAGATCATCTCGATTGGAGGGGCCACCGCCTTGGGTCTATAGGCTGCCTCCATCATTGGCAAATACTCGCCCAGTTCGGATTTGTAGAGGGTATGACCAAGCTGCTTCATATGGTTCAAACTAGATCGATTGTTCTGTGAAAATGGATCCACTGACTCGGAAATCACAAACTTTGCAAAAGTATTCCCCGGATAATTTGCTGATGCCACATCATCGCCGTCCCAGACACTGTCAAGACCATACCCACGTCTTGATCGTGAGTCTTCCAGCTCTAGATGGAGAGCAAACCGATCCAGTAGGTGGCTGCGGGATATCTTAGTGACCTGAGAAGGTGAATAATCAGTGAATCGCAAGAAAGAGAACGTGCCTTCTTCTTCAAACATGGATTGTGCAACATGATCAGGTGTCCAGATATTCAAAAGATGATCCAGATATTTGGTGTCGGTTCCTGCATTCGATTGCTCCGAAGGAACTCGCAAAAGCCCGCCCTCGCGGTAAAAGCGCTTAGGAATAGAATAATTTATCCTGCTACGCGTTGTGTATGCCACAAACAGATCGTCTCCTTCTCGTGCGATTGATGGCGTTTGACTAAAGGCACATAATGCCAAAGGTGATACTACGTCGGCACGCTCAAATAACTCAGGGTGGTTACAAACTTTACGGAACTGCATAACAAGGTTCATCAAACTGTCGACAGAATCGCTATCATCCAGAGACGACGCCTTTTCTAAGAGCTCTGAAATAGAAATCTTTTCTTTGAGCCCACGATAAAGCGCCCTTTGTCTCGCTGTCAATTCGCAGCTCACTTCCAACTCGATCTATTTGTACCATAAAAAAAAAAAAAAAAAAAAAAAGAAGGCGTTAATGAATGAATTCTTAAGCTAATGTTTACAAGTATCGACGATTGTTCTGTAATTAATCCACTAATTTGACAAACCTTATCGCCCAGCTCGTTCTGCACATTTTTCTTGATACGACGCAACATAAATGGCTTAAGGATCATGTGAAGACGTTTCAGTTGGTGCTCATTTAACGTACCCTTGTTTTCAGCATGGGACTCGATGTCCTTTGAGAACCATTCACTAAACTCCTCATGGGAATCAAAAAGACTAGGCATGATAAAATGCAGTAATGCCCACAATTCTTGCATACTATTTTGGATTGGGGTTCCTGTGAGTAAGAGGCGGTTGCGACAGTTGAAGCCCAGTAATGTTTTCCATCGTGCACTGGATGAACTTTTGATTGCCTGTGCCTCATCCAGTACCATATATTGCCACTTGACTCGCTGAAAATACTTTTCATCCGAGACAACCAATTGATAAGACGTTATGAGGACGTGAAAAGGCGCATCTTTGTTGTACACTTGTTTCTTGTTCCAAAACTTGCGTAGCGTCTTTCTGTCCTTGATATTGCCCCAATACGGGAGAGCTTTCAGATCTGGGGTAAACTTTGTAAACTCTTGCTGCCAGTTGTGCAATGTTGACGCAGGAGCTATCACTAAAAATGGGCCCCAGATGTTTTGTGTCTCGGCCAAGTACGCCATAAGCGAAATAGACTGGACTGTCTTTCCCAAACCCATCTCGTCTGCGAGAATACCATTGATACCCTGCTCATATAAATTGGCTAGCCAGTTAAGGCCCTTAATCTGATAACCCTTGAGTTGACACATAAGCATCTTAGGCTGCTCAATTTCAGCCACTGTTGGCATACTGGATGGGTTTTGGAAATTCATCTCGTCCACTTTTTTTTTTTTAAAAAAAAAAAAGAAAAAATAAATGTTATTAGTATAAAGGTACATATCGCACTTTGATTAAATCGAATGTTCAGCAACATATCGAAAACATAATGGTTTGCAAGGACTTGTGCATGAGCTTACAGTCATTCTGGTTAAGAGCCATGTTAGGCTTTTGCTCTCGGTGTTCCTTAGCCTCTTCATCAAATGTCTTTGTGCGCTGTTGAGCTGCTAGCAATGCTTGTTGTGCACCCCATTTGGCCTGAGCTTCTAGTGCTTCATCTGTGGCTTCTTCAAAATCAATATCGCCCTCCACAGGTGCATGATTTGGATCCTGTTGGATAGAATCTTCATGAGGTTCCTTTGATGGTTGCATTCGGACAGGGGCTGCATCATCATCTGCTTCTGCTGCCTCAGCTATATGAGTTGAATAGTGTTCAAAGTAAAAAAAATGTCTCAGTTTCAGAATGAATCTTTCTTTCGGAATCAAGCTTATATGTATTATGATTCAGCCAAAACATACTTCCGATCTTCTTGCCGATGAAATGACTGTACAGCTCTGTCTGTGTAATCAAGAAGTTGAGCTTGCGGGCCTGACGTCTGGCTTCCCGCATCTCTTCCTCAATACGTAGCTTTTCAATTGCTTCCTTTTCAGCCTTCTTTCTCATCTCCCGCTCCTCACGTTCATTGCGCTTCCAGAAAAAGAGCATTTCACGATTTGCTTTTCGCGCTCGGGAATGAACCTCTTTACTTGGCTTAACAGAACGAGCCGCCGCCTTCCTTGCCTCTCTTTGGCACAGTTGTGCGACCTTTTTACAGTTTTGCATTTTGATTGATGTTGCGTTGGCGACAATCTTGGTGACCTGTTGCAATATTAAACGAAAAAGGTAAAGAAATGAGGAAAACCAAACAAAAACAAAAACAAATTGATATTATCTTCATCTCGAAGGCCTCCATCAATACCTCCCCATTTCAGAAATATAACATTAAATTCGAGAAAATCATTACCTCACGAATTTGTCTGTGAGCAATAAGATCCCAAATGGCGCGACGCTTGGCTTCATACTCTTTCTCCTGACGACGTAACAGAGTTTCTTCATCAGGCTCAACGCTTTGCTCAGCTGTTCCCTTTTCTTCCTCTTCTGAAGCCTCAAAATCAATACGCCCATCGTTTACAAAGTCATCATCATTACTCTCATCCTCGGAAATATTAGATCGAGGAACATGCCTATCCTGCTCCTCTTCTTCAACTTCCTCTTGGAGAGCCGCAGCTGCCAATTCATTTTGTTGCGCACGGGCTTTGGCTTTGATTGCTTGGACTTGAGCCATAGCTGCTGCTTCTGCTGCTTCTTTGCGCTCACGCCTTTTACGTTCAGCTTTGCTCTCCTTGGGCAGACCATCTTCATCCTGCTCTCTCTTGACAGCGTTGTCTGGTTGGAGCTTTTTTCTTCCACGGCCACGACCCTTTCCAACTGTAGGTTGTAGTGGCTGAGAAAGAGCTGGAGAACCCACAGCCGTTTCCTGTGTCCCGAGGAAGACTTCCTCGTCCTCAGTGCCAGGCTCGGCTAAGGCTTCGGCTGTATTCTTTGCTTCCAAGCGCCTCTCTTGCTTCGCCAAGAACTTTTCATGGAGTTTCCGACGTTTGCGCTGAAGGGAAGAAGAAGAAAAAATCAGCTCTAGCAAAAAAAAAAAAAAAAAAAAAAAAAAAAACAAGCAAATAGGCATTTTTCGCTTAGGCATATTAAGATGACTTACAGATGACTGTTTCTCATAAGCTTTCTGTACTTTTTGCCCTCTTTTGTGCACCTCTAGCATATAGATCATGTATTCTTTGTGTTGTGAATAATCATCTTGGTCAGAGTCAGAAACGTCAGGATGTGCGCCCGCAATATCCTGCTCTCCTGTTTCCTGCGATCCTTGGATCATAGGGGCGACATAGTCTCGGTCTTCATTTGCAGTATCAGGCGCACGTTGTCGCTTAACTCCACCATTAGTGGATTTAGATATAGACTCTGGACGAGGAGCTGCTTCTGTTAGGGCAGGCGTCACCGGTAATGAAAGAGCGGAGCCTTCCAATGGATTATCTTTCGATTTGGGCTTCCTTCCTCTCTTTGCTTTGATCTTGGCTTCCTCTACTGGAGCTTCGTTTTCCTCTGCTTTGGGCTTGAGAGTGCGCTTATCCTGCTCCGCAGCTTTTGGACGACGCTTTACCGATTGCGATAGTGTTTTAGTTGTAATGTCTTTGGCTGTAGATGCGATATCTTCACTCCCTTGTTCTGGCCAGGTTTCTGTCTTGGTTGAATTGGTAGAAGAGGATTGTATATCTCCCTGTATTAATAAAGCTTCGATCTTTCTCTCCTCCCGAGGACGTGTCGAGGCGGAAGTGACTTCTGAAGAATAGTTATCTATCGCTCCTGTGTTTGTGTCTTTGGATGCAGGGCGTTCTCTCCTAGTAGAAACTTCATGTGATCCAGTAACTGCCGTATGATTTGTAGCAGGAAGTATTCTGGCACGCTCGGCGAGTTGGCCTGGTCTGCGAATTGATTCGTTGTAGCGCTGGATTGCCGTCATTTCCTGATTAGGTTCACGCTCAGGAAAACGTACAGGAGGCGATATGTCACGAGGCCGATTCTCCTGAATATAAGGGCGATAGATCGATCGTCTATCGTCTACAGGGGATTCATCTATGAACTCAGGTGATGGTTCCCGCGAAGGTTTATCGCTTAGAAGCTGTGCAATCGACATAGCAGGCGCTTTCCTTTCGCTCCGATTCTGTACCACTCGAACAGGCGATGGAGATCTTGAAGGTATGTATGTTGGTTCTATGTATGATGATGGCGGACCCCGGTCATTGTACGGGCTCGTCTCATACTATAAGGATCAATGAATACAAAATATTTCAGATTAAAAACATAGTTTAAAAAATAAAAATAAAAATAAAAAAATAAAAAAAAATAAAAATTACCTGGTATCGCGGAGGAGAATGAGTCCGATGAGGTGGACTCCTCGAACGGGGTCTCATAGATGAAGCATCATGATAATGATGAGAGTAGTATTGCTAGGGAATATCACATACGAACAAGAGAGGCATCTGTTATGAATTTGCTTCTCTTTCTTTGTCACACACATTTTTAGAGACACCCATAAGACAAAGCACAATAGACGAACCTTTTCTCTGTCAACACCCTCATCCACGCTAGCTGAACGACGGCGGTAATGCATCGGTGGACGAGAAGCCAGCTCTGGAGTACGTTGTGCAGACCATACCCCTGTTGACGGGTGAGTTGAGTGAGGTATAGAACGTTGAGCATATGGTTGGTAAGGCGATGTTGCTCTCGGAGGTGGTACTGATCCTGAACTCTCGTAACGATCCGATGGCAATGGCTGCCGTGATGACGAGTAATATGGTGTCTTTTAGTGGATCAAAGTGATTAATAAAAAAAAATAATTAAAAAGGGTGCCTTGTCAACATCCTCTGTTGTGCAATCTGAACCAATCCTACTTGTTTTGATTGTCATTACCTGCTGTGTTGCTGTTGAAGGAGTGTAGTCTCGAGAGGCTGCTTCATGAGATCCCGCGGGCCAAGTACGATAGGAAGATACTCTTGAAGAATGAGATGGCGGCTGCTGATAGTGATGATGCTGGCTCATGACGGGTCCATCGCCTTCACCATCTGATGCATAGTATTCTTGTCTGTAAGATCGTGATATCTGGCGCTGCTGTTGATGGTGCTGCTGTTGCTGTTGTTCATAATAATGGCGATAGGAAATGTTTCCTGGAGGGGAGCCGTAGGGTCCTGGTGAAGGTGAGCGGGCAGTATAACGGCCAGAACTATATGACGGATGAGCAACACGACGATCACGATCGCGCAATTCGTGATCATAGATTGAGCCATGAGAGGAAGAACTTGTAGGTGGACCCTGGTGATACGGCGTGGAAGAACTTGTGGCTGGTCTACGCATAGTGGAAGCAACAGCTGCATCAGACCTAGCAGCATGATGCATACGTGTAGGAGACGAGGATCGGAAGAGATCCCTGGTCATCGGAGAATAATCATGAGCCATCTCTGCCGACTCGTAATCACGCCGCCGTTCATGTGAATGGTAATGGTAGTCATCCTTGGAATACTCGAGATGACGTCCATAAGATTGACTGTAGTGAGCTGAATGTGCTGTTGTAGCAGGCGCTTGTGCAGAGCCATAGGGTCCAGATGGGTTTCCGTATGGGCCAGGAGACGAAGGTCTGCGGTAATGGGGCACTGATGTGGATGGTCCAGCAGAGGATGCTGCTGGTGCTGGATCAGGTGAAACCGGGCGGTAATATGCAGGATTAGCACGCTGTGGGTTCATGATGGGATGTTGATGTGTTGACAGCTGTGGATGAAGATGAGCCTGTGGGGAAGAAGGGACGTGGTGAGGAGACGGAATGGGATTGTGGTTATGTATGTGTGCAGGATAGCTGTCACCAACAGGGTTGTGGAGCGTGTCCCTGTCACTGCGACGCTCCATCAATCAACAGGACTGAATGTAAAAGGTTTCAGTCAGAAGAAGCCAATGCAAATTGTATAGGCTTAAGAGGGTTGATCAGATTGGGTAATTGCAAAGCCAATGCAATACAGATCAGCCTTGCTTCTAAAACAAAGCAAGGACTAATGGCTTGATCGGTTGAAGGAATATATTTAGAATGGAAATGCGTGATTGTGGAAAATAAAAGTAATGCGATATTTTATTTGGTGATGGTGATAAAAGACATTGAGAGGAGAGAAAGATAATGAAAGGAAAGCTGGGGGGAAAAAAATAATAATAAAGGTTTTTTTTATTTTGTTAAAGACATTTTCCAAAACAAAAATTAAACAGCCTTTTTCCTTTCTTTACATTCCTACACACCAGCGCGAAAAAAGAGTGGAGAGTGAGAGTGATAATGAATGACTTCAGTCTGCGGAATGCTGTCCTTTAATAAAAAGTTTCCAACAGCTTTTTAAAGACATCGACGGTTACAAAGCAACTTTGGTCAAAAATAAGGAAGGCATGCAGACGTTCCACAGACGCGTACATGTTCTCGATGTACATGTGAGCATGTCTCCCAATGAGTCCACCATAAACTAACTATGAATAACAGATGGGTCGTGCGAGACTTGGGCCGGTTGTCATATTCACTTGGCCGAAGCGCACTACCAAGTCAACATTTATTAACGGCCACTCATACCAATCAAAACCATTATAGCCATGTAACTCAATATGGACGAGTTATTGCGATCAAAACCATCTTGGCAGCGGTAATTGTGGTGTTGTTCTACTGCCACCCATAGAGCACTTCGTCCTCTCAACAACTCCTTGATCTCCCATACATTCTGCTTCGATCTGATTAAAGACATATTCCTCCTTGGTAATTGAATCCCAACACTTGAACACCATCACCACACTAAGCAGACTTGTAATAGTGCTTGAAAAAAAAAAAAAAAAAAAAAAAAAGTAAAAAAAATCCATTAATAATGTTTGGTAAAATTGCAGTTAAACGCAATATCCAAGTGGCCAGCAGCCATCCAACATGTTGTTGTCGGGAACAATCTAAGATTACGTTGTTCAGCAATGCAGTCCCATTGGAAATAAAAAAGACAACTCAAAACGCAATTGACCTGATCGGTTCAAAAGATCCAAACCATCGGAAGGTGGCAATTGAGAGAGATGATGCCGTTGTAAACACCAATGGACTTACACTTTATCTATTGATGGAAAACATTAGTCAGAATCTGATATCAAATTGTGTCAGGGCTTCTCAAGATGAACCGTATTCAGAGTGAGAGGAATGTTCTATCCTTTGCGGATGGAACACCTACAAAGTTGCTTAATAGCTGATATAAGGCCTTGATGCATTCCTATTAAGTGTTGGTGGTAGAAATGGAAATAAGCAATAAAAACCAGTATGTAAAGATAAAAAAAAACATGCTTGTCCCTATTTTGTTTCTCGAAAATCATAATATTGCCACACTATGCCGTCCGCATTTTAAAAGGCCCTTTGATCATGACTAACGCGATGAGGTGGATAATCAGCGTGGCTATGAGAGACAAACTTGCAAACAACAATAATCCCTGCTCAGTTTCATTTATCTTTTTTTTTTTTTTTTTTTTTTTTTTTTTTTCAATTGCTTATAAAGTTGAGAGATTAAAGTGCCGCCAAGCTTGGCATTACAGAATAGCAAAGAAGTAAGGAGGTCCAATGCCATTAGGATCGCCGACAAGTGGACAGAGCGTCGATAAGGCTGCTGAACAAATATAATTAAGTTGCCAAAGGCAACCTTCAGTTTTGGTAGAAGATATAGAGTTCTTTTTTTAATACGAATATCTCCAAATTACTTGTAAAGATAATCGAATGAGAGGCACATATTTATTCTGGAATCAGAGAAAGTAAAGAACAAGAGAAAGAAGTGAGGAAAGAAAGACATGGACAATAATGAGCAACCGTTATTAGAGTAAGTTGAGCAGGCTATCAAATCGGACACATCGTTAGTTGCATCTTACATGCTACTGAATTTTAGCTGCACTTGGGTATTTATAACAAAAAGACAGGTAGAAAAACAAGTATGAATTGGAATCAGTACGAACGGACATAGTCTTGACAAGTGGACCAAGGTTGTCATTTGTCATTTATATATTTATATTTTTCTTTTCAGAGAAAGAAAGGAGTCTAACATTAAAAATTGCATTAACTGTACCACTTGTTCTCCAATGTGAGGCGCCGTAAGATGAGCGCAGCATAATTTGCTACTTAACTACATGTACCTTGCCTTGTTCTTTTTATTGTTTTTTCCCGTCCGGTTTTGATGAACAGATCGCGTAATGCAAACTTACCTAACAAGCTTATATGGCTAGCATTGCAAAGAAAATTGTATTCGAAGGTTTATATGACGTGAAAGTACGAGAGTGTTGGGAGGAGAAGAAGGTTTCGAGATTAAGAACTTGATCCTTGAGGTATCAAATAAACACAATTTTAAAAGTTATTATGGACATATTGAGTATCCTAACAAGTATTACTTTATATATTATTCCAGTATTTGCATTCGCCAATACTCGGTACACTATGGCAACGGAAACTAGTATATTTTATTACATGATCAGGCAGCAGCAACCTTTCTCACCCTTGTCCTCCATCTGGTTACCATAGCCTTGTCCTTGTTGAGAGTAGCCAAAGCCACCGTTTGATGATGGACTGCTGTGTGTCTCCTTATTGAAGCGACGGATCTCTCGTACAAGATTGTAGAAAGATTCATCAACGTTGATCCTCTGTTTGGCTGAGGCTTCAATCAACCGAGAGTTGAACGTTTTAGCTAGCTCTCGACCCTCTATATCCCCATGGATAAAGAAGTGATTAGTTTATGATATATATTTCGATTGTTCAGCAAAGTTACATGTTCTATATATCAGCTATTCATACCATGGGTCGACACTTGACGCTCATGCTCTAGGTCACACTTATTGGCCACAAGGATAACGGGGAAAAAGTCCTTGTCCTTCACACGAAGGATCTGCTGATAAAAAGTGGAGATTTCCTCGAATGAGTTACGTGACGTAATAGAGTACATCAAGAGGAAACCTTCGCCAGTACGCATATACTGCTCACGCATGGCACTATAAATAAATAAGGAGGATAAAAGGCTTTAGACTGTTTGTTCTATGCATCGTTACCCTACTCTCTCTATGCTCCTCAACCATGGCTCCCTTCTTCAAAGATCCATACATTGCCCAAAGAAATTAAATGTAGTCGCTCAAGGCCATGATTTATCATCATGGACATTAAAGGATGAACTGTCTCAATAACTCTGCAACATTAATGTGAGCTTAGAAAAAAAAAAAAAAAAAAAAAAAGCAAACCCCTAGATTACATGGATAGATAGGGGGGAGAGGGAGAGGAGGTTTAATATAGTGAGCATTGCTCATGTCAGGAATAGTGAGCTTTTTTTATGGTTCGACGACTCTTCATTGAATTGGTGCTGAAGACCAGCCCCTTCTCCAAAAAAAAAAACTCTCGGTTGTATGTAAGATACTAGAGCCCAAACTCACTTTTCACACCAGCTCTCTAGCTTTATTCTGTTATATCCTCTCATTTTTGAATCCAGAGTGTTGAATGAATTGAATATCCAAAGTCTGTGGCAAAGTCTTTTTTTTTTTTTTTTTTTTCAAGGGTGGTATTTCTTTCTCATGACCATCCTTGTCCCACAAAAAGAACAAAGAGGTTCACAAGACAACCCCTGTTTATAACTGACAGGTGTTGTATGAACTCAAGTGTGGAAAGGTCGTTTTTAAAAAAATATACAATGCCTTACCTGTATTCTTCTTGACCTGCAGTATCAAGGACATCAAGCAAAGCAACCTCATCGTCAATTACGCACTGTTTGCGGTACGAATCTAACGACACAATATCAAACACATCGTGGTTAACAATCAGGCTCCAGAAGGCACCATCTCAAGCAAAGTGAGATAAAAAAAAAAAAAAAAAAAAGGAGGGAGACCCCAATATTATCAAGAGGGGTATGCAGTAAGCTCAAGCAGTAAAAATGATTAGGGAGTTGTGCGTGTCAGGTCCCAATCATTGCATTAACATGAAGAGACTCCCCTTCATGATCTCCATAACGAATCCAGTTGCACGCATGTATCATCTGAGCTTAAGGTAAGGTCAAGGAACAGGCCTCGTCTCTGGTATCAGAAAGATGAAGTTGTCACAACCGCTGTATTTTTTTTTTTTTTTTTTTGGGCTACAATCGCACCATGATGCTCTTGCAAGTGTTACTAGCACCCAATAACAAAACTCTGTTTTGCTCTCTTTGTAGTCCTTTGGACGTTTCTGTTAGATTGTCACTATTCATGTCTTTGTCGGTCAAACCCGAGACCAAGATAGTAATTGGTACAAGACCAACAAGGATGGGGTGAAGGTATCCTTCTTGTATTCAGTCAAAGTAATATATCCATATTCTTATCAGAACGTTGAGAGGAGAGGGAAAAATAACCTACCTTCGATGGTGGGATCATACTCGTCCACAAAGTGTGACTGAATGAATTGGATGGTCAATGCCGATTTGCCGACACCTGTAAAAAAAAAAAATAAAAATAAAAACCAAGGTCAATGATAGTGTTCTTTCTTGTGTTGTGGTGGCAGGAGTTATTAAGATAAATATAATGTATTTGTCACTCTTGTTGTCGTCGCATTGCTGGTATGCTGGTATGCTGGTATGTTGGTATGTTTGAATGATCCATTCCCGCAATAAAAGCTGGACCAGTCTAGTCCCTCTAGGCATAGAACTTGTCTACTCGCCGTTGAGAGTGTAAGGTATGGAAGGAAAAATAAAATAAAATAAAATAAAATTGTCATGTACCTCCTCCGCCAACGACAACGAGTTTGTACTCGCGCATGAGTTGATTGGGCTGCTTGGCCATGATGTTGCAAATTAAAAAAGATGGGAAGGGTTCAGACGATAATAATTAAGGTTTGCAAATAAGAGAAAAGATTTCGGGAGGGAAAAAATTGAAAAATGTGTAGAGGAATAGAGGAATGGAAAGGAAGAAAGTGAGAATGAAAGAGAGAGCAGAAAAAAAAAAAAAAAAAAAAAAAAAAGTTGCTGGATGTTGTTTGATGTTTGTTTTGGCGTTGGCTTGGTCAGCAAAGGAAGAAGCAGCTGGAATGTATCTAGATGAAGGCTAAGGTTTTTTTTTTTTTTCTTTTTTCCAGATGATGAGAGAGAGAGATGTGGCAAAGAGAGAAAAGGAGGATGAAGGAATAGAGGACAGGAAGCATTCAGAAAAAGAGAAAGAACAACAGGGCATTTCTCTTTGCTCTACCCTAATGTGTCTGCTCTTGCATCATCAACTTTTGGATTCGTTAAATGCTGAGCCAAGCGGAAAGCAACTAAAAAAGAAACCGTAATTCATACTACATAGACTTGCTCCTCTTTTTTGAGGTTCTGGCCGCCATCTGGCGTAGCTTGAGTCACGTGAAAGACAACACTGTTGATCCATTGTTGATCAAGTTGAAGCTGCTGAACATGGATGGATATACATGACAGCCTTAGTTTGGTATATACATCAGTGCCCAACTTTTTTTTTTTTTTTTTTTTTTTTTTTTTAGCTTTGGGCTTCTATCATCAACACTTGTATCATTTATGAACTTCCCGCGCCATTTCTCTTTTGCTTCGCCGTCCGGAACCAGCGCCGCAACGTGGAATAATAAAGTTGCAATCTGGTTGATTTTGAGCACGATAACGCAAAGATGCTTTCTCATTTTACTCCGCCTTGTGTTTTTAATGATCCTCTTTGCAAAAACCAGATTACTCTTTGCTGGATGAATATCCATAAATATCCTTCTTAGATTACGATTGACAGGTCATCATACAAGTCTTTGTATAACGCTGTGATAACTGGTTTTGTTTGGCGACTTTCACATTTCTCTTTGATGTCACATCCTGTGCGTTCCGAATACACTCAACATCATATACTTCATTTCATCTCTGGCCCCGCCACTAATGATGCTTATCACCATTGTCTTTTTTTCCGACTGCCATCATCCTCGATTGTTCTAAAGTATCAATCAATGTAGGCCCTTCAATAACTCAATGCTGAGGTTGTATTCTTCGCATCGTACAAACATTGTTGTGGCTCTTCGGCCATACATTATCTTTCCACGACATTTTGCTTCTTTATCTTGTAAGGGTAGCCTGTGAGTAGCCGTCAAAGTAATGAGTAGCATATTCAACCTTCTCTCTTGATGGGCATTCTTTCAAGTTTTGTACTATGAAGCTTAACTTGCCAGTTGTTCTGCGTCGCCAGATTTGTCTACAATGTATGGAGCATAAACTTTTTACGGTATGAGAACTGCCCCACATATCCTAAACTGTTTCCGCGTGTTTATGGGCAAGTTATTATGAGTTTCCCATTCATTATACTGATCTAATTAACTATTACATGTATTACATATCTGTTGCTGCTGTTTTTTGCTTCCCCAGGGACCTAAGTGTGCACTAACAACAGACACTTGTCGCTAGCTTATTTTACCTTTCTTTGCTTTACTTTCTTTGAAAAAGGCCTTATGAGCATTGACGTTGTAACCGACACGGTGTGGATCGTCAAAAAAAAAAAAAAAAAAAAAAAGCCCTATCCAGTAGACATCGTCCCTAAGATCTGTTGTAAAAGGGGTAAATATTTGGAAGCCATTTGTTCGCAGCTTCGAGCTGTGGGATTACTTTTCATCTCTTTTCTGAGTTCTTAAAAAAAAAAAAAAAAAAAAAAAAAAGTAAAAACGAGCCACGGTCGACTCCTGAGTTACATTTAAGATCGGATACGTAACTCTTGCTGGTTGAAATAAAATAGTAAACTATAATTTTGCAGAACGTCCGTTGCATAAAAGATTTCTGAACATTCATCTCCTAGGAAGCATTTACCACTCTATTTGTGTTGCTCGTTCACGGATTTGTAGTTGTGCTTTTAATAAATGTATGGAAAGTAATCAAATCCTTGTCAAGAGCAGCAATAAAAGAAAAGAAAAAGCTTTTCTCTTTTTTATCAACAGCTTCACCACATATGCGTTAAAGCAAAGATATTCATTCATTGGCTCTCAGATAATGGCGTCAATGGGGGGGATAGGGCGGTATTATTGGTTATCTTTATTGCTTGGAGTGAAAGCAATTTATTCACTCTCTTCATGCTGGGCGGTGCCTTGTTGGTAATGTTGTACAGTGCTCCTTGTGGATGGATGGGAGAGCAAGAGATGATATTGGTAACCTTCTGGTGTGTGTGTCTGAATTGGACAGTCGACAAAATATAGGCATACAGAAACATAGGGTACAATATGGTATACGAAATAACAACAGCCGAGATAAAATATACCGACGCGTTTCAATGTCTTTCCAAGGAATTGTTATAGTCGTGGCGAAAGCGAGAACTGATGTTCGCATGACTGTGGAGTGGGTCACCAAAATAAAGTTTGTTTGTTTCTTCTGGGGCTCCATTGGAGAATGCTTGTGTTATGGTTCCCGTTTGATTCGAATTGTCTATAAATAAAAAAAACGCCACGATGTTAAATGTACCAGTATTGTGAGATGTCTTCCATGTACACTTAGTTTTCCCTTGGGCCATAAACCAGGCAAATTTGTCTATTTAACCTCCATTGGCTCTCTGTGCTTTCTACTAGCAGAAAATAGCCGTCTATTGCATGCCAAGGAAGAAAAAAATTAGTAAAAATCAATCAGTGAAAAAATCAGCAAAAACCATATATCAAGCTATATCATCACGATTCACTGTTGCAAACGTACATCACTCATATTAGTACCGGCTCTCGCGCCGCTACCAATTAGTATAAATAGTCAGCACCATCGTAGCAGCGTGAGAGACTTCAGACAATAAACATCTTCTGACTTCCCCAGACTGACCCTTCGCTTGTACCTATATATAGCTATGTCCACCATTTACTTGCCTTCACTCCTTCCTTCTTCCCCCATCCTAAAGAAATCAAAGCACGTTTCTGGGTCCTTTTTCGCTAGAGATATGTTACCGAATCTCCATACTATCTAAAAATGGTTGTCATTCGAGGCTTTAAAAAACCGATTGATTGCATGCTCAAGTCTTTGTCTCCAATAACGATAGTATCAAGGCAAGCCGCTAGGTGAGTGTACGCTATTACCATACCAACCATACCAGCCCTCTAGAATCAATCCTGCCACGGTTAAAATACTGCTGTAGATACGTCGTGTATTTGATCGTGATGCGATTGGTGCCGGAAACTTTGGTGGGACGTGCCTCGCGCAAATATCATCTCAAATGCGACCTGAGAAGTGTAAGCCCAGGATGGTAGCAGTGAGGACTCCAAGGGATTTCCTCATTGGCGCCGTTAGTACTTGAGGTAGCAATGATTAATTGATCAACTCTTCTTTTACAAATTTGAAAGTCTAACAATCGTATTTCGTATGGTTGAGCAATACCATTCTTCTCCCTACGAATATTTAAATTAATTTCGCCTTCAAGCGTTGATACATAGCCAGGTAAATGTGCTCACGAGGCTGCCAATACACTTGGAAGTATTCAAAAAATATAAGGATACTTTTGCTCCTTTTTTCTCACTCTCTCATTCTCTCTCTCAGAAAAAGGTAATAACGGTCATTATGAACTTTTTGATTAATTTCGACCTTGCGTTTTTGCAGCTTCAATTCTTAATTACCTTTCTTTCTCCATCTCTTGGTCATCTTTTTTTTTTTTTTTTTTTTTTTTGAGAGAGTCTGTTTATAATTAAGTTTGCACGTTTACATTCAGATAATTTTGGATGACAAATGCTCAAACAATGGCTGCGGTCAGCCTAATCCTTCCTGGTTCAGATGGCTAGGGGTAAAGCTGTGGTTGGAGACTAGGGTTGTCATTCTCATTCCTGATTACTTCTAATGAATTTCGAGAGACTCAAACTGCAATACCCTCTGATTCTAACCTACTTCCAAATCCCAAATCTTGCACAATCGAATATTAGCTTCAAGTAAAAATGACACATATTGCTCTCGCCGACTTCCTGAAAGATCGCCCAACGTTCCATAGCCTTCTTTGAGACGTTTCGTGAAGGACGAGGCAAAGCCAGTCCGATGTCGAGCTATCTCTCTCTATACCATGAGGTAAAGGATCTCATGATTCCAGTGCTGTTCATATTGGTCATGGAATGGAAAGGCGATGGGGTACTGTAGAACCTGAGCGTATCCAGGTATAGAGATAATCCGATGTAGATGAATTCGCGATGGGTCGCTACGCATTCTAACAATTTAATTCATTGTTCTCTATAGGATGAAACATTATCTTAGCACCAAGACGTGTCTCGAGGCTTGATAATACTTTTAGTGAATATCAACTAAAAGTGAGTCTCAAAAAACTTCATTGGATCTCGAACATAGACAGACGTTGGATCGTTGTTTAGGGACTATAAACAGCGTCGAAGGGGTTCGATGACATAAGCGAAATCCTAATCGTCGGCTCTGGAGTGCGAAGGAACATCGGAAAAGAGGAGTCAGACAAATTCAGCAGATGTCTTCTTGCAGATATTACGGAGAGCAATTCAGCAGGCAAACAGGTCTTCCTCGCCGAGTGTTCAAAGATTTACGAGGAGAATGACCTTGTGGGGAGGGGTCAAGAACGTTCTATATCTTGTTTTAAAAACTTCCTCTGAACGTCGAAGGTTAGCATTTTTTATTTTTTTATTTTTATTATTATTTTTATTTTTAATTAGAGGTAGGAGTAAAATGGTTGTACCAACTAATAATATCTTTTCTCATTTCTAAAGTATAGCAATTATTTTTTTCTTATACCACCATTAACCGATGAGGCGTTTTGTTGGATAAAAGGCTCGTGAGTAAATTAGTCATTCCCAAATTGGTGGCCAGTGTGGATCACAGATAGTCGACTTATATTTGCTCTTGGTTTTAATGTACTTTCCTTCAAAAATTGATGTAGGAAATGGAATCAAAAGAGTCCCCTTATGCCGTCATCAGTAATCCCACTCGGATAATAGTACAGGAATGGTTTCAAGACAAGATCACAGCGAAGCAAGATGTCACTATGCCCATATTTTGTGAAGCATTTAATTTTCTGTGCGAAAATGATGCACTTGAGGCTTTTATGGTTCCTTTATCTTCAAACAATATACCGAGCAAAGTGCGAACGTCGATAAGCCTCAGATACGAAGGTTGGAGGCGTAATGAAGGCGTACAGTATTGGGCTTCCCGGCAGGCGAACTTCGTAGTCGATGATGCAACAGAGAAGGTTACTGTGAACATTGCGGGCAGGGGACAATTGGGCCGGAAGAAGAAAACCGCTATTATCAGGGATAGCCCATGGAAGGAGCTCACGGTGAATCTCCACCAAGTTGTAATGTTATATAGGCTCCTCAAGTGTTTTTTTTTTTTTTTTTTGTTTATGTGGGGGCAGGTATTAACACGGTTTAATCAATCCTTAGATTAATGCCCAAAAAGTGGAGCGCTTTGCTGTTGTTGGCCCAGGCATGTCCCTTCTCCATGTGCAGCTCTTTCAACATGCTATCAATCTGCTGAAAGAGTACGAGTGCTAGGAACAGGCTTACAAAGACAAGAGCCTGGTTAAGGACGTCCAGAAGTATATCTTACCTCTTGATGCGATCATGTTGTCTTCATTGGATGTCATTTCTTTCGCATTTCAGTCTGTTGGCTCTTTATCATTTACTATGCTCTATCTTAATACTATATAGAGTGGCGATGTCCTGCGTGTTGAACACTATGTCCTCTCGAGCTGTTCAGCATTTTCTAGTCAACGAAGGAGAAAATACCGTTAGACAGGCAAAGAGCCTTATCGCCATCTCAAGCTTCGAGCAACGCCGTTGCCTAAATACCTTACCACGCTATTTGCATGCCCTGAAGGGCCACGGTGCTGAGTATCTAGGTCAGTTACTCAGTCGGGACCGATATGACCTGCAGAAGCCATATGACCTAGATGAGCCATTGCCTGAGGATATTAAAATACAGGACAGGGTGCTTGAAGTCCTGCAGTACCTGTGAGTGCCGCAATATTAAATAACGCTTTGTAATGATACCTTGATTATGTTGTTGAACACATCTAGTTCCCCACTTCTTTTAAAAAAATTCTAGCTCTAAACTGGTCCACAATCAACCCTGAAATATTTTATGGTAAGTCGGAAGTCAAGGAGATCAAAAGTTGTTTATTATTTTAGCTAGGTCGGAGTCTTATATAGGCTCCAACATAGCCGTCACTAATTGCTCTGATCTATGAATAAAAAGGGGAGTACTCCATTTGGGTACACTCCCTAGCCTCAGGACGTAAGACCGTGACTTATAGTGATAGAAAAGAGACATAAATACTCTTTTCTGGTAGAGGGACTTATACTAGGTAACTACGTATCTATCTGTAGGATGCAAGCGAAATTACTATAATAATTTTGTACAACATAGTGCAATGTTTTAACCTAATTGATATAGCTTACTATGTATATGGAACCAAAGTTCAATAGGACAAAGAGAGGGGTCTTTATTTCTGGACAGACGACATCTTATATACTATAAGATATCGTCTGCCCCACGTGAGTGGTAAATTAAATCATCGTATACGATATATGGGTCTATATAGTGCACATAGTATGTCGCCCAATTTTCTAGAGCATTCCTTGCAGCAGGACATTAGCTAGTATAAATAGGCCCACTTTTCTGTCTAGTTCTGCAGCGCAATTCCCCTGAATAAAGACACCTTTATTGTACCCTTAGATTCGCCTAGAACACTACCTTCACTTTTGCATAGGATGACATTGGTTCGTTCTAAAAAGTTCATATCAAAGATTTATCCCGTCTTTGTGTGGCGCGTTATTGCCACTAACTTCTACTACTAATCTTTTTAGCGCATTCGTGTTTTTTACTCTAATTTTTTTCTATCATAATATTGCATACTGTGGAATATGCAATAGACCGCGATGAGTATCACAGCTCCTACGACGCTGCAACTCCCAACAGTAATCATTCCAAAGTCCCTCTAGACTGACCTTCGCTTATTTCCTTCGAAATAAAAAGCTAGAATCATGTACTCTGTAGGATACACGTTGCTGCTTGAAGATAAAATAGAGACCCCGTACAAATAAGATGTGCACGGGATTAATCTATTTGGCAGCCCATTGCCAAATATAGTCAACTTTCAAGACTCTCTTTGGCAGCCAAGTTGCCAAATAACATTCATTATTTACTTGGCAGTCTACCCAGCGTTATTTGGCCTCTAACTATTTTTTTTTTTTTTTTTTTTTTTTTTTTTTTTTCATTCCTACACTATCATGCAAAACTGATTCAATAATTCATTCCCATGTGCATTTCTTTTTTTCATTCCTCGAAACCATATATGCATACAACACTCATACTTTGGTTTAATAAAGCTCCCGTCTTCTTCTACGTCATAGTGATGCGTTGTGACATTAGCTTGTCTCATTTGAATAGCTAATGACTTTTTTGTTCATTCAGGTCATTGAATCAGTTTCACATGTGGTCTAAAATGTTGCCCATGACAACTTTTGGACGTCATTTAATGCCAGTAAAAAAAGGACTTTTCTCTCTTTCCTTTATGAACACTTGCTTAACTCTCTCTTAACTATACCTTCACAGAATATGAGACCCACTCCACAAAGGAAAGTCAACGAAGCCAGGAGGTTAATGATGGGAGGCATGTCTACTAGAGAAACTGCTGCTAGTGTTATGTCAAGGACTGACAAAGGGTTTGCAAGGAAAGGTAAGTGAATGAATAACAAGAATGATAATGAGCTGAGAACTAGAATGGATTCACGAATAGTTTTATTGCAGACTGAGGTTTACTATGTTACAAATCTATCATATTTATACTTGTTTGACTGAAGCGGAGACGCGCTTCAAGAACTCTAAATAAAGCTTACTCAAATATTTCCTAAGGACTTTTACCATATGCGGAACTTCAAGTGTTGAGTTAACTTAATACACAGGATCCGAGGAAGATATCTGGTGCAATCTTATTTCAAGGTTCCTTGGCACTATAAGCCTTGGTTATTGGTTTATAGCTCTTCTAGAATCCTTGGAGCTATTCACGGAGCTAGAAAACTAGGAGACGCGACTTGGCTTGACAGGCAAACTATGCATGGAGGAATGAGTGAAGGAAATGAGCGGAACAAATTAATCAAGCACACGTGATCTTTTTCAGATTCGAATCAGACAAAAGTCATTCATCAATTCATGAGCTAGACATTGCTTGCTGTTCGTGACATGTTGGTATATCAATAGCGACGGCCACCAGGATCTATGCACATAATAAGGAGTACATGCCAGTCAATAAAGGCGGTCGACCAAGGAAAGTACCTAGAGGTATCATGCAGAATCTTAAGGTGAACATGAAACGAGGTACACTCAAGTCTGCAGTTGAGGCCACCGTCAGAGCCAACCAGCTCATACCAGCGGCTGTTTCTGAGACCACCGTTAGACGACGGCTCAAGGAGTTAGGATTGACAGCAAAGAGGCGTGTACATAAGCCAGCTTTACGTCGACGGCATATTAAAGCTCGTTTGCATTTTATCAATTAGTATAAGGAATGGACTCTGGAAGATTGGAAAAAGGTTATTTGGTCAGATGAATCGAAAATAAACCGAATCTGCTCTGATGGCGTGCAGTGGATCTGGGACGACAATCCGGGACGCCTCACTCGCAGGTCGGTGCAAGGCACTGTCAAGTTTGGGGGTGGTAATGTTAAAGTGTGGTCATGCTTCTCATGGTACGGACCTGGATACATTGCAAAGATTGACAATAATATGGGCGCACAACTTTACATCAAACTACTCCAGGAGGATCTACAGATGTCGCTTGATGACTGGGGCCTAACTAAAAGCGATATCGTCTTTCAGCACGACAATGACTCGAAGCACACGGCGAAGATTGTTAGGAAGTATTTGGAGTCAGTACATCTGACAGAAGAGGAAGGTACACTTCTAGAGTGGCCAGCACAATCCCCTGACCTCAACCCTATTGAACACATGTGGGCAGAATTGGATAGGCGGCTCTCTAGGTGTCCCGAGCGAGCTAAGAGCTGTGATGAACTATGGGAGCGAATATCGGTTGAATGGTACAGGATCCCAGTGGACTTCTGCCGCAAACTCATCATAGGTATCCATAAGAGACTCCAAGCTGTCAGTGATGCCCATGGTTGGAATACTACTTATTGATGTAAGGTTATGTGCAAAAGTCAAGGTAGTGTTCTAGGGGGATCTAAGGGTGCAATAAAGGTATCTTTATTCAGGGGGAACTATGCTACAGAACTAGATAGAAAAGTAGACCTATTTATACTAGTTAATATCCTGTTGCAAGGAATGCTCTAGAAATATGGGCGAAATACTATGTTGCACAAAATTATTATAGTGATTTCGCTTGCATCCTTCCCGTCATGAAGAAACCTATTATCTTGTTTTTCTTGAAGCCTCAAAGACGGCAAGCGCCTCTTTAGCGTTTGCGAGCGAAGATTTTGTTTCCCAAGTGGCTTCATCTAATGGATAGCCTTTCCAAAGAACGAGCCACTTAGGAGTTTTGCCAAACATTTTGAAGTCAATGATTTTGTCGACTTCATACTCCTCTTCTCCATCTACAAGCTCGGGGGCAGGGCGTGGTGGTAAGCGGTCGCCGAATTCACGAGGTGACTCAATATAGGGGCGAAGCAGATCGGCATTAAAGACTGGATGCTGATGCATGTCAGGCGGTAGTTCCAGCTTGTAGGCATTTTCATTGACCTTCGAAATGATCTTGTAAGGGCCTATGTACTCAGGTTCCAGTTTCTGCGACGGCCTATTTTTATGTCCCGCGACAGAGATGTTTTCCGAGCTTAAGAGCACCATGTCACCCACAGCAAACGTAGCAGGCCTGCGAGTTTTGTCCGCTTGGGCCTTTTGCCTATTCTGCGCTTCGATGATGGCATCCTGAGCTAGCGCCAAATTCATCGACTGGGTTCGAACAAAATCACTGACAGCCGGAACATTGGTATCAGGTGGCTTTAAAAGAGATCCAGGGACTAGTGGATGGTGACCATAGTTCAGAAAGAATGGGGAGAAGCCTGTCGTAGGATTGACAGAGTTGTTGTATGCGAACTCCATCATAGGCAGTAAAAGATCCCAGTCGTTTTGCTTGTACGATATGTAAGAGCGGAGCATTTCTTCTAATGTTCTGTTGGCGCGCTCTGTTTGTCCGTCTGATTGTGGATGGAAGGCAGTAGACATGTTAAGTTTGGTGCCCATGAGCTTCATCAACGTTGTCCAGAACTTGCCGGTGAAACGTGAATCTCTGTCTGACACAATTGTCCGAGGCATGCCGTGCAGTCTAAAAACATTGTCGAAAAAGAGTCGTGCAACATCAGAGGCAGTGTCGGTAGTTCGGCTAGCGCAGAAATGAACTTGCTTGGACAGTTTGTCCACAAAGACCGTAATCGCGTCAAAACCTCTGGCTGTCTTCGGAAGCTTGACAATGAAGTCCATTGTTACAGTATCCCATCGTTGGCTTGGAATTGCCAAAGGTTGGAAAAGCCCTGCAGGAGGCTTTAGTGAAGGCTTGTTACGCTGGCATTGCTCACAGGAAGCAATGTATTTTTTTATATCCCTCGCCATGCGTGGCCAAAAATATGTTCGTCGCATGCTACTGTACGTTTTATCGAATCCCAAGTGGCCTGATATAGGAGCGTCGTGAGCGTCATGCAAGAGTTGTGAACGGAGTCCGTCGTCCTTGGGTATGCAGAGGCGAGGGCCTTGTCCAGCGTTGATCCAGAGT